CGGCGGTGACTCCGTCAAGCGCCAGCTCTCGGACGCCTATAATCAGCTCGAGCACTCCAGAGGAGTCAGTGGGCCCGGCGACGACGAGCGCGCAGGAATCGTCGGACATCGTGCTGTCGACGAGCAGCTCGACTCTCGAGCGCACGCCTTCGAGCGTATCGAGCAGCTCGTACACTTCGCAGTCGTCGATCAGCAGCAGCGTGCTGGACTCGAGGTCCGTCATCGAGGAGATGGCGCGGCGGGAAATGGAGCTGGAGGAGTCCGAGATGATGTCTGAACCGTCGACTGTGCCGTCTTTGTTAACGACGCCTTCTGCGCGAACGGTAAGCTTGGTTCGAACGCTCATAGTTGTTGCATGCTGATGATACTTGGCAGGCTTCTCCCCTTCTGGCGAGCACGCCTCAGGCATCCGCGAGTGTCAGCATCACCACTCCGCGTGGCGACGCGCCATCGGTGCACACCATTGAGACGTACCCGTCGTCCGAGAGCGGCAGCATTCCAACGACGCGTAGCCCCGACATCGACCGCTTCGACATCCTTCGGGATGACCTACAGCGGCTGGAAGACTTGGCTCGAGAGCAAGGGCGCGACATCAGCGGCAGCGTAGACGCGCTGCGTTCGGACATCCAGACTCTCGCTGACGCTGTTCACGAGTGGCACAGTCAAGAGCGGGATCGGGGCACTGGTCCTGCTCCTCCTCAACAGACCATCATCATGCCACCCGCTTCCCGCGCCGCTGGGTCACCGATGTCGAGTGTGTCTGTCCGGGGCCCTGATCGTTCTGTCACCGACGCCGGCGTAGGCAGCGACATGCTGTCCCCGCCGGCTGCGCAGGTCACGATCCATCGCTCTGCACCCAGCTCGTACGGATTGACACGGTCGTCGAGCGTTATCAGCAGCGTCCCGTCGTTCTTGTCGTCGCACTACTCAGATGCGTCTATCTGGGAGGATGAAGAGTCGGAGATGGACGAGTCCGACATGGCTACCCCATATTCGCCCACGGAATCGTCGCTACCAATCAGCAGTTCGCCGCCCTCGACGCCTGAAGAGTCCAGCCCTCCCAGCACTCCTCAGACCCAGCACACGAGCGAGTCATCGAGCTCGTCTTCGAGCACGGTCACTGTCAGGGCTGCGCCGCCAGATTTCAGTCACTTGCTCAACGAGATCCGCAACGTCATTCAGGGGATTGGCGGTGATGTACAGGCTTTGTGGGAGGGTCAGACCTCGACCAACCACATGTTGGACGAGCTCAGGAATCGGGTGCGTGCGCCGGACAACGCGCAGCTTCTGGATCGGGTCACTGCTATCGAGGGCCACCTCGCGCGGCTCGCCGATCAGCAACAGCAACCTCAACGCCCTCGTTCGCCGACGACCCTGCCTCGCTCCCCTCCGCCTCAGTCGCGTGGAACGGCGCCCTCCGAGACCGGAACCACGGAGTCCGAGCCCAGCGAGATCGACCTCGAGGGTATTCTTCGCGACTTCCCTCGATTCCACCAGCCGACGCCGATGCCGGCTCATACACCCAGCGGACCATCGCTCGCTCAGCAATTGCAAGACATACTGACCGGATTGCCTGCCATGCCCGCTGTCGTAGAGGTGCAGCCGCCACCGCCCCTCCAGCCGTTCACATACCAGCCTCTCGACCGGCGTCCGCGGAGCGCGAGCCCCGATTCATTGCGCGATATACCTCGGCGAGTTTACACGGCGCCTCCGCAGCCACCGCGGCCTCGTCGTGCGCGCAGGGATAGGGACAGTTACATGTACCACTCTCCTTCCGTTCGAACCGAGTCTGTTGCGCCTCAGCCGCTGGGTCGTCAAGAGCAAGAGATCCACGCGCCTCGGGCTCGACCGCCGCAACCGGCACCACAGCCGTCGCAAGAGCAGACTGAGTACGAGGACACCGCTCCGGACACCGCGGCAACCCCTCGTCCGCCTCAGGAGCGCATTCCTCGTCCTGGCCCTACGCCTCGCCCTGTCATCGTGAGTGGCCATCACAGCAGTTTGTTGGGCTGAACACTGACGATGCATTAGCCGCAGAACCTCTATGACCGCCCGGCGTCTGCTCCGGAAGATATGGGTGGCTCACCAGGGCGCGCTTCGCAGCCGTGGTATCGTCGCGCTGGTGTAAGTCTTTCAAAAGCTGTCACGAACCTCACTCTCATGGAATGCAGGATCGCCCTCGTGCCGATGCCGCTACTGGAGGAACGGGTGGAGGCCAAGGCGTGCCGGGTGCTGCTCCTGCCCCTCAATATATGCCGATGCCTGTAAGTACATCAATTTTGATTGATGTTCCGAGGCTTACCAAGTATCCAGGCCGTAGTCCAGGGACCATGGTCGACGCTGATGGAGATCTTGCGAGTACGTGCCGGATATGCCTAATCTTACTTTTTCTCACTTCAGGTAGGAAAACCGTCTGATGCATCTTGCAACGGTTGATCAACAACGTGAACTTATGCGCTACATGCGTGGACTCAACGAGTGGCTCGCACGCGATGTACACGATCGTCAGGCAGAGATCAACAGTGTTCTGGCACAAATGAACCGCCTTCATGGGGATCTTGAGAGTCTTCGTCGTGGTATGTATACGATTCTACGAACTTCAATGTTGGTCTGACGTTCTCGATTAGGTATGGATGAGCGGAGTGACGCATCAACTTCGCCTGGCACCACCTTCCACATACCTACGCAGCAGCCTATGCAGCAGCCAGTGCCCGGGCAGATATACCCGCCGCAACAGCAGGGACCAGTGATGCCGCAGCCTACGCCTGGGTTTATTCCGGGTATGCAACAATCGTCGAATATTGTGCCGCCGCTAACTTCTCGCAGGTCAGCAAGGGATGCCGATGCGTACACCGCAGCAGCATTATCCACCGGTCATACCGAATGAGGGGCCTGTCATTCCAGACCGTCCCGAACCGGTCATACCGCCAGCGCCTATCATTGTGCAACAGCCGGGCACGGGAGGTCCTCCTGTGATACCTATGACCGGGATGGGATATCCTATGCCGCAACCGCAACAGTACCAGACGCCTATGCCCTCAGCGTCTGGGCCGTTTATTCCGCCTGATTCTGACACTGAGTCGTCGATGTCTGATCGCTCAGCACAACCGCTTCCCATCCCTCACGGTGCTCCCGGTCCTGTCATAATCCAGGAGCGATCCTCCGATAGCGCGAGTTCGATATCGACGAGAAGTAGGTCGCCTAGCCCCACATCCCGTCGAAGCGGTAGAAGCGGTCGAAGCCCCAGAAGTGGACGAAGCCGGAGCGAGAGCCGCTCTCCTAGCAGAAGCCCTCCGCGAAGCTATCGAGACCATAGGACTCCGAGCCAAGCGCCCACGCAGATTCATATCCATCCTTCGGCGCCATCGGCCACTCCTGGTCCGCCCCCGCCCATTGTACAAGTACAGCCTACACATGCGGCGTCCGAGCATCCTGGAAGTCCCGCTTTGCCTACTCTTGGCCCCGGTCAAGCGCAACCTACCATCATTTACCAGCCAGGAACGGCGCCTGGCATGGCGCCTGGTATGCCCGCATATCCTCCCCAGGTCATTCACCAGATGCCCCGTAGTTCGTCGAGCAGCCGGTCCCGCTCGCCATCGCGTACACCTCAGCAGCAGCGGGCGCCGCTCATGGTCGTAAACACCTCCCGCTCGAGCTCACGTACCAGGTCCAGATCACGCTCGCATTCACCGACATATCATCATACCGCCTCAGCAACCCCGGCACAAACTGTTGTATACCCTCCTGCAACGACGACTCCTTACACCCCTTCGACTCCTCATGTTGGGATGCCTCCTCCGGGTCAGGTCATTGTAACAACTCGGAGCCGCAGCTCGAGCCGCTCGAGGAGCCCCCGAGACACGACGGTTGTTGTACCCGGACAACCGTCTCACGCGCCAACAATGTATCCAGTCACTCCTGGCCAGCCCACTCCGGGAGGTGGAGGTGGAACGATAATTATGCCGCAGACGCCATCGGCTCCTTACTCGCATACACCAGTACCGACGCAACCTGGCACTGTGATTGTTTCGCAGCCACCTCAGGCCGGGAGGAGTCGCTCTCGATCACGCTCTCGGTCACCCCGTTCCCGCTACTCTCGTTCGCGCTACTCTCGTTCTCCGTCCCGCGATGGCAGGAGTAGGCGTGGTCGCTCATATCATTCCCGTTATCGCACTCCGTCGTATTCCACGGACTCGTACTACTCTCGCCGACATCCTCGACGTCACGGCGCGCGGGGCTATAGCAGGACGCCCTCCTACTCGCCTGGGTATCGTGATCATCGTGCTTCTCGTCACAGGCCATCTGGGAGAACTCATGGTCGGAGGTATAGCCCTTCTCGCAGCGTCAGCACTCGCTCAAGAAGTCTGAGCCCTCGCTCTGCCTCTCCTCGCACAGCAAGGGGATCGCCTGCACGCCATGTCTCGCGTCCGGGTACGGGCAGGGGTAGGAGTCGTACGGCCTCCCCGCGCAGCGCGGTTGAGCGCGACCGATCCGCATCACCCGCTACACATCTCGTCCACGGCCAGCCGTCTGTGGTGCCGATGTCTCCTCGGGAGTCTGTGAGCGCGCGTCTGCCATCTCATGCGCCAACGAGGAGGCCTTCCTATGCAGATACTCAGCGAGGCGAGTCCGAACTCACCGCGTCTCCTCTGCCACGTCCTGTCCCGGGCGTGCACGAGTACGTTCCGCCACCTTCGAGTCGTGCGCCATCCAGCCGTGCACCTTCCATGCAACGCGGACCCTCGACACAACGTGCTTCTTCCACTCACCGTGCACCATCTGTCATCTCGGAGGGACCTCATATCATCACCGTACCGACCCACCATCGCGCACCTACGATCATCACAGTACCCGACAGGCGGCCGTCTACGGTGGTCAGCCAGCCAATTTCATCGCAAGGTAAGTCGGTCACTCCTGCCTTTGTGCAAAATCACTTATTGTTTGCAGCGTCATCGTATGAGCCGCCTCGGTCACCTGGTCGTACGGTTAGCGAGCTGGACATGGGCCCCGAATCATTGCAGCAACCGTCCTCTCGTCCACCTTCAGTTCCCCCGTCCGTCCCTCCCACAGCTGCCGCACCGACGGTCGTGCCTATGCCGATGTCACCTCGATCTTCGGTTTCGGCTTTGGACCCAGGTGCATACCATCCCCCTGCCAGCCTGCCACCTGGCACACCGCATGCTGCTCCTGTCACACCGGCGCCTGGTGCTGTCCCTCTTTCTCCAGAGGTGCAGGAAATTGTCGAGCGCTTGGAAGACCTTGCGGACAAGGTGGAGAACGACGAATTGCGTAGAGATGAGGAGTATAGGCAACGCGAAGAGGAACGTGACAGGCGGTTCGCGGAGGCGGAGGAACGGCGCAAGCAAGAGGCTCTCGAGGCGGAGGAGCGTCGAGAACAAGAGATCCGCGAACGAATGGAGGCGGCAGTGGCAACTCCCCGTCCGACATCGCAAACCGGCACTTACACTGGCACGGAGTCAGTGTCGACATCTCATGAAGAAGCTCTGCCTACTCAACCGCGTCTTGATCCATCGACCGCCGAAACGAGCAGTCCTGCCCATACCATCCCTCCTCCACTACCTCCTGCTGGGGACGGTGAAAGTGTGGTATCTCATTCGACAGGACACGATATCGCCCCAGGCCAAGTCTCCTCTTTGCGCGAACTCTTCCGCGAGGAGCGCGACGCATGGTTTGCGGAACATAGGCAGGCGTTGGAGGATCAAAAGCGCGAACGCGAAGAGTTCGATGCCGAACGTGCTCGACAAGCCGAAGAGCGCGAGGCGCGGATCCGCGCGCTCGAGGAGGAGCTGGCGGCGGTGAAAGACGAACTACGGCAGGAGAAGGAAGCGCGGGAAGCTGATATCCGTGAGCGTGAAGAGCAGGAGAGCGAAGAACGGAGGAGCCGCGAGGATGCTGTTATTGCTCAGCTCAACGACATCACCAACCTCATTCAAGGCCAGCAGCAGACGCAGGAAGATACGAAGGGCATGTTGACCGACCTGCGCGCGAAGAACGAGGAGTTCTTTGACCAGACTGAGCAGAGGAGCATGGAGTTCCGGGACCAGATTGAGGAACTGGGAGGAAAGATTGACGACGACAGACAGAAAGCCCAAAACGGTACGTTCTGGCTAACGTACGCTTGTAACGCGGTCCTCATTCCTTACAGATAGGAACGACATTCTTAACGAGATCACTAACCAGCGTAATGAGCTCATCGAAGTCCTGCGCCATCTCTTTGATGGTGTGTCTCTTGCTTTTGGTTAAGGAACCTGCTGACAGCTTCTTCAGAATTCCGTGCCGACGCGGACAGGCAGCATGAGACGACCATCGAAGCAGTCAAGCAGATGGCCCAAGAGCAGGTGCCCTTCAACGTCCAAGGGGTGAGTAGGTCAATCTATACATCACACTTAGTCTCACGCCTCCGCAGTACTTGGACGAGTTCAGTCGGGCGCTCGCCTCCGAGGTACGCATGCTCCTGGGCGAAGTGGGCAAGTTGCGCGAGGAGCGTCGCGGATTGCAACAGTACGTCTTCTCCGTGGCAATCTTCGACGCATCGCTGACGCACAACGCAGCGAGATCAGTTTCCTGCTCGGCGTCAAGTCGAAGTACATCCCAGGAGGGGAGTTCGAGCCGGATTGGAAGGGTCCTGTCGGCGCGCCGGGCATGCCGCCTACGGGTCCACCGCCCGACGCTGGTCCTCCACCGCCGCCGCCTGAAGTGCATGCCGCGCGCCCGGCGTGGCGTACGGTGAGCACGCGCACGAGCAAGAAGAAAAAGAAGGACCAGATGCCGCAGGCGCCGCCAGTGGCGCAGCCTGACCCGAGGCAGCAAGTACGCTCGTGGGCGACGTGGCAACGTGAGTTATGCGTTTTCTCAAAGCTGGCTTTGGGTTCTGACGATCTGTCTCCAGCGGATCCCAACCTCGCGCCGTCGCCGTCGAGCTTCGACAACCCAACCCTCGCCGCACCGGCTGAGAGCCCTGGTCTCTTCGGCCCTCGCTCGCCGCGCAGCTCGAGGCACTTGGGCTAGAGGCCGTCCCTGTCGCGCTGGCGCTTGTATCCGTGGTGTATCTGTATCTTGCTCGTTTGCTTCATCGTCGCATCTACTTACTCGCATCATATTCGCTCTGCTTTCCCTGATTTTGTATACCTGTACGAGACGGACTGTTGTGGTTTCCTTTTGCTTGCTGGATTGACTGACGATCTGCTTTGCTTACTCTGACTTGACGCGATTGTTCTACTTTTCTGACGCTACCAACGATCTAACTGCTTACGACCACGAGGATCTACCCTATGCGCACTCATTCGTCCTGCGTCCATGTATGCCATCTTTACCTATGCACCGTCCTCCATCTATGATTCCACTCCTTTGGATGTATATTTCTCTATCTGTGACAATTTCATCTCTTTTCTCTCTGATTTGTGGATGGGGGATATGGGTGAATTGTGGGGTAAGCGCAAAGTCGATTACAGGTGGTTGTAGGATACAACGCCGCAGACAAGCGCAGTATCGGCGACGAGGGAGAGCAAAGTCCGACGGTACAGCCCGGTCATGCGCGCTCAGCATCCTCCAACAACTCTTTCAATTTCTGCGCTAAGCCCTCTGAGAGCTGGACGACGCCGTCGGCTGTGACGACGCGGTAGGCGGGCATGGGTTGGTAGGTTTCAGGGAGGATCTGTGGATGGCGGGGTGAGTTAGGTGCGTGTCTTAACGAACGTGGAGATGAGTGCAGACGGATGCTTACCTTGCCGTTTTCCACCAGCACTGAGGCGATGATGTCGTCGGGGTCACCGATGCGTCCGAGGGCGGGGATGTTGCGTTCATCTGGACGGGCAAAGTGAGTTCAGCGAAGGCGAAAGCGAAGTAAGGCAATAAAACCAGAAGGAGAGATGGGAGGGAAGCGCGACATACCATGGATATGCATCCATCCCGACTGTAGCTGGAGCGCGCCGTTCCGCTGGACCTCGTCTACGTCCTGCTCGAGACCCTCGCGGATGGCGCGGTGGAGAAGGTTGCGGAAATGGGCTGTGAAGGAAGGTTAGCGGTTTGCTCAATTGGCAGGGGGTAAGTTGGAGTATGCGGGTAGATGTCTGTATTGAAGGAGAGGGGTAGTGCAAGTCGACTAAACAAGCAACTCACGATTCTCCCTGAAATCATTCAACCCCGCATCCCCCTCCGCGCCGGCGACTGCTGGTAACCAGCCGATAACGGATGGCGAGTGTGGTGTGCTTGGCAGCTTCTCTAGGAAGGAGAGCGCGTAGGCAGGCAAGTTGGGATCAGGCAGCGGTGTTGGTGGATCGAGGAGGTGGTAGAAAAGGTCTGGACGGGAGGGATCGGCGAAGGTGCGTTGCGGGTCCGTGGTGGTGGACTTGTGGCGCACAGGAGAGGTGCGAAAGACTCCTTGAAAAGACGGGGAGGTTTTTGTTGACTTGAAAATTGGGATGGGAGCCCCAGACCGTTGCAGTGCGCTACATCCGAGCTGAAAGCGCGTCGAGATTTGGTAGGCGCGTGTGGAGACGTTATAGGTCCTGGTGGGACGTAGGAGGCATTTTTGACTAGGCCTGAGGGTACACATCACATTCCTCTGCATGTTGAATAACTTGTCTGAGTTCAGAGATGGTGGGAGGAGGAGACAAGATGGAACGCGAGCGGAGAGCTTGGTGAACGCCCGATCGCGTCACTCGGAGTGCCGGCCCGAGCATGCTTCCCCATACGGCAGGCTTTGTACTTCGCTTTCAGACGCGAGCTCACATATCTTTGCTGGGAGCAACGTCTAGCAGCTTGACGTATCCCGATCTTGAGCACCCTGGGAGTTATGCAGGCACTTTATTATACACGATTGATTCTAGAAGACATGTAGAAACGGTGCGATTCGATACAGGAAGCTTGATGAGCAAGACGATACATTTCTAACGACCGTACCTAGATTCAAGGGTCAGCGATGTATTGCACGGGAAGCGCAGGCTTCACGTACTTCTGGAGCTCCCACTCGCGGTTATCAAGGGGGCAGACGTTACGGGTCTTGAGCCAGCGCGAGATGCAGTGGAAGTGGAAGGCGTGCTGGCAAGTGTCAGATCGGAGCAGAATACGGGCGATAAGTCATGAACGGCAGAAAAAGGTCAAGATGGACGGTAAAGAAGGACTACGCAACAAGGCAATCGAGCAGGTGCAAGTATTGGTTGCTCACGTTGCAAATACCCCAAGCGGCGTTGCACTCCTCGCTCGTGGCGGACACTTGGTTGGCCTGACAGTCGATGCCTGTGTGCACGTATGGCGCCAGCATGGTCGATATTTTCAGGATGCGCCGGGAATGCATGGTTTGAATGAATTGCCGATAGTGCGAGGATCGGTGCCGAGAACGAGAACAAGCGCGCACACCCGATCAGCATCTCATCTCAAAGCCGAGCCAGCACACGCACAAAGGTCCATGATATGGTTCCTGCAGATCGCGCAGTTGTCGACGACGATGTCTGATCGGGACGCGTCAGTGCGACGCGTTTATGGCGTGTATGTCCGAGGCATACCCCATGCCCACAGCGCGACGGCGTTCCACTGGGAAGGACGTTAGCTTGCGTGTTCGCGGCAAGTTGATCCGAGTCAGAAGAGGAAGATATGCAGATGTAAGAAGAAAGGATGATGTGGTATACTTGGGAGATTGTACAGGACGCTCACCTTCTTGACCTCAAAGCGCGCCTTGCCCGAGTCCTTGCCCTTCGCCTTCTTCACCACCTCCTGGGCGGGAGCGGGCGTGTCAACGTCCATGTCAGCCATTGTAGCTCGTGAGGGTCGTTGAAGGGGTAATGTGACGGTCGTGCGAGGGGAGATGGTGATGGCGATGGCAAGAGACAAGGCAAGACGCTCAGTCACGGCGTGAGCGAGGCCAGGTGAGGGCGCTTAGTCAGCGTCTGCAAGGGTCCTCGGATTCGGGAGGTTTGTGGCGTAGGGTTGCATTGGGGAACGACTTCAGTGGCTTGTTGCACAAGACAGGTCTGCAAGCAGTATTGATAGGTGCCCAAAGAACGCCAATATCGTGCTAATGGGTTCCCCAAGAAATCGTTCCAGCGGTAGACGCGCAAGAAGTACACGACAAGTATAGTAGTCAACAGTCGGTAGGCATGAGCAGTCATACAACACCCGTAACCTCTCTCGCGACCCTCCTGCACTCTTCTTGCTCTCGTGTGATATCGTCTGGCTTGTAGTCCATTGTGGTTTCCACCCAGGCGACGCCCCATGCACGATTACCCGCCTTGCTGCCGCCGACGATGGTTTTTTCCTTGCTGTCGGGCAACGTCTCCCAACGCGCTCGAGTGGGTTGCGTATCTGCGCGTACTATGGGATCATTAGCACCATGCCACTAAGGCAGGAGAATATGCACCCACCCAACCAAGCGCCCGTGTGCGGCTCGTACACCGCGCGCGGAGGTGAAGGCTCCCGCCCAGGCGTCTTCCACTCCCGGAAAAAGTCAACTGACTCGGGAGGCACGACGGGCTTGACATTCTCTGTCCGCCACTTCCGCCACTCGTCGTCCATCGCGCGCGTTCGTTCGGCCGCGAGCGCCATCCAATTTTGCTCCGTGACGCCGTCGCGCGTGAGCAAGCTCTTGCGCACCGCGTTCAGCGGTCCATCGCTGAAGGGGCCGAGCCCCGTGCCGCCGAAAAGTGTCGTCGGGCCTCCAGTTTTGTAAATGCCTCCCGCGTCCTGCTTCTGATGGTTCCCCGCCGCGTCGTCCTGGTGCGTTACACCCGGCACGACCTGCGCGGTCGGGTCGACCACCGGATCCCCCGGCGCAAACCCCTTCGCCTCCGCCTCCGCCTGCGCGCGCGCCTCGTAGTAGTCGTCGACGACCCACCGGCCGCCGACAATCGTACGCGCGCCATGTAGCTTGTACGCGCTGCGCGCGGTGACAAGCGTGACGGAGCGCGTCTTGAGGTGCGAGCCGAGCTTGCCGGCGCCGATGAGGTAGTCCTTCTCCGCCTGCGTCGCGTTCAGCTTGTGCGCGAGCGGGTTGCGGCGGAAGTAGGTGAGGGAGTCGCGGAAGCCGGAGGTGCGGGCGGCGTCGATGGCGAGCATGTACATGCGCGAGGGATGCCGGTTGGGGATGACGAAGGTGTTCGCTTTGAATTGGCGGCCTGGGGACGGGGTTAGTGGGTTTGAAGAGGGGGAGGGGGGAAGGAAAGACGCACCTCCGAGTAAGACACCATTCTTGTCGATCTTGGTCTCTCCTGCGGGGTCGTCTTCGGTGACGAACTCGTCCCCCTCGATTGTGTATACTTGTCCGTTGATCACCGCCGTACGCGCGGGGTCTGTGCCAGCATTATCGCCCCAGTTCGCCAGAGGATCGTCGCCCTCGGCATCGCTGTCGACTGCTGGGCGGAACGCGACGCCACGCCCGCGACCCCTTCCCCTGCCGCGTCCAGGTGGTCTGCCGATCTTGGGCTTGGGCGTCCCGCGCGTGCTCGATGCGCCTGTTGTGCGCGGCCGACCGCGAGGGCGGCCTCTGCCCCGTTTGGCCGGCGTTTGCGTTTCTTCGGGCACGTATACATCTCCCGGGTCCGCATCTTGGTAGGCTGCCTCTGCCATGTCTTCCCCGCCGAAAGAATAGGCAGGGGAATCGACGGCAACGGGTGTGCCCATCGTCTCCCACTCTTCGCCGTCGTCTGAGCCTTGCAGACGCGACGGGCCCGGTGTTTGCGAGGCTGATGGTGGCTTGATGATGATTTTTGGCATTTTGAGGGCGTGTTCGAGGAAAACAAATGCCCGCTGTGGTCGACGTGGAAAGCAAGTCGCGACGCCGCGTTGTGTTTCTTCATTAGCGCCCGGTGCACCGGGCCGGGAAATAAGCGCCCGTGAGATGGCGCGGATATCGTTCTCGCGGCTTGTCTGTTACCGCCATCTACCTGAGATGGCTGCCCCGCCAAAAGAGGTACTGCTCGTTGGGCTTGGTGCCGTGGGAGGGATATGTGAGTGGAGCTGTACTGAAAAGACATCCACCTGATATGTGGTAGACAGTCTGATCCTCAAGCGAAGCGGCCTTGCTCGAGTTACGGTAGCGGCGAGGAGTAACTACTCAATCGTCAACTGTAAGCTATCTACAAACGCTCTCATCATCAACTCGTAGCTTATACTGTGATATAGCGGAAGGATTGCACTTCAAGAGTCAGAAGTACGGCGAAATCACCGGATGGAGGCCCGATCGACGTGCGCCACTTGCCCTCACTCGCATCCCCCTCTGCTCACTAACACATCTTTAGTCACCAGCTCTGTCGCCGCCGCAGCCAACCAGAATTACGACTACGTCTTTGTGACCACCAAATGCATACCGGACATCGTCAAGACACCTACGCTCCTCGCGCCGCTGCTCTCTTCCCCCTACGTCGATGAACACCCTCAACCTGTATACGTGCTTATGCAGAACGGTTTGAACGTCGAGAAGGATCTCTATAATGCTATCAAGGCTCTCGGGAAGGGAGAGCCTCGCATAATCAGCAGTTCCGTGTTTATCGGCACAAACCTCATCGCGCCGAACGTTGTTGGGCATAATGACTTTGTGAGCTTTCCCGTCCTTCCTCCATGTTCCATTCTCCACTTTGCCTGTTCCACGCATCCAAACTGACCGACCTTCTCTAGGACCGCGTGACCCTCGGCATCTACCGCCACAACGACTTCACCACGACCACCAACACCCCCGACGAACAAGCCCTGCTCGACGACCTCGCCCGCATGCTTTCCTCAGGCGGCAGCACCGTCAGCGTCGTCCCCGAGATCCAGCGCAAAAAGTTCGCGAAGAACTTTTGGAACGTGGGCTTCTCGTCGTTCGCGACGCTGACGGGGTACACGGTCCCCGCGCTGTTCAGGCCACCCCCCGGGGAGGGCCAGGAGCGGTATGCGCCGTACGTGTGGCCGCAGACGAAGGGGGAGATCGAGGAGTATACGATCGGGGCGCTGAGGGGGGTGCTGGGGGAGTTGGTGGAGCTGGGTAGGCTGTGTCTATGCATACTCACTCTATCGTCCTGAACCCTTCTGTTCCTCAGGACGCGCCCTTGGGTTCCCTGATTCCGAGGATGGACTCCCGTCCTCGTTGGTAGACTCGACGATCGAGAACACGAAGAAGATACAGTCCGTGCCCGACATGAAGCACATCCCGAGCATGCTGTTGGATGCGCAGAAGGGTTTGCCGATAGAGGTCGAGGTAATCGTCGGCGAGGTCGTGCGCATGGCGCGCGAGAGAGGTGTCAGCGTGCCGGTGCGTTCTGTTTTCCTGGGCTTTCGAAGAAACAGGCGCAGTGTCTGATTGAGTGTATTTTGCAGCGCGTGGAGCTGCTCTACGGTCTTCTGCTGGTAAAGCAGAATCAGATACTACGTGAGCAGGCCGAGAAGTCCCAAGCATGATTCGGGGCGTGGGGTATAGGATTACAGGTATAGATGTGTATGTCCAAGATGAGTGGATACAACAAGAATATTTACGTGAATCGCGAGCTTAGAGGAGACAGCAAAGCATTTCAAACCCCTCCTTTCACCGCACCTTCACTCCGACCCGCTATCCTCGATGACCGCCGCACTCACTATTCGAGGCTTCCGCTTACCTTTTGATGTCGACGTAGAACGGGAATCTGCGGTCGACCGAGTGGTGCGTCTGATGGTCCTCAGAGACGAAGCAGCGGCAGCTTGCGATAAGTTGTCGACAACTGCTTGTGATGAGGCGGCCTGGGGGGACCGGGAAGCAGGCGTCTGCGAAGAGGAAGCGGCGTCCTGGGATGGATCCGCTTCTGCAGCCTTCGCGGGTCGCTTGGATGTTGTTGTCTTCGTCGTGGCCTTTGTGGTGGCGCGCGTCTTGGACGCAACCCGCGGTCTCGTCTCCGAAGCCTTGTCAATGCTTTTCGCATGTGCAAACGACACTGCAGAGGCCTCCTGTCCCGCAGTTGATCGCCGGCTGCGCCTTGGGCGAGATGAAGGCGCTGGCGGCTCAGGTGAGCCAGCCGGCGGCACGTCGTCATCGCTGTCGCTGTCCATGAGATGCAGCTGATTCTGCACCTCTTCCTCGCTTGCGCGTGAGTTGTGTGAGATGGCAGCGGTCGAAGGGGACGGAAGGGGTTGCGAAGTATTGGCTGTGCGTCGCCCTCGCGAAGAATCGTCGGCGGATGGTGGGCGGTGCTGGTCAAGCACCTGACTGAGGGACGGGAAGGAAGATTGCGTGGGCGAGAGGGAGGGCAGGGTGGATGGGTATCTGCGTCGAGTGGGAGGTGGTGAAGGAGGTGAAGGCGGTTGGGATGCGGGCGGAAGGGGGTGGGATGTGGGCGGTACTGGTTGTGACGAGGGCGGGAGTGTCTGCGACGTGGGCGGCACAGATCGCGGTGAAGACCGGTGCATGTCGTCTCCTTCGTTGATCGCATCTACGTCCGCGCTTTCAGCTGCAGGAGTGCTCGCGTTCTCGTCATCGTCTTCATCCTCGTCTTGCCAAGCGTCGTCATCGACGTCCATCGCGTCCTTCGCAATGGCGCCTTTCTTCTTCGTCTTGCCGACCACCACCTTCTTCCCAGCACCAGACGCCTTCCTTCCCATCGACACCTTCCGCCCACCAGCCGACGCGATCCGCCGTCGCTTCATCGCCTTCGGCTGGAGTTGAGTCTGGGATTTGCGTTTCCGCAACTTAGGGGGCGACGCGTCGACGTTGGTATGCGCGCCAAGCGACCAGTCGGGTGGCATGGGTGGAAGATGGAGTAGTTCGGAGAGGGGGTCGTGAGTAGGACGAGTAGGTCGGAATGAGGAGGTGGATTGAGTCAGGAGCTCTGGAGCTGAGGGAGATCGAGGGTCTATTGTTGTGCGGGTGCCAGGCGGACGAGCGTGAAGGCGCATATCCGCACGCTGAGCGGCTGTATAGATGGTTTTGTAAAATTTCGAAGGTCGCACTGAGAAAGGCTTACCTCGCTCTGAGCCATCATATGGGTCGTATACCTTTTCCAGTTTGGTGGTCATGTTTCGCAGCAAACTGGAAACATCATCAACCAGCAGGCCTCAAGGAACCGACTGGCATGAACAGCGTACCTGCCATCCACACCTGGAAAGCCCGAGACCGACAGTATATCAATGACGTTCCGCCAAGTCAACGTCCCGATGCGGTTTTGAAGGCTTCCTGGGCGAAGCGGGGTATGGGCCGCTAAAAGGGCGAGGACCTAAATTGTGGCAATTAGGCCAATTTGCTTGAGTGTGACTGTCAAACGCGCGTACCTGTGACATGAAGGTGGCTGAGTCTTGCGACAGCGCGGAGAGGTAGGCGGGTGGCAGAGGGTCCTCATCCTCGGCGGTATCAGAGTCTTCCGCATCTTCCTCTTGGGTGGCGGGAGGATGGGGTTGAGATTGTGGTAGCGTAGGGGCGCTGTTGTCGTCTTCATCAGAATCCTCCGAGGATGTTTCCTCTATCGTCGTAGATACAGTCGCCTGGGAGGACTGGCGCGTGGGGTCGGGCTGAGTCTCAGGTAGCTCAGATGCGAGAGGTGATGCTGGTGAAGGTGCGGCAGGTGGTCGAGATCGAGTCAGCAGCTGGGGAGCAATAGCGGCAACTTCGTCTTCCCAAGTCCATTCAGGTACGTAGATGTCCCCTTGAGGTAAGGGCCACCGAGTCCAACCTTCGCGCGGTGCTCGTCGCTTGGCCGCTGAAGACCGTGACCGTGACCGCGAGGGCGAGCTCGACGGAAAGGCAAGCGGAGCAGATGAATGTCTCTCGAAACTCATGCGAGATGCAGAACGATTTCTTGGTGCCAAATATTCATCCTCAGAGTCGTCCTCGTCATCCTCGTAGTCTGCAGCACGCTCCTTTCCTTTCCACGCAGAGGGGAGGAGGTGAGAGGTGACATCAAGAGTGCTGTTCGTATGGAGAGCGCGGATGAGTGAGGAATATTCCGTGAGCTCAGAGTGTAGTGATGCAGGAACAACCTGGCGCCTTGTGCCCATGATGGGCGCCTATTCGAACTTGGAACTTGCCGGATTGGGCGATAAAATGACCGGGCGTTTGCCGAGCGTTGCCATTGGCGCGATAAGTCGGACGGCAATCGCCGCCGCCAACTGTACAGCCGTTATGTCAGCCTTCCCACGCTCGGATACTATTACGCGCCAGCGTCTGGGCGCGTTCCTCACCATCTCTTCCATCATCCAAGCAAGTGCGTAACGACGTCTCTTATCTTCGCAACGCAGTGCTGACCAGTGTCTTCGCAGTATGAGAGAGAAGTGGAAGAAAAAGCGCAGCAGGAGGCTCCGGCGCAAACGCAGAAAGATGAGGGCCCGTTCCAGTGCGTATTGCGTTCACTACTCGTCTATCGCGCGCATATCTAACGCTCCTGTGCAGAATAATCGACTCGCCGAGTGCTATCTAGTGCCTTGGGATAGTCGGACAGCGACCTGCACACCACCCAGACGGCGGGTCAAGATCGCCCACATGCGTCGCCCGGCGACGAGATCCTGCTCCACCGCTGCCCAGCCGCAGCTCCGGCTCTCATTGTACTTTGTCTGTACAACCGTGACATAGCGCTCCCTCCATGATGTTGGGTCGACGATCTTGTGTTGAAAATACAACCGTGTAACATTGTATCATGCAACGACTTGGCTTGTGATCTGACTGTTCGACCTTTCGATCGCGGCCAGCCTCAAGCAACCTCAAGATGCGAGAGTGAAGCGTCGAACGCGAAGCATTGATACCAAGACTTGCTCATATTGTCGAATCTTCCAGCGATACAGGACATTCGTATGACGTCCGTCTCACTCTTCGCCTCGACCCTCGCTTCAGCTTTCCTCTCGCGCCAGCAGTTGACTACCCGGCCTTCGATGTTCTGTATCTCGATTTACATGGCCTTTCTATGGTTCTCCGTGCTCATTTCTTCGCTGTCTCGCTCCAGACCATACCACGGACACCGTTGACTTTCGCTGGAATGACGTCAGGTGCGCATTCTACGGCCCACTGCAACGTGCTCACCATCCTCCCCCGCAGCGTCAGCCGCATACACGACTTCTAGCTCATCTGGCAAGCTTTGCAGAATCGTCCGTTTGCGCGACTCAACCGGCTCCCAGCCCAGACGATATAAGCGCTCGGACTTCGCCCATTCTGAACCGCCGACGCGCGACCAGCCGACTGCAAGCAGAAGATCAGCAATTTTATGGCGGGTCAAGGAGGCCGACAAGCCGAGGACTCACGCTCCCCAAACGGCTCGGTAATGCTAGCAGGCAACGGCGTCGACTTTGGGCTCGATAGCAGGCCCTTAGCGTGCATCCACTCGCCCATCACGGAAGTGTACTCGTGCATGGACACCATGGGGTTGTCCGAGGTGGCGAAATCTGTGTAGTGGGTCGTCAGCGCTCCTTGAGCAACGAATAGAACTCCTCTGACTCACATATGCCCTCCTTGCCTTCCTCCGCACGACCCTCCAGTGCAGCCTTCAAGACAGTGAAGACGGCGGATGCGACGTCTTTGACGTGCGTGCTTGGAAGCTAATACACGGTGATGGAATCAGCACCCATAGCCTCCGGCGTATAGAAGAACTAGCGAACACACCCTATTCGCCCCGGCACCCCACGTCCCAGCAGCACCAGCTTTCTTGAACATGTCGTAGAACATGCGCACGCCGACGGTGCTCTTTGCGGGACCTGCGTAGCAGAGTCAGCCTTCAGCCCTTCCTCATCACCGACTCCACTGATGATGTCGATTCGAGCGACGACGTCGGCACAGCGTCGACTCAGGGAGTCAACAATGCAGAGTGCAGTGGCCTCCTCACCTTCTCCAACACCATAAATCCACGACGGATAGACCACAATGGTGCGGATGGGCAGATCCTCGCGCATACCGGCGTCCACGACCGCCGAGTCCTCTCGGAAGTGCGAGTTAGTGGGCTCGACGCGGTTGGGGTGGAAGTCGAGGTCGGACCAGATGTGGACCTGGTGTGTGTTAGCCAACGATGGGGGGGGGGGTCAAATTAACGCAGGGTGGGTTGCTGATGCGGTGGTAATGAGGGACTGGAGGGATAGGGAAACTCACCTTCGACTCATCCAGCTGCTCTCCCCGACAGTTGTCGCTGATCAGCCCAAGGCCGGAGAGGTGGATGTAGAGCGGCGCGCGGCCGGGGTTCGCCTGCGAGTTGGCTTCGAGCCCGGCGAGGAGGGCTGGCAGTCGGTCAGTGTAATGAAACTACCCATCCATCTTCGTCCTGCAAGCGCAGGCCACGTAAAGACAGCGTAGGAAAATATCGGCGTACCCTTCACTAGCGGGAAATCGTCCGAATTGGCTGCATTGATAGTGATGGGGCATTTGGCTGCCCACTCGGTGATGAGCGCTGCGTCGTCGAGCGTGCCCTCGACGGGGACGATGTTGGGGTGTAGGGACGCGAGGACGTCGCGGCGGGCGGGGGTTAGCTGTGAGGGTCAGTCAGTATGTGTCGGTCATTGTACTCAAGCTCCAAATTGACCGAAGAAAGAAAGGGGATAGCGAACAAGTGAATACTGACCGACCGCACGAGCGCAAACACGCGATGCTCGGGCAGAGCCTGCGCAAGCAAGCGCACAAAGTGAGAGCCCACGAAGCCAGTGGCCCCTAGTAGGAAGATGGACGGCGGGTCTTGCTGGATGTTTGCCATGTTTGATCGCTGGTGACCAGTCAGACTTTGCCCTTCGGTACTCGTCGTGATCGCAGGACTTTGCAAGATCTAACCTGAGACTGCACCTTAAGATCGCTGTGGTTCAGGAAGAAAAGGCGGAGCGACCGTCTGAAACGCCCTACGCATCCCCGGATCCCAGGCTGATCGGAGGGTTGCGTGCGCCAGGGCCCACATTCCGCGCGCGGGCGTGCATGGTGCTTACTCGCGCGAGATGAGGACGAAAGCCGATGGGTAGATAGGGCTGATAACAGTCATCAGGGCGGTACAGGTAATTGCGCGACAGTCGTAGCGCGATCATGGCATGAAAGACCGTCATAGCCTCCCATTCGAAGTTGAGAGACTTGCTCAAAACCCATGTGATTAGATTGCTTTTACACGAAGATCCCATGTTCATCTAGATTGCAGCCGCCCGGTCCATTTCCGGTAGCTTGAGAAGGGCTTAGTTGGCAGCAGCTGTTCGGAAGTTGTCAGATTGTATCGCAGGCCAGAACAACCTCTCGACGCACCTGTCTCTCCGCTCTCCAAAGCGCTGGTCGACGCAAATGGAAGGAGGCCCTCCTCGAGGTACTCCGCCACGTTGAAGCTCGAGTACTGCGTCGAGAGCTCGGGGCTGGTGTAGCTGGTGTTGACAGCGACGGTGATGCTGCCGATCAAACCATCCTCGAGGTTGTCACCGACCCAGGTGATGGCCATCTCAGCGTCGTAGCCCGTGGCGCTCTGGTAAGGGTACCACTGGTCGTCTAAGGGTGTGGGAGTCAGTACATGTCTTTGAATAGGGTGAATACGAGGATAGAGGAAGGCAGGGAGGGGGGTGGAGAGAAGGAGAGACGAAGATCGAGACACACCCTCATTCGCAACAGCGTCCTCCCAGGAGATGGTGTTCGACGTGTACGGGTCGACCTGGCGGACGGCGTCCATGGTGTCGGCGTCGAAGAAGAATTGGCCAGTGCTAGACAGGGCGCCGTCAGTCAGCTCAAAGACATCGACGACGTAAAGACCCAGTGAACGTACTGCTGCGCGCTCGAGTTTGCGACGAAGGTGCCGTTCTCGGCGATGTAGCCCTCGGGATAGACCTTGATGTGAAAGTGGACGGCGCGGCCGGAGTCTGGCGAGGGTTATGTCAGAGTCATGTTCTTAGCATGCAATGGATAGCGACTTACACCACCCAGGGACGATCGTGTACGCTGTGAGGTGACCGTTCTCGCTAGAGATCAGTCAGCATCAACCTTTGTGCACGCCTCCTTCGCCGATTGATCAAGGCATTGCCGCTCACTCAGTCGGATACACCGCCCTCAAGAACGTCTCGTTGTCCTCCATCGTTGTGTTCAAGAATGCGCCCGCCGCAGGGTCGTCCGCGCCCGAGTACGGGCCGAGGGTGGAGGTGGCGACCTCCGTGGTGCTGGGGAAGCCCGAGCCAGCGCCGCCGGAGCCGGAAGGCGGGGTGCCGCCACCGCTACCGCCGCCAGTACCGACGGTGGAAGAGGCGTAGTGTGCGTATTGGCCGGTGGAGTTGCACTGAGTGAGGAGGTTAGGGACGAACTGAGATAGAGGGTGAGGAGAGATGGTATGTAGAGGAATAGATCTTGATGGAGAATAGAAGAGGGTAAGAAAACAAACGCACCTGCCACATGTCGATCCAGTAGTTTGAAAGGGGCTCGCAGTTGTTGATGTCGATGAAGTCGACGGAGATCTCGAGGGGAACACCGGCTTGGTCCTCGGTCATGTTCTGGCGTACAATCTCACCGCTGACCGCAGCATGAGTACTACGAGGACGCATGTGCGATACTGAGTTGAGCTCACAGAACGTGGTAGGGACCCTGCGTGACTGCAGGATGTTAGCTTCACTTCTCGAAATAGAGTAAGCTGATAGGAAAGACATACCCTCCGGCGTCACCAAGCAAGTGCTATCCTGGTTCGTCGACCGCCTGTGGTGGACAAAACTCAGATACCATCGTTGCAGAGAACGCATAGGACGTACTTTGGGTGGATCTTCACATTCGACCCTTCCAGCCCGCGCCTCGCGAGCACCGTGTTCATCGCCTCCTCTGCGCGCTTAGCACGCTTGTGGGCGAGGGCGCTGCCGCAGCGGCGCTCGAGCGTGTCGCGCGCCTCGAGATTGTCGCGCTTCCAGGTGAGGGGAGCGGGCCCAGCATGCGCGGCGACGAGACCGACGAGGGAGGCGGTGGAGAGGACGGAGGTGAACTTCATGGTGAGCGGTAGAAGGGTGGGATCGAGAAGCTACGAAGTATATGACGATGTACAGGAGGAGGCGCGAGCAGATCACAGGACGTGAAGAAGACTAGACGCCGAAGGTGAATGGACGCGGGAACGTCGGGATGGGTACTGAGTACTGTGGAGAAGGCGAAGCAGAGTGGGTTATATAGCCTCGTCGGCTGCGCCTGTAAGCAGCGACCAATCGCGGGAAGGGCCATATGTAAGTCTTCTGTCGCCGGTGTGTCTCCAGGATGGGAGGGCGACAGGCGTATGCGGGTGCGACCGATGGGTCGCACTCTCGCGTAGTGGCGGCCAATGGGAGGAGGGCAATTTGGGAGATGGAGTAGGTGGGGTGAGTGAAGGAAGAGCATTCGAGCAGGGATTGACTTTGGAGTGGCAGACGATGTAGGAAGTAGCATCCCTATCCCGAGAAGTTCGACGCAATCATTCCGACATGAAAATCTGGTGAATTTTGATTAAGTCGGGGACGCCGTGCCATCGCTGACCGCAGTATGGGCATGTTCGCATCGTCTCAGGCTATGCTCGCAGGTGCAGAGTAACTTTTAGGGACATGAACGCGCCAAGACCAAGAGATGCGCTTCATCTGAATGGAAGTCCGGAGGAAGGCCAGAAGCCTCCGCCCGGGCCGATCACGCGGACAGATATTGACGAACTCCATTTGGTCGTTCCTTCCTCTTTCCCTCCCACCATCTTGTCTTAATATTTGTGCCACGCCTTGTTCCTTGATACACACATCCTTCAGGCATTTCGCCCTACTATCTCATACGTCTTGAAAGATGGCTAAGTTCGACGCAGTTGCCTGAGTACTTTTGTGGCCCGGTCAGAGGACGACGTGAGGGCTGGCTCGAGCAGACCTCTCTCCCGCGACTGGGTGCGTTCAGGTATCTTGCAACTGCGCTGGGAAGCTAGAAATGGAGGGTGAGGGATGGCTTGCCTCTGGGGCATAATATTGAGGGGGCAAAGTACTTAGGCGTCGTCGTTCCCCAGTGTACATTGCGCCACTGTCGAGCTTGTTCACCCTACGTCAAAGGTTGTTTATCGATCAAAGTCGGTACACGCACAAATACATAGCGGCAGCAGAGACAGGAGCGCCTACGAGGCAGGGTGGTCGGTGAAGGAGATGGAATTGAACAGGAGAGGAAGCAGACGGGCTCGCTCGGATCGAACTAGCCCTCGCCCTCATCACTTCTGGCCGCTTGTGGTCGCGACGAATGTACTCAATTAGCAACACCGTCAGCGCAAGGACAGCGCAGGAGAGCACCGGTGCCAGGTGGTGGTGGCGGGGGCGGTGAATGTGCGTGAGATCGTGGATTCTTCCATTTATGGTCCGCTGAAAGGTCGATATCATTTCAGATCCCGCATCCGAATACACCTTGAAGCTGTTAACTTCTCCAAGCTGTTGCGGTATAATTGACCCATAAGCTATTGCGCCACACCTCTGCACAGCAGTCCATACAAGTATATAAGCCAACGGCCATCGACAGAAAAGTTCCCATCGCCAGCGACGTGGACGACGGACAACATCGACAAGGACCGTAGACGACTTGGTAAAGGCGGCGACTTCGACTGGCGACCCGCAGGGCCTGTGCGTTGCAATCGTCGAGACCGCACCCAACTCGCTATGTGGTATACGTTGGGCGGTCGGCTGGCGGCGACGGCAGGTCCGAGTCCCGCGCTCTCGAGCATCGGCGGTGCGCACGTCCTTCTTCTTCCGGCGCGACATGTATGCTCATCATCGATTCTGTGGTCTCTCACCACTTCCTCGCATCGCCACCAACAGACGACAGGCGGCTTCGACCGGGGTGGCCACATCGACTGCGGGGCCTGCGTGTTGCAATCGTCGAGACCGCACCCAACTCGCTGGATGCTATTGCTTGGGCGGTCTGCTGGCGGTGACAGCAGGCTCCCGTCCGACAGGCGCTCATTGGCGCCGGAGGTGCGTATCTTCTCGTTTATCTTGACTTGTATACTTATCCCATGGTAGAATCCCTTTCGCGGCTTCCTCCTTCCATGACTTCGCCCGTATACTACTTATAACTTCGGCGCCATTCTCCTCATCAATTCGCCTTGGCGCATGCTCGACTGGCGTCTCACTATCGACTGCGCTATGGCTCTCGGTCCTCAATTGCGTTCTCAGTCTCGACCCTCGATTGCCGCTCTCTATCTCGACCCTCGCCGTGGCGGCTCAGTCGGGAGCCCGTGTGCGTTCGAATCGCAGTCACGCCATCTTCTACGTCTCTTCCCCGCAGGTCCTCTGTACACGCTGTGGACCAGCTGTGGTGTTGCAGTATATGCATTCGCAGCAGGTCACGTGATCGCACTTTCAATGAACCCGAAGTTTCTCCGCGCCTCTCGCCTTTGACCAAGCAATCTATTGTGAGGGCTTATTCTCATCTAGTCCAGTATCGATTAACCTCAGAGCGCTCTCGAACAACACACAGACCATTTTAACAGAATATGCCCTTCTCTGGCGCTGGTAGTTCTGTTGGAACCTTTAATTCCACATACATCACTGTAAGCGAGTGGAAACCTCTTCGACTTCAACTATGTACTACTGACAACCCAAGCTTTCGGTCGTCGGACTTTCCTCGGTAAAATGCCTGAAGCTCGCCCTACCCAAATATCTGTCCGCAGAGTTACTAGCACCTGCTACATAGACTCAATCCGGGCTATTCCAGCTTCCATCCTTCTGCGCAGCACATCTCTACACGTACTTCTTACCTCAATCCCTCGTCGAGAGTGCGGAGGGTGCAGGGAATGGGAGGCAGGTGGCCCGCGCAGGTACGCGCATATAGGAATTAGATGCCCGGTCCGATCCCCGAGCAGCATTTCGATAACGCCCGTCCGCCGTCTCATGTCTCTCCCGGGCCATCCTCACATCCTCTGACCCTATCGCAGGCTTCAAGGTCCAATAAGCCGTGCAATCCCAGGAAGTTCCCGCAAAGTCGCTACACCCCACACCCCGGTCACTCAAAGCACCTGCACCTTCTCCATCAGCCATGGTCTTCCAGCCGGGTCGACCGCAGGTCCCCCACTCTGTTCCCCGCGGCACGACCCTAGCACGGGGGATCGGTTATAGGGATACCCCTGAGCATGGTATCGTCGAGGTTGACACCAGATTAGGTGATAGGGCATGCGGGGGCACATAAAAATGCTGCGCTCGAGGGTTCTCCTCTTTTGCCCTCCTTCCCCCTTGCTGAGGAGTCCTTGCGGCTGCTTGTTGCGCTCGGAACGAGGCAGCTAGAATGACCAGCTACGCTACGAAGATACGCCAGGCTCTGCACGTCCCGCGCTATGCGCGGTGCGTATGCTTCGCCTCGCTCGCTGGTGCGTAACCCTTCAGTTCGACACGATGAGAGTTGCGTGCTGATGAGGTCTGCGCAGCCTACGTCTTCGGGTACGATTGTAGACCCTCTTGCTCGTGAACTTGCAGGCTGACCGTCAGTGCATGACAGGTTCGACACAGGCTCGATCGGTACGTCGCGATCGCGTTCCCCCACTACACGAGCTGACCTTGCTTCCCTATGCAGGCCCCATAACACTTATGGATGACTTCAGCAAGACGTTCGGCGACCTATCCTCCATCGTCCAGGGTCTCTTCGTCTCCGCCGTTCTCATCCCCGCTGCCATCACCTCCTTTGGCGCGGGCTCTATCGCCGACCGCATCTCGCGCACGCACGCCATCTCCCTGGGATGCGCCGTCTACGGCATGGGCTCCCTCCTCTGCTCCGTCGCGGGCATCAACATGTCGCAGCACTCCGCGCTCGCCATGATCTTCGTCGGCCGCTGCGTCTCGGGCATCGGCGAGGGCATCTTCCTCTCCGCCGTGACCGTGTACGGGATCGAGGTCGCCCCGCGCAAGCTGCGCGGCCGCGTCGGCTGCATCATGCAGCTCTTCATCTCGACGGGGATCATGATCGGGTACTTTGTGTGCTACGGCTCCCTGAACATCGTCGGCTCGCTGTCGTGGAGGCTGCCCTGGATCCTGCAGTGCCTAACGTGCTTGGTGTGCGCCGTCGGCGTGCGCTTCCTGCCGCACTCGCCGCGGTGGCTGCTGCATGTTGGGAGGCGGGAGGAGGCCGTGCGCGCGATGCATCGGCTTGATCTGAGCAAGGACGAGTTCATCTCGCTGGCGGCGAGCGAGGAGGAGGAGAAGGCGCAGCAGGAGGCGGCGAGGGAGAAGGCGCGGCGCGGCGGGCTGAAGCACCATATCGCGCAGTTCAAGGAGGCCTTTGCGCCCGGTCTGCGTGGGCGGACGACGATGGCTCTGTTCATGCTGTCCGTGCAGCAGTTGGCCGGGATTGACGGCGTGCTGTACTATGCGCCGGTTCTGTTCCGCCAGGCCGGGCTATCGTCCTCCAGCGCTTCGTTCTTGGCCTCTGGTGTGACGGGTATCGTCAACGTCGTGTTCACCATCTTCGGGCAGATAGTGTCTGACAAGTGGTAAGTGTCCGGCCTGTCCCCCTGCTCGTCCGCTCTGCTCACTCACCACCCGCAGGGGCCGGCGCCCATCCCTCATCTGGGGCGGCACCATCATGGCGACCGCCATGACCCTCATCGGCATCCTCTACTCCCTCCCCAACCTCTCCCAGGCCGGCAACTACGCCGTCATCGCCCTCATCTTCGTCTACTTCATCCCCTTCGTCGTCACTTGGGCCACCCTCATGCGCATCTGGGTGTCCGAGGCGCAGCCCGTCCAAACTCGCGCATCCGTCTCCTCCCTCGCGTACACGACGAACTGGTTGTCGAACTGGGTGATCGCGTTCACGACGCCGATGTTCTTGGATAAGTATCCGAGCGGGCCCTACTTCTTGTGGGCGGCGTGTACGTGGATGGCGGTGGCGGTGTTTGCGGTGTGGTTGCCGGAGACGAAGGGGCGGAATGTCGATCTGGCGGGGCAGGCGGGGGGTCTGAAGGTGCAGGTGGGGATTCCGGGGCTGAGGAGGAGGCGTGCTGAGCAGGAGAAGACATCGACACCGACGTCGACGCCGCGAGATGCGGATGAGCGCGCTGGCCAGCACGAAGATGTCGAGGAGATCGTTTGAAGGATCCGGGCTGCACGACTTACGCGGCCTGTTTGAGCTGCGCACCTCACGACTATTAACGAGCATAAAAAGAAATCCGGTAATTGGTGGTATCCCGATGGCTGACAATAGACTGTAGACCCCACATGTATGCATAGACCACTTGTAGACGATTGCGCAGAGCGCAGAGATGTATCATGTATGTGTATGTATCCGTACAGTACATCTCAAGCCATAGACTTGCTTTTGAAAGTTGACCGAGCGTTTGATTCATCCAGAACAGCAACTTCACTAGTCGAGAATATTGAGAAGGGCGAAGTCCTGCATCGGAGGACGGACCGCAAACTGCCGGTGGATACTTTGACACAACTGTTCTTCTCTTCCCCTTCCTTCCCTCCTTCCTTCCTTCCACCACCATCGCTGCCGCCAATCCTCTGGGAGAGCCACAAAGGAAGAGACACATGAAAGGATGGCGGTCGCTCGCCTGAAGCATCACGCAATGCAAGTCCTCGCGACATGTTTTACACCTCCCATGGTGGTTCCCCTACAACGCGCCGACGTGATGCGCCGACGATGCGATTTCCCCCTTTCTCCCTTCCCTGCCGTACCTTTCATCATGGTATGCGTTTCCTTTCTGCGCATGTTCTGTCTTTAGTCGACGCACCTTCTGTACGCGCCAATGTCTTCAAACGCGACGTGACTGCGTGACCGATCGCGTTTTCCGGGGTCTCGGTTCGATTTGCAGTCAAGATTGCAGAGTTGACTCGACGATCGATTTGAGATCGCGAGGCTGTCTTCCTTCCCCTCATCCTGAACCATGGCGCCCCTCACCCACCCCTCTATCCGCGGTATGTGCAGAGTCTCAGGACCTTCTGGAGATGCTGATTCCCCCCTCGCAGATGGCTGGTTCAGCGAGATTTCCTCCCAGTGGCCGGGTCAGGCTATGACCTTGCAAGTCAACAAAATTCTCCACGTCGAGAAGTCCCTCTACCAGGACGTCCTCGTGTTTGAGTCGGCTACCTACGGGAATGTCCTCGTTCTCGACGGTGTCATCCAGTGCACGGAGAGGGATGAGTTCTCGTATGTCGAATGCTTATCGTCCAATACCGCCAGCTCACGCTTTCCCAGCTACCAGGAGATGATTGCCCACCTCCCCCTCGCCAGCCACCCCAAACCGAAGAAGGTCCTTGTCATCGGTGGTGGTGACGGTGGTGTCGTCCGTGAGGTCCTCAAGCACGAGTCCGTCGAGGAGGTCGTCCTCTGCGACATCGACGAGGCTGTCATTCGTGTCTCGAAGCAATTCCTCCCCTACATGTCCTCCCTCCTCGAGTCGCCGAAGGTCCGCGTCTTCATCGGTGACGGCTTCAAGTTCCTCGCCGAGAACGAGTCGACCTACGACGTTATCATCACCGACTCCTCCGACCCCGTCGGCCCTGCGGAATCTCTCTTCCAGAAGCCGTACTTCCAGCTCCTCCACGATGCCCTCACCCCCGGCGGCCACATCTCGACGCAGGCCGAGTGCTTGTGGCTCCATACCCCCCTCATCGCCGAGCTGAAGAAGATGGCGGCCACGATCTTCCCCACCGTCGAGTATGCGTTCACCACCATCCCCACCTACCCCTCTGGCCAGATCGGCTTCATGGTGTGCGCGAAGGCCGCCGACCGCGACCTCAGCACGCCCCTCCGCCAGGTCAAGGGCAACATTTACTACAACGAGCAGGTGCACAAGGCTGCATTTGTGCTGCCCGAGTTCGGTCGCCAGATCTTGAAGGAGGGCACGAACCCGCTGCCTAAGTTTGGCCGTGAGGCGAAGGCGGTCTCGGCTGCGAACAAGCCGAAGCGGAAGGTACTCTTGCTCGGCAGTGGTTTCGTTGCCCTTCCCGCCGCGGAGTACGTGACGCGCGACCCCTCCAACGAGCTGACCATCGGTGCGTGGTCTGTGTCCTCGTATGCTTCCTTTTTGCTGATAGCCCACAGCTTGCCGCACGCTCGCCAGTGCGCAGTCCATGGCTGCCGGCCTTCCCTCCACCACCGCCATCTCGCTGGACGTCAACAACGAGGAGGCGCTCAACAAGGCCGTCGCTGAGCACGACCTCGTCATCTCCCTCATCCCCTACACCTTCCACGCCCAGGTCATCCAGGCCGCCATCAAGGGCAAGACGAACGTCGTGACGACCTCCTACGTCTCCCCCGCTATCCGCGCGCTCGAGCCCGAGATCAAGGCCGCCGGCATCGTCGTCATGAACGAGATCGGGCTCGACCCCGGCATCGACCACCTGTACGCGGTGAAGACGATCAGCGAGGTGCACGCAAAGGGCGGCAAGATCAAGAAGTTCCTCTCCTACTGCGGCGGCCTGCCCGCGCCTGAGTGCTGCGGGAATCCGCTCGGGTACAAGTTCTCGTGGTCGTCGCGCGGCGTGCTGCTCGCGCTCCTGAACAACGCGGCGTACATCGACGGCGGGAAGAAGGTGGAGGTGTCGGGGAAGGACTTGATGGGCCACGCGAAGCCGTATTACATCTCGCCGGCGTACGCGTATGTGGCGTACCCGAACCGCGACTCGACGCCGTTTAGGGAGTTCTATGGGATCCCGGAGGCGGAGACGTGCGTCCGCGGGACGCTGCGGTATCAGGGCTTCCCGGAGTTCGTGAAGGCGCTGGTGCAGACTGGGTGGCTTGACCAGGGCGAGAAGGACTGGCTCAAGGAGGGCTTGACCTGGGCGGAGATATATGCGAAGGCTTTGGGAACGGCCGACGCGAACGAGGCGTACGTTGTTTGGTTTCCCTTCACGTTTGCACCGCGCTGACCGTCTCGCAGGACCCTCGTGGCCAAGGTCAAGGAGCTCTGCCAGTTCCCCGACGAATCCGAGGCGACGCGCATCATCTCCGGCATGCGCTGGGTCGGCCTCTTCTCGAGCGAGCCCGCGCCTATCCGCGCCTCCAACCTCCTCGACACGCTCTGCGTTCGCCTCGAGAAGCTCATGGCTTACGAGCAGGGCGAGCGCGACCTCGTCATCCTCCAGCACAAGTTCGTCGTCGAGTGGGCGGACGGGAAGGAGGACACGCTCACGTCGACGCTCGAGGCGTACGGGAGCCCGATCGGGTACTCGGCGATGGCGCGCACCGTCGGTGTGCCCTGTGGGATTGCGGTGCAGTTGGTGCTGGACGGTGTGATCAACACGCCTGGTGTCATTGTGCCCTACACGCCGGAGATTTGCGACCCTATCCGGGAGGTGTTGGAGAAGGAGGGCTTGGGGCTGATTGAGCGGGTGCTGTAGGTGTATTTGGATATAGACGATCGGAACGGTGAGAGGGTAGGCAGCTTTGTATCAACTCTGTAAAGGCGCTGTATCTCTAGAGTACGGCTCCTCCAAAATTGATGTATTTTAGACGAACGTGTGGCACGTTGCCTCAAAGTACGCCATCTGCTCCAGATGGAGTTTATCGATTGCTTGCGTTCTTCGTATCGTCCTCGCCACGACTCCGAGATGACAGTCGCTGACGCGCGGTAGTGGAGGGGTATCTGTATTTTGCAAGGTTCAAAACAAGCGAGGCGAGTGGCGTCTCGGAGGCATAACCATGGCAAGAAAAGGGGAGCTGTCTTCGAGAGTCCAGAAGATTTCTCGTCTTCGTGTCCCATCAAGAGTCAACGTCGACCAGCACGCGAACGAGCCACAGCCTTGAGGGCAGCGCACGGAGGCAGGGGGCCGCATCGTCCGCGTGTTAATATTTGGTCCCGTCGGGGGCAAATATTGTACGGAGGCAAACCTTCGTGCCCGAGAACGCCACCGTAAATTCACTGCCCATCCCCCCTCGCGTCGTCGGGTTGCAGAAGGAAAGCAGGAACGGTGCCCGCACTGCGAGGTGTCGCATGGGCAATGGTGGCCATGGTAGTTCTTCCGTCCTACGTCTCGCGGCCATTGAATTTGAGGCTTTTTCTCGCTCTGGACCTGCTGCGCCGCGGCAGCGCAGTGCGTTTCTGTCTTGGCTTTGCATTGAGGCAGGAGAGTTGTGTCCAAGTTCCTATTGTTCCTGACGATGACCCGGGTGCAGAGGTTGCTAGTGTGTGAGGGGGAAGGAAGGGCTAATTCTCGTCACGAGCGACGTCACGAAGTTGAACTTCGTGACGTGACGGTATGCTCGGCGAACGCCGGATCACGGTTGATATTTCGCTGCACCCGACGAAGACGAATTGTTGCTGATTGCTGCCACAGCCGGTCTCAACTCCACAAATTAGCTGATGAAACGATTACTACCCGAGCGAAGCTTTGTATACGTCTACATACAGTGCAGCTGAGATGGGAATGTCGTGAACAGGCAGATCTTCCTGGGTAAAGAAGCCCTCGAGGCCGCCGAGCGGCGGGCCATAGCTGCAGCGTGACGGCAGCCGCGATACATTGACGCGGTGGCGGCAGCCGGAGTTCGAGGTGCGCGTAAGGCGCAGAAATGGATGCCGCCAAACCCTCCGTACCAGCTTTTGACAATGCATCGATCCTCGCCATCCAGGTACCAGTGAACAGAGGGCCTGGATCACCTTCACGCGTATCCCACCCTCGACGGCCGATTCGAAACCGCGCCGAAACCGCGCTCTGACGCTTCGCTGAGGCCTCCTGCTTGCATATCGATTGCCTGGAGGACATGAAGGGCTCCGTATGGCCAGCTGGCGGGCCCCGCAGAGGCGGCGATTGTGCGAGACTGCATCGATGCGGCTGATAATCGCAGATGATTGCCCCCGTGGACGACAAGGCGCGCCGAAAGCGGAAGGCCTTGTCAGGAAGGGGCAAGCGAGAGCTTCATGAAGCAGGACCTCCCATCCCAATTTCGTTGGCATAAGCTCGGGATACGGAGGGGACAGAGTTGGGTAGCATGCATGTGAGGGTCGCCGCAAGGCGTCGAAGGGCGCGAGAAGGCGACGTCGCGCAAGATCCGTGCGTTGGAGGGGAGGGGAAGGTTGGGGAAGGAAGACCAGGGGATCGCGGCAAGGCTGCCCGTCCCAGCATGATTCATCATCGTGCTCATGGTCGAGGCCTCGAAGAAGATTGGAAATCCACGCCCACGGGCTTGCAATCTCTTGAAATACGTCCGCGCACAACAGGCACGCTGTCCGTCGATGAGCACAGCAAGCAAGGGGCGAATAGCATTGCGACGGTTAACGATGCGTAGAGTAGTTCTTCGGGGCTTGGGCTGCGACAGGGTGTCGTGGGGGACGCCTGAGGCGCGCGTATAGGCAGCGATGCGTACGCGGTATGTAGAGCACGAACGGTTTCGGGGGCAGGAGCAACTAGAATACAGCAGTAATAAATGAAGTGCGGATCTGCCGACACGGCGGCCATGAGAAAGACGAACGGGGCTGGCGACCAGGGCGGATGAGCGAAGGAGCTGGTCGGGTCCTGAGCGGATCGTGCGCCCTCGTAGGCCGGGACACGTTCGCTGGGAGCGGCCACGCCAGCGTTATGATGTCGAGAGGATACGAGATTTGACGGTTATAGATGATAATATATGTTGACGCTGTATAGTATGAGGCGGAATCGCGGCCAGCTCAGCTCTTGTGCTGAAAGAAAAGATGAGAAGAAGGAGGGCAGGGATGGAATACGCGGCGTACCCAAGACCTGCGCGACCCCGATGTATTACAAGGTGGCTTATGGACGGGGTTGCCAATAATCCGGGTTCGGTGGCTGGGGACGATGTCAGACGCGGTGCGATCGGCGGGAGGTGAAAGGCAAGGTACCCGATTTGTGTGGTCTGCGCGATCTGCACGAGCGACGTTAGCGGAGGGTAGAAGGATGAGGTGCGCCGACAACTCACGTCCTACTATACAGATGTAGTTGTGCGAGTACCATCGGTTGTCGACCTTGTATGGTATGCAGGCATGTGCACCTGCCTCGTAGGTCGTTCCTTCCTTCCAAATCGCGGTGGTAGCGGGGACACCAGACGTGGCGCGTTCAATCGGCATCTAGTGCGGCAGTGACAGAGACGATGGGTGCAAAGAGAGGCGTCGGTGGGATCGATGTGGGTGCGAGGGCGTATTATACGGGAGGCGCGCTCTGGAGGCGGGATTATACGAGGCGGACGCGGGGAGCGAGATGGGAGTTTAGGACAAGACGCGGTGATAATAAATGAAAAGAAAAACAACCGGCATTTCTTATGCGGCACTGCCTGGCACAGCCGCCATGGCAACAACCCCATCGGTCCGGGTGCCGGACCTCGGAATCGGCGCCTCGGCGCCGGGACGTCACTCAACCTTCCATCATGTCGGTTCGCCTCACGTCATCGGCAAGAACAAAAGCACCAAAAATGCGGGCAAAAAGCTGATAGAGTGTGCTGTCGCTATGCCACTCGGCTAGTCGAGGGTGCTTTCTCTGACCGAGACACGTATTCTGCGAGCCAAGGGAAGATTTTCTTCAATTTCTTGTGTCATTGATGGGCCACGTTGCCGAGAAGACGGCGGGATTGGCAATAGAGTGTTCAGTTGCCTTTTAAGGTGCGTCGGATTTGTCCGATCCGGGGCATGTGGCGCTTGCAGGCTCGCGACGCGCGCCGCGTGCTGAGCGCGGATTTGCCAGCCATGAGGAGTGGCTGCCGGAGTCTGTGATCTTCCTCCAGTCAAGCGTCAAGCAAGCCGCCGCGACCATCGAGCACCCATGGAGAGCGTGATCCCCGCCGTCCCAATCAACACGGCGGCTCTTGTCGCGAAGATCGAAGCCCACACGGCCCAGCAGTGCCAGCTGGTTCCATGGTGGCAGGGTGCGTCCAGGTCTCACTTGACAAGCCTCCTACTTACCAGGCGCGCAGGCTCGCACCACATGGTACGAGAGCTCGCATCCGAGAAGTATAACCCACTCAAGCCGCCCTCCGCAGGTCTACCTAGCCACTCTTTTGCCTTCTTCCGAACGCTATGTCGTTCGCATTGACGCTCCTTGTTTCCGCCCCCTTGGGTCTGGCCTCACGCCGCCGAGCAAGATGCGCTCAGAGGTGCGTGGCACTCCTGCCAAGTCGGCCAACTGCTCACGTACTGCCAGATCGCCACGCTCAAATACGTGAGGCAACACTCCTCCGTCCCAGTACCCGATGTCACCTACCACAACCTCGATGACGAAGGCGAAGTTGGCGGAGAGTGGATGATGATGGAATACGTTCGTGCACATACCCCCACTCTCCCAGCCGTAGTAGGCCTGACGGTCCGCAGGTCCCCGGTGTGCCCCTCATGGAGAAATGGCCAAACATGACTCGGGAAGAGCGCGAGGAAATCTGTCTCAAGATTTCCCAGATATGGGGTCAACTACTATCAATGCGCTTCCCCTCCGTAGGCAGTCTCTACGAGGCGCCCTCTTCCGGCCCCGCGGACAGCACCGTCATTGTCGGCCCTACCACTTTTTATCCTTCCGCGAAGGCCAACCGGACAGCACCGCCCGACCCCTCAAGATGCGGGCCATTCACGTCTCTCAAGCAGTGGCTGCTTGCTATCGCGCGCCGCGATATGGCGTTCGGAGATCCAGAGCCGCTGTCGGAAGTACATCGCGAGCGCATGGCCGCCGTTGTATCCGACATCGAGTCTGCCCCGCCGTCCCTCTTTGGCGATGAACAGACACGAGACGACACCACCTCCGCCATCGTTCTCGAGCACATCGACCTCATGCCTCACAACGTGCTCGTGCGCCCGGACGCACCAACGGACGTCCTCGCTATCATCGATTGGGAGGGCGCTCGGACGGTCCCCCTCTGGGCGGTGCAGCCCATGTTCTTGGAGCAGGACCTGGAAGGGTATAAGGAGTACGTCGCGCTCATCAAACGTGCCCTCAGTGAGCTCGTCCCGCAATGGGAGGTGGCGCAGAACGGGGAAGAGTGCCGAGAAGTGCGCCGCCTGTACCTCCGCGCGCGCTTAAGCCTCTTCGACCCAGCCACGTTCCACCCGGACGAGATCATCTGGTCGTTCAACCCCAACTAGGTTCGTGCGCACGCTCGCTCCCTGCACGCCGTTGCTCCCCGCGTTGTCTTTTGCATTAATCATATACATATTTGCTTGCATTCATATCATCATCTTTGGGCCCTGGGCTCCTTACGCTCCTTCGGATATGGACGGACCCGCACGCTGTATTGATAGAACCCTCTCGCTCACTCACCCACCGGCCCACTCGCCTTCACGTCGTACTCATCTACTGTATATAATGTACTTATTCCACGGACGCTCTCTGGGGCCGCTGCCTACCTACCTGTCGCGCGCCACGATGTTGTGGTGCGTATCGGCGACGATACGCACCTACTTACGGTAAATAACTCCCATGCCTGTCGTCGGACGATGCACGTAGTATTGACGATACTGTTGTCCATTTTTACCGTTTCTGGCGCGGTGGGCTGACGCGGATCGGGAAGTTTGGGTACAGTGAGTGGCCTCGAGGTGGGTAAATACCGACGCGGGGGTGGCGATAGTGACCATGCCTGCGATGGAATGGAGGAATGCAGGTCGCGCCACAGGTAAGCCGGTTCGGGAACGGCTCGAGCTAACGCTATGGAGCCTACAGTACTCGTGCGACCCATAGGCGCGTTGCCAGTTGGAGCTCGTTGCCACAAATGGTTGTCGGAAGTCTGCCAAGCGGTTCTGGGTTGGTGTATACCCCTCTTGTCCGTTCGTATGCTTCAACTCAACGTTTGTGTTCAGTATTTTCGTGGTTTTAACGGCGATGCGACATAGTACACTAACTTGCATGCTTCATTTGCCCACTCATCGACATCGGGTTTTAATTCTGCGTGAAGGGGATGGCTGATGACTAGCGGAAGGGTTTTCTCTCTCTCGCAGAAAGTGTCATCTATGGTGTTAGTTCATCTTCAAGGGTGTGTTCTGGTGCAACATCCGGCCATAAGTAGCATAAGCAGCATAAGTAGCAGGAAGAGCATGCCAAGTCACATAAACGTCAACAGTCACGTCACGCTTGTCCCGATATGGCAGGCCTTGTACTCAAATTCCCCTTAGCCACTGCTTTGCACATACCATCATTGGTGGTGGGCACCCGGCGTATCCGAGCCGGTCAGCTTGCACTTGTTTGGCGAAGGCTTTAAATGAACTTTCGACGGATTTTGTAGCCGCGCTCCATTGAGGTCTTCCGTGATATCCGGACACGACGGATCCAGGACTTGAATATATATCTCATTTTCTGGTGACGGGAATAGTTCGTCGAGGGAGTATGGCACGAGTAAAGGTATGAGGGGACTGAAGATAAATCTGGATGAAAAGATCCAGAGAACATATCCACTATCGCTGTCGCCAGAATCTTCCAAATGCCACAAACTTCATAGCCTGAAATTATTGGACATCATCGTGCACATACAATGTCAGCGCTAACGCCAGACTGTTACATAGCAAATACTGCCAAAAAAGGCAATCGCGCGCACGTGAACTGCTTGAGGGCGAGGGGACAAACAAAGCAACACATTACATTGGTAACCAACAACGCATATGTGCAAGGCCGTACAGGACTCAGTCGTCTAGGGGTGAGCTCCGATATCAATAGAAGGTATCTGACCATTGACCTCAGCTATCCAGAAGAGCGCTATGCCTGCAAAGGGACGAAAGAAGGCCAACACCGAGCGCAACCAGCGCATGCTTGCTGGAAAAGCAGCTAAGGCCAACCAGGAGAATGTGCCTCCGGTCAACCAAAAGCTGCAGGAGACAGAGAAGAAGCTTCAGGCGTCAGAGAGGCTGAATCTGAAGCTCAAACGTGAGAACCGGCAACTGAAGGCAGCAATGAAAGATCTACGCACCGAGTTACGAAATACGAGACAACGGGAGAAAAGGCAGCGAGCCGCAGCTGCAAGCGCGAAGCGCCTGAATGCGGAGCTTAAGGCCCAGCTCATTCTAACAGAGAAGAAGGCTGAGGAGAGGGTCAGATTGGCACTTATGGACAAGTCACGGAATATCTCGCATCTCGAGAAGTCATTGCGCGACGCAGAGAAAAAATTGACGCAGGCGGTCGTTGCAAACGAGCAGTCATCAGCGCAGTCGTCGAAGAAGCAGGAGGAGCTTCGCAGTGTCCGCCAGCACGTCCATAACCTGCAGAAGATGCTTGGGCGCGCGCGAGCGACCAACCGGAGACAAAAGAAGAAGTCAGGCCCGTCGACACGCTGCTGGAACATGAAGACAAGGCATGCCTTCGATATCAAGATTCGCGCATTGGTGCGAAGCCTGATTACCGCTGGATGTAGCCAGAACAGAGTCGGGCGGCTCGTACAAGATGTTGCTGCAACATTCGGGGTGAAGCTGAAGAAGATCATTAGTCGACGAACTGCTGGACGTATCGTTCTCGAGGGCCTCGTCATGGCGCGTATACAGCAGGGACATGAGCTTAGGCTTGCGAAGGGTGCGTTAATTCCGCAGCGACAGGCTCCAGAATCTCATGGGATCCATTAGATCTCACTCTAAGCGGTGACAGCACGTCTCGCCGCAACCAGAACTACCAGTCTCATCACGCCACGTACCGCGTATTTGAGGTGCTACCTGACGGGTCTAGCCGTGTTGTATGGCGAACCCGGTTCTATGGCATACGAGCTACAGTGGACCACACTGCGGGCAAGTCGAAGGAGTCATGGTTCCGGGTCTTCGAAGAGATCATCAGCTTCTACAATGACTCGCCACTCTGTGCACGTACCAACACGCTCGACCTCGCCCACATATGCGTCATCCTCCGTGGTATGTGCAGCGACCACGCATCGGCAGAGAAGGCGACGGCGGACGCGATGCGCGATGCTAAGCACGATGTTATCATTCAAAAACTCGGGGAGGAGAAGAAAGCGGACATGCCTCTCGAAGAGTTCGGAGCCCTCGTTGATAGTTGGAACGCAGAGAAGGTGAAGAAAGCGGGGGGAAAGGCGGCTTGGGACGCGCTCTCGAGCGAGGAGCGCGCCGTGCACGACCTTGCAACCATTGACGCCATGATACGCAGTCTCGGAGAGAAGCGATTGAGCGAGCTTCCAACGGCGGATCGGCGGCTACTCACCTTGTTCGTCTGGACAGGGTGCTGTATGCATAAAGACCAAAATTCGTTCAAGGGGGGGAATACGGCGATGATGGCGACTTGGGAAAAGCTCGGCCTGTCGCCGCCCATCCCTCTGGCGAACAAGGCAAATGCCGCGGCAGTGCGCAAGGCGGTTGCGCCCCAGCTCGGTGACCGCGCGCTGACCGACGACGAGCTTGCCGCACTTGAATCGAGTACTCGTGGAGGCGCCAAAGCGACCGCATTGGCTGGGGCGATATTCAACAACCACAACGATAAAAAGGGCCAAGGCGACACGCACATAAACGTGATGAGCTTCATGCTCGACCCAGACCTTGACAGGCTTGTTCGGTCCTTCCCCCACACGAGTAACACGCGCTTCGGCAGCCATGGCGAGGCGGCGGGCGAGCTGCTTGTGCACCTTCCCCAGTACATCGCTTTCCTGGAGTTTATGAAGACTAAAAAGACGTCAGACAGTTGGACGAACATGGAGCTCAACGTGTACAACGCCCTCCATGATGGCCCTACACTTACCGAACTCTCAGTCATGGCGCTGTATCAGCAGCTCATCACCCATCCCTACATGCGCATGGTGCGCGCCGACGAGGACGACCAGCTCAACGCTATCGACCTTGGTCCCCTTCACGCCGACCTGCGCGAGCACTGCCAGCGCCTGATCGACGCCCCCGACCTCATCCTCGACTTCGCTGCGGACAGCCATGTCGAAGCTACCCTCGACGGCGAGCCGTTCGAGAGGCCCGAAGTTGTCGAGGCCATTGCCCAGTTGGACAGGGAAGGGAGGCTGGCGAATCTGCAGCAGCTTTTCGTTAGCTTTATAGAGGGTGCGAAGGTGACGTGGCTGCGATTCTCGTCCGAATACGCACCGGGCGGGGTGATTGACGGAATGACCGCTGATGAGCGGTCGCACGTCTTCCTCAACGCGACTAACGACCGAAATGAAGGGGCGCTCGGCGCGTGGTGTGTCTGGGCGCGCAAATTTTCGACGTCTACCATGGATAAGCATAACGCGATTGCCATGTACACGACAAACGAGACTCAACAATTTTCCGACGAGCATTTTCAAGACGCCGACCACGTCTACGTTATGCGTAAAGCGCGGGAGCACGACGCATCAGGCGTGGAGCGCAAGCGACGCAAGGAGCAGGCTGAGTTCGAGTGCGAGATGGTCGAGATGAAGCGGCGAAGGATTATGGCGAGGGCGGCGAAGAGGAGCAAGAAGGAAGCTCTGCTTGCCAGCACACCAGAGGTCAAGAGCGAGGAGGAGATCATGCGCATGACGGGGAAGCTGATAGACCTTCAATTTGCGAAGCTGAAGTCTGTATGGGGCCCCAAGCTTACGCTCCCACCGGGTCGATGGAGTATGCCGGTCGAGTCGAAGAAGCTCGCGCTAGTGGAGGTCTTTAGGCAGCACTTGCGGTTGAAGGTGGATGGTGCATCGCAGGCGATCAATTCGGGGCTAGAGGATGTTTCTGAAGCTGTGGAGATCACGACGGATGCTTGGTACGAGGAGGAGGACGAGGAGATGGACTGGGACGGGTAAATGATGGGCAGCTGATGGGCGGCTAATGCGCACACTAGTATTTCTCACGAACGTAAACTACGACGGTCCTGAAATTTCGAGGACATGCATATCATTGTAATCGCCGTCGATTGGCGTCAGTATTCCAAGCTGTAGGCTACGACATTGGTATAGACAGGCGAGAGCAGCGTTTTCCCGGTTACTATCAAGTTACCGGTCCCATCACTGACCGGGCGGCACCCTTCGGGTGCCGCCCACCACCATCATGGCGCGCGCATATCCCCCTTCCTCGGCGAGCCGCGTCCTCCAAATACCCGAAATCTTGGATATCATGATCAACTTCTTGGAACAGAAAGAGCATGTAGGCTGCGCCCTTGTCTGTCGGCAATGGTGTGAAATCGCCTTGGACGCGCTGTGGAGAGTTGTAGACGACCTACCGCGGCTCTTTGGGATACTTGCCCCGCTCAGCAAGCAGACAGGCTCGATGGCGCTGGTGCGTGGCAAGTCTGTTACACGAGAGCATGATAGTCATCATGAGCAGGAATTTACACGATTACTACAAGCCGACGATTGGACGCGCTTCAATCGGTATGCACGACGCGTCCGGCATCTCGTATACGAAGAGAGGGTCGGCGCACTGGCACAGTCGGCATTCACAGATATTGCAACCACACGAACATCCCTCGAAATTCTCCCCTCCCTACGCGTACTCGAATGGAATGCGCCCCTGCGCTCGTCTGTTATGTTCATGCATCGCAATGTCAAGAGCTTCATCGTCACTATACCCATGCTGCAAACCACAAGCATCCCCCTCACATCCTTCTTTAGCGACGTCGCAGCCCGCATGCCCTGTCTCACGCACCTGGACCTGCGCTGGAACGAGCCTGCAAGCGCGCACGAAGAGGAGGTCGTCTCACTACTCCAGTCGCTGCCCAACCTCCGCAAGATCACCCTCCCCCGCTACTACCTCACGAGCAAGGTCGCCGAGACGCTCTCGCAAGGCCACGAGAACCTCGGGATCATTGAATTTCAGTACATGGAGGCTCAGGGGTGTGGGGAGGCCTCTGACATCTATACCTTCGCACCCACCTTATCCTCCGGCGCATTCCCCGCACTCTACGACCTCTCTCTCACCTCGTCCTTCATCGATATGTGCAACTTCCTCGCACGCGGACACGGCCCTACCCACCTCACCATGATGTACATCCACTCCTTTCGGCTTGAGACACCAGGCGACATTCGCAAGCTGCTCTGCGCCGTGCGCGACACGTGCCCCCAGCTGCGCGAGCTGTCACTGCTCTCTGCAGTCGACGTCACGCCCGAGCGGCCCCAGGCGGAGGACACGGCGTCGCTGGAGACGCTCCGGCCGCTGTTCGACTGTGACAGCCTGGTGAACTTCGAGATCCTGCTGCAGCACCCGCTGCGGCTGACCCTAGGCGACCTGGAAGAGCTCGCGCGACGGTGGCCGTCGCTGGAGAAGCTAGTGCTGAACAGCGAGCCGCCCGAGTCAGCGTCGGCGCCGCTCACCCTGCGCGCGATTTTGCCCTTCGCTGCGCACTGCCCGCGCCTGCGTACGCTTGGGCTCTTCCTCCATGCATCGCGACACGACATCCCCACCGCATACATCGACCCGTCGACCGACAAAATAACCTCCCTACCTACCTTCAAGGAGCCTATCATACTCTCCATGGGCGTCTCCATCATAGACGAGGAGGATATTGAGCAAGTGGCACTCTTCCTCAGCCAGGTTTGCCCCGTTGGCGCGGACCTGGAGGCTGGCGTCACCTGGGAGCTCAACGAGGACGAGGCGGCACATATGGACGCGGATATGGCGGGCATCATCGACGGGCGGTGCGAGAAGTGGAACCGGGTACGGGAATTCCTGCCGCTGCTCACCCAGCTGCGGCAGCAGGAATCGGAGCGCGCCAGAATGCTGGAGGACAACCTGCGCGAGCTGTCCATGCAGAACGAGCGCCTGATGTCTGCAGCGAAGGCGGCCAATTTGGAGATTCCAACCTCGTCATCTTCGAAAATTAAGTACGCGCCCTTTACTCCTGCCTTTTCGCCACTTGCTGACGATTCCGTAGACCCGCAGACGAGCGCGACGCCTCCTGGTCGCTCAAATCCGTCACGCACTACCTCCGCGGCTTCGTGTCCCGAAAAAATCGCAGGAGCAGCAGATGAACGCCAACACACCATACGAAAGAGAACGGACTCCCTACAGATGCAGTCGTGCATTTCTGTCGCCCCAGATACGCAACAAAGCTATCCCTCGCTTGCTTTTTGCTCTACCCAGCTTTTCGCGCAGAACAATGTTGTATGGTAAGGAACCCCTGCATGGCGTTTGGACTCCCGTGTAGGCGCCCGGACTTGATGGCTCACAGCAGCTAGCAGTTATACCTTGGTTTGATCCACGATTTGGTTTACAGTAACATAGCTTCCATCCTTAGGGTATATTGGCTTGCGTCGTCAGCAGTACATGGTCTTCCATTGTTCGTACATAGCATTGATGTTGATAGTACAGTGAATAAGTGTACATTTGCGATATCCGCACATATAGCACGCTCATTTGGCTGCAGAGCCTGGCTCATTTGGCTACAGCGGCAGGCTTTCGCGGCGGCACCTGCTGCTTGTAGAAGTGCGCCATCATTCCTTCCGCGTGGGTCATGGTTAGGTTGAAGACGGGATGGGTGGCATTCTATGGTGCTGTCAGTGCTCGCATTGCTAGCAAGAGGGATTTATACTTACGACACGGTTTGAGGGCCCGCCTACGACCTTCGACGCGCCCTCTTCCTCTGCGTAGCACAGCATGTCGAGGAAGAGGGACTTTCGAAGATCGTTCGTTGGCATCTCCGAATCGGTCCATGCACCGGCGAGTTCGTCGCGCCGAAATGGCGAGGGTATCATGGGATGCTGGGCGGCGGAGAGTCCGGCCAGGCAGTAAAGGGTATGATACGCGTCAGCACCCCTAGAAGATGAGGATGTTAGCCAGCGTATTGAAACAGGCGCCAGGGTCCTGTCGCGGTGGACATAGCCTTACTTACTTTGGAGGCTTATCTCGCAGACCGCCGCTGGGGTGCTGACCGGCGTAGAGAATGTATTCCTGCAGTGCTTTGCGGTTGAATAGGGAGTCTGACGGATTTGTTGAGTGAGTGATGTCGGAATGAGGTGATCCATACACACCATCGACATCGTCCCAATTACCGTCGTCTGCTGGTGGCGCGTCGCTCGCAGCTGCTTCGTGCGGTGGGTGCGATGGTCGGCTGAGGCCCAGAGACTGGAGCAGCGCAAAGCATCCTCCTACCCACCACGAGTAGCACCCGTCTACAAGCTTGTTTGTTCTTCCTTTGAAGCCGCCGAGCTCTATCTCCGTACCCTGCATGTGCGTGCACCACCGCAGCAATGCTTTGAGGTTGATGGACGGCTTGGGCTCCGGCATACGAGCGATGAATGGCTGGAGCATGGTCCATGCTGCCAGCGAACAATAGGTATACCCACCGTGGGCTTCGCCGAGTTGAGGTCGTGGGGATGGGAGGAGGGTTGGGTTGCCGTCGGCCCCTGGAGCGAAGTATGGTTGGGAGGCAGAGGAGAATCCGCCCTCGTATGTCTGGCATGACGCGACAAAGGATGCGGTTCCTTCGACGAGTTCGGGCGTGCAGATATCGAGGAGTATGGCCGTGACGATCAGGCAGTATATTCCTCTAAGAACAAAGGGATTAGCTTCCGCACCGCGCTGCCCAATGGAAACGCACCTCACATCCACTTCGGCGTTCCGACTTACGAGGAACGAGCCATCTGGCTGCTTCAGCGACATGAAGAAATCGTACATCTTCTTTCTGGGAACGCGTTAGACGACGCGCCACCGAGCGCCCTACTGCACGACTTGCCGATCAATGTCGTCCCATCCACCTCCCGGACCAGGCCTCCCAGCAATCGCCAGCGCGCACACTGACGCGTAAGTTGGTATCAGGTGCGCGTTCTGCCCTGGCCCGCCGCCAAAGCCGCCATCGGGGTGCTGCCACGCCAAGATCGTGTCGATCGCGCGCTGGCGGTTACCCGGGTCGAGGCCGACTTGGAGTACGCTGAACGCTTGAAAGGTCCAGAACATGAGCCACGGCTGGCTCGCATCCTGGGAGACGTAGCGCGCAGGGAAGCCCTGGACGAGGTTGCGCGCAAGGAACTGCATATGTGCGTTCTTATTCAGGGTGGCGGGGCCGAAGAGATGCTTAGCGAGGATCTCTTCGGTCTCGTGCTGGACTCGAGATGTTTCGGTGGGAAACCCATCTGTGGGTGTCGGGCGGAGGGTAGCAGACATGGGGGTTGGGAACAAAGGGTGTTTATTCCCAATTAGAAGTAATTAGAAGTAGAATAGACTTGATGGTCTGTTCGTGCCTTTGTTCGAGGCTCGACTTCGGCACTCATTCTCCGTTCGAACCTCGAGATGTCATTGTACGGATGCATACACACTAGAGGAAGCCCCGGCTCCGCCGGTTCTGGACCTTGCCTAGCGGACCGGTGCGATGCGAAATTCAACGGTCCCAACGAAACCCCAAGAAATGAACATAAAACCCAGAGGATTGCATATATGTACATCATACTGACGACGGTTCCTAGCAAGTCCCAGAATCAAAAAACGAGCACGCAGTAAATGTTACAAGTCCGGTGAAGAAACCCAACCCTATCACCTAAGCAGCGACCGCATGTCCGCCTCGGTGTGACTCTGAATCGGCTCCCTTATTCGACTGAGAGTGGGATTCATGCCCCTTCCTGCGTCAATGTTAACAGCTATCTGCCGGAGACACGGACAAGACGTACGAGTCCTCGTAACGGCGAGCGCGCTTGGCAGGCGTGTCAAAGGAGGTGCTGGGCACGAACTTGCGCTTCAGCGAGTTTGTCGAGGGAGGAGAGATAATGTTGATGGAGATAACGTCAGCCGTGAAGTTGTTGTAGCGACCGATATAATGATGGCGAAGCGTGAAGCGGACTTCGACGAGGGCACCAACAAGGGCAGCCCTATAGAGCGTCGGGCGAATGAGGTGACCATCAGCGCCATAAGCCGGGAGCGGGACCACCTTGTACGAGTGTGTCTTGACCAAGTCGGCGAGCTCCTGGCGGGCTGCACTCGTCTCGACAGGCCACCCTTCAAGCGTGAAGCACGCCTCGCTGGCGGGACGTGGGGGTTCGGGAATCATCTCCCCAGTCTCGGGGTCCTGATCGAGCTTCTGCACGAAGCGTCAGCAGAGGTGACAGGTCTCCAAAAGAGCTACTACGCACCTCAAAAGGGACGTGGCGGAACTTGACCTCATCTTGAAGTGAATCATAACCACCTCTGCACGGGCGATCCTTCGTAATGGGGCAGGACGCCTGCAGCATATCTAGGTTCTCAAATGAGAGCTGTGAAGCGCGCTGAAGCACGCCATGTTCAGGATCATGGGTGGGGGAGAGGGTGAACGACATCTTCATCTTCGATAGGGAGGGAGTATATTCGGTTGAGCCCTTGTAGCCACCGTCAGGGGACAGGAAGCAATTGCGCCTGTTGACGGTGCCGATGAGGATGTTTGTCATAGGTTCGGGATCCCACGGGATACTCGCGGTGTCGTCTAGTGAAACGAGCTCATTCAGCCAAGCGTACACAAGCATGAAAGGTGTGATAACACTCACCATGGCTGGTGGAGGATGCCCCGCCACTAGCGGACTTCTTCGCAGCAGGACTGCTACTGTGCTGGTCAGGAAGCGGGTAGTGACCTCAATGCGCCGTGTCAGAAAGTGTAAATTTGATAGGGGTGGCAAATTCGGACGTACGAGCAGGAAGATCAGATTCGGGCAGAGGGCAGGGAACGACAACATGCTCTTGAGCGTCGTGGCCATTGAGTACCCATTGGGCAAGAAGCTCGGCGTTGGGTTCACCAAGGAAGAGGGTGTGGGGATCGGCTTTCGCCTCGGGGCTAGTGAGCGAGGCGAGGTAGTTCTGCAGGAAGGAAGTAGAGATCATAGGAATGGAACACGGTGTTGGTGTTGCTCGTATGGAAGGCTGAGGGCTGGTGGGGGATCCCTGAGGTCTTATATACAGGTAAACAAGTCGCGGCCTTACAGCCTCGAGTGGCGAGGCCAGCGCAGCGCCGGAACCTCTCGGCAGGAGGGCGCAGTGCCACAAAAGCTCGATGATCGGCCTATGGAGTGGGATGCCCGCCATCGATGGTCTTCTGGACAAGGAACGCGTACTTATTTGTTCGATGCAGCAAGGCGAGAATAGCTGAGCTCTGCCTCGAGCTGGCAGGCGCAGGCACCGCACAGGATATCATGAGGGAGTGCGGGCGCTGCGGGGTCCAAATGCTTGCCATATGGGGATTGGAAGTGTATTCCCCCACAGTCGAGTCCCATGGGCGCTCTATAGGGACTGCATCTGGTAATCTACTGTACATGAGTCACGCAGCCTAGAGGCCGCCAGAGCATGCAGGATGCTGGCGAAGTGCAGCTGGAAGACCCGAAAAAATTTGGAAAGGGGTGTTATCCGAACCGGTGCCTCGGAGAATGCCTGCCGTGGCCGGGATCACCATGACAGCCGTTGAGAATGACGCCGGACTTCAGGGTAGCAGATGCCGAAGCATGAATGCGGCGCCGAAGGGGCCATTGGATGTAACATGAGGTCTTTGAGGCAGTGTAGGAAGGAAGGCTGCCGCTTGTCAATCAGCTAACTTCCGAACTTAGCCACTCTGAGTCGTCGTACGCACCGGCTACAACGGCAACAGCAACACCACCATGAGCGCTCGCAGCGCAGTGATCAGTCTGTTGACCGTGGCACGCATCAGAGAGATCTGCACTCACGCCAATTTCAACGTTCCTGCGACGGGGCCACAGCGAACGCGCAAGAAAATGGATATCATCGACTACATTGTCAGCCATGCACCTCCCGATGTACTTGACGAGCTATGCTCAGCAGGAAAGCAACGAGAGGAGGAGAGGGAGGAGCAGATGAAGGGGAAAAAACGGACTACTCAGCGCCTGCGTAGGGAGGCCAGGAAGCGTGCACGCTCGGGCTCGCCTGTAGTTCAAAGCCACGACGTCACGCGATTCCTTGAGCTACCGTCGGAGGACGACGTGAAGGCGTGTTACCGGAAGATCCTAGAGGCGACTTCGAACAAAGCGCTCGAGAACTGGGTGTGCGCCATCTGCGCTCGGGAGCGAGATCATCTGGACGAGAACTGCACCTGCAGCATCATCGCATTGGATCAGCTTCCTCGGTCGGAGCGTCTGCGACCTCTGCACGCCAATGTAGCGCACGATATCTACGACGGGTGCCTTCTCGAGCCGACCGGAGTGCGTGCTGTGGGGTCGGGAAAGCTGGAGGTCTGCGTCTGTCGCGAGTGCAACATTGCGCTTGCAGCGCCGGGCAGTCTCCCACCACCTATGTCTCTGGCGAACAACATGTGGATCGGTCGTATTCCCTGGATATTGCAACAACTCACCGTGCCGGAGCAGCTTCTCATCTCGCTCCTGTACCCGCGTGTGCTGGTTTTCAAGCTGCGGCCCAAGACGGTTGGTGCTGGGGCGCCGGACACCCTGCAGCGCGGCATGCGAGGGAACGTGAGCTCGTATAGACTCGATCTGAATGGCGTCGTCGAGATGGTGGAGGGTGACATGCTTCCGCGCCATCCGTCGATCCTCCCTGCTGTGCTGAGCATCACCATGGTTGGGGTTGGTCCTCTTCCAAAGAATTGGATGCATGCGACATTCAAAGTTCGTCGAAAGGTGCTTCGCGATGCGCTACACACCCTGAAGGACATCGGCAACAAGTACTTTCGTGACATTGCCATTAGCGATGACCGGCTGGCGCTTCTTCCCGAGGACGGCGTTCCTGAGGAGCTTAGTGCTTGCGTGAGACACAATCCAGATGCGGAGGTATTGGAGGAGGAGCACGGAGGATACGTGCCTCAGGACGATGACGAGAAACCTAGCAGTGGTGAGTTCTGTACACTGTCCGCCGTTGACCCCGCGCCGACTCAGTATCTTCAGACAACGTGGGTGCTGCACACGGCGGGGCGCCTCCTCTGGGAGACGATGCTGGTGCGCTGACCATCTGCGTAGTTGTTCAACTGGCTAACGTCAGTCTGAATACAGATATACAGGAACCGGACGTCATACCCTTCGAGATTTCGGGCTCTATGGACAGCGACATGACGGGTTTAACCGCTGCGGAGATCTTGCTGCACGCTCTAGCGAATCTATGGAAGGACGGCGAAGAGGGCGGCTATCTCGTGCGATACGGGGGAGGGCCTGTGAGCGACTTCGGTACTATGTCTCGCAGCAGGCAGGCTGGTGCCGAGGGAGACGCAGGCCAGTCTGCGAAGTGGTGGGAGGAGGAGAACTTCTTTGAGAAGGCCTTCGTCATCCTGTTTCCCTATGGCGTCGGCGGCATCGAGGCGAGTCGCCCCGTGCGGGTCAGCTTTCGCGAGCACATCCGCTGGTGCCTGCGATATCACGACATGCGCTTTCGGCGACACGAGACGTACCCATTCGTGTGCTTCGGCATCCAGCAGCGGCGGGAGGCTCTCGGGTCAGCGCGGCTTCAGATGCAGCAGAAGACGTTCGAGAGGGACTCGAAGATCATCCTCAGCCTGACAAAAAGTCAGCTCGACAAGGCCATCAAGGAGGAGCAGCGAGGCGTACCCATCTCGGACCCGGCCGTTCGTCTCCTACGCAGTCACGTCCACTCAGTCGCAGGAAGAGTGACGGGGACAGACGCGCAGCGCTTTCGCTTGCGAAGTCAGATCTGGAGCACGGCCATTATATTTGGTCCGCCAGCTCTGTGGATCACCATCAACCCGTGCGACATGCACGATCCGATTCTGCAGGTCTTTGCGCACGAGGAGATTGACATGGATAACTTCGTGGCGACCGCAGGGCCGGACAAGGACGCGCGCGCGAGGAATGTTGCGCAGGATCCCTACGCGGCCGCGAAGTTCTTCCACTTCATGATACGCCTCATACTCCGCGTGTTGTTCGGCATCCACGTCACGAACTTCAAGACCGTCAGCAACATGGCTATCCTGGGTCGGGTGGCTGCTTACCTTGGGACGGTGGAGTCGCAAGGACGGGGAACACTTCACCTTCACACCCTCGTCTTCCTGCAAAACTCTCCGACCTCTGACGAGCTGCACGAGCTGCTGAAGCAGTCCGACTTTCGAGACCGTATCATCGCGTATATCCGCGCCAACATACGCGCATACCTGCCCGGTCTTGAGAGCGCCGATGCTGTGAAGCGGATTCCACGCGAGCCCGAGATAGCATACTCGCGACCGCCCAACCCTGAGGAGGCGGATTTTGCTGCGCAGAAGACATCAATGGAGTTAAGAGTCGCCCGAATGCAGCAGATACACACCTGTCGTCCGCGAGCGTGTCTTGTTGTCGACAAGAGCGGCCGTGTACGATGCAAGCGTCACGCTCCTTTCGACATCAACCTCTCGGACTTCATTGACGAACTTGGACACTGGGGACCGAAGCGTCTGTACGCGTTCGTGAATGGCTTCATCCCTGACGTCCTGACGATCAGTCGGTCGAACATGGATGCGAAGTTCCTCACGAATGGCGAGGACACAAAGAACCTTACATTCTATATCGCGGGTTACGCGACCAAAGGACAGCCTCGCACGCACTCCACCTCCGCTGTCATGGCCGACACATATGCCTACCACGCGCAGAAGAACGACTATGTTGATTCTTTGCGAGATCGCAGTCGCCTCCTGATGTTCCGCCTGGTCCACAGCATCAATCGTGAGCAGGAGCTCGCAGGACCCATGGTCCTGTCGTACCTGATGGGATGGGGCGACGTGTACCGCTCCCACCACTATACCCCCATCTACTGGACAGCCTTTGTCCGCCACCTCTTTGACGTGTTCCCTCGACTGAAAAGGTGAGACACAATTCGTCCACAAGGATACTGGCTCACCGAACGTCCCAAGCTCCTCCCATCTTGAGCGCTCCTGCTCATCCGAGAGGAATGCCAACGCAACCACTGTACAGGAAGCGGATGATGGGGAGGAAGGGAATGATGAGGAGGAAGCGGATGATGGGGAGGAGGCGAGCCAGTCAAAGCCAATATCAGGATTGGAGGTGAGCCGTCTGGCGTGCCGTATAAGAAATGCGCGCTTAGAAATGATAAGACAGAGGGAGGCGAAGAGATGGTGACCCTCGAGGCCAGCGCAAAGGATACGCTCTTTGCAGCTTCACAGTTCACCGACTACGCGCTCCGTGGGAGTGCTCTTGAGCGTTATAGCGTTCTCGAGTTCTTCATGGATACCTGGGAGTGCACCGGGTCAAGAGCGCAGGCGGAACACATGCCATTTCCAGAGGGTGACAACACAGGCCGACGTGGAAGGCAGCGCAACGATCGCATACCGTACCTACCCGAGCACCCATGCAAGGGTAAAAAGGCGCGCGTAGTGCGCGCTCAGGGCCACAACAACCTGCCCAACTTCGTCGGAAGTCGGTTCCCTCGCCGAGATGATCCCAGCGTCCGGCCACTGTACTGCGCTTCCGTACTGCTGCTTCTCAAACCGTGGCGGAAGGTGGTCGACCTGAAGGAGGCGAGCGAGGATTGGGAGACGGCATATGGTCGCTTCTACGCTACCGCTTCGGACGCCGCCAAGCGCGTCATCTCGGGCATCCAGTACTACTATGAATGCCAGTCAGCTGCCGATCACGACATAGGGGAGACAGGCGGCGCTGGCCCCCCGGCCAATGACGGCGACGTAGAGATGGAGCCCCTCATAGACGCTGGTGCGGGAGGAGCGTGTCACGTCGAGCTGACAGAGGAGCTGGTCGAAGTTGAAGAAGAACTGGCGCGTGCAAAGGGCGCGCGGGAAAGGCGCCATGGCATCGAAGCAGTGGCAAGCGGCGTTAATGCACACGCTCTTCCCATCAGGGCCAGTGACTGGACGCTGTCCGCGGTCCAGGGTGGCGTGAGCGTAGCCACGGGAGACGATCTGCTGAAGTTGCAGGGATGGCAAAACGTCCTCGCACAGGCATCAGCAGCAAGCGATGCACCCGCTCTCCCTGTTGCATCGCTTCAGGAAGGGTATGTTCCGCCAGAGCCAGATGTCATACCTTTCGAAGAGGCGGCTACTACAGCGCGCGATGGCGGGGGCCCGCGTTCAGCCACATTCGATGACCATCCCGAAGAGAGCCTGCCGAGCCTTGACGTGACCGCCCTTCGCGAGGAGCAGAAGCGCGCCTACGATATCATGTGCTGGCACCTCGACCGCAGGCTGTCAGGGAGACCCCCACAGCCCCTACACATGATCGTCTACGGCGAGGGTGGCACTGGGAAGTCCCGCGTTATCCAAACGGTGACAGACCTGTTCAGGGACAGGAAGAGGTCCTACCTGCTCATCAAAGGCGCTTACACCGGCGTCGCAGCATCTCTCATCGATGGGAAGACTCTGCACGTCATCGGACACTTGACGATCAACAGTCGCGGGGAAGTCGCTGTATCCGACGACGTGCGGAAGTTGTTGCACAGCAGGTTGGAGCATACGACGGACATGATCATTGACGAGTTTTCGATGAACTCGAAGACTTTCTTCGCCCTGCTATCGCACCGAGTGACGATCGGCAAGCAGGAGCCAGGATTGCCAGTAGACGACATATTCGGCGGCATGAACATCATCCTCGCTGGGGATTTTCATCAGTTTCCGCCTGTGAGCAGGGCTGAGAAAGATCGACTGTACTACCCACCTAGCGCGAACGACACACCACTGATGGTTGAAGGGAGGCACATCTACGAATCATTTCGTACCGTCGTCATCCTACGAGAGCAGATGCGGGTCCGCGACGATGTCTGGCGGCAGTTCTTGACGCGCCTCCGCGGTGGGCAGGTCTTGGCTGAGGACCTTGACATGCTGAATACGCTCGTTCTGGGAAGCCCCACGTGCAGATCTACTGACTTCAGTCAGCCACCATGGAACAATGCTCATCTCGTCACCCCACGCCATGGCGTACGGAACGAGTGGAATGGTGCTGCCCTGCGCAAGCACTGCGTGGAAACCGGAGTCCAACTGCTGGAGTGTCCCGCCGAGGATCGGGTGCACGACGCGCCGCTGACGCTGGCTCAGCGCATGGGCATGATCTTGCGGCTGAAGACGAGCGGGCGGCGGAAGACCAAGGACCTGCCGGAGAAGATCGACTTGGCAATAGGTGCAAAAGTGCTCGTCACGCGCAACCTTGCGACTGACCTCGACATCACGAATGGGGCTCGAGGTACCGTCGTTGGTATTGTGCTGGATCCCGACGAGCCGGATCTGCCGAGCGAGTCCGTGGTCAGACTTCAACACCTGCCGCAGTATATCCTGGTGAAGCTGGAACGTACGCGTGCAGGCCAGCTTGACGGACTAGATGCGGGTGTGATACCCATAGCACCTATCTCGCAGCCCATCAAGATCAGCGTTGAAGGTGGCGCGCCTCCAACGGAAATCGTACAGCGCCGACAGTTCCCCATCACTCTGGCTTACGCGTTCACCGACTATCGTGCACAGGGGCAGACAATGTCCGCTGTTTTGGTAGATATTGCGAAGGTCCCCAACGGTCGCCTGAGTCTCTTCAACGTGTACGTCGCGTTGTCACGGAGTTCGGGAAGAGACACCATTCGCCTTCTCCGTCCATTTGATGAAGATGTCTTCAAGAACGAGCACGAGTTGGAGTTATTGAAGGAGGACGACCGCTTGGAGAGACTGGACGCATCGACAAAGGATCAGTGGGGGAAGATATGCGCGCGCGTTGCAGATGATTTTTTACTATGATGCGTTAGAGTGAGTCCATCCACATGCCTCCAAGCTCACCGGTGCTCATCAAAATGTCTGCAAAGGGCGTTGGGCTGGACAGTTGTCGATACCGATAGTGTAGAGAAATGAGGGACGGAATCTGGGTGCTCACGTGACAAAAGCACCCAAAATCCGACCCTCTGTTCAATGAGACGATGATCGTTCTAATGGGGCCTCACTTGCATGCAGGACTGAACGCGACTGGAGAGCTGATTCAAAACACGTTATATTTTGATTGCGCGGAGAGAGTTCGCGTTGCGCATTGACTGCACGACACGGTTATGATGGGTAGGCGATTGGGGACGAGAGAGGAGGGGAGTATGGGGGAAAATGGCTGTATCGACCGAATGCAAGGCCCGTTGTCCTACGACTACAACATCAGACTCCCGCACGTTGAGTGATACCGCGGTCAGAACAAGGCCGCTGCAAGCTGTCACTGGCGGCCAGCTCACCGTACCGCGACCTGACGGAGGAAGGGAGTTAAGTCAAGAGATTCTCATTGACTTGACAGCGAACACACCTGGCATGATAGTCGCCCTTAGCACGGGGCGTGGCACAGCAGCTGCGGAAAGCGCGGAAGGTAGGATCTGGCGGGTCGCGGGCCTCGCAAGGCAGCGGGATCTTCGAACGTTGGCAAGCGCATAAGTAGGCGAAAGGAGCGCTGTGTGATTGTAGCGATTTGCAAGCGCTCAGAAGCAGGCCGGTGTAGAACATGGTGACGGCCCCATGAGCAGCGGTACAGTGACTGGACGCCTATGGAGTATGTGCGCGATCGAGGAGGCAGGGAAGAACATCGACTTTCGAACTCCGATTATCGGTCCGGAGCCCGGATAGCTCTCCAAACAACGCTGATGTCATTGAGCGTTGTTTGGGCGAGCACGGAGCGGAAATAAGTGGGCATGGGGTTCTGGCCTCGCCTCGTACGGCCGCGCATAGCAATCGTCATTTATTGGGGACTATTGACCTTTTGATTGTGCCTGCGAAAAATCCGGCTTCAATAAGGACGGCAAGAGACCTTGCTAGGCAAGGTAATACAAGATACATCCCTGCGATGGCGCTCCGTGCAGTCTACCACTTGTCTGCGAAGAAGCGTTCTATAGTCTACATCAGGACCCGAGGCTCAAAGTCACCCAGTGTTCAGCTCGTCCATTCATGATCGGTCATGAATCCTCAGACGATCTCTTCGATAATCTCGTCTTGCTGCCCAGCTCGTTCGTTAGGAGGAGTCCGAGGCGGAGGTGTCGGCGTCTTCTCCCGGCTTGCGTATCGCCTCCTCATCCCAGGAATCCGCACCTGCAACTTCAACCCCCCAGCTTGCCCCGCCAAATCCACATTCCTTCCTTTCGTCTCCGGAAACCACAGCGTGAACACCCCCACCGCCACCCACGTACACGCCGCCCACAAAAAGTACGGCCCGCTCGAGTACTTATCCAGAAACATCGGCGTCGTGAACGCGACAATCCAGTTCGCGATCCAGTTTGTCGTGTAGGACAGGGCGGAGACGGAGGCGCGCGTCTGCACGGGCTGCGCCTCGGAGACCCAGATGCGGACGAGGGTGGCCCAGGTAACGACGAAGGGGATGAAGTAGACGAAGATGAGGGCGATGACGGCGTAGTTGCCGGCTTTGTTGAGAGCGGGGAGGGAGTAGAGGATGCCGATGATGGTCATGGCGGTGGCCATAATGGTGCCTCCGCCGATGATGGAGGGTCGGCGGCCCCTGCGAGCGGTTAGCGTGAGCGTATGGCAAAATGAGCAACTGCAGTCATCATTTGTCCGAGATGATCTGGCCGAAGATGGTGAACACGACGTTGACGATACCCGTCACGCCCGACGCCAGGAAAGAGGCGCTGGATGAGGACAAGCCTGCTTGACGAAAGAGGACAGGGGCGTAGTACAAGACGCCGTCGATACCGGCAAGCTGCTGCATTGACTGCATGAAGAGCGCCATCGCCGAGCGTCCTCGAAGGCCAGGTGCGAAGGCTTGCTTAAACTGCGCGATCTGGTTCTTGAACCAGCCACCTTGATGGGCCTTCTCCCTCGCCGCCGCCTCCTGTGCCTTCTCCTCTTCCGCGGTCGCTGCCAATGAGATGAATTCGTCCTTGCTGAGGTCCAGCCGATGCATCGCGCGCACAGCCTCCTCATGCAGCCCGACGTGCAGCAGCCACCGCGGCGAGTGCGGCAAGAAGCGCACGCCCACAGCGCACACCAAGCACGTCAGGCATTGCAGGATCCACGGCAACCTCCACGACAGCGACCCCACAATATTCAAACTACCATAGCACACAAAGTACCCAATCATGATCCCCGTCGAGATGAAGAGCTGCATGATGCAGCCGACGCGCCCGCGGGACTTGCGCGGGGCGACCTCGATGCCGTAGACCGTGAGCGCGGAGAGGAAGACGCCCTCGCCGACGCCGGAGGTGCAGCGGCCGACGAAGATCATGGCGAGCGCGGCGTGTTGCGACATGTTGATGCCGGAGGCGGCGCAGATGAGGGAGCCGAGGCCGTAGACGGCGCATCCGAGGGAGATGGCGTGCGTGCGCGAGATGCGGTCGGCGATGGAGCCGGCGCCGAAGGACGTGATGGCGGCGGGGATGAGGACGGAGGAGACGAAGAGGCCTTGAACGATGGACGAGAGGTCACCGAAGGTCTTGGTGAAATCGTCCATAAGGGTTATGGGTCCTAGGTGGGAAGAGGTCAGCTCGAACGGTTGGGGCCAGCGATTGAGACGTACCAATCGAGCCTGTATCGAACCTTGCACACACTGATGGGTCAGTATGGATTCGCCAAGAGACGCTATACGATCTTACCCGAAGACGTAGGCTGGAGGTAACGTGTTCAGCATGCGATTCTCGACCTCAGCTAGCGGGGAACTCACCAGCAAGCGACGCGAAGCATACGCAGCGCGCATAGCTTGGCACGTGAAGCGCCTTGCGTATCTTCGCAGCGTAGCTGAACATCCTGTCTACCTTGTTGCTGGTGATGACCAAGTAGTTCGCCGGACCCAAGGGTCGAGGGCACGACTAAGCGTTCGCTGCTGTAGCCCGTTGAAGGGGAAAGAGCCCCAGCGAAGGGGGAAGAGACAGGAAGGCAGAAGCCTCCGATTCCTCGAGCGCTGCGGTTTTATGCGTCCCTCGAACGCTGCAGATTTATGCCCCGCATGCCACGGTATCACCTAATCCTCTCCGCTGGCCTGGACAAGACGAATCCACGAAAACAGGCTCAGGGGCAATATATCTATAAGTAGCCATCCACGAAGGCGGGGTCCCCCGTGTTGAGTCCGTGCCGTGGGGAATGGGAACGCAACCTGTGAAGCTTGGGCTGCGAGAGCGTACTTGTTGGAGATCATGGTGCGCAGGTTTTGAATGACTTGAGGTGGGAAACACACTCTGATAAATTCCTGGGGTTGGTTGCAAAGGATGGCTAGGCTGCAGGATTGCTGAGACTAGCCTGGGAGGATCTGAGAGGGCCATAAGAAGGTGACGAAACGGAACGGGAGGGCGTTATCGAAACGATCGGAGATCCGAGACCGGGCGCGTAAATCGTAGGCGATGTACTCACTTGCCGTCTATACCCTGAGCCCAGCGTGTTCTTTTGTTCGAAGCCTCTGCATACGGTAGACGTGAGTACTGAGCTGCAGTACGCAGTGCTCAGAGAATCAGAGGCTGTTGGCTTTCAAGGCAGAGTGCGTTACTACTCATGCTCGCTCGCTATAGCTGAAATTGAACAAAGGCGTATTCGACGAAGAAAGTGCACGGACATATCTCGGATGTAGGCGTTCTTGTGTTGGACGAGCGAGGTGGAGATTTGTCTCGAGGCAGTGCAAGGCGGCCGACCATGCAAGCAGCAAGGTGATCTTCAAGCGAGAGAAGCGGCAAAACCTCGGGACCCAGGAAACGCGCGCACGTGACTGTGCGCACGTTGCCACGTGAGAAGCCAGCATTGTCACGACGTCACATTGGAATTTTGCTGCTTTGCACCGTTCTTTCCTTTTGCTCTCATCTCTGCTCCTTCATTCTATACTGAAATATGCCTGTAAGTACCAGAGAATTAATCTGCACGGCTATATCTTGACACGTCGCTTAGGACACCCTCATCCCCGAAGGCTACACCTTCCTCAACCCCAGCCAGATGATGTCGAAGAAGGGGAAGGAGCTAGCTATCCAGCTCTTCGAGGATGGGGACAAGCGCGACCCAGACTTACATGACATGTACATCTACAACGGTGCGCGAGTTAGGTTAGACGCGCTAAGACGCGTCCTATCGACGCAACTGACGCGTTCTACAGATTTCTTCGCGTACGGCTGTCTCGACCTCATCGACAAGTGCTTGAGTACTCTGCATACCCAAATTGCCAAGAAGAACTGGCCGCTATGCATGTCGTACCTGGAGGCTCTCACCATCTTCATGCTGCGCAATGACGCGTGGGGCAGTGCGTCTTGTCCTCCCCTTCGCGTTGTGCATCCCAACTGACGCGTCCAACCCAGTGGCCGACGACGGCGAACGCGTCGATCTCACCGCGAAGGCATACGGCGCGTGCCTCGTCACCGTCCTGCGCGCGCTCAAGAAGAATGGACAGCTAAACACCGACGCGTATCCCGCGCTTGGATACCTTCTCAAGAACGCCGCCGCCCTCGGCGAATGTGTCCAGGGCATCAACGCCGGCTCTGATTTTGCCTCCGTCTGCAAAGGCATTGGCAAACGACTATTCAAAGATCAGTCGGTCGAGGAGATGAAGGCGCTGCACCTCGCGAGGCAGAAGGAGTGGTTCGAGGGCTTGGAGGGGGAGGAGCGGAAGACTATGGAGGAGGTTATGAATGAGTCGGACGATGACGAGGATGAAGAAGAAGATGATGATGAGGACGAGGATATGGAGGAAGGTGGCGCGGAGGACCAAGGCAAGAAGGAGGGCAAGCCGTGGTGGAGCGGAGGAAGGGAGGGCGCGGAGGATGAGAAGGACGCAGACTTCGTCCTCAGTCGCGTGTGGAAGGAGTACAAGGATTATTTGTCGGATGTGCCCACGAAGCCGCTGCGCGGGCCGCCGCAGTGGGACCTGACGAAGTGGAGCAAGGCGGACAAGGCAAGGTTCAGTTTCGACGCGATGGACGATTGATGCAGCTTCGTCACGTTGGCTGATTGACATATAAAGGTGCGTGTCGAGGTGTATCTAGTGTCAACGGTAGTGGCTGATTATTCCGTAGATGCTGGATTTCTTGGTCGTATTCCTTTCCTGCTACGCTATTGTTGTCTTCCTCGACCTTGGGGTTATTCTTGGTAATGTACGTGCTATGCGACTGACTGCTGACGCGCTTCGTCATATCAATATATAGGCTATAGTTATACGAAGTCTTTTGAGCCGTGTTCAGTATGCCCAAAGCAGACGCCCATGTATTCTTCTCCCAGCTGGCTGGCAAAAATATCGCGACCTTCCTATGCCATCGACAGGTTCTGAATATGACGAAGCCACCGAACCACCAGCGAGCCCGAGGAGGAACCGAGCCGACCACTGAGTACTGAGCGACGAAGCGCACGAAGCCAACGCCACACTGAAACGAGGAACTCGTGCCAGACCCTGCATTTAATATCGGCCAAAACCGCGCACTCCCAGCTTCACAGCAGCGCTCATCTACGCTCTGTAGTGAGTATGCTCCCCTTCGTGAGGCATAGGCTAACGGACGGTTGCAGGGATGACAAAGCTGGCTGCCCGCGACGAGGTCACCAGCGCGCATCGTAACGGTCACGGTTCAACTCCTCAGCGGGAGTACAATACGCTGCTACCGTCGCTGGGGACGACCTGTTATACTTCTCAGCGCCAGCACACCCCGCTCGAAGATGAGCTTCGCGCTCTGCAGGTGTACGTCGAAAACCTGCGGGCGGAGGAGAACAGCCTTTGCGAGCGGCTTTGCGCAGTCCAGTCTCTACGTCGCGCTGCCGAACAAAAAGTCGAGCAATGCGAATCAATCCTGCATGCTCCCATCCGGCGGCTACCTGCTGAGCTTCTCTGCGAGATCTTTCTGTACCTCTGGCCTCGTCGGGCTGGGGAAGTGAAGCTCACCAATGGTCGGCCTCTGTTCCCGAATTTCCTCTCACCTGCCTTCTTTCCTGTCCCCTTCGTCTGCTCTCTTTGGCGCCGGCTCGCGAGCAGCATGCCTCGGCTGCAACCGCGGCTTTGCTTGGACGTCACGGACCCAGGCGCATTGACCACTCCTCCTCACCCACCTCCCGCCTTCGACCTCGCGGACGCTCCACGCATGTTCCTCCGCATGCACATCCTCGGCCAATACCGTAAAAATGGCCTCCCTCACCGAGACGTGCTCGAGCCTCTCGCAAAGCACTCGGCGCACTGGCGCGAGGTCATGATAGAGTGCACGTCGTGGCCTGCCCTGCGCTTCGTCGGTACGGAACTGGCACTTCCTCAACTGAGGAAGGCGACCGTCGTGTTACCCAGGCGCATTCGCTACGTTGGGATACGTCCCGAGGACGAGGAGAGCTGGTGGGACGAAGCTATGGCGTCCGATAATCCATGGTTATTCGACCAAGCGCCCGACCTCCGCGATCTAGTCCTAATTAACAAAATGGACGAACCAATCTCTTCCCTGCCTTTCACCCTCACCTGGCACCAGCTTACCAGCCTGACGGTGAACCCGTACATTGCGCCCGACCTCTATGTGGAGATCATATCCCAGTGCACCTCGCTGCGTTCCTTCACGCTGCGCGAGGCGGAGGGCGCGGGTGGGACGGTGTGGGATGCGTGGCTTCCGCCGACGCAGAGGACGTGCGTATTCCGCGGGGACAAGCTCTCGCTGAAAATCACGACTCTGCGGAACGTAAAACCGTTCTTGAAGGCAGTAGCGGCTCCCAATCTCACGCAGCTCCATATCGGCGTCGGAGCCATTGGCGAGAGCATTCAACCCATCCTGGACTTTCTAGACCGGTCGCGCTGCGGGCTCACGCGTCTCAAGCTGTGGTGGGCTATGGAATATCCCTCGACGGTGGAGTTCGAGGAGCTTCTCGGCCGTGTGCAGAGCCTAGAGTATCTGCAGTTGAGGATAGGGACTGCTTGGAAGAAAATCACCAGTCCTACTCTCGTCAGGAGTGCGCGCGCTCTCCTCGATTCCCTCTGCATAGTCCGCGAGGAGGGTAAACTGCCGGGCCTTCGCGTTCTCAAGATCGCTACGGTGGACGATCTTTCGGACGTCATAACGGGGCGTATCTTGCCCGCGTTTGTCTACGATGCGTCGCCCCTACACGAGCTGTGGCTCTCGACCCCAATACACAGGGATACATGGGAACACGAGGTGCCACGACGTGGAGATATGGCCGATATGTATGGTCTCCGGCGCTCCTATGGCATGGCGAAGCCGATAGCTTAGGATGATCAAGGTGAGCTTCAGCCTTGAAGATGGTTGCGTGGTATATACGAAAGACTTCGTCTAGCTTAACGCCATGGAGGAAAGGTCAATTTCCGACGGAAAAGTGAATGCGAACTGTTGAAGATGTGGCGATAGTTACTTCTTCCAAAATACTGTCCCTTCCTTTGAAATATGGCACATGTCTTACGGCCATGATGCATGATGCATGGACTGATTTGGTATCTAAACTCGAACCGCGTGATCTACGCGTGACCATCGGTGCCGAGGTTCAAGTTCGTGACGCATGGAGAAATTCAGGGCATCTTTGCCTTCTTTTTTTTTTGCCTCGTTCGCCCACTTTCTTAGAGCCCAAAGATCTCCAGAACAAAAATTCCATTCGTGCTTGTAGCGATACACCCATTATAGTGATACAGCATCCCGTAATCCGGCAGTGTCCCAGTATGGTCGAGTACAGCGTCCCAGAGTTTAGACAGCGGACAAAGACAGAATCGACAACGCAGAGCCAAAAGCAGCGAGAGCAAAATGACCGAACAACAAAGCGCCAAACACCTGTCCCGACGACAGCAATCGCCAATTACGCGATACCCAGCCCCGTCACAGCAGATGACGCGGTCGACATCGTATCCGACTCCGGCGACATCATATCAGTGTCGTTGAGCGTCGCCCTCGGGTCACCCAGCGATGTCCGCGTGGTACTCTTCGCCGTCTGCCTATAATCAAGCGCTAGCTGAGGATACTTCTGCCCATGCACGCGAAGAAAATCCTGCTGCTTGTGCGGCGACCACGTGTGGAACATGGCGAGCAGCGGGTCCTCTTCTCTACGTCGTGGTGACCCATGCAGTTCGCGTCGGTGCTGCGAGTCCTCTTCGCGCCGCACAGACTCGTGCTTCCATCCCGGAGCGAGCATGATGGCCATCGCAGCGCGCTCGCGCGGGCTGCGGTACTTCGTGGGCGTTTCCGGGAGTTTGCTGTGGGAGGGGAGGGACGCTAGTTTACTGCGCGAGGCAGAGGTGGGCGTCTCCAAAACAGTCGAAGGCGTCTGAGGAAGCAAGGGAGAACACCCAGCAGGCGTCGGCGTTGCGCAAGGCGAGTCGAGGGCTGAGGCCAGATCCAAGCGCACGGGACGAACGGGCGTCTCGCAAGGCGAGCTCATGCCTACAAGTGATGAAGTATCGCTTGGCTTCGCGCGCTTGGGGGTCACTATTGGTGGCGGGAACTGGAAGTTGCGCTTGAGCACGAAAGACGGTGTTGGAGGCTCTGTTGGTGCAGGAAAGCCGTCCGTCGGTGGTACGGGAAAGTCAACCGCACGCGGGCTGGGCAATGGCGTCGACAAGTTGGGCGATCGCACAGAGGTCTCGTACAGCGGGGGTTCGTTCTCTTCCGATACTGGACTCCTCGGTATGTCTGCGCCCATTGGCGTGGGTCTACGACCTCGCCCGAGCGCGGAGAGCGGTCCGCTGCTTCGTTCAGGCTCCGGTGCTGGAAACAGTCCCTTCACGGGCGAGCGGGAGCGTACGCCATTGCGATGGTTATTCGGCGGCTCGGTTGGCGCTTCGGGCAATGGTCGATCGGGATGGCAAGTGATAGTGGCTTCCGCGTCCACGGCGAAGTGCTTTGAGGCCGACGCGCGGACCGTCTCCTCGGGTCCAAAGGACGCGAGATCGGCGTTGGTAAGGACAGCGAAGGCAACATACGGCTCCGAGTATTGCGGCGTGTGCAAGGATGGCGGGGTTGGGCAATGCTGTTAGGCGGGTCAGTGATCAAGGGTCCAGGCGAACACGGCAGCGTCTAACGCACATGTGAGCGACTCCTCAGCGCCGCGCCCGTCCACTGCTGCCCATCCAGGTCGGTAAAGTCGCACTTTACGGACGCGAAGGAGCCGCTGAGCGTCCGGCGCTGGTCCTGGAGACGTCATCACATCAGGGTCGGTCGCGTAGATTATAATCACGGTGGCGCGCAGGTGCTCACCTCCGTCATGCGCATGGCGGCGCAATCTTCGAGCTCCTGCTGCCTCTCTAGGTCTAGCACGCGCTGGCGCCGCATATGGGACCGGGATGACATTGGGCGGGTGCGAGGGTGTATGGGCACAAATGGACAGTGGTGTGGTGGAGTTTCCAGTATTATAGAGCGATTGTCGCGTATTATAGTGGGTGTAGTTTGTGAGAGAGCAAAGCAGAAGAGACAGCAGGCGGCCTAGGGATGTCTCGAGCTGCGCGGCGGCTCGAGTGGGGGGAGGGATCAAGGATTATGGAGGGACAAATATTTGGCCCCAGGAGGACAATGCGCATGTCACAAGCGTTATTTCGCGTGACATAACGCGAAGGACCACTTTTTGTTGACGCGTTCCAGCCTTGCCTTTGACCCTCGTGAACTCCCTACGCGCTCCCTTCATCCGCTGTTCGCGCCATGCTCGAAGCGCAGCTCAACGAAGCGTCGATATTGAAGAAGGTCCTCGACTGTGCGTATAGCTCCCTAGTTTGACGCGCGCGACCCGGTTTGCTGACGCGCTTGGCAGCCATTAAGGAGCTGGTGACCGACGCGAACTTCGAGTGCAACGATGAGGGCATCAACTTGCAGGCGATGGACAACTCGCACGTCGCGCTCGTCAGCGTGAAGCTCGAGCGCGTCGGCTTCGCGAACTACCGCTGCGACCGGCCCATCCCCCTCGGCGTGAACCTGAACTCGCTCACGAAGGTGCTCAAGTGCGCGAAGGACGACGACATGTGCACGATCAAGGCGAGCGAGGAGGCCGACGTGCTCAATCTGGTGTACGAGGCGAAGTGTGCGTGGCGGGTTTCGGTGTCACGGTGTGCGTGTGTGCTGACGGAGATGCGCAGCGAGCGACCGCATAGCGGAGTACGACATGAAGCTGATGGACATCGACTCGGACCAGCTGGGCATTCCGGACACGGAGTACGATGCGCAGGTGACGATGGCGTCGAGCGAGTTTGCGCGCATTGTGCGCGATCTGTCGCAGCTCGGCGAGAGCGTGCGAATCGAAGTGAGCAAGGAGGGCATCCGCTTCGCGAGCGACGGCGAGTCGGCGAACGGGAGCGTGCTGCTCAAGCACAGCGCGGACGCGCCACCAGGCAAGGACGAAGAGGATGAGGAAGAGAAGGATAGTGAGGATGAGGAGGACGAGGACGAGGACGGCGAGAAGAAGGAAAAGAAGGCAAAGGTCAAGAAGGAGAAAGACGCCGAAGATGTGGACATGGAGAACGGCGATGGTGACGAAGAGTACGCCGACAAGGAGAAGGGCTCGGACGACGAAGAGGACGAGGAGGACTCTTCGAGCAAGAAGCGGAAAAAGAAGGTGCGCCGCCCCCTTCCTCTCTCACACGCCATACTGACTCCACCGTCCCCTTCTTAGGCCACCAAGTCCAAGCCGAGCAAGAAGGCCAAGAAAGACAAGAAGAAGAAGGAGAAGATCAAGGAGGAGCCCGAGATGCAGGGCGTCAACATCCAGCTCAACCAGCTCGTCTCCCTCACATTCTCGCTCAAGTACCTCGTCAACTTCTCCAAGTCGTCGAACCTGGCGAAGAACGTGCGCTTGCTGATGAGCAGCGACGTGCCGCTGCTCGTGAACTACGAGTTTGGGCAGGGGCATATTCGGTACTATCTGGCGCCGAAGATCGGCGACGAGTAGGCGCTGAACGTCGGCGGTCGATGAGTAGGCGCTGAAGTGCGGAAGCTCGCCAACGAGTAGATGCTGGGGCTGGGGAGGCCTCGCAAGTCTTGTGTGTATACATATCTTTACGCATCTCGCTTTCACTGTATCTTATGTCGTGCAATCGTATTTTGGGCAATCACCTTCACCGAGTGTATCTTCCCGCCATCGAAGACAGCAAGGTGCGTAGGTCGGGGCGCGGTCACGGGAACGGGCAGACGCGCTCCGCCAACGCGTTTTGTGAAGGCTTCCATCATTGTGTGAGGTCTGTACAGTACTGCAATTCGTTGCTAAACTTCTCCCTCTTCTCCTATTTACCTTTCTCTCGCCGCTCTGCTCTTCTGAACCTATCCTTCCCGCCTCTCTTTCACTCTACCCATAGCCCGTGCTTCTTGTGCCAGCCCTCGAGACTGTCCGGAGGGTACATGTTGTACACCTGTTTCTTCCCCTCTGGCAGGGGCACCCAGGCGGGCTTGGAGTCGGCGCGGCATATGCTCTGGGGTGGGGTCAATAGGTTATCAAAGCAAAATCTGGTTGACCGGTATACGAGAGAACGCGCGAAGACAAAGTAGATTCTGGTTGAAGAGAACGCGAAATCAAAGTTCGCACCATCTCCTGCACAGCGGCCAGTTCCGAGTCGATGGCGGCAGCGAAGGGGTGGATGAGCTCGGGCCATTGTTTATCGTACACCCATAGCATGCTGCCGCACTTGCTGCAGAAGTGGCGCTCGGACGAGGCGCGGTGTTCCTTGGGCGTGTCGCGGTCCATGACGGCGTGGTAGATGCTGGGAAGGGAGGTTGGTGTCAGTGCACGGTGGAAGTGCGTGCGTGTTGTACAGCTCGACCAGATAGTGTTTGGGGGGGCACGACGGAGACGAGGACACCAAGTCGTAGAGAGGAAACTAAGTCGCAAGATAGAACGTACTTTATCGCCTCCTTTCCTTGGAGGACATTGAGCGAGTTTGCGTGCCCGCCGAGGTTGACGCTGCCGCCGTATCCGCCGCATTTGCGGCAGATAGAGCAGGTGCAGAGCTATTAGGAGGGATTAGGCCAACCCCAGAGAACTGTATGTCGTACTCTAGAGTGTATTTCGCAACGCAAGGGTGGACCAGACATACCGCATACGGCGCGGGCGAGCTGCTGTTGACAGTGAAGCGCACCGTGCCGCAGTGGCAGCTGCCTTTGAGTTCAACGCCGCGCATCCTGCAGGGGTGTAGGGGAGATTTCGTATAGTTGAGCGGTGGCAGTCGTGATCGTGGTGGTGGTAAGAGAGAAGAACGCTCGGGTCACGAGCCTATCAATGTCGATGGCGAGGGTCGACGAAGCAGTGACGTCGCGGTAGGTCTGGTGACGGCAAGTTCGAGCGAGGTCAGACGCAAGGGAGGATTGAAGGAGGATCATAACAGCGGAGACATTGCTGGTGGGTCTTGTCGCATGGCCAGAATATAGTGCACGAATGTCGCTTGACTGGCAGCAACTTGGGGACCTACTTTCATACGCGGTGTAACCAAGTGTAACCAGTTAATATATGCGGGTGAGGACCTTGCAAAAGCGTTTTACGTAGACAAAAGCAAGGTACGAAGCAATGAGGTCCTACAGGAAAGGTCCACGTCAACTGGGGCAGAAGCCTCGTTGACCGCTGCATGAGACCGGAGAAGAGCGGGGTTGCCGAGCGTGGTCGGTTGCAGAAGTCCACAACTTTTTCTGATAGCGATGCTGGAGTCGGGATTCCGCCGTGAGGAGATGACAACGCACCGTGCCGCGCCAACGTACACCCTGTACGCGGAAGAAAGCTGCAGAGGACTCTGAAGAGTGCGGCACACGTGGAAGTTCAAGTTGCCCCGCATCACGTGTAGAACATGCGAGAAATGGGATGCGGGCGGAACCGGCGGACCGAAGCTGACTAAGCACATGTACAAAATTTGACGTCGACGCGTCTTTTCTTCTCGCATTCCTCCGGGACCACCAGTTCACCTCTCTTCCTCTCCCTTCACCGGCGCAGTCGTCCGCAAAAGCCTTTCCGCAAGGTCTACACTCCAGTCTAGCACAATGCACACCGTTTCCTCGACCTCGTCTCGTTCTCTTCGCCGCGCCGCCCAGGCCGCGAAGCCCGTGCTTGCCAGGGGAGCCCACAAGGAGATTAAGTTCTCCAACGATGGGCGTGCTGCTATTCTGAAGGGCGTTGACGTCCTTGCCAACGCTGTCAGCGTCACCCTCGGCCCCAAGGGTGAGTGGGACGCGTCGGGAGGGAAGTACACCTGACTAACGCGTCCTGCAGGCCGTAACGTGATTATTGAGCAGTCGTTTGGCGGTCCGAAGATCACCAAGGGTGCGTGGATCCTTCCTAGCATATATGCACGTTTTCTGACATCCTGTTGCAGATGGTGTCACTGTCGCCAAGTCCATTACGCTGAAGGACAAGTTTGAGAACCTCGGTGCCCGGTGCGTTCCCCTCCGCGTTTTCTCCTCCCCAGGACGTGTACTTACACTCCCTCAGCCTCGTTCAGGATGTCGCGTCGAAGACTAACGAGATTGCCGGTGACGGTACGACGACCGCGACGGTCCTCGCACGCGCCATTTACTCCGAGGGTGTCAAGAACGTCGCTGCTGGCTGCAACCCCATGGACTTGCGCCGTGGCTCGCAGGCCGCCGTCGACCGCGTTGTCGAGTTCCTCTCCTCGCAGGCCAAGACGGTCACCACCACCGCCGAGATTGCGCAGGTCGCGACCATCTCCGCGAACGGCGACACCCACGTCGGCAACCTCATTGCCCAGGCCATGGAGAAGGTCGGCAAGGAGGGTGTCATCACCGTGAAGGAGGGCAAGACCATTGAGGACGAGATTGAGATCACCGAGGGCATGCGCTTCGACCGTGGCTTCATCTCCCCCTACTTCATCACCGACGTGAAGGCGCAGAAGGTCGAGTTCGAGAAGCCCCTCATCCTCCTCTCCGAGAAGAAGATCTCGCTCCTGCAGGACATCCTCCCGTCGTTGGAGACCGCTGTCCAGGCCCGCCGTCCGCTCGTCATCATCGCGGAGGACGTTGACGGCGAGGCGCTCGCTGCGCTCATCCTCAACAAGCTCCGCGGCCAGCTCCAGGTCGCCGCCGTCAAGGCCCCGGGCTTCGGTGACAACCGCAAGTCCATCCTCGGCGATATTGCCATCCTCACCGGCGGTACCGTCTTCACGGACGAGCTCGACATCAAGCTCGAGAAGGCGACCGCGGACCTCCTCGGCTCGACCGGCTCCATCACGATCACCAAGGAGGACACCATTGTGCTCAACGGCGAGGGCTCGAAGGACAACATCCAGGCCCGTTGCGAGCAGATCCGCGCGCTCATTGACGACCCGACGACGAGTGACTACGACCGCACGAAGCTCCAGGAGCGCCTCGCGAAGCTCAGCGGTGGTGTCGCTGTCATCAAGGTCGGCGGCTCATCCGAGGTCGAGGTCGGCGAGAAGAAGGACCGCTACGACGACGCGCTCAACGCTACCCGCGCCGCTGTCGAGGAGGGCATCCTCCCCGGCGGCGGTGTCGCGCTCCTGAAGGCGTCCCTCATGCTCGCGACCAACTCCCAGGCCGCGTCTTCCACCTCCGCGCCCGTCTCGCCCGACGCGAAGCCGATACCGACCGCCAACTTCGACCAGGAGCTCGGCGTCGCGATCATCCGCCGCGCGCTCACGAACCCCTCGCGCGCGATCCTCTCCAACGCGGGCGAGGAGGCGAGCGTGATCGTCGGCACGCTGCTCAAGCAGTACGGCGGCGCGGACAAGTTCGCGTGGGGCTACGACGCCGCGAAGGGCGAGTACGTGGACATGATCAAGGCGGGGATCGTCGACCCGCTGAAGGTGGTGCGCACGGCGCTCGTGGATGCGTCGGGCGTGGCGTCGCTGTTGACGACGAGCGAGTGCTCCGTGGTGGATGCGCCGGAGGAGGACAAGCCGGCGGGTGGGATGGGCGGCATGGGGGGTATGGGAGGCATGGGTGGCATGGGCGGCTTCTAAGCTAGCTGTGGCGCCTCTGATTAACCTTTTCTCCCTCCCTCCCTCTCCCTCACTGCCTTCACCTACTGGGCTCCGCTATCCGGTCCCTTTGCGCATGAGCATCGGACACGCCTCATCGCTGACATGTACACCATGTCTTTCCTCATCGCTGATCGTTGGTCTCTTCAGGGTTTATGATTATTGACGCACTCACCAAGTCGCATCCGTCGCGCTAACCGCATGTCGCACTCACCGCGCTGCCGCGCTCCTCACCACCAAGTACAATACTCGTATGTTCATAGCTTTGACACTGCTATTCTAGTCTACGTACCATAGTCTGTCACGAATGCAAGCCGCTACTCCGTAACCCTAGGAAATGCCTCCTTGTGTGACATCGCGAGCCTGGATTTGAAAGCTTCCGACCTTACTGGAGATAGGCAAGGCAACAGGTACCGCTGAATTGCACAAAAGCAAAGAGCCTGATGACAAAAAGACCGCATACACGCTTGCCCCGTACCCGATTTGAACGAGTGATCTTCGCATTACAAGTGCGACGCCTTAGCCACTTGGCCAACGGGGCTTGCGATGTGTAGGCAAGTCAATGATTCTTACTGTCCTTCTGCCTGTAGGGCGCAGTCGTTGTCGAAGTCGTTTATACCGAAGTTTTATACCGAAGTTATGCAGCATGCGGGGGAGAGGGGGAGGGCCGCTCACGCACTTATGACCTGCAGCTATGCTTTCCAAGGCGAGTCGTAGAGACACGTCTCACTGTCACAATGTTAAGATAATACACAAAAGCAATGCGATTTCGACGGGGAGATAGAACGGCGAGCAAAGGAGAGTCAATGATCCGATAGTCGTGAATATGTACTAGGTACAGTGCGTGAGGAAGAGGTCAGGATGTGTGTGGAAGGGACCAAAAGACGAGGGACGTAGACGACAAGAGGAAAAAGTGAGTAGATAGAAGACGCAGTACATGAGTATGAGTAGGTCGATAGCGTTTGCACGAAAGCAGCGAGACCTATCGTACGTGGGGAGTCATGGGAGAGGGCATTACTGCATGCGACGAGGTGTGTACACGCTCGGGTATAGGAGGCATTACGAGGAAGGGTTAGATCCGATTTGAATATAACGATATGCGATCTGCAGCAGCCGTCAGTACCAACGACAACACGTGGAAGATCGAAACACGCACCGAAAGCTTTTGTGCAAGACGACAAAGCAAGACAAGAGACAACAGAGGGTAGGTAACGCACAGACGGGAGGGCGGGCAGAGTTCTCGCACCTCAATCCCGTCAGACGGCAACACCTACCATGTCGCCGGAAGCTGCCTTGCGCAGCTCCTTGAATTCCTTGCCGGCGAGCAGCTCGCGCACCTCCTCGATGCAGTCTGCCAGGCGCAGCTTGATCTCCCGCGAATTCTCCAGCAGCGGCTTGATATTCTCGGGCGTCATCGCCAGACGCGGCGGTTCCGGCAGGGGCTGAAGGGGGTCGATGGAATCCTCGACTTTCCAGGATGCGCCAGGCTCTGGCGAGAACGTGCCGGTGTTCCACGGTCCAGGGCCGGCGGGCATCGAGCGAACAGAGCCGTTCTTGTGGGTGGGCACGATGCGTAGCGGGGGACCCCGGCGGTCGATGGGGGATTCCCTGTCGGAGCCCTTGCGCTCGCGGATGTCCTCGCCCTTCGCGTGGTCTTCCTCCACGTTCGACAGCCGTGTCGGCCGGTCGAACAGGCTGGAACTGCTCCCAGGTGCGGAGGGCCCGGAGACGCTACGGCCACTCGAACTTCGGACCATAGCACGTGGGCTCATCTGAGAGTACGGTGAGCGACCGCGCTCAGGGTTGTGGGATGCCCTGACAGTCTCTGCTCCTGATGATGCCTTGTGAGGACGTTCGGCGGAGCTATGGGGCGAGTTGAGGCCTGTAGATACGATGAGAAAAAGGTCGATGCAATTAGGATGCGAGCAGCGCACCGACTGATGTGGACGGTTGCCCCATGCCCAAAGAGACCCGCGAGTCGGCGGTGGGAATGTCGAAGTCCACGTCCATACGATCCCAATCCTCGTCCTCATCATCGTCGACAGTCGAAGAACTGCCCTCGACCCCGTGTCCCGACCCATGCGCAGAGGTCGACATGGATCTGTTGCCATTCCTATCGTAGTCGTCCTCCGCGCCGCTGCTGCCTAGTGCAGGAGAAGCTGAACCACTACCTGAGCCAGGAAGAGGCAAGGGTACATCCTTATTCTTTGGCCGCCTCTTCACGCGAAGCCTGCTGCCCCGAGGGCTCTTCGCGCCTTCCTTCAAGGCCGACTTGCTCGGCTTGCCCGAGCTCTCCTGCGCCTCCTCCCTCCCCTCGTTCTTCTCACTCTTACCGCCGATGCGGAAGATGCTCGCCAAGCTGGGTCGCCGCGGACTCGACTTGCCACCACCGCTGACGCCCAAGCTGCTTGGGTTCCCATGGAAGCTGAATTTTGATGTGATTTTTGAGCTGTTCGAGTGCACGTACGGGTCCCGGCTCGACTTCGAAGGCGTGGCGGGAACCTCGAAGTGCGCCCGGCTGGCGGTCGCGTGGTTTTCTGAATGGTTATAGGGTGTTTCGGAGCGGCTGTAAGGGGTATCTCTTCCGGAAGAGTTGATGCTCTCCGGAGGGCCCGTCGATGTCTTCGCGCGACGCCTTCCAACGGTGATGCCGCTCGCGGTGGACACTGTGCCTATACGATGGCATTCATAACGGCGGATAGGTAAGTAATGCAAGACCAACCTTTGGGAGTAGGCAGACCAGCTGCGTTGAGGGTGGCATTGCGGCTGGCCCGCTTTCGTATGCCGGGTTGTGAGTGTGCAGGTTGCGATGTCGTAGTGCTGAGGCTGCTGGACGACTCTCCTGCGAGAGCGGGATCGACTGTCCCACGCTTCAGAGCGCGGAGCATGTCACGCAGGCCTGCCATGCCCAGGCCGCCAATGCGCGAGGCACGCTTACGCCGGACTTCAGGATTGGTTTCTATAGGACATGAGCACAAGGGACACAATGCAGGGGAGCTCGACTCACCGAAGGTTACTTCTGGGGGCAGCGCCAAGGAGCTCGCACTAGCCAAACCAGCTGCGTCGTCTCGCGCAGTTGACGGATGTCCGGCAGGTCCTCCTATCGTGTAGTTGTCCCAAGTCCATTCCCGGTTGACTGCCGGATCGTTAGCGTCGCGCTTGCCATGTTGATGCGCTGAGGAGTCATGCGGCACAACGGTCCGCTGCGGAGGCATCGTTAGCAATGACGGACTGTCTGGAAAGTCGCGAGACTTACCCCCGAATCCTCGGATGGCAGATGAGCAGGAACGTGCAAAGGACTGTCGCGTTGGCTCTCCGAGGGGCGCATGGACGTGCTGGACGATGCCTGAATGCGACGTAAGACACCCTGAAGACCGTCAAGAAGGCAAACTTACTCGTTGTTGCAGATGCGTCGTTGGCGAGGTGAGCATATCCCGCAAGAGCGTCAACTGCCGTTGGGTGAGATCGCCTCCGCCGCGACCGACCGTCGACGCCCTTCCCCCTGAAGCAGAGCTCGGCAAGGTTGGTCCCTCGCCAGGACCGACCATAGGGCTTTCGCCGTCCGTGAGCGTGATCGCACGCGTCCGGCCGACCTGAGCTGGTGCAGACGTCGACTTCTCTAGATGACTGCGGGTGCCGGGTTCGCTATCGCCTCGATCCCGAGTCGTCTTGGGGGGAGGCGGCAACATGTCGCTCGTCGATGTGGTGGCGCTGGTAACAGTTTGGTCGGACGCATCACGAGTGGGTTTCGGGTGTGATTCTGGGACCAGTCCGTCAGCAATGCAGTTCTTTGCTAGCACTTCACGACACTTACCGGTGCTCGGGCTCACGGCCACACCCGCAACAGCGGGAGGCGCACCCCCACCCAGCTCGATGAGCAAGTCTGCGCATTCCCAAGCAAGCATATATCGATTGTTGATTGACGCAAACCGCGACGAAAACTTTGCCAACGGCGTCGTCGGATCAGTCCCAGGGGGTAATGGCGAGGTAATCGGCGTCGAGACATCGGACGAAGGCGTGATCGAAGAGTTAGCGGACGAGGAAGGCTGCGATGACGAACTGGGAAGCGATGGCGCATTCGACGAAGACGCCGTGCCGCTTCTCGACCTTCGACCAAAAGGCGATCGTGGCGTCCGACTCTTGACGGGCGTAGTGGGAGTGCCGTCCTTACTCCGCCTGCGATCGATACTCTCTCGCCTGCTGTCCTTGCTCTTGCGCTTGCTATCCTGACTCGGCCGTCCGCGCTTAGGCGCCTCCGTAGGCGAGTGCTCAGCTTTGGTCGGAGAGGTAGCGGGAGGCTGAGCGGTGGGCTCCTCGAGGCGCATCTCATCCAGCATTCCGCTGACGCGGCTGACCAGGACGTTGTACGTGTCGCGGAGCTCGCGGATTTCTGTGAAGCATAGCAAGTCAACAAGTTGGACAGGCAGACTTCAATGGTGCCACATACCATTCACACTTCCAGCAAACTCCCTCACCAACCCCAAGTCTCGCCTCAGACCCTGTTGCGCCTGGCTGATCCGAGCCGGTATCCTCAGCCCACCACCCGACGACGTGTTGCGCCGCATATTGAGATCACTCAACGAGTTTCGCCGCATGTTCGCAGACGGGCGCGAAGTACCTAAAATAGTACCAGTTAGCCCTAGCGAACAGACAACTCCGACCACAAAACCCACCAGCATCACTGACGGTATGCGAGAGGCCAGTGGCACTATACGCTTGGATGAGCTGGGTTCCGGGTCTTCCTGAGCTTCCCGAATGCTCTCCGCGCCCGGACCCAAACCCCGACCCTCCCGACGCGTAAGGTGAGCTGAAGGGAGAGGCGCGTCCCAGGCTGGAATGTATCGACCCGGAGCCGACAGCGCGGTTGGCGGTGGTGGAACCTGCGAGACATTATTAGCTACATGCTCTCAGCGAGGTAAACCAGGCACCACATACCAGCTGGTCTACTCGCCGCGCCCTTGACAGCTTGTGGGCCTCGCGGCGTGGATAGGGGGCTCGGCTCAACGGGGCTTAGCCCAAGAGGCGATGGCAGCGGCGGCGTATGCAATTCGACCGGTGGAAGCAGCCCGCCGCTCTTCGTCCGCTTGTGCTGCTTGGGCGCAGTGTTCAATAAGTTGGCGACGCCGCCCGGCGCAGGACCTTTCGACCCGAACGATATTCGACGGACGAAGTTGGACATGCGGGTGGGCGCAATCGGGGTATCGAGCTCCCCTTGACTGCCCGAGGGGCCCTCGCCAGCGGAGTCCTCTGCTTATGTTGAGTAGGAGTTGGGATTCCGAGGGCGGGTGGAGCTTACCAGCCACGTCCTCGACACTGCTATTCAGAGGCCGGGTTGACTTCCGGAGCTGCACGAAGCCCATGGACTTGCGCTTGACGAGCTTTGCAGGAGCCTTGTCCTTGCCATTGGCATTGCTGCTGCTCTCGGGATGCTCAGGAAGCGGTGGCACGGGCGAGGACCCGCGGCTGAGAGGTGTCGGTGATCGGGAATGACTGCGTGTCATCATGAGCATATGTCACAGCTAGTGAATATAAACACTTACTGCCTCCCATGCGGCGTCGGCGAAGGGTTCAGTGACGCCCTCCGCATCTGCGGCGACGACATCGACGACCCCAACGACGAGCACGAGTTGTTATGGTGCCCGTACTTGCTCGCGTCAAAGTCGTACTGGATTGCAGGCACCGGCGGAATCGGCGGCAGCCCTTCAAAGTCGATCGACGTCGTGCTCTGCGGCCGCGGCGTCTGCTCGTTGTCGTCCTCGTCCATGCTCAATCCATCGTCGCTCGTCACCACGTCCCGCACCGCCCTGTGCTTGCGCATTCCCAACCGCCAGTCCATCGACTTGCCGCTCTTGCGGTGCGCTTTCCTGCTGCCTCCTGCGAGCATCGCGGGGTCGACGCTCTGCCGCCTCCGGTGCCGCTCGTTCGATGTGCGCGAGTCGATGCTGCCCCGGCGGCTCTCGTCCTCGCTCAGGCTACGGCGGCTGTCGATGCTCCGCCGGCGGTCGTCGTGCCCCGCGATATCCGCGACCTCGGACGGCGTGACGCTCCCGCGCTTGGTCCTGCGCGCCGCGTCCCACTTTTTCTTCACACTGCTCATGCGGCTGAGCAGGCTGCCGCCGGTGGGCGAGCCGACGCCGGAAGGAGGCGTCTGCGGCATCTGCGGCACGGCAATAGCGGCCTGCGAAGCTTTCTTGTGCAGCGGGACAGGCATCGCATTTGGTGGTGTGCGTGCCCTGGACGCGTGCGATGGTGTTCGGGGCCTCGATGAGGTAGTAGAGGGGGGTCGGGAGGATGTCCTTGAAGAGGTACGGGGACGCTCATTTGGTGTGCGTGGTCGTGAGCTGCTGTGGGACGGTGTTCGAGCACGCATAGATGGTCGAGTTGGCGGGTCCGTGAACACATCGCCCTCATCCAGCTGCATATGCGCGTCCTCGGATGACCTCGCGAATGGATATTCGGAAGGCTGAGAGGACGGGCCAGCGGCTAACAAGGAAATCAACAACGAGAGAAGGATAACATCGACAACAGCACTAACCATTCATCTCGTTGACCGGTGTAGGTCTGCTCTTCTTCCTAAGCCTCCGCCTCTCCCGCTCCTTGTGAATGGGTGGACTGGGGGGCAGGTTCTCCAACCGATGACCCGACCTAACGTGCGGGTGTGAACGGTCAAAGCGCGAGTCTCCGCTGACCGTCCGGCCGAGCATGTGCGCCGTGCTATCTGCGCTGGACTGTATGCTGGGCGCAGGGACAGAGAACACGGAAGCAGTGGGAGATCTAGGGTGTGGTTGGGGCGCATCGGCGCTGTACGCAGAGGGTAGATGAGGTATTTGGAGGCCAAGCATCTCGCGCGGGACTAGAGGAGCAACACTTGTCAGTCGAAGTACAATGTACAATCATCTTACGACGTACTTTCGGGCACTGGAGGTCTCTCTTGAGCAAGTGGTCGTCTACTGCGTGCGGTGACGGTCTTGTCCTCTTCTTCGCCGTGTGCGCCAAACTCTGCCTCGTCGTCGTCCTCCGAGTCGTAGTCTTCCTCGCGCGGACGCTTCGGTGATAACTGCACGCTGTTGGGGATCGTGTCTGGGATGGTCTGAGGAAAGCGCGTGGGCTCTTGACTACCCATAGGCTCGTCTTCGAAGTCCGCGTCCCAGTTCTCGCCCTCACCATCGCCGTGCGAGACGTGTGTCGGCCGAGATCGATCCTCCTTGATGCCTTCTGGCGCCGCGCCATCCCTGTCCAGCTCCCGGCTCGTTTTCTGGCCGCCGAACTCGAAGTCGTCGTCCCAGTTCTCCGTTTCGGTCGCCATCGTGCTGGTGCTTGTGTTCCCGCTAGTGAATTCTCTAGCGCCCTTCTAGGTCTCCGGGAGGTTGATTGTGCCCGACGCGTGGATATGTGCTGCGAACGCGGTTGTGCTTGGGCGATCAACACGCTGCAAAGGTACGTCCCGGTCGGCGCTCGCGTGCGTCGTGGCGCTCTTCTTCGTTGACCTGTCCTATGCCCTAATTGCACACCAGTCTCCAAAGCTCCGAGCCCACGCCAGACGCTGCAAAAGTCGGCGCCTCAACGCGACGAGAAGTTTTGTGTGAAGGAGAAAAGTAGAACAACGGAGACGCGACGCGGCGACCGCATCAAGTAGGTATGTACGCGTGTTGACAGCTCCGGCCCGCATAGCCCGCTGCCCCGATGTCGACGAGCGCCTCGAGTCCTTCGCGTTCTTCTCGACAATGACCTTCTCGACCAGAAGCGCTTCCTTCTCTGCGGGTCTATGCCCAAGAAACGCACTTATCCAAACCTTTGGTCTCAGCTGAAGGGCTCAACCGCGTCGGCTCTGTTTCCTCGAAGCTGACAAGCGTCTGTTTCGCCAATCCTGGCATGGTGGCGAAAGACGCTGATATGCCTCAGCCGCTTCGATTGCTCAAAACTACAACGGAATACTACAACAAGATGAACGTGGCCGCGAGTCGAACGCGCAAAGGCTCCCACCGAGCGCCACATCCTCGTATATGGGTCATTGTCGCGAGTGCGCCGTCAGCAAGGTCGTGGGCCGCAGCTGACTTCCAAGCCATATCGACGCCTCTCGCACCACCGAGGGTATGAGCCTCCGATCGTGGACTACACCACTGGTAGCACTGACTGGAACACTCGTGCTGTCACCACCGAGGATGAGAAGGGTCCCGGGCTTCAACACGCATCCTATCCAGGCCGGCCGACCAAGCAAACCGTCAGCCTTCCGCGGAAGCGACTTCGCATCGTGTCGAGCACAACGCGTAACGTCCCTAACCGCACCGCCGAGGGATGGAACCTCGGATGTGGACTACACCACTTGGTAGCAGGTCGAAGAGCACTGCGCAACAGGGAGCCTGAGCGCCCCGTTGGCCCCTCCTCGACTTACCGGTGACGGCGGTCGCCCCGTTCCCGGGGGGTTGAGGCGACCTGGCTTCTGGTGAGTGCCCTCCGTCCATCCCATTCTTATACTGGACCCTCTACACCTCGCCTAAGCAGGTCGTTCTACAGCAGCACATGTCCACTTCAGGCGGCGGCGGATAATGTGTGAGACCTCCAAAGGCCCAGAGGCGGACTTTGGCTTGAAATTGGCTTTAAAAAAGCGTCCGCAAGCGCGTCTTCGCGCGTGATCGCGTACTAGGCACGTGAAACTACCCCTTGGGCACACTAGCACAAATACAGGAAAACAATCTAGCGCTCGATCCCGTCGCAAGGTCCGTCATCATCTCATGATTTCTGAACTGCAAGGCTTTCCGCGCTGCTGTACACTCGGCGAGCTGTGCAAGTTCACGTATATAAGGTAGAGGTCTCTTTGATTTTTTTTCCTCCAGAAGCCAGGTCGCCCTTTGCCCTCGGGGTCGTGGGCGACCGCCGTCATCGGTAAGTCGAGGAGGGACCAACGGGGCGCTTAGGCTCCCTGTTGCGCGGTGCTCCTCGACCTGCTACTAAGTGGTGTAGTTCACAACCGAGGGCCGACTCCCTCGGCGGTGCGGACAGCGACGCTTCGTCGTCGTTCCCGTGGATGGTTGACGGTTTGCTTGGTCGGCCGGCCTGGATAGGATGCGTGTTGGAGCCCGGGACCCTTCTTATCCTTGGTGGTGACAGCACGAGTGTTCCAGTCAGTGCTACCAGTGGTGTATTCCACGGCCGGGGGCCCATACCCTCGGTGGTGCGAGAGGCGCCGATACGACTTGGAAGCGGCGACGTTCGTGACCTTGACCCGACGGCGCGCTCGCGACAGTGACCCATAGCTCGGATGTGGTGGCTCGGCAGGGAGCCCTTGCGCGTTCGAATCGCGACCATGTTCATTGTCTATCTATCCTTTTCGTTCTCATTTGCGCGCCAGAACTTGGCGCGGGCCCCAAGGCATTCGAAGCCATTGAATACATGTTGAGAATTATGCATATGTCGCGTAGAGTAAGTGCTATTGATACATTCAAGATCATAAGGAAATATGAAAAGGCGTCAAGAGGTCGTAACAAAATCGTTGAAGTAATCGTAACGGGAGGACGTCGACCTCAATGTGAGGCTTTGCCAGCGACGTCACTATAAATAAGGCTTTCCGAGACGCCCCATAATCAAATTGCCCACGACGCCCATAATCATCGCGAGCCATCGCTCTTCGCGCACTGCTGAGAGGTGGCTGCATCTATGGCAGACAGCCATCGCTCGCGCAGCTCCTCCGTTGGCAGATGCAGCGTCAGCTTCTCCGGCTCCCCATCGTCATTGAGAAACTGCAGCGACAACGGGAAGGAATTGCAGCAGGTAGAGGCGGGCGAGACTGCATGACTATGTCAGCTTTCGGACCCAGCACGGCAGCGCAACAGACATACCAAAAGCAGGTCGGCCAGCTTTGCACTCGCACGGTACCCTGTCGTCGGACAAGGGCACCGCGGAGAGGACGCACGCCATGTACACGCTGCCTTTCATCTTGAGCGGCGTCGAGCGAGTGCCGGCCTTGAAGAACGGATCGTACGATTTCCGCCCGACCAGGCATTGGCGCAGGCGGCCGCCGGTTTTGCTATCGGCGGCGAAGACGACGATGCGGTCGAAGATGTATACGAGGTAGTTGTAGTCGACGCCCTCGCGCGTTACGACAAGCTGGTCCGCAATGAGGAGGCGCCCAAACTTCTCCATCTTGAGTCCCCTCCAGTCGATGATGCGCTTGGCCATGAAGTGCCTGATGGCGTCGTAATCGCGTGCAGGGGGGTAGATGTCCGTATCGACGCTGAAGGTCGGTGACTGCGCGAGTGTGAGTTCCGAGTCCAGGGATAGGGCGTAGTAGACTCACGGGTAGGGCCGACGCCACACCGAACCGCTCCTCCGCCTCGACCGCTGATCGGTCTTGAGAGTAAGAGGACGCAATCGAGAGGGCCTTAGACTTGCTCCTTTGTTCCTCCTTCGCCGGCCGCAGCGTCCTGGACGAGGACGATCTCGAGACCATCGAGAGCGCGCGAGGCGAAAATCGTCCGGACAAGGTCGAGCTAGGGATGGCGGGTTCGACTTCGGACGAGTGGCTGTCACCGCGATCGAGCACTATCCCCGTCGCTTCTAATGGATCCTCCCACACGCTAATGCCCGAGTCGATCGAGGGCCGCCGGCTGTGGCCACTCATGCTGCTCGGGAAGTTCCCATCCGGGAGGGGGGACTGCTCTTCGATAACCATATTCTCGAGCATCTCGAACAGCGTCGTCTGCCTATTCGTCACGGTCGCCTGCGACACGATGCGGGGTTGCGTAGTGGCCATCTCGAGGAAGAAGCGGTTGATGACAACTGCCGTCTGGCGTTTGGGGAGTGGAGTAGAGCGGCCACTCATAGAGGAAGGGGCTTGGAAAAGATGTGGATGCGTGGGCAGGCCATGGTTACGCGCGTTTAGTACTGCAGCCATGTTGTGCGTTTGTCGTGATTGATAGAGCGAGCGGTCCAGCGCCAACATTGTGGCGTGCAAATAACAATGACGGGAAGAGGCAAGAACAAGAATGAGGGACGTCAAAACGGAAAACAAGAGGAGGTGATGGTCTATGATCAAGCCGCAACCGGTGGCCCAATGGCCATTGTGCACAATCGGAGATAACTGCGTTTCTTGATCGCCGGAGCCGTTGCCGGCAACGAGCATGGCAACGCGCGCCGACTCGCTTTCGCTGTCAACGCCTGCGTTCTCAGAAGTACCGATCCGCGAAAGCTATGACAAGAATTCACTTCAAGTAGAGTATTGTACTTATACACGAACGAGGACAATAAATAAGGAGCGAAGACCATTCCAAACCGTCCATTGCTTTGCAGCAAAGACCCGCTTAACGAGGGGTAGCAACGAGAAGAGACACAAGGAAGGAGGGTACGGTACGGCGTCTCTCAAGAGGCAGCTCAGGCTCATGCCATCTCTTCGAATCCTTCCGCGCACAGGCCGCATCCGATGCATTCCAAGCACGCTAGAGAAGATAGTCAGTCTCGTCGTATTTTCAAGTGGAAGTACACGCGACGTACCTAGACCGCCACAGCACGCGCACAAGTAGCACGGGCAGCAGAGGGGATTCTGGAAGGCGCCTGTCTCTACGTCAGCTTGAGGAAGCGCTGCAAGCTACAGCTTGCGCACCTTTGCAGCACCAGGCGCTCAGCATGATCCCCAAGATAATGACCACCACTAGGCCAACGAATATGACGGTGAGGTAGTCTGGAAGGCGCGTCAGCATGTAGAGTAAGGTCCAAAGGCGAGTCACGTACATTTGTGATCGGTGAAGGTGCTCCCGCTATCGCTTTCCCCCGTGGTTTGCCTGCTCATGAGGTGCGACATGTCGTGGTGCCCGCCACCGAGGAGCATGCTAGCGAAGCAGCCCAGGGCCATGACCCCAATGATAGACGCGATAGAGACGAGGAGCGGCACCAGCATGCGCTTCAAGCGATTATTGTGGCACCTCTTGTGGTGAGGCCCAGCCTGCGACGCCGACACATCGTTGCAGCACTCGTGCTCGTGCTTCTCGTCCTGCGAGAGGGGCTCGTACTCCGCCTTTCCAGTTACATCCATAACAGAGATAGCAGACGGTTGAATAGACACGCTCGGCATGTTGAAAGAGAGGTTGGGAAGCGCAGGTATGGTGGCGAAGAACAAGAAGCTAGCGGCGGAGACGAGTGTCCGGCGGTGTATGTATTCGGAGAACAGCAAGATCTAGAACGTGCCCTCACGGACGTCTTTATAAAGAAGGGGTCGCCGCGCAGCAGCTAGCAGATGACCGGGAGGCTATACCCAGGAGGCTATCCAACTGCGAACCCGATGAGTCGCTCGTGGCTGCGGGAGGCAAACAGGCACTGACGATCGAGGAACATCACGCGCGCAGTTCAACTTCGATCGCCCGCATCTACTGTACTTCTCTGAACTGTTACTTTTATCCCAGGACCGGCCAGTGCTGCAGGCTAGAAATAACATTAGACAAGGCATAAGTACAGCTACTGGTGGGGTACGTCTTGAGTTATATACTAGTGAGGATAATAGTACAGAACATGAAGATAGCTAAGCACAAGAAAGCAGAGAGATCCGGGCTACATGAAGCCGAGCAAATCCTCACTTCGTCGCCGGAGCAGGAGACCTTCACTCCGAGAAGAAACAAGTGTCAAAGGAGGAAATGAATTAGAAATGAGATGAGAGAGACGTGTAAGGAAAACAGGGAGCTAAGGAGACAATGCGTGCGTGCTGAGCTAGAGTTACAATAATGATGGATGAGGCGATGGCTCGCGCCAGCAAGACCCGACAGCAAAGTACGGCACAGGTCTGGCACAACTAGACGTGTCCGACGGAACCACGACTTCATGACCGCAATGCTGAAGGGTCCAAGTAGGCCGCAGGGTTCCGCCGACGGTACATCGCCTTCTGCGCTGCGCGCTCGCTGGCGAGCTTGCTGATGGCGTTCAGCAAATCACCTCTCCTCAAAGGCTCTGCAAAGCGGTCAGGTCATGCGGTTGAGCGGGGAGGCAGGCCACTGACTGGTGATATGGTCGTCCATGCCTGCACGCAAGCATCTCTCACGATCACCAATCACTACAAAGCTGTAAGCGCTTACTCTCAGAACCAACCGCGAACGACATACTGGCATGAGCCGTCAGAGCGATGATGGGCGTCGGCATCAAGCCTTCCTGCATCTCGAACTGACGGATGAGCTCCGTTGCTTCCATACCGCCCATGAACGGCATAGACACATCCATCTGGAGCAGCTGTCAGACGCAGAAGGAACTATATGCGAAGGAAGACGCACGAGGATGATGTCAAATGGCTTGCTCTCAGCAATCCTGCGCTTGAACGCGTCGACCGCGATAGCCCCATTGTCCGCGATCTCGACCATGTTGCCATACTTCTCGAGGATCTTGACGGCCAGCTTCTGGTTGACCATGTTGTCCTCGGCGAGCAGGATGTCGAACGAGATGTCGTTGGGGGTGAAGACCGGGTTCTGCGTGTTCGACTCCAGCGCAGTTATCAAGGCCGACGCAAGGTCTTGGACGGATACTGGCGAAGTGACTTGCGAGCTGATGCTGTTGTCCAGGCACCATTTGACTGCTGTTACGTGAGTGGACGTGTCTGTACCTGCGACTATTATATGGCTCACGATTCAGCTTCGGTTGTTCAGGGCCAAGGAGAACGATGGGTATGTAGCGCAAGTGCTCGTACTCGCGAACGCCCTCGGTCTGCAGGGATGATTAGTAGCGTGATCAAGCCTCTAGTTGATTCGACTTACGATGGCAAGAGAGTCGGTGATAATGGTGTCGACGTGCGGGCACTTGTCCTTGTTGGCCACTTGTGCAACGGTCGTCGCCACATGCGGCTTCAAGCCCAGCAACCTGATCTTCTCGGCAACATTGGACCTGTCGCCGAGGGTGTTCATGTACAGGATCGTCCTCTTCGCGAACGGCTGCATCTTGGTCAAGGTCGCCTCCAAGGTGCTGTGGCTGATTTGTGTCGTGATCGTGAAGTAGAACTTGCTGCCCTTCGACACCTCACTCTCCACCCACATGTCACCCTGCATGAGGGAGACGAGGCGCTTCGAGATCGACAGACCCAAACCAGTACCACCGTACTCCTACAAGACAGTCAGTAAGTAAGCTCAAACAAGCGCCAAACATGCTTACCCTTGTCGTGGAGCCATCCGCCTGGGCGAACGTGTCGAAGATGAGGCTGAGCTTGTCCTGCGCAATACCGATACCGGTGTCCAGGACACAGAACTCGATCGTGACGTGCTCGCCGTCCATCGCGAGTAATCTTGTGCTGAGTGCGACGTTGCCCTTGCGAGACACCTGGCTCGGTGTGAACTTGATGGCGTTGCCAACCAAGTTGGTGATGACTTGGCGCAGACGGAGCGCGTCACCTATGAGCTGATCGGGAATGTCTGCCTCGACGTCGTAGGTCAAGTCCAAGTTGTTCTGCGACGCGCGCACGACGAGGGTCTTGAGAATACCGAAGACCGTCTGGCGCAGCGAGTATGAGACCGCCTCCATGGTCATGCGACCGGCTTCGACTAGGGTAAAGCATAAGCACAAGGGACAGCAAGCTTTAAGGGCAATGCTTACTCTTCGAAATATCCAAGATGTCGTCGATAATCAACAGCAGCGAACGCGCCAAGCTGTGGACCAATAGCAATGACTCGCGTTGTGAGCGGTTCAAGTCGCTATCCAGCGTGAGTTCCGTCATGCCGATGATACCGTTCATCGGTGTCCTGCGCTGCATGAGGACGCGACCTTGCGTGACAACAAGAAGACGCACCGAATCTCGTGAGACATATTGGCCAAGAACTCGCTCTTACTCCTGTTCGCCAACTCGGCGGCCTCCCTGGCAGCGGTGTTCTTCTGTATTGAGTCGCGCAAGTTGAAGACCATGGAGTTGATCTGTGTCTTCAACGAGTCCATCTCTCCGCTGGCCTCGACCGTGATGAACCGAGTGAAGTCGCCGTCCATAGCCGCCTGGGAGATCTGCGCGAAGCCTCTGACCTGGGTCGTCAAGTTGCCGGCCATGGTGTTGACAGCCAACCTGAATGATACGTGAGCTGCAGTCGTATAGGTGATAACGACAAACATACGTGATCTCCTGCCATATACCCTGGACGTTGCCAACCTCGGCCTGGACACCCAGCTTGCCGTCGGTACCGACTTCACGTGCAACCTTCTTGACCTCTCGGGCGAAGATGGACAACTGGTCAATCATAGTGTTGATGGTGTTGACCAACGCCAACATCTCTCCGGAGACCGAGACACCCTGGATCTTGCGCGTCAAGTCACCCACAGACACCGCTGCTGTTGCCTCTGCGATGGTGCGCACTTGCAGCGTCAACTAAGAACATGATTAGAGCCCACACATGTGCAGCGGATCGACAGACATACGTTGGCCGCCATCACGTTCACGTTGTCCGTCAAAGCCTTCCAGGTACCGCCGACGTTCGTGACGCGGGCTTGCCCACCCAACTTCCCGTCCGTTCCGACCTCCTTGGCGACTCGCGTGACCTCGTCGGCGAACAGACTCAACGAATCAGTCATGCCGTTGACAGTATCCTTCAACTCGAGTATCTCGCCCTTGACGTCGACAGTGATCTTCTTGGACAAGTCACCGCCTGCGACAGCCTTCGTGACCTCGGCGATCGAGCGCACTTGGTTCGTCAAGTTCATGGCCATCAGGTTGACGTTGTCCGTCAAGACCTTGGAAAGGTTATAAGTAGGACGTCCTCCTCGGATCGCAAGTTTGGACTCACTGCCCACATGCCCTGAACTCCCGGTACGGACGCTTGACCACCCAAGATACCCTCGGTACCGACTTCCAAACTGACACGCGTGACCTCGTTGGCTAGCGTACTCAACTGGGACACCATCTGGTTGACGGTCATCTTCAAGTCGAGCATCTCGCCCTGTACGTTAACGTCGACCATCTTGCCGAGATCGCCGTTCGCGACGGCCTTCGTGACCTCCGAGATGGAGCGCACTTGGTCGGTCAAGTTCGAGGCCATTTTCTAGAAAGAGCATGAGACGATTGCAATGGCAGATAGAGCATCGAGACATACGTTCACGTTGCGCGTCAAATCGGCCCACGTACCCTGTACGCCTTCGACGGTTGCCTGACCACCCAAAATACCCTGCGTGCCGACCTCCAAAGCCACTCGCGTGACCTCGCTGGCGAAGGCGCTCAACTGGTCCACCATGGAGTTGACTGTGGCCTTCAAGGTCGCCATCTCACCCTCGACCTGAATGGAGATCTTCTGGGTCAAGTCACCGCCAGCGACAGCGGTCGTGACGACGGCGATGGATCGCACTTGATCCGTCAACGATGAACACATTCGATTGACCTGTATCCGGGTCAGGCCTGGACGATATCCGACTAGCAAGATGGCGCTACTCACGTTTCGCACCAACTCGTACCACACTCCTTCGACATCCGGAACGTCCGCCTGACCACCCAATTTGCCTTGTGAACCGACCTCCAACGTTACTCGTGTGACCTCTGCTGCCAGTGCCCGTAATCTGAACACGCGAGAATGGAGTCGTGGTAGTGACGGAGGTAGCGTAGACGTAAACGTGGACATGACGGATCAAGGGAGACATCCCAAGGCGGCAAATCAGCAGAGGAAGGATGGATAAGAGGCAATCGGGATCGATCCAAGGAGACGCGAAGAAGAGTACTCGTCAGAGGCCATACGGTGAACAATATAGTAGACGACGTACCTGATGACCATTCCGTTGACCGTGTTCTTCAAGTCCAGGATCTCGCCACTAGCCTCGACTTCGATTTGTTTGGACAAATCGCCCAAAGCGACAGCCTTCGTCACTGTCGCGATGGAGCGCACTTGCGAGGTCAAGTTCGCAGCCAATTTGTTGACGATAGCCGTGAGATCGCGCCATGTGCCCTCAACGTCGAGGACCAGGGCTTGACCACCCAATTTGCTACGAGAGATGTGAGCTTTACGTCCTCAGAGGCATGGTAAGGGCAACGGCAGGCGACGAGACAGCAACCGAAACGTCGACAACGCTAGACGGTCCTCACGCGCGATGCATGGAGCCCTGCACAGGGAGTACCGTCCAGCCACTGTCAATCGTCCGGATGTTTCCAGTGGAGCCGAAGCAACGATGACGCGGAAAGAGTAATAAGACGCACCCTTCCGTGCCGACTTCTAAAGCAACGCGGCTGACCTCTTCAGCGAAGACACCGAGTTTATCGACCTGTGTTCGAGTTGAGAAAATCACTTCAGACGCTGGGCGTACTACGCACCATAGTGTTAATGATGTCCTTGAGCTGAACCATTGTTGCGCCTTGCACAGGAATATCGATGCGCTGCGTAAGATCGCCCGAGGCGACGGCCTTGCAGACCCGAGCAACTTCCATGACTTGGGTTTCCAGTAGCGAGAGTTCCTGAGCTCGAGGGAGTGATGCGTGCGCAGCGTAGTTAGGACCGAGTGGAGCCATGGGCGGAGGGCCATCCCTGCCAGCAGGTGTGGTGTCGACGGTACGGAAGCGATTCATCATGGCTATGCCATCGGGGATCTTGACCTTGGAGTTGCAAGTGGGGCAGTTAATGCTCTCTGGGAGCGCCTGGACGGTTGGGGGAGCGGAATGGGAGAAGACGGGGCCCTTGGTGAAGGACTGGCCCGCGGCGTCGGTGTAGCCACGATTGAAGACGCCGTTCAATTCGGATAGGGCAGCGGGCATGCTGGAGATGTCGAGCTTCATGGGCTTGCCGTTGGGCTGCTCGACCACACGCTCGCGCTTCTCTGGCGGCGGGTCGACGGGCGCCTCTGTGTCTGGCTTCGTGGGCGGGGTGGAATTGGTGCGCCGACGGGGCTCCGGGGTCGGGGCGGTGTCGCGCTCGGTGCGCTCGTTCGAGTTCGCGCTGTCCCTCTCCTGCAGCGCCCGCTCCGCCTTGTGCATACGCGCGGCCATCGACTTGAGATCCTTCAAGATCATATCGGTCGCCCAATTTCGCGCGCCCTGATAGGTGGGGATCTTGGTCGCATTCTGGGGCGCCTGGAGGACGGGCAGGAGGAGGAGAAGGAACTGGACGAAATTGTCCGGCTCGTGGACGAACGAGTCGCCCCCGTCCATAGTCATGGCGGTAAAAGGCAAGAAGACTGAGGCCTTCGCCCGCCTCCCGCGTGAAAAGATGTTTATACACATTTGGCAATTCAGCAATCACGCGGCCACCGATGTCCGTTCTCGACAACTTTCCAACTCGACCAAGGCACTCGTATGCCTTTGTGAGGAGGCGTGCTGTGGCGAGCGATCCCCTACGAAGAAGTGACGTGAAAGGCCTGAATGAGCATCGATTCTCTGGGCACCGGCAGCGGGAAAACACCGTCATGAGAGGCCATATTTATAGAGCGACGGTCAGTGGGTAAGCTTTGGAAACTATATGCTCTCTACATCCGACAGAACAGTACAACATAGTAGGCATAACGATAAGAGACTACGTACAAACATACAAACTATACAGGCGCTAGTACACGCATTGAACGAAGCGGAGAATGCACAATTACACTTCCTGCTGGTACCCCTCCTCCCAGCCAGCGTCCTGCGCGTCCTCCTTGTCACTGAGATCTTCAAACTCGCCATCCGCGTCAGCTTCCCCTACCTCTTCCTGTGGCCGTGGAGGTGCCGGCAGCTTCCCACCGGGCTCGTCGGGAATGACGACCACCTGGGCCTGATCGTCGATCTTGTCGTCAAACTGGTACAGCTCCCCATCGTCCTTCTCGTCCAGCGGCTTGCTCTCCTCGTACGGCAAGAAGAGACTGTCGAACGCCTCATAGTTAATGCGCTTGCTGAACTTCGCCGTCTTCTTGACGAGGTGGCGCGCCGCCTCCGCGGCGGTGGCCCCGGTCGCGTTGGACGCGTCGCGCGGCTTGTTGCCCTTGCGTTTCTATACGAAAAGCAAACAGGAGTAAGACAATTGAACAGGAGGTAAGGACCAAGGCACAACAAGAGCAGCCGCGGGCGATTTGGGGTGGGTCGAAGAAATGGCGAGAGCGGGGTACGAACCTTGCGAGTTTTGGTCGGCTTCTCGGTCTCGTTGGCTTTGGCTGGTCAACCGTTCAGCAAAACAGAAGACAAGCATTCGATACTGCTGCAGACCACACACCTGCGAGAGCCTCCAAGTAATCGCGATTGAGCTCCACCCAAACTCGTTCTTTGATTTTCACCTCTTCCTCGCCGAGGATGAACCGGTCGAGCTCCTCCTCATCAAGGTCGAGGAGCTCGTCGCAGACGGTCATGTTGGCACGCCGCTCCTCCTCATTGGCCTCGAGGGCTTCGTTCAGTCTCTCGCCCTTGTCGCTGTGCAGAAAGCTCGATACTTCCTCCGCTATTGCGGTGGTAGCAGCCTCTTCAACAGGATTTGTTGACGTTGACGCAGTGACGGGCACGTCCTTGGCGGCGAGCAGAGGATCGATTGGATCTGACGCAGGCTCGTCGGCAGGACTAATCGCAAAGATGCCCTCGTGAAGGAGATTGGGGTCAAAGGCAGACTGTTCAGCCTGTTCACCCTCGCCATCCACATCGTCCGCCTCTCGTTTGCGTTTCCCTTTACGCTTCCCCTTCTCTTTCGCCTGCTCCTCCTTTTCCTTGTCCTTACCCTGCGCTTCCGCATCAACCTCGCCCTCCGCATCTTCCTCCGCCATCTGCGCAGCGAGACGAGCTGCTTCCTCCTTTTGACGGCCCTTGGTGTAAGCTGGAGGGTCGACCTCCTCATCGAGCCAGACATTGCGGAAGTCGGCGAGTGTAAGCGCGCCGCTGGGCGTGTTCTTGAACTCCTCAAGGCGTTTCTTGAGCGTGACGTCTGCGATCTTGACGACCTGGACGATCTCCTCAACGGAGCGGCGAAAGTTGTTCATGCGGGCAGCGAGAAGGAGGGCGGCGCCGCAAATGCCAGCGGGCCGGCGTCCGCGAGTCATCCAGTCGCGGTCGAAGCGCTGGACCAGTCGAACAGCGTCGTTGGCGACACGCTGGGTCTCGTCGCCGAACTCGAGAAGGGCAGCGAAGCGGGAGATGTAGTGCGATGGGTCGACGAGGGGTAAGCGGAGACAGAGGGTCTGTACGAGTTGAAGGTAGATGTGGCCGAGCTCGAAGACATTGACCTACGCTATGTGAGTCATGATGCCTTGCAGAGAGGGAAGCAGGAAGACGCATACCTCAAGGATGTCAGAGAAGTCAATGAGCATGTATTGTCGTGTTTCCTTCTGCCGGCATGCGACATAAAGACATACAGCGGCGACGTTCATGCTCTTGCGGCCTTTCGTGAACTTGTGCTCGACGGCGAGAGTGTAGAGACGCAAGGCAGCGAAGCGGACGACTTCGGATAGATGGAGTGCGATTGCTATTTGGGCGATATTACGCTCCGCTATTGCCAGCGTCAAAGGGGAAGAATGATGCGCGATCGAAGTACGCACCATTGGCAAGTGTCTGCTCTCGCGACTCGACGTTCCCCCGGTTCCCATAGGGTCCTCCTAAGCGGGCTCGAGCTGTAAGTTCGCATGTCAGCAGATGAAAAGGGCAGTTTGATTGCAGTACGCACTGGCACCCTGAGCAACAAAGGAGCCCTGAACCATGGCCGCCCCCGTCGACGTCTCGCCAAACACGACCTCGTTCACAATCTGACTCTCCTCCACGACCGTCCCGCACTGCGTGCAGAAGCTATTCCCAGCAGCAGCGTCGCTGTCGATGGTTGTACCACCGCACTCAGTACATATCGCCTAAATGATTGTCGATCAGTACGGCTTGGAAGTTAGATTAGGGAGGGGTCGGCGTACCATAATCGTTTGCGCAAAACGGTATAGAAGCTCTACTGTGCGTTGCGATGCTTAATCCTTGAATGCAGCGATGGGGCCGGCTATGGTCTGGAGACTTCGCTGGCCATTCAGCCCAGTCGGGAGCGCGAGCGAAAAGAAAAGGATTTCCGTGTTTGGAAAGCGTCACACTGCGTTACTGAGTCACCAGATCATGACACCGCGGCCAGCTCCGAGTTCGAACTTCCATCTTCTCCTGAACTTGCTCCATCCCGCCAAACTTACATTCCAGGCTACCTGTGCCTCACTTCTTGTTCGAATGGAAACTTTCGCTGACCTTTGCATATACGATGTCTGCAATATCTGGTTGAAAATGATCAGGGCTGTCGAAACATGTCCAGCCGACGGCTATTCTCCCAGAGATCTGCGACGTTGATGCGCTCTATTGTACTCCAAAAAGGTGCTTGAAAGGGACGGCCGCATCCCCAGTACCACTCCGGGTATCAGTGTGTATCAGCTTTTGGTAAAACCCTTGTCGGCACGTACGCCCACCGCACTCAGGTCAGATGGTCATGGGCATGAAGCGCATGCGGCGATGAGGGCTTCGCGTGTGTCGAAGGGGGCTTCGCAGACAGGTATATAAGGACGCACGGGCAATGTGCCTAGGTTGCTTCCTTCTCGCCGTCGTCTAGCCGCGGCCCTCCCCTCGTTCGCCCTTCACTTGTTCACGTCGTTGCTATGCTGGGTCTGACCGCGCTCGCGTCGCTGCTCGCCGTCCCCTCCGTGTTGGCGGCTCCCAAGAGGTGAGCTCCAGCCAGACGCCGTAACTGCTGCGCTGACGGCTCGAATAAGCAGTCGGGACAGGGCTTGCAATGGCCATGCAGAGCTTTGCGACCGTTCTTACGGGAATGTCACTTTCATGGGCTCGCACGACTCCTTTGCGTACAGCGATGATCCTCTGGCATGTAAGTTTTAAGAAGACTGACCTAGGGCCCTTTGCGCTTACAACCTTGATTCCAGTGGCCCGCGATCAGGAAGTCGATATTCCGACCCAGCTTGACACTGGCGTGCGCCTCCTCCAGGCGCAATCGCACATGAACGGCGACGACTTGCACTTCTGCCATACTAGTACGTCTTTCGCTCTGAGCTAGCAGGGATAATACTCTGACACCTCATAGGCTGTGTACGCCCTTCCAAGTTTGCGCCATAGCAGCCCTGTTCACACATCCTAGATTCTCTTTGACGGCGGCAAAGTCGTCGACTACCTCAAGACCGTCAAGACCTGGCTCGACGCGAACCCCGACGAGGTCCTCACGCTCCTCTTCACGAACCCCGAGGACGTCTCCCTCACCGACGTCTGGAAGCCCGCTTTCGACGACGCGGGCATCACCGATCTCGCATATGTGCCGCCGAGCCTGCCCGTTAAGCAGGACGACTGGCCGACTCTGGGCGAGCTGCTCGACAGCGGGAAACGCGTGGTGGTGTTCTTGGATGCAAACGCGGATCCCAGCCAGGTCGACTTTATCCTTCCTGAATTCGACATGGTGAGTCAGGCACTTGCGTTGAGACAGAAAAGTGGGGAGCTGACGCGGTTATTGTCCAGATCTGGGAGACCCCTTACGGCTACACGGACGACTCTTTCCCTTGCAGCATCGACCGAACTAGCGACAAGCAGTCGACGGCGGACCACATGTATATGATCAACCACTCGCTGAACAAGCACATTGGCGACATCAAGTACAGCGACCCCGAAGACGCGCCCACGACGAACGGTGTCGACTCGTATGTATACCTCGCTCTGACCGACCTCACTTAGCTAACGTTCACCCTCAGCATCGTTTCGGCCGCCGACAAGTGCGTGTCATATAGCGAGGACAACACATACCCAAGCTTCGTCCTACTTGACTTCGTCGACCTCGGCGAAGGCAAGAAGGCGGTGGACAAGTTGAATGGGTTCTAAGCGATCAGTTTCGCGAGACCACGCAGAGCTTGGGGATTGGGGACAACGTGAGCCTGCGGAATGCACTGTAACTTAACGACGCGTATTTATTTCCATGGCGCCCTTGCATGCCTTGACTGAAGGTTCGTGTGGCTCAAGTGTGCCACTTGGCCAACGATGCGACGATCGAGACCGTCAACCCGCTCTACGCTGCGCACGGCGACAAGGATTGATCGGTATGCAGCCCGATGGTCGATGAATACCGGCCGGAACTGCGACGTCCCCCACATCCCGGGTACCCTAGTGAAGAGATTGAGTGAGATGTGAGGTAGCCCAAGTTCACGGTGAACTTGATAATTCCAGGATTCCTCCTACCTAGAATGAGATCATGCCATCGAAGCTGTCCACAATCGTAGCCTGTGGTACACGGACTTTTCGGGTGGTGTGTACGGAGATTAAATGTCCCACTGTAGTCGTTGCCAACAGATGCAGAGTTTCGGAGGGGCGTTGGGCACGTGTAGAGCGTGACCGACATACAAATACTAAACGGAGCCGTGCGACTCATTCCCCGCCAACATCATCTCAAATTGCCCCATTGTGAGTAGGAACAATAGGAGACTCGGTGCGTCCTATATTGCATCCAGGACGTACGCCACCAAGACTGACCCTCGAATGTGAAGGAACGCGGCGGCGCACGAGCTTATTGTTTTCGGACCGTCTGTGGTCGTCAGCGCGCCAGACACGGGAACCCAGACAAGGCTGCCCATCGTCCCTCGTGCGCAGGAACCCTCATCTCGCCAGGTCAGGGCGGCGGGAGCACGGAACCGGGAAGTACGACGCGTGGCGCCAACCATCCGGGGCCGTACCGCACCCTGAGATCATCCGCGCGATTCGTCCATTGTTCGCTCGGGCGGCCGGCCGTCTGATACCCCACGCGTATATAAGGCGCGTTATCGCCCCCTTATACGGCTGCCTGCAAGGGTGCGTTCAACCGGCACACATCTTCAGCGCACGGAACGCGCTTTTTCGAGGGAAGGGACGCGTCGACGACGATCGGCGGATACTAGGCAAAGGATCTCACCATGTGTGCGTACTCTGGGCTCAAGGGGAAGAAGAGGCGGCAGGGTGCGTGCCATCTGACGTTTTTACCGACTGAAAAGTACTGACCGGGTCGGCCACCTGCAGTCGTGCCGTTTGACTACTGGATTCGTGGCGGGAGCCCTCGTCCCGCGCCCAAGGGCGATTTCGGCCACTCGGCCCCCACTTATGTTCGACCTGGGCACTGTCGCTACTACGCAATGGGGCATTGCGTGCACGGAATGCGATGCAAATACAAGCACGAGCAGTCGGGCGGTGCGTCACTGATCTGTACTCCTTTACACATATCTGACGGCTTCCGCAGAACCTATGAGCCCTCCCCAATGGTCTACTCCTCCCCCTCCTCTTCCCCCCTCCCTTCCGGCGTACTCGCCGGTCGCATACCCCGTCACCCCGCCTGCTTCCTGCGCGGTACCGCTGTTTGACACCATGATGACCCCTCCGCAAATGATGACTCCCGCCTCGTCGATCTCGTCTATGGGTTCTCTCACCTACTCGCCTTCAACGGCTACAACAGTCTCCGAGGACATGCCGTGGATATTGGACTTTGACCAGCATGACGACGCGGGTGTCGCCGTCGCTTCCCCTGTGGATGAGTTCGGTGTCCGTATGCCTGCCCCGCAGTCAGCGAGCAAAGTGCGGAACATGAAGTACAAAAGTATGTGTGACTCGCATTATCCGTAATGATGCATTAACGCTGTCTGCAGCGAGCCCATGCATGTTCTTCAGGTCCGCGTCTGGCTGCTCGAGAGGCGATATGTGTACATTGTTCGTAATGCTTGCAATCAGTAGAATTTCCGGCTGATCATCTTCCAGCATCCACTCGGAACCTTCCCCAGTCTCGACACCCGAGCCTTCGGCACTCGCACTGCCGCCTAAGCCCGCCCCTCCGCCACCGCAGGAAAGCCAAGAAGAGCGGAAGCGTGAGTTCTATCCGATAAAGTGGCGCGTCATAAGCGGCGGTACGAAACTGGGACGAACGAGTGAGTAAAATCCTGCGCATCACCTTGCTAATCTATCGCGACTCCTGCCCTATACACACGACCCGAAGCTCACGCACCTGCAGCCCCACCTTTGGAGCGCGCAGCACGACCGCGGAAGGCCAGCACTCGGCAGCGCATACGACCGCGCCTTCCAACCTCACTCATGGTCCGCCCACCGCCGCCTCCCTGTGTGCCGTTCCAGCTCCAAGCGCCGCCACAGTCTCAAGCACCGGTGGGCCTCCTGCCGGCATGGACCGCGGCTCCTGTACCTAGCCCGTCTCCTCGGTCACCAGTGTGGTCTGAGTCGCCTTCATTGCAGGAAGAGCAGGACCAGGATGTGTTCTCTTCCTCGTTCGACTTCCCGCTGCGATCAGCATGCACGGACGACGGTGCCCCTCCGTGCTCGTACGCCTTCCCGACAAGGCCGGAGACGCCGCCATCCATCCCGCGGCGCTTGAGCCTGCCGGAAACCCCGGCACGCGCTCGTGCGCTTTCTAGTCCTTATGCGGTGAGCCCGCGGGTGACGAGGCGCAGAGTTGAGGTGAGATGACTTTTCTGCTTACCGCACCGTGGCTAACTATCGTATCTAGCGTCTGCACCTATTCTCCGCCGAGTCCCCTTGAAGATCCGATACCACCGTACCAACACCAAGTCCTCAGTCAACGATTCCGTCTCAAATCTTGTATTTGTATCGCTCTCTCCACTATGCTTTCCACTGCTGCATCGCGCCCTCTACCATACGCGCCTATCTTTTATTTGTCCTGTCATTGTTGGGGTTTTTTGCCTGTCGAGCGGGCTCGCCTGTCGAGAGGAGGTTCTTCTGTTTCGCCTGTCGGAGGTGCTCGCCCATCGCCTGTCGGTGGGTTCGCCCAGGCTCAAGGGTTAGAGGTTTATTTACGCTGCTTGACCTAACGTATGGTACGATACTCTTGGACATGATCGAGTGGACTTTACGTACACTATATACGAACACAAACGCCTAGTATAAGAGAGGAGACGTAGTTAGTTGTTACGACGCTGTGCAAGTTGATGATGTTTGTTGTCTGGGTTTGGGGGATTTAGCGTGATGGTGTACATGTGTTTATGCGTTAAGTGCTTACTCTTTCAAGTTGTCTTGCCGTGAACCCAGGCAGAGCTGCCGACCACTGTACTGCCGACTACTGTACAGGCTTCTCGAATCGACCCAACTTCAACAGTCTACACATGTGATCCTGGCAATCGTACAGTCGAAGTTTCGAAGGAATTTCCGAGCCCTCCTCTCTCACAACCTTCGGCGCCGCCGCAAATATTGGTCACTATATCCTCTTGACTCGACCCACGGAAGGCCTTACTATTTGTCACTAAATTCAGGAAGTTCCAGCTCCCGGATCCGAACCGAGTCAACACACGGTTAAGGATCCCGCTGACCGACATCGCCCGCTCGCCACCGGTCTTCGAGTATTTAGGATGACGTTGTCGCCGTCGAGAAGGACCGGCCACTCGACCTTATCTCTGTCAGTGTGATGTCAATATCGCTGTCAGCGGGTCGACTCTGGAAGATACGGCCGAGGACGAGGTTCGGCGTCTCGACCGTCGCTCGTGACCCTTCTTTCCTTTATACCACCACGAGAGCGTCCTTCACGCCCACCAGATTCCATTCCTCATCCCCTCGCGTTGCAACGTCTGTCACTCCCAACATGCCTGGTGTCGAACTCAAGGGTAGCTGCCACTGTGGCACCGTCCGCTTCACAGTGAACAGTAGCTCTGCCGTCCCATACCAGGTAGGATATGCATTTGCAGTTTCTCGGATTTGCTCTGATGGATGTCGATCTTTTGCACCATAGCTCTGCACCTGCTCGATCTGCCGCAAATGCGGAGGCTATGGCGGGAGCGTCAACCTCGGCGGCCACGCTGATTCCTTGAAGATTCTTCAGGGAAAGGAAGCTATCAGGTGAGCTCGTAGCATATCTCAGGTCACTTGCGATGTGAATGATATAACGTGTGCACAGCGTATATCAAGCAGTCATGGACCGCGACACGCCGAAGGAGCATCGTGCATCTTCCCAGCGCAACTTCTGCAACAAATGCTCGAGCATGCTCTGGCTGTGGGACGAGCAATGGTAAGCGTATGCGCGCTATCTTCGCTGCACCTTGCCTCTGACATGATACTACTTTCAGGCCGGAGCTCATCCACCCGTTCGCCTCTGCCATTGACTCCGAGTTGGCCATCGCGGACGAAATGGTACGTTCGACCCTGCCACATCTACCTTTACGCGATGGCTGACTTAGTCATCTCCAGACGGTCGTCCGAACCGACTCCAAGCCCGCCTATGTTCGCCTTCCGGAGGGCAGAAAACAAGTCTATGAACTTTACGGGCCGGAGAGCTTAGAGAGCTGGCACAAGAAGCATGGCCTCTGGGTCGAGTAGACGTCGAGTGAAGCAAGAAATACCGGGTTGATGTTGGTGAACATGAATAGGGTTGGAATCGTGGGCGTACGAGCCGCGAAGTGTAATCCAGTAGTAATATATACAGGAACACTAGTCGTGCTGATCACCGCCAGCGGCACAATGGTGCGCGCCGTCTTGTTACGCCCGTGGGCGTAACCTATGAATCAGTTGCCTAGCGACCGCGGGCACAAACCCTTCCAGCGGTTCAGGATCCAGCTTGAGGGTGTATTCCACCTCGCCGTACTTCAGATGCCCCACCAAATACAGCATCACCCGCCCTGCGTCGCCGCCAGCTCCTCCGTTCACCGTGTTCACCTTGAACTTGACATTCGGAGTGCCCTCGTCATACAGAACATGCATCTTGAAGTCACAGCCCTTCTTGATTTTTGCCATAATTTCGGGCCTCCCGATTTTCTGCGTCAAGTGCGTGTAGTTGTTGCTTGCGTGGCAGCGTGTGACTTCTTCGAGGTAAATACGATCTTCGAGTGTCAATTCGCGTTCTTGAGAGATGTCGGCCAAATCGAAGGAGCGTCAGTGAGATCTGGTGCTCAGCGCGTACTTACAGTTGGGAGCGTACCCATTCGTTCCCCCGGGCATTCCATCCGATGCTGTCGCCAATGCTTCCGTTGGCAGTCCTTCGAACAATAGTATACTTCTCGGCAGACACAGCTTCTGACGGAAGGCGCCTGTTCCGTGCACTGTGCGCGTAACAGATATGTCAGCTTCAGCTTGCGAAGGACCAAAAGACAAGCATGCGCCCACCTCGAGATGGCGACAGCGCCGAACGGTATTGAGTCGCTTTCTGAACGCTTTCCACGCTGACGTGTGCATCTTCTTCGCCTCAAGGAACTGCGCCCAGCGCATAGGCAGAATATTCGACTCGGAGACCTTGGCCGAAGCCAGTAAGATATCTGTCTCGCGCACCATCTCGCGCGTCACTCGCCGCAGTCGGATCGCCGTAGTTATGATTGTCAGGAAGGTCTCCCCGATCTTGGGACAATTGTTGACCTTTGACGGTGGCAAGAGAGGGAGGTGGGACACAATGTTGCGAAGACCGACGAGGAGACCGTTCGGGAGTGCGAGGCGAACTATGCGCTCGCCGCCCTCCCGTTTACAGAAACATAGGAGAACAGTGCACATGGATACTGCGCGGATGGTTGTGTCAGGCACCTGGGAGAGGCGGAGGAGGTGACCAGTTATCCGTCGCACAGTCCTTTTGGACGGAGGAGGGATGTAGTACGTTTCCGCGGGCACGTCATACAAGCGGACAAGGGCTTCGGTGTACGTCCGCGAGAACTCGCCGTTGTCGATGGAGTGACGCGAACGCAGACCACGTTCCAGATTCAGGAGTAGCCTGCGCCTGATGCGCCCTGGGCGCCCACCACATAGCCTGTGCAGGACTTCTACCGTGCGCTCGTGGTAAGGAGAGTCGCGCTGCAGTAGGTATCTGGCGAGGATGTGCTGACTGCCCTGGTTTCGCAGATGAACGCCCAGATCATCGCCACGCTCGATCTCCACGAGAGCAGCGTTGGATGCGTCTATTCCATAGTCATGATACCACAAGGCGAGCATCTTCTCCAGAGGCTCTCCGCCGAGCGTCGCTAGGGTCTGTCGGCTCCCGTCTTTGAACGCTAGCAAGAGCGCAGCCACCAGGGCACCCGGGACCGTGCACGAGAGGAGGAAGTGATCGTTGGGTTGCAAGTCGAGTGGCCCAGAGAGCGGGTCAAGGAACTGAATCCACGCCCAGGCAGAGGGCCAGATGGTTTCAAAGCCCTTACAGAGCACACGCAGAGCCGCCTGCGTGCTGGCTTCCTGGGAGAGCAGGAACACCGCCGAAAAGAGCTCTAAGCCGCCCGTCGCTTCACGCATGCGCAGAGCAAAGGTATGCCAATCAGCCTGCGCAGGAATGTCCTTCGTATTGAGGGATTGGAAGGCCTGCTCCCAGACTTTGAGCTGTGATATTGGGACCAGCAGTTCGGCCTGTTTCTTCGAGTTCGCCTCCCTGACTGCGTCCTCCATCATCTTGAGGAATGGCTTGCCTTCCTTAGGGAGAGGCATGGCGCAGCGAGATTGCAGGAAGAGAAGACTGAGTTATGCGGCGTGCGAGTATGGACCTCGTTGCCCTTCGTCGCGCATATGAGGTGCACGAGGCACGTCGTACGTGAAGGTGGAGAGAACACAATCGCGATGGTTCTGGGGGAAATTCGTGGAAATTCCTTTTCACTTTCCCACGCTTCCCGATTAGGCAGGTGCGCAGTTGAATTTCGTTTCTCTTCTATCTTCCGCTCCTCTGCTTCGTTCTTCTTCGTTTTTTGACCGGAAGAATGCAACTTGAAGCTCGCTGAAGACAGAAAAACAGCAAAATGACAAGAGTGGGATTTGAACCCACGCCCCGAAAGACTACGGAAAGCTGTAGAAGCCTAAACGTAGCGCCTTAGACCACTCGGCCATCTTGCCATGCAGCGAACGGAAAGAACGGGATATATATCAGCGTGAGACGACCCCCTTTACAAGCGCCTACAACCATTGAGCGGGCGCTCTATTGCTCCTATTCCTCGTATTATCAGGTCAGCCCCAGATCTTCAAGTCATCTGATGGATATCCTATCATAACCTCGATTTCGTCGCTTGCGACCGGAGACATCGGTGTATCGCCCCTGCTAATTCTTTTGGACTCGTTTGCACCACCTGATAACAACATGAGCATGCGCTGGTTGTCTACGCAGAAGCGCAATACGTACGAGATGTCCGGCATTCTCGACGCGAGACAATGAGGCAAGGTGCTGCACACCGCCTATCGCGTTGTTGATCACGTCGTCCTTGACGAAAGCAGGTCTTTCGCTCACGGTAAGCAAAGACCTCACAGAGGAGACAGTAAGCAGAGCGAAAGGTCGGGGACTTACAGATAGTCGTCGACGGCCCCGTAAATTATGTGCGTCGGAACACGTTTGACGCCGTGCTTCAAGAAACCGTATGCACGAGCGACGCCGAGAGGATCTTCGTAGGTCGCCTGAATCGCAGGTGTGAGTGAGATGTTACGAGCCTATGAAAGTCTAGGTATCTCTTACAGCCTCCTGCCTCTTCGCGCATGCCAAAGTGACGCCTTCAGTCTTGTCCGGGTACTCAAGCGTAGGCAGACTACGCAGGCCGTGCTCCTACGCCGCTTAGACTAAGTCATCCCGGATAGCTTGCAGGTATAAAATTGCGCACCACGAACAGCCGCACAGCTCTATCGTCCCAGGTCTTCCAGCTGCGACTCTTCAAGAGGTTGTACGCTTCAGGCTTGCTCGGCCAAATATCACGTCGGTTGCGTGCGCCGTTGACCAAGAATTGATGAGGGCCAGCCGTCGCTTCGCGGTTCATGACCATCGGTTCGACCAGTATAAGAGAGTCGTAGGCCACACGCGGGGTATACGTGAGCGACAGCTCGAGCGCAACAGCACCCATCGACTGCCCGATACCGACGAGGCGACGCTGGCTGAAGTCGACGTCGATGCCCTTGCCCTGTCCTGCTAGGACCAGATGCACTGCACGCGCGTATTCACTCCAGCCAACTATGGTTGCGTTAGCACGCATTTAAGAACCTACGGTTTGGAAAGAAAAACAGAAGCGACGTACACACGGGCTCGTAGCCAAACTGTAGCTCGCGCTCGTTCAATGCGGCTGACGTGCCGTGGTTCGGGCACTCAATAGCCCACATGTCATGTATCTTAAGGCCAGGTAGCGCGCACAGGTCCTTCATTACGGGCTCGGAGATCTCATTGTGGAAGCCCGTCGCGTGAGTCCAGACGAGGGTGAGCGCGTCCGGCACTTCCGACGATGTTTCTGGATCCCAGTAGCGCTTGACAGATACTAGCAAGGGGTAGTCCGGACGAGCGTCGAAGACATATGCTTGAGACTGGAGGACCATGGCGGCAGGAGACAACGAAGGACTCGCTGTTTGAATGGCTTCTGAGCATGATGGTGCATGATTGAGAGGACCGGCCCGGTTCGTGTAGCCGGCCATACTCGGCAAATGCCGCAAGATGAACCCTCTAGGTCCTGAGTTGCGGCTTTGCGCAGAGTCTTCTGGGATATGCATCCACACAGACAAAGAGAAATGTAAGACTGGGACGGAGAACGGAATGAATTTGGTCTTTGCAAGTCACTTGCAGACTTACGCTTCTTCATAGCCATGTCTGAAGAGTCTCACTCTCACTCATAGATCCAAGTTCACTCGGTCATGACTACCTTTCGTGTTCTTATTACTGGCTTTCTGGCGGTGGAAGGGGTCTCTACTGCCCGCAGCCAGAACTCCTCCAGTGTGATAAGCCTCTCAACATGATGAAGGCTGCCGGGTTCGACCGCGGAGCCTCCGGATATGCTCGGCGCTAAATGTGAGATCACCGGAGGCTCTTTCCAAATTTCATGATCGAGTCGCGCATTGTTTTCTGCTCTTGAACGCGCTCGCCAGCATGCCCGACGCCTTTTTCGTCTCGAACAAGACGCGCAAGCGCAAGCGCTCCGGATCCTCCGCGGATGCGTCGGGCAAGTCGAAGAAGTTTGCCGGGAAGAAGGGGCGCGAGCCGTCATCCTCGAGCAAGCAGCCCACGAAGAAAGCGAAGCGGAACGACGAGGAGCTCGACTCCGATCGCACGGACGATGAGGGGAACATCGATGATCTGGACTTGAGGCAGTCAGATGGCGAGGAGGGGAGCGCGGACGAGGATGAGAACGAAACCCCCGCGGAGAAGAGGTTAAGACTGGCGAAGCTCTACCTCGAGAGCGTGAAGGAGGGGTTAGGTGCGTGTCATGCATTGTCCCCCTCGACCTGACTAACATCCTGCAGCCGAGGGGGAGTTTGACGCCGCGGATGTGGACAGGGAGCTCATCTCCGCGCGCTTGAAGCAGGATGTGCTGGAGCACTCTGGCAAGATCCACTTGTTCGTCGCAGACTCTGTACGTATCCCCTTTCCCCCTTCGACTTAGTTTACTCAATGATTACAGTACGACCTGTCCCAACAACCACAAGAAGTGCTGCGAACGCGCGGGCATCGATTTTCCGTCACATCTGCTGTCGCGTCCGAGTCTGGCGAATATCTGTACACCGCGGGCAAGGAGGGCTCGATCATCAAGTGGGACTTGAAGAATGGCGCGAAGCAAAAGACGATATTCAAAATACGGCCAGACGTTAAGGGCAAGGGCAAGGCAGTCCCGGACGCATCTCTACCCGGTCATACGGATGAGGTCCTCGCGCTTGCTCTCAGCAGCGATGGGAAGTACGTCGCTTCCGCAGGCAAGGACAGGCGCGTGTGCGTTTGGGACGCAGAAACGGGAGAGTGGATCAAGAGCTTCATCGGCCACCTTGGCCATAAGGACTCGATCTCGGTGCGTTTACTCTGGCGTTTGCGCCGCTCTTGAGCTCATCTCCCTCAGTGTCTTGCGTTCCGCAAAGGCTCTCATCAGCTGTATAGCGGCTCCTTCGACCGCACGCTGAAGGTGTACGACCTCTCGCCCGACGTGATGGGCTACGTCGAGACACTCTTCGGACACCAAGACGTCGTGCTCTCGCTCGATGCCTTGCGCGGCGAAACCTGTGTCAGTGCTGGTGGGCGAGACAAGACCGCGCGCTTCTGGAAGATCGTGGAGGAGACACAGCTCGTGTTTCGTGGGGGCGTGCGCAGCCGCATACGCGACGTCCTCGAAGGCGGCCTTCGAGGCGAGGACGAGGGCGAGGATGTGGACGACGAAATAGATGCTGCAGCGAAGCGGAAGCAGAAGAAGGAGAAGGACGCGAGATACGTGGAGGGGAGCTTAGAGTGTGTGGCGATGGTCGATGAGACGACCTTCCTCACTGGAGGAGATAGCGGGTGAGTGGTTAGTGTATGCCGCTGAACGATATCGCTAACCTCATTCTCTAGTTCGATCTGCTTGTGGTCGACACAAAAGAAGAAGCCGATATTCACGCAGCCCCTAGCTCATGGCTTGCAAGAGACCCCTTCAGAGACGGAAGGCGTAGTGCAGACACCGCGCTGGATCACGGCCCTGGCCTGCCTTCACTACTCCGACCTCTTCGCATCAGGTACGTCCCCGCATCGTGGTTCCATCCTGTTCTATATTCATTATACGTGTAGGCTCATGGGACGGTACCATCCGTTTCTGGAAGCTTGACCCGAAGCTGAAGTCCTTCTCTCTCGTTGGCACTACCCTCGCCCTCGGCGTCGTCAACTCACTGCAACTCGTACCTGCTCCGAAAGGCTTCTTCGAAGAGTCAGAGTGGGCATCCGCACCTGCAGTGAAGAAGTCGGCGCCGTCGTCTGTGCTGCTTGTTGCTGGCTTGGGCCAGGAGCATCGCTTCGGCCGATGGCTGCAGGTTAAGGACGGTGCAAAAAATGGCGCGCTCGTTGTCGCGCTACATCCCACAAGGACAGCATAGTATTGTAGTCTATTCTCGGGGCTTCATCTGCTCCTGAAATTATATTAAGTCTGACCGGCACTGGCGGCCCGGTCCAGGATTCTCATGCGTCGCGCGACGCGACGCGATTGCCCCTCTTCGTCCCGACCGTCATCTCCTGGTCATCTCCGCCTGGCATCCATCATGGCTCCTCAGTCAGGCTCAGACATGATCGAGTACATGGACGCCACTATCAAGGAGACGGACCCACAGAAAAAGGCCAAGCGCCTGGACATGCTCTCGCAGCCTAAAACCTGGCGGCAGGCCTTTCGGGCGATGGACATGAAGTACCTCCCGGAAGTGCGCCCAGGCACGCGCTATCAATTCACCCCCCGCGTGGGCGATGCTGCTGAAGCCTTGCAGGCGTTCTCTGCGACGCTCATCCAGTATGAGAACACCCAGGACCTCACCATCTATCGCGTCATGTTCTTTGGCTTTCATCTACTATGGAATACGGCATGGGCATGGATTGAGTTCCTCGACCCCCTGTCTGGTACGCTTAACCAGTCTGGAATGCAACGATTCTTTATCTCCGTCACCATTCCTGCGATACTACCGACCACCCTCTCCTTGGTTCTGCTGGAGAACGACCCGCAGACAATAGCCATGATGCAGGAAGAGCCCTTGGAACGCTACCTTGCGCTATGGTACCACAATTACGGAGTCGACCCATCTGACCAGGAGCTGGCGCGAATTATGCGCAAGCACGCCGAATCCGTCTTCACCAGGACCAAGCTCATGCAAGACATGATGAAGGAATTCCTCGCCCCCGATTGCCCTTATTACGACCGGATGGTACAGGTGTTACATGTCCTATGCGATGGACGCCCGGAGAGAATTCGGAGGCGGCTTCTCGCCAATCTCGAGAGAGATTTGTACTCGCCATACCTCGTGAAGGACGAGAAACTGATGCAGACGTACATCCGCCCCATTCTCCTTGTATTCGATGTACCGTCATACCACTTCAAGGCTATCTCGGGAAGAACGGTGCGAAAACTGTCCGGAACCCTTCTCCGGCTCTCGCAGAGCCCAAAAACCACGCTCCGCGCCATCCTTGTATGCATTCTGGTCGCCGCACTGCATGAAAAGCAACCCGGCGAGCGCGTCATCGCTATCGCTATCGCCGGAGGACTTTTGCCAGCCCTCAGAAACATTGTGGCACACATGCCGCTTGTTGATCGAGCATGGATCCCGGAGTGCACACAGGTAATCGGAGGTTGCATAGACACCATACGCCTGTCACTACGCGTGCGTAGGGTGACTCGAAGCTTGGTGCGCGTCGAGGACGACTTGCGATTGGCGGTCAAACTGCCTGCGAACGATCTTGCGGAGGCATGGACTGGGCTCCTACACGCGAAGGGCGCTCATACGGTGGCATGGAACTCGTACAGAAAGAGAATTGGGCTTTCGCGAGGCTGCTTCAACCTAGAGGTATGCGTGCACGAACTTGGCATCATACGCGTGCGTCTGCTCATTTCCACGGCGCAGTGCCCATTGGAGCGTGAGGCCCAAGTGAAGACGTGCATATGTAAGGAGGCGTATTACTGCTCGAAAGTGTGTCAGCAAGCGGACTGGCGTCTTAGGCATCGTATGACTTGCGCCGGAGAGCGCGCAGGTACGTCTGACTTCACGTTGCATGATCGCGGGCCTCTTAAGCCCCTGTAGAGTGCGACTTGGTTCTTGAAGACAGGATCTTCTTGGAAGAGCTGACGAGTATCTGCGTTGCCGCCGAGCAAGCGACCATCAACAAGACGCTGCAAGATACGAAAGTCCAGGACAAGCTACTCAATGGCTACGATCTTGAAATTCGCGTCCGCTTTGATGAGAACTCGCCTGACGTAGGAATCGTGATGGACACCGTAGAGAGGCGGCCGGAGGTTGGAAACAAGGGGAACTTCTTCTACCCAGTGGCGGAGATAACGTACAAAGGGCTCATGTACATACTGAAGCTGGACCCTCTGCCGTTGAAGCCGATTCGTTACGACGAACCAAGGGATGAGAGAAAGAGAACACCCTTTTCTTGGATAAGATGATGCATGTAGAGCTTATATCTTCCGTTTCAATCTAGACAGCCCCTTTGCCTTGGGCTATCCGAATGGGTGCACATCATCGGTTCAGCATTGATTTTGAGGACGTGGGTCCTCGTATTCAAAACAATTTCCTTTTGCGGTTACCCTTGCAGGCTTGGTCCTGACTTCCATCTCGAACACAAACGCATACGCACCATCCTGTTTCTGCCAGCTCTTCATCATGTCTTTCGACAACGCCGAAGAGTTCGAACAGAGAATCACAGAGGCGATAGAGGAAACAAATCTTCGGAAACAAGCGATACTGCTCGATCCACTGCTGCAGCCTCACGTATGGCTTCGGGCCTTTCGCTCTCTGAGCCCCGATTATATCCCGCAAAATTCCTCCTCCCCCGTTGACGAGCGCATGGCGGACGTATTGAACGATCTGCAGATACTTTCGATGATCCTCATGCCAGATCCCCAGGCGCCGGTCAGCGCACCCGTCCTTCGCGCTCTTCTCGTTGGGTTTCGTACTATGTGGCCCCTCGCGTGGACATGGGTTCAATTCTTGGATCCGTTGGCTGACGGACCGCGCTCAGACGGCATGACGCGACTGGTCATCTCGGCGACCATACCCTCGGTGCTGGCTATGGGCCTCAGGCTAGCACTGAAGGAAACAGAAAATCGCGCGCAGATCGTGGCCTCTATGCGAGACGAGCCCCTGCAGAAGCTCGTCGCGCTGTGGTACCACGAATTTGGGATAGATCATTCAGATCCTGCCATGCAGAAGGATCTCGAGCGCGACAATGACCAAGGGTTATGTCTCCAGATCAGGCATGCTCAGGGAGCTATCAGCGAAATCATTGCGGACTCTGGATCGGAATACTACGACAGCATGGTCAGGGCGCTGTACAAAATCTCGGGCGGGCACCCAAAGAGGCTTCGGCGTAGAATGCTGGCAAATCTGGAGCGGGGCCTGCATTCGCGACAACGCCTCTCGGAAATGGACTTGGCGCAATTCTATTTCGCACCCGTTTCATACCTTCTGTCCATCCCATCGTACACGTTCCCTCCTCTATCCGGCAGAACCATACGAAGACAAGCTGCGCTATTGCTGGAGCTGTCGCTCACGCCAGATACCACTATGCGTGCGGTAGCGATGTGCTCAATCATCGCGTCCCTACACAAGAAGGAACTCAATGGGCGCGTATTGGCTCTGTCGATATCCAATGGGCTGCTTACGGGCGTGCGGAATATCATCTCCCAACAGTCTGTCCATCGAGCACTGCGCGAAGGGGATGGTGCAAAGGTCGTGATCGCGCTTATAATCACCTTGTTTGTCACGCTTCGGCTTCGGCGGGTGGCAAAAAGCTTTCTTCATACGGACGTCTTACCGTTGTCGAGGGAGGAGTTGTTAGAGCCGAGAAGTCCGCTTGTTAAACAATGGGGGCACCTAATGGGGAGGAAGCCTTTGCACGCGCTAGCTTGGGCGGCACATAAGGAGAGGCTCAAGCATGCACGCCGCTGCTCTAATTCAAAGGTGAAGATCTCGTCGTGCACATAGCGATTCAAGAACACTCATCCCTTCTCAGTGCACGGCGCGCCCCACATCCGTAAGACGGTGCATCTGTCAAGAGGCGTACTACTGCTCGAAGGAATGTCAACGGATGGATTGGCATCTGCAACATCGTATGGACTGCGTCGGGGGGCGTACAGGTACGGTACCCCTCTCCTTCAATACGTTCTCCTGACAATTGGTAGGATGCGATCTCGACTTGACGCTGGAGGACCGCATATTTGTGGAGGAGCTCACACGATGCTACGTCAACGGAAGTCACCCACTGCTGTGTCGAGAGATCGCCACCTACCACAGGAACATCAGATATGGCTGTCATATCGCCATCCGTGTTCTATACAACAAGCATACGCCCCAGGTCGAGTTTCTTGTTGATCCCATAGTGCAGACAGAAGGAGAAGACCGAGATCCACGCACCTTGCTTATCATCATAGCTGAATTTGCCTACTACGAGACGAAGGCGACCTTGACCCTACAGCCCTTCCCACTGCACGAGTATACAGAGATGGTAGTAGATTGAGGGCTCTTGTGGTACATGTCCTTGCTCAATACGTTGATTTTGTGTAGTTTCTGCTCGACAGCTGTCGTGTTTCTGTGGATTGACATCAAGCTGCGACTACAAAGCTTCACTTTACAAGAGCAAACAACGCCCATTCCCGCTGTCCTCAACATATGCGATTTGCAAGGCATTGAACACCTATATGCCTTCATACATGGATTACACCCCTCGTCGCTTCCCTCGCGTAGCTCAACTATCTAGCATACTCTACAAGATCCTTCTCCTGCAGCCCCCGGCTGCTATATATTGGTACACGGATCTGAACTTGTTCATACGACAGCCGCCGCCCGCCATCGGTCCCGCCGCGAATCGACTCTTCCCTCGAAACTTCGCCGCTCCTGGCGCCTTTGCCTGCTTCAGCCGTCCTAGGCTTCGCCGCCTTCCCGTGCCTTAGCTGCTCTGCCGAGCGTGGCCTGTCAAGGTGCCCGTTGCTCTTCGGATGGAGTCCCTCCTGCAGCACTTGCTGCGACGCCGCTCTGCGCACCTTGCGCGGCAGCCCCTCTAGTGCCTCCTGCTCCTCGAGCTCGTCGCATGACCGCTTGCGCGCGCGCTGCGGGCTGGTCTCCACGTCGTCCTCCTGTATCGGCTCACCGTCGACGGAGGTATCATCACACGGGACGGTCATTCGCCTATCCTCCATCTCCTCTTGCACCGTCACCTCTTCCAACTCCTCATCCGCGGAGGAGAGATACGACTCCAGCTCGGCGTCGTCCATCTCATCCTCGCCATCCAAAGTGGCCATGGGCAAGAGCTCGATCTGAGCGGCCGGCGCAAGGGGCGCGACCTGTGATTCTCGCTCGGGGAGGCGTTGCTCGTTCTGCCGGACCGTCTGCGACCCCTCAGCGCCGCTTGCGACGGTTTGGGCGCGAACACAGATCTTGCATCGGCAATGATATAGCGGGGCACATGCTTCGCGCCAGACCTGGGGCGTTCGTCAGACATGCCACGGACGTGAAAAGCACACCCCTTACCTCCCAAATCGCCCTCCGACTCTTTTCTGGTAGATGGGCGATGCTGATAGGAATATACGGAACGGCGGGCATGGTGCGAGGGTTCTCAAGTACGGGGTCGACAGCGATAGTGATGGACGCAGCGTCCTCATCCATGGCTTCCGACTCAGCGACCTTCGTCGCACCCTCCTCGCTCTTCGTTTCGCCTTCGCCCATAGGTAGGTCTGAGTCCGGAGGTAATGAGTGGCTTGCGGTCGAGCTCGACGTCGGAGGGCTCTCTGTGTGGTCGTCGTTCATCTCTTCGTCCGCCTTCTCCTTCGCTGAGGCTTCCTCTCGCCGCTCGTCTTCGCGCCGATACTCGCGACGAGCGACCCAGTCAATGCCTTCAATCCACGTGCTCTCCTCCCGCAGTTGGTCCATGACATCCTCCAGCGACAGCCGCGCAGCGCGCACGGCAGGATCTGTGGGTAATCGCTTGACAGGCAGTGTTCGCGCAGGAAGGACGGGCGAGCTCTGGGGCGATGAGAGCGACGCCGCGCGCTCAGCTCGAGTGCTTGCGGCGTCAGCCGAGCACTCTTGTACGAGTTTGCGGACGAGGTTCTTGAGGGCCGGCAGCAGGAGGTTGCGCATCGCTTGCGCGAACGCGCCGTCGACGGCGCGCAATAAGCCAGTGTTCGAGGGCAAGTCCAGGGTTACGGATGATATACGTGGGTGCGCGATCCCGCGCGCGGTGTCGTTTTCGTCGGTGTCTTCCTCGTCTGTGAACCATGGGCAGGGATGTCGCGCCTCGACGATGAAGTCCTCATCTTTGCCGCCGGCAGCGTAGTCGGTTTCTATATGCCCGTATGATATCAGAAGCTGTTCGCTGGGCGCGAGCCAATGCCCATCCAATATTCGGTTTCGGGCCCAATCCAAAAGTGCTAGCGGGCGAACTTGCGCCTCTTCCCGATAGTGCGCGCCATCCTCGTCTTCCATGCCATATACATCGTCGTCCGAGACGTCAGAGTCGTCGTAATCAGCGTTACTGGCCACCTCGGGCGTGAGTGTCGCCCGCCGCCGCGACCTCTGCCCGGTCACTGCCATATCGTATGCGCTGCTCACGACCAGCTGCTCGAGCAGATCGCGTATCTTCGTGTGCTTGCGGAGCCAGTACTTATCGCGAGCGAGCGAGAGCACATCATCCACGGCGCCATCACCCCAAGTTAGGAAAGCATCCCGAGAGAGACCTGTCTCCCAATCCACATCCCCTGTGAAGTCCCAGTCGACTTCCCCGCTGAGGCGCGGCCCACCGATAGCAGCGACGTCGTCCGCAGAGTCCTTGACGCGGTTCCAGAGAGCTTGACCGCGACAGGCGCGACAAGTGGCCTGCACACCGGGCCAAGTTTCCTCATCCTCATTCTCTTGCACGGCGACTAAAGCGCTTGGGTGTGGCTGCTGGTATTGGTATTCACCCATCTCTTGTGGCGGAGAGTCGCGCATGCAGACGCCACAGAAAAATAAGCGCCGCTTCCAGTGCTCGGTGCACATGCCGCCGTACGAGTAAAATGATGGCGGGCGATGATATCTTCTGCATTGTGAGAGCCCCTGCGAGGTTGTAGGGTGGTTGATGCGACAGACAATGCAGGTGTTGGTGTAGATCTGGCGGAAGTGACGGGCTGGAGGAACGCGAATGGTAGCCGCAGTGGAGGAGTTGGACTTGACGCGGACGACGGCTAGATGGCCGAGATGGTTGTGGGGGTCCATGACAGCGAGTGCATGATTGTAGAAGAGGTGGTAGTCAACTGTAAAGGTGTCAGAGCGTGAGATACTAGCGATGATGGAGGACGGTGGGGTTGGGGTACATTCGTGGCGGCATATCGAGCGCAATGGGCGCAGACGGGGGAGCAGATTGTGGCAAAGTAGGAGACGTACGTGCAGCTCCCCACTGTGGACAGGTCTCGTACATCTTCTCGAGAACGTTGAAGTTGCGCAAAACATCGTAGAGCATGCGCTGCTGCCAATGCTGGGGCTGCTTGAACGCGTGGGGGACATGGCCTGTTCTGCTGCTCTGGAGCAGGAGGTGTGTCGCGATCAGACTGGAGATGACGATCAGCATCGCGTAGCGCGTCGCAGACGCGCGAGCACACACGCGTCAACGTCAAAGGCGGACGCACCGCACAACTTCGGGGGGCAGCTGGGGCCAGGAGCGCGTTATCTTTCCTTTGTAGATTGTTGCAGACGACTCCGAGGAGCTCGTCGTCGCGTCCGACGTCGACATGATCGACGCGGAGATGGTCAGTGCGCAGAGCAAAGACCGTCACAAGCGATGATGACACGGCACAGCAGATAAAACCACGTGGTGGTACACGTGCATATGATGTCGAACTTCTGGGGGATCGGTGCTTTCTGCAGGCCACTTTCTGTGCCGGGCGCGCCAGATACAAGGTAAGATGGGAGATCTGCGAAAGTAGTGGATGAAGGTCGAGAGCAATCGCCGCAAATCCCAGATGACCAAATTAGGAAATAAGCGGAGAGCCGGTGTATCGGGCCGGTCCCAGGCCGGGACCCCCAACGTTTGCAGGCTTCAGAGATCGCTCCAGATCTCTGCGCATGAATGAGATCACGATACAGAGTACGGGCGGCCATTCTGTCCTGCAGCTGAGGCAACTGTGCGCGTAAACTGCGCCATAAAAACCTTATGCCGACCTGGTACAAGAAGCACGCTCCTTCACCGCGGACAAAGCACTGACAACGACCAGATTGGGCAGAGACAAGCATAACCTATATTCCGAGCAAGAGCGCGGAATTCTCCTTGGACGAGAATATGTTTCTGGTACAGTACGACAGGAGAACATGTGATCGAACAATGAACATGGTCGCGGATCGAACGTGCAAGGGCTCCCTGTTGAGCCACCACATCCGAATTACGGGTCACTGTCGCGAGCGCGTTGTCAGCAAGGTCGCGGCCGGTTAAGGAGGCTTCCAAGCCATATCGACGCCTCTCGCACCACCAAGGGTATGGGCCCCCGACTGTGGACTACACCACTGGTAGCGCTGACCGGAACACTCGTGCTGTCACCGCCGAGGATGAGAAGGGTCCCGGGCTTCAACACGCATCCTATCCAGGCCGGCCGACCAAGCAAACCGTCAACCCACGAAAGCGACGACGGAGCGTCGCTGTCCGCACCGCCGAGGGAGTCAGCCCTCGGTTGTGGACTACACCACTTGGTAGCAGGTCGAGAAGCACTGCACAACAGAGAGCCTGAGCACCCTGTTGGCCCCTCCTCGACTTACCGGTGACGGCGGTCGCCCACGACCCCGAGGGGAAGGGCGACCTGGCTTCTGGAGAGAAAGGCAAGGATACCTCTGCTTTTTATACGCGGACGTGCACAGCTCGCCGACGATACAGCAGCACGGAGAGACTCGGAGTTCAGAAATCATGAGATGATGACGGACCTTGCCTCAAACACGACCTTTGGGGAGGGGAATCGAGCGCTAGGTTGTTTTCCTGTATTTGTGCTAGTGTGCCCAAGGGGTAGTTTCACGTGCCTAGTACGCGATCACGCGCGAAGACGCGCTTGCGGACGCTTTTTTGAAAGCCAATTTCAAGCCAAAGTCCGCCTCTGGGCCTTTGGAGGTCTCGCACATTATCCGCCGCCGCCTGAAGTGGACATGTGCTGCTGTAGAACGACCTGCTTAGGCGAGGTGTAGAGGCTCCAGTATAAGAATGGGATGGACGGAGGGCACTCACCAGAAGCCAGGTCGCCCCAACCCTCAGGTAGGGGCGACCGCCGTCACCGGTAAGTCGAGGAGGGGCCAGCGGGGCGCTCAGGCTTCCTGTTGTGCAGTGCTCGTCGACTTATCACCAAGTGGTGTAGTCCACAGCCGGGGGCTGATCCCCTCGGCGGTGCGGACAGGGACGATACGCGCTGTGCCGTGCTGGACATGGCGCGAAGTCGCTTCCGTGGAAGGTTGATGGTTTGCTTGGTCGGCCGGCCTGGATAGGATACGTATGCAAGCCCGGGATTGCCCAGGTGGTGACCATACGAGTTATACTTCCAGTGCTACCAGTGGTGTATTCCACAGCCGAGGGCCCATACCCTCGGTGGTGCGAGAGGCGTCGATACGACTTGGAAGCGGCGGCGTTCGTGACCTTGACCGACGGCGCGCTCGCGTACAGTGACCCATATTTGGGATGTGGCGGTTCGGTGGGAGCCTTCGCGCGTTCGACTCGCGGTCACGTCTATGCTGTTGATTGTTCTTGCTGTAATGTGAGAAGGGGGGTGCGATGTATGTGAATGTATCTGCTGTTTTGCAGACTTGCGAACCGAATGTTGCGACGGCAAAGATCCTTGGGCGTACTTGCATGAGAACCTTGGTCATCGCGTGCGCCACCAAGTCGTGGTCCCAGAGCACGACGAGCCTTGCCAGGATCGTCTCGCGCAGCGGCATGTCGGTTACATGCGGCGACAGAGGCTTGGTGTCCTTCAGCGCCAACTTCAGGGCCACATATAAGTTAACTCGCCAGTAATGTTCACCAGGAGAGGAACGACGTCCACCCCGCAAGTCGAGTCGCCCGCGAGAGAGCCCGGAAAGTCGATCCAGACCTAGGCCGTCGGGAAGAGTGTCTGTAGCCCCAGGAGGAGCGTGCACGTAATGTTGCTGTATTCTGCTCTTCTCGTGACTGGCAGAAGTGCTGCCGCAAGGAGCTTCAGATCACTGAGTATCGCGTGCATACGCAGGTTGACCGGACGATGACCGGACGATGAGGCCAAGAAGGGACATTATCTGGCTAGAGGGAGCCAAAGACAGGCCTGCAAGAATCAGGGGCGTTGGTTGCACCTTCCACTCTCTGCACGACCGCGGTGAGATTATCCAGAGTTATGAATGAGGGGAGAGTAAGGTGAAGCTTCTTGGGAAGTGATCGAAGGGTCCTCGCGCTGCGTTTGGTGCGACCTACGATGGGAGTCGGGAGCAAGTCACGGATTTGTCGATGTCACAGTTGAAGTCTTGGTTGGTCACACTGGAGGAAGACTGTCCTACATAGCTTGTGACAATGAAAGTAGGTTTGAGGCGAAGGTCTTGACGGCGGCGAAGACGCACTAATCATGACTATAAAGTTGTAAAGGAACGGCGGACCTTTGCCAGGGAACCTGGTACAGCACAATGCGACTTAATTCAAGGCGTGATAGCTCAGTTGGGAGAGCAGCAGACTGAAGTTCTGAAGGTCCCGCGTTCAATCCGCGGTCATGCCATGATATCTTTTTCGTCTCTTGCGGAGCGGCGGGCTTAGGTTGCTGGCTGATTATCCATTTCTTGTACTTCTGAGGTTCCAGCGCAGGGGCATCTGAGTTCACGAACTATGAGAGTACATTCAGGTGAGTTCATCGGCAAACGCCGGAGCCCGATCTTGGCCAGAACGCTCATCTCGCAGTCCGCCTGGCACCATATACTACCACTTTTATTCCCCCGGCCCTCACACCCACGAATCTTGGGCTCTGCTAGACCCAGGAAGTCTTGCGTCCCGACAGAATTTCGTCTCACTTCGTCGCACATCTTGCGCTGGAACGAGCTGCAGAAGAGCCGGGGGCAGCTATCCGCGTGGGCAGATGCCGCCACGCTCCACACCACCACCATCGCGCGCCTATGTCCCCCAGAACGATGCTGCAACATATCGCGATCTCTTGTTGTTTGAAGAGCGGCTGAAGTCGAATGCGGAGTTCCTGCAGAAGCGCAAGTCAAGGTACCAATGTACGTCTCCAGCCATACCACTGAATGATTAACTTACTTCCCCTAGTCTTCCTCATACAGCTGCTTCTTATCATTGCACTTCTCCTCTCCGAGGTCCTCTTCATGTCCCCCGATATGTCCCTCCTTGCCATACCGTATAGATTTGTCCTGCGCAAGCTATTGCCTGACGTCTACGGAGACGGCCGTGATGCAGCTCTCACCATTCACCCCTTCCTGGCAAGCGGTATGCTCTTCGTGAGCGTCACGACACTTGTACTATTCTTTGCTAGCGGCATGTACGCCGAGAAGATTGCCTACGCGAACAAGTGTGTGTTCGTATCCTTACCACGCCGTGCGCCTGTTCACATACCTCCAGATACGTCCCCCACGCAAACCGCGCCCTCCGCTCCTTCAACATATTCCTGAACGTGCGCCGCCCGCCGCTGCGCACTAAGTTTCTCAGCAATCCCCTGTCCTTCCTCTTCGAGCGGCCCGACGACGACGCGACGACGCGTCCGCGCTCACGCTCCCCAAGCAATGCGCGGTCGAAGAGCCCCACGGGCACGCTCCCCATCCCGACGATCCCGCCCGCGCAGAACCCGCGCGGCGAGCTCATCTTCTCGAGCAAGGTCGACCGCGGATTCCGCGAGGGGTACGAGCGGTACCGCGCCGCGTTCGAGAAGCGCCGGCAGGAGAAGGAGCGCATGGAACGTGCGCGGCGCTGGTGGGGCCGCCTGTGGTTCTGGCGCAAGCCGCCGGCGCCGGCGCCTGTTCCTGCGAGTGGGCAGCCCGCGCCGCGCTCGCGGACGCCGTCTGGGATGAGCGCGGCTAGCAGCACGACGTCGCGGCGCGGCGGCGGCTCGAGGAGCGGAACCCCTCCAGCGACACCGCCAAGAGGCGACCCGCGGCGTACGCCACGGCAGCGAGGGACGTCGCCGCCTACGGGTTCGACTCCAGAGAGGCAACGTGCGCGATATTCCCGGGATCTGGATGCCGATATGCGGACGGTGGCGCTGGAGCGCAGTACAGCTGGTTTTAGCATGGGTTGACGGTGATTAGCGATTGTAATAATTATGCAGTGTTTTCAGTTGCAGGTGTCGATGTCCAGCGTTGTCCAGCGTTGTCCAAGCTGACCACTGCCTGCTTTGCTTCGAACGTTCGACGGTCGCTTCTTCCGCGCTCCCCGTATCAGGCATGGTGCACGAGGTATGTTTTTATTGAAGCCTGTCCTAGTAAGCCATGGCCTCCCATCTTCCGCCCGCGTCCTCCTAGGTAACGTTGCATTCAATACATTGTGGTCCATGCACGCTTGCTTACTAGGATACACCAGGTTTACGACCCACTGCCTGCTCACCCGCTCATTTTGTCGTCATTCCGCGACGCTTTCTAAATCCTACAAGCCCTATTTCGTCCCCTGAAAGTGTCTAGCGTCGTATATGCCGTCGCGTTGAGAAGGTTCCGCGAGCTAGATGCACATCGTGGCGCGCATGGGTTCAGGATGCTAATAGCTATCATGTCCTCTATAAAAGCAGGCTCAAGGTCAGGATATTCCTCCACGTCTCTCCCTGCTGGCACTACCCCTCAGCATGCTTGTCAACACGACCTCCGGTCTGGAGTCCCTGCAGGAACAGCTGCGTCGTTCGGGCATCTTCGCCCTCGACATGGAGGGCCGCGACCTCGGCGCCGCGAACGGCAAGCTGTCCGTCATTTCCTTCCGCACGCTCGACGACGTGACCTACCTCGTCGACGCCCTCGCTTTCACCGCCGACCAGCTGCAGTCCCTCCTCAGCCTGCTCGCAGACTCGTCGGTGACGAAGCTCGTGTGGGATGGCCGAATGGATGCGAGCGAGCTTCTACATGGCTATGGCGTGCAGCTGCGCGGGGCAGTGGACCTGCAGATCGCGGACATCATGGCGCGCAGGAAGAGGGAGAGCTTTTTCGATCAGAAGAGGAGGCTGAGCCGGGGGTATCGAGGGATCCCGGCGTCGCTCATCACAGAGGCGGAGTTTGCTGATGTGCACCGGTTGAACGGCTTGCGCGGGGCGGCGGAGGACTATGGTGTTATTCAAAGGCCCATGGGGTTGCGAGGTTAGTTTCTCGTGCGGTGGATGTCAGAGACGATGTTGACGTCGATGCTCAGGTCCCCAAGGGCCCAAGTTCGACCATAGCAAGTGGCTGCAGCGCCCGCTCACGGCCGAGCAGGTTGTCTACGCTACTGAGGATGTCGACATGATCCTGGCGCTGTACCGCATCTTCAAGGGGCGCGGAGACATCCAGGAGGCGAATCTCAAGCGGCAGACGGAGGCGTACCATTCCATCCACAGCCGCTGCCGTCCGGATGGGTCCAACGCGTATTTGCGGCACTCGCTGATGCCACTCGACATCCTTGATCTCCCTGCTCCTGGCTCGCCGCTAACTCCATGTAACGGATGCCGTAGGGAGCTGTCGCAGAGGTGCTTCTCTCCGTCCTCCTATCACGGGAAGTGCTTTGTGTGTTCGGCGATGGACAAGGAACAGGTGAAGCCGGCTGGGGTGCAGGGTCGCGGCATGCGTTATGGCCCGAGGTCAGACTTGTTCGGTGGCTTGCTCTTTGCTTAGCGATTCCCTGTACCGCCTTCTTGGACTGTGTATGCCTAACACTCATTAGTCTACTGCTCAAAATGGTCCTCATTGTGAAAATATCAACCTGCATCCTGTGATCGTGAGAGAACAAGGCCTACCGAATACGGAAGCGGAGATATGTCATGGTATGACCGCATCGGCGCATGATTCCCCGGACTTGAGCATCGCGCTTCTGGCGCCCGACAACACAGACACCGTTGGCCACGACCTTCATGTTCACGACTGCGCGCAGTCATGCCCAGATATAAGCCCCTCCCCGCACTCCCTCTGGGCCCAAACCCGACGACGCTGTCTGTCGATTCGCGCGAGCACCGCTCCCAGATCATTCGCCATGTGCTGGGAGAGATACAAGACGCGACGCTAGAGAGCAGGCAGGATGAGTGGGTGGCGTCTATTGAGGAGGCCCTGGACGACCTGAGTGCGAGCATCTCGCGCGGAGAGTGGCTGCACGGACTGAAGAAGGAACGGCGGAGGAGGCGGGCGAAGATCGACCGGCACGCCACAGTCAAGGCGGCGCAGAAGATGACACGCCCCCCGTCAACGATGTCTAGGCGATCGTCCTCGGTGCAGGGGGAGGGGCAGGGCAGGCCTCCATGCGAGGCAGTGTTCTTCCCATCCACGGAGAAGCCGCAGGAGGACCTCAGCAAGTCGCTTGAGGAACTGCGTGCCATGGTCTCCCGCGCATCCGGCTCGTCCTCCAACCCAGTACGCCAGCACCTCCTTCTGTCTCTCGCACCGCCTGGGAGTAGGGCACCTGTCCCTGCAGAAGACTCGGGCTTCGACTTGATACCTGGTCACGTCGGATGTACTTTCCGGCCTCATGTCTTCCACCTGCCCGACGCTGGGAACCCAGATGTAGAGAACATCGTGCTGTATGGCCTGAAGGAATACAGCGGTACGTCTTGTCATCAATGACCTCCCAAACATTGGCTCACACCGCTCTAGGTTCGGATGAAGACCTTGAGCTAGTTGGCGGAACGTTCACCTTCAAGGGCATCACCTCGCCAATCCAACATCACCATCTCGCCAAAGTCCTACGCATCGCCATATACACCCACCTCTCCCTTGTACTAGAACAGCACCTCTTAGTTTCCTCTGCTGTCGCGCTGGAGTACCCCATACCCAAGACAGCGTCCCCCACGACTCCGACGGCGCCAGGAGGCTGGGTACCGGATGTACACAGGAAGGATAGCCTGAAGGGACAGAACCGCACTTCCCTGCTCCCCTCAAGCATCTTCAACTTCTTTTCGAGGAAGAGCCTGACAGCACGGCGGAACAACTCCCTCACCGGATCCCATCCTCCGCCTCGCAGCGGCTCACTTGACATGCGCGCGTCTGCATCTCACCCGGAAAACGCTCTCAGCCGCATCGCAGATGATACCTCACTTTCTTTGGGTACTCGCATCCGTCGCCTTTCCTTTATGCCTACGGACCCAAGGAAGATCACCCCGCCGAAGGAGGAGCCCGCGCAACCATTTGCGGCCACAATCAAACGCCTCGAAGAAGCGCGAACTCTCCTCTCGACTTCCGTTGGCGTCAAGTACCCCCTGCCTCCCCTGATGGTCACGCTAGCGAAGGAGGAAGACAAGCAGCCGGGGCGTAAGCTCCGCGGTGATGAGCGCACTGGACTGTTCAGCTTACTGGGATGGGAGGGCAAGGATAGCCAGGGCCGCGCTATGGCGGGGATCACTGGCTTTGTACGCCACCAAAGCTTCTCCGTTCTCGCATCGTTGTACGTCCCAGCGGCCGACTCGCCGCAAATCCCACAAGGGGAGGACGCGATCTCGGCGGCGACGAAGGAGAACACGACGAGCTTTGTGCCCTGCGACCGGCCGCGGTGGGTGACGTATCGGTACTACTCGCACGACGAGCGGGACATGTCGCTGGGCGAGATGCTGGAGGACCTGGTGTTTGATGCGTATGAGCTGTGTGCGAGGCAGGGGTGTGGGCTGGTGAGGGGGAAGCACCAACAACGGTATATACATGGTGGTGTGCAGATTGCCGTGGACCTGGAGGAGCCCTCGGAACTCCAGGACGAGGACGAGAACAGTAAGGGCGGACAGGAGAAAGCGGAGGAGGACGCGGACGAGGTGCTGCGGATACAGACGTGGGTGCGATGTAGCGTTTGCCGGGCTGAGACTCCTAAGAAGGTCGTGTCGGAGGGTGCACAGTACGTTCTCGTTAGTTGCAGAGACTTGACCGCGGGCTAACGAAGGAACAGCCTTCTGTCCTTCGCGAAGTACCTCGAGTTGCTCGTGTACTCTCCACGCCTTTGCTCCATCTCCCCTGCGTTGTGCGAACACACCACTCCACCCAAGCAGCCTTGGACAGACGGCTTGCCACCCTCGCGCTTCAATATGGTCCGCATGTTCGAGTGCCGAAAACAGACGGTGGCCTTCTCCCTGTCCGCTGTGGAGGATATTTTCGATATTCGGGTGCCGAGGCTGCAAATCGTGCGCACTGGAAATGCAAAATCGCCAAAACCGGCGGAGGCGGATGAGAGCGATATTGACGAGGGGGACGAGGACAAGAGGAATTTGCGACGGGAGATTAAGGTGTTCTGGGAGTGTGTGAGCGATCATGTCGATAAGCTGGTGAGCGAGATCTGTACGAGTATCTGTGTGATGCTGACGAGCGTTCAGGAAGATCTACTCTCGACTGACGACATGAAGGTCATGAAAAAGGCATTGCCGCGCCTGCCCTCGACAGACGATGCGTACGATGACATCGACGAGCCGTCGACACCGAGAGCATCTATTTCTCGCTCTCCGATATCTGGACTTCCAGGCTCTGTCGGATCCAACAGAGGCGGCAGTACCGACTACTTCGGGGTTGCAACGTCGGACAGGGAATCCATGTCTTCCGCCGCATCCTCACGATCTTCCCTTGCATCCTCAACCGCTTCGACTGCATCGGCTCCGCCTCCGACGCCATCAAAGGAAATTCCGCCGCAGGAGCTTCTGTTGAACATGCGTCATACGTTTCAGCGCACGGAGCAGAGTCTGTACGCGCAACTGGCGCGTACACCTGTGGATACGCTGAACGATGTGCGGCGGTCGTTCTTGTCGTCCGCGCTGGGGGCGGATCGTAGGCTGCAGGCCTGGCAGAAGAAGCATTTGCCAAAGGCGGTGAAGAAGGATCCTTCGTTGGCGAAGATGGACGAGGCAGCAGAGCCGGAGTGGTTCAAGAAGTCTTGTCATGCGGCGCCGGATTCGAACATCATAGTGCGTGAGGAAGATTGGGGGAGCATCATTGCGTTCACGCTGAGGTATGCTCGCTTGGCGTCGATGTGTGATTAGCACAAGCTGACCGCCGTGCTAGTACAAAGGACTACCAGCGAGAGCTATCTGCAATGTCACTGTCGCGGACGCCGTCGAGTCCTCCGCAGACTTCGCTGCTTTCGCCTCCTGGCGCCTCGCATGGAACGTCGTTCTTCACTTCTTCATCAGGCTATAGATTTTTCACCGGAGGAGCGAAGAATACGCCCGATCCCGATCGTGAAGACGCAGTGTGGCACGAGCTCGAGGATTACTCTGCTGTCATCTCGAGGAAGGAGCATCCGCGGGATCCGACATCCATTCTTTCCATCCGCGAGGTGTTGCGGCAGAAGTCGCCGACTGATGGGTCATCGTCGCCATTGTCGAGATTCGTCAGCTCGGGCGATACAATGAGGGGGAATGGCGCGCCAGGAATCATGCCTCCATCTGCGTGGGCGAGGCCGGCGGTGGAGGTAACAAGTGTAGACGCGGGCGGCGAGGTCAGCAACGCGAAGATGCCAGATTCCACACGCGCCATGCTGCACAATATTGAGGCCTCGTCCGACTCACGACCTGGGTCCACGACAACAGCGACCGCCGGAACGTCGAATCTCACGGCGCAAACATGGCGAGCGAGGGGCCTATCCAGCTTGTCCCGGGAGAGCGAGTTGTCCAAAGAGAACGAGGACCCTGCGAACGACGCTGAACCTCCGGAAGTGCCGAGTAAAGTGCCCGCGCCAGCCACACCTGCGAAGGGTCTGGCCGATGCGCCACAAATGCACTCGCCTGTACCCCAGCGAGGCTCCTTCTTCACGCATTCGCTGTCAAGCGGGCTAGCGGGCGCTATGCGCTACATGCTCAACGGCAGCGACGGTCAACAGACAACCAACTCGCCTTACGGGCGTCCTCACCATGGCCTACTGTCGACGGAGCTCCTCTCCATCGACGAGCGACCGCACATCAAGTACGACTGGACCGTCGGCAAGCGCCTCAAGTTCAGCTGCACCGTGTACTACGCGAAGCAGTTCGATCAACTACGCCGGCGCTGCGGCGTGGAGGACGTCTTCATACACAGCCTTTCCCGCAGCGCGAACTGGGCCGCCGACGGCGGGAAAAGCAAGTCAAACTTCTGGAAGACGGCCGACGACCGCTTCATCATCAAGACGCTCGTCAACGCGTGGAACACCGCGGACCTGCAGGTGCTCATCGACCTCGGCCCGAACTACTTTCGGTACATGGACTCGACGGCGAGTCGGCCGACGGTGCTAGCGAAGCTCGCGGGGTTCTACACGGTGGAGATACGGAACTTGGAGACGGGGAATGTGCAGGCGAAGGCGGATCTGCTGGTTATGGAGAATTTGTTCTATCAGCATAAGGTGGAGAAAGCGTTTGATCTGAAGGGAATTCAGGGGAGGAAGGTGAAGGCGGCGCAGTCGCAGCAGACGGCGAAGACGCTGTTTGACGGAGAGTGGATAGAGGGTGAGTGAGGGCACGAGCTATAGAGTGGGGTGGGTTGTTGACGCGCTTGTAGGCCAGCAAAGAACTTTGACACTGTTGCGCCCTCATTCGAAGGCGGTCTTGCGGGAGGCGATTCGAGCGGATGCTGAGTTCTTGGCGAAGAGCAACATCATGGATTATTCGTGAGTTGCAGTGGTCGTCTATCTGCGTATCTCGCTCATCGTGTCTCAAGGTTGCTACTTGGCATCGACAACGAGAAGAAGCAGATCGCCTGTGGTCTCGTCGATACTATTGGTATGTGGCCCTCCTGCAGTCTTACATTTTTACTCATTCCCCGCAGGCAGCTATACGTTTGCCAAGACGCTGGAGTATAAGGCAAAGCAAGGTCTTCATTCCGGAACGGGGAAGGAGATCACCGTCATGCCACCGAATGAATATCAAGACCGCTTTGTGACAGCGATGGAGAACTACTTCCTTGCCTGTCCAGGTATGTCGACATCCTAGGCGGCGAGTCACTGGCACTGAAATCGCTTCGCTTCATTCGCAGACAAATGGTCCAAACCCCTCGACGACTGCGAGATCATCAGCGACGTCGAGCGCCTGCCGAGCGTGCTGTAGCTCGATCCTCTTTGTGTCATTTGGCTTCCATGCATCTGTTGATCGCGTGTTGGACTTGTATACCTTCTTTTCCCATCGGATGGACTCACTCATTGTCATCTCATCTCTTGTACGGAATCGACCACACAAGCACTGTATCATTATCTTGTACTCATATATCCATGCCATGCACGATTCCATACGATGTCTTGTGTCCGAGGGCGATGTCATCCGTGACTTGGCTTGGTATCCTGACTCAGCTCCTCGGTGCATTCATTGAAGATATCATCTCCGAGTAAACTCACTGTGACTTGCCTCAACAACATCGTCAACAGCGACATAGTGAGGTTTCCTGTGCCTCGGCACCCTTGGGCGCTCAGGCTAGTGCCCCATAGCGAGGTGTCACAGCTGTGTCTTTACGAGTGAGAAACTACACGTCAGCATCGCATACAGTACCTGGTATGATAGATGCTTTAGATCTCATCTGCAAGGAATTGAAGTGAGTCCGAGTTGTGTGTCCAGCACTCTGATGGCACGTGCTCGTCATGAACACCTGGGCCGGCATCAGCCGCGGTCATTAGCGTTTTGCTTGCGCCCATCATGTTCATCGTCTTCATCGGCAGGTGGCAGATTGAGGCCCGAGGTCCCAGGTGGCTAAGTTACCTGCAAAATTTGCATGCTGTGCGTCGCAAGTCGGGCAATGATACAATGCATCAATTGACGTTCTCGCCGATGACCTCCCTGAGCCTCGAGCCGTAATTTTGTAGATGGCGACTGTGCGCACCCGGTCGATGGTCGCGCTGGGCTACCTACATTCCGCGATTTACCGCCACGCAGTGACCTCAGCGCCGGTATCCAGGAACTCTGCTCCATGCGCTGCGTTTCAACGACGTCGCGCCTCGCGCTCTCCACTGGACGAGTCACGATGTTCTTGTCGCCGTCGTGCGCTGTCTTGTCGTCGACGAAGGGCCAAGAAAGCAAATAAAAGCAGTCACCCGACTCATCCCTGGACTCTCTTGCTATGGCGATGTCGCGAGCCCGACGCTAGCGGGGACCCTTACGCTGGGCTCTCGCCGGTTCTCTTTCTCTGGAGAACGCCTGCGCCGGTCTGGAGGCTCCATTACACGCGCCTGCCGACATCCCCGCACCTTCCCGGTTACCTTCGACGGAGGATGAGCCGCCTCGAGACTCAGTCTGGCCGAGCTCTGCCGATTCACGGCAGTTGTATCACTTCGACGAGGTTTATGACAGAATTTCAACCGCTCAATTGTCGTCATTCTGCAACAGCTCTCTTCATCTCGGATGACCTGTCGATCTTTGGGCAATACCGTAAACCGCCTCGATCCTCCGCGAAAAGCGGTATCACAGTCAATTTATCATCTATCGACACCCGCGGTCGAAAAACGCCGGCCAAGGCTCAGTTGTCCTGACATCGGCCCTTCACTAGTTTGTGACATCCAGAAGTACGGCAGCACGGTAGCGTCAGCCAGGACCCAGGGACCAGTCACAGTTGACGGGCTCAAATAATAAATCAGGTGCGCCGTCGCACGCCCTCTTGATTTCCATATGGAGCAGAAGATCCTGCGATCCTGACCCACGCCACTGTAATCTCCACATTGACATTCCAAACACGGGCAGTTGGTCGCAGCGCCATAGTGACGAGGCTAGACGCGCCGGCATCTTATGTGCCAAACGCGACCGCCGACAGGGTCGACGCGGACAACGTCCCGAGTCGAGGCCGATTGTCGTCATGTGAGCGCGCTCCTCCCCGCCACTTCGAATTTGCCCTCGCTCGAGTCCGTCCGCACGGCGGCTCGTCAGCCCGGGACATCGCAGGTACGATGCACCTCCGTCTACACGGCTCAACGGTAATTTGCGTCGCGCGCTTGTCAATTACGCGGGACGAACTGCATTCAATCAGGTCGCTGTCTGTCAAGGGCAGCAGAACGCCCACGCCCGCCGCCGCGGACGCACAGCGCCGAAGGCGATGTCTTCGGCAACAGGCGCGCAGATGCATCACTGTCATATCACCAGCCCACAACTATCGCCGGCACGACTCATCACGACCGCGCACTGTCACCAGCACGACGTGGGCGACAACCTCGATGGGGCCTAGCAGCCCGCTCGATGGAGTGTGGTACGCAGCGAATTTGCTAGTAATGAGTTCCAGAATTCCGGCCGCCGGGTATTGGCTGCTGGTCGCTGTATACAACGGCGCAGCCTCTATATAAGCTGAGGACGATGCTGGTCTCTGGCTACACAAATCGCATTCGCCCTCTTCTATACGCTTGACGCGTCCCTTGCTCTGCTCGCCTCATTTTTCTCGCTGTACTCGCTGTCCTGCTTTCTGAGCGTCTATTCCACTCACATAATGTGCTACCGTGCTGTACCCAACACCCTCTATGCGTGCGGCCACCAGACTCCCATTAATGCTGGGGAGCAGGTCTGTCATCTTTTTTTTTCTACTGCGCCTTTGCTGACCTATTCGTAGATCGACTGCAACAAGTCCAACTGCCGATACAGCTCGATGCACCCGACGAACTGCCCTAACTGCGCCAGGACGTGTACCCAATGGTATGTGGCGCATTTAGATTGCCGACGTCGAGAATAACGACGGCGGTATTTCAGGCTCCGCCCCGCGCAACAATTCGTGCAGCGTCGGGAAAGCCGTCGCTGCCCGCAATGCGGCAACTAATAAAGCGCGGCGAAGGCATTCAGTGCCAATCATCCTCTACAATATTCTCGGACCCTCGTACCAACATCTGTAACAACATTCGCGCCGCCAAGCTAAAGCCACTAATAGTGTACTTGCATTTGAGCAGTAATATACGGACTTCTGCATTGCAATTACATAGGACTCTGATGTTGTCCCCGTACCTGCTTTCACAATCCCACTGCACTTTGAACAATCCCGCGACAAGCGCCGTGATTGAACGCCGGCCGTAAATGGCAGTCTTTGATTGTCCGAATGGAAATATGAGGTACCCGAATGATAACGCGGATCAGTAACTGATCAGGTACTTAAACGCCCGCCCGGCGCCTTGTCCCGAACCACCCACCATCCCCCTCCCCCATCATGAATCTGACATCGGCACCCACACCCCTGACGAGCAAGGCGGCGTACCTGCGCACATTGCCCGCCATCCGCGAGCGCTGCAGCCGCGTTTTCGAGATCGCAAAGAAGGGTGGCCTGGAGTACTTTGATTACCACCCCGAGCAGGAGTCTACGGTCGTGGATTACTGCGCGAACATCATCACGGTACGTTTCTGTGTTCTGAACGTTGTTCCCCTTCTAATGAGACTGTAGAGGGACTTTGGGACGAATTACGCGAGCGTGCGTGTCCCGCAGACACCCAGCAGGATGACTTGACCGATAGGCATGCAGATCCCTCCCCACGGCCGATGGAGACATCTTGACGCTGGCCGCCCACGCGTGGAACCGATGATGGCAAAATGGGACGTCGATGTGAAGGAGAAGACACGTCGCATCGTCGATATCTTCATCGTGTCTGTCCTGCTCGATGCTGGCGCGGGGAACGCATGGGCGTACAAGGAGCCGGCTTCAGGGCAGTCATTCGGTCGCTCGGAGGGTCTCGGCGTCGCGAGCATCAACATGTTCGAGCAGGGCTTCTTCTCGGGAGATGCTTCGCAGCCATTCCAGGTAGATGGTACGTCGAGATCTCATCCATGCTCTGTTGAATCCTGGCCCATCACTCATACACTTCTAGCTGCCGGTCTGGCGCGCATCACTGCAGAGAGGACAGCCGCCGCGATGCAGGTCAGCGAGTCAAATCCGATGGTTGGCATCGAGGGCCGCGCAGCGCTGCTCGCGCGCCTCAGCGACGCACTGAAGGCGAACCCCGAGTACTTCGGCGAGAACGCACGGCCGGGCAACGTCGTCGGTAAGCGCCCATTCCACCACGTCCATCCATCTACCACGTCGGCATCCCACATCCCGCACCGGCGGCGCCTTCGTGCTTGCCGTTCCGCGCAGTCGCTTCAGCCCCATCCTGCAGTGACTCCTATCCCTTATCTAGGTGACTGACTCACCCTCCTCTTCGCAGACTTCCTCGAGAAGCACTCAAAGCTCGTCGGCGAGCAGCGCGTCGTGCCGGTCGCCGCGCTCTGGAGCGCGCTCATCGACGGCTTGAACGCGATCTGGCCGCCTTCGAGGACGAAGTTGGGCGGCATCTCGCTTGGTGACGTATGGCCCTGCGGTGTCCTGGCGAAGGAGGCGAAGGAGGAGGGCGATGACCTCGTGCCGTTCCACAAGCTCACCGGCTGGATGTCGTACAGCGTCATCGAGCCAATTGAGAAGATCCTGGGCTGGAAGTTCCAGGGCATCGAGGATATGACGGGTTTGCCTGAGTACCGCAATGGTGAGTGGATTAATACTTCGCCCGTCTTTGACTGACTGTTCCTTGTTAGGTGGTCTTCTGCTCGACCTTGGTGTACTCAGCCTGAAGCCAAACCTGCTCGAGACAGACGCGAAGTCCGGCTTGCCCCGCGTCACGCCATCTCACCCTGCTGTCGTCGAGTGGCGCGCTATGACCATCATCATGCTGTACGTTTGCTCCCGTTTCTTTGAGATACAGTCTGGCTCACTCTTTATAGGGACCGCATCGCCGATGGGTTGCGCAAAAAGCTCAACGCGGACCTCTCCCTCGCCCAGGTACTCGAGAGCGCGACCTGGAAGGGCGGCCGCGAGATTGCGAAGGAAAAGCGGCCGGAGACCTGTGGCCCGCCCCTCGAGATAGAGAGCGATGGTACTGTCTTTTAGTTGTGTGTGGACTTGTTGCGATCGGGTGTACTGAGTGGAATATAACTTTGCTGTATATCACTGCCGACGATGCTCGAAAAGGTGTAGATATGGGCGTTATAATGTTCGGAAATTCAGAAAACGATGACACTACATAGATCGTAAAAAATGAGCGTAGCGGTTGAGGACGTCGCAGAAATACGAGTGAGCGGAAGAAAATTGGTCTATGGTTTGAGGGTGAGCGGGAAACTTGACCTCTGGGAACGCTATCGATGACTCACTCTGTCAGACTTAAAGCCCGTCGGCAACGGCACACGAGGCGCGCTTGATGTCTCTCGGGAATTCCCGAGCGCCTTTGATGCGTACACCATCCAGCGCGGGAGTCGCTCCTTGCCACAACAAGGATTGTTCAAGCACCGTCGTTGTTGTAGAGGCCTGCCTACAGGCCCCGGCGGTCTGCCTGCCCATCCCGGTGGGTGACGTCGCATCGTGAGAGGGGGCGGCACGACGACACGGGAAGGTACTGTAGAAGGTGGGTAGAGTCGGGGGTCGGGCCGCACACGTGCCACGACGACGGTAGTGCGGCAGACATGGACTCGTTAATCCCTTGCTATGAGGTGCCTCATCAGCAGTCCTGGGCCACGACCCGGCAGTCCTTGGCTGACCCTTTCTCCCTCGAAGCACTGGCGCCCGCTACCATGGATTTTTAGGTTGCCACTTCAGTACCTATGGTTTTTGTCTTCGGACATTTTCCGAACACTATAACGCCCATATGTAGATGCTTGAGAAGCGACCACGGAAGCTTCCCGTCCTGCAGACCCAATAAGATTATGGTGAAAAGGTCCTAGTGTACAGCGAGACATAAATACAACGTCCATAGTAGCTTTTGAGGTGGACGAGTATGGCAGTGCGTTCACCGGTGCCGCAAATCTCGTGCTAGTCTCCAACATAGCACAGCAGCGATGACGGCGGAGAATCCTGCGAGTCTATGACTGTCGTCAGCATCCTCCTCCGGCAGAAAACTGACATGAGTTTTACCTGAAGATATACACCACCGAATTCGATCCGCCTGCATCGTCTTCTTCCTCAGCGCGGTACGCCAATGAACGGAATGCCAGATCCCCAGACGCAGCTGCATCCGTGCCATCTTCTGTTGTTGTCGAATTATGCATCGGGATTCCGCCATGCCCGCCATGCAGCACACTTTGGTCGGGGTCGAAGATGGCAAAGATAATCGAAGAAACGCCGGTGACTATGAATTGGGGGATCACGATGAAGAGGTTGTGAATGCCCTATGGATGAACCTCCGTCAGCCTTATCCTCCCTTCACGCGCCTTTTCGCGCCACATGTAGACACCAAAGAATAAAGGAGGCCACTCACCAAGATAATCCCAGCCTTTGCTGCCAGACCCCCACCCGCTTCCTTCGGCGCTCCTTCTTCCGAGACGACACTATGGACATTGACCACGCTCATCTGCGCGCCCGAGTTGCTCATCACGCTTCCCCGCCTCTCCGGACTCGTCACACCCGCCGCAAAACCATTGCCAGACTCGTGTGTGAAGCTATCGTCGTGCGCGAAGCCGTTGCCATTCCCGTCGTGGGCAAAGCCATTCCCGTGCTCATCGTGTGCGAAACCGTTCCCGATATCGTCGTCCGCGAACCCGCTGCGACTTCTGTCGAGGCTGCCCCGGCTGTTGTCGGTGCTGCGCCGTCTGTGGACGCCGATTTCTTCCTCATCGTCTGAGTCGCCCGCAACGAGGAATCGTTGGCGTTCCTCTGATGCGCGGACGTCTGCTAAGCGGATGGAGGCATCTGTAGGACCCGCTGGTTCGAGTAGGATTGCCTCGCCGAGCTGTAGTTACCAGTTCAGCACTTCTGGGGAGGGGGAAGGAAAAGATGGAAACAAGACGAACCAAAGAAAACGGCGCCCACTGCGTGATCGCCCACGAAAAGCCCGTGACAGCGACCAGCAAAGTCCCTCCAGCGACTGAGTCTACAAAACTACGGCCTACACATCAGTCATCTCCTTCATCTAATCAGGAAAGCCGACTCACAACGTCCCCAGCATGCAAGCAGCGAATACCACGTGGCTTGCCGCCCACAAAGTCGCCAGATGAACCTTCATTCGCGCAGGTACAACAAATCGCGACGGCTTCTTGAGCACAGGCAAAGGCGTCCCACTCCTTGATTTGGATGCAGTCTCAGCAACGAAGGCCGGTAGGACGACGTTGGCGAAGAGGGAGACAGCCCCCATGTAGAAGAGTGCGCGAGCTCCTAGGCGCGTCCCCTCTGCGTCATCGGGTTCGATATGTGCTTGTGCGGCGGAGCGTTTGTAGAGGTCGCCGATGTAGACCGAGGTGTAGAACATGACTGGGAACCACCCGATCCAGGCGCTACGAGCCCGTTAGCGGAAGATAACAGTGGGCCCTTGTTCGCAATACTGACAAGAACTGGACTGTAAACTTGATGGTTGAGGGTTAGATCCATTCGAGAGCTATACAGGAAGGAGAGTATGCCTGCTCACAATCTGTTTGATGGTCCGCGGCAATCTGAATATGTTGGCGAAGATGTCCTTGAATTCGCGCTTGAAAGTTTGCAAAAGGGATATCTCAGATCTGCAGTCGGAGGTCAGCAATGACATATGACACGAAAAGGCTCTGCACGTACGTTCGCTTGAGCAGTATACGCTCTTTCACCGAGGTAACCGTGATGGCATGCACCAAGACGAGCCAGAATATGACAATAACTGAGAGAACACCGAGCTGATTTGAGCCTAGCCAGGTGAAGTACGAGGGCAGGTCCACGTTGCCTCTGTGACACTCATTAAGTCCGAAAGCGCCGGGAATCCAAAAATGAGGCCCGCTTACGCAAAGAACCCAACAACACTCCCGATGCCCAGCATTCGTGCGGCCCAGGCGTTTCCGGAGGCCTGCGCAGTCGGTGGTAGAGTATCAACGAGGATGGCACGGTCGACCGCCTGCACTATGACTATGTGAGGGTTTGTACACGATGAGGGAAGGAGCACCGAACCAGCATTGATGGCGAAGTCGATGATGTAGACGGCCAGTACAGCGAGAGCAATCGTCCATCGGTCGTTCTGCGGAAGGTATACTTGAGAGATAGTCCTAGCAATGCAGCATAATCACACGCACCGCAGCATTGTCATAGCCCGTGAATATCGCTGCTATAGGACGCGTATAACCGAGCAACAGCATCGCGCACGAGCAGAGGATCACTCCGCCGATCATGTACGGTCGTCTCCTGCCCAGGCGGGAGGTGCAGTTGTCCGCGAGGACACCTACATTCCGTTGAGCCTACGCGCAAGCCCACTGAAGCGAACCCTACACACCAATCAAGGGCTGCATGACCAGGCCGGACAAGGGGCCCGCAACGAAGACGACGGCCATGGCAGACTTGCTCATGCCGAGGCTTAGGAGGTATGGTGATGCTGTGGCGCGCTCAGTGATCAGTGAAGTTACGGGAGGCGCGACGCACGACGCACCATAGGACATCTCGACACTCCAGAACAGCTGCACGCCGAGCAGGCCGACCGTGAGGATGGGCAGCTGCGCCCACTTCGGCCCCAGGATCCTTGGTACGCCCGCCCACCGCGTCGAGTCCTCATAGTCCTCGCCCCCCTCCTCGGCGACTGGTAGTGCGGAGAAGCCCGTCATGATGGCGCGCGACTGGCTAGTGAGGTCGATGTATGCGCCCAACGCGCGTGTGGGTACTTTGGTCCTATCCTTCGTCCACAGATGATTGTGTACTTGGTATTCACACAGAAAGACAGGGTATATGCGCCGGAAGCGATAAGTACAGACAGCAAGCAGATGGCCGACGGTGACAACGATGAAGATGTACCATTCGCCACGGACGTGTCTTGATGGTTCCGGTCAGGTGACGTCGCGCATACATTCCCCTCCTCCCCAAGTCCACCTCGCATAGTCGAGTGATCCGAAGTTCTAGCAGCGCAAATGCATTCTACATACACATCCTTTACATGTCTTTACATGAGTGGCTATGATAACACGAGCGCGTCCCTTGAGGACGCTTTTTCCACCATAAATCCATAACCATGAGGTCGAGAAGGAGGACAGAGGGCCGAGGAAGATTGGGTTGAGGCCGAGGGTGATTGGCAGGCCATGGAGGAAAAGACATCCGGCCGTAAGAAAAGGAAGATACGGCCATGAGAGGGAATATGCGGCCGTGAAGGGGAAAGACAGATAAAGATAAATGCGCATAGAACGTTGACAAGCGTGATGAAAACGTGAGTAGGCAAAGGCGTATGGTAATCGTAGCATTAAGGTCGTCGAGGCTGGCGGCGGTATAGGTAGAAGAACGTGAAGGGAAGGGTCCACGCCAGTGTAGCAGTACGTGATGATTCACTCTAGGAGGCGACGATATGCAGTGCGGAAAGGTGTAGGAGACGTGGAGTAGGTGGACAGGTTGATGGAGGAAAGACACAATCATGACATGATCCAGTTCAGGACCTTGAAGAATCCAAAGAGGCACCCGCCCGAGATGATCGGCAAGGTCAGGTTATCGTCCATTGAGCCAAGATCTAGACATGGATGAGCAAACGATGATGCGTATACCATGAATAGACACGCACCTAGTGCCTCTGCGACACCGCTGACGATCCCCGCCCACAGCGCAAGAGCGGCTAGCGCCACGCACCCGCTCGTTGAGGAGAGGTCGAACTGGAAGGACATGTCCGCAGGCCGAACGGGCGCGATCAACGTCCAGAAACCGACAGCGATGAGCGCGCCGGTGACGCTGGCCCCGATAAAGCCTGCCAATGACTTGCGTGGCGCAAGAGGAAGGCGAAGCACAGGTGTCCGCCTCGGAAGCGGAGGAGTCAATCGGCCCCATGCGCGACCGATAGTCGACGCCGCGGTGTCCGCCCAGGACAGGCTGCAGCGAACGATCAGAGACGGTCGCAGGCAACAGGTGGATGAGCACATACATGAGAATGGCCACAGTCGCCACGTCAAGAGGATACGCTGTGAGGGCGAAGTTGACGCCGAGGATGTACCATACGACGCCATTGATTTGATCCCTCTCGCAGTCGCGCATGAGGAAGCCGACCACGCGTTCGTACAGCCGCTCGAACTGAGGGTAGCGGAAGCGGACGAAGTCCAAGGGGAGAATGATGCAGAACGCGCCCCACAGCGCACGAACGACCGCCACCGGTGTTCCTTGCGACACATACAGATATATCGTGAAGAACCCTGCAGAACACGCGGGTCAAAAACACGCTCCCTATCGCGTTAAGCTCGCTACGCACCTATCGACGAGTGGAACAGCTTCCGCGGTATCTCCCAGTCGATTTTCTTCACCACCTCCTTCGCCTTCTCCTTGGCCGCATCGCCATTCGCGACCCCATTTGCTACACCATTGCCATTCGCTTGCGGCTCCGGTGTCGCGCCCCTCGTGAGCGCGTTCTCGACCACCGTTTCCTCCTCGCTGCTCTCGTTCACCTCAACGATCTCCATATGCCCGCCCAGCTCTTCGAGCTTGCGGATCACCTTGCGCGTGATATTCTGCACGCCGCCCTTGCTATCGGGAGCGCCGCTGAGTAGGATGCGCGGGGACGGCGAGCGCTTCGTGGCGGACGCAGACGAGCTCGAGCGCCGACGGCGGCGCGGGGGAGAGGCTGCGACGGCGTCGAACGGGGAAGTGTGCAAGGTGGAGTCGTGTGCCGTCATGAAGAAGGCGGGTGTTGGTATTTCAAATCGTGCTGCCGAGCGTCGGCGGCGGCGGGGAGTCAGAGGAGGAGGAAAGGGGAGGGAGGGCGGCAGGAGGGCGAGCGCGGCGCCGGTGCTCGAGGAACAGACGGAAAATGGCGTCGCTGTGTGCGACTGTTTGGCTGACGGCAGCCGGCGGTCACGGCGGTGCTTATTAGGAGGTTCTCTCTGACATAGCGCCGACGCCAGTTCTGCGCGTGATTCTCTACCGATTCTCTTCGGCGCTACTGGTACTGGCAGAGGTCGCACGATGGCCACCAATGACCAGAAGGTCGCGAATATAAGTGTGGCTGGCTTCACTGAGAATCGCAGCGCTTGCCAACCGTTGACAATGACGGACGCATCTAGCCCTTGCTCACTACAGCATGCGCAGTCCTTCAGAAGTCTATCCTGAGCTCGGTCATCTTGCAAATGTTACTTTCTGGGATGGGATCGACAAATTCAACTTCGTACCATCAATGGCCTTTGTTTGACCGTTGCAGTAAGTCTGTCGTAGACTCACTTGCTTTTATGGGCGTTGTTTTGTGGGTCCAGGTCACGTCACATGTCACTCTCTAACTCAGCCTGCTGAACTCGTCGTCAAGGCTTTCCTCTTCCCTGCAAACATGGCTTTCTTCGCACTCATAATTCGTCTCCTGACAGAATCATCTCGTTCACATTGGTGTGCGAGGACGAGTCAAGTCATGTTGCATCAATGGGCACCTGATCGCGTTTGACTCGGCGGCCTCCGAGTTCGACTTCGGGTCTGACTCTCACGCACCAGCGCGTTTCCGTCCTTCCAACACGACATGAACACAGCTGCGCCCTCGACGGTCCCGGCGGATTTGATGTACTCTAGTTTGACTCGACACGTTCTCGAGCTAGATAAGCATCGAATAACGACGTTGCCCGCAGCCATCATCTTGCTCTGAACCCCATCTCGCTAAGCTCTGAACCTTTCTCTCCGTCTAGCAGAAGGATCTCCCGCCATGCGCACACCAGCGAGAAAGTGTGGGGTCCTGACGAAGGCGAAGCGCAACAACCTGCTTAAGGCGCAGTCCGTTGCGCAAGATGAATCCGACGATATAGGTGTGTTCACTCGATTCAGAGGAATGCCCAAATATCACTGGGATGCTCAATATCCACCCATTCCCCATTCCCCAGAGCCCAAGCGCCCGCCCGCGAAGCGCGCGCGCAGAGGCGCTAACCCTCGTGAGGCCAAGGGACCAGCAAAATCGGCAGCGCCCAGGAAACCAGCTGTCGAGCAGACGTCGACGCTTATGTGCATGCCTCTGGACATTTGGTTTGAGGTGGGTATCCCATAGCATTGGGATTTCGGACTGCCTGTCCTGCATAGATTTTCCTGCTTGTCACATTCAAATTATCTTGCCTGTCAGGCCTCCAACACACCTTTGACGCGCCTCCCAGATCCTCAAGCAGCTCGACGTCGGGGCCTTGCACGCGCTCTCGCATACGTGCACAAACTTGCAGGACACCCTCGCGTCCCCGCAGGCCGCACACATCTGGAAAGACGCCCGAGCTGGCATGGGAGATAGCCCGAGCCCTCCCCTCGGGACACCTGAGGCGCGCTGGGCGGTGTTGGTGTTTGGGGGCAATAGATGTCAGGTAAGTTCGTCCTTTTGCCTCGCCTTCAAAGTGTCTCCCAGAGTTGACGAACGCTCACTTCTCCCCAGAACTGTGGTACCACCAGCGTGAACAAGATTGACTGGCAGCTGCTCATGCGCGTGTGCTCGGCGTGCAAGAAGGCAAAGTGAGTCTGCCGCCTAACCTTCTGTTATCACCCCAGCTTACAGCCCCCGAAGCTTGTTCACCTCCAACAAGTTCGCTCGCGAATTTGCCGGTGCAGACGCGTCCGTTCTGCCGTTGGTACTCTACACTAACGGTATGTGCTCACTTGACATTTGTCCAGTGTCTATCCACATCCCCCCTACGCGTCTATTCACATCCCCCCTACGCATTTATCCACCCCCTCCCTACCTCTCGCTTCTCTCCTCGACAACTATCTGACACCGGGCATTCCAGTAGGTGGCTGGGCTACTCGCGCTTCTGAGACGACGTATTACTGGCGCGGCGACGTCGAGCGCATGCTTGGCATTGTGGCTCGGTACAAGGAGGATATCGAAGCGAAGAAGCCCGGCGCGAAAGAAGCGTATAAGGAATTCCGGGAGCGCAGGATCGCCCGGGTGATTTCGGTTATGCAGGTGAGTGAGGGTGTAATTGACGTCTTGCGGAACTTGTTGCGGAGGAAGCTCACAACAAATTCAGCTTGCGCCCGAATACTGCTCCTGGCATGAAGAAAGGCAGTGGAAGAACAAGTGCGCGGGCAGGGATCTGGCCAAGGAGCGGAAGGAGGGGTATGTGCAGCCGTTGTTTACTTGGTGTGCTCGTCTCCCTGATGCTCAATACGCGAACAGCATTCGTGCTCGCCTTCTACAAATCGGCCACGACCCGCGGGACGTCGAACGCGCCATGACGACCAGCGAGATTGAGATTGAGAAGAGGGAGCTTACGGATGCATGTGAGTAGCCGTCCACTCGTCCTTACCCTCATCCAATCGACTTGAACCTTGCTTTCACCAGCCTGGCGTCGGATCAAGAAGAAATGGGAAGCCGAAGTCGCCAGAGCACGCCGCCGTCGCCTCCTCACGGATCACCCTGCTGTCATCGCCCAGCGCAAGCGCGCCGCTGCGCAGGTGTATAACGAGGCGTATCGCAAGACCATTGGACCTCGGGAGTGGTTTACGTCGCTGGATTGGCTTGCTCTACCGCGATCTTCCGACGTCGTCAAGCTGGAACCATTCTGGGAGCCTTCATACACCGACGTTGGCGTGAGCGTGCCGGACGCCGATTTTCAAAAAGCCCTGCGGCATTGTGGGGGAGAGATCAGGAGCATGAAGAGGAGAAACGAAAGCAACCTGCGGTGGCGCTTCGACGATCTGCTAACGCAAGTCAAGGAAGGCGGCGTGTTGCTGGAAGATGCGGGGATTCCTGTTTTCAGCCTGGCAGTGGCAATTTGCCAGAAGCGTTGGCATCCACGTGAAGCGCCGTTTGAGCAATGCCTCGGAGCGATGGAGCTGCTGTTCCTTTCGAGCCAGTCAGGGGTGGACTATTGGCCAGAATACAGAGTGGACCTCTCGCGTGCCGTGGTTGCACTCCTGGATGTGCTCGAGCTGTCGCCGGCGACGACGACGTTTACAGAGTTAGACCAGCTCGATGCGCGCTTCTTCTGTTCGCATTGCCCGGCGCAGGATTTTGGCGGGACGTGGACAAGGTTGGCATTCAGGTGGCGTTCTGCGGTATGTTGTAAATCGCTTCCATTGAGCGTTTCGCGCTGACTTCCGTCGCAGGTGTTGCATTACAACAAGGAGCATGCTGAGCAGAAGGAAACGCCCAAGTTCAGACTATTGTCCGAGTCCGAGGCCGATTGCGCACGCAAAAGCGAGAGCTCCGAACTTGCTGAGGCGAATACTTGGTCTTGCGGTCATTGTGGCGAACACCTCGACAATTGGCAGCCGCGGCTTGAGGTCGAGGCGCATGTGAAAGAAAGGTAGGCATCCGGAGAGCTTGCTTGATATTGTTAGCTGAACTAGGCTGCAGTCACGATATTCTGGCTCCGAAGATGGATGTGGACGTATTGTGCATGCCCATCGTGCTCGTGAATATCAAGCCGGTCCGCATTTCTGTCGCCGATCCACGAAGTACGAGTCCCTGAGGTATTGGTACATAGACCATCAAAAGAATACATCCTTGAATGAGATCTCGATACGGGGCAAAGGAGATGTAAGCCTCCGGTTTAATCTGGGAGTGGTGCCACAGACAGAGGCAAGTTCAACCCCGAGTCACGTGTTCCAAACGCGGTGTCCTGATTTGCTTACCTCATCTTCACGGAAACAAACGAATGTTGTCTCCTGCCACCATGTCCTTCCGTCGCAGTCACCACCCCTCGTGTCCTTGGTCCTCAGAATATATCTGTTTGAACTGCTCAGCACAATAGGCATCCTTGCCACCGGGAGAGAGGGCCAGATGCGGACTGGAGTCATATTCACAAACTTGGCTGGGAACAATGGCCGGTCCATGCATGATGATGATCATAAGCATGTCACAGCCACCTACCATTCTTAAGGTCCTTGCGTTTTGCTGCTCACACTCTTATCTTGAACTATCATCAACTCGCATCTTAGCTAGACCCGCTTCGCTTTCGCGATAGCTTTCAAGCACTCTCAGCCACTCCCAACCACATTACAACGATCTAGCAATGTCCAGCCACTCAACCATGAACACGAACCCCATGGCGATCCCGGCTTTGCGCCCCACTCTCTCCACTGCGCGCAACTTTGCGCTCGTCATCCCCACGGGCTTGCACGTTCACGCCCGCATCCCCAAGGGCGTCCCCGGCAAGCTCATCATCAGCACCGACGAACACACCAGCGAAGGCGGCGAGCCCCAGATGTGGTCTATCGACATTCAGGACGGTGAATTCAAGGTGCGTGGGCCATTGCCACAGTGGTTATGACCTTTGCCACTGCGATGAAGGCCATCACTGACGATCTCCACAGTACCGCGACCCCAACGAGCGCTCCGGCGCTGAACCCACACAACAATACGATATGGAGGAGGGCCTTCAGGTCCGCGACTTCGCATATGAGAAGGCGTTCAACCCTCTACCGCCTCGCGAGCGTGCTCAGACCACCGGCGGACACGAGATTACCCCGAGCGCGACCTCTGGCAACACGATCCCCGCACCTCGTGTCGCTGCTGCTGTTGTCGACATCGAGGCGCTCATCGGCGAGTTCGAGTACGCGATTGCACAGGAGAAGCGGCTCGACGAGGTCTATCTCCATGGCGCACTCCTGTGGCGCTTGATTTTGCTCGGCTGGACAACGGAGGACGAGATCCGCGCGCTTTGCTCAGCGAGAGATATACAGGCGCTCGAGGACTACGACGCAGTGTGCGCCGAGCGGAGGGCTTCGCGCGCGGGTCCGTACGACGAGAACGGCGAGTACCCTTGGATGCTGAAGTCTTGCTCCGAGAAACGGTGGCACTTTTTCCTGCAGATGGCGGAGCAGGAACCGGCGTATGCACGGCAAATGGTGTTGAAGATGCGCGAGGAGTTCCGCGCGGAACTTTGTCGTTTCGAGCATTCCCGAGACAACAATCTACCGTACACACCGCAGAAACAATACCAACCCGACCCCAGAAACCCGCAATCCCGCATCAGACTCCCTACCCCTGACATCATCGTGCGCAAGGGCCGCTCGACGTACCGCCTGAAGCTGGCCGCGTACAACCGAATGGTGACGCTGGAGCGGGTGCAGTCGACGATGAGCGAGAGGGCTGCTGCGATGTGTGGGCAGACGAAGCGGTGGGAGCAGGAGGACAAGGCATGGGAGGAGGAGCTGGAGGAGATGTGGGAGGAGATGGAGGAGATGGACGAGGAAGAGGAGGACCAGACGCCAACGACACAGGTTGAGCGCAAGGAGAAGGTCGCGATGCATGAACAACTAGCTGCGTTGGCGGAAGAGAGGGCGGCGTTGGAGGAGGAGATGGCTAGGGTGAAGGTGGCGCAGGCCGCTTTGAGGGAGAGGCAGGCCGCGTTGGATGCGGAGTGGACAGCGCGGACGTCTGAAGGAAGCGGTGATCGGGTATCGCCCGAGAGCGACGGTACGGTGGTTGGCGAGGAGGACGACGAATATGCCTCGATGGACGACAATGGGTCATCAGCAGTCGACAATGCAGCACCTATGATTGTCGACACAGCCCGGCCGAGCCAGAAGAGCCTCGGAAAGCGACGTATGAGCAATGTCGAAGGCGTGGAGGGGCAAGCTTCACCGGCGAAACGCTCGAGGACCTCACCGAAGAGGAACTCGCCAGCACCCGAACCTGGTCCGTCGACGAGACGCGAGGGCACTTCTTCGACGGAACGAGAAGGCACGCGCCCGAGACGCGGACGCCCCATCGAGAGGGCAGTACCACCATCCGACTCTAATATCGCTTCGCTGCTTCAGGCTTGGTCCAAGGACAAGAAATTCTCTTTCGCCTCCAAGGGCACGAACCCCTCCTCCTCCTCGAAGGGCAATAACCCCTCTTCCTCCAAGGGCAAGAAGCGCGCCGCCGAAGACGATGCTGTCGAACCTCACGAAGCTCCTTCACCCAAGAAGCAACGCGTCGCCGAAGCCACGAACACCTGTGTTCCCGAAGGCAGGAACATTCATGTTCCCAACGGCAAGAGTGTCCGTGTTGCCACTCTCAGAGGCACGCGTGTTTCTGGTGAGCGCAGCAGCGTCGGAGGCAAAGGGAAGAGGCTCACGGGGAGTCGCAGTGGCAGCGGCTCTGGTGTCTGGAAGACAGTTCAATCGATCGTGAATTTTTTCACCGGGAGGAAGGGGGAGGAGAGTGGAGAAGAGATTAGCGAGGATGAGGACGTGGAGGACACGGCGAAGATGGACGTGGACATCCCTAACTACACCTTAAATCAGGCCTCCAACGATATGACGAAGGTACGTGCGCTCATCGTTTAGCCATGGGTGTTATTGACATGCTTTACTCTAGAATGGCATCCCTTCTCCCAGGACGTTCAGCCCGCCCCCGCCCTCTCATGGGACCTTCAGACTCACCGGAAACTACATCGTCCCGCCTTCGTGCGCCTCCTTATCCTTGGCCAACCCCTCCACCTGGGCCGCCTCGCCCTCTCCATCTTACAACACCACCGCCGCCAACAAAGACAACGACGAATCCGATGACGACTTCCCCCGCTTTCTCGTCCCTCACATCGTCCCCGGCTCCCTCACCTCGTGGAATGGCGGACGCGTCGGGGCCTGGCCTAAAGACAAGACGGCAGAGCAGATGACGGCGACCTCGGCGCGCATTGTGAATCTCCGCCAGCGGAGGCAACGTATTCCGGTGCCTCCTAAGTATCCTATCGTGGTCACCGAGCGGCTGGTGAGATCTCCGTATGAGGTTTTCAGGAGGGCGCCCTCGGGCGCAGAGGAGGTATTCGGCCCTGGTGTGTCGGCTACCTTTGGTGTCACAAGGGGGTGCCGTTGGGGTTCTTCTGCAGCGTCGGCTGCTGGCTCTGGCTCGGCGTCTACGTCTGGTACTGGTACAGTGTTCTCGTTGCCTGGGTCGACAACGCAGGGCGCGGTGGCTGCTCCTCAGCCTGCTCCTCAACCTCCTGCGCTTGCACCTCCTGCCGCTCCTGCTTATCAGTCTCCTGCCGTCCCTGCTGTTCAGCCTTCTGCGCTCCCTGCCCCACAACTTCCTGTGCTCTCTGCCCAGCAATCTCCTGCACCCTCTGCTGGTCAGCCTGCTGCGTCACCTATCGGCCAGCCTTCTGCGACTTCTGCTCCCCAAGCCTCCACCTCGGCAAACGCTTCGCAAGCCTCTACCTCGACAACCGCTTCTAGTCGCCGTCGTCCACTCAGGCGAGAGGGGGCGATAATCATCACCGACCACTAGCACTCGACGGCGCTGTAGTCGTCCTTGTACATTTTCTTTTCTTTCTGTGGTTCCCTTATCTGTTTCTCTTGTTTCTTTCCTTCGCATACTGTACTTTGTTGCCTTGCATCCTGTGACCATAATGGCGACTTGCGTGCGTCCTTTCGTAGATAGACACTTTATCTTAAATGCATAAATCCGCGCAGATCCACGCGCTCAACCCCATCAACTAGACTGAGGAACGAACCTCAAACCAACAGAAGTCGGCAGACGTCAGCATGTTCACAGCAAGATCAAGCGATAGGGCATGGATTTCGTGGTTGCATGCGTAGTACACATAGAGGAAAATGGCTTGAAAACATAGCACATAACGAGACACGACCACGATCCGTGAGCTCCTGCGTGTGGGGTGGTCGCAGCGGTCCCTAGCGGCGGCGCACTGACCACTGGCGAGAGGCGCTCCATCAAGGCCGCACGCTCATCACCAGCGAGAGGACGCTGATCGCGCTCATCGGCCAGCGCCGGGCACGGGGCGGCGACCCCGCGGCCCCCGCTCGACGGTCTGGATGACGGGGGTGACGACGTCGACGGGGATGGAGTCGAAGTTGAGGGCACGGAGGAGGTCCTGAAGTAGGGGTTAGGATGAGATTCAAGGTGAGGGGGATGTGTCCCAAACGCACCTTGGTGTCCGGGTCGACCTCGAGCTTGGCGCCAGTGGCAGCCACATCGAGAGCGGAGACTTCGGGGACGTAGTTGTCCTTGCGCTCACGCTCCTCCTCCTGCAGCTTGAAGGAGATGCCGCGCACGGGGCCCTTTTGAATGCGCTTCATCAAATGGGTCGTGAAGCCCGAGATCTTGTTGCGGAGGCGCTTCGAAGGGACGACGGCCTGCGGGATGTAAGTCATTGTTTTCTTAACATCTCTCCACTACGTACGACTTCATCGATGATACGCTTGTTCGTGTGGAAGTCCAGCGTCAAGCGCGGGTAGCTGGGACATAGTTAACATATCTTCAGAGCCCTGAGCACAAGTTCACTCACTACTTCTCGATGAGGACGCGGGAAGCGCGCTTCGTCGTCTTCGTGCGGACACGGCCCTGAATGCAACATTGAGCTGCTCGTCGCCGGCCACAGCGGCGGCATCGCTCACCATTTTTGCAGGATACGCTCGTTAATCGTGCTCGTCGACGCGGGCAGGCAGCAGCGATCGCGAGTGAGCCGGCAATCGCCGGTAGACTGTACAGCTGAGCACACGTGACCGAAGCGCGAAGTTTGGGAGCGCTGATCGGATAGCGCGACCGCAAGCGCACCTCGTCCTCGTCGCTCCCGGCAGTCTTCACGTCCTCGAAAGGTATTTGGATTCAGCAACCGCAGACAAGATGACCGTCGACGACGCCTCGCGCGCTTTCTTTTCTAGCCCGTTTGACTCGCGCTTTCCGTAGCACGACACTCATCCAGGGCTCTGTAAAAAGTACTCACAACTAGTACTCGTCAAGATGGTCCGCGTCTCCGTTCTCGTGCGTGTCAATCTTATGTTTCTGGGTTCCTGTACTGACGAAGACATCAGAACGACTGCCTTGTACGTGATACGCGACGCGTTTCCCATCACTTTCCTCATCCCCTCGCAGAACAACATCGTCAATGCCGAGCGTCGCGGCAAGCGCCAGGTGCTCATCCGCCCTTCGTCGAAGGTCATCGTCAAGTTCTTGAGCGTCATGCAGCGCCATGGTGAGAATCGATCCTGCACCTCTCACACGTCCCCATCACATCCACCACCGAAGTGATAACTACGATTGACGAGGTTGCGCTTCCACCTGTCCCTCGTTTTAACGCTTCGGGAGATTGATACGTCCTCAATAACCAAACAGCGCGTTCCCGTCTCCCATCGGGCTTGCGTTCACAACGAGGACGACATCTATTACCTCTCTTCACCCCTTCATCATCACATCTTTCCGCAACCACTGACCCTTCCTCTCAGGCTACATCGGCGAGTTCGAGATCATCGACGACCACCGCTCCGGCAAGATCGTCGTGCAGCTCAATGGTCGCCTCAACAAGACCGGCGTCATTTCTCCGCGGTACAACATCCGCGTCACCCAGATCGAGGCCTGGGTCAACTTGCTGCTCCCCGCCCGTGGGTTCGGCATCATCATCATGACCACCTCCTCCGGCATCCTCGACCACGAGGAGGCGAGGCGAAAGAACGTTGGTGGCAAGATTCTGGGCTACGTGTACTAGTTGTTGTGTGTATCTGGCGTCTGTACTGCTATTATGCTCCTATGACCCATGCAAAATCCATGCCCTGTCGCGGCTATCGCCATCGATGTGCCATTGCTTGAATAAATTGGCATGAACGATACGGACGAGTTCGTTTAGGCGTGCGCACTAGTGCGCGGGAGTCGACCTCAGCTAGATCATCGTGTACAAATGAAGAAGTAGGCGCAAAAATGAAGAGTTCGATTAATGAATGGCATGACCGCGGATTGAACGCGGGACCTTCAGAACTTCAGTCTGCTGCTCTCCCAACTGAGCTATCACGCCATGAAATGTCGCCCTTGGTAAGAAACAGGATCCCGCAACATGTCATCCTGATCCGAACATGACCGTTAACTGTTCAGTTGAACCTCTACCACCAGTGTCGGCAGACCCTCACCCTACCGACACATCACTCTTGCGACCATTCACTGTTCTCCCAATATCTTCGAGGACTTTAACCGGCTTTTTGGGTATTCTTGGGCGGCGCTCTTCGCACAATAATCCCGGACGGATCCCGATCAGGCTTCCCAGTTCGAGTCAAAAGTTATCGATCCTGGCGTCTTCAATCAGTTCCCGCTCTCTGTCCCTTGTACTTCTGCGCAGAGTCTCTGCACTCTCGAGACGACCGCTCCGCCCCCCTTCATCCTTGAACAACCATCCGCGATACGGCAGCGTTGTACAGAGACGGACAATGGCGGCCTCAACATCCAAATTCACTTTGCCAGAGGTCCCCTCCCTTCCGGAGACCGATCCCTCGCGCTGCGTGTTCGACGCGTACCGGACACGGATTGCACAGCTGCTGTCGGAGGCGCTCCCTATCTCCCTGGAGCAGGCGTACGATGGCGTCGACTATGGCAAGAAGGGCGAGGACTTCACGGTGGCGCTGCCTCGGTACCGCTTACCTGGCAAGCCCAACGAGATTGGGGCCAAGGTCATTGAAAAGGTGTGTGCCCTTTCCTACGAACGAGAATCCGAGAGACACGGCGCAGTTGGTGATCGGGCGGTGTGGGGGATGACGGTTCGCCCATTGTCTGTGAGGTGGACGATCGACGCGCAGGCAGGACACGCTGCATACCACGCGCTCATGGGCTGCTAGTGCTAGGAGCAGCGCTTACGCCTGCGCAGTCAACCTCACAGTGCTGTTGTGGTCTGCGCGCCACAATCCCATCCTCTGTTTCCTCTTTGGCGCTGTTGAGCTCGTGCGTGCACGCATCCCCATCTCATTCTTCATACTTGCTGCCTATCCATGAACTATGAATCAAAGCCGAGTCACTCGAACACCATACTAACAGTCGTGTAGTTCAAGCCCGATGAGTTCATCGCCGCAGTCGTGCAGGACAAAGCTTTCCTCCACTTCCGCCTCAACACCGAGAACATGATCCGCTCCGTCCTGGAGCAGGTCACCGACCTGACCCACAACACCCCCTCAAAAGAGCCCGAGTACGGGCGCAACGAGCTCGGCAAGGGCAAGCGCCTCGTCATCGAGTACTCCTCCCCCAACATCGCCAAGTCCTTCCACGTCGGCCACCTTCGCAGCACCATCATCGGCGCCTTCCTCGCGAATCTCTACAAGGCGCACGGCTGGGACGTCGTCTCCTTGAACTACCTCGGCGACTGGGGCACGCAGTTCGGTCTCATTGCCGTCGGGTTCGAGAAATACGGCTCGCAGGAGGAGCTGGAGAAGGACGCGATCAAGCACTTGTTTGATATCTACGTGAAGATCAACAAGGACGCGGAGGCGGATCCGGAAGTGAAGGCGGAGGCGGCGAAGTGGTTTAAGCGCATGGAGGATGGCGACGAGGAGGCGCTGAAGAACTGGCGCGTCTGGCGGGAGTTGAGCGTGAAGAAGTACGCGGAGGAGTACAGTCGGCTCAACGTGCACTTCGATGTGTACACTGGCGAGAGTAAGGTTAGCAAGAAGTCGATGGACGACGCGCTGGAGCGTCTCGAAAAGATGGGCCTTATCGACGACCATGAGGGCGCGAAGCTTGTCAACCTGGAGGCGTATAAGATGGGCAAGGCTGTTGTGCGGAAAAAGGGTACGTGTCTCAAGTCGAAAACACAGTGTTCGATTCCTGACGGCTTCGCAGACGGCACATCCATCTACTTGACTCGCGACATTGGTGGCGCGGTCGAGCGGTACGAGCAGTACAAGTTCGACCGCATGATCTACGTCGTCTCGTCGCAGCAAGATCTCCATCTCGCGCAGTTCTTCAAGGTCCTCGACTTGCTGGAGTACCCGTGGGCGAAGAACCTCGTGCACATCAACTACGGTCTCGTCCAGGGCATGAGCACCCGCAAAGGCACTGTCGTCTTCCTCGACCAGATCATCCGCGAAGCCGCGTCGGTCATGCACGAGCAGATGCAGAAGAACGAGGAGAAGTACAAGGCGATCGAGGATCCTGAGGAGACCTCCCTCAACATTGGCATCACGGGTGTCAAGATACAGGACATGCAGGCGAAGCGGTACGTCGGGCTTCACTTCATTTTTCGAATGGTTCACTCATCCGCGTGCATAGGATAAACAACTACACCTTCAACTGGGACCGTATGAAGTCCTTCGAGGGCGACACCGGTCCTTACCTCCAATACGCCCACGTCCGCCTCGCTTCCATCGCCCGCAAAAACCCGCACCTCCTCCCCCTCCCCGCCCCCTCCCAGATCGACATCGCCACCCTCGTCCAGTCCAACCATGCCCGCGAGATTGTCTTCCTCCTCGGCTCGTACCCCGACGTCGTCAAGACCGCGATGCGCACGCACGAGCCGAGCGCGATCGTCACCTTCCTCTTCCGCCTCTGCCATGTCATCTCGAGCGCGTGGGAGACAGTCATCGTGAAGGGCGAGGAGGACATCGAGAAGGCGCGCGCGCGGCTGTGGATGTTCGAGTGCACGCGGGATGTCGTCGCGGCGGCGCTGCGGCTGCTGACGATCTCGCCATTGGAGCGCATGTAGGGGGCTATGGTGTGGGATTGTGTACTATAATACGCTATTAGATGGATAATAGACCTCGAACCGCTCTTCCTTGCGCGTGCGCTTGACCTTGGCCCGAGGCTCTGCGGGATCTTCGGGCGCTTTGCGCTTGCGGCCCCTCCGCTCCGGCGAAGGTGAACTTGTATCCCCTCCATGATTCTCCACCGCGCCAGCTGCACCCACATCGTACATAGGAACCTCTCCTGAGCCTGTCGTTGGGACCGCTTGCTCATCCGCGGTCAAGCGGGGTGCCTCTCCGATGGGCGTTAGGGGTGCTGGCGATACGTTGTCCGCCGGAGCGCGCGCCTGAGCGACCTTGACCCGGTGCGGTCGAAGGAGTGAACCTCGAATGGCTTGCCCAGCTGCGCACATGTCGTGGACAATCAACCACACTCCAGGATGACATTGCTTCGATATTTTTGCAGGTGCGTATCCCTTGAGCAACATCCTCCGGATGCGAGATATTTTGGGGCCCATTTTCTTCTTCCAGGCTGGTGGGAGGAGACGCAGATGGGTCTCGAGCGCGTCTTCTGTGATCAGCGCTTGAGCTCGCTCCTTCGACATAGTGACCCGACCAGGGAACATGCGTGCGCAGTCGCGTTCTGTCTGCTTGACAGTGGTGTCTGCCTTTTTGGGCGGATCGTGGGTTTCATGTGCGACTTTCTCAACGATGTGGCGGAAGAGGAGCCACACGGAGAGCCACCATAAGGATTCCAGGTCGTGCTTGTCTCGATAGCGCCATGGAGGGCTACCTTGCGGGGATGAGGGGGGAAACATGTACTTTCGCATGGAGACTTCCAGAGCCATATAGCTCGGTGTGCCCTGATGAGGGGATTGTCAGTATGATGAAGGTAAGAAGAATCAAACAACGCACGACTCGGCAATCACACGTTCGCGGATCGCTTGCGGGTTGCGCGAACTCGAGGTCTGCGAGTACGCCCCTGCCATCGGGCATCCTGAAAATGTTGTCAGGGCTAATGTCGCGATGAAGCCACTGGATGCAGTGGAGCATGAAGACGGCTATTGCAGAGATGTAAACAAGCGATAGGTTCTTTTAGAGCCTGTTCACGCACCGTATGATGCGTCGGTCATAGTGCTAAATGCCTCCTTTGCAACCGCGATGTCGTACATCGATTGTCCCTTATGCATGACCAGACGGTGATGCGTGCGAGAATTAATTGGGCGGAAGAAGCAACCAATCACTTCTTTGGGAACCCAGAGATCCACATTCTGCTTGATGTCGGCGTGCCAGAGAGGGCGCCGACGAGCGTCTTCGCCGTCACCCTCGATAGCACCAGAGCCAACAGGGTACATGTTGCGTTCGTCCGAAAGCTGGTAACCTCTTGCGATAGTATCTTGCGTATTATCCTCTTGACCGTCGACCGTCACTTTCGCGCCACTCAGGATAGGGCTGAAGAATCGCATGCGTTGTTCTGGGGTCAAAGTACCGTAGCGGGGATCGACCTTGCGAGTGGATTTGTAAGTTTTGAGGTCGCGCATATTTTCCGGAGGAGGATGACACTCATTCGCCCAGTCGTAAGCGAGGATGGCAGCTTCGATATCCTTGTAGATCTCATACTCCGTCCTCCAGTCGGCGTATAGCCAGCAATCCTTGATGATGAGTGCATCGTCGGAGCTGTCATCTTCCTTGTACGCTGTGAAGACGCGAGTGCATTTCCCGAAAGCTCGGGCTGGATGCTGGTGAGCGACCCCCGTAGCGCCGATGTAGTTGACGCCGTCAACGGAGATTCGGTATCGACGCTCCTTGCCTTCTTGGGGTGTATCTGCGGTATGCTCGGCACAGAGAGGCAGGAGGGTCACCATCGAATCGAAGCCTAGGTCTGGCATAGTCGCGAAGCAGAGGCGTATATAGACATCGATCAAGATACTGCGATCCTCATTGAAGTCGAAACCTTCGCTGACGACCAGCACTTCGCGGCTGAAGTGCCACAGACGCACAATGCTGTTGATGACTGTCATTCCGAGCGTAAAGCGACGTCGGGCATCTCTTTGTATGGTGTAGTACAGTTCCCATATGAGGTTTTGGTCGGCCTAAGGGGCTTCAGTCAAAACGATTGCCCTTCGTGTACGGCCTACGCTCACCTCCGCTATGCTCTTTGGGTCGTCGTTCAAGGCGTATTGAACGTAGCAAACACAGTTGAATAATTCCTTTTCATGACCAGTAGCGTTGACAAGGTAGTGAGAGCCGTTAAGGCCGGAGATGCCATGGTTGGACTGTTGTTCGCCATTGTGAATCAATCGTGTTGTCAATGAGAGGCCAGCGTGAGTCTCCTGACAGCTAGCGATGACGTCGTCACAGATGCTCCCAAGTTGGGCTATGACAGACTCCAGATTAGTCCCTGGGTCGGGAACGTCGCATTGACTAGGCCTGCGCGCATTGTCCTGCCGGTCGCTCTTGTCTGGCGTGCAAGATTCCGTGTCCTGGCTGTTCCCATTGTTGTTGGCATCAGGTAGTCGCTGCTGCTCGATGGTGAGTCTGTCGGTCACAGCCTCGAGTTCTTCCAGATCGATCTTCAAAGATGGCAAGAAGTACTCAAGAAAGTCGTCGAGAGAGATTTGAGGCACGGAACCGATATCGTTGGCAAGGGCAGCCCTATAGGTATGCATGATCAGTCAGAGAGTAGCAGCGAGGAGAGATGGAGATGGAGTCCAGAGGAGCCACAAGGGCGGACGATGAAAGTGGAAGCCAAGTTGTGAACGAAGGTCCAAGCGATTGCTTTCCCGTTTATAACAATGGCGGGCGGGTCCTAGCACATTCCCACACTGTCACGCACGCCGTGGCCTTCAACTTCGTGCACAACCTTAGAAGGTCATTGTAAGCTCCAGAGACGAGCGATGGGAGGCGAGAGACCCTGCGCAAATAACAGCCTGCCAATGAAATCAGCCATCCTGATATTTGGGAAAATACCAGTGCATTAATAATTAGGACGCGAGCTATGTACAGTATAGGAATGTGAGGGCACTACTGTATGTGTGGTGACTGGTATAATAAGTACAGATGCATGCATGAGATTCGTGACGGAAGATGGAATGAACGACCATGTAGGGTCCAGAGAAAATCCAGATAACAGCAACAAGTCGTCCAACAGCGACAGCGGAGGGAACACGAGAAACGAGGATGGGAACCACATACGACACAGCGATGCGGCAACGGTAGTTACGCGACGACATGGAAGGGACAATGACACAGGAGGGCTACAATGTCAGGGAGGATTGGACGACGGATAGATAAGTGTCAATGGCCACACGCTCTACGGCAGCCCTGGTCCAGAAGAGACAACAAACCAGCATCTGCTGAGAAACATCGCGCACCCATCCTTTCAGAAGCCCTCGCCACCCGCAGCGAGGACGCCCAGCCAGCCGAACGCGGCCATGAGGAATCTTACCATCCAGGCGGGGTCCGAGTTGACGCCAATGCCCGGCCGCAGCTGCATCGTCAGCGCGACGTCAAGCGTGAGCGGCTCCGGCCGCGTCGGGAAGCGGAACTTCCACGGCGAGGTTTGCTGCTCGGACGAAGGGGACTTGGGCGGCAGCTCGAGGAGCGGCGGGTCCTCGTATTCGTCATCGATGTCGGTGCCAGGGAAGCCGCCAGGGACGCTTGACTGACGGACGATGGGCGAAGGCGCGGCGAGACGGGGTGTTACTGCCTGCTCCGCCTCGTCCTTCGTAACTTCGGGCGTCTTCTCGACCTCGGTCTTCTTTTCAACCTTGGTACTGGCGCGTGTAGACGCTTCCAGCTTCTTGTGACTCTCGCTGGCGGAATCGCTCTTGCTGATGGAGTCGCTCCTGCTGGCGTCACTCGACTTTGTGCGCGTGTAGCTGAGCTGCGGGGCTTCAAGCGCGCGCACAGACCATGCCGGGCGCTTCTTCGTGCCCGCAGAAGGCGGCATCGGAGGAGACGACGGCGGGGTGGGCGTTTGCGCAGGCACAGGCTGACATACGACCGAGAGCGCCATATCGGCCTCCTCCGGCTTCTCCAGGAGTGCAGGAGACGTTGAATCAATCGCAACCTCAATGGGTGACGCCGTGACCTCGATAGGAGAAGCAACGACGTTGGTAGGCGATGTGACGATGTCGGCTGGCAAGAAAGCAATAGCGGGAGGCGTTGGTTCCGACTCGACGGGCGACTGCGCTTTGGAAGCTGTGGGGGTGCGCTCCGCGGCGTCCTGTGTCAGACGCTCCTCCGTAGGAGACGGTAGCGCGCTCCCGAGGCTCTGCTTCTTCAGGCTCGCAATGTCGATGGACAGCGAACGCGAGCCCTGCGAACTCATCGGTGACTGAGCATCTTCCTGATCCTGCGCCTCTTCGTCGACAGGCGACTCAAGGAAGAACGGCGGGATATCGTCGTCGACGAAGATGTGCGCTTCCACCGGAGCGCTTGGCTCGGGCATCTCCGGCTCATCGTCTTCGTCTCCTGCGCTGGACACATCAGCGTCGTGCTCGGACTCTGACGAGACCGAGTCTGTGTCGGAGTAGTAGATAGAGTCGTTCACGGAGTCAGGCCTTGCGTCGGGCTGTGCGTGCGCGAAGTATGCGTCCTCGGGCTCTTCCTCATCCTGGACCGCCTCCTGCACCTCAGCGGCCCACGAGGGCACCTCTGCAACCGGCGTCAACACAGGCTCAGCCGGCAGTGGGGCGCGGCGTAGCTCGGGGCTTGACGAAGCTATGGAGAAGTTGGACTCTGTGGGTGTGACGACCTCGAAGTTGACCGAGCACGTATCGCCGTCGTCTAGTGCCGACAGCGAGTCGTCCGGCGCGGACAACGTGTCGTCTGGCCCGGGCACTACGATGGGTTCCGGTGTGGGTCGGATGAACAGGGGCAGAGGCTCGCTTATAGATGCTGGGCTCTCGCACTTTGGAATATTGTGCTCCTCAATGACTTGGCGGAGGGCCGAAGTGGCGTCGGCAGCAGGCTCTGGAACGGCTGCTGTTTCCTCTGCGATGGTTGCTTCCTTGACGGGTACCGCGGGCGCGTCGACCTGCGAGAGTTCATCCACCTGCAATGGTGGCGCAGCTGGCGATGATGGACGTACAGCTACATCGATGGCGTTCCTCTTTACCGGCATTGCGGGGCGGATAGGCGCCGTGCCATCCTTCATGGACTGCTTCTCCCGCTCCTCGTCGAACCTTATCAAGTCTTGTAAGGCCTGCGACGGAGATGGAGGCGGGGATAGGGAGTCGGACCAGTCGATGAGTTCGTGTTCTTCTGGAGATGGCTGGGGGGAAGGTAGGGTGGCCGTCGATACCCCCGCCCTATCTTTGTTAAGTAAGGCGTCAGAAGAGTGGCTGCTATTCACGGACGAGCTCGAAGCCGGCGATTGCGAGCGTGCAGGGACGGGAAGAACAGGGTTCCGCCACTCGCGCGGGCCGAAGATACCCGCATCGTCCGAGAGAGGGAGCGAGTCGTTCGATGCGGACGCCCAGGCGTGTACGTTCGTGGCAAAGTCGTAAGGGAGGGGCGTGGACTTCGCCCTGTCATCCGGCGGAGCGGAGAGCAGGTCTATTAGCGGGCGATCGTCGCTAAGCCTGCTGGGTCCAGGAGTCCCTGCACGCCGATTCGCTGTGGGGAGGGCGGGCGACATGGGGCGGGGAATTGCTGGCGGGACGGTGCGCAGGCTACTGACGCTGTGGCTGCGCCTCGTGTGTTTCTCGTGCAGTGGCCGCCAGCGCCCTCCGGCCCGATCAGGCAGCTGCAGCGAGCTGCGCGGCTTGGCGTCCGGGACATGCGGTGGCGGCACGGAGCCATCGTGCTCGGGGTCGGCGGTCGTGGGGAGCAGGTCGAGCTCGCGCTCGTTGAGGCGCCGCCAGCCGTGGCTCGTGTTCCTCCGGGCGTCCGAGCGGCGACACCAGAGGGTGTGCCAGATGTATCCGATGGCGAGCGTCATGAGCGCGTAGAGGGACATGATGAGCGGGGACGTGCGCAGGACCGCCGCGATGGCGGTCTGCCGGACGGCGTGCGGGAGCGTCGCGGCCGGCGGGGCGTTCACCGCCACGGGGAGGGGGGTATCTCGTCTAGAGGACGGGGACTTTGGTGAGCGGGTGGAGTGCGTTCGAGCGAGATATATACCTCTGAGGCATGCTCTCTACTGTGGCAGTGGCCAAGATGAAAGGCAGGAGCCAAGATGCGAGAAGCGCCATCGCCTCGAGGCCGACGCGCATATTTATCGTGGCCCGACTTTATGAAACCTAGCAAGGCATCATGGACGTCCTGACCAGGCCAGGTGTCCGTCGCGCGGCTACGGCGTGTGCTGATTCCGTCTTATTTCGTGCTTGCCGGGTTGCCGGAGGTCCTGAGATCGAATCCGCGCGACCATCTCAACATGAGTGTCGCTCTGCGCACATCCTCTCTTCCAAAATACTCGGCAGCATTGCAACATAGCTATGCGAAGAAAGGGCAGCGTAGGATTGAGATGAATCGAGAGTCGAGAGCGGAAGGAATTCCGACTACTCGGTGTTTGCCGCAAATGCGGTACATATGGATCTACAATTTCTGAACATCGACAGAACCGCTGAACGGGACATCGCGCACCTTTGAGATTCTGGGGGAACGTAGAGTTGTCCCACCTGAAAGTGAGCGGCAGCGGCGCATCCCCCGGATCGTTTAGCTGTTCGAAAGCTCACCATAACTCCACTGCTATCAATTGCGGTGGATTGTAATGTGGCGAGCATCTATGGGGCTTGGCGTCAGCATATAAGGATGCTATATATGGCGGAGGACGAGATGATGGCCAGAAGGCAGATGTGCAGGCGGAAAAAAAAGCACGTCGGCGATAGAGGTTGTTCTGACACGTGACTTGGACATAACTTCTTGATTTTGACAGAACTGTCCGATGCCCTGGACAAAAAAACAGCAGAGAAGTAGACAGAAGTCAGTCAAAAATAGGAAGCAATGTTGCCCGAAGCTAGTCAAGTCGCAATCATCTGATATCATCGACGTACATCGAAAGCAAGCATCAGAACGCTTGCGATAATTCATTGACAGAATGGGACCGCATAGGAATGGTTTGGGAGTGCTATCAACTGAGTATGATGGCACTGTCACTGCTTTGGACACAGAGATAGCCTGCGTCGATGCCTAGTCCGAGGTGAACTGAATCCCTGTGTAATTTGGCGACGGTAAATGCCGAGGGTCCGGCATTTGCCGTATTTCTCTCTCGATGTGCGGTGTTTGTTTCGCAATAAATGTGCCTTAGGCGTATTCCTGAGTATAGAAGCAGTGCTATAGAGACACTTGAATCGCGATGAGTAGTCGAATTCGGCCCTTGGGACCTCTGGGTTGAAAAACAAATTGCACCGTGAAGTTGAACGTCCCCAACGCGGTCACATGTACTTTGGGGTCACTCGGCCTCCACTACGGTCTCCACAACGCGTAGCGAGCCGTGGGCCCCTCGGAAAATGGAGAGAGAGACGAAGGAATCGCGTAAGACAGCGAGAATAATGACAAGTCGCCGAGACGAAACGCGTCCATGACGAAGGCGATATTATGGCCGGTCTCGAGAGTACGTACTGTACATGGTGATAGCTACAGCGTTCACAACATTTCGAATACAGTCCAACACGACACGACAAAGAATAGCTTCCGCTACGCTTCTCTCTCCAGGAACCCTATCCCACCTGCCCGAACCTTCCCCAAGAACTGGTCATACCAGCGCATGATGATCCCGAACGGCACAGGCGTCTCGGGAGTGATCATCCCGTTCGCAAATCCGGTGACGAAGTTGAATAGATTCTTCACCACCTTCTCCGCGATGAGTGTGGGCTCCATCGCTGGTGGTGGCTTCGAGAGAGTAGAATTGAGCGTCGCCATCTGCGCCTGAATCGCATCGAGTGGCTCAATGGCGATGCCGAGGACTGCGACGACGTCGGCGCCCATAGGGTTTTCTGGTGCAGGGGAAGGGGAGGGGGAGCTCATGGCACTGGAGATCGAGTGGGATGTGGTGCTGGAGAATGTGCCCCGTAGTCGGAAGATGGCGGACGGTTTCTCATTCGAGAGCCTAGAGGGGGAGTGTGAGCAGCCTCGAGGACGTTAGAATGGCATATAGACGTACATTCCCAGTAACTGGAAGCCTTTGCCAGGCCAGAAGAAGTGTACGGTGGCACCATAGCCATCGGGGAAGGGGACTGTGTCACAACGATGGTAAGCATTTAGTCAAAGAAACACAATAGCGTGTCACGCACCATTTCCCAGTAAGAACACACATACATGGTTCACCGAACTCGCGTGGGGGAGCTCGAAGATAGCATGGGTATCATCAATGGTCTGGATATTCGTCTGGAGGGGACGTCCCGCGACGCAGCAACCAAACATTCTGGGGTAGGGGTAGGTAGGCGAAGGCGTCTTTTCGTATTTGGGTCGCCCTGATCTGGACTGGGATGGGAGTGGGAGGATGAAGGCGATGTGAATCAAAGCCCCCGAGTGATAGACAATATTCGTATCGATCTGACCTTCAGGAAAATGCGAGAATGGACTGGGTTACGACGTCAAGAGCCAACTCCCAGCGCGTCAGATGGAAAGAATGCAACAAAGCGGTATATTGCAGCAACAAATACTTGTCTTTGAACAGCACTCGGTCGTGGCGGAGGAGGGAAAGCGTCGAAAGAGTGAAATGGCAACAGCAGACGAAGCGCGCCTGATCCGGTCCCTCGGCCCGATCTCCCGGCATAAACGGCGCACGTGTCCGGATGATTGGCCCTCCGGCAACAACAGAAGTGCACCTTTAGCTCGACGTTCATCGTCCAAAGCCGCTGCTTACCTCCCTTTCCCGGCGTCCTCGTCCATTCCTCTCCTCTATCACCATGTCCGACTTTGAGATTGACGACGAGATCCTGGCGCTCGCGACCGAGTCCTCCAAGGACAAGAAGCGCAAGAGAAAGCAACAGCAGTCGGACGGGTCTACTAAGCGGAGGAGACAGTACGCATTATGCTGAGAGGGGGTTTGTAATAAGAGTGCTAATGTTAATGCTCGGCAGCTCTGATGGGACTCCGGAGTCGGAGGACCGATCTGCGAGCCCGGAACCAAGGAAGAAACGGCATGCGAGCAGTGACGAGGAGGACGACGAGGAGGGAGAGAAGTACCCACTGGAGGGGAAATACATAGATGAGGAGGATAGGGAACAGTGCGTTGACCAGCTCACTCTTCGATTGAACCATGGGCAACTGACTTGTCATTACCAGCCTGCTTGGGCTTCCCGAGCTTGAGCGCGAGAACATCCTCGCGCAGCGTCTGGAGGAGAAGCAGCAAAAGCTCGACAAGGCCGGTCTTATGGCCATGTTTGCGCAGCACCAGGGCGGGGCCGTGGCGAGTGCGGCGAAACGTCAGCACACGGCGCGTGGCGCGACGAAGGAGAAGACGCGCAAGCTCGATGAGCTCAAGGCGAAGCGGAAAGAAAAGGACGATCGGAGCAAGGTGTGTAGCTACTTACTCCATCTGCTACTCAAGACTTCCCGCTGACACTCAGCCTCATAGAACAAGGAGTTCGACAGAGAACGCTCGCGGTCGCGTTCACGATCCGTCTCGGACGGGTCCGACATGGTAATGGATTCCGGGGACGAACAGTCTGACCACGAAGAGCGTCGCACCGAACGACACCGCTCTGAGGAACGCTCCTCGTATCGCGACGAAGAAGTCACTCTCGCCGACATGTGGAAGATCTGGCTCACGCGCGACATGATCGTCAAGCACTGCTACGCGCCTTGGTTCCAGGACTACGCGAAGGGTCAGTATCGAGCCACACCGATGATGTGCGCTCGAACTTAACGCTCGCAGGTGCCTGGATGCGCTACCTGATTGGCAACGAGAACGGGATGCCGGTGTACCGCGTCTGCGAGGTCGTCGACTTTGAGGAGACAAAGAAGCCCTATGCCATCGATGGCTCAAAATACATCGACTTTGATGTGGTCCTGCGGCACGGAGATGCTGCGCGGACCTGGGCGATGGATAAGGTGTCGAACTCAAAACCGTCTGATGTGCGTGGACGTCTCGACCTGCTTGGGACATGTTTTGAATTTTTTAACAGCGAGAATTCGCGCGCGCGAAGATTGTGTGGCAGAAAGCGAGGCTACCGTTCCCTACGCACGACACCATCGCGCGCAAATCTGAAGAGATGCGGCGCTTTGTGAGCAAGCCTGTGACTGAGGTACGTGTCCATTCCAGTAGCCGTATAATATATCCCTCGTTGTGTTTTGTATCGTACCAATAACTGCCGCAGGAAGAAATTACCTACATGACCAAACGCGGCCGCGAGCTCAAGCAGCGCGTCTTCGGTAACCAGCTCACCGGCATTGAGCTCGTTTCCGAGCGCGCGCGCCTCGAGCAGGCGCTCAGCCTTGCCGAAGCGCGCCGCGACTTCGACGAGGTTGACGCATTGCAGAAGCAGCTTGCCGCCCTCGCAGGGCCGAATGGCGTTTCTGCGCCCCCCTCATCCTCGCGCCCGGCTGCGGACACACCGCCGCCGTCGTCCTTGCAAAACGGGGGTAGTGCTGGCAAGCAGAACGCGGTTGACATTGTTGCGATGGTGAACGAGCGGAATCGGCGCGCGAATGCGGAGGCGATCCGGAAGGCGGAGCTCGCCGAGCAGGAAAGGAGGAAGGCGCAGAAGCGGGCGAATGAGAGGCATAAGGGGACGCCGGGGGTGTCGAGGTGCGTTCTTGTCCAGTGCAAGGTCTGGTGGAGTCGTGGGGCTGACTCGGATGCGGTCGCAGGTCTGCGACGCCTGCGGCCAGGATGGCGAGTGCTGTGGCAACGCCAGAGCCAGTGCTGCCGACTGTCAAACCCAAGGCGGCCATGTCGGTGTTGGATTCGATAGATGTGGACTTGGGTGACTTTTAAACAGTAGGTAGCTCGTGGAAATGCATGTGAGAATATTCAGAGAGCGTTGCGATTCCAGCCCAATTGCTTCGTGTGCCACGTTACCGAGTGGTTGAGAGCACGTTAGTCTTTGGCACACTTGTAATTGTGGCAAACAAGTGCAACTCAAGTCTGACCCGAGTACGTGCTCTCGCTCAATTTCTAAGGATCAGGCCATCCGCAGGGCATATATATGCAGCCCACCGAAGTTCGAACCAACATAGGTGTGGCAAACCACGTGACTGTAACGTGCCACCGAATGCCACCTCGTGGCATTCGACCGCTTTGACCTCTGTTGAATCTGCTCCTGGCCACCACCACTGTTTGCCACCTTTTGCGTTGCGCTGCTCGAGTTGCACACCGCGACTATATCTTTGCAAGTTCATACGTTGCCACCACTTTGTTGACTTAGGCGCCTATTCCGGGCCAAGGTAAGTCAGTTTTTGACCTTCGGTTGGCCAGCGCTTAACATTGAACAATGACAGTTTGTCGACACCGCATTCTGATCGGATTGTGGCCATTGGATAGACTGCTATATATCCTGCAAAATGTCAGTCATCACTTTCTTCTCAATCCTCATCATCATGGCTCATCTTCCTGTCGGCGACAGCTCCCCCTACAAGGTCGACGTCCCCCGCTTTAACTCACGCTATCGAGAGGGGAACATGGTTTCCGCACGGAAAATCTTCGTGAACTACATCGGCTCTGTTCCCCAGATCTCCATCGTCGACTTTCTCGACCATTTCATGCCACCGCAGAAGCTCGACCAAAAGCAGATCGCAAAGGTCTCCCGAAAGCTCTGCGGGAAGTGGCACGAGTATGGAGACGTTGACGAGCAGGTCATCCTCGACAAGAAGGCACGCGCCACTCAATGGGGGACGAAGCACGCCCCGTACGATAGGAAACACAAGGTCTGGAGCGACTACGCGCATCTCCCTCGGCAGCGCGCCGACAACGAGAAGACGGTGTACGCTGCCTTTACCGACATGTGCGACCAAGTTATCGCCTGCTGCAAAGCTGTTCGAGACGACCTGTCCCCGACGACGCGATTGGTCAGCAATGGCAACACACCGCTCATGGGGTCGAAGCATAACTCTGCCCCCTGCGACGCCTTCCACTACCTCATTGGCGACCACGACCACGAGCTGGATATATACGATTGTGTCTGCAATGTTCAGTACAAGAAGATACTCAACGCAACTAACGTGCAAGATGTGAGTGCACATCATGAACCAGCGTCTCCTTCGCTAACTCGCTCATAGAACAACTTGAAGGTCATCTGGGACCTACATCAGACCATGCGAATGGACCCGCGCCGCCGATTTACATTCGGAATGACGTTTGCCGACACCACAGTGCGTTTGTGGCACTACAACCGCGAGGTTCTCGTCGTCAGCGAGGCTTTCGATTTCAACAAGGTATGTCATGACCTTCCGCTGTTGGACAATCCTGAATCTTGCTGCAGAACTTCAAGATCCTGATTGATGTCTATGCTCGCCTATCTTTCGCCACCATGCCGGAGCTGGGCTTCGACCCGACCATCACTCTGCTACCTTCGTCTCCGTCTTCTGTTGCAAACACGTCACCGCGTCAATTTCGCATTGCGGTTGATAACGTGTTCTATATTGCGACGCAGGTATTGGCCGACTTCTGTCCAGAGGACGGTTTTGGCCGCTGCACTCGCATATTCTCTGCGTATAAGGAGGGCGAAAGTGTCGACAAGACGTTCGTCATCAAGGATTGCTGGGTCGAAGCGACGCGCGATACAGAATTCACAACTCTGAAACTCATCGAAGCAGACATCCTTTCCTTCGACTGGCAGAGGAAATGTCACCCGCCCCTAGATGACGTCGAGGACCTTGCCTCGTATAAGTCCGACCGCATCGTAGACCCTCTTTATGGGAAGCTAACCCCAGAAGAGCGCACACGGTTCTTCGTGCCTATAATCAATGGCGTGGAGGTGGCAGTCAATGGTCGCCCAGACGATACACAAGATGTCATTGCAAATGGGTACGAGTTTCCGAACCATCGCAACATGTTCTGCGTGGACAGCGACTCGGTCATGCAAGATGGCTCGAGATACATCTCGATCTGGCAGGGCACCGTTGGAAATGAAGCCGATCTAGCGAAGCCGCGAGAGGTCGTCGGCTGCTTTTTTCGCCCTATAGTCCGGCGCAAGCATCATCGTCTCGTCATGGAGAAGGGTCTACCGCTATCCCAAATCAAAGAAGCGAGAAAGGCATTTAGTGTGGTATCGGATGCAGCCTATGGTATGGGATTCTCCGACTTGCTAGACTTTCTTAGGCTGATAAAATCTCGAACAGGCTTGTTCATCTTGCACTGTATAGGCTGGCTTCACCGAGACATCAGCGCGGATAATATACTACAGATGCCCAATGGGAGGGGTGTCCTGGCGGACCTGGAATACACGAAACGGGCCAGTGACCCGCGGACGCGCAGCTTCCGGACGGTCCGTACTTATCCACAGTTCTGCTTCTCATTCGCTGACGCTATGCATCTAGGGTACGCCCGACTTCCTCGCCATCGAAGTCGCCTATCGTCAGTATCTTAACGCAGCGTCAGACGCTGACGACGTGATGTTCCGCGTCAAAGCGGAAGCGACGGACGGAGATCCAGATACCTTGCCATGGCGATTCCGGGATACTCACGACCTGGAGTCGATATGGTGGCTCTGTCTGTGGTTGCTCTTCCATCACACCAAGAAACGACGTCCCGCCGGTTACGATCTCCTCGCGCAATCAGACACATGCAATGAGCTTTTTCCCGGGGTGCTCAAGGTTACGCAGAGGCGCCGCGAACTTCTGACCGAGAAGCAGAAGTTGGCAGTGGCCATGCGTACCCTTCCGCCCGACTGGGCAGCAGCGCTCGAGGGTTACCTCACTGCCGTACGCAATATCTTGCGCAACTCATACAAACCGGAAAAGCGTGGCCGGCCGCTTCATCCGGGGACTTGGTGGATGGTGCACAATATGTGCATGGCGGGGACGGCCATCAAGGACGACCTGGTCTGGATAACGCGGAACGAAGTCGACCGGCTGAAGGAACGCGCTCGAAAAGCACAGCTGAAGGCAGCACAACAGAGGCTCGGGGTTGCGGGCCCAGGCGAGGTGGCGGACAAAGGCGACGACGTCACGATGACAGACGCTCCCGCTCGTGAGGACCACGGCTATCGTCGCTCGACGGGCAAGCGCAACAAGCGCAAGACGCGCGACGAACTGGGGTCCGTTCACGACGCGTCTTCGAATGACGAGGATGGTTCGCCTCGCAAGCGGGCCAAGCGCGGGAAGCCGTCCAAAGGTAATAACGAGCCTCGTTCCTCCGATAAGGAGGAGTCCCGGCCCTCCAGGCGGGACGCGTCTCATTCCTCTAATAGGAACGCATCTCGTTCTGGCGGTAAGCACGCTGCTCGCCGGGATGGTACGCGAGGATGAAGGTTGGGCTGAGGTTCTACTGGGACTGTATTGTGACGGACAAAGGGAAGGAGCGCGCAGATACTTAAGAGACATTTCAACGGACACTGTATATATACCCTACTTCAGATGATACCATTATAGGACGCCTTGAACAGCGCCCGATCATATCTACTCTCCATCTGCTGCCTTCGACCTCAAGACTGCTCGACGGCCTTCAGCCCGCTCCACTTGCCTCAAGTACTCGAACACTACCGACGCTCCTTGGTTGCTCACGAATAACATGTTCATGCACCGTGGACCATGCGAATCCCAGAATTTATTCTATTGGTTTGTGCTCAAAGCGACGAAATGGTGTAGTAGAGTATGTAGGTTCAAGCCCTCGGCATGAACCAAAAAGAGCTCGTCTTTTGCCTGACCGCCTGCCGCTCAAACGAGACCTTCATTTCGCCTCCGATGCGCTGGCCCTGCAGTCCAATCAAGATAATCAGCTCAACTCTCATAGCAAGGATGTCGCAACTGACCGTCCACACCCTTCCATCGGTGATGATGGTCCGTAAGTTGCGCACGTTGCTCATGAAGTTCTTGACGCCTTCGGGGGAGAGGGTGAGCTTGTGCGACTGTGGTCCGTGATTGTGGCTGTTGAGGTCGACGAGGACGCGGATCGAGAAGGAGCGGGCGATCATGGAGGTGAAGGCGACTTGACCGAGCTGAAGAGAGCATTCGTCAGCGGTCACATTATGTCTCTACCCAAAGAAAGATAGTCGCTTACCGGATCCATCGCCGGAAACCCGATCTCTAACCTCTGGATGATCGGGCAGACATTGCAGATGTGCGCGACGAGGTCTAGCCCGACGGTGCATTCAATGAAGCTCAGCGTGCGCAGCGTGTTCTTGTGCGCGTCAAGGATGGGCTTCAGGAGGGGCAACGTGAGCTGCGTCTTCGAGCGCTCATGGAAGCGGAGGACGAAGGAAGTAAGCGTCGGCGCGGCGGCGTTAATGTGGTCCATGATGGTGTTGAGCACAGTGAGCATGTTTGAGGAGGACTGATGCCAGCGGCCGTCGATGGCGAGGTGCCGGAGGTTGGCGAGGGTGTGGTCGGCGGTGGAGAGGGGGCAGGTGCTGTCCTGTGGAAAGTATGAGCGGCAGCGGAGCGGTAAGTGGTGTGGCACTGACAGTGGCTGTCAAGGCCAGGCTCTCGAGCAATGGGGTATGCTCGGTGAGATTGAGAAGGGCATTGTGGTCGATCTTCTGGCAGCCGACGACATGAAGCGATCGTAATCGCGTCAACGACAGTACAGTCGACCGGAGAACGCCCTCGTTCAAGTCGGGTGCCATCTATCACCAAATAAGAGCATGAACAATGAATTAGATAGAGGCCACGCACGAAAATCGTCAAATTCTCTAGGCTATCCTCCATGCTCTCTGCCCATCGAGGCAGCGCATCAAGTATCGTCCACGTCGCCGTATCCACAACGAGAGACACCAGTGTATTGATTCGCAGTAGCCGCTCGACTTGACATGTTGTAAGGGATCCATGCATCCGCAAAGTCGTAAGCCGTGGTTTATCCTCAAGGGATAGTATGAAGCTTGGGAATGAAGGGATGGAGCATCTGAACGTCTGCAGGTTGGTGCAAAGGGCCAGCGCTTGCGTGCATTGGCGCAGGAAAACCGGGTGTGGGTACCCTGTTTTGTAAAGGGGGATGCATTGGATGTCTATATAATTGAGAGAAACCCTCTGACGAGCGATCGTGCTAGCACATACCAACTTGTCGGACATGTATCGCAAGATCGGGATGCGCCAAAACGGCAGCGAATGGGGACATCACCTTTGCGTACACTTAGAGATGAACAGATTCGGTAAGAAAATGGGGACGTACGACGTCATGTCGTTTCGCATGAAACTGCCTGAAGGGCAGGACGCGGTACAGTTGCGGAAGGACTGCAGCGTTGAAGGATCGGCTGACCAGCGCCACATTGGGCAAGTCCTTGCTCGCGAGGAAGGCAAAAATGAGCTCGAGGACGTCGAAGTTGAGGTTGTCGGCGGAGACCATGGTGATGGCGGGAGGAGAGCAGCACAATGCCGTTGATTGGTCAAGGGCGCGTCGGAGGTGGCGCGCGAGGTCACGCGTGACGTGCGCGTTTCTTGAGCAGTTCAACTTGTATCCGACGACTGTCTTGGGGCCTGTGTGCCATCTATCGCTTGGGAAAGCGCTCTAGCTATACTCATGCCTCAACCTCAACGCCATCCCGCACGTTCCGGAAACTTTCCAGTACGCATCGACGCCGCCTCGCCAAAGCTTTCTAAACTCATTAATGTCGCCGACTTTCTTTCCGATGGTGTGGTCCTACGAGACGTCCTAGGTATGGATGCAGTCCTCGTTCTCTTGGCCTGAAAGGCTCTTGTCTACCTCGATTTCTTGACGTTTGCCCTTTGGCAGGAGATGATCCCTCTGTCCTTGTCAAGCGCTGCTATGGCGCAGTCGCGCGCTGCATATTCTCGATGGCGCAGGCACAGACCTTGCGAAACGTCATAGAATTATCTTGCCTGTCGAAATTGTCACTCTGGGTATATCACGCCATTCCGAAGCCAGGCCTTCGTCCAGCATTTGGCGCGTTCTCCGAGCCTATTTTGACCGTTTTTTTTGCCTTCCTCATCAGTCATCTCCATGCTTCATACCGCAGTGTATGTTCTCTCTAGTACGACTGCTACAGACCAAGGGCTTGTATGTGCAAGTTTGCCACAATGAGACTGATCCAAAGAGGAAGGTCACCCGAGGCGTGAGGCGGCCTCTGAACCTCGTTCTATCGCTATCAAATCACCTCCGTACCTGATTCTTCAAGAAATGCACATATGCAAAGCTTTGTAGGTAGACTGAGTGCTATGGCAGGGTAAAAATCGAGTTCGGTGGGTCCATAGAGTGCATACTGACGGGAGCAAACAAAGGATCACGGGGCGCGATAAGATTAGATTACGTAGCCCCGCGATCAAACCTTGGCCGACCAATGTCCTTCACCTTTTCTCACCGCGCCGCCATGGTCAACTCTGCAATCTCCTCGGATCCTCTGAGTTCTCCATCACCGTCGCCCGAGCCACCCTCCGGACCCTCGAAACCACCTGAGATACGACGAGAAATCCCCATGTCATCGGAGGCGCCTCACGGCAGGGGCGGGGACAACGATTCCGAGCTCTCTGAGCTCACGGAGGACGAGCAAGACCGCCGCTCGCAGTCGAAGAAGAGGGCTTCCGTCCATCAGCCATCAGTGTCGAGCGTGAAGCCCTCGTCCAGGAAGCGCGCGCCCGCAGCCGACGATGACGACAAGGAGTATGAGACTGAGGAAGAGCAGGATACGCGTCGCAATGACAAGGGTGGCGATGAAGACGACGCTATGCAGGAGGATGAGGACGGCGCCGACGACGACGCGGACGACTCGGCCAAGTCGTCCGGAAAGGAAACCGATCGGACGAAAGACCTTGTCAAGGGCCGTCGTGTTCCCAATCGCCCCCCGCGCCCCCGCAGCAAGAAACGCAACTCTATCGTCCCCGCGCCGATGTGGGGCTGGGCCACCAAGAACGACGAGGAGGATGAGGTAGAGGAGGGCGAGCAGCCCGAGGAAGAGGAGGAAGAGGGCGAGGTTGGCGAGGACGACAACGAGCGCGAAGAGCCCGAGCCCGAAGAAGACACCGCGCCACCGTCGGCGAGGATGCCACCACCCCCGGCTACGAACGCCGACGACTTCCTTCGTCAGGAGATCGAGAAGCGCCAGGCGGACATCAACAATAGCCGTGAGACCCCGAAGGTGCCGGCCAAGCCGTCCGTCGAGTCGGAGGATGAGGATGAAATGGAGGAAGGCGAAATCGAAGAGGGAGATGAATCCGACAACGACGAGGACGTGGGCGTCGCTGCACCGCGCACGGCCCCCCTAATGGCCGCGTCGTCAATCATGGCGGGGTCCACCGTTGTCGGTTCGACACTTATGGACGACGGCGGCAGCGACGAAGAGGAGGAAGAGGGGGAAAAGGAGGACGAAGATAAGGACTCTGACGACGACGAGGCCAAAGACAAGGGCAAGGACGAGGATATGGACATCGACGAAGACGACACGCCCCCGGCCAAGTCGAACAAGGAGGCCCCCGTTCCAACTTCGACTAAACCCATCTCGAAGAAGAAGGAAATTGTCGACGAAACGCCTGTTAAGGATGGCCGGAGGTGCGTTGCCAGCCCCTCGACGCGACATACAGCTAATCTCTACCTACAGGTCCCGCATCATCAAACCTGCTTCGGCCCAAGAACAGTCCCGCGAACCCAGCCCCGACGCTGCCAGCGCCGCCGAGGACGATGCACTCGAACAAGACCAAGAAGACGAAACTGAAATACAGCCTGCTCATCGCGCCGAGGCCCTTGACACCCTTGCCATCATAGAACTCAAGTTCGCCCTGCTTCGCGAGAATGTCTACGTCGAGAAGATGGACAATTTGGCGTGGGAAGAGGCGCTCGTCAATGATGGTGCGCGGATCCTCGAGAGTTCATATGGACAGCTTCGCTTACAGCTTATAGGGACGCATCCTGAGATGCTTCACATGCAATCTGAACTAACAAAGCGCCGTGATACTCGCATGCGACTAGCAGACGCTCGCCAGGAGGTTGAGACTCAAGCCGTGCAGAGGAAGCGCGCGCACGATGAAATGGCCATTTGGAGTTGGTGGCAGGTACGTACTCAATACCTATGTGAAGGCGGTCCGCTGATCCTCTGTTTGCTGTAGTTTGAACGTGATCAACTTCAGACGGACATGATCTCCGAGACGAACCGTAAACGCCGCCGTCTGGAAAGAGATCGACGCACCCTGGAGCGGCCCCCTCCCAGTGCGTCCATCATTGATATACACATATCACGCGTATTCACACTTCCATAGCGCGCCGCATGCCTCTGCCGCCTCCTGAAATCGGCATGCCCACTGTGCCCCTGCTACGGAAGACAATTGAGTCTGCGACACCCACTAGCGCCATCACAAACAAGCGCAAGCGCTCAAAGCACAGCAGCCAGCCCGGCGTCAACCCCTTGTCGAATTCGCCCTCCTACCCTGAGCTTCCGCGTCTCGGTCAGTTGGACATTGAGCACGATCTCCGCTTCCTCCAGATGCACGCGCAGCCCAACAACGCTGCCGGCAACACGCGTCGCAGCGTCAACATCGACTATGCCCCTGGCGGTGGGCGCATGATCGTCCCCGGTGGCGGCACGAACGCATTTGGGGTCATCAACGACGGGTTGATGGGCCTTGGTGGCGGGATGAGCATCGGGCTCATGCAGAGCGTGCAGGTGTACAATGAGGGTCCCAGCAACATGCCGCCCCCCATGCCTACGAAGTCGAGGGACATGACGCGGCCCTCGTCGCGCCAAGGCTATTTTGGCAGCGGCCGCCGCTCGCCTAGCCCGCGCATGGGCGGCATGCCCTGGGCGGGCGGTAACGGCACCTGGGAGGAGGAGGACCGCATCATCGCTGTCCAGCACGAGAAGGAGCGCGATAGGCGGGAGAGGGAGCGAGACCTGCAACATCAGGCGGACGCGGCGCGCTACCGCGACGAGAAGGAGCGCGAGCAGCTTTTGATTCAGCAGCAGCAGCAGCAGCAGCAGCAACAGCAACATCGACACCAGCCCGCGGTGCCGCCGCACGTGCATCATCATCCACACGTCCACCCGCACCACCATCACCATCGGCCTCATCACCACCATGTAGTGCACCGACACCCGCCTGCCCAGCCAAGCCCGCGCCCGCCGAGGGAGTACGAGCGCCAGGGGGAGGCGATCAATATGGCAGCGGGGCAGATGCACAGTGGTTCGCCTCCAAATGCATTTGAGGGGCATAGTCGGTCTGCGTCGCTGTCGAAGTCGGGACCTAGCGGGCGACCGCCGCTCCTGCAGGGGAGCCCACCAGAAGAAAGGGAGCGCGCGCCAGTGGATCGTGAACGGGTACCAGTGGATAGAGAGCGCGCGCCGATGGATCGTGAACGGATACCGATGGATAGAGAGCGTGCGGCGATGGATAGGGAGCGCGCACCCATGGAGAGGGAGAGGCCTCCAATGGATAGAGAGCGTCCGCCGATGGCGATGCCCTTTGCGGTACCCTCGTCCTCGAAGGGTCCGTCGGATGCCCCGCGTCCCGGTTCGGCATGGCCGCGCGATGTGGATATGCGTCCACCTATTCCTAGTCCAGGTGGGATGTCGGGCTCGCCACCGGGCCCTTCGTCGCGCTTCCCGCCGATGGAGCGTCCGAGCGGTCCGCCTATGGATCGTGCTGTTGTTCCTCCCATGGATCGCGCTGTACTCCCATCCATGGACCGTGCTTTGGCACCACCCATGGAGCGTACGAGTGGTCCTCCTACCCCCCTCGAGCGTCCCGTAGGACCGATGGATCGTCCGCTAGGTCCCCCAATGGAACGGCCCTCTTCGTCTCAGCGCTCGCGCCCCGCCTCGCAACAGCACTCCCGGCAGGGTTCGTCAGGGGGCATACTCTCGCCCACCCGGTCGCGCATGCCGCTGCCAGCGGAACGTCCGCGGTCGCCTGGTGGTGCACACTCACGCAGCCCATCGAGTGCCGGGCTCGGGCGGTCGCCATCGCATGCAAGTGTTGGACGGTCACCCTACCATCCGTCCACGGCGCCGGGATCACCGCATAGGCCTGCAGGGACGATGCTACCGCCTTCCGGCGGCCCGCCGACGGGACTCAGTGGTCCAGGCGCAGGCCTCGCGGGTCCGCCAGTTGGGTTGAGTGGTCCGGGAGCGGCGGGACTGGCTGGCCCAGCGTTGCCACCTCTGGCGGGGCCAGGAGCTCCCCCACCACCGGCGTCGTCCAGGCAAGTGCTGCCGCTGTCGACGTCGGTCTCGGGGCTTTTGAGCTCGGACAAGATGGCGGTGGATAAGGAGAGGCTGCCGCCGGTGTCGTCGATACCCAACTCTTGAGGCACGCGCGGGGGACTTGAACGCGGCTCAAGGATGTAACTGTAATCATGCTCGAGGTGTATATCTGCACGGCTTTTGCTCGACCAATATCACGATTTTTTCCACTCATCCAGAAAACTCATGAATTACTGTACAAGAACTCATGAGAAGCCTTCCTGCGAGTTGGCTCGAAATTAAGGTGCGTAGGCGCTCCAAAGGATCGTGCGGTAACGTCTCTATTAATTACATCGCGTCCTCGACGCAGCTGAAAGCCACGGCCGAGTTGCCTGCCTGCAGCGAAGACTAGGACCTGATGCATAATGAATCCAGTCTGTAAGAACAGTCTTGTGGTTGACCTGCAAAGTAGCTACGTCGCTGAGCCAAAGTTGGATTCGTGTGTGCTGAGCTGGGGAGTCGATTAGGCATCGATAGAGATTCTTGGCGAGGCGTCTGAGCCCGCGTTAACGCCTGTCGCATTCAGTCGCTGAGCCCCTAAAACAAGCAAGTCTTGAACTTTTTGCAGGGCTTCGCGAGGAGATTGGAAAAACCAGAGAGTTGTGAGGCACCTTCGAAGAATGGGGCGTTGTATAAGGGCAACCATTTGTAGACTCGGAGGGGGTTGGCACTCTCGGCAGCAGGAGCCGAACAGAGGTTCAGCTAGAATATTGTGAACGTTGTCTACGTGCTGTCATCAGGATGAACGCGGCAATACGGCATCTGACGGCGACGGAGTGAGGGTCAGTGGCAAGAGCATAATAGCCCATCACGCCGGCCATATTCTATTGTTCTACAAGAGGAAAGCACTGTATCGAGTCTCGTCTCTTCATCCTGACCCTCATCACGACCAAATTACCTACCCGCGACAATGACGGTGCAAGCACCAACAACGAAGGAACTAGAGCAGTTCAGCCAGCTCAATGAGTTGATGGGCGGCGAGCTCGATCAGAAGCGCGGGCTCGAGGTCCTGCGTCAGACAGGCGGCGACATCACCAAAGCCATCGACATTCTTTTCAGCGAGGCCCCGTCCGGCGGCGCGGAGGTCCAGCATGTGGAGACCGCGTCCTCAAGTACGCAGCCTTCGCGCGCATTGGCACCCCTGCCTGAGGACATGGGCCCGTTCGCCAACTCCCTCATCTCGAGCGAGTCAGAAGAGGAGCAGATCAACCGCGCGCTGCAAATGTCGCTGGGGAACGACGTAGAACCCGTAAATCAGCCGCAATTTGGCCCATCTAACAGGCAGCCGGACGCGAACTGGTCGATGGTTCCGGCGGGCGCGGTGCGTGTGCTGCGTTCCATTACATTGGTGGCGTACTCACAGCGGCGCAGAACACACCGGCATCAACGCAGAGCAATGCTGACGCGAATGTGCAACAAGCAATCGCGTCGAGCTACCAGGACGCGATGGCCGTCGATCAAGTGACGGAGGAGTTGAATCTGGAAGACCTTGTCAGACAGCCGGAGGCGTGAGTCGGCGCGCCAGCAATCCTTCGAACTATATTCACCTTCTTCAGGCCTGTCTCCGTGCGCGTTGACCTTCCCGCATTAGCATACGCGTCGGCTGTGCGCCTTCTACCCTTCCGTCATACTCTTCCTCACCCACCCTCCCCAGGTCATCCATGCGCTCTTCTTCACACCACAGGTTCGGCAAGTTGTAGCTAATCTACGACCTCCTGCACACGTCGACCGACATTCTGCAGATGACAGTGGTTCGTCTCTCCGTCCCGATTCCTGCGCCTGTTCATTCTACAACGTCTTGCGTTCCTACTTCACCTTTTCTTCGAAACTAATCACAGGTCCTTAACACAGAGAACGCGCTCTGGAACCTTATCGAGTTATTCTCCTACTTGGACTACTCTTGCATTAACGTGCTCGGAGACGACAAGGCGATGCTGTCCCTCAACCCATTGTTTTTCGACTCGGTCGAATCACAACCGGGGGACCTATGTAGAAGTGAGTCGTGTCCTCAACAGTTCAACTCAAGGGCGCTATCTGCCAATACGTTGAAACCTAACCCTCGCGCAGAACTTTACACCCAGATCGCGCAGATGGTGGAGGAGGCCTACCTTGTGCAAATGGCCGATGCGGAACCTGGCCTGTAAGTCATCACTATATGCTCAAGTCACCAACCTTCCCCAGCCGCCTCGCTTCCCCTGTGCTGCTTACCTCTCGGCCAACTCATCACATACTCCGTAGCCCCCACATCTTCTACTTCGACCACATGAAGGCTCGCCTCGTTAATGGCGTGCCCCAGCTGCCCAACCCACCATACACGACACGCGACGCCGTAGTGAACGTCAACACTGGAAGCTTTCTCAGCTCTGGAAACGATCTGCTCTCCCGACTAACGGACGTGATGGGTCTGTATAGCGAGCCCCAGGGGCCGCAGCAGGAGCTGGAGTTCAACGCGATTCTGGAGCCGTCGCAGGTGCTGGCGTTCCAGTTGTCGCACGGGAGCTCGTACGTGGGCGGCTATTATCAAGCCTCCGCGCACGCCACGCACGACGGCTTCCGCTTTCCAACTTCCTTCTTCCTCGACCAGTTCCTGATGCAGAACGTCGAGACGGCGCTCCAGCTGCGCGATGCACGACTGGGCATGCTGGCAGATATCCGGCAGTGCCAGGGGAGGAGGGGGTTGTTGACGCGGTTTGAGGTGAGAGTTGAGAGGACGGCGAATCCAACGTTGCTGGTTGTAACCACGGAAAAAGCGTTTGCTTGCCGACGTATGAATGACTGACAATTATTCGCTCATCAGGAAAGCGACGTTTTGGGCAACTTGCGCGCCAACGCGTACTACTTCGAGCACGTCGCGAGCGCGAAGGACGCGCCGGACCGACCGATCCCGCCAGATGGGATCGCGGAGCGATTGAAGGGGATCGTGGCGAAGATCGAGCAGGAGGTAGCGGGTAGGTCGGCGTGAATGACCGGCGATGGCCGCGGTGTCGACGTTCTGAGGCTGACTGCTTTTGTAGCCATCGACAAGCACATCGTTGACGTCGAGGCCAAGCTCGCGCAGCTGCATGATACGCCTGCCCTGCAGAATGTTAAGGTCAGGCAGACTGTTCAGCGGGGTAAGCGATGTGCTGATGACTTCTTATCCACCCTCAGTACGACTTGCGCGCGGTCATCATGTACACGGGAATCCCGGGGCGCAAGAGTGTGTATAGCTATGTGCAGGACGGGCGGGAGCAATGGTGGAAGATGGTCGAGGGCTCGGTGACGGAGGTGAGCATGAGCATGAGGTTGCCGCTGAAGAACGCCATAACGACTGACTATGCCACCGCTAGGTTGATGAAGCAACCGTCCTCACCGACCCCACGGGTATGCACATCGGTGCAGGGCCGTGCATGTTGATATACAGTCGCTCGGTCACGGATGAGCAGCGATGGGACATGGACCACCCGCGATACCATGAGCACTTCATGGTCAGTATTGTGCTTTTGTCAATGCAAACACACACCGATCCTCATCCCTTCCAGTCGAATGTCCTACAATGCAACGCGCAATACTTCGAGAAGCTGCCTGACGAGGTGAAGGCGCGGATAGAGACAACGTGGGGCTCTGCAGACGCATTCGTGCGAAGAGGCATGCCTTCACAAGCCGTGCCCCATCCCATGTCTCCGACTGCCCGCTCAGCCTCACCGTCGACAGCGATGAGCGTGGATCTTACTCGCGACACACCGCCCCGTGGCCCGCGACCCGAGAAGCCTGGCCACGTCGCTAGCACTTCGCATGCGGCGAGCCCGTCGTCGCACCGTAATTCGTTGCGCAAGACCAGCTCGGCGTCGCGGGATACGATCATGCGCGATCCGCCGCTGCAGCACCGAGACGCGAGCGTGCGGGATGTGCCGCCGCACCAGGCGCGGGAGCCGCGAGACCTGCCGCCACATCAAGCGCTACCTCGGGAGGGCTCTATGAGCCGGGTGGAAGGGCCTCACGGGCCCAGGGAGGCGTCGATGGGCAGGAGCAGCCCATCGTTGAGCCGGGATGCGTCCATGTCGAACCCATGATCTAGCGGTGAGGATAATGCGAGACTCAAGGCCCCCTCGTGTACTTTTACCTGCATATTTATTGCCTCGTACTGCTGCTTGCTGCCGCCTCGACGGACATGAGCGCTCTTGTGCACCTTGGCAGGAGCCTGCAGGTGACTCTGGAACGGAAATTGAATGATGTCGTTGGAGGCGGACGAAGCACGTGGGCTGCATTGCATGTCAGGGGTGCCTTGTGCTTTTGATCATGACGGCAGTCTCGAGTTTCGCCAATTACTTCAAGCCTCCTCCGCCTTGTACTCCACGCCCAGGTTGTCCTCGACGTCGTGGCCTGTGTCTCTCGATGAGCAGAGCTACGTGCACACCGCAAACCTGAGAAAGAAAGAGCAGTGCAAGACGCTTCTGGAGACGTACAGCACGCCAGGTTCGCTACGCCGGACCAGAGCCCTAGCGCGCAAACATGTCTGTCCCAACGATCGCGATGGAGGACGACCTCGGGATCGTCTATGTGGTCGAGAATGCGCAACAATTCTGGTCGGGTGAGTGACCGTCGTCTTGAGATGTATGGCAACACGCGCTGGCTGTTCAGCGTACTTCCCTTCCTCCCTATGCACGCATAATTTCTCGTGTGTTCTGCTGCCCATCCTCGCAAGCATATACTCAAACATCTCTCCACAGAACTGCAAGACGTTCTGCACTTCCCTAAAGACATGATACCAACACTGTCCCAGCTTGATCTAGCGCTCAAGCGGTCATTGGCGCTGTGCGCGGCATACCACGGTGCGTGTCCACTTCCTCTATACTTCTCCTATGTCTCATGTGCTTGCAGAACAATACCTTCAAACACCCATGCAGATCGAACACGCCTGCGATCTCATCCTAGATTCAGAACTCTTCACCTTCCACTCCGAGCGCATGTGCGATATCCTCATGAGCGACATCCAGTCCACTACCGACCCCCACATGCAGCTCATATTCTACTTCCTCCTCCTTCACTACGGTCGCCGCACCCGCCACGCTACCGGCACGCGCGCCGAGTTCTTTCGCAACCAGAAGAAGTGGCAACCGGTCATCCCGCTGCTCATGGACCATATCCAAGTCGACATAGAAGAGGACGCGTTCGATATCGACGAGGATGCCGACTTCGATCAGAGCTCGGCGTCTGGCAGTAGCGCAGTCGGTGGGGTTCCTGTACCTATTGAGGCAAAGCTGCGCAGCCTTAGCGTCAAGTTGCTATACGAGGTGTGTCGAGTACAGCGACTTAGCCTTTCAGATCTACGTGCGTCATTGCCTCCTTCGACCGTTTTTATCTCTGATCGTTCATATAGGCATCTTCCCGAGCGCCTTTATCGACTTCTTGTTCGATCTCGTTGAGCAAACACGAGACATGCGAAATGACGCCTTCAACTATTCGATCATCAAGCTTATCGTGCGCCGCATTTCTGTCATTGTGCCGCATATGTTGACTCCTGGTAGGTTGCCTTGAATGAGCAGTTCATGGTGGCGTCGTTGCAGGCGTCCCACAGTCCAAGCCCAGCTGGATCTCCTGCGCCTGATCAGGAGCACCACCGAAAGTCGAATCACCGACTGTCGAATGATCCAGAGGGGAAGAACCAGAACCGAGTCCTAAGCGTCCTAATGCGACGGTTAGGAACGAGCAAGACGTTCGGCGAGAACGTGATCTTCATGTTGAACCGATCCAGTGAGTCTACTTCCCGTACCTGACTGCCTTGAGGTCACGTCCACCCCAGAGCGAACACCTGAGGATCTGACAACACAATTACTACTTCTCAAGATCCTATATCTACTCTTCACCACCAAGGGAACAGAGGACTTCTTCTATACCAACGATCTGTTCGTTCTCGTAGATGTCTTCCTACGAGAACTGGGTGACCTTATGGACGTGGACGAGACAGACGCAACGCACGGCAGTGTCCTAGAATCTGTAAGATGCCTTGCGGCCTTCTGCGTGTAATAACTGATTCATCAACCTTCTAGCTAAGGCACACTTACTTGCGCGTGCTCCATCCGCTCCTCACGAAGACAGAGCTGAGGGAGGTACCCTACAAGCGCGCGCAGCTCGCCTATCTCCTCGAATCGATCGTCAACTCGGATGGGCGTGGCGCGACGAAGGAGGTCGGGCCGACGACACGGCGACTGGCCGAGCGCTGCCTCGGCGGGGAGTGGGCATCGGGCCTACGCACGCAACGCAAGAAGGCGGCGTCGGACTTCGGGCCGCATGCCGCGGTGTCGCCGACGACAGAGCTGACGCGCCCGACGCCGCCGCGGCTGACGAGCAAGAGCGTGGAGAACCTATCGTCGACGATGGCGGGGATCACTATCGCTCCTCCGCCTCCCCTACCGACACCGTCGTCGGCGTTCTTCTTATCGAGCGCGTCGTCGCAGAGCGTGCCAGCGCGATCCGACCGCTCGCATGCACATCGATATCAGCAAGCTGCGCCGCATAGCTCGATCTCCATACCATCTGGTCTGAAAGGGATCGAACGCGCGACGCTCTCGCCGATGTCGATATCGTCGGCGAGCTCGGTGGCGGACAGCGACGCTTCAGCGTCCACCGTGGAGAGACCGCATCGACGCGCGGCGCCGGCGCCGCCAAAGAAGAGGAGGAAGCCGCCAGCGATCCCAGCGAATGCTGGGTTGGAGAGGACAAGCAGCGGCGCGTATGTGCAGCCAATCAAACCTGGTTTGAAGTCAGCCCACTGAGGATTGGGTGTGCTGTCTCTAGACTTTACGCTTTGATGTTCTGTACATACATACCTTCGGTCCTTCTCCTTACCTTACGCTTGACACTCTTTGTCATCTCCCACACCCTTTCCCTCACACGCCTCGTCGCCTCCCCTCCCACCCTTTGTCAGCCTCCACACCCACACCCACGCATGCATATGGGCCCTGCTTCTTGCCCTATTCACCTCTTATTTCCATTCCTATTACCGTTCCGCAATTGAGTCTTTTTGTTCCGCTTCTCACGTCTTCGGCTTCCTCTCCCAGCTTTCTTTCCTTCGTTTTCTATCGCTCCCCTGGTCTTTCTATTGCTAACCCTGGCCTCCTTCTCGTCTCTCCACACCCACTCGCCGTTTTACACCCACTCAGTCACTGCCTTTGCTTTCGTCGTTCTTCCGTCCGTACACGCGCATCTCATCTGACACCCATCTGCATTGTCGTGGATTCATAGACTGGATTCTCCAAGCGTCGTGCAGGCTGCACTTCACATTCAACCCTAGACATTACGCTCCCCTCCGGCCCGTTATAGCGCCTTGAACTTCCTCGACGTTGAGTACTCGCAGTCAGCTGGGGGCGCGTGCGGATGGTGAACTCGGACCGGAGCGCCCTCGAGGCGCGGTGCGCGACACTTCTGAGCACTTCTGACGGTCTCAGTCACCTTCTACTGAGTCCTATCCTTCCTAAGGGAGTTCGGTCCCTCAGGAACGCGACACTCGTCACCGCGAAGCCCGAAGCTGAAGCCGAGAGAAGGCGACAGATCTCCTTTCAGACGGCCCATTGACAAGTATACAACCCATTGACAAGTTTGCGATCCATTGACAAGTTTGCGAGTGTACCCCCCTCCCTGATCACTCCCCAGTTAATGCATTCGCCATACACGTTGTGAACTTCTGTTGGCCCTTCCCGCACCAGTCGGCAATCCCGCACGATTCGGCTATCGCGCGAGTGCTCCCCTTGGGCCGCTCCGACGATCTCGAAGCTCTCGCGCACCCCGCCACTCCGAGAACGCTGAGCGCGCGATCCCGCCGGTCATCGCGTCGGTTTGTTCGTCCCACCGTCGGCTGTTGCACCGTTGCAGTGGAGAGCGAACGATCACTGTCTCGAGATGCAACATGAATTTGGCTTGCACTGAGCAAGGCGTCGCAGACAAAAATCTCCAATCCGAGCTCATTACCGGTGTGTTATACGTCCCCAGGCTGCTTCTTCTCGCCGGCGGGAGCACCAGCCTAGAAGCCCGTGGCATCGGGAAAGCGGGACGTACCGCCGGCATGCTGTGATAGACCCTTCAGGTTTTCGTGCTTCTTTGAGCTGACCTGTATTGATGTTGATGACCCTCCATTGAATAGTTGATCTCCTCGGGCCTCCAACGGGCCTCCGTCGATCCAACCTGCTGACTCACATCGTCTCTTCCAGCACGTCGATGACCAACCACCCACCCTCCAACCTGATGCCCCAGAAGCCTATGTACGGCGGACGCATGTCAGAGGAGTGAACCTGAAGTAAAAGTCCCATTCCTTTGGAAGTCGACGCTCAAGTAGGGCCAAGCCGCGCTCTGATCGCACATCCGAAGCGTCGCGCTGCCTTGTGCGGTCAGTCGTCGTCAGCTACACGTCCAATTCTTTGATTCATGCAGGTTTGTGAGCTTCTAAATCGAGCTGTGCTGACGTGCGTCCGCCGCCTGTCGAAACCCTGTGTGCGTCCCTCAAGCCCTTCTGGTGCGCGTCCCTCAAGCCCTTCTAGTGCGCGTCCTTCTTCTGACGTGCGGGCTTCGAGTCCCTGGCGCGTGTCCTTCGAACCCTTCTGACGCGCATCCGTCGAACCCTTCTGGCGTGCGTCCATCGAACGTTGGGGTTGCCTTTTGGGGCATAATGCGCACACGAGCGTGGGAACGCGAAGTCTTGCGGCTCACGCGGGTGTCACGTGTAACAATTGAGGGCGCGCCCACAACTCGTCTTGCTCGCCTGGCGAGGCAATCTGGTTTGGGTCTGCTGGTTCACTATGTCATTCTCGAGCGAAAAGGGGCGAGCCTGGGTTCAACGGATGTGTGTTGGTCGAGAGAAGCGTCCTTACATGAGTTATTGGGACATCTCTTGCGGTCGGCTAGGTCCTGATGAGCACACTGGGAAGCATGATGACCGAGGAGAGAGGGCGACGACGACGGCTGAGTAACGTATGTACATGCGTGCTGTGACGATCTAGACTGGGACCCTTCGTCCCCGCTTGTTGAAGACCTTACGTCCCGTTCCGACCATCAACAACCGACCACCGGGTACCACGTTTACCGACCCATTCATCGCGCTTACCGCCTCAAGGGACCCTGGACTTGCCTCTCGTCATCCTCACTCATCGATCCTCCGTCTTGGCGAGTGCGTGCCTTGCGCGCTCGAATTCCACTGTTTTATTTTACGCTGCTGAGAATGGTTCGGAATTACGGCCACAGCGTCTTTCTATTCGGAATTGGAGCGCCCATTGTTTTCCGCATCCGGAAGGGGGCAGATAGATCATAGATGGGCTATCAAAGTTTATGGCCGCGTTCCTTGGTGCGTCACTTTCCCTCACTCGAATGAAATTTGGCGGCCTGCGCCAGAGTGTGATTGGAGGACAGGACGCGCTGATTAGCGTGCGCTTTCGGCCTTTGCGTCCGACAGGGATGACGAAGCCAGCTGGGCGACGTTGGCCACCAATCAACTCAAGTCAGGTCAGGTCGTCCATCACACAATCGCGGTGCGCGCGGCGAGCGAGATAGAGATACGATGTCTTGGGGAAGAGGCAAGGTGCCGTCCCCAAGCCGCGCAGCTCCACAGATCAAGCGCGCCAGACGGAGGCAAGCAGAGCGCGGGAGCAGAAAGCAGGGGTTGGCGCAAGCGATGTGTCGAGACCAGGCGCGCACACGACGTTACTGGCTAGATTCGGGGGCGGGGATGCCCATCTTCAGGTCGAAGGCGGGGCGGGGGCGGTATCGTCGACCGTGTGGTGGGCGGAGGTCGTTCACCGCCGCGCAGTCCGCTGTGCAAAGAACAATGTGCGTAAGGGCCGTAAGTACGCGCGAGTTGCGAAGGAGGCGAAGGAATCAGAAGTGCATGATTGGCGAGTAGGCTCGCGAGTTGAGGGCGTCCAAAGCACAGGATGTGCACCTTTGGTGGTTTCGAGGGGTGAGGGACTCCCTGAGCACGACTAGACCGCGGTCTGCTCCATAATGCCGGGCTCGAGGGAGGCGGAGGCAATATTCGACGTACGCATCTCCAGGAGATTTACCTAACGCGTCGAGGGAGGAAGCAGATGTGAAGGTCGTGATGCAGACGAAGACAGATGCAGAGGGCGTGGCCGGCGCGTGGAGTGATGCCATGAAGAGGTGACAGCTCTCGAGTAAGCGGTTTCCATGCAGCAGACAGAAAGACTACAAATGGTCGCAACCCAGAGATCGGCTCGGCCAGGGTGTACTTCTGCTAAACTGGGATCGACGCTACGCAGATGTCGGTGAGAAAGCAGGCTGTGAGCGCAGTAGGACTTGGCCGCCTCCCTTGGGGCTGACTCTGCGTCCGAGATGGTCGTCGTCAAGTCCCGTACAGCCGCGATGGGCGCGTGGGAGGCAAGGGTACGGAAGGGGCAAGTCGACACACACAATGCGCGTCCGCTGATCGGCGGCCGGTCCGGAGTCAACTCGGACTTGTCAAGGGAGACTCGGCATGTGTCGGTAACGAGCGCAACTTGCTCCCGCTCCCGGCCTGCTGAGGTCATGAGAACAGGCGCTGGGTATTCCTGAGCCTGCGCTGCCGTGCGCGATTTGAGCGATACGAACTTTCCTCGACGTCGACGACCCCCAGCAGCAGCCAGCGACGAGCACGACTTCCTGGTAAGTCGCCAACCCGCATGGTCGCCACCCGTGTCGCGCGCCACATGGATGATGAGATAGCGCTGATCAAAACAGCAAATCAGGGGCGAAGCGCGCATCGGAATTATCCATTTTCGGCCAGGTATGTTAGGCGCCTTATAGCACGCCTCGATTATTAAATCCGCAAATGCGCTCCTAACGGCTCGCACTTCTTGATGTGCTCTCTTCTCCCTCTTCTCCCCAACCACCATGGCCTCCTCATACACGCCACTAGACCAGCAGTCGTTCCCGGACCACTATTACCCGACCAGGACCTTTGTCAAGAGGGAGGAGGACGCTGACCCAGCCACCCACCTCCGTCTCAGCTCGCCGAACCAAGATCTCTCCTCGTTAGATGCCCAGCAGCCCGCCTCCGCCCATCCTTTCGGCCTCCCCCTTTCACAATCCTCATCCCGCTCCACCGCACATTCATCGCCCGCCATCCAGGTCATGCCCCCCAGTCTCATCCGCCACACCACCGGCACGCAGTCGCAAGAAGACTCTCCCTCGTCTACCTTCATGTCTACGCCCTGGACGAACGTCATCCCCTCCCCCGTTATTGGCGATACCTCCAACGCCGCCTCCAATCAGCACCATGGCTCGCACAGTCCGGGCGAGGAGGACGACGACGTTACCCCCCTGGTCACCCTGCGTCCCGACAGCTCCTTGGAGGCGCCGGGCATGTCGGGCTCACACGAAAAGATGGTGCGGAGACGGAGCAGCAAAGGTGCGTGGCACGCCGCCTGTCCATTATACTTCTTCTGACACCCCGCGGACAGCCTGCGATCAGTGTCGCAAGTCGAAGTGCAAGTGCGAGCGGTCAGCGCAGGGGGACGACTGCAAGAACTGCGTGATGCTGGGCGTCCGTGAGTGGGCTGGCAGCGTCCATCATCGATTGATCTTGACTCGCGCTATCAGCGTGCACGTTCCTTGGTCCCTCGCGCAAGCGCGGCCCTCCCAAAGGCTACATCGACGCCATTGAAGCGCGCTTGCACCAAGTCGAGGCGCTTATTGGCATCATGTTATATTCAGCAGAAGTACGGATGGACCGCGAGCACGGCGTCGTCGATCGCGAGCCCTCGGAGCACAGAGACGAGCGCGCCGCCGGCATCTTGAGAGACATGGCGCAGGTATAATACTCTGGCTACGCTTCACCTTCTGAATTGACGCGCAGACAGGACCCCCTCGCGCGCGAGATCCTTTGCAGAGTGGACAACTCTTCTTACGGCGTACAGGGCCGGAACAGGCAGCAGGCAGGCCCCAAATTCCGCCAACAGGAAGACGAAGGAGCTTCGGAGTTATCTTCGGCCTTGTCTTCCATGCAGTACGTCCCCCATTTGGCCTGCATACTACGCCCTCGCATTCTCATACGTGTACGGTGCAGCCCGTCGAACGAATGGCAAGACCGCGTAACTCTCATGATGCGCAAGACGCGCCGAGACGCCTCTGGCTCGTCCGCGCGGCAGGGAGCACCGCATGTGCTGCGCAACAGCTCCGCGCCTTTCGGCCATCGGTCCGGGAGCACGAGCAGCAGCGAGGACGCAGGCCCCCATGACAGTAGCCGGCGGCAAAGGCGGCGCATAGCGCACGACGACGGGATGCTAACGCCTGGCGCGGGCGGCGATCCCTATGCGCGCCACAATCTCCATCGCAGCCATCACAGCTTTTCGTCGTTGAGCGTGCAACCGCCGAACGAGCCGTACGTCTCCTCCGACGCGACTTCGCCCACCAGCCCAGCCTACCAACCATCCTTCATTCGCCGAAGCTCGCTTAGCAGCCGATACCCCACCGTGCCGCAATCGTCTTCGTACACGAGCGACGCCGAGGACGACGATACCCCCGCCGCCGTCACGTCCGGCATCGGTGAGCTGAGTCTAAACGAGGACGAGCAGGTCAGGTATCATGGTCGCGCTAGCGGGCTTCACCTGCTGAGTAACACGGAGCGCCACGACCGCCGGAATGAGGGAGGCATATGGCGCTTCCCTAAGGCTCGTGTGTGGCCACCAGTCTCTAACAAGACGACGCGCATGACGCTGGAGGCTGCGGACGAGGAGTACAGGTGCCGCTTACCTGAACTTCGGGTGCAGGAGGAGCTGCTCGACCTCTACTTCTCCTACGTTCAGACCGCCTTCCCCATCGTTCACAAGCAGTCGTTCCTGGATACTTTTAAGAGCATGTGCGTTTTCTTTACACGTATACCGCCTCCTCGTCGTGCTCACATCCCCCAGGACGACGAGCGCGAGTCACGAGTCGCCCGGCTCGCCCGCTTCGGACCATTCCCAATCACGCTCACCCTTCAACCGCGGCCCCCCGCGCGTTCCGCTTCTTCTGCTCTTCGCGATGTTCTCAATTGCCGCACGGTACTCCGACAACGCCCCCGCGTCGGCCTCGAGCCGCGGGCTGGCGCCTTCGACGCAAGAGATGTGGGACGCCGGCGACGAGTACTTGCGCACCGCGAAGCTCATCCTGGGCAACACGTACTCCGCCTCACGGCCCTCGACTGTGCAGGCGCTGCTTCTCATGGGGTACCGCGAGATTGGCATCGGCGCGATGGCGGAGGCGTGGACGTACATCGGGATGGCGGTGCGGATGGCGCAGGATTTGGGAATGCACCGCACTGCGGACGGCTGGTCGCGGACGCGGCTAGGGGGCAAGCTATTCAGTGAGGAGGAGCTGTCGGAGAGGAAGCGCATTTGGTATGGCTGCGTCATTATGGACAAGTATGTCTCGGCCTACATCGGTAAGTCCGCGCTCTGTTGAAGGTTTGCCAAGAGCTCACGCCTTCGCCAGGACGGCCCCTTGGAATATTCGAGCGCGACTTTGACACCCCACTACCTAGCGCGAACGATGTGAGTATTGTTCCTCATGACGTCGCCGAATGTTCTATCTAATACTTCCTAGCCCGAGGAATACGAAGACTGCAAGCCTTACTCGTCGCTTTGCAGTCACGAGCGGATGCGCTTGCAGGCTGTACCTGGCCGGTCCATCTCGTGCTTCAATGCCTCCGCGACGCTTTGTCCGTCATTTTCCTTCCTTCGTGGGGACGTTCCCACTGACTCCACCTCCAGCGAACATTCTCAGCATGATCATCCAGGCTGTCTATTCAGTGCGCTCGGGACCGACCCCCGATGACGAGATCCAGTACCTGGAAGGGCTTCTTGACCGGTGGTACATCGCCCTTCCAGAGCACCTCCGCCGGGATCCGGGCTTTGCGAACCAGACGGCGCCCCTGCCGCATGTCCTCGCGCTACACATGCAGTACTGGTGCGCGGTCCTTCTCTTGCACCGACCTTCGTAAGTGGCGCGCGCCTCCATGTCTAAGATTGAGCTCACGATAGGGTTGCAGGATCAAGCATATCAAGAAGAACAGAGGGTACGCGCAGTTGGCGGGCTTCGCTTACGTCCGTGCTGATTTTTAAGATAGGGCTAGTACGCTGGACGGCGCTGATCTGGCCAGGTCGGAGAAGAGCTACGACCTGTGTGCCTCGGCTGCTAATCAGATAACGTCTCTTTGTAAGTCGGATGCGGTTGATTGCATCGGTAGCACGCGTTGACGATCTATCCCCTTTAGTGACGATGTATGTGGACTACTATCCCATCAACCGCTGTCCGACGTTCCTCTGCTACTACATCTTCACGGCCAGCATCATGCACGTCACTGCTTGTACGTTCATCTGACCTTCTCATCGACTTGGTCTCTGAACCCTTCACAGTGTCCTGGCGTCCAGAAGACCCGCAGGCGCGTATGGGTCTCTCGAAGTGCTTGAGCGCGTTGCAGATGATGGAGGTCATCTGGCCAGCTGCTGGCCGCGCCTTAGAGCTTCTCAGCGGCGCAAAAATAAGCGCGCCCAACACGGACCAGCTTACGCCGCTGACGGAGCGACACAAGCGTCAGCCCGATCAGTCAGTTGACGACCTGTATCGTTCGCACGGCCAGAGCGAGGTTTACCGCGACATCATCCTCCGCGCGAACAACGGCACACTGCCCTACATCAGCGACGAGGAGGCCTTCGCTGCGCAGGAGGGCTCCCAACCCTTGCCCGGCCCGTCTAGTCTGCCTAATCTCTCCTTTGACCAGAGGTGGCCGCCGACTGAGCCCATGCCCTATTCGGGTAGCGTCCCGTCAACTAGCATCTCGTCGTCATTGCCTCAGAGCCTGTATGGCGTAGGCACCCCATCGCATCCTCGCGTACCCAGCGGTGGTGAGCAGCAGCCCCACGGCCAGCGCTATCCGCCGCAGTACTACCAAGAGCTGTCCGACTACCAGCTGAACCAGTACGACAATTTCCCGGACCAGTTCATGCTGCCGCCGCCACAGCCTCCCGCCGCGCAGCAGTATCCCTCTCAGATGTATGGATCGGAGTTCAATAATGTCTTTAGTGAGTTCGCGTCTTATATTCCATCACTATCATCCTTACTGACCTCGCATCTAGATCACTAAGTAATCATCGTGTACTGGGTTCTCTCATGATCCTCGTAGCTCTTCCTACCCCCTTTCCATTACCCTCCGCTTTGCTAGTCATGTCGCGTCCAACCGCGACCTCGCATCCTCTTCCCTTCCCTCGGACTCTACTCTCCGCTTTCCCCTCGCCGTGTGTTGTATCACTTAATTCGAGCCGCTCTACGTTACTATCCCTACTCTGTAGCTTTATCTGCCCGTTTCCTGCTATTGCATGCTTTCGTCTAGGCTTCTGATTGTATATCTAAGCACGAATAATTTGGTTTGCCTTCTACCAGATCGCGGGGCGCGAGCGCGCGTAGCTGCTCCCAACTTCGACGTCTCGAAGGCCGCAGCTTCAGAGCGCTGATCTTGTTCACGAAGGCAAGTTTGAGTGGGTGTCGCAAATATTAAGATTACATGCTACTGGTGGCGAGGACAGGTATGCGTAGTCTCGCAAGCCAGCCTCCATATTACTGGAGTCTGGGGCCGTTTGGCCGGTAGGCCAAAGCGTAGCCTCGGAGTTTGAAATCGCCTACAGGCTGCCATCGCGATCACTAAATGCTATTTGTGCGTCACTGAAAAGTCGATGACCCGTCGACCGTGTCAGTAATCTTCGGTTCGGCATCGTCGGCAGCCTTGCAGATTTTAAACTCCGAGGCTACCCTCTGACATACCCCGGATATGGCTCGAGACTAGGTATGCGCCTGAAACGGCAATACAAGCGAATGGAATGGTATACGTGGCAGCGGATACCCGACAGAGGGAATTAAGGCGGAACGCAAGGTAGGTACAAGGGTCTCGCAGAATGATGACACGAGAGGGAGATAGCGACTATGAAAGCGAAGTCCGTAGGATGGCAGGTGAGAGCAGGATAGCTGCGTCGATGTCGATTACTCGAGCCAGTTCAGCGCCTTGGCGAGAATGTCGACGAACCCGCGTTCGTCGTCAGAGGTCAGAACTTTCGCCTTCTTCCGCGAGCCCGACGCACGCCCTCGCGACTCCGCCTCAAACTCGGATGAGCAGCTGTCAGAGTCGTCGTCCGAGCGCGACTCCGCCTCGACAGGCGGGAGAGTCTCCAGGTACTCCAGCGCGCACTCGCGAATCTCCTCCCACGACCGACTGTCGCCAAGTATTTGGGGCGCCTCCTTCAGTATGACGTACAGCGCGATGTCGTCCTGCCAGTCTATGAGCTCGAGGCACTCGGAGCACAGAGCACGCAGCCGCTTAGCGAGCTTGGGGGAGGGCTTCGTCGTGGCGCCGATGAGAGAGAGGTCGGCCTCCGCGTCCTTGCGCGCGCGCTCGATGATGACGCGACATTCCGACGGCGTTGTGCACTCGTAGGCAGGAGCGACATAGATTTGCGAGAGCCGGTACTTGCGGGCGGCCAGGAACGCTTCGTGTGCTTGGATACAGATATCACGGTGCTCGTCGGACAAAGCGTAGGAGCGTCCGGTGGGGAGAGGCTTTGTGGTCTTGAACGACGTGGGATGCAGCATAAGAACCGGCGAAAACTGAGCGCAGTAGGCGAGAGCGAGAGGAAGAAGCCAGGGTTGTGCACCTTCACACGCAAGTGCTGTCTCGACTGCAGCTACAGCGATTGTGAAGTCATCGCGTGCGAAGGGGAGCTGGTAGATCGAGTCCAGGTCGCAGCAGAATACGTCGCAGAGATGGTGAAAGGCCTTGGCCATCAGAGCGGGCGTGCCGTACAGAGACGAAAGACGGGCAAGAACGAGAGAGCACCAGATGGGCGAGCCCCCAGACACTGTTGAACTACGCCACTTTAGGGAATATACTGCGAAGAGCACACACTATCAGGACGGACCTTTCGCTCTTCCCGTGTAACGCGTCTAAGAGCACGAGCATCTCGCTGGGGTCGACGGGCAAGTGAATGACAGGCGGGTGAGTTATATCGTCGCGATCTTGTCGAAGCGGTTGTGCAGACTTCTCCTCGTGAATGAGCTGGTAGAGCTTTGACCCTACAAGGTCGCTTTCGAAGACACCGAATAATCGCGAGTCGCCCTTGGTGCTAGAACACATGATGATGGCAGTTCCCTTGTGTGGAGGATAGGGAGCAGCCGCAGAGACTGAAGAAGACATCCGGACTTGCGCTGAGGTATCACGAGTAGAAGGAAGAGATACTATGAATCGCGAGGAAGTACCGCAAAAGCGAGAGGCAAGAGGCGAAACCCAGATGATTCGCCATCCATATGACAAGTGCCAAGCACGACCAAGCAAGAGCTTATACGCGGCCTTCTTCGGTCATGGGCAACGATGCAATGGCGCATTCGGAGCGCATCGACTCACACACGAAAGAGGATGATGTAGCAATGAAAGGTTTATTCAACGCGGTGTTACTGATACTACTGCTGTAATTCGAACGCAATTCAAGTCATGGAAATGAACATGGCCGCGAGTCGAACGCGTAAAGGCTCCCCCCGAGCCGCCACATCCCAGCTAATATGGGTCACTGTACGCGAGCGCGCCGTCGGGTCAAGGTCACGAACGTCGCCGCTTCCAAGTCGTATCGACACCTCTCGCACCACCGAGGGTATGGGCCCCCGGCTGTGGGATAGACCACTGGTAGCACTGAAAGGAACACTCGTGCTGTCGCCACCAAGGATGAGAAGGGTCCCGGGTTTCAACACGCATCCTAACCGAGCCGGCCGACCAAGCAAACCATCAACCTTCCACGGGAGCGACGTCGCGTCGTGTCCAGCACAACGCGTAGCGTCCCTACCCGTACCGCCGAGGGAGTCGGCCCTCGGCTGTGGACTACACCACTTGGTGATAGGTCAAGAAGCACTGCGCAACGGGGAGGACCCCGCTGGCCCCTCCTCGACTTACCGGTGATGGCGGTCGCCCCCATCCCGAGGGAAGGGGCAGACCTGGCTTCTGAAGAAAGGTCGGACGGGTCCCATTCTTCTTATACTTTGGCATCAACAGCTCCAGGACACAGCAGTATGTTGATATCACGAGGAATCCGCGAAGGATCTCGCCATGATCACGACATCCGGCGAACATTTGGGGACCGGAAGCAGGACTCAATCGGCGCTAAGCTCTGTTTACCAGTATTTGGGCCAGTGTGTCCAAAGTAGCGTAGTCACACACGCGCAGTACGCGGTCACGCGTGCCTGCGTGGGAAGACTCGGAAGACGCGATAGTCACAGAAGTTCCAGCGCTGGCCTGGACGACCGCCGCCGACAGTACGGTGAATAGAGGGCAGGCAGTCGCCAGTGTGGCGCATTTTGGCAAGTAGCAGTCAGGGTCTATGGCGCCTCGTGACAGTGACGATACCAGGATGTGCTAGCTCGGAGTTGGGAGGGAATTCGAAGTGGTCAAACATGCCCGCGATGTTTGAGGACCGACCGAGATTCCCGCCTGAACGCATATAGTTTGATTGCCAGATACTAAGCGCAGAAGTAGGATACAGCTCGAGACGAGAGAAGCGTAGCCACGCAGACAAAACGAGTCCGAAAGAAAGAGGCCGAGAACAAAAGGTAACCACATCCAGGCGAAGGGAATTATGTCGAGAAGTCGAATTACGGACGCGCCATCGATGCAAGGAGGCCGATGCAGACATTGCGAGTCGCCGGGCACGACATCCTATGATCGTGCCCACCGTCAGCACCGCCGCGCACCTACAGAGAGATCGGCGACCTGCACTTGGCGCCCTCAGTGACCTCTGCGGTGGCCTCGTCGACCACCCATACAACGCGCCGCGTATTTGAGCTTGCGTCGCCGACGCTCAAAACCCGGTCCGGACGGCTCGACAGAGCGTGTAGAAGCATGCGAACTGAGGAAGGAGTGAACATGTTTAGCGCCTTCGATTAACCGCCAGACGAAAACACCCACCTTGCTTCTCCATCCCTGGTTCAGCTCGCTCGCCCTTCGCCGACACCTCCGAGACGGCGTTGTCGAAGCCTGGTCGCTGCACAAACTGGTAGGCCCTGGACGCGCGGCGTAGCAGAGGCTTGTACAACGTATCCATGAATTCGCGGAAAGTGCAGGACGCTAGTGTCAGCCCCGTCGGCCGTGAGGCGAGGTCACACTCAACCCCCCGTTGCTTCGATAACATATAGAGGATCAGCAAGAACGCCTCCGCCTGAGCCGTCTCAGACAACCGGACGCCCAGCTTGCGGGCCTTGGCTGCAAGGTCGGGTCGCATGATGGCGGAGTGGGCGAACATGAGAGCGAGGTGAGCGGGCGAAGTGACGGTGTCGAGCCAGGCCTGTGCACCAGCGAGTGAGCGAGGGTATGGTTTAGAAGTTCAGGGACGACTCACCTTCACAAACTCCTCGTCAACGACCCGGCACCTCGCCAGCAGGCCGCACATATAACCGTAGAACTGCATCTTCGCCGACGACAGCCAACGCTTCGTCTTTGCTGGATCCGCAGGCACTTCGTCGAGGGCGTTCCAAGACTCGGCGAAGAGGGCGAAGGGAACGACGTGAGGGGGCAGGCCAGGACCTTGCTTGACGTGCGTCTGCTCCAGCTCGGTGCTCTGCCTCTTGCGCTTGCCCAGGCTGTGAGGCTCGCCCTGAGCCTGGCGGCCCGCGTCGTCGAACTCGGACCCAGAGGCAGACCCCTTCGTGATCCGCTGAATGATCCCGGTGGCCGTCCTGACGAGCTTCGCGTCCTGCGTGTCCTCGGCGACGTCGGGCGCTCGCTTGGTGCACGTAGGTGTTCGCTCGGTCGGCGTCGGCGCTGGCACGTCGAGTATGGTTATACTCTTCCTGAAAAGAGCGACCCGGTCGTCCTCTGAAGCCGCTCTCGCGCTGAGAGTGCGAACCCGTCCGCTGGTGGAAGGCATGCGCTGGCTCGCGTATAGCGACGGCCTGCCCATCCTTGGCGTCCTCTCCTTCGCGTAAGAGGCTGACATGCTCAGGCCAGACGCTCGAGACCTGGCGCCGAGCGTTTGTCCCCCGAAGCTAGCCGCTCGTTGCTCGAGGAGAGCTGTCTGTTCCTTGACGCTCGACGCACGTTCTCCGACGTAGATCGACTGTTCCCCACAGCTGACCGTCCGCTTCCGCTTGCCGAAGTCGGATGTGTTCACGTCCGAAAGGTTGCCCGTGTCATCCCAGCGAACAGGGCGAAGCGCTTGCCGCCCTAGCTTGAGTAGGTCGGCTTGGGATAGATCAGACATTGAGAGGTTGGCAGAGGACGCTGAGATCGAAGCTGACGGGAAGTTTGTCGACGTCGAGGCGGTGGGTCTGAGGGCCCTTGCGGCAGGAGTCGAGGTCGACGCGAAGGATGCCGAGTCGAAAGCAGCGGGCGTCGAGGCTCCATGCGTCGACGAGGAAGGTGTTCGTGGCCTTGCAAGATCGGAGGGCGTGGAGGGTGTCCCTCCGAGAGCGGACGAAGCCCCCACAAGTGCGATTGGCGTCGGCGTAGCGCCGGGTGGGATCCTCGAAATGGTACTAGCCAGTGGCTTCGGGGTAGTGGAGCCAAAGGAAGACCTCGACGTGGTAGGATCGGAGACGGGAGTAGGCGTGACAGGCATCCACGATGAAGCAGAAGACAGGGCAGACGTAGCAGATGACCGAGACGACGTTGAAGACGACCGACAAGGCGTCGCAGAAGACCGAGTTGACGTGGCAGATGAACGGGCAGATGCAGCAAGGAACGAAGAGGGCGTAGCATAGGACGTAGTGCTAGTAGAGGCAGGGGTCGTAGTCGGGATCCGGGCCAAAGTAGGGGGCAACGAGCGAACAAAGCTGGGTCCACGATTGGCAGGCGCCGATGTATGAATCCGAGTATTGATAGTGCGAGGGGCGGTTTCGTTGTGAGCGCTCGAGTCGCCAGCGACAGCATTCTTCTTGGCGATCCTCGATGGCGTCTGGTCCTCGGTGAGTAGCTTTACCGGCACCTTGAAGTCCAGGTCCGTTTGCCGCAACAAGTCGTCGCACGCAACCGAGTTCGCCAAGCCTAGCGCGCGCAGAACCTTGCGCACAAGAGGGTTGTGAGGATCGGAAAGACCAGTGCAAATGTTGCCGTAGAGTTCAACTATGCCGTCCCCAACGTCATTGAGGCAGCCATCGCGAAACTGGGGAAAATCGGAACGGCCATCGTCGACGAAGAATAAGGAGTTCGCGGCTAAGTCTGTCCAGCTATCTGCATCCGATCCAGAGTCCGAGTCTGAACCGTCCGAGTGGTCACTGTCGTCTTCATTGTGCGTCCAGCCCATAGGTGAGGCCATAACTCGGTTCCTCGTGCTGCAGAGGGCGTGGATCAAGGAGTTCCATTGGCCGCGGGAGGCGCAGAGAGCGGAGGTCGAGGACTCGAGATGGACGAGAGCGGAAGACGAAACGGTGGGCGTGGTAGCGGGCGAAGCAGAGGCAGGAGTACGAGATGAACAGGCGAAGTCCCGGTCCAGCACAAGCAACCCAGAGCTATCGAAGCACGGAGCCTTCGCAAGGTTGAAATCCGCGGGCCTGGCGAGACCGGAGGAAGGAGCGCTGGATCGACGACTGGCCAGGGCGCGTCGAGCAGTCAGCGGTTCGTTGCGCATCTCTCTGGCCTTCAGGCGTGAGTGTGTGCGGTCCTCCAACACGGTCTCCAGAAGCGGCGCGTAGAGCGTGTCGAGGAATAGGTGAAGCGATTCGGGGGACTTCGTATTGATCTCGTGAAGGAAGCAGAGGAAGACGTCCGCGGCGATTTGATGTGGGAGAGGAAAGTCTACGCCCAGCTCTCCTGCCTTGGCCAAAAGGTCGGGAGGCAGGATAGCGGAGCAGGCAAACATGTTGGCAAGCATCAGAGGGGAGAGCATGGCTGTCATCCAATCCTACCGGAACATGTGTCAGCGCAGTATACTGCATCGATGAGCAGGATATACGCACCTCGAATAGCGCTTCGTCTGCAACGGCAGTATCGTCTTCCACAGCATCATCGCCTTCGGCCTCGCCTTTAGCAGCTCGCTTTGCGCGTCGCGCCTTCACGGTCCTCTCAAACCGGTCCGCCAAGAACGTTCGCAGCAATAAGATGGCGGGCTGGCGCAGCTCCTTACGACGAGGCTGCGTGTTGAGTGTTCTGAACAAGGCGTTCCATTCTGTTGACGAGAATGCGATACGCAGAAAGGCGTGCGGCGTATAATCAGGCGCGAGGGCGCGAGTGAGGAAGATGGACGAGGCTTCGCTGCCCATAGCTGCGAGCGAGCTCATCGAAATATTCCGCGCGTAATTCGGTGGGTGTATGGGGTATCCAGAGATTGTGCGGGTATCGCGGATGGGTGCAAGGGGTAGCAACAAGGGCGAGGGGAGGGTGAGGGTAGGAGGGAACCCAGGTTAGGGGCGCATTCGCATCAACTCGCCATATCGCAGGATGACAGCTCGCCGTCCTTCTCCTCGCCAAGGACATCAACTATAACCGCCCACAATCCTATCTGCCATATCTGTTCACGTACGCGTATCGTTCGCCGTCGTTCGCGCGTCGGCGAAGCGTGTACGCAGATAATCACCCTTCTTTACGGAGTGCGCGGCGCTTATCAACCACCTGCGCTCCTGGGAAGGCTGCGACTGTCAGTCAGGACTAGCGCGAGCGACCTTATCGGGGGCACTCCATCGACTGATTCGCAGTGGGGTACCATGCCATGATATATACTCGTGCGTGCACCTTGTCCGTCGCCACCACACCTGCGCGATCGGACGATTTTGAGGCAGCTGAGGCATTGGGACGCCAGCTGACTCGCGCCGGTTCCCCTTCAGCTCCTGCGTTCTCTTCGTAACATACGTCCGTCATGACCGTGAAGAGCGCACTTATTCGGGCACGCGAGATTGTGTGGGGGAAGCGGCCGGAAACGAAGGAAGAGCGGAGGTTGCTGAGGAAGATCGACTGGTGCGTTGGTTTGTCCTGTCCGCGAGGTGTACCAGGAGCTGACAGACGGCGCCCTCGTAGGTTTGTGCTATCGTTCACTTGTCTGAGTACGTGATCTTGCGACGGGCGCCTATCCAAGTCCTGCGATCACCTCATGCATCTCATCACCCTACGCCCGCTTCTCGTGGCGCTTCTGACCTTCGCATCCCCCGCCAAGGCTTCTCCGTGCAATTCATACAACGCCTCCGTCATTGACTAGATGCTCCTTTCCCTCCATCTGCAAGGCTCCCGGACGATATTGTTTAGCGACGCCTTACTAACGCATCCCTCGCTCAGACTATTGGTCAAACTACCTCAACCGCACTAACTTCCAGAATGCCTACGTCTCCGGCATGCGCGAGGACCTCCACTTGTGCGTCATGCATCACGATCTTTGTACCATACAACTTACCGGCTCGACAGCGAAGGCGACCAGTACAACGTCGTCCTGACCGTCTTTACCGTCGGCTATATCGTCGGGCTTATCCCGAATAACCTGGCCCTGCAGTACTTCCCGTATGTTCAGGCGTGTCCGTACGTCGGATGTTATTTAATGATCGACGTCCAGCGCGCGAGTCTGGCTGCCACTCATGAGCTGTATATGGGGCGTACTGTCGGCATGTGTATCAAAGGGTGCGTATCAGAGTCCTTTCGCGCGTCAAGGGTCATTCCTCTTGAACGATGCTGAACGGCCTTTGATTCATCATATGTGGCCTTGCTTACGCCGCGCCCTCAGTTACAACAGTTCACCAGCTCTACGCCATCCGATTCCTCACCGCCCTTGCGGAGAGTTCAACATTCAGTGGCACGCAGTGCGTTTCATTCGTTTCTCTAAAACTTTCAACCTTTGTCTTACCCTTTCCCCTTCCTCAAGTTACATCCTGGGCTGCTGGTACGCCCCCTCAGAGCTCGGCAAGCGCTCCGCCATCTTCGCCGCCTCCGCGCAGATGGGTTCCCTCTTCTCCGGCATCATGCAGGGTGCGATCCATAGCAACATGGATGGAGCGAAGGGCCTCGCGGGCTGGCGCTGGCTGTTTATCATAGATGGTATTCTAGCGGTGGCTATTGCAGTGTACGGGTTCGTATGCTTCCCGGGGGTGCCCGGGAAGGTGGGTGGTAAGTGCACTTGAGTTGAGTGGCCAATCATATACTGATGATGCACTCCCAGTCTGGTATCTCACCGAGGCCGAGCGCGAGCTGGCTGTTGCGCGCTTGCCACCCCGACCAAAGACGCGGATGGGCTGGGATCTAATAGGAAGGTGCTTGAGGAGTTGGCAGTGGTGCGTGGATATCCAGCCTCGTCCCACAACCGGCTTCAGCTAAGATATAACCTCCGCAGGTACGCCTTCACCCTCCTCTTCGCAGTGAGCTCTATGCTCGAGGCGCTGGGGTTCGTCGGCGTGTTCGCGCTCTGGCTGAAGGCGGAAGGCTACCCCGTCGCCCGCATCAACTACTACGCCCTCGGGCTCGTCGCCGTCGCGATTGCTACGACGCTCTTGGCGGCGTGGTATACGGATTGGCTGAGCGAGCGCGCCGACAATGCGCCTACTGGTAGCACCGACCCCGCCACAGCCCCTTACCGCCGCTCGACGCGCTGGCCCGTCAACTACTTCATGTCGCTCTGCGCGTTATTTTCGGGCATCGTACTCGCGGTATACGACGGAGTACCGAGGGGACTCGTGTTTGCGGCGTACTGTATCAGTGGGGCGGGGTGAGCGGGAAATCATCATACGACGATCCCAATATTGACACCCTCTCCAGCTACGCCGGACAGGCCACCAACTTCGCGTGGTGCAACGCTGCGTGCGCGCACGACGAGCAGCTGCGCGCAGTCACGCTCGCCAGCATGAATGTTGGCAGCAACGTCCTGGCCGCGTGGTGGGGGTTGGTGTTCTGTGAGTAGACTGCTGTCTCATCATACGCGCAGTCCAGACGCCGCGATCCTAACACTACCCTACCTCTCGACCCTCACCGTGTCGTGTCCCATGCTGACTACCCCCCAGACCCCGCTACCGACGCGCCTAAGTTCCGCAAGGGCATGGTCACCCTCATCGTCATGGCCGTCCTCACTACTGTCGTTGGCGCCGGCGTGCAGTGGCTTGACGCGCGCGAAGCGAGGCGGCGAGCGATATGGGGACGACATGAAGCTGAATCCATTGAGAGCAGCAGGGAGGACGACGACAAGCACCCGGTGGAAGGACACGTGCAGGAAGTGGAGGAGGACAAGTAGGATGATGAAGCGACGGGGCGGAAGTTTTGGAAATTGTAGTGGTTCACGCAGGCAGAATACGCAACTACGATATATTACTGATCGGTTCGACGAGTTTGTAGATTACATTGACGATACAAACAGATACAAAAGGATGGAAAACATGGTACGAATCGCAAAGCTCTTAGAGAACGGCAACCTTCGCGCTGCAAAAACTCGAGTCGGCATGCACCTCATCCCACCACCGAGATCACAGACGGCGTCGACGGCCTATTCTCCACCTCCTTCCGCTTATGCCACCACGCCATGTTGAACTGCCCGTCAGCGGTCATCGGCTCCATATCCTCGTCTGCAGTCAAGGTCAGTTACGCTCGCTTTGACGCTCTCGACTGGCAAACGTACCCTTCGGATCCTCCCTTGGCCACCCCACCTCCGGGCGCTGCCAACGCTTCGTCGAACCCCTGCTGCGCGCCGGTGTCGGCGTCGAAGGCGAGGCGAAAGGCAGGTCATCGTCGTGATCGGACAGCAGACTCTCGTTGGCATAGGGCAACAGGCTTTCGTCGTTGAGTGAACGCAGGCTCTCAGTATCGGACGCAGAGGGCGAAGAGGCTCGACTTGACGTGCGCGAAGAGGAAGAGTATCGAGAGCTCGAATAAGAACGAGGGCTGCCGCCGGCCGAGGAACGAGGGCTACCACCGGTCGAAGTCGAAGAAACCCTGCGCGGACGAGATTGACGCGAGACCGCAGACGAACCCGAGGATTGCAAGAGCATAGAGGAAGCAGAACTAGCGCTGGTGCGAGACGAGACCGAGGACCGCTCCCAACCTTCTGAGTCTAGCGAAAGACGGCCGAAGGACCGCGACAAGGATTGGCTGCTGATGCGAGAGGAAAGCTTGCTGGCGCGAGAAGACGTTGACGAGCGTTCCCAGTCGTCAGTGTCAAGCGATCGGCGATGCGACATGGAGCGGTCGCCGTCACGGACAGACGTTAAGCGACCCGTGTCCGGGGCAGTTGTCGAGTACCTGGCGTACCGGAAAGCCGCGGAGCGACTTGCGTCCAGGGCTGCCGTAGATCGCCTCGCGTCCCGGAATTTCTGCCCAGTGCGTAGATCCGTCGAGCGTTGTCGAGGCAAGGGTGGTAGTTTCTCCTCCTGCGCCGCGATCGATACCAAGAACGGCGACGAAAGGCTGTTTGACGCAAAGCGATCCCCATCGTTTTCGACCAAGGGACTCAGGATGCGATACTTCAGCTCGTCGCTGAAGGAGACGGAGAGGGAAGACCTCCGGCTCGGCATGACCGAGGAAATGTTCAATGAGGGGTCCGTCTCCTCCGCTCCGAGACCTGCCGGGAGTTTGTTCGCGAGTAACATAAGCGGAGGGCGGGACACTCTGGCGATACGACTCTCATTGAGCGATGGGCCATCGTCCTTCTCGTGCGGCCCGAATGTTGTGGTCCTGTACGGAACGTGCGCTGAGCCGTCAATGAGGCCGTCGCGTCTGTCTTGCCCAACGTCGCGTTCAGCGCCGATGTAGACTCGCTTGTACGCTTGATAGCGGCAATCGCCGTCGGTGGCCCGTTGAGTTGCGTAGCGCGGAGGATGTATTACAGAGAAGCGACCTTTGGGAGTTGCGTCGAAATCTTCTGCCACAGCGTTTCGAGATACGATACCAGGTACGTCCTCTGACGAAGCAGAGAAAGGGCCGGCCAAATGGTGAACCAGCGACGAAGGACGATGGCCGTTGACATCGGAATCGGGTACCATTGACGAGGACAGCAATAGAGAGGAGGACCCTCTGACCGATGCCTTGCTGTGATTGGACACGACGCGAGGGCCCTTCGTGCCAGTCCAGTCGTCGATGACATCGTCTCCGAGAGTGAACATGAGATAGCCCCTAAAAGCCAAAGCCAGCATGATCTCGGAGCAGAGAGCGGCGATACGAGAACGGAAAGAGAGGATGGCCCAAGCGCAGAGGAGACACAGGCAGAAGGTGACGGCGAGAGAAGGCGAGGAGGGCGAAGACACAGAGATGATAACACTGGCAGGCGGCAAGATCGTGCAGCGTTCCGGAAGGAAGTCTAAGCACTAGATCAGAGAGGAGACATGTTAAGGTGGAAGGGTAAATACAGTTTGGTAGCGGCGCCTCGCTCGGCAAGCATCGAAGGTCGTCAATAGCGACTCGATGGATGGGAGTGGTCGCTGAGACCGAGTGAGTGTGACGCGCAGACGCAACATGGCTGACATACGCAGAGGAGTGCTGAGGGGGTCCTTAGAGGATCGGACGTAGTTTGAAAAGGTGGGAACTTCGAGGAGCGTTAGCATGATGCAAGCGACGCGAATGGATATGTAGTCGCTTACATGCAATATTCAGGCACATGTCTCCTTCAGATGCGAGGCAAAGGGGGAGGTTATGAGCAACAAGGGAATGGTCGAAGTCTTGATTATATCCTAGGTTCAGGCATCAAATGAGGTAGAGGAAGCTGACCCCGTACCTTGGTGGATGATCTGAGCCAAAGGCGTACTCAGGGAGAATTCGACGACAGTAGAGGGCTCAGTCGCCGGTGGTGCGGAGTAGAGGAATCCGGTATTAGGACCATCCAAGCAGGGCTTAATCAGGCAAGTTCCCAGAGAGATGAGAGCCGACCCGCCGGTCAGCGCGAAGAGAGGAAAGGCCTGCCGGTACGCCATGATCTGCCAGACTTATTGCGTAGGGTATCGCTGCAGAACAGACAAAGGCGAGGGCTGGGAAACCGGGTTTCGCAGGTGGCGGACGAGAACAAGCAACAATGATGTCCATTTGCGGAGATATCCCCGCCGCGGGCGCCACGTGCTCGTATTCCGTCTTGTCCTCCTCCCCCGCCCGCGACCATGGCGGCCTACTTCTTCTCGTCTCCCATCGACATCGACATCAAGCTCAGCGATGAGGAGGCGCGCAAACACGTTGACATGAAGTCCGACAAGGACAAGGACAAGGTCGTGTCCTGCCCGGTCTACTACGATGGCGAAGGCGTCGGGGGAACCGTCAGCATACGCGTGCGCGACGGCAAGAAGATCACCCATGACGGCATAAAGGTCGAATTTGTTGGGACTATAGGTGCGCTGCGCGCTTCCTCAGGCCGACCACTGCGACTGAGTGCGCGTCGCAGAGCTGTTCTATGACCGCGGACATCATCATGAGTTCCTGTCGTTATCACAGGAGCTGGCCGCCCCAGGCGAGATGCGACAAGCGCAGACCTTCGACTTCAACTTCAAGGCGGTTGAGAAGCAGTTTGAGAGCTACATCGGCATCAATGTCAAGCTCAGGTACGCGCTGTGTCGTTCGTATGCGTGCGCGTAGCTCACTGTTCACAGGTACTTCGTACGGCTGACCTTGACGCGGCGAATGGGTCTACCATCCTCAACATTGACGAAGGTCAGCTTATACAGCCCATGCTTGAAGCGCTCTGCCAAAACGCACTCAGGAGCGCGATATCTGGGTCCACTCATTCCGAATGCCGCCAGAGGCCAACAACAGTATCAAGATGGAGGTCGGCATTGAGGACTGTTTGCACATCGAGTTTGAGTACAACAAGAGCAAGTGAGTGTTGCTTCACTGTCTGCACGACCTCGGTCTAAACTTGCCAAGGTATCACCTCAAGGACGTCATCGTGGGCAAGATCTACTTCCTCCTCGTCCGTATCAAGATCAAGCACATGGAGTTGAGCATCATTAGACGAGAGGTAAAGCCGCCTACGCTATTTCCTCTGTGCTTATTTTGACGGGTGCGCAGACAACCGGCTCACCACCGAATCAATACAACGAATCGGAGACGATCACGAAGTTCGAGATCATGGATGGCGCGCCCGTACGAGGTATGCACTCCCTGTCACCCCAAACTCTTCTCCCCTGCGAAGTCATTTTCGTATACCTCATTCTCCGCTCGCGTTTTTCAATCTGTTCTATCATATTCCGCTCCCTCCCCAATCCACACATTCCTCAATCTCCTCCCCATCTCACGCATATTCCCACCTCTCTTCTGACCTCACATCCCCACCTCCGCCTCCATATTCACCTCCCCTCCCAGGCGAAACCATTCCCATACGCCTTTTCCTCGGCGGCTTCGACCTTACGCCGACCTTCCGGGACGTGAACAAGAAGTTCTCGACCCGCTACTACCTCAACCTTGTCCTCATCGACGAGGAGAACCGGAGATACTTCAAGCAGCAGGAGATCACGATCTATCGGATACCAGAGGTGAGTTGTGGGCTGACAATGGTTGGACAAGGCCGCTGCATTCGGTTGCTGGAGTCGCCACCTACCGCGGCGAGTGTCGTTTGGACTACTTCTGTGCCGTTCGCTGCCTTTTTTCCTTGCCATCATCGCTGCATTTAACGCGTGCCTATCGCGGGCAGTGCTCGTCCCGCCATCGCGAATAGCTCTCACCTCTCTCACTGCCGGCTTCCTCTTCGTGTAGCCCTATTCTCGAATGCATCGCTGACACATATTTCCAGAATTGATCCTTCACGCTGGACGTATACAATGGCACTACGTCGCACTTCCTTTTGTATTATTTGCTTCACGGATGTATCTCAAGACATGGCAGTGGGTATCTGTCACCATGCCTCGCGCGACCATCTGCAAGACTTTCCAATGCCAAGAGCGTCGTTATTGCAGGTGCGAGAAAATTTGTCTGACTAGTACGCTGATCATGCCATGCGCGACGATCTATGGGACTAACATTAGGTGTTCGCACCTGCATCTCGCGTTTCTGTTGAGGCCCGAAGCACAATCTACCGAGCACGCCCGATCCTGAAGCTCGAGTCGTGACCAACACGCGCTCACGTGAGGCGACGTAGGGGCGCCAACGATGACGAACGCGTCCTCGTCGCTCGTATATAGCGTCGTCGCTGCGTTCGCACCACCTACCTCTCGCCGCCAGAGCCCTCAGCGTCAGTCTCGGCAGCCTTACGAACGGCTGCCATGGGAGGCTACGGCAGCCCTTCCTCCCTTCATCGGGAGACCGGTCTGTCGATGAGACCTATACTTCGAGATGGAGCGTCGCGTCAAGCGTTGGTAGCAGACCTAGCGCCTCCGTCTCTCGCGTAGACCTGTCCTTGACGTCTTTCGCGCCCTGCTCAACCGGATCTCCTACCAACTGGTCAGATCGACGCTACTATCATCGGCAAGTCAGACCAGTGCTATCGCGGGTCTTCTGCTTATTATAACATCGGTCTCATATCCCTCCGAGCCTACCCAGCCTTCCAGATGTCTGACGAACACAGCTGTTGGGGTCTATCATTGGGGTGTCGATAGCTCGGGATTACTCATCTAAGAGCAGTGGCGCTTAGGTGTGGCAGAGGGGAAATCAGAGGTTTAGTACTAGCAAATGGAATCCACATCGGGCTTCTGTTGTATCCCTCGCAAAAGGCAGGTGGGTCTCCCGCGCACCGGCTCGCCTCGAGCGAGCCGCGTCGCTTGTCTCCATCGCGCCATTTTCGCCCATCTCCAGCACACCGTTCCGCTCTTCCCAAACCCATTGTCAATGACAGGCTCATCTCATGTGGTTCGGAACAGATCTCTCAACAACATCAACAACATCGACAATATCTGTCAACAACGTCGATGATATCCGCCGCAGCTCTATCACAAAGCCTATCTCGCGCCAAGTTGGGGCGATGGGACCCACAGTTGGGGCCACAGGCGCCAGGACCCACCCTCGAATCAGAAGTTCTGCCCCCTTCCGCCCCAGCGCTCACACTTTCGCGCCGTCAGGAAACATTCGGCCGTGTTATCCGCAAATTTTCTGACAAGGGACAACGCGCCCTTCCCGCTCGTCGCTGATGATCGTCGGCAATTTTATAGACTCGATGCTCCCCCGCGGGCGGCCGCATGCTGCAGCGACGAGCTCAGGAGGTTGTCGCAATTCGTGAGCTCAGGAGACCGTCGCCAATGATTATGGAAACTGTCGCAATTGTTCTGTTGGCTTGATCGAGAGTAAAGGTGAGTTAAAGGAACTACAGGGCTCGACTGGTCTGACAAAAAATAGCAGACCAGAGCTGGTATCTTTGCAATCAAGACCGAGGAATGTGGCCAGGCTCACATTCAGCGGCGCATCTATACTTCCCCCAAGCTGGCCACTTCGTTGAACGCCAAGCCTGGGCGCGCTTTGGTTTGGCCGACCCCGTCGCGCCATCTCATCCTCGCCTGACGGGCGCTTCGACGACCACCATGACTGTCGTCAAACTTCCGCTGCTCGGAGGAACATCGACAAGCATCCTAGCTCAGAAGGTGCGGGCAATGGACGTGCGCAGTCCGGGGGATAGCTTCCACCACGCAGGACGCCCTCGCAAATCGCGGATATCTCGTCGAGCGCGCAGGGAAAATCACATCGACCATGCTGGGCATCGCATCGACCGCGCAGGGCACACCCTCGAACGCGTCTTGACCGCGGATATCCCGTCGGGCCGTCGCACGCGCAGGGTTTGCGAGGAACACCGGCGCGCATCAGGTTGCCTCCGTCTGTTTGTTGCCGAACGGGGGCAGATGGAAGCAGGAGGCCGCGATCTGGCGCGGTGACGCAGTTCAACTTGAACTTGATTGAATTGAGAGTTGAACTATTTGCCCCTCCGCCGCCTCCGCGGCACACGGGCGTGGGGGTCCGGTTTCCATCCTGGCCTTCCGATGACCGTCGATTGGCTTCGATGGCTTGTGTTGGGCTGGTGGAGGTTTGTGGTGCGCTGCTTCTGGATGGGCTCTGTTTCCGAGGAAGGGCATTGGCGTGCGATTGACGAGCGGATCGCCGCGGCGGCGTCTACAGTCGCGTGAACGTCGACGATGGGCGACACTTCGCGCACCCCGCACGCGCTGTCACCTTGAGGCGGCGCGTATCGCAGTCAGCTGGCCCAGCTCGGGGGACAGGTGGTGTTTATCTGCAGTGCTTAGTGGGGTCGAGCAGTGCGCCTGTCGTTTCGAAGTTCGGTTGGTTTGCGTTGTGCCGGGATCTGCCTTGGTTCCTTCGTGCCGGATACCTGGGCTTGTGTGCTGCCAGGGTCCCAGGAGTTCCCGGGCGATGATCGTCACTGCGCTGTCATCATCTCGCTGCACGTCGCAGTCCGAGAAGGTGCGCCCGCGTGTATATCCGATGAACTGAACAAGGTGTCACAGGCACTGAGCGTCCTATGTCGGGCTTTGTCGGGGGGAGAAGAAGGTTAGCGAACTTCCTTGTCATGCAATCAGCGAATTAGCTACAGTTGCTATATCGCTTAGAAGGATGCTGTGAGCCTTAGTCTGGCGCGCGGACAGGACGCAGCGCTCGCAAATGTTACTTCTTCTGCCCATGTAGCGCACGGAGAGCGCCTCGTTTTGGTGGCGCTGAACCAAGGGCCGGACGGCTCCATAGATAGTTGCAAATATCCCAACGAGGGGAACTGTGACGTTTTCATATGTCACGCACCGTCACGCAAAAGATGGAAAATCCCTGGCCTTGTACTTAAACCCAATGGCTCGCGCGATGCGCGCCTCTCGAATTCCCCCTTTCCGGGCGGGCCACAGGACACTAGTGCCTGCTTGCAGCTTGTCTTCCTTGCGGCCGAGGCTCTGTTTTGCACTCCGTTGATCTTACTCGGGTCGAGGCGCCACTGTTCAGCTGATAAGCTGACTGCTTCTGAAGGCTTCGTTGCTGGCTCTGCTGCCACATACTTCCAGGCGCGTATCAGCTTCCTTTGCGGCCGTATAAAGGCTGACCAGAGCATTCTCCCGACAGGTCCTTCTTTCACGGGCCTCCGACCTTTGTTGATTCCCTCTGGTTAACGACTTATGAACACCCGTGCGCCAGTCTTTCAGCATGCTCCTCAAACTCGTCCCCGTCGCGCCGCAGCCTACGGTGCTCTTCTCCCTCTCGTTTCAGAACATTGAGACGCGGGGCGTCGAAAGCATCCCGCCGGCATGGGACAACCAGCTCAAGTCGCTTCTGATGGACGAACTCGAAGTCCCCCAAGGGACCCATGCATTAGACAAGGCAGCGGGTATCCCGAGCTTGCTGGACGAGGTGTCGCTCGACATCCCGTCGCTGACGGTGTCGTGTCGCTTCCTCGACGGCGCGCTCGAGGAGTGGCCTCTCATGGAGAGGGACTGCTTGGAGAGGCTGGATCGCGTCGTTGCCGACGTGAGCCAATCGGCCGAGGAGGCACAAAGGGAACAGCGTCGCGCTGAGATCATCAAGGAGATCGATGCCGAACGGCTTCGCGAGCAGACCCAACTCGACACGCCCGCGCAAGTGCGGCACAAGAAGCATAAGTCGCTGCTGAAGTCGATGTTCTCGTACGTGCTACAGCTTCTCCAGATACGCATCGTTGCTAACCCTTCGTCAGGTCGAAGAAGTATCACCACCTAGCCTTACCCGCGTCGGCGTCTTTCCCATCCATTCTTCCTCCTATGAAATCCGCCGAGCAGGCCCTAGAGGAGCTTGATGCGGCCTCGTCGGGCATGTCGGCGCGTGCGTTGCGACGTAGGGCGCGATCTACGTTTGTCGACGTCTTTCGCCGCTACGTCCTTCCCGAGCTGTCCTCTCGATTCCCTCCCGGGGGCTACTATACTTGGGTGACGGCGAGCATGATCCGTCGGGCCCACGCGCGCATGGACGAACTCATTCGATTGCCTGAAGCCAACGTGTCATACCACCGCGCTCACATGCCCGTGCCCGCTGCCTTCGCCTCCACCTCCACGCCTACGAGCCCTGCCATCGCCCTGCCATCCGATGACGACGATGATGAGACGGATACGGATGGGTGCTCGATCCGTACGCCGACGGGCTCCGAGATGCCGTCCTGGCGACAGTCGTACTACTCGTCGATCTCATCGTGCTCGTCGTTCGCGTCGGTCATTGGCGAGGCGCAGCAGCGCCTGGGCCCGCAGGACCGGGAAGAGTACGAGGCATTCTCGACGCTGGTCCGGCGGCTGCAGCACCTGCTAATCGAGGCGCAGTACCGGCGGGAGCAGGAGGAGGACGAGCTACGCGCACAGGAGGCGGTGATCGAAGTACGGAGCCGGCGGCGCGCATGGCTGAACAAGCAGCTGGTTGGGTCAGGAATGCACGACCTGGGTCACTCGTCGCCGTACCAAAGCTCGCGGCTGTCGCAGGCGTCGTGGTCGGCTGAGGACTTTGAGTTCGAGTACGAGCCTGCGCCACTGTCGACAATGCGCCACCTGATCTACGAGACCGACTCGGAGGTGGACGATGAGGACGAGGATGCGCGTGAGCTGGAGTTGGCGCTCGACCTGAAGACGCACGGAATCTCGTTGCGGCGGCGGTTGGACGAGGGAGGAGGAGTGGAGGTTCGGAAACCGGCGCTGCCGGTAGACGTCGCGCTCCTGCGGCGAATGGAGCTGGGGCTCGAGGAGAGCCTGCGCGGCCCTGTGCATATCGTTGGCCACGACGAGTGGCCGGTGGAGGGTGACTACTGAGTTACGCCTCCTGGGACACTGTTCGCGGCGGTGGTATACCATCGCTGGTCACGACACGAAAAGTCACTCGTTTATTCTGCTTCCCTTTCTCAATCCTATTCCTCCTTCACGCATACGACGGCCTCACCTGTGTCATGGTCTCCTTCCTCATCTCCGCCATGGTCTCTATCCTCGCCCATGGTCGTCTTCACCATGTTCATGGTCTCCTCACCTCTCTTCATGAATTTGCAACACGCATACATACTTATCGGGTCTCCTGCATGCTCATTGCTAATGTGTATACTAGCCGTCTCTCCGCCTATCATCTGCTACTTGCATGCTTTACACATCGACTCGCCGTGCATCCTCACATCGACGCACTTGTTTCTCTTGCATCACTTCCCTATACATTCTTGTTGGACTCTAGTCGTTTTATGATATTTGTGGTTTGGTGATACCAGTGCTTTTAACAACTGAGTGGGAACGAGGGCGAACAGATCCGTTTAGAAGAAAGGAAAAGAGAACAATAGACGCCGGACCGCGGAACAATTGAGGATAATTGATTGATTGCACGTGCTTATTCATGTGTTGACTTGTTTGTCAACCTCATTAGCGGAAGCTGAAGCGCGTCGCGTTCACAGTTTCGCCACTTGATTCCCCCCATCACCTCACGCTATGTCCACGACCTCCCAGCTCTCCAGCCCTGTCCCCTCTGCGAAGGGTCTGGGCAAGCGACGAGAGCGGTCGCTTGATTGCCGCGAGATGAACGACACAACACCCATCGCCACCACCGACGCCTCGAACCCATCAAAGAAACCCAAGCTTGTGTCCGAAGCTCACTCCTCTGGTATGTCCAGAGTGACGTGCTATCTCCTCTATGCTGATTAGGTCTAGCAGAGGAGGACGACGATTACGAAGAGCTGTATGGCAACCTCCCCCCGAGTATGTTCCCACGTCGATGCTGTTAAGCGCCGAGCTCTGAACGTGCCCCAGGACCTCCTGCGCGGTTGCGTGCCACGCCACCGAAGCCCAGTCCAACCTGGAAGGAGGTGTACGGTGGGGAGTATTCTGATGAGGACGAGGAAGACGAAGAACGTACGGAGTGCCCTTTTCTGGCGCTGCAGCCACTGACACGCCTGGCACAGAACGTCCCACTGCTCTTGAGCCACAACAACGAACTCGCTCCCCTTCACAAGACCCCCAACCATCTCACCTGTCCCCACAAGCCACTCTGCCCGATCAGCTGGTCACCGTCGTGTACGCCGACTGCGAGCCAGTTTACCCGAGGCCGGTGGATGCCCGATTGCGAAGCACACTGAGCGTTCTCGATGTTGCATTATCACAGAGTGCTATCGGGAAGCAGTCCCTGGCCGCCTCCGCCCCGTACGACGTCGAACGCGCGCCGACTCGCCTTCCGACACGCTCACCAACGTACTCCCCTGCGCTGCCCCCTAGCAATGATCAGGAAGAGGGCGCTCAATCCCTGCAGCATGATACTGCATCACAGCGCTCAGCAGAATTCCACATGGAAGCAACAGACCTCGTATCAGTCCTCGTCGAACAGAATGCCATGGAGCGTGCCAAGAATCAACGCCTAACCGAGGACGTTGCCTACTACCGCCAGGATGCGGATGACCAGAAGGTGATGGTCGACAAGCAGCGTATCGCCCTGGATCTCTACCGCGCCAAGGTAGGCGACCTCCCGACCGGATTGGAGTTGGACCGCGATATTCACCAGACGAAGGTCGACCTGTCGACTGCGGGCAAGCGCATCTCCGACCTGGAATATCAGATCGAGTGCATTGTGGGGATAATCGATGCCTACAAGCATCACCCCGAGGGAAAGGCGGTCGGTCAGGCCTACCTCGAATGGAAGGCCAACTTCCAGCGTGGGTACGAGCCCGCGACAGAGCTCGATAGACTTGGTCACTACTCGGCTTTGCTCCTCCCCGACCCATCCGCCGCCCCGCCCCTCCCCGCCCAGCAGGAATATGCACTGTACCAGCAGCCGGCTGTACCACGGAGCCCCTCGACCAACTCCCACGCGAACTGGGGAACAGGTGTTATGCAGTCGCATCCCCAAGCGGGACCGTCGACTTCGGCGCAAAACGACGGCATCCGGATCCCAGATATCCGCGAGCTGCAGCCAAGCCGCCGGCGCGTCCCTCCAAATAACTCACTGGGGTTGGTCAACATCGCGGGGACCCCCCTCCTGGAGCAGGAGCTGAGCGATCCCCTGCGTCGGACTGTCGAGCGGAATTGGCACAAGCTCGATCCCGAGACGCGGCAAGGGTACTCCTCATCAGAGTCGTCCTCGTCCCGCGTGAGCCATCATTTCCCAAACACCGACGACACACCTCCGCATTCTGGCGACGAGGGGTACGGGCGCCATCGCGCTCGTCGGCAACGGCAACGCTCCGCGCGGGCTCACTATTCGCGCGCCTACGACGATCGCAGGTCGCGTGCGTCTTACCATGGCCGCCGCGCGGGTGCCTACGACGAGCGCCGCTACGATGGCTACACCCGCGGCTACGACCAGCACCAGTACGGTGCTTTCCACGCGCCTCCTTCGAGCTACGCTCAGGAAACGCAGTACTCGAGCTCTCGCTCGTACGACGACCGCCGCAGGCCTCACGTCGACGATGGATACTCGTATCACTACCGGGCTTCGGCCGGGTACGCCTAGAGCTGGAAAGACAGATAGGCCCTCAGATATCGGACCCTTGCCTCATCCGAGAGGGTTTAGGTAGCTTACTGCTCTCACTCGCGTACAGATTCCATGCTGACGCACTTCGTCCAGATAGTTGAACTTTCTTGCCCCGTCCTGAACTCATGCATTCCCCCATCTTACTTATTCCCCGTCCCGTTTTCTTATCACATCAACTATCCAAATCCCAGTGCTATCGTGTTCGTCCCCTGCTCATCGTCTTGCTCGCTCACATACCTAATACCTATCATCATCTCGTTCTGCGGAAGGAATCGCAACAATGCTCAATGTACTACCATCTGTCTTGGATATCGGGTGTCTTGGATAACTAGCATCTTCTTGGTCGTTGGCGTCGGGCGTCTTAAGGACGCACAATAACTTCTGTTGTACTTACTATACCTAACTCTCGTGTCTTGCTACCTACCAATCATCTGCTTTTCCTGCGCTCCACTTTCTGTGCGAGTCTGATGTCTTTTGCCGCTTCAGACTTGTCTTTGCATCCACTCAGTGCGATGTCCATGGCGCTCGTTCGCCCTGATGCCCAACCGCCCTCATTTTGGCTCTCCCCTCATCCGCTTGCTGCTCGCTACGTAGTACCTACCCTGTCTCTGTCTTTCCTACCTACTCCATCGTTACCTACCTACGTGGCTTCGACGCGCAGCGTCCGCCTCATGCATGTGAGGGCGCTCCTGATGTTTTGTGCTTTGTCACCTACCGTGGAATGAATGTTTGGCAGCGGTACCACTGGCGTATCCGCTCGCCTCTCCCGGTACTGTATGATGCGTCGCGAGAGTGACCGAGTACGATGCGTCGCGAGACTGACCGAGTACACGAACACAAGGCGGAAGATACACAGTCCACAAGACGTAAAGGTCAACTAAGGGCGCGTGTTATTCGTTGTGCAAGTACTGCACGCATATTTCTTCTACAAATCTAGTGGTCTATGCATAGGTCGGAACGATAGCTACTGATACATTCGGTTTGTTAGTCCGTTCGTCTCGACCAGGGAGGGAATACAGTGAGGAGGGATGTGCATAAGTCTAGAGCGGTCATGACTGAGAAAGGAGACAGGGAGTTTGGGAGACAGTGAGTTGGGATGACTGGGAATTCCTCGTCGACGGGCGGCGTTTAGAAGTCTTCGTCGGCGTGGCTGGTGAAGGAGTTCAGCAGCCATCTCGTTGCAAGCGGTATATGACTTACAAGACTTTGTTGGTGGTCGCGTCGGAGGCGGCGCCGTTCCGAACAGCGGCGATCTTGTAGTCGGAGACGCGCTTTTCGAAGAAGTTGGTCTCGAGGAATAGTCAGTGTTGAGATAGGCGTGGCAGGCGTTCACGCGTCTACGCACCTTGCCCTGCAGCGAGATCATGTCCATGAAGTCGAAGGGGTTCGTCGCGTTCCACACCTTGTCGTTTCCTAGGGCAACGAGGAGGCGGTCGGCGACGAACTCGATGTACTGGCACATGAGGTCGGCGTTCATGCCAATGAGGGAGACGGGGAGGGCGTCTGGGGGTGGGTATTAGCGCTGGAGTTCGTTGCTCGTCCGACGACAGCACTTACCAGTGAGGAACTCCTTCTCAATCGCTACCGCCTCCTTGATGATCATCTCAATCACCTCGGGATGCGGGCGACGGCGCATGTGGGTGAGCAGCAGACAGGCAAAGTCGGTATGCATGCCCTCGTCGCGCGTGATGAGCTCGTTAGAGAACGTCAAACCCGGCATCAGCCCCCGCTTCTTCAGCCAGAAGATGCTCGCAAAGCTGCCCGAGAAGAATATCCCCTCCACCGCCGAGAACGCGACCAGCCGAATCGCAAAGCTCGAGCGCCGATCCGCGATCCAGCGCAGCGCCCACTCCGCCTTCTTGCGCACGCACGGGATCGTCTCGACGGCGTTGAGGAGGAAGGTGCGCTGCGCGGGGTCGCGGATGTACGTGTCGATGAGGAGGGAGTACGTCTCCGAGTGCACGTTCTCCATCATGATCTGGAAGCCGTAGAAGCAGCGCGCCTCGGGGACCTTGACCTCGCCGCAGAAGCGCGTGAGCAGGTTCTCGTTGACGATGCCGTCGGAGGCGGCGAAGAAGGCGAGGACGTGGGAGATGAAGTGCCGCTCGTTGTCGTTCATGCGCTCCTCCCAGTCGTGGAGGTCCTTGGAGAGGTCCATCTCTTCGGCGGTCCAGAAGGATGCCTCTTCTTTCTTGTACATTGCCCAGATCTACGAGGCGAGCGCGTCAGGACAGAAGTGGCAGCACTGGACGTTGCACGAACCTCGTGGTACTGGATGGGGAACAGAACGAAGCGCGAGATAGAGTCCTTGAGCAAAGGCTCCTCGTCTGAAAGCAATGAGAACGTATGTAACTATTAGAGAGGCTGTACTCACGTTCGGGACAGTCGACGTCGCCGACGTAGCGAAAGCGCCACCCGTCGTTCTCGTCAGTGAGACCTTGTGCGACCTTGTCGACGAGCTTTGTGGCCTTGGGAGCAAAGGAGGCGGGCGCCATAGTGTTGGAGCTTAGGAGGAGAGCGTTTTGAGAGCGAGGTGAGGTGAAGCAAAGCAGGAAAGTCGGGTTCTTTTAAGGCGCGTCGGATTGACACCTATTGACAGACGCGTCGAACGCGCTGTGTACGCGTTGTTGACGCGTCTCGTGGAATGAGGCGACATGAGAGGACCTAGGACGCGTCTCCATTGCGTGATCGCGCAAAGAGGTATGAAGCCGGGAACAGCGCAGACCGGTCGGGGACTCGAAGTCCTGACCAGGCGCCGTTCCAGGCGGGACTGCATCTGGGCACAATGGACGTACATTGTCAGTGCGAGTCAGGCATGCGATCCATATGAAAGAGCGACAAAGGGGGTGCGCATGCACAATGGAGAGCATGGCCGTCCCGACCACCTTCGACGAGGACGCGGCTGGTTCTGGGAGTCTGGATTCGGCAAAGACAAGCACTGGAATTGTCCTAGTACACGAAAACGGGAACGAGATCCAGACCAGGATATCTCCGGGACAAGATAATTTAATATGGACGGCATTATGTCGTTTCGCAGCCGCTAGGCTCGTGAACCAGCTCATCGGCCTACGTTTGAAATCCGCTCGTGGCCTCACGGAGCCGTAGGCCGGCTGGGCAACTTCGTATAGCAAATGCAATCCTGGGGTCCAGGCCCCAGGACAACTTAGAAAGTTGAGGCTCTCGCGCGCGCCCAGCGGGCGTGTACTCCATATTTGCCAGCTTGTCGAGGGGCAGAACGTTATGAATCCGATAGAATACTGTTAGTATATTCATATAGTACTGAAATGAGATGGATATACGAAAGCAGCGATATACAAAAGCCATAAACACGGATTGGGGACGGTACCGTAGTGGACAGTTCAGCCCTCGCACAAGCAAAGGACGCTCGCGCGGCGGGTAACGTTGTGGATCTGCATATGTTCGTTCGTGCTGATGCTGCAGCAAAGGATAGCGGGGGACAAGGCCTTGCCGACGAAGCAATCCTGCCCACCCAGCTCGCGAAGCGCACAGTGATTGGCAAGTTGCATGCTGCCGAGCTGGATTACGCTCCTGGGCTTTGGCATGATTTGTGCGACGTTGTTGGGGGTTTGTAGCTGGCTCGATGTCGCAGCCGACGACGCCGAGGTGAGGTAGTGATTCGGGGAATGTACCGGGAGCAGCGTGTTGGGGATGGACGAGGGAGGTGACCAGCCTACGAGAGGCTCATTGGTCGTATGTGTGGCGACCGTGATTCCATTGCCGTACGCAGGAAGCTCGTCGGGGCATGATGGGCGCGAGGCTAAGCCATGGGACGGGCGAGGGGAATTGTAGGCGTGGGAATAGCTGCAGGGGGATGCTGGTACAGCGATGGGGACGGCGTGCAAGGATACCCAGGGGCACCGCCTTGTGCGTACGCATCGCATCCGATCTGGATCGCTGCGCTGAATCCCCGCTGTGCTGAGAATGGATTAGGTGTCTGTGGGGTCGAGGTTGATGTTGCGGGCCTTGCAAAGTAGTCGGCCGCGGGGTGAGTGCATGATCGGTCAACATGCGGTCGCTGTGGTGGTCTGAGAGCGCCGAAGGCGTGTGACTGAGCAGGGGGACGTTGGGGCGTACGCAGGGGATCGTATTCTTGAGCGATCGGATCGACGTGTCCCGCTAGTGAGGCGGACGATGGCGGTAGTACGCGATCCAGCAAGTGCGGCTGTTCGAGATGAGCATTGGAAGTGGCATAAGAGAAGCGCTCACGTACCTGTCTAGATGACCCTTCAGCTCCCGCGGTAGACGCCTGAGCATCAGTCTTGCGGCGTTTTCGGGGCTGGATCGCACCCCGAGCTGCAGAGCGCTTCGCTGATGTTTGGGCAGCGGATTCGGGCCGCGTTCGACGATGCGTTCTCCTCGAGCGCGGCGAGAGGGGAGCGTCCGTCGTCCACCCCGCGCCGGTTCATAGAAGGCGGGTTCGCGACTGCTCTACCACTCACGGAAGACACCGCGGCGGGGGAGCCCGCTGTGGAGGCCTCATTCTCATCGTGCGGATGGGAGGAAGGGTGGGAGACTGGGTAAGCAGTTTCCGTAGGATGCGGCTGGGTTCTCGCTTTTTTGGCTTGCGTTGGGTCGTGGCGGCTCGTTTGGCCGGTGCTTGTGCATTATCGGCAGACGAGATGGTCGAGTTGTCCAGATGAGACGCGCACGAGAGGATGTACTCGAGTAGCTCCTGCCCTAAAGCATCCCAGAAAGGCAATTCCGACTGGAGCACCTTCTGCACGAACTCTCGATCGCAGCTTGCCGGTGTAGCGCTTCAAGCGCGCGATCTTGTCTATGAAGTCCTTGAACAGCAAGCAGCCGGCCCCCATCGCACCATATACGGGATCGGTCCGCGACTTCTCCTCCCTCCAGTCATCTATCATGTTCCACCACTCTTGCGAGACCTCCTTCGCGTAACCCAGACGGACACCCTCCTCTTCGCTCGTATGCTGACCCGGACGGACGCGATCCAGAAGCCACGGACTGCACACGTCGCAACATGGCCCGTCACCCTTCTCGTCTTGGGGACAGTGAGCATTGCCACCTCACGCGGCTGCGAGTAGCACTTACCGGGTCTCTCGTTTTCGAAGATCGTCCTCAAAATCTCGCGCTGGCAGTCCGTCGTCTGCACTAGATGATACAGGCCTTCTGTCTCGTCATCCTCGGCGATAGGCAGCTGTCTCCAGGGTGACGGTGGCAAGTCGTCACTGCGTCCACTTCTGCTGCCACGGTTGGCGCCGTGAGCGGCTGCGTATTCCTTGAGGTCGTCCCCGGTGAGCTTCGGCACTCGAGGCGAGTCCAATGCGGGCGCATCTCCATCCTCGCGAACGGTGATGACCTTCGAACACACAGTAACTACAAGCTTGTGTGGCCCAAGGAGATTCGGTAAGTGCTTCGACGGAGCGTGCAATGGTCCAGCGTGGAGGTAACTGACAGACAATTTCAGCGATATCCTGCTGCAGAACTGGCTCGTCAATACCACAGGTGGACCGCTTGCAGGAGCACTTGAATTACTGGATCAAGGTATGTGTTTCCGTACAACGCTCGCATGCGCGCGAGACCTGACCTTCGTGTATTCAGGCCTACTTCCAGGCCCACGGAAGCAACACATCCTGGGATTTGCTTGGTACTATCGCCCCGTGCGTCAAGATTCTGCGCTCCCTATCGAACGAGGTCAATAGTACGCTAGGCTCCCGACAGGGCAAGCGACACGCCACTCCTGACCGAACCAAGGACATCGACGAGTTGATGGCCAGCCTTGCGCGAAACAAGGTCTACGAATCTTTTCCGGGCCGTCGCTTCGACGTGGATGGCACGAGCCAGGTCGACGATGTAATAGGAGTCGGCTTGTACATACTCACAAAGGGCGAAGCGACGTCGCCTTTGGCCAATCACAACAACTCTTTTCTCAATCTCCAGGCCGCTTACCGTGTCACGCCGTTAGTCGGTATTTCCTCAAGTGCTCTGGAGGCAACATCTCGCGCCGCGGAAGTGGCTCCCGCTATCGTAGATCGTGGTGCGCAAAAATGCACTGCCCACGTCCGTTGTGTACTAACTGACTCTTCAGCATTTCCTTCTGGCTCGCCCTCCCTCGCTGCGGCCATCGACGAAGTCATGGACCGGCCCCACATCGAGTTACACAACAACGACAACGACGCATGGCTGGCGATGGAACTCGAAGCTTTAGCTGACTTTGCCGACAATGACAACGAGGATCCTTATGCGCCCGATATCGATGGCGAATGGGGACTAGTAGATGGTGATGATGAGATGTTGAACAAGGATACCGGCTTCGAGGATGACGGCGTCGAGGAGAACGACGTGTTGATGGAGGACGAAGGAGCCGGGGACAGGTCCTCCCCTTCTAGTACGCGTTCCCCCCGCCCGAATATCGTCTTTATGCGCTACTTTGTATATCCTACTATGTGCTCAAGTTGTGCTTGGTTCCCCCCTCCTGATCAAGACTGAGCAAGCACCATTCGAGCGCAACAGTCAGGCGTCGCGCGCGCGACGCACTCTCAACTTTTCAGAGTTGTCCTGGGGTCCGGACCCCAGGATTGCGTCCCCTCTACGGAGTTGCCCAGTCCGCTCGCAAGCTCGCGGTCCGTTTTCAAATATCCCCCCTTCTTTGCAAATTCCAACCCTCCGAGCCGAACCGCTCACGGACCGCAGCTGCGAGCGCGAACAACTGGCTAGCGAGTCTACGCAGCCGCTGCCTATGAGGGAGAGGGCATATGACAGTTCGAAGGTTCAGGAAACGCGCAATGCCACGCGACTTGTCACGCACACGGTATGTCACACGCTCGTGATCATGAGTAATTGGGCAGGTCCTGTGCTCCTCTTCAGCAACGTCCATGGTATTCAACGCCGTATTCGAATTTCCCCCGGTCCTGTGAACTTCTCTATAAAAATTTCAGAGCTTGTGCTGGCTTTCCCTGAAGGTTTTTGACAGGGCAAATGCCATTTTCTTGGACAAGCAATAAGTCAATCATGAGGGGTGCAACTGACGACTTCAGATGTAACACCCGAGATAATCTTTGGGCCTAAGTCCATGAGGGCGTGCCACCTAGTGAACGTCGCCGTCCGCGCCGCTCATTGAACCCCCCTCCCACGCCTTGTGAATCGTTCGCCGCCAAAGCTCCGCGACTGGGCTCCCCGTAGGCGGCGGGGTGTACGTCAGACTCAACGCATTCATCCTTATCATATATAAGAGACTCTCATCGGTAGACCTCCTGCGCTTCCCCTCCCGAAGCACCCTTCCCGATGCTGCTTGCCGTCGCTCAAGTCTCGGTCGTCTACGCCCTGCTTTACTTGCTCTACAAGCGCGTGGCCAGCGCATCTTCCAAACGGCCGCCTCTTCCTCCGGGTCCGCCGGCGTATCCTCTCATTGGTCACATTGGAATTCTTCCAGAGGACGAAGAGCGCGCGTACAAGGAATGGGGTCAGAAGTATGGTGGGCGCAGTCCTTGCTCATCCGAGTCAACCTTTCAGCTGAAGTACTCTCTGCAGGATCGGACGTCATCCACGTCAACATGCTCGGGCAACCCATCATCGTGCTCAACAGTGCAGCGGCGGCGACCGACCTGCTCGACAAGCGCGGATCTATCTACAGCGACCGCCCGGCGTTTGCGTTCTTCAAGGCGTATGTGGATCGTCTGTTGCTCTTGCCGTGCACCATCTACTGCTCTCGCAGTTTATCTACTGTCTTTCTTGCACTCCCGCCTAACTCCCACACAGAATGGGCTGGCACGACCATGTGACATTCATGGGTTCGAACGAGCCGCTGTTCCCGACCTATCGACGCCTCTTCCAGAATCTCTTCTCCAAGTCCGAGAGCCGCAAGTATATGACGCTGCAGGTGAATGAGGCGCGGAAGCTCGTGCAGCGCATTATTGCGAGGCCGGGGGAGTGGAGGAGGTTGCTGAGGCTGTGAGTGTCTAGTGGTGTTTGCGATACTCGTCACCTTGCGCATCTTTCGCGCCTATCGCCTGTCTATCACCCGCCTTTCGTCTGACCGCACGACCTTTGCCTCTTCATTGTGCAGTCGAACAGCCTAGTATAAGGCAGTCCGACTCACGACCTACCCAGATACAGCACTGCGATCATCATGCAGCTCGTCACCGGCGAGGAAATCCTCAGGCCCGACGACGAGTATGTTCTCGTCGCCGACCAAGTCAACGCTGCCGTGAGCAATGGACCCGCGGTGGGGGCGGCAGGGCTGGACTTCTTCCCGTGGTGTAAGTCGTTCAGTTGTCGTTTCGTGAGAATGCAGGGGCCGAAGCTTCTCAAATCATTTCAGTGAAGTATCTCCCCAGCTGGTGCGATCCCACCGGCTCGACGGCGTATGTCCGCCAGTGGACCCAAGCTATTGATAGCGTGCAGACTATGCCGCTTCGCAAGGTCACGGAGATGATGGTATGAATGCGCGGCCATGCGTAGCTTGACTACAGATGCTCATGAGCCCAACAGAAACTCGGGCTCGCGAAGCCGTCGCTCACACTAGACAAAGTGCTGGAGGAAGAGGCGCGTGTGAGGGCGGGAGAGCCGCGTCTATTGTCCGACTACAACCTCGAGGGCATGATTGGTACGGTTTACGCAGGTGGGTGATCCAGTTTCGTCTGTATATCCTCATTGACAATGCATGTAGCCGCTCAAGGGACAGTAAGGCCAACCTTCCGCAGAAACTCGCGCCGACCACGCTAACGCGGATCCAACAGACGACCGACACGATGTTAGTCTTCGTCTTCGCCATGACGATGTACCCTGAGGTGCAGAAGAAGGCGAAAGCAGAATTGGATGCAGTCGTTGGACCCGATCGGCTTCCTGAGTTTGCTGACCGGGAGCAGTTGCCATATGTAGAGCGGGTGCTGCAGGAGACCTTTCGGTGAGTTATTCAGTTTGCGTAAGGCTGCGTTGAAGGCGGTGCTAATGAACCAACAGAATGTGGCCTTCGTTGCGTCTGGGTGAGTTTGACTGAGGTGCAGAGAAGTGACAACATGAAGCTAATCGCATCGCTACAGGCGTTCCACACAGGCTGACAGAAGACGACGTCTATAAGGGCATGTTTCTGCCAAAGGTACAGCTAAAGACGGTCAATCTTCTACATGAGCAAATGGGCTGATCGCAGATAAAGGGCTCCATAATCCTCGCCAACGCAACCGCCATCTCGCACGATGAGGCGTTCTACGCCGACCCCTGGCGCTTTGATCCCGACCGGTTTATCCCCAAAGAGCAGGGCGGGCGCGGGGAACCGCTACCTTCTGCGCAGTTTGGGTATGGGAGACGGTGAGTAGGAAGTGGTTGACTTACAAGGGCACCGTCCTCTAATGTGCACCACCCAGTATCTGCCCCGGCCGCTTCACCGCGGACAACTCAGTGTTTATGGCGATCGCGACGATGCTGCATGTTCTGCAGTTCGAGAAGGCGCGAGATGAGAATGGGATGGAGATTGCGCTGGACTTCACGACGGTGGAATATGCAAGGGGGCTGGGGAGGTACGTCCTGGAGGATCACTTGTCGAGCTTGACCATGACGATAACTGAAATTCCTACAGTCACCCGAAGACCTTTCCAAGTGTCATCTCAGCGGCGAGCAAACGGGCTGCTGAGCTTGTTGCGGGGCATGATCTCTGTACGGTCCCCTTGTGACCATGACGAAGTTGCTGTATTGCTATCGGAACCTCGACTAGGAGTGAATGAAGACGCTCTCGCCCGTGGCTTGCGGAGGCAAGCGGTTGTCGTTCACGGTCAGGCGAAGTGTGTATGCATAGCAGAAGGCGAGAACTTGCGTGCGTGACGATCCACTTGACCTTGCTTCTCGACAGGTGTCGGGCCGTTCCATGGTTCATCAAGAGGACACTCACCGCCGCCTCGAATTCAGCGTGCGACCGCGGTCGACCCATGACATGCTGATGAGGCTATCCACGAATGAACAGGGTCTAGCGATCCCGCGTCTCTTATCTCCAGCCCAGTCGTTGGCGGGTTTCTCTTGTGCGTCTGCTAGATGTTCATCATGATCCCTGTTTCCTTGCAGCTCGTCTTCGTCTGCGCTGTGGCCTACGCGCTTTATCGACGGCTCAGGTCGACTGGTGAACAACAATGTCGTCCACCTGGTCCACCGGGTTACCCAATCATCGGGCACCTGGGCCTGGTCCCGCACAAGTCGCCAGAGCGCGCGTACATGGAGTGGAGTCGGAAATATAGTGCGTGTATCCCTTTTCATCAGCCTCACACACTTCTCTGACGAAAGACCGAAGATTCGGACCTCATCCATGTCAAGATCTTTGGGCAGTCCATCGTCGTCATTAACTCGCTCGAGGCGGCCACGGAGATGCTTGAGAAGCATGGCTCGATTTATAGTGACAGGCCGGCGTTTTCGTATTTCGAAACGTGCGTGCAGGATTTTTTTGTTTTTTTTTTGGTATCCCATTTATTGTCCTGTGAGGCCGAGAGCGTGCAGGATTTGTCTGCGAACATCCTTCGGCTAACACAGAACAACATCTCAGCCTGGGCTACCACGACCATCTCACCTTCATGAGCTCTCGAGACCCCATGTTCGCTATGCATCGGCGTCTCGTGCAGAACGCGTTTTCGAAGACAGCAAGTCGCAAATTTACTGCGATACAAGAGAATGAGGCGAGGAAGCTCGTGCGGCGTATTTTGCTTGATCCGAAGGATTGGAAGAGGTTGATGCGACTGTGAGTGTAGCATATACCAGAATAATTAATTCAAACATTCCTACTTGCGCAATGAGCTGACCTGCGGCAGCTTCAGCACTGCAGTCATCATGCAGATAATGACTGGGCAAGAAGTCAGGGGACCGGACGATGAATATGTGAGGATTGCAGAGGATATCAACAATGCTATCAGCGGTGGGCCACCACTAGGAGCGTCGGGACTGGATGTTTTCCCATGGCGTACGTATCGAACCAGCATGCCACCTCGCAAGACTGAATAGGGAACAGTGAAGCACCTCCCGAGCTGGTGCGACCCGACGGGGTCGACGCGCTACGTGCGGAAGTGGGCGCACGCAATACACGACGTGCAAGTTGTGCCATATGAGCGCGTTATGAAGGAGATCGTAAGTGGCTGAGGTGCGTCCTGCGAATCTACGCTCAACATCGCATAGAGAGCAGGCAACGCAAAGCCGTCGCTCGTCGTGGATATGGTTCTGAAAGAAGAGGCTCGAGTACAGCGTGGAGAACCGCCCTTATTGACTCCAGAGCGCATCCAGGGAATTATTGGTGCGGTGTATGGAGGTGAATTATTTCTCGTCGACTTGTAAGTAACTTCACTGACCCGTCCCTGTATGATGCAGCTGCGCAGGAAACCGTGAGTGCAGCGCCTCGTCGGGAAGATGGGCCATGCCTTTGACCATGCCTATAAAGACCGCCGACACGCTTGTCGTCTTCACGTTCGCCATTACCATGTACCCGGAGGTCCAGAAGAAAGCGAAGGCTGAGCTCTACGCTGTCCTAGGGTCTGATCGTCTTCCTAGTCTGGCTGACCGTGAGCACCTGCCATATATCGAGCGCGTCGTACAAGAGACTTTTCGGTGCGTCGTGGGGGTTCCTTGGGCATGGCCAACTTTGTGCTGATCCGGAGTACTTCCAGTTTCTGGCCTACCATTCCGCTGGGTGAGGAGTAACGATGATGGTTATGAGCTTGAGACTCACGTTGCAGGCGTCCCGCGCAGGGCAATGGAGGATGACATGTACAAGAACATGTTGCTCCCTAAGGTGCGCCTTGTCGAGGCGCCCGTTTTCACCTCGTAGCTAACTTGTCTAGGGCTCTCTCATCCTGACGAACTCGACTGCCATCACGCACGATGAGCGCGTTTACTCGCAGCCCTGGAAATTCGACCCAGACCGTTACCTGCCGAAGGAGCAGGGTGGTCGTGGCGAACCGATGACGGCGCCGCATTTTGGATTCGGGAGGCGGTAAGTGGTAGTGCATCATAGTCGCCAGACCCTCACGCTTCTTTGCCAATGTATCCTCAATGATTTTCTTCCAGCATTTGCCCCGGCCGTTTCACCGGCGAGAACTCGGTCTTCATCGCCATTGCGACGATGCTGCACGTCCTCTCTTTCGACAAGGCGCGCGACGAGGAAGGGAATGAGATCACTGTCGACGCGGAGACGACGGAATATGGAGGTGGGCTGGGGAGGTGAGTAGGAAGGGCGAATAGCTTCGTCAATGGTTGATACTACCCGCCGCATTACTGGCCAGCTACTGTCTGTGAGCAATTATGCTGACCATCCCTCGATAGCTATCCACTCCATGTACCATGCGACATCTCTGCGGCTAGCGCGCACGCTGCGGAGCTGGTGGCGGAATATGATGCGTAGGATATCTGACAAGGCGAGCCCATGGACTTCAGAAAGGCCATTAAGAGGGTCAATATCCATACATGAAGAGATCGGTCCCTCAGCAGAGACGATGAGTAGTCTCTTCAACGAATCTGGATACGACATCACCCTCTGGCCCCAAAACTCAGTCAATGACCTGATGCAAGCCCGAAGGCTCCTGCACTATCAGCCTGAAGAAGCCCGACTTGAGAGTATCGAGGCCCAACTCGGATAGTTGGATGCCTACTCAGGGATGACGGGGGAGTACTTACCTTCCTTCGGGAGGATCCTATGCCTCGCTCCGATTCTCGATTCTTCTTCCTAATCAGGAGGTCATTGACCAAACGTTCACAACGCGCTACAAGGGATAGAAGGCATCCGCTCTTCATATCTCGTTGCGTCGGATCGCAGTACAGAATGTTAGTTTGGCACAAGCAAGCCTTCATATTACCTGCCCCGTGGCCCAGTTGGTTAAGGCGTGTGACTGTTAATCACAAGATCGAGAGTTCGAGCCTCTCCGGGGCAGATCCCGTAGATACCATACCGTAACTTTTTTCCACCGCCTATACACTGATCACTCATTCAACGACGCCATTCACCGCGGTCGGGACCATAGGTTTGTAGAAGAACCGAGGGCCACATCTGGGCTGCACACCTTTTCTTGTCTCTCCCATCAGCGTTTGGACTCGGTGCGAAATCGAACGCATGTTCAAAGGCACTACTACAGGAAGGGCTCAGATCGTTTGAATATAGTATGTCCTGGTAGATACGAGTACAGATTATGATTGGCGTGTAACATAGTTCGTCCTGCATTATCACGTCTCGAGGGCGCGAACGATGCCAAACGCGGCCCCAGCCGCGAGACCACCGACGAGCAATGTTGTCACCGCGCCCCAGACGTAGTCCAGCTTGCTCTCTGTTGCGCCGGTGATGCGCGCCTTGACGGCGCCGAAGATGAGGAGGACGACGCCGGTGAAGACGGAGGAGTAGATAAGGGCGGTGTGCGCGCGGGGGATGAAGAAGTAGGGTATCAAGGGGATGAGGCCGCCAAGGAGGTAGCCCATGCCGATGGTGAAGGCGGAGATGTACATGCGTTTGTCGGGGACTTCCTCTGATGAGGAATCAGCAGGGGCATTAGGGTAGGAGATAACTGAGTGAAGACATACCCAATCCCTCGCCGAACTTCAACAAGAAGGCGGTGAGGCCAACATCCTTCGCCCACCGCAACGAGCCCTCCTCCTCGTCCCGCCCGCCCGATGAGCTACCCGCGCTGTCTTCCGCTTTCCGCAAGCTGCGCGCGACGAGGTTGCATGTTTGCGGGTCGACGCCGACCGGGCCGAGGATCTCAGTGACCTCGCGCTCCATCTCCTCCTCGCAGGAGCGGTCGACGCGAGCGGCGGTGTGGCGCTTGAGGTAGCGGTAATGGTCGCGCTCGGACTGCGATCCGAGAAAGCCGCCGATGCCCATGCTGATCGCGCCGGCGATGAGCTCGGCGACGCCGCCAAGGACGACGAGCTTGGACTCGCCCAGGGAGGAGAGACCGGCAGTGAGGGCGAAGGGGACGGTTAGCCCGTCAGATAAGCCGATGACCCTGTGGGAAGTATGTCAGAATAGATGCGGGAAGGGGAAGTAAGGTTGGAACGCACACATCGCGCACGATGTCGGGGTCGATGAGCGTGCGCTCGTCCGGGTCTTTGAGCTCCTTGCAGCAGGTACCGTCGGGGCGGACAGGCTTCGCGCATTTTGCGGCAATGGGGATTTCCTGGCTGCTCGCCGCGTCTGTGATCGGCCAGACGGGGGGCTTGCTTTGCGATATCGCGCCTCCCTGGCGCTTGAGCGGGACGGAGGGTGCAGGATCCTCCACGACAGTGGCCTCAGAGGGTGCGCTGACGTGCGAGGTGGATGGTGTTGGGCTGGGATTGGACATGTCGGCAAGTGAGGTGGTGGTAGAGCGTAGTGAGCAGAATATTCGGGATTTTTGGACTATTTCATGTCAGGGCTTGGAGAGGCACGTCATTGCATCACGTGGAGCGGCAGTTCGCGCCTACCCGCCGTGGGGCCGCGCAAGTCGTCGCCCGGCCGCTGGGTTGACGACGCGACGGCAGACACTGAAGGGAACTTTGCGAGGGCATGCCGGGCAACAGTTGGGGGAGATGAGGTGGTGGTGCGACGCAGGAGGTGCCGTCTGCTGATCTTATCAGATCATCCTCAGGGGCTTGCCCTGTTGGGATAACTCAAGCGCACGCGTGGTGGCGCGCCGTACGCCTGGTCCGACCGAACTTGTTCTCGACTTCCATCTACTCGCCTTCCGCATACTATACCCAGAACCTCTATCTGAGGCTCCTTTACCCCGACGCTCGCTTTTCTAGATTTTCAGGCGGCAGACGAGAAGAAAGACTCGCCTCCAATCGCTCGCTACCTCAGATCGTTTCTTCGAAGCGCTCCAGAATGTCCAGGTTATCCTGCTCCATGACGACTCCAGTCCTCCTCAACTCCTCCTCCTTCGCTATTCCCAGACGTCACAATGCCAAACAGCCTGCCCCTCCAGGCATCCTCAAATCCTCGACCGACCCTATGAGCAACATCAACGGGCCCCGCCTCACCACCTTCATTGACTGCTCACTCTCGCTTTCCGACCTCTCCGCGTACATCACCGCCAAAACGCTCTCCCCTGTCATCGCCCCGAAGCCCTTCAAGGCTGACGCCTCGCCATACGAAATGCTCGACACCCTCGGACAGGCCTCCCCGCTGGACGCGCTGGGGCGATCGCTCTCGGCGAATAGGCAGGAATCCGTAACGCAGAGCTCTAGGACTCCGAATCTGGCGGTTACATCGCCCTCTGTCACGTCGGGCAGACTGCGTGAGGCGGGGAGCGAGCTCATAGATCTGTCTTGGGCGGGGACGCCGGTCCTCCTCGATCACTCGGTGCTGCAGCGCGACGACTTCGGCGACGTGACTGTCGATAGCACCAATGCGTTTGTGACGCCGAGGACGCATCTGGAGAGCGAGCCTTCCCTGACGCAGCTGGCGGGCGACATCGTGTGCACGCATCTGGACGCTCGTCCTTGGACCGTCAATGCGACGCCGAACTTCGATGACAACGACAAGCACTGGAAGGTCGACGTGTCCGATATACTGTCTACTGCGCAGAGTCTCTCGCCTGTAAAATTTGCGTCTCCGCCAACCTCATCTCCTATGTCCCCGCCCATCCCGGACGTCCTATCACCTTCGGTCCCAGGTGTTATGTCTCCTCTCGCTGGTCGTATCATCGTATCCCCAATGTCCATCGACGGCGAAGACTACGTCAATATCGACGCGGCTACCTATGATGTGACTGCTACCGCTAGTCATGCCTTCGTCGTGATCGATTCAGTTGCTGCTTCCGGGCAACACCCTTCTGCGCTCCTTCCTGGCTCGGACTCGCTCGACCTCGATGCACCGTTCTTCGATCTCGACGCTATCCTCCCGAACTCTGCAGCCCTCGCGGCAGATGCTACCACCCCAGTCACGCCAGTCCGAAAGACCCCGCCCGTGCCGCCCACACCTGCAAACACGACGCTCGAGGACGTGGATGCAGGCCTTACTGAGCTCTCCCTCGAGCGCTGGGCTGCGAGGGATCATCTCGGTACTCTGGCAGAAGTCGATAGCACGTCTGCGTTTGGCTCCTTCAGGCCGAGTCGGTTTACGGTGCGCACGCTCAGAAATGAATCCGTGATTCGTGCTACTGGCGACTCGCCCGTTCGAGATGCGACGGTTCGAGGTGCTCCAGCGACTTCCTTCTCTGTGGTCCGACCTGCAACTCGCCAGCCTCCCCGCATGCTTCATCCGCGCGCGGCGATTCGCGTGCGCGTCGTCGGGCACGGGATCGAGGATGTGCTCGTTGCCCCCGGACAGCTTGCTGCGGCCATCGCGGCGCCGTGGGCCGGACTCGACCTCGGCAGCAACGTCCTTAACATCGACGACGCGACGGAGGCCCGAGACTACCTGCAGGTGGCAGTCGACATGCGCGAGTATGAGCGGGCGCTGGAGGAGACGCTGCAAGCGAGGAGGGAGCTGAAAAGGGTGAGCAAGATGGCGAGGTGGTGGAAGAGGCGGGCGGGGGAGAAGGGGTGGGGAGAGAAGAAGCGGGAGACTGCCGCGGTGCAAGAGGCCAACGCAGACCGGACGTCTGCCGCGGAGGGGCAAGGGGAGAGGTCCACGGAGCGGAAGATTGCCGCGGGACGGGTGTCCTGCGAGGAGCGGGAGCCTGCCGAGGAACGGGCAACTACCGAGGGACGGGGGTCATCCGTGGCGCTTGCGGACGCAGAGACAGGTTTTGACCACCTAGGCGAGAAGCGGACCTCGCTTTTTGGACTTCTGCAGGCGGCACAGGCAGATGGGAAGGCGAAGTCTGAAACGGCGGCCCACAAAAAATCGTTCAACAAGCCCCCCGGCGGCGCCCCGACGAACAGGTCAGCAAGCGCTCCTTCCGCTATTCCGGCGCGTACTTCCCGTCTGCCAACCCTTGCGGGGAGGCGGGCAAGCAATGCATCGATTGGTCGTCGCGGATCGGCGAGCTCGGTTGGCTCGGCGTCGTTTGTGCGACGGGGCTCGGTGGACTCGCTAGAGCAGACCGCCTCCTCACCTACGCGCTCTGGATCATCGTCGCCTTCCACCTTGGACCCCGTCACTCCCGTTCGCACGTCGTCTTTGCCTGGCACTGGGATTCAGAAGCCCGCTGCTATGTTCAAGTCCCCGGATAGCATCGTGGGTGGCTTAATCCTCTTGCGCTGTATGTGTGGCTAACAGTGTTACTAGATGGCTTTTATATCGGTCTAAGTAACCGACATATGCTCTCATGAACGCCTGCAAATACATACGGATGACGATGGGAATGCCATGGGGCGCCTGTATAGCACGGCTTGATTATACCACAGTATACCTATCAATCCAGCTACTTTGTCTAGGCAGCAACCCTAAACAGGGTGAATCCAGAGTTCCAAAGGTTAGGCGCCCTATCCCAAGCGTGGGAAACCTGACACCATTGTTCCGTCGGGGCTTGCCAGGGCTTGCCATTGTTCTCATGTTCCGCGCTCATCTCGTATTCTCGACCTTGCGCCATATAAGTACTCGGACCAAGCCATTGCCAGCTATCTCAATATCCATCCGGTCTATGACCAAGTCTCCGAAGAAAGCTCCCTATGGGTCCTGGAAGTCGCCTATCATTGCCGACCACGTCGTGAACAGTGTACGCATCGCCTTCAATCGTAGGTGTAGGCGCCTCTGACGGGGCGCTTATAGCCGGGGCGTAGTCCTGACGAGCTACTCGTCGATGCTGTAACGTCGGAGCGCTATCATCTCGTAGGACGGCCAGCGGAGGGCGGGCGATCGGCGCTGGTGCATACGGAGAGTGGCAAGGATGTGCTGCCTGGCAAGGAGTGGAATGTGAGGACGGGGGTGCATGAGTATGGTGGGGCGCCAGCGGTTGTGCGTGACGGGACCATCTACTTCTCGCATCGCAAGGATAATCGGGTCTATCGCTTTCGTGAGGGGGAGCAGGAGCCGGTCGCGGTGACGCCTGGTACGTGTGCATGTTCATGGTATTGGGGAAGTGAGACTGAGATCTCGTACTCACAGAGAAGCCCGAATATCGGTATGCGGACTTCGACGTGCATCCCAACTACCCACATCTGCTTGTGTCCATCCTGGAGGACCACACACACGATACACCCTCCACGGTGGTCAATACTCTCTGCATCATCGACACGAATACCAAGACCGTCTCCCCTCTCGTATCTGGCGCAGACTTCTACGCCCAGCCACGCTTCGCGGCCGATGGCGCGCATCTTCTTTGGCAACAGTGGTCGTTCCCCGACATGTCCTGGGAAGGCGCGGAGATCTATGTCGCCGATGTATCGGTCGCGGAGGGCAAGGCCGTCACTGTAGCTAACACGAAGCACGTCGCTGGCAAGCCGCGCAAGATCAGCGCGTATTACCCCTCCTGGATTTCGAACGACACTATCCTCTTCCTGTTGGACGTGTCCGGGTACTACAACCCGTGGACTTACAACCTCGCCACGCAGCAGGCGCGCCCCATCCTTCGCGAACCGATTCCAGAGGACTTTGGCGGCTCGGCGCCAGCTTGGCAACTGGGATGGACGTTCTACACTGTTCTCCCTGGCAGCAACCACGCCGTCTTCACCGCGATGCGCGACGGTCGCAGCGTGCTGTATCTCGTCGACCTGCAGTCTGGCGAGCACACCACACTCGACAGCCCCTACACCATCGTCGAGTTCATGCACTGGGTTCCCGCGGAGAAGAAGATCATATTCCAGGGTAGCGTGCCCAACGACAACTTCAAGACGGTGTGGCTATCTGTCACGCCAGCGTCTCCCCTCAGTAAATCGAAATACAGCTTCGAGGTGGTACCGGACAAGAGTGGCAAGCCGTCGGCGCTGGCGGGGCTATCGGCTGGCTATGTCTCCTTGCCGCAAGGACTGACGCTGGATGCGCCGAATGGCGACGCTGTGTACGCGATTTACTGGCCGCCCGCGAACCCAGAGTATGAAGGACTGGAGGGCGAGGCTCCGCCCTGTGTCGTGAGCCTGCACGGTGGGCCGACGAGCGCGGCTCAACCGGTCTGCAGCCTTGGGAGATTGTACTTCACCAGTCGTGGGTTTGCTTGGTAGGCCGTAACATGTCTTGAATGCGAACTACATGAGTTGACTCGTTCATAGGCTAGATGTGCAGTATGGAGGCAGCTCTGGGTACGGTCGCGCGTACCGGGAACGTCTCAATGGAACATGGGGCGTGACGGACAGGGAGGATACCCTTCACGTCGCAAGGGCTGTCGCAGCGAAAGGTCTAGCTGACCTCAAGCGCCTCGTTGTGCGTGGTGGCTCCAGTGGAGGGTAAGCGTTAATGCTCTGTCTGTCAGTACTCAGCTGATCACGCGCGTCAGATACGTCGTCCTATCCGCCATATCCTTCTCATCGGACCCTACCCTATTCGCGGCGGCGAACTCGTTGTATGGTATCTCGGATCTGACCGCGCTGGCCAGCGATACACACAAGTTCGAGAGCCGGTGAAGTTGCACTGCTGGTTGAGCTCTAGCGCCACACTAACACCTTCTTAGATACGTCGACGGGCTTCTGGCTAACATCAATGAGAACCCGGGGGTGTTCAAGGAGCGCTCGCCCGTGCAACACGCGGACAAGATCGTCACACCGCTGCTGGTACGTCTCTCGCCCTCGCCTTATTGTCTGCATTATCATCCAAATCTGTATGGGAACTCATGTTCTTGTCCAGCTCCTTCAGGGCGACGAGGACCGGGTAGTGCCCAAGTCGCAGTCCGACATGATCTACGAGAGCATCAAACGCAGGGGCGGCGTCGTTGAGTACCAAGTATACCCGGGTGAGGGCCATGGGTTCAGGAAAGCAGAGCATGTAAAGGACGCGACGGAAAGGGAGCTCGCCTTCTATCGGCGAATTCTGAACATCGGCGCTGATGACGCAGAGTAGAGCCAGTATGGAAATCGCGTGCCGGACGACGCGAGCAGGAATGCCCTATTGTCCTCGCCTTATTGTGACCGGTTGGTGACCGGCTTTCAGGAAGTGGACACTGGTGCGCGTTGCTTGCAGTCGTGAGTTGCGGGACTTGACAGGACCCCGTTTGCTGACACTTGCCTCTTCCCCTGCCTTGGCCGCTGCAAATTGCGCCCTGGCCCTGGCTCGCTGCTCAGCCACTCCATAAGGAACGTCACTCCCGCGCCCACTGAGGAATGCACATGAGGGCCCGGTACTTCCCACAGTCTAGTATGCGCGCGAGACGCCTTTTGTCAAGAACATTGATGCGCATGACATTATCAGCGACGGACTGCCGCCTGACATGCGATTGGGAAGGGCTGGGACAAGCCGGTCACAGTTCTGCGATCGAATGATACGTGCGCGTCTGGAGCCTGGGATGCATCGGGGTATGCATACATAAGTCGACGCGCGCGGGCAGGGGGAGGGGCAGATCCATGGTCTCCGCGATGCAGGCCCTCACCCTCCCGGGCAGCAATATTACTTACACGTATGTGGACAGCCGCGCCCCGCCTGGTGCGGGTGCGTACGACACGTTCGTCGTCGTGCACGGGCTGGGATTTAATGCGAGTGAGTATGCGTCTGCGCCGCCGGACTGCTTATCTCGTTGACGCACGCCAATCGATGCTGATCAACTGTCCGCAGACGTTTTCGAGCGCATGATGGCTATTGCGCCTACCCGCGGTATCCGCATCGTCGCAGTCAACCGGCGCAATTATGCGGGGTCGACACCGTACTCGGCCGAGGAGGCATCGGTTTTTGCACGGGGTTCGGCAGCGCAAAGAAGGGACCTCATGGTGGACGAGGGCGCGCGCCTGGCGGGCTTCATTGCCGCTCTCGCTCGTCGCATAGTACCTCAACGAGAGGGCAGTATGCAGGTCGTGGCCTGGAGCCTGGGAAATGCTTATCTGCTGGCCATACTAGCATCCGTAGGCCTTCTCGACCCGGACGACCGACAAACATTATGCAGACACCTCGGTTCCGCCACACTCTTTGGTAAGTCGACATCATCGCTGAAGGCCAATACAACTGACAGGGACTACAGACGCGCCCGTAGGTGCGCTTGGCTTCGAGAAGTACGCGGGCGAGACTCCCATAACGGACGACGTGCCGCCGGAGCAACGAGGCATACTCTTCATGCGCTGGGTGACGAGCTACTACACGCACGACCTGCGCTCTCCCGCTCGGCAAATGAGCCAGCTACGGAAGCTGCAGGCTGAGGCTGACCCGCACCGCCGTCCGTCGATCGAGAACATACCTCTAGAGGCCCTTGCTCGCATAGGCAGCTTCCCGGCATCGCAGGCGGCGGACGCACACGTATGCTCAGAGGGCTTCCAAGGCGTGCTCGCCGACCTGCGGCGCATAGCGCTGCACGACTCGCATACGGCCTATATGTGGGGTGGTCTCCGCGTCGCCTATCTCTGGGGAGAGTGCAGCAACTGGAATGTGGTTTGGGGCGCCTGGATGGTAGAGGCGGCGGCGAAGGAGGCAGGCGGAGGGTCGCCTGTGAAGTTCAAGATGTTGAAGGGCGCGAATCACTTCGTGAGTACCCTGCTACTTGCCCTTCGTCAACTCCTATTGACGCTTGTTGCAGGCGATTTGGGACGCGCCGGCGCAGACCATGGACTGCTTCCTGGACTGCATTCACTGAATATATTCGTGTGTTATAGCGTATCGCTTGCTGTCAATGTTCTGGCTTGGTTTTCATGTTACACGCATTGTAGTCTTATCCCACATTCCGAGGACCTGGAGTCCTACTATCTTCTCTCTTAGTGTATCATACTTTCACGTTGGGTAACCAGTCGTCTCCAATGATCTCAGTTTCTTAGCTGTCCCTCAACCCCAAGATAGCGCCCTCAAGATGCATCCGGACGACCAGGTATATTCCAGCGATAGCGAGCGACAGCAAGTACAAGTACATCTATGTTACAGAGTTCGTCGGATATGTACGCCGATCACTCAAGCCTTTTCACAACTCGAAAGACAGTTTTATATGCGAGTAATAACGATATCCACACCCAAGAAACCCGACAGCGCACGGCCCTTAAACCATACTGCGGACGAAGTCATTGTCTGTCTTTCTTGGGGAAGACGTCCAGGACTGTAAGAAAGAGGTCAGCGAATGTGGGAGGAAGGACGTGAGACGGACGCACATCAGACTCGTCACCGGAGTTGTCAACGTCGACTTGCGTCTGTACATGTATTGACATCTGGTTCTGCGACGCCTGCGATATTTGTGCCATCTGAAGTACCATTAGAGCCTGCACCTGCGACAAGCCATAAAAGTAACTCACATCGAAGGAAGAGATGACCCCGTCCGTTGCCGGCGCCTTGCCATAATGAGCAGGCGGCGGCATGCTCATGCGAAGCTCGCCGTTCGGGAAGAGAGTTTGCCGGGTGTTGAGGTACTTCGCCTCGCCCCACTTGGCCTGCTTCTTGAGATGCGAGCGCGTGTTGAGCGTGGCGAGCATGGTGTTCATGTACAGCTTCGATGACGGCATGAGGCCGATGAAGAAGTAGAACGTGCCCTCGGTTCGGAGGAAGAGCACGAGGTTGAGCAGCGCGCACACGGCGGTGAGGATGCCTCGGTTGACGGCGTAGATCATGAGGGTGTTCAAGAGGGTGTTGGTGCTATAGGGCAGCATGTTAGGGACAGTAGAAGGGGGAGCAGAGGAGAGTACTGACGACTTGAAACCGGTCTTGAACGAGTTGAAGGTGGCGCAGAGTGTGACGGTGATGGCGAGATCACAGCCGAATGCCAGCCCGGCTTGTACAGTTGTGATTGCCTACGATTGAGGTAAGTTTTGATAGCAGTCGTAGAACAGGAAGCACGCACCTTCGTCTCAGCCAATCGTGTGAGCGATGCGATCTCCGCGGTCCGCACGGTTTGCGCAAGACCAGCGCCCATGCTGCCTAATGCAAGCAAGCCCTGGTACGCGTCAGTAACAGCAGCGGGACGTTATTATCTAGAACTCACGATCAACACCGTGGCGTACCACGCCTCAGGTTTTAACAGGTATATCGTCGTCGCAAAGTAGAACTGCACGAGAAAGGCGGATAGATACTATAGCAGTGTCAGACGGGAGTCGCATGTTCGAATCAGCGAGACTCACTGCTGCGAGGAGTTGGGCCTGCCATGACGCAAACAGTGAGAATGATGATGGGAAGATAGGGCACTGGAAGCTTACGGAGTTCTGCCTGCGAAGCGGGGTCAGCAAAGTGTGGCGGAGGAAGTCGAGGACGGTGCGCACCATGGGCTGAAGTCGAACGCCTGCGCGTTGCCAAACTCCGACACGAAGTAATGGTATGTTGAGTCGAAATACCAAGCTATTTGCAAGGTTTCCAAGATACTTCTCCAGAATCAGTCTCGTATTCGGCTCTCAGCGCAAATTTTGCTCACACAAGGACCACGACCTGCAGCTATCGTCAGTGGGCGCGCTCATGCGAATGGAAGGGGCGAAACGTACCAAGGCCTGTACCCAGCGAGGATCATTACGATGCCTGAGAAGTACGGTGAGCCGGCCGGCGAAAGACAATAAGAAAATAAGTGCGCACCATCTGCTATATAGGAAGGCCTGCAGAAGACCAACTCCATAGAGTATGGCCATGATGAACAGGAACACGAGCCACATCCCGTACGTCGAGTCCAGCGGGGAGGCCATGGCGGCGACTAGCGGCGGTCGTTGTCTACGAGGGCGGGAGGGGACGACAGAGCCACATCACGATTAGCCGGGTTGGAGTTTATGAAGATCCAGCATTCAGTTGAAGTTGAGGTCTATACGGGGCAAAGTACATGGGGAGTGTCGAATTAGGCAGTGTGTCCGGGATGATATGCACGCTGGGTACCGTATGAAGTGCGGCGCGCACCGGGGTGCAAATGGCGAGATCGCTTCGACCAGTCTACAGATGCAGGGAATCCAGGCTTCCGCGATGTCATGCGCTGATTGCGGGCGCGATGGACGTGTGAAGGCTTCCGCTTTCGGATGCGATTTCCTTTTACGATTGTTGTTGTTGTTCACTTGTCTCCCCGTGATAGCTCGCCGCGGTGGCGCAGTCAAGGGAAGGCCGGCAAATACAACGCGGTGTACATCCATATAGTCCCGCAGAGGGACGCGAATGGTCTCGCAACGTAAACGCCGAGTTCGAGAAAATTTCCTGTAGAAAGCGGCGGGGGTAGCAATGTCAGCGCCGAGTGCCTCGAGAGCGCCCCTCGGCAAATCCAGATAACGAGTGTCTATTGCGCTGACTTTGCCATCGCAGCGTCAACAGAGGCGTCCCGACATGGTGGCAAGTGCATAAATGAATATTTGATTCCGCGGAGACAGCCGTGATGTCGGGAGCAAATCCGATCTTCACACGTCCCCGATCGGTAAAAGGCTTTGCTTCCGTCCGTGCCGGTGGCGCGGCGACCAGATCGTCCCTCCTCCCGCATGTCGAGTGCGGCTTGTGACGCTGCCGCCTTATCGCTCGCCCAGACTCGTCCCCCATGACTCACTTCTTGCGCAATCACTGTATAGATCCCCTCAATTTGCCGAGCTCATTGAAGGGTAATAATCCATGCCTGGTCTTTTACCTCACTCACGTCAGACGGAGACGGAGTTCTGGTGGCTGGGACGTATGATCTTTAGCAGAGGACGTATACCCCTACTTCTCTGACCGTCTAGCTTATGTCTAGTGGCTTGATAGGCCTGGGCGGCGGCACCGATGGATATCTGACGGTGTTGCGGAATTTACGCCACCATTTTATTCGCACGCACGCCACCCACAAGGTGCCCTAAAAATCAAGGTCAAGCGGCCGACATGTAGTGACCGCACGCTTCTCCGACCTGCGAAGAGACGACAAGCATCATGAAGTCCGCGCATCATAAAGCCTGCGAAGGACATCATGAAGAGGTCGGGGGACATCACCTAGAGCACGCTGGGCGCCCACAACGAGGGCTTCTATCTCCAGGTCTATGTTTGTGACCTAGGTAAGCTAGAGTAGCTGCAATAGCTACCTTCTGACCGGCTACATTGGTTGCCTATCTGCCAGCTATCAGCAGACCGACCTTCTAGCTTCTGCAATAACATAGTCGCTAAGGTATCAGGCGCGGCACGCTGGTCACTTCTCGTAGACTCCGACTGTGAATTCGAGCTCGCCCCTCGCTCCTTATGGGACGGTAAAGTAGCCGCGATCTCACTGAGGCAGAGGGCTCTCCACGCCGCTCACATCGGGCGGTCTTCTGCACGTTCCGTCGTCTTGAGTCGTACCTGCTCAAGCGACTTACTGAAGACCCATCGTCCTGATCTGCGAACGATTCCTATCCCCATGTCGACCGCGTCCACACCAAGATAGCGTGTCAAAATCGCGCTTCAAAGGCGCATGCAATTCTCAAGATACAGTACGTGGTGGGGATGGAAGGAATGCTACAGGAGGCTGGAGATGGGAGGCGAATGGGGAAAGGTCTTGTTGCTTAATGTAAATATCCAAAGTTCTGAGGCGACCAGCTTGTATCGCGATGCGGGTAAGGGTCGCGCATATGCGACGGGAGGGTATTAGAAGTCGAAGGGATAAGTAGACGGCCAAGGGTGCAGGAGAGGACCGTCGAAAGGCCAGTAGGCCGTCGAAGGGCGCGTAGGCCGATATGTACACGGGTGTCAAGCGACAAGCGCAGGTAAGGTTTCTACAAGCGAATGAAATGGGGTGGGAACGAACGAAGGGCATTCCCAGCGATGAGAACGAATGCGTTCCCAGCGATGCCGAGATGGGAATCCAAGAAATCACCCGCCATCTACACGCTGTCTGCGTCCAAGCCCTTCTTGAACATCTGCGCAGTCGTTAGTACATTGTACCCATGCTTCTCATCGCACCGTCCTCCGTTCGCACAGAAAATGACACTCACATCCGAATCGTCCCTCGAGAACTCGACCTGCCGGTGGATGTGCACCGGGAGCTCGTAGTCCTGGCGCATCCCGCCCATGCCGCCCATCCCTCCCAAGCTCATCCCGCCTCCCATGCTCACGGGCATCGGCATCGTCGCCTGGTCGCTGCTGTTCCCGCCCGACGCGCCCGAGAAGCCGGACGTCTTGGTGCGGATGTGCTGCCGCGTGTTGAGCGTGGCGAGCATGGTGTTCATGTACAGCTTCGACGAAGGCATGAGCCCGATGAAGAAGTAGAACGTGCCGGGGAGCGCGAGGAAGAGGACGAGGTTGAGGAGTGCGCAGAGGGAGGTGAGCACGCCGCGGTTGACGGCGTACATGATGAGGTTGTTGAGGACGGCGTTGGTGCTGGGAAAGGAGGGTTAGTAAGGAAGTAAGAGCGAGGAGAAGGGCAAAGGATACGCACGATTGCATGCCAGACTTGAAGCTCTGGAAGGTGAAGCAGAGCGCGATGGTGATGGCGAGGTCGGTCGCGAGCGCCGTCGCTGCTTGCACCGTGGTGATGTCGCGCGTCTCGCCGAGTCGTGTCAATGAAGACAGCTTGGCGGTGGCAACAGTCTGGGCAATGCCAGCAGCTGCAAAGAAAGTCAGTAAAAGCCCGGCGCGCGAAAGGAAAAGCAACTCACAAATGCTAGCCAATGCCAACATCATAATCACGACAGCTGCCCATCTCCTGCCCTTGTCGACTGCGAGAGAAAAGAGGTCAGCGATCATATGAGGCGAGGGAGATGCGCGAACTTACGGCGCCACACTGTGCCCGCGAAGTAAGCCTGTACGACGAAGGCGGACAGATAGGCAGCCAGTAGCTGGGCGGAGTTCTCCCTACAACAAAGTCAGCCAACGCGGCCACAAAGTCTGACAGGTGGTGAACGTACCAAGGGCTATACGTGAATGCCTGGAAGTTCCCGAATTGCTCCACAAAGTAGTAGTACGTCCCGTCGAAGTACCAAGATATTTGCAGCGTCTCCAGGACGAGAAGGATGATGACCAGGCTCTTGACGAAGGGATGGTCATTTGAGTACCTGAGGCGTGGATCAGTCCAGGTGCTTGTCGATATACAATGCGGGACTCACCAGTGGAAGTAGAGCCACGACTGCAAGAGACCGATCCCATAAAGGATCGACATGATAAACATGGACACCAGCCAAAGGCCGTATGTGCTATCGAGCGGGCTAGACATCGCGAAGTATGGGAGGGGGGAGGCGCAGGAGGCGGTGCGACGTAGCGAGGGCGAGTTGGGGCGAAGGGCCTACCTTTCCCCGAGCCCCGCGGGCGTCCTTATAGCTTCGTGAAGTATGCGTGCATGGGAAGGAAGTACAAACGTATCGCTCGAAGAGGCTACCGTCGTTCAGCATGCCAGCATGCGCACAACAACACTCTCCCCATTAGGGTCGCACTACCTGCCTCTTTAGGCAGGGCATACGCGGGCGCGCGCGCCGGGGTCCCGTGGCGCGACATATCGCGGAAAAACGCGACATGCGGGGCTGAGGACAGGAATGGGCACAAGCGGATTACCGGATTTGGGGGTACAACGGTACGTCCCGACTATGCAGCGGCGGGACCGAGGTGGTGCTTGGTTCTGGAAGTTCGAAGGTGGAACTTTGTAAACTTTGTCAGGAGCGTCGGTAGGTTCAGGGAAGGTGGATACGGTGCTCGCGTATCAGCGATCCTCTCGACGAGAGTCATAAGACACGCAGGGGAATACAGTAGCGGGCCATGTCGGGGAGCTTGAGAGATATCGAAGAGTCATCGAGCGCATGGGCAGTTCTCAGCAACAATTCCACTTCCACAAGCAAAGTCTTCGCTGGAGACAGGAAGGTAGGAAGTATGGCTTATTGCACACCAAGGAAGGCCAAAGGGGAGGCTGCTTCCCGAGTGACCTCAGCGGCTGAGTGGAGGAACAGTTCAAGTTGAATGAAACGTGCGCCACGCGCTAGAAGCGGGCGCAGCGCATGGGTCGCACCTGGCTCCCACGCGCGATCGGTCGCGTGCCCTGCATGCGCATCCCCGAATGTTCGTCCGGAACCATCAACCTGGCGCGCTCCGTCTCAAGTGGGTGCCCCTTTGTGCACGAATATGGACAACTGTATGCGAGGGCGGTGCTTCCCGGTTGAGAACAATAGCCACTGCGCTGTTTACGGGCCCTTGGGGTGCAAATCTTTGATGTTACTGCCGAGTCCGGGCCCGCGGCGGACTATAAAGGCAGACGCGAAGACCATCATGCCCCATCCCAAGTACCCACGCTAGACGCCCACATACCCGACTCCCCTTTTTCTTCCCCCCAACTCTCCATCTGCTCAGCCATGCAGTCTGTCACCATCCCCACCAAGGGTATCACGTTCTCCTACCTCGACAGCGGCGTCCCTGCAGACGCAGCCACCGCCGAGACATTCATCGTTATCCACGGTCACAGCTTCAATGCCAGTGCGTATATCTCCCTTCTCGCTCTAGCATGGCTCCTGACTGCGCGATTGGCAGATGTATGGCAGAATGTCATGGCGCAGGCGCCCTCGCACGGGGCCCGCATCATCGCTATCAACCGGCGCAACTACCCTGGCTCGACGGAGTACGATCGCGCTGAGGCGGAGACCTTCGCCAACGGCTCGCTGATTGACCGTGTTGCCCTCATGAAGGAGGAAGGCGCTATCCTCGACTTGATGGTCGACGCCCTTGTGAGCCAGCTTGGCCTGCGCTCTGTCAACGTAGTCGGCTGGTAAGTGCCTTCCCACCTCACATAGCCCGTCCCACTGATCGCTATCGCAGGTCCATGGGCAACGCATTCCTGATGTCCATGATCGCCGCCATCGTTTCCCTCCCTGCTTCCACTGCCCAGCGTTTGCAGGCCGCCGTCAAGACCTTCGTCATGTGGGGTACGTAGCCTCGCCGATCCCCCTTGATCGTCTTTCCTAACCACCGCTCAGATGCCCCCATCACCGCCCTCGGCTTCGAGGGCTACGAGTACAACACGCCGCTTTACGACGAATCCATCCCGCCCGAAGCGCGCGGCTTCGCCTTCGTCAAGTGGGTCTCCAGCTACTTCGTGCACGACCTCGACACCCCCGCGCGCGACCTCGCGCAGCTCAAGGTTTTCGACGCGGACCTCACCCGCCCGCCGACCATCGAGAAGATGGGCGAGAAGATCATGGCGGTCGCGAGCATGCAAGAGAGCCTCGTCGCGGACGTGCCGATCGTGAGCGACGCGTTCCAGCCCGTGCTCGCGGAGATCCGCCGCGCGGCGCTGTTCTCGCCGGCCGTCGCGGCGTGCTGGCCGCAGTCGCGCGTCGTGTACCTGTGGAACTCGAGCAGCTGCTGGAATGTGGTGTGGGCGTCGTGGACGGTCGAGAAGGAGGCGAAGGCCGCAGGCGGCGTCGGCATGCCGTTGAAGTTCAAGATCCTTGAGGGCGGTAACCATATGGTGAGCTTCATTGCTTCCAATGCCTTTCCCCATAGCTGACGTCGCTTCAGTCGCACTGGGACCTCCCCGAAAAGACCATGGCCACCTTCGTCGAAAGCGTCAAGGCGTAAAAAGCCTTGGCAGTCAAGGCTTAGCCCTTGTCTTAACCCGCTCGAAGTGAAGGGTACCTTGGAGCACCGCACAATATCTTATGTATCATACTATATCTCTCCTCTTTCTTCGGCCTATATCTCTCCTCTCTTCGCGTCCTTTTCAGACTCACTGGATCACTGTATCGCTACCTTCCCCGCGTCTTATGCGACGAGATACCCGGCTATCGTAGAGCTTCATTTTAATGGATCTATTCTTCGATTTCTCTGCTTGCACCATGCCCTGAGCTCGCCCTATTCTGCTGTTCACCGAGGTCAAGTTCATTCAGCAATTTCTGGATCGTAAGCCCTAGCGAGGTTCGCGCGCTCCTCATCGTCCGGATGGATGTCGCATATGACCTTCTTCGGGTGGCTATAAGAGGAACATTAGCAAACCTTTTTTTCTCGAATGTACACAGAGTAGGTGCGTTCGCGAGGGAAGGGCGGTCAAGAACAAGCCGTACATAACGTGGAACAGCGAATGCAAAAGCGCCAACACTGACCTCGACAGCCCACTCGTGTACTCCGCCGTCGCCGGGTCAATCGTGATCTCATTGCCCTCCTCATCCCTTCCCTTCCCGATGGTGAGGACGTGGAGCATGCTCGCGATGGCAATGAAGAGCGTCCCCTCGGCCATGTACCGGCCTGGGCATACACTGTAGGTATGTTAGCGTACTGTAAACGATGTACGTCCCGAACGAACGCAATGGTAAAGCAGAAAAGAGGAGGCTCTATCTACGACACTGGAAACCCCCACTCACCGCCTCCCAAACCCAAAATGCCCATCCGGCAGCGGCTCGCCCAATCCTCCTTCGTCCTTCGAGAGGTACCGATCCGGATTGAAGCGCCAGTGGTCGCTGCACACGTTCTCGTCGTGCATCATGGCGTACGCATTGTAGATCACGACGGAGCCCTTCGGAATGAGCATGCCCTCGTAGATGTCGTCCTCGGTCACCTTGTGCGGACCTAGCAGACGCGTGAGCGAGGCCTTAAGGTCGCTGGCAACCAATAGAGTATACTTACCGATGGGAATGACAGGCCAGAACCTAATGAGTAGTGCAGTTCACGCGTGAGCTCATTCGCCTGTACACACAGTACCGCCATAATCGCACCTGAACGTCTCCTGTATAATCCTATCGATATACGGCAGACGCGGCCTGTCAGCAAAGTCTGGCATCCTGTCGGGCCCGACGACGGCGTTGAGCTCCGCCTTCGCCTCCGCCTGCACCTCCGGGTGGTTTACGATGGCGAAGATGAAAATTATGAGACTGTCGAGGGTCTAGCGAGAAGGTCCACGGTTAGCGTATCGAAGCAGGTGTATACTTAGCTATACACCAAGGCGCAGGGCCGGATAGAAAAGACGTACCGTCTCCTGCGCAGCTGTATACACCGCTCCAGAAATTCCTTGAATACCCCTCTCGGTCAGCAGCTTCGGCTCCCCATTCTGCGCGCGGCTTTCCTCCTCTTCGAGAACGGCACGGATGAAGGAAGGTTTCGCGGTACCGGCTTTCTGGAGGACATCGTCAGTAACTGAAGGTGATGCTAGACTGAGGAAATAACATCATCGCAGTGAAGGCTCTCACCATCTCTTCCAGAACGCTGTTATATGGAACTGTGTTCATCAACACCTTCGCATGCTTGTACTTTGCGATGATCGCGGTGGAGCCGGTGGGGTCGCACCAGGTTGGGAGATGGATAACTGTAGGTGGAGCTCAGCAAAGGCGAATCGATTGATATGGTGAGGCTAGTCGGACAGCAAACTCCTTGACGTTCAGACACGCACGCCAAGGGAAAATATCGACGCCCGTCGCTCCTGGGGCACCGCCTTCCGTTGCCGCTTTCGTGATGTCGTCGGTCAGCTTGACATATAGGTCGTCCGCGGACTTGATTTCATAGCCCGTCAAGATGCGAATGGTGATAGCGACGGTAAACCTGGAATTGAGACGCAGGTCAGACGCTTTTCAACGTGATAAAGAGGCGAAAGATTATCGGCCAAGATGCGAAAGAGATACACTTCAAAGAGCAACCTGGACTCACGTGCGAAAGAGCTTATGCCAGTCCTGCGGACTATCCACAAGCTTGCGAACCAGCTTCCGCGCCTCCAAAAGCTGCATGTCTTCGTAGTTGCGACTTTCCGATTTGGAGAAGTGGTTTTGGAATATGCGGCGGTGAATGGGAAACCGCGGGTCGTTCGAGCGCATGAAGGGTAAATTGTCGTGCCAGCCCATTCTGAAAGCGCGTTAGTATCTTCTGGATTGTCATGCTGGGCGGTATGCGCGCAGAGCTTGCGGTTCGCTCACAGTTCGAAGTACGTAAACGGTGGGCGGTCGCTGTAGATCATCCCGCGCTTGTCGAGGAGGTCGACGACCGCCTTGACGCTGTTCAATATAATGATGGACTGCCCAAGCATGTTCAGATGCAGCACATCGGAGTCTTGCAGTACGGTGAACATCAGAGGCGTACTCCAGGCATAGGGAACGGGTGTGCTGACCATACTCCTTGCCCCATTTCTCGAAAGCACGTTCAGCGTTGTACTGGGGCATAACTCCCAGATGGCCGACAAGAGGATATGCAGGAGGGCCTGGAGGCAAACGGTAGCCTCGTGAGTTGGACTGCCGCAGCCATCGCAAGAGTAGATAGAGAGATAGGCCAGCTAGAAGGGCTTGCAAGGCGGTTGATAACATCCTTGCGCTTGCTTGCTGAAGGTCGTTTGCTGAGAAGCAAACGCGGGAGAATCTCGCGTACACCGAGATTCAAGCAGACCAATGACTAGCCTCGCCTATGTGTCTGCGTGCGCCGCGTGACACTCCAGAGAGATGTAACAGACTGTATTGAGTGTTGCGAGATGTGAGCAACCAGGGCGCTGGAATACGGCGCTGAGGCATTTTAGTACGCCAAGCGCCGTTTGTAGCGGAATGGGTGGGCGGCAGAGAAGATCCGAATGGCACGACATGAGCGCAGAAGTCTGTCAATGTATTCAGAGAAGGGCGACATGAAAGATGGACCCAGAAGGCCTGTCGACCGAATATTTTGTTCGGTACGTATAGCCCGGTCCGAGATAACCGGGTCGTACCCCGCATCGTCATACCATGGCTTCCCGCTGGCGTCCATGTCGTGCGCTCACATCCGTCTCTCGTCTGGCTCGAAGTCCAAGGAGAGGCTACGCGACGGCAAGGGACATCGTCAGAATTGTTGAGGTCGGGCCTCGAGATGGTCTGCAGAACGAGAAGGGGACGATTCCCGCGGATGTGAAGGTCTGTACTTGCAGGTCGTCTGAGTAATCTGGAGTGCTAAACCAGGACAAGGTCCAACTCATCGACCGCCTTGGACGAGCAGGGATGAGGATAATTGAGTCTGGAAGCTTCGTGAGCCCAAAGTGGGTCCCACAGGTGCGTTCAAGTGCTTGCATACTTCCACTACATGAACTCACCGACAGTCCACCCAACAACCTGCCTATCCCCCTTACTTTCCTATCTCAACTTCATGCGTATCAGTAGATGGCCTCCTCCGCCGAAGTCCTGAATTACATCGAGCGCCTCCCGGGCGTCCGCTACCCTGTTCTCATCCCCAACCAGAAAGGCCTCGAGACCCTCGTCCAGCTCATGGCGAAGAACGAACAACAAGACATGCTCATAACGGACGTCAAGGACGACTCCCCACACCCCGTGCCGACAGACGAGATCGCCGTTTTCACCGCCGCCACGGACGCCTTCAACAAGGCGAATACCAATGCTACGGTTGCTGAGTCGCTGGACCGTCTAGCGCCCGTGATACGACACGCGCTCGACCTCGGCCTGCGCGTGCGCGGATACGTGAGCGTGGTGATTGCTTGTCCGTATAGCGGGCGGGTGGACGCGCGCCAGGTGCGCGACGTCGCGAAAGCGCTGGTGGACATGGGGTGCTATGAGATCAGCTTGGGCGACACGGTCGGTCAGGGAACGCCCTGGCAAGTCACTTCCATGATTGAAGAGGTGTCGAAGGACGTGAACGTCGACAAGCTGGCGGTATGTGTAGTCTCTGTTACTTTCGTGAGCCGCTAGCTGACGTACAATCCGCCGTTAGGGACATGTATGTTGTCAAAGCGCGGCTTCGCAGAGGCAACTCTGACCTCCCGATAGTTCCATGACACCTTCGGCATGGCAATTGCCAATGTCTTCGCAGCATTATCTGCAGGCGTGCGCACCATCGACTCGTCCATAGGCGGACTCGGCGGATGCCCGTATTCCCCAGGTGCGACGGGGAACGTTGCCACGGAGGACGTCGTCTACGCCCTCAAGTCTTCCCCATACAGCATTGATGGTGCGTAGTCCTGGGGTTTCACGCATCATCGTCCTCTTCCATGTCGTGCTGCATGTTGCTCATATTGTATCCCCTCTGCGTCCGCGCATCGCGGAATTCATCGCTGCGCCACGCTGACTCCGTATCCAGGCAATCCCGACCTAGACGCCCTCGTTGACATCGGGTACTGGATCAGCGCACAGCTCGGGCGCGAGAACGCAAGCCGGGTAGGCAACGCCATTCGGTCGAGGAGATTAAGGGACAACATGAAGAAGGAGAGGGCCAAACTATAGTTCAACGTTCAACCTGTAATCATGCAGTCAACATCGTGATTGGGATATAAGAAGATCTGATACGCAGGCCATCGAGATTGTGTGTCGCCATCCGCGCGAGGAGCTGGCTTGTGAGGTGGTAAGAGCTGAGTTGCAAGGTCACGGTGGTATCAACGAAGAAAAGAATATTGCTGAAAAGGAAAGTTGAGAAAAAGACCGCTCATCTTAATCAGATCTGCCCCGGAGAGGCTCGAACTCTCGATCTTGTGATTGGGTACAATTGTTGTAACAGTCACACGCCTTAACCATCTGGGCCACGGGGCAGGTGCTTGGGCACTTGCAATGCCTCACCACAACGCGTCGCTTGGCACAAAGCTCGGCCGCTCCCAGTGTTTTGCAACTCGTCAAGCTTGACTTCATCAACCGTTGACTCAAACATACCGCTCCAGTATTCGACACGAATATGCACCTATCGTCAAATGAGCTTCGACCCCGAGAGCATCCCCAACCTTTCTGCGAGAGCGTCCCGACGTCCCGTCCGGACCGCCTGTATTGCTTCTCGTGATGACACTTGCCCTCTTCTCTCCTTCACCATCCCTTATAATACGCTCGAAGCACTCCCGTGATGCAGCGAAGTACGGTATGCAGTCACTGAGAATACCGCCGTGTGCTTTATAAAGCGTCAACGCTGTCCTTCGACGTCGAGGACGACATTTGTGCCCAGGAGTCATGCTGTTGCTCAGCCTCGCCTTTACTACCCTCTGGTCGCTCGTACTTCCCGTATTGGGGGAGACATGTACGCTGTCACCGCTTGGGGAAGGCTACGACGACACTGAGCAGGTTGGTACACGTATCGACTTTTTCGCACTCCCTACTGACCGCCTCGTTAGATCGAGTCCGCGGTAGCCAGTTGCGGACAAAATGGCAATATAGTCTTCGAAGAGGGGGTGTTCAATGTCACTAGGTCAACTAATATCTTAGCTGGCGCTAACCGGAGGATCGCTGATGTCGCCATCTCGAAAGGAAGATGATGTGGGATCTACAATCCACTTCAATTGACCTTCGCGGCTGGCTCAGCGTACGTCCAGCGCTACCCTCGCTTTCGAGCACATTGACCAGGACGATCCTCAGTTCACCCCCGATGTGGACTACTGGCTCAACGCGTCTAACACGTATCGCGTCGTCTTCATTCAGGTAATCCTAGCCTTGCCCATGTAGTCATTCCCAGTCGCTGACCTGCAGCCAGTCCCAGGCCTCATGGTTCGTCCTCACCGGCTCTAACTTCACTGTCGATGCGCACGGCACCGGCGGCATCCTCGGAAACGGCCAGACGTGGTGGTCCTACTTCGCCAATCGTACCCGTGAGGTGACTTCTGTGCTTCTTATCTCACCCGCTTCCCTTCTGACTTACATGTCCTTGGCGTAGGATGGCGATGGACGCCCCATCTCGTTCACACTCTGGCAGGCCAACAATGCCACCATCCGCGACTTTACCGTTGACAGTCCGCCTTTTTGGTGCAACACAGTCGCCGAATCCGAGAACGTTCTGTACGACGGCATGAAGTGTAACGCGACAAACCAGGATCCTGACTGGGCAGGCCAAAAGTAAGGTCATCGTTCAGCTCACGCTCGCGTCTGTTGACGAATCATTCAAATACCAGCATCGTGCCCAACACGGACGGTAAGTCGATTCTATCCTATGCGTGCGCCGGGCATCCTGACCTTTCGAAGGTATCAATACCTTCCGCGCCGACAAAGTAACGCTGCGTAACTGGGACGTGACTTGCGGCGACGACTGTCTCGCGATTAAGGGCAACTCGACGAACATATTCGCCGAGAACGTGATGTGTCGAGGAGGGAATGGTATTGCATTCGGCTCTCTTGGCCAATATGCGAATTTGGTGCGCATGGAGAAGATGCGCAAGAAGGGCGTCAGACTGATTTCATGGACAGACGGACAACGTGGAGAACGTCGTTCTGGATGGGATTACGGTGGGTGGCCAACGCGACGAACTTGGAGAGCACTGGATTAACTCAAGTGGCCCCCGTAGTTTGAGCGCCTCAACGCCGAAGTGCAGCCAAATATGAAGAATGGTGTACGCCAATCGTGGCAGCACCAAGCGACCGAGTCTCAACTTTCATAGGTATACTTCAAGTCATGGACGGGAACCAAGAGTGGCGACCCTCCGACGGAAGGCGGAGGCGGCACTGGTAAGTCCTCCTTCGTTTGCGGGTTCTCGCCCACTCAATGGGGACACGCAGGCAATGTCACCGGGGTTGTCGCACGAAATGTCGTACTCGACCAAAATGACCTCCCTATTCACGTCTATCAAACCAACGGAGGTCACTCGTAAGCGAGTGCCTTCTTCCTCGACGAAGCATTGATATATTGCGCTTAGCGGGGACGACCCGTCAACCCTCATGTTCAGCAACCTGACCTTCCAGAACTGGACCGGCACGGCGACGGGCAGGACATGTCAGTCACGGGGGCTTCTTAATCTTGCTGCCGTCGAACGCTTACCTTCGTCGTAGTGGTCAACCTGGACTGCAGCCCTGCCGTGGGCTGCGCGAACATCACCTTCGAGAACTTCGATGTTGCTTCTCAGGGCGACCCGGAGTACCTCTGTGCCAACGTCGACGAGCTAGAGGGCCTGCCAGGTCAGTGCTCAGACCTTTCAGCAGGCTTCCATCGCGCGTCTCCCGCGCGACGAACATAATAAGCTTACCTTCCTTCGCAGCAGAATGCAGTTCTGAATAGGTCAGCTTGCGTGGCAGGCTTACGCACCCGTACCATGATCTGTACCAGCCTCACTTCCACTGAATGCATGCAACGAGGACGAGGTGAAGGTTATATACGGAGACAATTAGAGTGTGAGAAGGTGGACCTGCCGGTAACATGCAGCGCCGTCTCGGTGGCTTCTTGCCCCCGCCATTGTTGACTAATGGGGTAATCGGCCGACAGAGTCTATTGACAACGAATCAGCCTGCTTCCCCGCCGAAGCAGCAACCCATTCATCCCATCGTGTCGACAATGTGCGCGACTCGTGGGCGGCCGCCGACTGCTTGGACCCGCTGAACTGTGCATTTAAGTCCGATGGCTGAGCGTTTCCTTAGAGCAAACCGCCCTTCCTCTCTCTTCCCCGAACCGTCTGTCCCACTCGACTGCCCACTCTCTCCATCTTTCTACCACTGCACAGGATGGCCGGGTTCATGTATGGGCATGGGTGGCCTGCTAACGGCGGTAATCCCTACCATTACCCGTCGCCTGCGGCTCATCCACCATATCACGCTCGACGCCACCGCCGCTCGCTCTCTCTTATGCATCTTCCCGCTGAGCTGTTGAACATCATACTGCTCAATGCGCACCCCATGGCCATTCTTGCCGTTCGAAAGGTAAGTGCGGTGTCTGCATGCAGCGCCTATCTCATCTCATTGACATTCATATTCAGACCTGCCGCACCCTCTATCGCGTATCCAAGGATGTGGCCTTGTGGAAAGACATCCTTAGGAGGCTTTGCTTCGCGAACGACATCAGCTTCTGCTCGTATCCTGTCGATTGCATGTCCCTCGCCCAACTCGAAGGCGCTGCCACGGCCATGAGCCGTATCTTACGAGTGGCGGAACGTAAGTCTAAGGATGCAAGCGATACAGACACATTCCTGCGACCCCGCGGCGTTCAGAAACTGGCACTCTGCCCTCGCAAGGGCGTGTTTCACAAGATTGCCCTAGCCGCTGGCGGTCGCTACTTGTTCGGAGCTACCGAGGACACTGTCTATCTCTACGACCTTTGCGACCTCCAGCGTCTGCGCTACCGCTCCACGCCTCGTTGCGTCGCCTCTTACCGATTACCCGGCGGCAAGGGGAGGATTCAGACGGTCAAGACGTGGCCCACACCTGATAATCAAGGCATCGAGGTCATGGTCGAGAACGAGACGTGAGTAAGATATTCCACGCCGGATGCTGTTGACCAGACCTTGCAGCTACGTGCCCGAGGATCATGTTGTTATCGTTGTGCTTGCGATCAACCCTCTGAGCAGAAATCCATCCTTCCGCATGGTGGGACGGTACGAAGAGGATAGCAGTCGCTTCCATTCGCGAGTAAACGACTTCATATGGATCTCCGACGACATACCCAACGAGAAAGCGATTGTCCTCTGGAATTTCCGCAACGGCAGGTTCACACGGTGGCACTTGGGGCGCATACTAGATACCGTACGTCGAAGCTTTCTCTTATCCATACAGTTTCTGACTTTTCTCATAGGTGGTGGCCTCGCGTGATACAGTCGTATCTTTCTCTGACGATCACCTGAAGTCATACGCAGATTTCTTGCAGCTGCGCCGCAATCCTGCGGACGACAGAGGACCCATTCCGGGATATCAGTGCATGCTCAGACAGACCGCTGGAAAGATCTCCAGCGACGGCGTCGACCGGGTCTGGTCATACGGCTACTACGGCACCGGCAGGCAAGGACCGGCGTTCTTCTCTTTCGCGACCCAAGACGATCTGCTTTACACTCACCGAGTTTTGGACGCTGGCACGGCCACCGGATCTGACAGAAACCACTGGCCATCAAAGCAGCTCTATCGCTCTGATATCAGCGGCTACTGGATGAAAGCCCCACTTAAGGCGTCTGAACAGGACGGGCTCCTTGCCTTCTTCTGGGAGTGGAAACGCAGCGGTTCATACCGTTTCGAGCTCGAGAATAAGCCAGAGAACTGGGACGGTGCCTGCTGGTTCTACGTTATCTCCCGCCATTTAGATGAACAGGGATACTCTGTTGCATACAACGTCGGACTGCACCAATGCGGTCGCGGTGAGGATGGCATCTTCGAGTTCGACCCAATTTCGGGCAGATTTTGCTTGTATGACCAAGATCATCAGCACCTCATTGTTAAAGACTTCATCAATACTCCTGGACGGCGCGCCTGTAAGTTGTGACATTTTCGTCAATACCTAAAGCTGACCATGCGCCAGAGTCCGTAGGGTGAGGTCGGTGGATTTTGCGACGGGCGCACAAGATCTGCCCGTGATCAGATGCTGCATCGAGACCTTATGGCTTGCGAATGTGCCATGCCTTCATGATATGATTATGACCATATGAAATTATGTGCTTTTTTCCCTTGACCCTTATGATTGTGGTCGAACTTGTCAAGTTGAACTGTCAACGGCAACTTCCGATGAGATCGTGATATGTCACGTGGCAAAGTTCGGATTTTTATGACGTATTTTTCTGTGCCTTTGCCTTTCCCTGAAGCGAGGCCTTGAAATGCACTCTATCCCTTTCCTCCCTTGAAGTCCCAGTTGATCGCACTGACACATCCACTACCTCTTCGCTGCTTCCAGGCGAGATGATTGACCGGTTCTCGATTGTCACTTTGATCTTCTTCATCCTATCGGTCACTTTCGTCATCTACCCTTGGTCTTTCTATGTCCACCTTCCCTATTTTGGGCGCAGAAAGATTCCAGTAAATCTCAACACTGCCCCCATACTGGCCATAGCGATACTATGGGCGGCACAGTGCATCGGCGCCACCGACATCCGCAACGGCATTGTGGGCACGGACGGGCTGAAGCCGTACAACGTCCTCATCCTCTTCATCACCCTTGCGTATATGTCCATCACACTTGACGCGACAGGGCTTCTCAAAGCCGTAGCGTTTTGGGTCAGCAACAAGGGTGGAACGAGCGGACCGCGCCTCTACATGTACTTCTACGCCATGCTCACTCTGCTCACTGTCTTCATCGGCAATGACCCGGTCATATTGTCTGGGACGGTTTTCCTGCTCTACTATACGCAGGCGAACGACCTCGAGCCCCTCCCATGGTTGATGTCCGAGTTTACTGCTGCGAATACGGCAAGCATGGTCTTGTTCTTGGGCAATCCGACGAACGTGGTCATCTGCGAAGGTAAGCCTATCCAGCTCTAAAGACGTACAACCATCTGACACTTCACCAGGTTTTGGCGTGAACAACGTCGCATTTACCGTATACACAATTCTGCCATTTGTGGCGTGCTGCGTCTGCGGCCTGGTGGCTCTAGGGTTCCAATTTCGCCACCCGAAGCACATCCCAAGGAGGCTGCAGCGTCAGGACTACCTCGACCCAAGGGACGTTCTTCATGATCCCATAGGGGCCTGCGTCGGCAGCTTCATCTTTGGCGCCTGTCTCGTCGTGATCATCGTCGTCAGCTTCTTCCACATCGACGTCTGGAAGATCAGCCTTCCATTCGCACTGGCCAAACTCGCCTTCGATATTTTCTGGGATCACCGTCGCTACGTACAGGGCCAGTTCACGAATGGGCCAGAAAGCGATCCGACGGACGACCCACAATTTGGCAACAACCAGCCCAGCGCGTCCAACGGTGCATCAAGGGGGACGGAAGAGGAAGCCAAGGCCGCTCACGTATATCCTCCAAGAGCCATCGACAAGAAGGAAGGCGCGCTTCAGGAAACGGAAGTCACTGCGCCTAAGACGAGCTCAGCTGCAAAGCGCCCGCTGCTTCCCGCTAAGGTCGTGGCGTCTCTGGCTCGCGTACGTCAACAATGGGCATGCCATTTCCCAACGCTCGCCACCGCATTACCGCGCCTACCTCTCGCACTTGGTAAGACCCCGCTCATCCATTGCGTATCATCCTGTACTCATCTTCGCCAGTCCCCTTCGCATTTTCCCAATTCATCCTCATCGAAGGCCTCGCCCGCCGCGGCTGGATTGACGTCTTCGCCACCTGGTATCTCCGCGCCACCCACGGCGCCCTCCACCCCACCATCTGGCTCATCGGCGTCCTCGGCATCGTCCTCTGCAACTGCGCCGGCACGAACATCGGTGCGACCATCCTTCTTGCTAAGGTCCTTCGCGCCGCGCCTGGCGTATCACCGCCCACGCTCCGCGCAGCGGCCATCGCGCTCGCGGTCGGGAGCAACATTGGTGCAGTCGGGGCGACCTTTTGCGCAAGCTTGGCGGGGCTTTTGTGGGCGGGAATCTTGAGGCAGAGGGGGGTGGTCGTGCGACAGCGGACGTTCGCCTACTGGAATCTCCTACCCTTGCTCGTCATGGCGGGAGTAGGACTTGGTGTAGTCTCCGCGGAGATGGCGGTACTGTACAGGAAGTGAAGGGTCACGACGATAGGACAGCGATACAAGGACAAGGCGACATTGCATAGACTCCGACTCACCATATACGATACTTCACGAACAAGCGATGAATAGCGGTGGCGACTCTCTTAACCCAATCCCGATTGTTCTCTCAGTAATGGTAAGTACATGATTAGTCCGTGGTAGCAATGCACAGCATCGGCAAAGATAGTATCTACAGTAGGCAGGCGTAAGGACAGGACGGAGGTGGTAGGCGTTTAGAAGTTCTCTGAACGTCAGGTCAATAAACGGACGACACGCGATGGCGAACAAGTACATACCCTTTCCGAAGAAGAACCGCGTGCCGTCTGGCTGCGAGTACTTGTTCGACATCTGGTGCAGCTGCCTCGAGAGTACAGGCGGACCGCAGAAGAACTGTAGAGCAACCGTCAGTGACAACTTCTACAACGCCGACGAGAATACATACCACACCGACATCCGTCTCCGGGTGCTTCTCGACGATGGAGCCGAAGACGCGGTCCCAGTTGGGGCGACCGAAGTGGGTCGGCGCGCGCAGGGAGGTGATGGCATCCTTCTCTGCGCCGACATCCTGGACGATGATGTTGTTGATCTGGTCCTCCTTAATCTTGCCGGTAAGGTAGATGTTGATCTCGATGCGGTTCTGCGTGTCCTGCTCCTCGATGGCGTGGAGAAGCGAGTGGAACCACTCCGCCTGCGAGAAGTCACGTATGACCCAGGTGAAGTAGACCTACGGACAAGTCAGCAACCGACAGTATGGCAGGCAAGGCATGGGTAAGCTTACCTTGGACAGACGCGTCGGCTTCGAGTTGTTGAAGTTGTTCATGCGGTACCAGATGGTCTTCAGGATCGAGGCGAACGGCGTAACACCGATACCACCACCGACCAGAAGGATGGCTTCATACTTAGAGAAGTCCTCAGACGCGCTACCGAACGGACCGTCGACCATAACACGAGGGAGAGCCTTGTTGAGCGGGGGCGCAGTGTTCGTGCCGATGAGCTTGCCAGTGACGGGGGTGTCACCCTTGCCTTTCTTCTCGAAGTCGCAGCCGCAGACACGGGCGAGCTCGCGCGTGAAGTCGCCGACGATACGGATGTGGACGGAGATGTAGTCCTCCTCCGGCGCGCTGGTGAGCGTAAAGGGATGCCACTGGAAGTAGGAGACCTCGGGGCACGACAGGAAGATGTACTGGCCGGCGCGAGTCTGGAAGGATGTCAGCGAAGGTGGCATGATGATAGATACTAAAACGTACCGTAGTCTTCTCCTTCTTGATCTGCAACTCCATAACGTCATTGGGGTGCTGGATGACCTTGTGGATGTAGGTGCGGTGACGAGAGCGGACTTCACGGAGGATACGCTCGAAGATCCAGACGACACCACCAGCGAGCCAGTAGCGCTGTAGTAGTTATTAGTGAGAGGTTCTTGTGTCGGAGCAGGTTACTTACCCAGAAGACGCCGACGACGTTGTACGAGCAGAACGGCGGACGGTCAGGCTGGATCATGCAGAACATGCCGTGCAGCTGCCAGTTGATGAAGAAGACGATGAAGAGGTGGTGCGTGTACCAGAAGCGGTTGAAGTGGGCACGGCGGCGCTTCTCCATCGCGAACCAGACCATGACACCGAGCGCGGCCCACATGATCCAGCCAGTCGCACCGGGACCGGTCGCGAAGTTGGCCATAAGGAAGGCGACGATACGCTGACCGGTCGTCTTCGCGTCCGTGTCGATCATGGCAAGGTTAGCGAAGTTAACCATGTGCGCGGCGGTGTGAACGGCAGAGAAGAAGACGATGGACCAGGCGACGGCTTTGTGGAACGTGATGTTCTTGTCGAAGGGGATGAAGTCGTTCAAGGGGGTGCGTCGCAGGAGGGAGATAAAGTTGCGGCAGACGGGGAAGAGGATGAAAATCACGTCGACGTGAAGGACCAGGGCCGCCGAACGAGCAATGGCTGAAGTATTCGTCAGTACGAACACGGAGGAGGATGGGGGAACACATACTGAAGCCATACCCGAAGAGGGAACGTGCGGTAACCAGGTTGTCCTTCAGCTGGTAGTGCAAGAAGCCGAAAACCGTGACAATGATGTGGAGGAGAATGAAGACACCGAAGAAGATCTGGCGTCCACCCTCGTTAATCATCCAGACGTTCATCCTTTGCCGCCAGCCCTCGATCTTGGGCATGGGCGCTGCGCCTCCAGTAGTCGTGCGCTGGATACCCTGCAGACGCCAGCGCTCGGTCTTGTTGCGCTGCAGATGGCTGGGCTCATTGGCCGAGTACGTGTTCGCCATGTCGACATGCTGGTCGAGGTGCGCCGGTCTACCTCTGTCCGAGAAATCGAGCCCAGAAAGATACTTGTTGAGGACCTTCGCCATCTCTGCACACGGGTAAGGAGAGAACGCTCTGCGTCGGGTAAAAGGAAGGACGAAGGGACCAAGCCTGCTGGTCTATGGCCACGAGCAGAGGAGGGGTGAAGGGAGAGAGAGGGCAAGGAACAAAACGGCCGGCGCCCTTTTGATGTCGCCTGTTTCTGGCTGTCCGTTTCTCTGGGTCGCCCGCGTTGCCAAGGTCACTATCCTTTCTACCACATCACCATCAACTTCCCCCCGAGGTCTCGCGAGGCCTGGGCCATCCTCGTCTGCGACGGTGGACACGGACAATGCGCTTCATCGGCAGCCGCTGCGCCGTTGCGAGTGCGTAAATTCAGGAGTCTCGCAAGACGTCGACACGACACGGGTAGAGTCTATCCGCGGTCCTCACTAAATGCAAGTTCCAAGTTTGGCGATCGAAAGAACACCTCCACAGCCGACTCGTCAATCCGAAAAGTAGCAAGTCGAAAGCAACGCCGAAGATGATGATCCCGACGGAAGTTGGCACGACGGTCAAGCTTCTCCTCAAATGGCAATTTAGGCGGCCGTTTCACGTGTTGAACACCCACAATCCAATGAACCAAAGACAATGTACCCATTAATAGACTCTACATTGCTTTACACCTATCCATCACTACAACCCATTTTAGCCCATTTATTGATGGAGTCCATCGTTCCTACTACCATTGAGATATTAAGGGCAGAAAGTGAGAGTGTAGTCTGCGTCGAGAGTCAGCCATCTGTACAAGCCCTGGTCGGAATACACTTACCAGCCCTCTTGGAAGCGTCGCAGTACCAGAGAGCAGTACCGCTGGGCTCGTCGTAGGCGTACGCGTACGAGTTCGGGCAGTTCGACTTGAAGTAGTTGTACGACGACGATCCCGAGGACGGGCAATCCTGGGGGCCACCAGACCACTGGCCACTGCAGCACGCCGGCGAGTTCGACGGGTTCGGGTCGACGAGGCACGCGGACTTGCAGCCCACGGGGAAGCCCGAGGAATCGAAGGGGCCCTTGAGGTTGTCCGGGCAGTTGGGGCCAAGGTCCACGGGGCAGTCCGCGACGGGGCAGCCCACGTTGTTGGTGATACGCATGGGCAGGTTGTACCCGTCGACGAGGGAGACATCGTAGTTGTCGAGGCCTTGGCCGTCGCCGAGCGTCCACTCCGCCACGGTGGCGGGGGGCACGCCGGTACCCGTGTTGCGGTCGCACTCGAGGCCGCCATTGCAGCCGCCGTCGAGGCACGAATTAGGGCCCGGGTTGCTGGAGAAGTCGCAGTTGCGACGCGCCTACATATTGTGTAAGCCTCGCTATGACGGTGCGGCGGAAGCGAACTGACCCAGATACGACCCGCGGTCCAGTTGTCGGGAACGTTGAAGGTCACCTTCGACCAGGCGGGAGCCTCCCAGCCGGTCGAGTGGTCGGGAACGGCAGAGCCGGCGTGAAGGTCGGTGAACATAGCCGGCCAGATGGTGAACGGGCAGGCGTTGTAGACCTGCGCATCGTCAGTATGCTGCTCCCGGCATCGCCACGGCTGCTCCAGCTCACCGTGAAGGTACGGGCCGACGCCATCGCCGCGAGGGCGAGGGCAGAGGTGACTTGGAAGAACATCTTTGACGAAATGAGGTAGCTTGTTAGGCTGGAAGGAAGAGTGTGCTGCTCTTGCTTGGGGCTTTCCCTGCCACCCATCCGCCTTTTATACCCTGCCTCAGCCTCTAGAATTGGTTCGCACAGGAACTTGAGAGAACCTGCAAGGTGCCTGAGCGCATCGTCCGCGCTTCACGAGGTCCTATAGATTGACAGTCTCGATCATGTGCGGATGGATGGATTGGCGCCCGCGACGCGCTGTGCCCTTGCCGCTGCGAGCCGATGCAGATCGCTGACGATCACAAGCGCCTCTGCTCTATCGTCCGCCCAGAGGCCACCTATGACGGTCACGGCGGCCCTGCGGGAGGCACCGAGGAATTGAGCGTCGACGAAACGGGTCCGCACCAGGTTGCGGGCGCACGACGAACATGCGAGGCGTGTTCCAATGTGTATGAAGGAACCGGGGAGGAACTTCCTCGAGGAAGGGAACTCGAGCAGGCTCGACCAGGTGACACTTGTTGATCCGAGCTTGCAGGCATGATCTAGCCAAACAGATGTCATCAAGACCGATACACTAGACTCGAGTAAGGGATAACTGGGGCTGTCCCGGTGGTCAGATTTCCCATCAGAATGCTGGTCGAAACAGGACTCACGGAAAGATAACCCTACCGTCCACCTCGGCAGGTACCGCTTCTACATCTACAGCGCGAGTCCAACAAACATCAATCCCGCTATACCCGCCAGTAGATGTACCAATACGTCCGCCACTGCCGCTGCTCTATTCGTCGCCGAGTTCTCATTAGATGCTGAAGCTGAGGCTGAGATACAGCAGATGTCAGCGCTCCGAGCGGACGTCGAAAGAGCGGGACCGAGCTCTTACATGATGCCCCACCACTGCTCGCGGTTTGCGAAGGCGAACCGGAAGTCGCGCTGCTTGTGCTGCTATTGGAGCCCGATCTAGGCGAGACGATTGAGCTAGGCGCGCATGTAACAGGACCGCCGCCTCCTTACGGGCAAAAGACTAGGGTGTAGTCTGCGTTCAATGAGGAGTCACACGTAAACAGCGCTGTCCCGGATGACTCGTCGTACGCGTACGCGTACGAGTTGGGGCAGTTGCCCTTGAAATAGTCGTAATATGCGACGCCTATAGAAGGCCCGGTGGTTTAGCGGAGACATATATAGATAGCAAGGCGGGGAGGAGGAGGAATGCACACCGGAGGAGGGGCATGTATCCGCGGTGGAGTAGCTGCCGGAGCAGCAGTTCGGGGAGTCGGCTGGTGACGTGAAGGCAGGTGAGCGTGATGGAACGGAGGTCTTTCGGCACGGCCTACCTTGGTTCGTATCGATCTGGCAGGATGATTTGCATCCTAGGGTAGCGCCGCTGCTGTTCGAGGGACCCTTCAGAGCATCTGGACCTGTGCAACTGCGTTGACCGGTGCTGTACGCGGACATGCCAAGGAGGACGCACAGGATGGGTTGAGATCAGTATAACAACCAGCTTCTGGGCAGTTCTGATTGTTCGTGATGCTCATTGGAAGGTCGAAGCCGTCGACGAGAGATACTGCCGCCGCTGAGCTTCAGTACGAACCCATGTCAGATTGACCACAGCTCACCATCGTAGAAGTCACGATTTCCATCTCCCTGCAGTGTCCATTCCGCGACGGAGCACGGTGGCACGCCCTGAGATGGATGAATGGTGTACGCATGAAGATTCAAACCCATTCATCTCACCGTCCCCGTGCGATTATCGCAGAGCAATCCACCGTTACACCCGCCAGTCAAGCAGGTCGAAGGATCACTAGAACCAGAGCTAAAGTCGCAGTCGCGGCGACCCTGCGTAAGCCAGCACGTTCAGGAAAGCTAGCATTAAGGTGGACCAGAATAGCTGACCCAGATTCGACCCGCTTTCCAGTTGTCCGGGACGTCAAAGGTGACGGAGCTGCCAGGAGCAGCCTCCCATCTAGTCATAAGCGTCAGCGTGGGCGTATATTCATGAATATGATCGTCCTACCCAGTTGGTTGGTTGGGGACCGCTGTGCCGACGTTGAGGTCGGTGTATAACTACGTGGCTCAGCGTGGGACCAAAGCAAGAGACGTTTCGACGTACGGCTGGCCTGATCACTGTGAGTAAAAGGATCAGGAGTGAATTTCCTGTGACGTGCACTGACCATATAGTGAAAGAGCATGAACTAAGAACATCAGAGAAGTCTGCAAAGTTGATTGATGGCTACGAGAATACAGACTTACTTCGTCTTGATTGGGGTCGCGTCATGATATGGTCAGGCTGTAAGAATTCCCAGAGATACGCTACTTACGACGGTGAACTTGCGTGCATGGGTCTGAAGAAGCCAAACCTGCGACGTCGTCAACAGGAGGAGACTAGTCGTGAAGCTGGATCGTGGTGTCATGGTTGATGAGCGCGGTCAAGGGTAGAGCTTGCATTCTTGTAGTGCTGCGCTGACCTCAGTACACGTGTCTGAGTACCATAGCCACAACATGAGGCGGGGACATGAGGCGAAGGTGGGCGAACTTCCAAGAAAAGACGGCAACCAAGAAAAGCGCACAGGGCGTCATAGGAGGATCCTTGGCGATACTCGGCTGCTTAAAAGTTCCTTGCATAGCATTGGCATTTTCTTCGCCTACTTGGCTGGGCTCCCGTCCAGGGTCCGCTCAGTAAACGAGCAAACCGGGCAACGCACATGAGAGTCGAAGACAAACCGTGGGAAGCCCGACCATAAACCGTCGGCACATCCGGGCCGTCACAAACTTTAGGAGGCAAACTCTCGTGTGATGGCCATGGATCGCATCCGCGCGCCGATCCTCGGCGTCTGTGGCGAGCTTGAGAGTTCATTTCCTTGTTTCTGTACATCCACTACCAGCGAGGGGCGTGTATAGCTCTTCGGCTCGGTTCCCCTCAGGTTCTGCAGCAAGATCGGTACGACGCATTTGCACCTCGACAATCAGCGCCTACGGTCGTCGATTACCATGGACTATATTCTAGAACGTCGAGCGGTAGCGCAGCAAGTCATCTGCTCAGGGCGGGCACCGACATTAGCGGATACCTTGCTCTCTTGGAAGATCGCTGTCTTATGGACGCTGGGCGACCTCGTCGACTTCGCCGCGCGGAAGGCTGCCGACGTGGGACTCCGATCGCCCACCGAACTCGCTCTTCCGCTTCATGGCTATGGTGGTCTCTGGCTGCTGGGAAACGGCGAGCAGATGCGCTTCCTTGCTGCTTTAAGGGTGGCTGCCGCAGGGCATATAGCGACGGGGCTTGCGCTCTCCGGCGACGACGGCCTGTTCACGCACAACACACTTCTGGTCGCCCACAACTCTATAGACTACCCTCGCATGCGCTCTGCTGTTGAGTTGACCAGTCAAGACACCCATGTGCTCGCCAACGCATCCATACCCAACGGAACCAGAAAGCTGGACCTCATACACTCAGGTGCGCAGGATACCTTGCAATCTATATCGCTGTCACAGTCTGATATACTCGTGAAGGAATGGGTTTTGTTGATGTGTGGCTGGATGAATCTGCCGTCGTCTTGCCGTCAACCGATGGGCTCGTCACCACACTGTCCGTGCAGCCTGGGGCTCTGGCGGTACCGAACCTTGTAGCCGCGCCGGGTAAGCGTGGAACGACCACTATGCACGCGACTACTCTGACTCGGTTTAGGCGGGAATGTCACTCATCATCAGAACTACAGCTTCGAAAAGCTGCCTACGATGGGGCCCGCAGTACTTGACGTCGCGGTCTTCGATGCACAACACGCTATCCGCGCTCCTTTGAGCTCCGATCCTCAGCCGGTCATATACTACGCCGAGTTCACTCCTTCTCAGCTTGTCTTCTTACTCTCCGTGATCGCAATATTCCTATATGGGCTGATTTGCATGGCGCAGAAGATCTTCAAGCTCGCCTGTTCGCTCTCCGCTTCGCTCGCGCTCACGGCACAAGCCCTTATCTATTGGCTCTTTAGCCTCGACTATCTCGCTCCCTTACATCGAACTACTATCGTTTCTCGGCAACGCGCAGTCTGTCGCCTCCTTGCCTCCGCTTCCGCAGGCTCTCTTGGTGACCTATCGCGCACGTCTTCCGCATTATCCAGCTCTACGTCCGACACGTCCAGCGTCCCATCGATCCGACGCACTTCTTTCGATGTCGACCCCGACGCTTACGTGCTCAGGCTCCTCGACTTCGAACTGTTGCCCTTCCACGGCGAAGATTTGATTGTGGCACCCCTTGTAGCAGGCGATTGCACGCCCGTCATCGTTCAAGGCGATGGTGAGTCAGCCTTCATCTGCCATGTCGATGGGGCTAAGCGTTGTGCTAGGTGACGATGAACGTGCTAGCGACATTGGTTGCACTGGTAAGCACCAGTTTAGCCTGCAGTAAAATGCAATCACTGAAGTACTGCCTGATAGCCGAAGCTATCCTCGCAAGCGATTCGCGTAAGAAGAATATGGTAACCTCGCAGAGCCAGGAGAAGGCGCCACAGCTCTCGATTCTCGCGACGGATGTTTGCGTCGGTAGGTCTTCTCTGTTATCCGAGCGTGTCAACGCGCCACCATGCTGAGTTTGCTGTAGCGGATAACCCTGTTATCCAGCCGACAACTGCCGCCATGCTGGCATTCGAGCAAGACGCCTTTCAGAAATCGCCCAAACTGAGCCTGTTTGAGCGCTTCAGCGTTCCGAGCATTCCGACCAAAGCAAGAGGCGCTCTTCCGTGGTCGCTGAGGCGGAGGTACAGCGTGAAAGAAGGTGCTCCGGCGCCCCTGGACTCGTCGCGGGCGAAGGGCGAACGCTTCGGCAGGTTGCGGGCGTTGTTGAAGTTCGGTGACGGTCCGGGGTCGGAAGAGCGTGACGACTATACAAGAGAAGGTGTGGAGTAAATGTTCCTGTGGTCCATGGGCTCGGCGCTGACTGTGCGTGTAGGCGATGCTGCTAGGGCGCGGGGTGGAGGGACTGGATATGGTCAGGCGCCGGGGTGGGGATCTCTTGAACTCCACATACGTGCAGCATGAGGACGGCCAGTCTTCCCCGAATGGGACTGAGATTCGAGTATTCAGTGACGAACAAAGGGTACGAACGGGTTCTGCGGAGGCCTCTACATGTACACACTATCTACTACCTGTTCTCAGCACACACTAGAGAGAGGTCACCTAGGCCTATAGAGTTTATATGGGTTCCGGGATGAATGGGAATTATTTCAGACGCTTCTACGGTTACAGCATTCCGGGGTGAAAAGGGGGTGGCTATGGCAGTCATCGGAGCACAACTCGAAGAAAAGTCTGCATCGTCTAGCCCGGGCAATTTGCTGGCAATTGGAAAGGCGTGGGCACGGATGTCATATGAAGGCCACTTGGCAAGAGGCAAGCAAATCCGGCTATCGGGTTGCTTGGCCTGCGCGCATGTACAGTGAGGCCGGAGGTGATGTCCCTCGATGACCTCAGTCTGCAGTTGTTCATGATGGACAACACGATGTGTAGCAACGGGTGCGACGCCGCGCAATTCGTTCAACGGTGACCACAGCGGCCGAATAGAAGGGCCTCGTTCGCGGCGCTCTCACAAACGCTCTTCCTCCGTGTGCGGGCCAGCGCATCCCGCATGAAGATTTCCAGCTGCTGCGCTGCAACAGCGCGGTCACAGCCATCTAAATCATCACGTGTACCCCATTTTCAATGCAAATTTGCCAATTTCCAAGCCATCCGTATGCCAGATTAGGCAATAAAGCGTGACGGATTCCGCAAATTTTGATTTCGAGGAACCCGCCGTTACATCATCGCCACCCAGCCAAACACGAACCATCACCACCAAGGGCGTTCCTCGCTCTCCCTTCTCCCACCACTACGATGCCGAGGCCGGGCGGCACCAGCGCAGAAGGCGGCTACGCATCATCGCCGTCGATGGAGACGACCCCCAGCGATCCCTTCGGAACCGCGAACGGCGCGCCCCGCCGCTACTACGACAATGATTCTGAGGAGTACGGACCTGGCCGTAGAGATACCTACGCGTCCGACAGCAGTAATCAAGGCCTCACGGACCCGGGCTACTACGACCAGAATGGCGCCTATGATCCCTATCGTGCGTGCGGGTGCAGCAACGATGATGACGCAGCTGACTTTCCCACCCAACAACAGCGACCGGGGACACCGATTCCGACGGCGACGTCTACGGCCAGCGGTATGGACCCTCAGCAGAGTCGCTTGGCACCCACAAGTTTGGCCATTCCGATTCATCTACGCCGACGTTTGTCGATTACAGCGCATCCTCCGGCGGAAGGGACTCGTACCCTGCATGGACCGCCGAACGCAACATCCCGCTGTCCAAAGAAGAGATCGAGGACATCTTCCTCGATCTGACGCAGAAGTTTGGCTTTCAGCGGGATTCCATGCGGAACATGGTACGTGGCGTATGCCCATGTGCGGCGTTCTGAGGCCTAAACGTTTTCCGCCAGTTCGACTTCACCATGCAGCTGCTTGACAGCCGAGCGTCTCGTATGACCCCCAACCAGGCGCTCCTCACCCTCCACGCCGACTACATTGGTGGCCAGCATGCGAACTACCGGAAGTGGTACTTCGCGGCGCAGCTCGACCTTGACGACGCCGTGGGACAAACTCAGAATCCGGGTCTCAACCGCCTCAAGTCCACTCGCGGATCGGGCAAGCGACCACGCCATGAAAAGTCGCTGAACACGGCATTGGAGCGCTGGCGGCAAGCCATGAACAACATGTCGCAGTATGACCGCTTACGCCAGATCGCGCTCTACCTGCTCTGCTGGGGCGAAGCGGCGCAAGTGCGATTCATGCCCGAGTGCTTGTGCTTCATCTTCAAGTGCGCCGACGACTATTATCGTTCGCCGGAGTGCCAGAACAGGATGGAGCCGGTACCGGAGGGTCTCTACCTGAGGACGGTCGTAAAGCCGCTCTACAGATTTGTCCGGGATCAAGGCTATGAGGTGGTGGAGGGAAAATTCGTACGGCGGGAACGGGATCACGACCAAATCATTGGTTACGATGACGTGAATCAGCTGTTCTGGTACCCGGAGGGCATTGCCCGTATCGTCCTGTCGGACAAGGTAAGCACCTCTGTGCATCTTCTGTGACATACAGGGCTAATTGTCGAGCAGAGTCGTCTGGTCGACCTCCCTCCAGCACAGCGCTTCATGAAGTTCGACCGTATCGAGTGGAATCGCGTCTTCTTCAAGACGTTCTACGAGACTCGATCCTTTACGCATCTTTTGGTCGACTTCAACCGTATCTGGGTCGTGCACATCGCTCTCTACTTCTTCTACACCGCATACAACTCCCCCACGATCTACGCCATCAACGGCAACACTCCGACGTCTCTGGCTTGGAGCGCGACTGCGCTCGGCGGTGCGGTAGCGACAGGTATCATGATCCTCGCCACGATCGCCGAGTTCTCGCACATCCCCACGACATGGAACAACACCTCGCATCTGACTCGCCGCCTCGCCTTCCTCCTCGTCACGCTCGGCCTCACATGTGGTCCGACGTTCTACGTCGCGATTGCAGAGAGCAACGGGAGCGGCGGCTCTTTGGCCTTGATTCTCGGCATCGTCCAGTTCTTCATCTCCGTCGTAGCGACTGCGCTCTTCACTATCATGCCTTCTGGTCGTATGTTCGGCGACCGCGTCGCAGGCAAGAGTCGCAAGTATCTCGCCAGCCAGACGTTCACGGCCAGCTACCCGTCGTTGCCCAAGCACCAGCGGTTCGCATCACTCCTGATGTGGTTCCTCATCTTCGGGTGCAAGTTGACGGAGAGTTACTTCTTCCTGACGTTGTCCTTCCGCGACCCTATTCGCGTCATGGTCGGCATGAAGATCCAGAACTGCGAGGACAAGATTTTCGGCAGCGGCCTTTGCAGGAATCACGCAGCATTCACCCTCACGATCATGTACATCATGGACCTCGTCTTGTTCTTCCTCGACACCTTCCTTTGGTATGTCATCTGGAACTCGGTTTTCAGTATCGCACGCTCTTTCGTACTCGGCCTTTCGATCTGGACACCATGGAGGGACATCTTCCAGCGTCTGCCGAAGCGTATCTACGCGAAGCTTCTAGCGACCGGCGACATGGAGGTCAAGTACAAGCCCAAGGTGTGTGAATAGCTCGCTGTAAGGTTCTTGATTCTGACTCATTCGCAGGTCTTGGTTTCGCAAATCTGGAACGCCATCATCATCTCCATGTACCGCGAGCACTTGCTCTCTATCGAGCACGTTCAAAAGCTCCTGTACCATCAAGTGGACACTGGCGAAGCCGGCAAGCGGAGTCTTCGCGCGCCTCCGTTCTTCGTCGCGCAGGGCAGCAGCGGTGGCTCGGGCGAGTTCTTCCCGCCTGGTAGCGAGGCTGAGCGTCGTATCTCTTTCTTCGCGCAGTCTCTATCTACGGAGATTCCTCAGCCCATCCCGGTTGACGCCATGCCGACGTTCACAGTGCTTACGCCTCACTACAGCGAGAAGGTGCGCTTTTTCCTGGGCGCATTCAACATTAGCTGACTGTCGTGCACAGATCCTTCTTTCGCTCCGTGAGATTATCCGCGAGGAGGACCAGAACACCCGCGTGACATTGCTTGAGTATCTCAAGCAGCTTCACCCGGTCGAGTGGGAGAACTTCGTCAAGGACACCAAGATTTTGGCCGAGGAGTCCGCTATGTTCAACGGTCCAAGTCCTTTCGGCAACGATGAGAAGGGTCAGTCCAAGATGGACGATCTTCCTTTCTACTGCATCGGTTTCAAGAGCGCCGCGCCCGAGTACACCCTCCGCACCCGTATCTGGGCGTCCTTGCGCGCGCAGACCCTCTACCGCACGGTCTCCGGCATGATGAACTATGCGAAGGCGATTAAGCTGCTCTACCGCGTCGAGAACCCCGAGGTCGTGCAGCAGTTCGGCGGTAACACGGACAAGCTCGAGCGCGAGTTGGAGCGGATGGCCCGGCGGAAGTTCAAGTTCCTGGTGTCCATGCAGCGCTACTCGAAGTTCAACAAGGAGGAGCACGAGAACGCCGAGTTCTTGCTCCGCGCGTACCCGGACCTGCAGATCGCGTACCTGGAGGAAGAGCCTCCTCGCAAGGAGGGTGGCGATCCACGCATCTTCTCTGCCCTCGTCGACGGCCACAGCGACATCATCCCGGAGACCGGCAAGCGGCGCCCCAAGTTCCGCATCGAGCTGCCCGGCAACCCCATTCTCGGTGACGGCAAGTCGGACAACCAGAACCACGCCATCGTCTTCTACCGCGGCGAGTACCTCCAGCTTATCGACGCCAACCAGGACAACTACCTCGAGGAGTGCTTGAAGATCCGTAACGTACTCGCCGAGTTCGAGGAGTACGACGTCTCTAGCCAGAGTCCGTACGCGCAGTGGAGTGTCAAGGAGTTCAAGCGCTCCCCGGTCGCCATCGTCGGTGCACGCGAGTATATCTTCTCGGAGCACATCGGTATTCTCGGTGATTTGGCGGCTGGCAAGGAACAGACGTTCGGTACGCTCACGGCACGCAACAACGCCTTCCTTGGCGGCAAGCTGCACTACGGTCACCCGGATTTCCTCAACGCCCTCTACATGAACACGCGCGGTGGTGTCTCCAAGGCGCAGAAGGGTCTCCATCTCAACGAGGATATTTACGCCGGTATGAACGCGGTCGGTCGCGGTGGACGCATCAAGCATAGCGAATACTACCAGTGCGGCAAGGGTCGTGACCTCGGTTTTGGCACCATCTTGAACTTCCAGACCAAGATCGGTACGGGTATGGGCGAGCAGATCCTCTCGCGCGAGTACTACTACCTCGGAACCCAATTGCCCATCGATCGCTTCCTCACGTTCTACTACGCGCACCCAGGTTTCCAGATCAACAACATGCTGGTTATCCTATCCGTGCAGGTCTTCATCGTTACCAGTACGTTGATTGCATATCGTTAGCCTGACAGCGTCTGACGAATTCCCAGTGGTCTTCCTCGGTACCTTGAAGTCTTCGGTCACGATCTGCAAGTACACGTCCAGCGGTCAGTACATCGGTGGTCAATCCGGTTGCTACAACCTCGTCCCGGTCTTCCAGTGGATCGAGCGCTGCATCATCAGCATCTTCTTGGTGTTCATGATCGCTTTCATGCCGCTCTTCCTGCAAGGTAAGAGCTCGTCAACCTGCTCAAGGGCCTTGCGCTGATCATCATCTCAGAACTCGTCGAGCGCGGTACCTGGAGTGCCATCTGGCGTCTGCTCAAGCAGTTTATGTCGCTGTCGCCTGTCTTCGAGGTGTTCTCCACCCAGATTCAGACACACTCCGTGTTGAGCAACTTGACGTTCGGTGGTGCGCGTTACATCGCTACCGGTCGTGGGTTCGCCACCAGTCGTATCAGCTTCAGCATCTTGTTCTCGCGTTTCGCAGGCCCGAGTATCTACCTCGGCATGCGCACGCTCATTATGCTGCTCTACGTGACGTTGACGATCTGGACGCCATGGGTCATTTACTTCTGGGTTTCCATTCTCTCGCTCTGCATCGCGCCGTTCTTGTTCAATCCGCATCAATTCGTCTTCTCGGATTTCCTCATCGACTACAGGTACGTCGGACGAGCGCTGTTCCGCGACGTAAGCTGACCGGTTATACAGGGAATACCTCCGGTGGATGTCGCGTGGTAACTCGCGCTCGCACAACAACTCCTGGATTGGGTACTGCCGGTTGTCCCGCACGATGATCACTGGGTACAAGAAGAAGAAGCTGGGCCACCCGTCGGAGAAGCTTTCCGGCGACGTTCCTCGTGCAGGCTGGCGCGCCGTCTTATTCTCGGAGATCATCTTCCCGGCATGCATGGCCATCCTCTTCATCATCGCGTACATGTTCGTCAAGTCGTTCCCTCTCGACGGCAAGCAGCCTCCCTCCGGCCTCGTTCGCATCGCCGTCGTGTCTATCGGCCCCATCGTGTGGAACGCCGCCATCCTGTTGACGCTCTTCCTTGTGTCGTTGTTCCTCGGCCCCATGCTCGACCCGGTCTTCCCCCTCTTCGGTTCCGTTATGGCCTTCATCGCGCATTTCCTCGGCACAATCGGAATGATTGGGTTCTTCGAGTTCCTGGTATGTGCCCATACCTTTCATTCGTCTTCAACTATCTAACAGATTCATAGTGGTTCCTCGAGTCCTGGGAGGCGTCGCATGCCGTGCTGGGTCTCATCGCCGTCATCTCCATCCAGCGCGCCATTCACAAAATTCTTATCGCCGTTTTCCTCAGTCGCGAGTTCAAGCACGACGAGACGAACAGGGCTTGGTGGACTGGTCGCTGGTATGGCCGTGGCCTCGGCACGCACGCCATGTCGCAGCCGGCGCGTGAGTTCGTCGTCAAGATCATCGAGTTGTCGCTCTGGAGCTCGGATCTCATACTCGGCCACATCCTGCTGTTCATGCTTACTCCGGCTGTCCTCATCCCGTACTTCGACCGTCTGCACGCCATGATGCTCTGTACGTCGTGTCTCATTGTTTGTGTTGGTCATACTCTTACCCTCTCTTAGTCTGGCTGCGCCCCTCAAAGCAAATCCGCGCGCCTCTGTACTCAATCAAGCAGAAGAGGCAAAGACGCTGGATTGTCAGTGTTCAGTGCCTTATTCTATCAGCTCTTACTGACGTCTTCATAGATCATGAAGTACGGTACTGTATACGTTACCGTCATCGCGATCTTCGTCGCGCTCATCGCGCTTCGTGAGTACCCTTGCTATCTTTCGTACCTGAGCGTCGCTGACCCCTTTCCCAGCCCTCGTCTTCCGACACACTCTAAAGGTCGAGTGCTCCCTTTGCGACAGCTTGTAATATCGGACTCGTATATATCTAGACTTCTCCGCACCATGTGTAGCTGACGCTTGGGTATACTTCGCGGTGCCGAGCTAATTGTCGACGGACATTCTCCATCGTTGAGTGCAGCGACATCGGGTGGTTTACGACACGGACACTTTTCATTGTACCCTCTACGAATGCAAGAACTCTCTTACGACCAGTACCTATGTGCTAAGCCGTCGCCTGTTCAGGATCATACATACATACGTTTCTAGATACCTTACAGTTAGGCCTATTCAGGGAGAGTCTGCATAAAATGCCGAGACGTGGACAAATATTTGTTCGACGGTGCGATCAGAGTGAGACTTGCCTCTTTCGCTACCGTTCTCAGCGCCGACCTGGCGGAGCCGGATGTCCTTCAGTCTCCAGAACGCGAGCCCATCGGACCTTTACGGTCCTATGGTGATGCCGACTCCAGTGTGAGTAAGCTCGAGGGTGCAGTACTAAAGCCAGATGACTAGCCCAACGCGGGACCACGGTCACGTCGAACAGCGGGGAAACACCACGAACCGCGCCCACCACTGCCATACACCTTGTCCGCAACCTCGATGCGCCTCGGTATCGCGCTCTACTACATCGGCGCGGACCCCGCACACTGGGCGCTCGTCCTGACCCCGTCTGACTGGCACGCCCCGCGGTGCAGCGTCTACCAGATCGTGCGCATCAGCGGCGACCGCTGGCGGCAGCACCTCAGCATCGTCCCCCTTCCCAATGCGCCTGAGTTCCGCGGGATCATCGAGCTCATCGCTGCCGACGATCTACCTGGGCCGGAAAGTCAGCCGTATCCCTGGGACGACTCCACAGACGACGAGTCCGCACGGCTATGGGAGGTGTGCGACCGGGTCATCCGCGAGCATGCCAAGGACGCGAACGAGCCGGCGAAGAGGAAAGTTATACCTGGGCCTCATGGCTGGACATGTGCGGCCTGGGTATTGGATGTATTGATGGATCTGGAGGATATTGGGATCTTTGACTTGCCATCCGAGATAACATGGGCAAGCATTTACAGCGACGTAGTGGCGAAGGGATGGATTTTGCGCGATTTGTACGAGGACGCAAGACCATTCCCGGTGCTGAGACTGGTGAGCTTTTGTCATGGTGGCGCGAATGAAGTGCTGATCTAATCTGCGCCATAGGGTCTTTCTTAACGGACGAACTTCAGCGTAACTTGCAGGACAATGCTCGTCGCTATTACAGATCACCCACCCCTATACGAGGTACGTCACAGCACTTCTCGACTCTCAGTGAACTTGCGACTCAGCGGCCGTCCCGTTGCACAGCGCCATCGACGATGACTGACCGGCCCGCGGCATTCAGGCTGTCTACTGAGCCCTATCCGTCTCGCGAAGACAGATAGGATTGAGAAGAACCATTCAAGATCCTGGTAAATAGTAACTACAGATGAGGGGCCTCAGACGCGACTGGCTTGTAGGTAAATACAGATTGTAGGATTGCACCACGTGCTTTGTTGATTGTGAAAATACGACGAGCCAGCTACCTGCCCACCGCGGCATGTCCTGCACGTCCACGTCTGAGCAAGCGAAAAGACTCGCTTGAGCGAACGAGCAAATCGCGCCTGAACGAGCGGGCAGACGCGTGGTCACCATATATACCGCCCCCCGAGCCTTCGCGACCTTTCACCACCGCGAAGACATTGTTATACACATTGGGTAGTCGAAAGTCGTCAGGCCGACTACTTCTTCTGACCCTCGTCGAGGCTGACACTCGCGAGCTTCGAGGAGATGTCCTCGTGGTCGTGCGCGCTGATGTCGTCGGATGCCTGCGCATGAGTGTAAATGGAGTGAAGTAAAGGCAAACCGCCAGCAGGATGGAAACCCACCTTGACAGCATCGCGCACCTCCTTCTCCTTCAACGTCAAGTCCGTCGTCGACTCCGTCTCCATGTTGTGCGAGTGGGTGATCGTGGACTCCTCCATGATCTCCCGCGCCGACTCCTCCTTGTACTTCTTCAAGTTCTCCGACAGCTCCGCCGCGTCCTTGTCGAGCCCGCTGCTCGCGAGCATCGTCATGCGGTTGAGCGCCTTGATGCTGAACGCGGCCTTCTTCCACAGCTGCTTCGCGTTGAACGCCTTCTTGACATGCGGCAGGAGGTCGACCGGGCCCTCCTTGTCCGTGACGAAGTGCGCGGTCGGGTCGGAGAGCCACTGAGATGTATGGTTAGCCATCGCTTGGACGACACGGGTAAAGGGGATACGATCATGAGAGGCAGAGGACGAATGTAGCCCTGGGCTACACAGTACAGCTTACCTTGTGCTGCAGCGCCTCCGCCGCTGTTGGCCGGTTCGTCGGATCGATGGTCAAGCACTGCGTCACGAAGTCCTTCGCCGTGCTCGACACGTTCTCCCAGTACTCCTCGGGCTCGAACTTGTAGTCGCCAGCAATGATCGCCTCCATCTCGAGCTGTTGCGAGTCGCGGTCAAAGGGCGTGTAGCCGGCGAGCAGGAAGTACGTGATGACGCCCATCGCCCAAATATCGACAGGTTTGCTGTGGCCAGCTACAGTTAACGTTAGTATTCATTCGATTCGAGAGTTCATGACAACGATTGATGGTCGGATGGGTGAGATGTATAGGGGAAACTGACTCTTCTTGAAGATTTCAGGGGCCATATACTTTTGGGGCAAGTCAGTTTCCTCCTTCACGACGGAGACGGGGGATAGCTGACGCACCCCGGGCGTGCCGCAAATCTCGGTGAGCATGTTCAACTTCTCTTCCTCCATAACACGACTCAAGCCGAAGTCGGCGATCATGATGTCGGCGTCCTCTGCTTGGGTGCGGAAGAGCAAATTCTCGGGCTTGAGGTCTAAGGGGTATTATTAGCGGGGTGAGGCAAAGATCTTTGGGCGTTGACTAGCTATACACTAGCGAGCACGATACGAGGGGGAATGGGACGAGAAATGCTTACCTCGGTGGACTATTCCGCAGTCATGGATGTACTTGACAGCCTGCAGGATAGTGCGGACGAGATTGGCGGCGTCCCTGTCGGCTCGTTGAGTATACTGGGTTCTGTAGTCGCGCGATGGGTACGCACGCCTCGTAGTAGTTACCCTTCGCACATATCCTGTCGAACAGCTCGCCACCCGTGCACAGATCGAAGCAGAGATAAAGGTTGTGCGTCGTCTGCGCAAACCGCGTCAACACCGCGTTTCCATCTCTTTACGCGAACTGCACACCTCGAAGTAGTCGTGCAGGGTGACTATGTTCTTATGCCCGCTCGAGATGCGCTTGAGGACAGCGATCTCGTTGCGCACCTGTGCATTCGCGGCGTGAGCGAGGCTGTGATCACCGTGCAGTGCGCGCCACGCACCATATGCTCGCGCCCCTGCATGAGCTTCTTGTTGATGACTTTGCAGGCATAGTATTTGCCGGTGTGGATGTGGATGGCCTCCTTCACGATGGCGTAAGTCCCGCTCCCAAGCGTCTTGCCTGTGCGGTACTGCGAGGGCGGTGAACAAGGCGATCAGCGCGTCTATCGATGCGCGCGCACCTGGCACGGGACTGTCGTCTGCGGCATCTCGAGGTAGCTCTTCGGGCGCGGCGGCGGCGGTTTCTGGCACGGAGGTGTGAGCGGGGAAGGAGACGGAGGTTCAGGACAAGTCGCGACGCGAAGGGCGAGCGACGACGATACACAATTCAAAATAGGGATGCGTGCGTGGCTGTGACGCCGGCGCTTGATGCGTCCGGGTGCTCTCTCTCACCTGAACTTCGCGCTTTTCTACCCGCGTCCTCTCGCTGAGCCTACTGATGTCCTCGGCACTGCTACTGCTACTTGGTGTGACGGCCGCGATGGCGGCGAAGGCGGACGCGGACGCAACAGAAACCGTCTTCAGCGACCGCGAGCCCTTTGAATCCGAGGCCTCAGAACTGCTCCGACTGCTGTCGTGCTTCATGGTCGAACAAGGCCTGCTGCCGTGGCCGCTTCGACGACTCTGTTGCGCGCCCATTGCCGGGAGTTGAATGTTGTACTAGGATGTGTGGCGACGAGCTCGCGAGAGACTAGCGAAGAGAATTCATTTTGCGCTCCTCCACTGCCTTTAAAAGACCCACTGCCACGAGCCAGGCGCGCGGCTGGGCTGTGTTTGATGTGGCTGAGCGGGTCTTGCTTTGGGCTCTTCGGATTCCCTCATACATCGAGCGCTGTTCTGCCGACGCCCGCCGATGCTTAGGTATCGCTTCGCAAACACTTCCGACGAGAACTCGGCGATGACACGAGGACAAGGACGTACGTCAACGGGACCTCGGAGGGCTTTCGTTGTCTTTATGCGTCAGCTCTAGCAAGAGACAGAGCCTGCCGCTGCAGGGCACAATTCTAGCTCGCCTCTTCATTTCTCTGGCATCGCAGATCTGGGTCTTCTCCGCTATTCCGGTCTTCTGCTGCACCGCTTGAACCAATATGAGGCTCTCCAGCTCCATGACCTCCTCTATAGCGATTCGGATCGATCCATCCACTACTTTTAGCCATACGCACGCCGCAGTATACACCGCCTTCCAAGTGCACAGAACCAAGGTTGTGCCCCATCCGATGAGTTCCAATGAAAAATTGAAAAGCATATATATATACACAAATACGCGACACGAGAGATGCCTGATCGGGCCTTTGAGATGGACACCGCTGGTACAATCCTGCAGCACCTACCGACGAGCGGCAAAATATACCCAAAAGAACGGCATTATGGCATGACCGTGGATTGAACACGGGACCTTCAGAACTTCAGTCTGCTGCTCTCCCAGCTGAGCTATCACGCCGACAGTGGCAGTGATAACATCTGCAGTGTTAATCCATACCACGACTCAGCCCCATGGTGTCTGCAGTGTCAATCCATACCACGACTCAGCCCCATGGTGACCTTCGACGATGCGCACATCAATGCCTCAAATGGCTTTTTTTCATCCATTGATTAGATGTACAAGCTACAAGCAATGCAGCTCATACACTGACTCGGCCACTTCAAGCTGCTAGTCAGGAGAGATAACCACCGTCTCCGACTCTCCTCCGTCATGTACACTTGCGCCACGCTTCTTCCTCAGTCAGCATTGTTCCAGGATCCGGCGGAGGCCCGACACACCTCGCGCAGCCATTGTAAGTGGAGGACCGCGTTGATGCAAGCGAAGCGAGAGCGAATGGTCTCTCAGCACCTCGGCGTCGCTGAGAATAGGGTCGTTCAAACCTAGCGGAATTTCGCGAAAAGGAAAAATTGGGCTCTTTCGAACAGAACTTTTGGCGCGGGATTCGGCCTTTTCGAGTGATTTTTCGCGAGAAAAGGAAGAATTCGATTATTCTGAACAGAGGTTTGAACACAGAGGAAGGAGATGTGGCTGTGTCGAACAGGATTCTCGCCCGTTTTCCCCGCCAAACTGTACCTTTTTCAGATTTTTCCCTTTGCGCACAGGAAAATGACGAAGACACGAAACGAGCTTTGAGGGACCCTAATGTAACAAGACTTGAGCCCAGTTCTGGTCATCCTGAGACCATTGTCATACTTGGGCCGTCATGTACGACTGCTTATGAAGACTTTTCGCAGCTTCACGCACCGGATATCTCGAGATCCCCAAGTCGAACCATGATCACCCATAGGCGCCCATCCGCACATGACCCTTCCACGTGTCCCACGTGCCCGCCCGTCGTCGGTCGCCAAAGTATCTCACCACTTTGCGCATTTTCCCCAACCCTTCAAAAAGCTCGTTCGAGGCTTGCCGCGCTCCTTGTTTCCCGTTCTCGCCTGCGCGCTTCCTGCCTGCTTGACGCTTCACTGCCGTCTAGTCGACACTCCAGGCGCCCCCGCATCCTTCCAGGCGCTACACGGAACCCCACCACCGGTACATCCCCACGTTACACGGGATCGCGCACCCCGCACCATGGACGCCCTCCACAATAGCACGAGCATGTCCGGTGCCTACGATGGCACGGACCTCACTTCGCTCTCATGGCTCGAGCAGCTGTGGGTGCAGTGGTATGTGATGATCGACAACCCGACCATTGCGACGGGCCTCATGAGCTTCTTGTTGCATGAGGTGAGTTGGGATATTCCTTCACCTGAGTACGGCCTTGGAGTGTGCTTGCTGGGAGGGGCGTGTATGACATGCAGCAATTTTCGGAAAGCGGTTACTTCCTAGGGTACTTGGCCAATCAGGGTCGTTTTCCTCCGTCATTCATTGGCTGCAGGGTCGCTCACCTCATCACATCCTCACACATCCTATCACATTTCGGTTGACTGTCAGCGCCTCTGCGAGCCTCGCACTTGCCTCACGCCTCCTCTCCTGAACCATGGATCCCATGTCTTCGCAAATGCTTACCCAGCTCCCAGTTCGTCTACTTCGGCCGCTCGCTTCCATGGATCATCATCGACGCCATGCCCTACTTCCGGAAGTGGAAGCTCCAGCCGAACAAGGTGCCGACGCCGCAGGAGCAGTGGGAATGCACGAAGCAGGTCCTGTTCTCGCACTTCACGATCGAGCTGCCAGCGGTACGTCGTTCTTCGCTAGTCACGATCTAGCGTGCTCATATGACCTGTCAGATCTGGCTGTTCCACCCCGTCGCTGAGTCCCTCGGTATGCGCACGCACCATGTGCCGCTCCCCGGGTTCAAGGAGATGGCCCCGCAAATCTTCTTTTTCTTCGTCTTCGAGGACTTCTTCCACTACGTTGGTGAGTAGACACCCCTTCCTTTCGTCGTGCTCCTGATGCTTATGCAAACACTCCTCCAGCCCACCAAGCGCTCCACACTGGTGTCTTGTACAAGCACATCCACAAGATCCACCACAAGTACTCCGCGCCCTTCGGTCTCGCCGCAGAGTACGCCCACCCCGCTGAGGTCTGCATCCTCGGCGCGGGCACGATCTGCGGGCCGCTCCTCTACTGCTACTTCACGCAGAACCTGCACATCTTCACCGTCTATCTCTGGATCCTCCTCCGCCTCTTCCAGGCCGTCGACGCGCACAGCGGGTACGACTTCCCCTGGTCGCTGCACAACATCGTCCCCTTCTGGTCCGGCGCGGAGCACCACGACTTCCACCACATGGCGTTCACGAACAACTTCTCGACGTCGTTCCGCTGGTGGGACTACATGCTCGGCACGGACGACAAGTACCGGGCGTACCGCGCGCGCGTAAAGGCGATGAAGAAGAAGGGCATGACCGCGGAGGAGCAGCGCGATATCGAGCGCAAGCTGATGGATGAGGTGGAGAAGGAGGGTATTGCGGCGGAGGCGGAGGTCGAGAGGACCGCCGGTAACTTCTTCAAGGCGAAGGCTGCATAAGCGTCGCCTGGGTTGATGTTCCTCGAGGTCTTGCGGACGAGGACCTGGCTTTCTTGCACGAGGGATGAGCAGAGTACACGACTCATGATAGGGAAAACGTCCGGTCTTTAGATGATTAGTGAATACACTCCGACTCTAATTGCAACTTCCACAAAGGGTTGATACACACGGAATCCCTCCAGTTCGGATGAGTTCAGACTGGCGACCAGAAGCGATGACTGACTCGATTGAGATGGCACTTTTTTGCCCACATGTCAACCATGGCAGACCGAACGTTCTTGAGCATAGTGACCAGCTGCTTGAGGGGAGTTGGAAGTCGGTCGTTGGCAGCGACTGACGACGCCTCGAGGACGTACCACTGGCTTGGGAGTACAAGAAGAGATCATGGAATATCACAGGCTTCATAAATGCCCACGTCGGGGTGGTGCTGGGCGGGTGGGTACGCTGCGCACACGCCCACCGTCGGTGGTGACAGCGCCGCCGTATCGAGCGACGGGCGCGAAGTCGGACTCCGCAGCTGGTGACCGTCAGACCGGGGGACATTTGTGGCCAAATATATTCCTTTTGATCCCGCCTATCAGAGGAATAGGAGGACGTAGAGACGCGCTGTGTCGCTGCAGATGAGGACGAGCAAGCGAGGAGCGAGCGGCGGCCTGAAGCAGGGCTGACGCAGATGTCGAGCAGGCGACTTCAGTTCACCGAGGGCGCGTCGGCTGTCGAGGTCCTGACGACGGAGGCAAGTGCCTGACAGGCTCGGCGGTTGCCGAAGCTACTGAAGAGGTTACTTCTTCGCCATCATGCCATCCGTCCATCGTCCGCGGAACTTCCGTCGTCGTCCTTGGCGGGCTTGTCTGCGTGGACGTGCCACCCGATGGGCGAGATGTGCAGGCGATGGGCTTCGAGAACGTAGAGATGCATGCAGCCTGGATGTCAGCGATGTCATTTGTGGCCACGATGAGAGAGCGATTCGCCTGCAACGATCCCCTCGCCAACGATCCTCGGTCCGTCCCAAGACGGAAGAATGCTGACGACGGCGTCCGATCCCTGCCAAGGTCCGTCGCCCGGCGAGTTGGACTGCGCCAGCTGCGCGGTGCCAATTATACGCGCCTCATGGCCCCATCAAGAGCCCGATATACCCCTGGTAACCGTCCTTTTTATTCCTTTTACCGCGCCCTTCCACAGCTTCTTCTTGACTTGTACCTTCTCCTCCCCGTCTCACCCAGTCCCTCGTTTATACCGCCTGGCCGGCATCTCCTCCTCCTCGCCCTCCACCCTAGATCAGCTGCATCTCCCAGCGCACTCCCTCCCTCGGCACTAGACTCGCGCACCACACATTATGCGCTCCGCTACGACGTTTGTTGGCCTGCTCGCCGCCGCGGGCAGCGTCTCTGCCTCCCACGGCGCCCAGCGCATGCGCCGGCACCACCGCTCCGCCGCGAAGCGCGACGTCGTCTCCGGCACCGCGTACTACGGCTACCAGAACGACCGCACGACCGCGTGCGGGACGGTGTCCTCCGACGACGACTTCGTCGCGGGCGTCCACGCAGCGTACTACGGCGACATCTGGTCCGCCTCGGACAAGTGCTTCCAGCATGTGAGTGGGCGGGGCGCGCGAAGTGCGCTGGGCGAGCTGGCGGGCTGACGCGCTGGCAGATCACCGTGTACTACGGCGACAAGTCGATCGATGTGACGCTCACTGACGCCGCGAACACGACGGCGAGCACGGGCGATGGCGATATCTACCTCTCAACGGCCGCGTTCACCGCGCTGGCCGGCTCGCTCGACGTGGGCATGAGTGCGTGGTCCTGATCTATTTTCGTGTGCGGGGCCTCATATTTTTGTAGTTGATGTTACCTGGGAGTGGGCTAGCGGTGCTGCCTCGGGTACGTGTCATACGCTAGGCGAGTTGGCCATAATCACTCACCGGCTTTGCAGTTGCGGATGCGCCGACGACCCAGGAAGCCGCCACCACCAGTTCCGAGAGCGCGCCGACTACCTCTTCCTCCCCCGCCCCGCCTGCGACCACCGATGCCGCGCCGACTACGACTGATGCTCCTACGACCGCGCCTGCGTCTACATCTACGTCCGCACCCGCTACCTCCAGCAGCGCCCCCTCTGGCTCCTCGAACGAGGGCTGGAAGGTGTACCAGTCCCTGACCGGTGACACGCTCATCAACTACTTCGGTTTCGATGAGGGCCAGTCCGACAACTCTGGCGTCGCGAACTACGTGAACGGCAAGGACACCGGCCTCGTCTACACTGGCAACGACGGCAAGGTCTACATCAACGTCGACACGACGCAGAACGTCGGGCTTCGCAACTCGGTCCGCATGACTTCTGCTGAGAAGTTCAACCCAAGCACCGCGTCGTTGTTCATCTTCGACGTCGAGAAGGTCCCCGCTGTTTGCGGTGTCTGGCCCGCGATCTGGGTAAGCGAGTCTCACGAAACGTCCGCAAGCCGTCGCTGACTTTCCGTAGTTCACCGGCTCTGGCACCTGGCCGTACAGCGGTGAGGTCGATGTCATCGAGGGTGTGAACCAGTATACGCAGAACATCGTCTCCATCCACACCGGCCCGGGCTGCACCTTCGCCGACAGCGCCGTCTCCTCGCTCACCAAGGCCGCCCTCGTCTCGGGCGCGGGCCTGAACTGCGACGCGACCGTCGACACCATGGGCTGCGGCTTCTCGATGTACGACACCGCGTCGTACGGCACGGGCTTCAACGCGGTCGGCGGCGGCGCGTACGCGGTGCAGATGTCCGACGACGGCATCTCCGTCTGGTTCTGGCAGCGCGACCAGATCCCCGCGGACGTGACGAGCGGCGGGCCGAACCCGAGCTCGTGGGGCGCGAGCGTGGTCACGTACTCGTCGGCGTCGTGCGACATGAGCAGCCACTTCCAGGACTTGATGCTTATTATCACGAACAACCTCGGCGGGACGTTCCCCGAGGGTGTGTGGCACACGGCGGGCTCGGGCGGGCAGGCGCAGAGCTGCGCGGACATTACGGGCTTCGACTCGGCGGCGAACTTTGTGCAGAACTCGGGTGCCTCGTTCGCGGATGCGCAATTTGTGAGTTTTTGCTGTTGTATTCCTTTTCTCTGGACTGCGCGCTGACATGGCTCTTCCCAGATCATCAACTCCTTCACGATCTACCGGTACTAGATGCCCGTCTGGTGCCTCCGTTCGGGGCAGGCCCCGCTTTCTTGTCTATACTTCCACACACACAAGTTCCCGGGGCCGGAGTGGTGGCGACGCACACTGTAACGCGCATGGACTCTGACATGTATGTAGACGGCGGACTGACACACTCGAGCACTCCTCCCGCGTGCGCGCTTGTTGACACCACGTACCCCGCGCAGCTGGATCCTTCTTACTATGCCCTCAGTGCATGACTATTCACCTTCTCACTGCGTTTCTTACTACTCGCAGCTTCTCACTTCGCCTTTCGCGCACATTTCTACCTTTCGCGCACTTCACTGCACCTTACTATTTTACCCCACGCCCTCATAGGGTCTCACCGTTACCCTCATGGGTCTCACACCGTTACCCCCATTACCCATTGTTGTTTCTTCTCTTTGTCTCCGTGGCCCTGTGGTCTCCCTTACGGGGAACGTTCCCCTCTTTCCTACTTCCTCTCGTTTACGATGGTAATGGTAGGGTGGTATATACCAAGAATTTCAAGCTATACGCTAGGCGGTGGCGTGTTTATGATACCAAGTCGGTGTGTACGACGGGTTAACAAGATGATGAGGGGGCTCGAGGATGAACATATGGAGGGCTACAAGTTGTCTCGAGGACAGACCTTCACTGGCCATCAACGTGAAGAACGACCTGGCGGTCAACCAAAAGAACGACCGCCGAAGCGCATCCGGCTGACAGACCGATGGGTTGACAAGCGAGCTCGGACCGCGTCGCCATCTTTTGGTGACCGGGACCAGGACCGCGATAAGATTGCGCGCCATCTTCCTTCGTCATCGCGCCCAAAGTCGACATCATGGCGTCGATCTGCGTCCGGTGGTGTCTCATCGTGAGGCGATCTCACTTGAGGGAGTCGCACGATCTCACTTTCTGGGCGGCGCTTTCGGGCTTGTCAGCAACCACGTCGGCTTGTCAGCTCTCCTTTCGCTACCGTCCATATAGGATCGCGTAGGACAATAGCCCGTCGCTGCTTATAAACGCCATCTCGCCTTCGATTCGCGCGTCTATTCATTCATCGACAGCTGCGCGCCCAACCCTCAGTTCATGCTCGCCGCCCTCCGATCGCTTCTCCCTGGCCTTCACACGTTCAACGCCGCGCAATACATGTCTACCTCTGGTGTGTTGTGCATTCGCGATGTTGAGGACTTGTGCTGACGGCGATCCCCATCCTCGCTCTCTGACCCTCGACGGCGCTCCTACTTGCCTTCACCGGCGCTCCTACACCCCCTCTCTCCCACCAACCTTCCCTAATGGGGACCTCGTCTCTCCTCTTTCTTGTCCCCATGAAATACACCATTGCCCTCAACCCTCCCTCTTCCACTACCATCCTATCCTTACCTACCCCAACCCCCCTCCCTTTCCCCTCCCCCTCCCCCTCTCCTCTTCCTTCTCCCCTCCGCCTCCCCCCCAGCCCCCACCACGACCGAGCTCGCCACCTTCGCCGGCGGCTGCTTCTGGGGCGTCGAGCACATCTTCCTCAAGCACTACCCGCCGTCCCAAAATAAGGGCGTCGACCCGCCCGCGCAGAACAAGGGCGTCGACCCGCCCGCGCAGAACAAGGGCATCATCAAGACGTCCGTAGGCTACACGGGCGGAAGGGAGGACGCGGTGGAGCCGTCGTATAAGGAGGTGAGTGGTTGGGTTTTGTGTGAAGGGGTGGGGAGGGTGGGTGGAAGGAGGGAGGGTGGGGCGAAAGGAGGGAGGGTGGGGCGAAAGGAGGGAGGGTGGGGTGAAAGGAGGGAGGGTGGAATGAGTGGGTGGAAGGAGTGAGGCGGAAGGAGGACGCCTAACACAGAGCGCGAGGCTAACCCTTCCCCCAAGGTCTGCACGGGCGCGACGCAGCACGCGGAGGCGCTGCGCATCGAGTTCGACCCGAGCGTGGTGCCGTACGCCGAGCTCGTTGGTGAGTGTGCTTCTTGCCTGTTCTCTGCCATGGAGCTCTACTGCCCATTCCTCGCCACCGAGCTCTACCGCCCATGCTTCGTCATGACGCTCTACTGCCCATCCTTCGCCCTGATGCTCTACCTATCCTTCGCCACGATGCTCACCACCCCCCAGAGTTCTTCTACCGCACGCACGACCCGACGACGGTCGACCGGCAGGGGGCGGATACGGGGACGCGTGAGTGGGGTGTTTCTTCCCGGTTTGCTAATTCCTTCGCGGTTTTCTAGTTTCTTCCTGGTTATTCTAGTTCCTGCGCGTTTCCCTAGTTTCTGCGCATGTCCCTAGCTCCAGCGCGTTGCTTTGACCCCTTTCCCCCAGCCCACTCCCTTCGTTCTTCCCCCGCCCCATCCCCTCGTCTGCGCCAAACTTTACGCGCACATCCGAGCACCCCACTCCTTCGTGTTTCCCCGCCCCACTCCCTATATCTTCGCCTTCCCACCCACCCATACCCACCTTACCTTTCTGCGCGTACCCAACTAATCTCCCCCCAACAGAATACCGCTCCGCCATCTTCACGCACTCGCCCGAGCAGGAAGCGATCGCGAAGCGCGTGACGGAGGAGGTGCAGGCGAAGCATTTTACGCCCAAGGGTGAGTGGGCGAGTTTGTTTTTTGCTTCTTTCACTTCCTCCTCCCCTCCCCCTCCCTCCTCCCCCCAAAACCCAACTAACCCCCCCCCTCCCAGGCCAGAAGATCGTCACGCAGATCGTGCCGGCTGGCAAGTGGTGGGACGCGGAGGAGTACCACCAGCTGTACCTGTTCAAGAATCCGAGCGGGTATCAGTGTCCGACGCATCGGTTGCATTGGTAGGGTGGGGGTGGGGAGAGAGGGGGAGGGTGGGGAGAGGGGGGAGGGTAGGGGGAAAGGGGGAGGGGGTGAGCATGCACGCAGAGACCAGTGTCCGACGCGTTGGTAGCATTGGTAGGGTGGTGGGTGGGGAGAGGGGGTAGGGGGGCAAAGGGGGAAGGGGTAGGGTGGGGAAGAAAGGGGGGGGTGGGGAGAGGTGGGAAGGGTGGTGGCTGGGGAGAGGGGTAAGGGGAAGGTGACGATGATTGTACAGTAACGAAGAGAGCGCAGACGATGAGTGTACAGTATCGCTAGCGAAGATGGCGACGATACTCGAGAGTAGTGATATTCGCGGAGTACAAAGCGGTCGCGCGCATTCCAGTTAGAAGCGGTTGCGCAATCCAGTCAGAAGCCTTGCATATATTCCGGTATTTGTACAACTTGGGAGACACCGACATCAGGACGCGCGGAGGGTGGTCAGGTTACGAAGCACGCGGGGCGGTCGGCCTCTGCGCTGCCAGTACACAAAGAACGTCCCGCCCATCCTCATCACAAACTCGCCTGCCCACCCTTCCCCTCCCCACCCTCATCACAAACTCGCCGCCCCACCCTTCCCCTTCCCACCCTGCGCCTCCCCACCCTCCCCCGCCTGCTGCTGCCGCAGGTGCGTCGGGTGGTCGATGACGCGGCCGACGATGTTGTAGCGTTTGCTAGTAAAGGGGGGGGGTTAGTATGGGTGGTATGGGGAGCGGAAGGGGGGAGGGAAGGGGGGAAGAGGGAAGGGAAGGAGAAGGGGGAGAGGGAAGATGCGGGCAGGGGTGAAGGGGGAGAGGGTGGAACACGCGCGTTAGACAGAAAGCGGGGTACACGCGAGACGCGAAAAGGAAAGCGAGGTGGGGTGGTTGATGAGGGTGATGGTCGGGGGTGGGGGAAGGGATGGGGGAGATGGAGGGAGGCGGAGAGTGGGAAAAGGGGAAGGGAGGTGCACTCGTCAGGGGGAAGGGGTGAGGGGAGATGGGGGTAAACGGGTGGGGAGGAAGACGGGGTAAGGTGCAATGGGAGGGAGAGGGATTCAGCGCGGACGCGCCTGAAGTCTGACAACGCACGCGCCTGAGGTCTGACAACGCACGCTCGCCCCACCCACCTAAAAAACCCCCACCAATCATCCAACACCTTCCGATCGCCCTCACTCAGCCCATCATAATCCGGCACCGCGTGCTCGGGCCGGAGGGAGGACATGCCCAGACCGCGGGACGCGTCCTTGCCGGCGAAGAGCCCGTAGGAGCGGCCGGGGCCGTAGACGTCGCGTTTAGGGGAGACGTCGAAGATGGTGCCTGGGGGGGGGTTGTTTGTTAGTCCCTTCGAAATACTATGATATTGGTAGTGGGGTGGGTGGATGGCGGGGAGGGAGTGGAGGGATAGTAGTGGGAAGGGGGAGGGGGTGGGGGGTTTATTGGGGAGGGGGGGGGGTTATTGGGGAGGGGGGGGAAGGGGGGATAGTGGCGGGGAGGTTAGTTTAGGATTGGAGTTGGGTAAAGGTGGTTAGGATACGAAGACAGGGCGGAAGGGGTTGGTGATGTGCTCGGTGGGAGGGTGGTGGGTATGGGATATATGTGGTGGTGGCGAGAGATCGTGCGCGTCCGCGCGTGTCTGCGTTGGAACCCTCGTCTGCCCTCCCTCTCCTCGGCCTATCCTCATCCCTCCCTGCCCTCCCCCAGCGCACCTTCCCCTCGCCCTTCCCCTCGCCCTATCCTCTCCCCCCTCGCCCTATCCCCTCGCCCCTCGCCCTATCCCCTCGCCCCTCCCTCCCCCCACTCACAACCAACTCCCCATCGCACTCCCTCGCAACCCGCCCCCACTCACGACCAGGCCCCCTTCCTACCCCCCGCGCCCCCACTCATTCGCAATCGACACATTCGCCCTCACCCACTCCCTATCCCCCCCGCCCTCACCCACTCCCCATCGCCCTCACCCACCCACAATCGACACAACAGCCCCCACTCACCCTTAATCGACACATAGATCGGCTTCGCCGGGTCCGTCCCGTCGAACGCGGCGAGGTCCGCGAGCGTGAACGGGTCGTCCTTGGGCGGGAGCAGGTTCGGGTTCTCGGCTTGCATGATGGACTTGGGGGTCTGGGGAGGGGTGGGTTAGTGACGGGAAGGAGGGGGTTAGTGGGTGGGTGATGGGTGGTGGGGGTTAGTGAGCTGGACAGAGGGTAGTGGGGCGGTGAGGGAGAGAGGAGGTGATGGGTGGGTGACGGGATGGGGTGGAGGATTGGAAGGGTGAGGGAGTGCGTGATGGGGTGGGGGTTAGTGGGGATGGGGGAGGGAGAGGCGCGGGGGATGGCGCGCGTGTGATGGGTTGGAGTCGAGGGTATGGGAGACGATGTAAAGGAGGGCAGTGTCGTATGGTCAGGAGCGCGGGGTGGTATCGGCAGGAGCGCGGGGTGGTATCGGCAGGAGCGCGGGGTGATATCGTCAAAAGCGCAGCGATGATACTCACAGCCTGTGCAGCGGAACTGGAAGCAACGGTCGTGGACGCGGTTGATGGCGTCGAGGAGCCTGCGCGGGACTGTGGTTAGCCGCCGTCGAGCGCGTGGGGCAAGAGGGTTCCGATATGTGGAGGGTTAGGATCTGGTGGAGAGAAAAGATTCAATGCGCGAAGGAGGACGACGACTCACGACGACGACGGAAGACAGCAAAGTAGAGCGTGAGCGGCGCGAGGAAGGAGACGGCGTATATCACGAGCCTCTCGACGCCGGCGTTCATGTCGATGACGCGGCAGACGCGGGATCGCGGGACCAGACGCGGCGATGGGGTTGGGCAGGCCAATCACGATGCCCCGGTACCGGCGATAGCGGACCGCGTACCGGCTTGCTCGTGTTTGCCCTATCTTTTGTGGCGTCCCCGATCGGGCCCTTGAAAAGGGCCCCGGGCACAATTTTTACTCTTCGATTCTTCCACAATCATAAACGCCCATGACGATCTCCCCGCGGTGCAAAGAGCTGAGCACGACCCGTCTGGCGCGGGCTTGGGCTGGTGGGGAAGCTGACGACGCGAGTTGTCGGTGAACCTGGCGATCGCGGTCGTCGGGACCTCGCCAGCCTTTGAGCCTGCGCCGGGCGCGCGGTCGGCGTTGACCTCGCCCGTTCGGCACCATTACCTTGTTACTATCAAAGGGACGGGCCGTATGAATCTGATGGCGTTCTCGAGTGTGTTTTGTGGGAGATGCAGATACAGTAGAGTAGGGTGGTGGGGGGACGGACTAGATGTGCAGTAGACCGACGAGGATAGGATAGGATAGGAATACAGGAATACGATCCGGAGCGTTCGATTCATTACTGTTGATGTATCCAGTACTGATCCCGCTGAAGTGGCTGAGCGTCAAGACTGTGGTACGCGCCCGAGTTGGATGGGCTGAAGGAGGGGACTTGCGCAGTGTAATCTCACTGTAAGTGATGTCATGGAGATCGATCGTACGTCCTGCCCGAGGGCGTATCTGGTCGTTGGCGCCTGTCTATGCGTTCACGACGCACGACGGCTTTGCTTGTACGACGCTCGACGTCTTCGCCTGTATGACAGTCGACGTCTCCCAAACGGCTCCGTGCCTATACGCGATGGTTCCGCGTCTACGACGGCCGACGTAACCCTGTCCACGACACCCGACGCCGCCGACCGTCTGCGCCCATCCGTCCTCGCTGATCGGTTCGGCACGTCCCCAGCCTATCGGACCTTCTACGCGTCCACATCCATCGACTCTACGCCACCGACTCTATGCGTCCTCAACTATCGACTCAACGCGTCCGCGCCCTTCACCTCTGTCCGCCTGTGACGCCTCCCTGTAGCGCGCACGTCTGACCCAGCACGTACGTCCTCTGGCCTGCCGTGCGGTACGTTCTTCGACCTACCGTCGCGTACTCTCGGACCTTCCGTGCGGTGCGACTAGGGGCCTATACTGTCATCTGCTTTCTCGTCCGACCGTGCGATAGTAGATAGTAGACACGCTCCAGAGTCTACCGTCGTCCCTTCATTCAACGCAGAATCCATCCCGTCAACGAGCCGTCGTGCGCCACCCAGCCCTCTCAGCCGTCGCACGGCATCTAGCCCGCTCAGCCACCGTACGACGCGCCACATCCTATGCTTTTGGGTACAACGCCCTGCCCCTCAAGCACACTCGCACACTCGCTCATAATCTCCCTCAGTTACGCCTATCTCCTGCATACCAGATGATGCATCGCGCACTCGGCCTGCAAAGGCCTTCGCGCGTCCTTGCTTCCTGACAACCTATTGCGCGCCCTGCCTGCGAAGCCATCCCGCGTCCTGCCTGCAAAGTCATCGCGCGCTCGGCCTACGAGGGCATCCCGCGTCCTGCCTGCAAAATCATCGCGCGTCTTCCCTCCCTTTCGCCGGCCCTCCCCCACCTCCTCCCCTCTTCCCCCTCACCCCTCTTCCCCCTCACCCCTCCCCCTCCCTCCCACCTTCTTCGCTCCCCCCTTTCCTCCCCTTCCCTCCATCCTCCTTCGTTCCAACCTCCAACCTCCTCCACTTCTCCCTCCCCACCCCTCTGTACGCGGAACGAAGCGAAAACGCGCGCGCTCTGCCATCCTCCCTACGCGCGAGCGCAGACACCCCCCTACGCGGGCGGGCGCTTGGCATCCCCCTTACGCGCGGGCGTAGGCGTCCCCCTTACGCGCGGGCGGGTGCGGACGTCCTCCTACGCGCGGGCGCAGACGTTCCCCATACGCGCGGGCGTAGACGTCCCTCCTACGCGCGGGCGCAAACGTTCCTCCTACGCGCGGGCGCAAACGTCCCTCCTACGCGCGGGCGATCCTCCCTACGGGCAGGTGCAGACGTCCCTTCCACGCGCGGGCGCGGACGTTCCTCCTACGCGCGGGTGCAGGCGTCTACCCTACGCGCGGATGTGGGCAGACGTCCCTCCTAGCGCGGGCGCGCAGGCGCGGAGAACGAAGAAGGAGGCGTCCTCCTCGCAGAGCGAAGGGGAACCCGCGTCCCCTCTCAAAGCGAAGGATCAATGCGGCCCCTCGCAGAGCGATGGAAAGTCGACCCCCTCGCGGAGAGCGAAGGCTGCGCCCCATCGCAGAACGCCGGGAAGCCGCCCCTTCTCAAAGCGGACGATAAATGCGCCCCCTCTCAAAGCGGAGGATGGATGCTCCCCCTCGCACAACGAAGGAGGCGTCCCTCACGGAGAGCGATGGAAAGTCGCCCCCTCGCAGGACGCTGGAATACCGCCCCCTCGCTGAACAAAGGACGCGTCCCCTCAAAGCGATGGAAGACCGCGGCCCCTCACGGAGAGCGATGAAAAGTCGCCCCCTCGCAGGGCGATGGAAAGTCGCCCCCTCTCAAATCGATGGAAAACCGCGCCCGCTCTCCCCCCGCAGAGCGGACGATAAATGCTCCCCCTCGCAGAGCGGAGGATAAATGCGCCCGCTTCCCCCTCGCAAGACGATGGATAAATGCGCCGAGAGGGAGGGGACCACGGAATGGACGGAGGGAGAGGAAGCGACGGGGCGGACCGACGGAGAGGAGGGTGCTGGCGGGCAGAGGCTCGGAGGGTGATAGCGAGCAGAGGCTCGGAGGGTGATAGCGGGCAGAGGCTCGGAGGGTGATAACGGGCAGAGGCTGGGAGAGTGGTGGCGCACAAAGCACCGGCCATCCTCCTCTTCCCTCTTCCCTCTTCCCTCTTCCCACCTACATCCCTCTTCCCACCTACATCTCTCTTCCCTCTTCCCTCTTCCCTCTTCCCTCTTCCCTCTTCCCCAACTGCTACAGCCAGGGGTAGGGGGTGGTGGTGGTGGCGGTGGGAGGGGGTGGTTGTCCCGAACCCCTCGTGGTGCGGGGATAACCCTCTTCGTCGTGGTGCAGGGCTAACCTGCCTCCCCCCTCGCACCGGAGCACAGGGCGAACCCTTCCCCTCGCACCGGAGCACAGGGCTAACCTGCCTCCCCCTCGCACCGGAGTACAGGGCTACCACCCCCCCCTCGCACCGGGGCGCAGGGCTAATCTCCCTCCCCTCCTTCCCTCGCGCACCCCCCCCCCCCCAACACGCACACACACACGTACACACACACACACGGTGGCGCCCAGACGGAGGGAGGGAGAGGACGAGGGCGAGGGAGGGAGGGAGGGGAAAGGAGAGCGCGAGGGGGAGGGAGGGGGAGGGAGGGTCCCACCAACGGCGAGGACATGGACCGACGGGACGAGGGCTAGCTCACCGACGGGACGAGGACATGGACCGACGGGACGAGGACACGAGGACAAGGACCGACGGGACGAGGACATGGAGGACCGAGGGCGAAGCATCGCCCGCCTGCGTTCGCCCTAAGCATCCGTTCCCCACCCTCAAGCAACCGCCCGCGTTCTCCCAGAGCAGTCGTTGGTACCGACGCTCGAATGGTCGTTGGTACCGATGCCCAAGTCGTCGCTGGTATCGACGCACAAGCAGTCGTTGGTCCCGACGCTCGAGTGGTCGCTGGTACCGACGGTTAAGCAGTCGCTGGTGCCAACGCCCAAGCAGTCGCTGGTCCCGATGCCCAAGTAGTCGCCGGTATCGACGCCCAAGCAGTCGTTGGTACCGACGCTCAAGCAGTCGCTGGGCACCGACGCCCGCGCAGTCGCTGGTCCCGACGCCCAAGTAATTCGCTCCTCCGCTTAGAAGTAGGGCGCTGGTCCCGACGCTCGAGTACTTCGCTCCTCCGCCTAGAAGCAGGGCGATTCTCCGCCTAGAAAGAGGGCGCTCCTCCAACTAAATGGAGGGCGCTGGTGCCAACGCACGACGTTCGGTGTTCCTCATCGATGGAGGTGGGCGAGAGCGCTGTCGCGAGGGACGAGCGGTGTTCGACAAGAGAAGAGAGCGCTGTTTGATGAGGGAGGAGCGCTGTTCGATGAGGGAGGAGCGATGCTCGACGAGGGAAGAGCGCTTGACGACGAGGGATATTATGCGCGACAACGGGGCCAGAGGATGCTTCCTGCGATAGGGACGAGGGAGGAGCGCTGTTCAACGAGGGATGCTATCCGCGATAGAGACGAGGGAGGCTATCCGCGGAGGGGTCGGGTGCTACCTGCGAGAAGCTTCCCCACGCCCCCCTGCCTCACCCACCCGCGAAGGTCCCTCACCAACCCGCGAAGGTCCCATTCCTCACCCACCTGCGAAGGACCCCTTCGCCCACCCCCAAATGACCCTCGCCCACCCGCGAACAACCTATCGCACCCACCCCCAAACAACCCTTATCCGCCTGCGAAGGACCCCTTCCGCACCCACCACCAAATAGCCCTCACCTACCCGCAAAGGTCCCCCACCCACCCACGAGGGATCCTCACCCCACCTGCGAAGGATCCCTTGCACCCACACACAGAGGACCTATCGCATCTGCCCCTCCCCCCGCGGGCGGCATCAATGGACGTGAGGGGGGGCATCGGTGGTCGTGAGGGGGGGGGGGGGGGGGCATCAGTGGACGTGAGAGGAGGGGGGGGGAGCATCAGTGGTCCTGAGGGGCGCGGTTGTCCGCTTGCTCAAGAAGGCCCTCGCCCTTCGTACGCAAGCGAGCCCTCGCACGCCGTGGGCAAGCGAGCCCTCGCACGCCGTGCGATAGAGAGCCCTCGCGCCCCGTGCTCAAGAAAGGCCCCCGTACCCTGTGGGATAGAGAACCCTCGTACCCCGTGCGATAGAGAGCTCTCGCTCACCGTGCGATAGGGAGCCCTCGCCCTTCGTGCGATAGAGCCCTCGCACGCCGTGCGCAAGCGACCCCTCGCTCGCCGTGGGATAGAGAGCCCTCGCACGCCGTACGAAACTAGATGATAGACGTTTGGGACGGGTCGAGAGAGCGCCTGAAGGTCGGCTTCTCGCGAGGGCGCCTGAAGGTTGGCTGCTTCAGAGAGAGCCTGAAGGTCGGCTTCCCGCGAGAGCACCTGAAAGTTGGCTGCTCGCGAGAGAGCCTCAAACTCCACCGTGCGTGATTAGAACCAAGGTGAGTCGGCCTCTCTTTGTGGTCTGTTCTAATCACCCTCTTTTTGTGGGTTATCCCCCCCCCCGGGCTCCCGCATTCCTTGCACCCCTGCGTATGTTATACAGACGCTCACGCCATGTATGTTTTGCAGACGCTCGCTCCATCTATATTTTGCAGATGTTCACGCCATCTTCGCACTCCCAGGGCTTCCAGCTCCGGACTTTCAGGACTTCCATCTTCGGACTTTCAGGACTTCTATAAACACAGCGCGAAAGCGAGATGTACAGGATAAACAAGAGATATGCAAGAAAGTATAGCGGAGACTATGCAAGTTGTTCGCGGAACGTATGCGATATGCGTGCGGAATAGTTGGATGGGATGATGTGCGTGTGGATGGATAGGATGATGTGCAGTGCGGAGTAGCTGAGTGTGTAGGTATCGCGGAATATGTGTGTGCGGATACGGTCTGCTGACGCGGTTCTGTAGTGCAGCGCAATAGCTGGCGGGTTGTGCAGTCACCGAAAACACTCCTCGCACCCCATCACCCGGCCCACCTCCTCGTGCGTGCGGTGGTAGCCGAGCCTTCTCCTGCGCGCCCCCGTTGCCCCGCCGCGGCGGAGGGTGCCGAAGGGGCCGTGGGTGAGGGGTGGGGGGTGGGGTTGGGTGGGGATGAGGGGTGATGTGTCTTTGCTGGTACCACCCTCGCTATCCCCCGGGAGTGAAGGATCGGGGAACGCGACGGCGGAGAGGGGCACGGGGTCTAGGCCGGCGGTGGTGCGCTTCCGCTTCGTTCCTCGGCAGCCGGCGTGCGCAATGGTGGAGGAGGAAGTCGCGGACGCGAAAGAGGAAGTTGCAGACGTGAAAGAGGAGCTCGCAGGATACGCCACCGCGCCCGCGAGGCGATCGTCGAGGAAGGAGGTGCTGGGGCCGAGGTAGGAGGCGGCGGGGCGGGGGGTGGGCGCAGACGAGCCAGCTACGATAGACGTGGGTGGAGACAGTCCAACGACGGCGGACGCGGTCGAAGACAGTCCGACCACGGCGGACGTGGTTGGAGACAGTCCAACGACGGCCGACGCGGTTGGAGACAGTCGCGCAGAGGTCGACCGCGCGGCCAGCGAGGACAGCTCCGCGCAGGTACCCAGATGCGCTCTCGCTTCTGCGACGATGGAGTTGAAGGACGCGCTTGAGGTGAGGGTGGTAGGTGCGGAGGAGGAGCGGGGGCGCGCGGCGTTGTTGGTTGGTGTCCCGGAAGGCGCGATGCTCGGTGTCGCGGAAGGCGCGGTGCTCGACAAGGAAGGCGCGGTGCTCGATAACGACTGCACGCCTCCCGCCAACTGCACTTGCACGCCTCCCGACACCCTAGAAGGTTGCGCCTGCACGCCACCGCTCGCCGTCGATGGCCGCGCCTGTACGCCCCCCTCACCCACCGCCGGTCGCACCTGGACACCACTACTCATCGTCGCGGGGTGCGCCTGCACACCACCGCTCGCCGTTCTCGGTTGTACTTGCGCACCATTTTCTGCTACCACCGGGTGCGCCTGCGTACCTCCCTCGGCCACCTCTGGCCGCACCTGCGCACCACCCTCAGCCACTTCCGGCCGCGCCTGCACGCCCACATCGCAATAGCCGTGGCGGCTGGGGCTCGTCGCTGCGTCGGCGGTGCTGGGCGAGGCGGTTATGGATGTGTCGGTGGTGGCGGGCGAGGCGGTTATGGACGCCTCGGTGGTGTTTGGGAAGGCGTGGATAGCGACGGAGCAGGTCGAGGGTGCGGCGTGAATTGAGGCGTTGGCGAGGGCAGGGGCGGCGCCGACCGCTGCGTCGCGTGTCTGGTGGACGACGCCGACAGCGGCGTAGGCGGTGGTGCGAGCGACACCGACAGCTGCGTCGCGCGTCTGGTGGACGACACCGACAGAGGCGTCGCGCGTTTGATGGACGGCGCAAACAACGGCGTCGGTCATCCGACGGACAGCGCCGACAGCCACATCCGCCGTGGTGTGCTCGGCGTAGACCCCCGCATCGACCGTCCGGCGCACATCGCCAACGCCAGCATCTGCCGTCCGGTGGACTGCATACACACCCGCGTCGTGGACTGCATACACACCCGCGTCGGCAGTCGCATACGCCTCACCCACGCCGGCATCGGTGGTCGTATATGCCTCGCCTACGCCGGCATCGGCGGTCATATACGCCTCACCCACCCCAGCATCGACCATCCTCTGCTCAGCGTGCACGCCGGTATCCGCGGTGGTGTTCCCCACGACGGCACCGACCATCGTGTTCCCGACGGCGGCATCGAGCGTTTGCAGCGCATGCGTCTCCGTCTGCGCGGTGCTGAACTCGCGCGTCGCCACCTGCGCAGCGCGGAAGGCGCGCGGAGACGTTTGGGTGGTTTGGGTGGTGTGCGTATGGGTGGTGGTGGACTGCGTCGAGGTACGCTCGATGGAATGCGTCGAGGTCTGCACTGACCTCGTCGAAGTCGCCGCGTCTGCGAGAAGGTGGTGAGCCCTGTGTACATGATCCATAACTAAAGGCTAACCTTGAATAGAGTTCCCTGAGGCCTTCGTCGACGGCCCGGCAACCACCTCCATCGAAGGCTCGGTGACCTCCGTCGAGTGCTCGCTGCCCTGCGTCGTCGGCTCCGTCGCGTACGTCGAGGCCTCCGACGCTCCGCCGGAGAATTCGATGCCCTCCATAGCTTGCACTGCGAACTCCCGCTCTGCGTGTTCGGCCGCTTCGACTTGATGGTCATCCATAGAGGAATTGTCGCTGTCCTTCCTCGAGCCCCCCGCCCCCACGTCCTCAACCTGAGGCTCCGCCCGAGCCTTCCCCTTCCCCTTCGCGCTCTTCTTCGGCGAGCGACCCGCCCTCGCTTGCTCGTATTGCGCATGCAGCCTCTGCTTCGCATGCTGCGCGCTCTGCCGCGGCGCTGGGATGCGTGTCGGCTGCGCGTGCGGTTGGGGGATGCGCGTCGGTTGGGTTGCTGCGCCGCCGATGGTGGGTCGCGAGCCTGACTTGCGAGGTGGCGCGGGTTGGGCGTCGGCGGTGCCGGTTTGGGTGGGCTGGGCGTCGGTGGGTTGCGTGGGTTCAGCATCGATGATGCGTTGGGTGGTGGGCTGCGAAACCTGCTGAGAGACTGCATCAAGGACCTGGGTCATCGTCTTCCTGCTGGGCTTCGCGGGCTTCGAAGCAGGCATCGTCGCATCTGCCCCAGTCGTCGCCGCCGCCGCCTTCACCTTCTCCCTGGACCCCAGGTTGCGCTGCATCAGCCGCCCCGAGGGCCGCTTCGTGGGCTTTGGGTTGGGGATCGGGGTGTCGTCGTCGTCTTCGGTCTGCTCGATGGCTTTGGATGTGCTGGGCTCGCCAGCCTCGTTGCGCGGGGTGGGAGCCTCGTCCTCGCCATCTTCGAGCTCCGAGAGCTCCGACTCATCGTCGTCGGCCAGAGCAGCGGAGGCGGAGGTGGACGCGCGAGAGGCAGAGGCTCGAAAGGGCGTGCGCTTGTTCGTGGACGCGCTGCGTTTGGTGGTGGTGGTTGCGGCTGGTTTGGCCGCAGCTTGTTTCGCCTTCGACTTGGTCGACGGCGCCTCAGTCGCCTTCGCGCTGCGCTTGGTGGATGCTGCAGTCGGCTTAGCATACGCTGCCGTGCGCTTCTTGATTTCTTTGGATTGCGATGGACCATGCCTAATGGATTGCGATGGGCCCGCTAATTCCGGTGTGGGCGATCTCGATGCTGAGGGGAAGGTGCCGTTGGTGGTGGTTTGGGTAGGTTTCGGCTGGGTTCTGCCAAGTGCGTCAGCTAAACTGTTCGCAGGGCGAGGGCGAGGGGCACAGAATGGGAATTGGGTGTGCGAAGGCCAGGAGTGCGTGCGATGTAGAGGAACGGGTACGTGAGATGCGGGGGAACGCCACTGATCAGGACGACGCGCCAGGATGCCGAGAGATCTGCCCAACTACCCAACGAACGAAGGACGCGTTCCCGCAAAGAAGGTGCAACGACCATAGATCTACGCGCTGGACAGCACACCCGCGGACCATGTATGCGTAGCCCTTGAGAGGTGCGATCTAGCTCCCCATCTACGCCCAGTGCCCAACACTTCCCCCCAGTCCTAATGACTGCACAGTACCCAGCGCCTGATATCCAACGTACAACAGGCGAGGAAGCAGATACTCACCTCAAGCCCATATTGTGCTTGCGCGGCGACCTCCTCCTCCTCGTCGTCGCCTCGCTCGTTCCTTCGTTCTTCGTCTCTGAGTCCTCCCCCTCATCCCCGATCTCCTGCGTGTTCTTCTTCGCCCTCTTCTTTTGCGTCTCCTCCGTCTTGACTTGCTTCTTCGCCGCGCTGAGCGCCGCGTCGCCCGCGTTCTTCTTTCCCGCCCTCTTCTTGACGTAGCCCTGGCGATTGAAGGGCGTCGTCGCTGTCATAACGGGTGAGGTAGGTGGGTAGGTAGGGAGGTTAGTGTGTGAGGAGTAGTATGTATGAGGGAATAGTGTGTGCGAGGTAGAGAGGCAAGTGTGCAGGGGAGTAGGTATGTGCGCGTAGATGGTGGTCGGGAGTAAGTTGATGTGATGGCTATTTGGTCACGGATGGCAATCTCGCGTGGCTGGCCGCTCTGCCAGTACCCAACGCGTGCTGTAGTCTACTCTGCTGTAGTGCGCTGATGGTATGTCGCGTCTTCGCAGCCTAGTCTGCTGCTTGCGTAGTGTAGGATAGCGTGTGTTCGTGGCGCGTCAATGAAAACCAAAACTTCGCCACACGACGCGTGTATGTTGCTAGCACAGTATGTGATAGAAGTAGAGCACGCGCAAGGAAAAGGGTTAAGGTTAGCCAGCACGCAGCGCGAGGTGGTGAAAGGGAAGAGCAAGAAAGGTGATGGTCCAAGCTGCCCTTGTGTGGCGAGACAGGGGCTAGGACAACATGCGCCAACATCACGTGAGCGGCTCGTGGCAATCAACGTCACCTTGGCCAGATTGGGAACAATGGCGCGTCGCGCGTTGTAGCATGTGATAAAAGGACGAGAGTACGAGGGTGAAGGTCGAAGAGGATGCAGGGTAGTGCGAGTTCCATAGCGCGAGAAGTCTTCGACTAGAAGCACACAATCACACTCAACACAAGATTCGTTCCATTCTGCAAAGTCCGACACGATGGATACATAACAGAGTGCTATACCAGTCCGCATAGTAACAAGCCTGCCTACGCATATAACGTCCGAGGTCGATATCAAGGAGAGTCTAGATGAGTGGGGGTGTTCCCGTCGTAATGCAGCCAAAATCCACTTGTCCATATTGCAGTCGAAGCAAACAAGTGATCGATTCGAGTAAGAAAGTGAACGACCCGAACGACCAAGCGACCAATATCCAGTGTCCTACGAGAACCTACTCGGGAACCTTTTGCATTGTGAAGGGACCCTCCCAGAAGATCTCAGACGCGCCCTCTGCGGCACCGCCTATGCCTATAGGGAAGGAGACTAGTCAGCGATGGATCCAAGGATAGCGAAGGGGGAGAAAAGGGATACAAGGAAGGCGAAGAAATCAACGATCACTCACCTCCATTCTGCCCAAGCACGACCTGCCCGATCATCCCCCGCGGGAAGACGATGCGCCACGTCCCGACAAAGTTCTGCCCGCCAATAACATACCCGTAGAAGAACGTATAGTACGCGGAGCTGATCCCGGGCGGCGAGAAGCGCGAGTCTGCGAGGATAGGTCAGCGTTCGCACCAAAGATGAACCGACAGCGCAGTAGAGACGGCGCCGCCATCAACCAACTACTCACCTCTCTTCGGGAACCTCAGCAGCCCAATCATCCCGTCGCACGGACGCACCCGGCCGTATAGCTCGTAGTCGTACAACGCCGCCGCATCTTGCTCGTCCACGGTGCCATGCAGCAACACCGACGACACATGGTTGCACGCCTTCAGCGACCGCGGCGGCAGCACGCGCCGCTGGCACTCTGCGCACGGGCCCTCGTCCTCCTCGTCTTCGCCCTCGCCATCCCCCTCGGCTTCCTCCTCCTCTGTCGGCACCGAGAAACTCTCCCGCACGGGTATGCCGAAGGTGTACAAGTAGTCCCGCGACGGCCGCCGTGGGCAGCAGCCGCACTCCTCGCACTCGACCTCCTCCAGCCCAAGCCCGACGCTCTCGAATATAGCATCGACGTCTTCCTTCCCGCTCCCGAATCGTTCGCGCAGCTTACAGCCCGCACACTCCTCGGGCTTGCGGTCAGAATCGTCGTCGGCCGGCGCGTACGCCTTCTTGTGCTCCTCAAGCGAGCGATAAACGTATTTCTTGGGCCCCGAAAAGACATCGCACTTCTTGCCGTCCTCCGAGACTGCGAAGGAGGTGTTGTAGGGCAGCCACCCTGTGCGCGCGTCGTCCCGTCCGGGGAGCCGAGCGTCGTCCGCGATGGGCGCGACGAACTCGCTGATGCGCCACGCGCTGAAGTTCATGACGAGCTCCGACATCTGCGCGTCGAACAGGGGCGTGCGCACTGGTTCATGCAGCGCATTTTGTAGATAGTGCAGTTGAGGGAGCTGGAAACATGGGTGAGTCGATGAGTACGATGAACCCCGAAGGAGTCGGGGACGAGGACAGGACGGAGGTAGGAAGACAGTGCAAAAATACGGATGAAGTGCTATTAGATGGACGTACGAGCATTCTACCCCTCCAGAGGCCTGTCATGGTGCCGGGCTCGTACATGTGGCTCATGCGGATGGAGTCGCAAAGGGCGGAGGGCGGGTGGTTGTTGTCGTCTAGGATGAGCAGTTGAGTCATGATCTGAGAAAAATAGGGAAGATGCACACATCCGACCAGGGCTGAGCTCATGAGACAGCGCATCGTGTCCGCGTCCCATTGCAGGGAGGTCGGATAGTGGGGGTCCCGGCGCGGTAGCGGTGTGCCTCTGTGTTGGTTGTACTTGCGTATGTCCTCTTTCGTGAGCTCTACCTAATGGAAAGTTACACTTGAATAAACAGGCGAACGCATATATGGACATGTACGTACCTCGAAAGGTATATGAGATCCTTCCTCCTGCCTGCGGCGCAAGTACGCCTCCCACCGCGACTGGTAGTCCTCCGCCAGATGGTCCGGCACTTGCAACTCGCTCAGCTCCTGCCTCGCGAAGTAATGCAACTTCGCCACGCTGGACACAAGCGGGAGCGAGAAGTCGAAGTCGCGCCCAGCGTACGGCCATACGTTGGGCGTAGTATGCGATGGGCGGGCCATATGAGACTGGCGAGCGCGCGGGTAGATGGGGTAGGCGCCGTGCACGGTGACGAGGTCGGAGTGGGGTAGACCCTGCGGACCGTCGGCAACGGGCGGGTAGAAGCACTCCGCCGGTAACTCGCCGGCGGGATACTGATGGATGAATGGTGAGCTAGAAGAGGACAATAGGCGAGGGGAGACGCACGCGGAAGGGCATAAGAATGAATGGAAGGAGACCGCGCCTCAGACGCTCCCTTTCTTGCGGTGGCTCGGCGAGCAGGTGCTCTGTGGATGGTTGAGAAGGTTATGGATGCGGCGAATCAGCTTACGCACCAGGCGTTGTCAAGATCCACGCTGCTGAGAGCGCGGACAGAAGCACTTCGTCTTGTTCGGGCCAGGGAATCGGGCCCTTCACTTCGTCGAGGCTCAGGCGGCGGCGCACATACGCCATCACGAAGCTGTATGTATGCCACTGCTCGAGCATCTCACGCGTCTTCCCGTCGTCCATGATAAGCAGCGCATATATGCCCATGATTGCCGCGTCCACATCCGGGTGGTCGAGCGGCGTGTGATTGACGATGGGGGTGCGGACGTAGTTGAGGACAACGTCGAGCAGCTCGCCCAGGTCCTCTGGCCGTATGCGTCCGTTCACATTCCCGAGATCCTCTTCCGGGCAGCTGGTGGCGAGCCAGTCGCAGCGACGGATGACGGCCTCCATGTCGAAGATCTCGCGGCAGATGTGTCCCTTCTCAACGAGGGACTCGAAGATGGGCGCGAGGTGGATGGTGCAGGTTAAAGCGAGATGCTCAGGTGCGGCAGCGTCGTCGCAGGCGACCAGGTACACGGCGACTTCGTGCAGGAGCTCAGCGGGAAGGACGCAGAGCCTGGACGCGCACATGCGAGGGGAATGCATTGTGGGGGAGGGCGGCGTGTGGACGCGTATACCTTTATAAGCCGCTTTTTGGGTGCCACCGTGGAAGTGGGAGACAAGGGGCGGTGTTCTGGATGTGGGGGAGGTGGATTATACGCGACATGGCGCGGGAATTCAACGGCGGTAGGGTCCGTTGGACGACACGAGATGGGGGTTAAACTCCGCCAGTATTCTCACGGATGATGCCGTCAACCGTGTATGCCGCCCGCCGGCACCTGCGGTTCGTAACCCACCACGTGCCAAAAGCGGCGGATATGTGCTTGCTTCCAAAAGCGGATGCCATTGTTCTCCGCTCATCATCCCCCTGAAGCGCGAACCGCCGCCCGATGACTGATACTCCGTCATCCTCCCTTGATGGGCCATACACTCTCTCCTCCGCCCAATGCAGAGCTTGTGAACTTCAGCATGTCTACGTACGCAAAACTCTCCCTCGCATCCGGTGGGTTGTTGCGTTATGTTCGCCGCTGCGAGCGCCACCAGCGGACTACTCAACCAGCCGGAGATGAACCTCACGCACCTGCCTACCGACCACCCAATCTGACACCGACCCATTCGCATTGACCGGCCCGCCCTCGGCAAACCCTCATGCAATCGTCGAGAGCGCTCACTAAACTATTACGTACCACCCCGTACGACCCTCCCTTGCCCGCCCGCGAGCTCCCGCTGTCTGGCCCTCGTCCCCTGCCCTTTTTCGTGCGTCAACCGCGCGTCAGCAATCCCGAGAAGACCCGGCCATTCAGAAGGGCTCGGGCACCGCAACGCGTCTGACCGCGAAGTCTGCGCGAACCGGGGGCCCTGCGACGGTCTTAGCAGCTAGAAGCACTGTATAACCTCTAGGTGTAGTATTCATAGTCTGAAGTCTGAATGTACCTTACTGGCCATGCTGCATACTCTTCGCAACCCTTCGCTTGCCATGCAGCCCACCCTCGACCCTTTGCCCAATCAGCCAACTCGCTTTTCGCAGCCGTCGAGCGTGGAGGAGCCCGGTCCCCATTACCTCAAAAAACGCGCGCCACATCAGGAAGGCTGGTGTCGATGCCTTCACCGCAGTGTCGACGCTCCCACCCCCGCGATGTCGATGCCTCCACTGCAGTGTCGATACCTTGACCGCAGTACCGGCGCGTGGGACGAGGATCCCCTCACATTCAGCGCTCGACGTCCTGTCGGACGACCTTCTTCCCATGAATCTTCCTCTTCGGGTGCTCGTCCTCTCATGACCGCTTATTCGCGGCCTTCCACCGTGTTACTGTGCGTGACTTCGCTTGATTGATTGGGACCTCCGTTGTTGTTGACTGTAGCCCGCTGCCGTTATGCCGTTATGCTGTTGTTCGCGGTGGCTCTGCTGCTGTTCGCGGTGCTCCTGGTGCTGTTATTTGCTCCCACATCCTTCCCTGATAATTCGGAATGCTCTCACACAACTCTCACATCCAATTTCCGCGTGATTCGGTCGGACGACGGTGTTCAAATGGAAGACCTGCCTCTCTGAACGCAACTTCTACGTCGACATAACCGGGGGCGCGGTCTAGACTCGCTAGGCATCCTAGTCTCGTGGGTCAGGCGGGGATACAGGAAGGGCGCTCGTTCTCAGACGGAGCGCACAGAGAAAGCTAAGCAGAGGTAGCTGAACCGACAAACCTACGAAAGCCTACCGGACGGGCTAACCCTACGACTCGATTACTGCCTTAGTCGCGCTGGGACGCATGGACGCTGCGAGGCGATGATCGACTCGACTCTGCAACGCGAAAATGGACTTCACGACGCGTGATGCCGGTCTCTGCTCCGCGAGGAAGGACGATTCGACGCGTTGGCGGTCTCTACGACGCAAACGGGACCCTCGGGGGCCAACAACCTCACAACGCGACGACGGAGATGAAGGGCTGGCCGTCTACCTGGCAAGACGCGCGCTGTGAGCTGGTTACCGGGATAACGTGTCCCAGGGATGTGTGTGCCACTGCTACGTGACGAGGACCTTCGCCTTACGACTCGCAGCAATAACTTTAACACCAGCACCCTTACGCCAGCACGGCCCTCACAACTCGACGACGGAGATGAAGGACGGTCTACCTTTGTTCCTGCAGTACCTAAACCCGCTACGCAACTTGACGATAGCTCTCCACACAACTCGACATCCCGTGCAACGTGTGGTGAGTCTAGACATGCAAGGGCAGAACTCCGTCGCAGGAGAGGTTACAACTTCGTCGCAGGTACGAACCCCGTCGCCACAGTAAGTCGTTCATTTCCGTCTTGTGTTTCTTCCTTGACCTTCCGTCTCGTCACCTCTTTCACCCTCCAACCCTTGCCATACAGTTCATCTCCGTCCTTGTAGCATGCGCCCTTCACGACCCGGAGACTTGCGACCCTCGACGCGCCACAAATCCCAAGCGGGCCACAGGTAATCTCCGTTTGCTCGCAGCGCAAGCCAAACTCGAGTACCTCTGCTCGATGTCCGTTGCTTCCGTACATTCGCCACCATCTTCGCAGTCATCGTGGCCCTGAAATCTCTCGCGGTCTTGGTGCCATAGTTGCTGGTCGTCGCAAGTATCCTCGACGCCGCCATACTCTATTTCTGACCCTATTTTACAGGCTAATGTTCCACCCTTTCCACGTACAATGCCTATTTACCACGCGTCCCACAATGTTCATCTGCCACGCGGTGTCCGCTCCCAGCTGCCACGCCGTCCCCATTCCTCCGCGCCCTCGTGTAAATTTCTCCGACCTTTGGTCAAACCTTGACGCCCATCGTCCTCGACTCGGCAGCCCCCGGTGTCCCTGGCCTCTTCACGTACGCCACCGCGGCTCTGCCTCAGCACCGAGTCCGCATCCTTTTAGGCGCGTACCTTCCCCTTCTTGAGGTGCCTCCGTCCTCAGGCGTGCCTGGACCTTGACTCCTCCGCCATCCCTGCCTCGTCGTACGTACCCCATCGACTTGCATTCCCGTCTCCGCCTCAATACATGCCTCCATCGCCGTACTCAAGCGTGCTTCCATTCCCGTTCCACCGTGCACCTCCGTCTGCGTACCAAAGTACACCTCTGTCTCCGCTTTAAGGCGTACCTCCGTCTCCGTCTCGCCAGGCCTCAAGTCATTCCGCGCGGCGAACACCGATGTGCATTGCTCCAATTCAGCATATACAGCGGGGTCCGACGCCCAAAGAAGATATTCGGCGAAAGCGCATACAGATAACCCTTCCGTGGGTCTCGTAAGGATAAATTCGGAATTCGAGGCGCGCAGAGGCCGTAAGGACCTCGTAAAAAGTATGTAAAGGGCCTTCAACTCGAGCGCGAATTCTCACCGCATTGAACTCAGAGGAACGCCGCATTAATATCGTCAGGTGTACCGCTTTACGGGTCCGATGTTGATCTGCATGTTGACTTACGGTGGCTAGAATGGGAAAGATTCACAAGATTAGCAGGCGGTGAAGTGCGGGTCCGAGTCTGGAATCAACGACGCTACCTCGTAGGGGATCGCCTGTCGTGCTTTCGAGTCCAGTACTCTCTCATACGGGCTCACCCGATGCATGCGCCTATAGATCTATGGGAGGTCTTAGCCCGCTCGACATTCATTTCTTGCGCCAATCTCGAGGACCTGGCGGCGATCGCCATGCGTAGGCGACAAGCTACGCCTTCATGCGACGGTCTGTCCACTCGGCTGATCGCGTGTACCTTCGCCGAATCGCTGTCGTGATGGTTCGAATTTACGATAGGGAGTCCAGCCGCATATACAGCAAGTACATACCACAGGTGACCGGTACGTGACACCTCAAGACCATCTTCCTACGAGTTCTGCCGGTCAGCATAGTCTCCAATCTTGTTTGCAGGATTCAATGCCTGCCGCGATGCACGGTCTCGTGGTCGACTTCGTGGATGTTCCTATGGTGAGCCTCGCGGCCCTTTCTATGGCGAGCTTCCTGATTTCGTATGTCAAGCTCCCTGGCCCTTCCTATGACAAGCTTGAGTGACGCTCTGACATGGCCATGAGGAACCGGTAAGTTTCGAGGACAAGCACTGAGCGCTCAGCGTCGAAAGAAGGCTTAAAAGTGATCGCAGCAACAGATCTTGTGGCCGGCTTCGCCCCACACCCTCGTATTCCTAGTGGGGCTTTGAATGCTTAGCATCGCCGTGCAGCTTCTCTCAAGCCATCTTCGATGTTCGTTCGCTTTCTGTGGGCGAATCTCATGATACCTGTTTTCGGGCTCGGCTGGCTGGCGAGGGTCTTGTGGTCCTGCTTAACTTACGGCTACCTCTCTGCAGTGTCGGAGATCTTCCTTCCCTCCGCCAGTAGAGAAGGGTCTTCCCGAGCCCATTCATGTTGTTTACCCGCCGCTGTTCATGCCTGACGCGTGCTCGGGTTCTATGTGCGAGACGCAGCTAATAGCGTCTCGCGAATGATAGGCACTACGCTCTGACTTGTTTGTTTATGCGACCTTGTCGACCTCCGTTTCGGGGCTCTGTTTTCGCTCTCACGAACGTAGGCCCCTTCCCCAAGAAAACTTTGCCTCCTTCGGCGGATTCCGACGGCGCAGTACTTCAGGTGGATGAACCCCTTCCTCACAGCCCCAACTGCCTTCCACAGACCCGGCATTCTATCCCCCCTGGATGCACTCGGTGTAGTTCAGCCGTACAGCCCGGTACGTTACCTCTGCCTCACAACCTTTCTTTGGTCTCACGCGGATGACAGCCTTCCCGCCGAGATGCCTAGAATCAGCTCTTTGTCTCTCGTACATGGGAGTACGGTCTCTTGGACATGGGAGTAAGATGGAAGCTCGTCCCTCGCACCGAGACCCTGTACGCTTCGCCCACGTATCTCGAACGCGCCCTCACCTTGGTCCTGGCGTCCCCAGAATCTCGGCCTTCTCGTCCGACTCGGCATTCTCTTCGTAGCATGGAGGAATTGTAGAAGCGAGTCATGGGTCCGCTAGGAATCGACTCCGACTATTTCGGGGAAGGTACCTAGAGGCGTTCGGATGCGAAGGCGAATTTTGCCTTTGTCACGGTCGGTCGCAGTTCAATTCCGTGTCACAAGTTTTGGGTAGCCAGTGCGTGCACCGTTCTAAGCGCGTCAAGATGGTTAAGGCGATCGCCGGGGGATTGTGACGAGGCTGGGTATTTGACCAGAGTAATGGAGTGAGGAAGCGCAGGGTAGTATACAGCCTCTAGAAATACAGCAAAGATGTACGCGTGAATAATTTGGACAGCCAAATGTAAATGATCTGAAATACACACAAGTCGCGTCGAGCGCAAGTCGGGCGACCCCTCGACTATCCAACGCGTCGTTCACGTGATCGCGCTTGTCGGTCCGGCGATATGCGGGAAGTTGAACTTCCTCGAATTGATGGTGCCCGTCAGGCTCGTTCAGCGCTCAGCTTTGGCTCAGCTGGTGCTAACTGTCCTCCTTGCTTCAGTGTACCTTCAATGCATGTGCACCTACTAGTACCAAACGACGACGAGGCTCAAAACCAGAATCAGCCAAGGAGATTCCGAGAAAAGTCACGAGCAGAGCGTCAATTGGGATGACCAAGTGCAGGCGAAATTTTGATTGGACGAAGAGTGGTGGCGTCAGTGAAGGCGGCGGAGGCGACGTGCCGAGGGACAGGCAAGAGGCGCCGGCAGCGTGAGAGGTTCGGCAGGGCGTCGAAGTATTGGCAGCAAATCGTCTCGAGCTCTATACAGTACATGCGATGATGTGGCAGCTGTTAGCCTGAATGTAGGATACCAGGCCAGCTTGTTACTGGATTTCGTTCTGACAGCAATGACTGAGAGGCGACTGTGCTGTCGAACCATGAAAGTACGAGCTGAAAAGTTGAACCGTGATGTCCTCCGGCCCTCTTCGGAACGCCCTCGCGCGCATGACATCATGCCCTTGTCAGCACGCCACGCCCCGAATCTTCGCGACGGACGCGTGAGAGGCGGCGTACATAAAGCGGGGAAGAGCGTGCTTGTCTTGAACCATTTCGACTGCTTTCCTCGACGTTGACCTCGACCGCAACTCACGCTAGCAACTGTGAGTAGACAGTTCTCCCGCTTGTGCTGTATTCCCTCGCAGCGCGACTGCCGGGGCAGTAGCACGTTCGCTGAGCAGCGCGCCCAATATTCCGAGACATAGAGCTAACGGCGTTCGCAGAACTCGCAAGATGATTGCTCCCCTCGCCCGTACCGCCGCCCGCGTCACCGCACGCCCTGCCTTCGCCCGCGCCTTCGTCGCATCGCACGGCATACACACCCTCCCCGAGCTCCCGTATGCGTATGACGTGCGTCATCCGTCCCTCTTCCTTCGTATTCAGCTCCCATTGCGTCCCCCTCCTCAACCATCCTCCGATATTCCCTCCCTTCCCTCTCCCGTCCTGCCGCACAGCTGCTTGCACCATCACGCATGCATGAGCGAGGTCCTGACCGTCCCTTAGGCTCTCGAGCCGCACATCTCCGGCGAGATCATGAAGCTGCACCACTCCAAGCACCACCAGACGTACGTGAACGGGCTCAACGCCGCCGAGGAGCAGTACGCCAAGCTGCAGAGCGCCGGTGCCGACACCTCCGCCGTGAAGGAGGCCATCAAGCTCCAGTCCGCGCTCAAGTTCAACGGCGGTGGGCACATCAACCACTCGCTCTTCTGGAAGAACCTCGCGCCCGCGTCGAAGGAGGGCGGCAAGCTCGAGGCGGGCCCGCTGAAGGACACGATCGAGCGCGACTTTGGCTCGCTGGAGAACCTGAAGAAGGAGCTGAACGCGAAGACGGCAGCGGTGCAGGGCTCTGGTTGGGGCTGGCTCGGGTGGAACCAGGCGACGAAGAAGCTGGAGGTCGTGACCACCGCGAACCAGGACCCCCTGTTGTGTGAGTACTTCGGCTCTATCGAAGTATGCAAAGGCTGACAGTGGCTTCCTTGCAGCCCATGTCCCCATCATTGGCATTGATATCTGGGAGCACGCGTTCTACTTGCAGTACAAGAATGTCAAGCCGGATGTGCGTCCACCTACTTTCCTTTTCATCGTGACCACCGTACTAATTTGCCTTTGCACTAGTACCTCAACGCCATCTGGAATGTCATCAACTTCAAGGAGGCGGAGGCGCGCCTGAAGGCCGTGCTCTAAGCGCCTGCGCTACCTTGACGGTTCTCTGAACGGTACACACTGCACTGCAGTGGCGTCGCTGCGCTGGTCATCGCAGAAGCATGTGCCCGTCGACGGTACCCTTCTTATTCCATCATTCATGGACCTTTTGCACAAATGTACATTAATGAATTCATGCTGCTTTCGACGAACTTTGAGTGACTTGCCGTCTGAAGACAAGGCAGGCAGATGCCCAGCAGGTCAGATCGTCAGTACGATGGATCGAAACGCGTACACGTGTAGAGCCCTGTGAGTACGATGTGCTGGACATTCGCGACAACGCTTCGTTGTGTGCCACTCGTGTAATGGAGAGGAGAACCACAACTGGGGAAGACAGATCGTGACACGGAATCGAACTGTGACCAGCTGTGACGAAAGCAACCTGGGTTGCGGGATACACGAAGTCATACCAGTTGGCGCACAGGTAAGGCTCGTTGAATACAGAGAACACGTTGCGTAGACCTCGAAGGCCATGATATTGAAGGCAAGACTATGTACAGCGCGTATCTTCTTATTATAATCACCCGCGATAACCAACAGCAGTCTTGATACGTTCTATCTTGTCGTTGTTGGTCCCAGTGGCTGGTAATCCCCATCCTTTCAAGTAGTTTCTCTTCTGCGCTGGTGTGAGCGCTAAGATAGACGCGAGGTTGGTAAGAGGTGGATAATTCGGCTGAGCAATTGTTCAGAAAACACCATCGTTATGCGTTAGATATACATAACGTACTAACTGGGACGGTATCTGACCATCCGTGAATGGGATTTCCTCGAATGGGTGTAGATCACCAGCCAGACGATTGAACGTCTGCGAATGTATTCGTTAGACCGAGAGCAGATATTGCTTGTGAAGGGGCAGACCCTAGCGGATTGCGTGTGACATTTCAGCAGGGTTTTCTCCAGCTCAGCTATAGGGTTCTTGTACGTCGCGTGATACTCTTCGATTCCTCTGAGGACCGATGCCATAAGGGCCTGCGCGTAGACGGGCGCCCCGACTACTGGATGCGTGAGCTCGACCGTTGACAATTTATCGATAATATTATTGTCACGCACTGTATTGAGGAAGGAATTCCACTCGCTCAGCTGGCCGCTCGTCACGCCCGCAGAGTACATGATACATGTACTCTAAGCCTGCCAGGAACTGGTCAACAGTTACGCCATCTGCAACGGGCATGTTAGACTTTGCCGCAAAGGGCACACGAGCATGCTGGAAGAGTCGTCGTCGGCATACCCTGTGCATAGAGAACCTTTTTCGCAAGCAGTTCAGCATAATCAATTGCCGCCTTCTGTTCATCAATAGATGCGGGAAGAGTGACGGGACCGGGGGCACCGTTCACGGCGGGGTTCGGAGCAGGAACGTTCTGAGCCATTGGGAGTGGCGACAGGAAAGCGATCGCGGGAGTGGGCAAGGTGATTCGGCAGCGATCGATGTACTAGTATATGCGCAACGGTAACAATGAGACTCATTTGGCTCGACACGGCAAGGCCGCTGCTCGGAGATGTATTCGGCGCGGTCCAACATCAAGTTGTCCGGAAGGGGTAATCGCCCATGCGCTAGATCCGTCGTGAGTCTTTCCACGAGCCTGCCGAGATCGATCTAACATGATTGATTCCTGGACAATGGAGGACCAGATATTCTCATCGGAGCCATCGAAACAGACATATATAGGACGCGCACAGTCCTTGCTGCAGGGCTGACATTGGCAAACATGCAAGCCGGTAATCCCCCCACTCCCCCCGCCGCACCTGTCGGTCCTGCCTCCCGCCGTCCAACAGTGCCGAGCAACCCGCCTACCGATCAAGACATCGTCACAGCCATGAACTACTTGCAACACACGCATTTCGAAGCAAAGCGTATGTTCCATCCTCGACCGCCGTCCGGACGCTTACGCAGCGCCAGTCGGTCATATCAACGTTCGACACTTCATCGAAGCCCTTCACTACTTTCAGGAATTAACGTGGTACCGAATGAACCACGAGCTGGTCGCTGCCAACAACGTCCGTGAGTGGCCGGTAGTAAGCTTACGATATATTGATTGCTTACCACCAATGAGCTAGCCCAGTGGGCACAGAACATGAGAAACACACTTGCGCAGCGCATCACTGCTGCACGCCAGGTGACTCAGAACAAGCTTCACGCACTTCAACAATCCAGCACAACGATTTCGCGCATAGCTGCAAAGGTACGCAAATCACGTACCCCTCGCTTCAAGCGCCAGATAATGCTCGAAGGCCTACAATGGCGCGCAGGGCCACGGCGGTGGTGCCCATCGATACGCTGTGGTCGCTTTCGTCGACGGATCGTTGCCCACGGACGCTCGAAATGGTGTCAGTCATCTGCTTGCCTGCATCAATATTGTCAAGCTGATTGAACGAGATAGCCCCTCCCCGGCCTGTACGGTGTCGAGGACATCATAGGCTTGAGCGCCGCCGAACTTCATACTTACCTTGTGAACTACGGCTTCAATCCTGCTCCCAATGGCAATCTGCCACAAGGCCTACCGGAGCGCCGCCGGGCCCTGAGGGACTCAATCGGAGCGCGCGTCTACATCTAGCAATTCCTTTTCTGTACGTTAGTATCACCCAATTATTGGCAGCATACACACCGTGCTTCTGCCAAGAATATCAGAGCTCGTGACGTGAGTGACGGCGCACTCCTAGACAATCGGGAAGAAGGAGATGGGCAGCCTGTAGGTCGACACGAGAACGCGTAGCGATTGTACTTTGTAAGCAGAAGACCATGCCGTCAGCGAAGCCTATGCGTCACACTTATATGACGCGGCAAGAGAAATAGGGAGCATCGACGTTTTTGCAGTGTTTTCAACGACATATGAAAGACCGCGCGATCGGGGGCGGCAGCAGGAATGCAGTGAGTTGCGAAACAGGGCCTGGAGGAGCAACGTCGCCTCGATCCCAGCGATAAGGCACTCGGACAAGGAGGGTTTGATACCAAGTGGGGAAGCGGGTGAAGGGGCTTGGACGAGCGAAGCCGTTTGGGCCCGAGCAGTGGTTGAGTCGAACATTGGCCGAGGCTCGAACTCGAGTTGATTGATGCGGATGCCGGTCCGGCTAGCGTGGGTAACAGCACGTGCAAACATGGAGTGGCTGCCTGGCCCTCAACCGTTGTTACGTCCAACATCGAACAGTACCGCTATCATGCCACCAACCCGGTCAAGCCGCCAGTCTACTCGCCGTTCTCGGGCACCTCCTGAGGTGATAGATATCAGTGACGAGGATGATGAGCGACAGCCGAAGCCAGTTCGCCGCCGCCATTCTGGAAGGCGAAAGCCCATCTTCATCGACCTCTGCGAGCTCGACGACGACGACGACGACGACAATCGCACGAAATTCCGGCATGCGTTACTGCGCGGAAAGAAGCCTGATGACGACGACGATGTCGATGATGGATTACCGTTTCCCGAAATCACTTTTCAACTACCGCCACCACCTACCTACGAACAAGTCCTTGCCGAGGTAGAACCCGGGATGCGTGAGCAAGTCTTTTGGCAGGTTGATATCCAGGCTCATGCGACTCGTAGGTGCTTTGGGAGCCCCTGACTGGGCTGTCGACATGGCTGCCGAACTCATGTTCAGTGTCGAGTATGAGCTCGACTATCAGACTCTCTTGCAACTAGACGAGGTTGTCGAGACGAGTACCGCGAATATAACCCATTTCATGGGTGTAAGTTAAGTTATCTTCTGGCGATACGTGTACTCAACTCAAAGCTCGCCAGACGGTTAATAGGGCACGCGGCAACGGAGAGAAAACACGATATGAGTTATGTACATTCAAGAACGGTATGTACCCGTGCAGAGAACCGGTGCGTCACTCCAATATCTTTGCTTTGGATGTCTCTGACAACGCATCGCCTTCAGTACAACCTACGATCCATATTCACGGTCCGCGATCTGGAATTCTTGACGATGCGGGATCTTCGATGGTATATCTTAGGGTATTTAGGGTCCGACTACGCCGTACCGGAGACCCGTGGGGAGCGCGTGAGACTCCTCAAGGGAATTATCGGCATAGTCGTGTAGGGTACCCAATTGTCCTATCGAACCAAGGTTCCGAGTGATCCGTGACCACGTACAGACGTACTCTAGAGTATATATATAGGCACCGTACTCGGTGTGTCCCTCTCAACGCTGACCATCGCGCTCGTGAAGGCCAGATCCATCGCCATGCCTCATACATCCACTGAGATGGCGGCCATAAATCTTCAGAAGCTGAAGAGCGACCACCAACAATCACAGTCTTCGCAAGGAGATTCCAAAAAGTTGGGTGTTACAGGCTCCGAGTACGATGCACAGGGTACGCAAGAGTTCGCGGCCGTCCTTTGACTACAACAATATCATTGACTGCGTCGTAGATGAGCCACCCGAGTGGTTTGCTGAAGTCACGGGCGCGATCACCGACGCGATGGTACACCTGTACGACGACACGTCCTCCCAACTCGACGAGACCACTTCGTGCGTCATGCATGCTCTCTCCATGGTGGCGAAGGTGGGACTTCTGCGCCCAAGGATCGTCGCGCAGTGTGCTGACCTCGGCAATAGCTATCCAACGTCCTCGCAAGACGTGTCGGCCTCACTTCTGGATACGACATTGTGCCCTTCGTCGACGGGTCCTGGCCGCCCAACGAGGTACCGATCGACCCACTCCTTCCTCGATTTACTGCTCAACAAAGCGTCAGCTTCCACCTCTCGTGTCCGACGACGCCATTGACTCCCTCGGACAAGACGAGCGTCGCACCTACCTCGAAGGGTATGGTGTCCGTGATTGGAATGAAGAGACTTGGAGACCTCTCCTGTTCGAAGCCATCGGAGCGCCTATCGATCTTCCCTTGCCCAACGAGTCGGACTCCATGGAGGTATGAAATTCGAGGAGAACAATGGCGCCTCAGTAAATTGGCCTGCTACTGCACGATCATCAATTGTAATCTTTGGTCTTCGAATTTATCTCATCTGTGCACTTGGCTTCGCGATTTTGGATAGGCTGAAAGCCAACCTCGTGCTAGGTCTGCGCCGAAGAACTTGAAAGGAACAATGCCTGGTTGCTCATGTTTGCTCGTGTATCAATCCATTGTTCGCTGCGATTGGGTCGTGATAAGGCGAAAAAGAAGTCTGTGTGGGAGCATTGTTCGAAAGTCGGCAACAGTGGGCGAGGCAGATGTGAGCTCGACCGAAGTTCGACGGACAATGACGCAGGTGATAGTGCAGTAGGCGATCCAGCTCGTCCGGATCTTGTCTTGTTGAGCACTTAGCTATAGTCTATCGCGCTAGAAGCGCGAGGGCACCCGTCTGACTCGGAAGGAGACAGGCCAGTGTGAGGGATCGATGGTTCGTGTGAATCTCGAGAATCTGCTATTGTGACTCACAATGGTCCCATTAGAAGCGTCTGGGAACAATGAGATACAGGTATCACGTCCAGTGATCAAGCCTATCCAGGGCGCCTTCCTCGACGTTGTACCTTTCTTGCGGCTGCTCCCAAAGACAAGTGACGAATTCACAGTCAAGACGAAGCTCTTACTGACCTACTAGTACCCATTTGTGGCGCGAGCGCCATCACGTGGATTCCGGAATCCCATCACGTCGCTTGGCCCGACGCGTCCATCCACCGGCCGTCATCTGCTCTGTGCCTCCGCCCTGCGCTATCGAGCAGTACCACTGTCATGCCACCCGCTCGGTCTTGCCGTCAATCTGTACGCCACCATCTGGCTGTTATGGAGCCTGAGGTGATAGAAATTAGCGACGAGGGAGATGTGGCGCCGCGGAAGCCCGCTCGCAGACGCACACGAGAGCCCATCTTCGTCGACCTCAGCGAGCTCGATGGCGACGAAGACGGCAGAAATAAAGATGATGATAACGAAAGCAGTGGACTTGAACAAGCACGAGTCAGCAGAAAACAGAAGGACCACGAAATAGACGATGGAGCGCCCTTTCCCGGAGTCGACTTGCAACTGCCGCCACCGCCCACTTACGAGCAAGTCCTCGCCGAAGTAGAGCCAGGAATGCGTAAGTATCTCTGAGTATGTCCCCCACACGAGTGGTCAATAGGCTCACGCGTCTTGCAGGTGCCGCGGGGGCGCCCGATTGGGCTGTTCACATGGCTGCCCGACTCATGTTCAGCGCTGAGTATAAGCTCGACTACGAGACTCTCTTGCAACTAGACAAGGTTGTCAAGACCAGCGCAAATGTGACGCACTTCATGAGCGTAGGCCACACCCTTTTCTGCTCATACTTACAATTCACGCCCCCCAGACGGCGAATAGGGCGCGCGGCAATGGAGAGAAGATGCATTATGAGTTGTGCACGTTTAAGAACGGCAAGTATCCATGCAACGAGCCGGTAAGTCAATCTATACGTCCTTTTTATGTGTTTCTAGCCGTGTACCCCGTTCAGTACAACTTACGATCCATATTTACGGCACGCGATCTCGAATTCTTGACCATGCGGGACCTCCGTTGGTATATTATGGGATATGGCCACACCGTACCAGAGACACGCAGAGAGCGTGTGAAGCTTCTCAAGAATATCATTGGAATCATTGTGTAGGGTCGGTCGTGTATCATTGAATATGCTGCTAAAGAGGCGAGTGGTACGAGCGTCTCATTGGATGATGTCTATCTCACCGTCGTGGCTGCAATCACGATAGTACAAGCTATACAAAGGGCGAGATAGATATTAATGGCCTAAAGAGTACCGCCCCGAAAGCCAGAAGAGTGAGAGGCTGCGTGCGCCGTGAAGGCTCAGGCCAAGGAGTCGGACAGCCGAAGTTCAACTTCCCTTTTGTGGCGTGAGCGCCATCACGTGGAAATCCATCACGTCCGGCCCGACGCGTCTTCCCAGCTCCTTCCAACCTCGCGATCATCCTCCCTTGGCTAGCAGACGCAATCTCGTGCGGTGGCGCGATAATGGACAGCTCAAGCAGTCAACCGACTAGCCGCACCCTGCAGTATGCGGTCGCGCAGGCCCCTACGCTGCACGCTCAGTCACCAACACCGCCAGCTTCCCCCACGAAGAGGCGGCCCTTACCGAGTACACCTCCTTCCCGATCTGCGACAAGCAGACCAGCTAGCGTGCATGGGAATAAGCTGGTGAAGAGGGACCCCGCGGCGTTGAGGGAGCGGAGGGCGTCGACGGCGACCGCATCAACGTCGCAGAGGCCGTTGTCGATCGCGACGTCGTCTGGGTTCGGTCACTCCACCCAGCTTCAAAGTCTTGCTAGCCCCACCCACTCAACACAACTCCAGACTCATTCGACTCATATGGAGGCGCACTCAACCACCCACTGGAACTCCCTACCACCTCCACCACCGAGCACGAAACCCCTGAGCGCGGAGCAGTACTGGACAACGCGCGCACTGGCGGGGGAATCATTGCATTCCGTGCACTTGCATTATCAGGAGAAGCTTCAACAAGCGGTAGCGGAGCAGGAGTGGAAGAGGGAGGTGTGTGCATTGTGGGCTCCGAGGATATTACAGATGGTTGACGAGCTGTACTACAGCGGGAAGTGGCCACACTGACCGAGAAGCACAAGGAAGAGCAAAGGCGGAAGGAGACGTTTATGGCTCGTGTCTCCTATTTTATCCTCTATTATATCGCTATACTGACGGATATTCTTCGCATTCTCTTCCCTCTCGACATCTGCTCGGTATCCCTGCATCTTTCTTCCCATCAGCTCACCCTACTCGTCGGGACCTTCATTACCCTTCTCATGACCCTTCATGTCGCTGGACGCGCTACACAGCCACCACCACCGAATAAATGGCTTTCAACGCATTTCACGATACCAATACTGTCTCCGTTCGCCTCGGTGGTGAGTCTACTTCTCTGGCATCTTGCTTGGTCGGTGCGACGCTTGTCTGCATGTCGAAGCAATGTTTGACTGCATGCTGGGAACTATTTGGCTGTGTGCGGCATACTGCAGCGGTGAAGAGATGCTCATAAGCTTCGCGTCTAGGTCGAGCATGAAGCTTCCATTGTGGGCACGAAGGTTCTGTCGGTCTGCGTGCTAGTGTTCGGCGCAGTTGCATATGCAAGTATACGATACTGGCTGTCGAGACCGCGGTAGAGGAGGCAAGCGCGAGAGTATGACTTGGTGTACTTCAGCCCGGTCGACGCCGCGGTGTGACCGAGGTCGCGGTCAGGAGGATTCTCCGAGAGCGCAGGAGCTTGTGCTTCAATGGAAGGAGGTTGGGAGATGGTTCAAGGGGTGTTCGGAAGGCAATGTGGCGTCACGGGGAATTATGCTTGCGAAGCTGATGAGGGGACACCCTTGCTGCGTCTTCGCACTGTACCCAGGCCTCTGTATCCTCAATTGTTGTATTCGTATCTGTACTGCTGGGGCTGCTGTTAGTCAGTTGAGGGACCCCATTGAAAAGTGGATCAATACGAAAGCCGAGGCGAGCACCATTGCCGGAGCCGAGGCGCGCATCATTCATCGTCAAAGAAAGCCACCGCGCCATCACGGTCGACGTCAAAGGGACGATGGCGCTCGCGTGCCTTTTGTGAGCACGCCGTGACACGTTGTGTGACCGCCGCTCCTCCTTTCTCTCCCTCCACCCTCGTCTCCGTCTGGTCTTCGCCGTCTCGCGCGTTCCCACAGGATAGAGTTCGCGCGCGCTGCGAACTTGCTTCCGTAAAGCTTCCGCGGCCCGGCAGGCTGGCCCGGCGCGACGAAAGAGGAAGGGCGCGGAGGTTGATCTGGTCCGTGCTTTTTGCGCCCGCCATCTGGACCGCGAGTGCCGTCTTTGGGCTTCGGACCGCGAGCACCATCTTTGGTGTGGCGACGCCGACACCAGCGCGTTCATTAACCCAGCGCTTCTCCTGCCCCACTCGACCACGACAGCCCGACACACGGGACGCATACCCACACCCGACGCATACCCGCATCCATATCCCCCTCCTGCCACCATGTTCTCGCAACTGAGCACCAACTTCTACCCGACCATATTACAGCCGCAGACGGTGCACCGCGGCACGGCGCCGCCCAACGCGCTGCCAGCAGAGCGCGCGCCGTGCCTCATCGGGCGGCCGGTACACTTCGCGCATGGCCCGTTCGCCGGACGTACCATCCGCGCGTCGCTCGACGAGATCCAAGCAGCACAGCTCGGCCGCAAGTGAGTGCGTCCCGCCGCCCCCGCGCGCGCTCCCTCCGCTGAGGCGCTGCTCATCCACGAGATACGCCAGGGTCGACCGTCGCCCGCTCGACCCGCCGCCCGCCGTGCGCCTCCGGTTGTTCAACGTGTACAACGCGGGGACCGAGCAGCAGACCGAGGAGGAGTTCGAGGAGTACGGGTGCGTGCGCGTCATGGATCCGTCTTTGGGGTGGCAGGGTGGGCTGACGGGTATTGATGGTGTAGGGACACGCTGGGACTGGGGTTTGTGTGCACCCTAGATCTGTTCCCGCTGCCTGAGGGATCCTCATGCCATCGTTCGCCCGGGCCATATGCGGAGCCGCCTGTGCACCGCGTCGGCGGGTGTGCGATCTACGAGAGCGAGAAGGCGACGAATGCGCTCGTCGGGTCGACTTTCGTCCAGCCGACGTGTGTTACGTTCGAGGGGAGGAGTACATTGGTCTTCGTGTTCTCGGTGCGTCTTGCCTTGCTGCTTCCATGGAGTGCTGACAGCGGCGCCACAGGACCTGGCCGTGAAGTACGAGGGCGAGTTTTTGCTGCGATATAGGGTGTTCGACTTGTTCTCCCTGCCGCGAGGACACCGGGATATCGCAATACAGGCGGAGTGCTATGGCGCGGCCTTCCGAATATACACGACGAAAGACTTCCCAGGACTCCCGCCATCAACGGCTCTAACGAAGGTGAGTGCTGTCGCTTATGACTCGGAGACGCACGCTGATTCGAGGGTGTACCAGGAACTGGCACGAGTCGGGGTGCGTCTAAGTGTGCGCGACACGGGCAAGAAGGCGACGACGAAGCGAAGGAAGCGGAGCGACAGCTTTGACGAGGATGATAGTAGCTAACGATGCTGATGCGCGACGTGCATACGTCTACGACCGGGCAGGCAGTCGCGATCGCTGCCTCGCCATATACCAGGGTACATCGATTATACCCTTCGAATACGCCTGAGGGCTAGATGGGTCCTACGGCACCCTGCTTACAAGAGCCATGGGCCCCGCAGCGGCTGCTACTGGAGGGGATCGACGATGGAGAGCTGATCGATCCTCGCGAATGTGGCAAAGCCGTACAGGAGGGTACGATGGATCAATATAACACTAGATGATGGGATAATAGAAGAGGTCAATAGCGGCGGCTTGAATACATGTACTTACCGATTGTGATCTTCTTGTGGACGCTGTGTAGTCGGATATGATTGTTAGATACGCGCTTGTACTTCCTCCGAGCATTTTTGGAAGTCATTGTTTTTTGAGGCCATTGTTCTTTCGGTCTGATCGCTTGATCTGGACGGAGTTGGTGTGGGCGCATTCCGGGCGTATATGTCCGAGCTCTTTACGAGCGCAAGCGAGAGAGTCAAAGTACTCACATGCTCAGATACCTCCTCTGGCCTGAAGAAGGGAGTACGAAGTAGTACGGCGCAGAGTCCGATACACACGTGCCCGACGCATGTTGAAGTGCACGTGAATTTCATTGACACATCCCCGTAAGGGAATTTCGTCCGCAATGGAACTTGAGACAGGAAAGGAAATTCCGTCTGCGTTTGGAAAGCACTGCATGCATACCCTGCCCCGAAATGTGGGCGCTGCCGTGCCGTCGGTGTGGGTGATGCTACCGGGGTTGCGGCAGATCTCTGCTTCTTGTCTCCTACCACCATCTCTATCTGCCCGACCACCGCTGTGAAGCCGGACTCGAACGATAGCGACGGGCGCTTAACGAACTAAACACATCTCAACCTCGACTGCTTGATTCCCCTCGGAAGTTCAACACCTTACGATACTTCCTCCAGGTGTGTGCGCTACTTTCCCTCCGTTGCACGCGTGCTGATAGAACAACGCCCACAGAATGCCTCGACTACAGCCTTCGATCGCCCGCGTACGCGATATGCTGTGTGGCGTACCCACCTCTCGGTCCCTCGAGAAGCCCTTGAAGTCCCCCACATTACATGTCGTAACCTCGCACGAGGTGCCGCCGCCTGCGTATGAAGCGATCATGTCACCCGTCTTCGAGGGGGTGGACCCGGAGAAGCGCGTGTCGTTCGCTCACCCTTCGAACAACAAAGGCGCGGTTGAGCGCGCGATAGCCATGCCAGAGTATAGTGACAGTCAGCGGAGCATGGCAGCTCAGCCAACAACATCTAATGACGAGCCCCTGCCCGCCGTTCACCAGATCCCACCCGAGATCCTTGCAGAGGTGTTCGCCATGGTCCCTCGGCGCGGCTTGGATCCCAGCAGCCATTGCAGCCCATCTTCCATTGCACTCTCGCATGTATGTCGCCGCTGGCGCTCCCTTACACTTTCGACCCCCGATCTTTGGTCCAACATCGACATCAACATCACCGTCGAGTCGCAGACACCCCGTGCCCTCAACGCCATCGCCAGCATGATTGTGCTGCACGCCGCACGCGCTGGCACTCGAGCCCTTGACATCCGCCTCGGCGTGTCCGATCTCGTTACGGGTGACTCGCTCATGCGTCTTGCACCAGTCGTCCGATCCCTCGCCTCACGCTGGCGCGTATGCGAGCTGCCGATCGAAATACTCGCATACCTGGGGAACCTGTCTGCGCCCTCACTAGAACGTATGTGCCTCACAGGCACTGTGCCCACTGTCGTGCACCCTGACTCCTGTCCTACTCTCGATGCACCCCGCTTAACGGCGCTTGAAGCCTCGGCACCCATCCAGTGCATGCACCTTCCCTGGTCGCAGATATCAGAGCTCTACTGCGTCGGTACCAACACCCTCGCCAACGCTCAATACTTGATCGAGAAGTGTCCCTCTCTTCGCAAGCTCACAATCGATGCCGCATGCGCGCATGGCCAGGATCACTGGAGCGCGCGACACAAGCTCCCTGCGACCTTGAAGACGCTCACCCTGCGCTGCTGGACGTCTCGTGCTCCTAATTCGCGGATGCTACGCACGGTGATGAGCGCGTTCATCCTGCCCCAAGGCATGGAGGAGCTGGTCATCGAGCCCACAGAGGTCGTCACCGAGGGTTCGATGTATGCCCCAACGCGTCGCGACATAGCAACCTTGCCCCCTCCATCTACCGGTCTCTCACCAAAGCCCCGTAACGTCGTCTGGCCGTCCACCGCCTGGAGCGCGCTCGTGCGCCGCTCGACGTGGGCGCCATGTCTACGCTCGCTTACACTTCGGCACGTCACAATCACCTCTTCCGAGCTGCGTCAGGTCCTAAACGACCTTCCCGGGCTGAAGAAACTCGCCATCTGGGAGCCCATGGCCGACAGATGGCCAAACGGCAGGCCCGTCGTGCACGAGAAGCCTGTGGATAGTGACCTGATCGACCGTCTGATGGACATGCCAGAGCTCCAGGCGCTCGATATCGAGGGAGACCTAGAAACTTTCGGTCCGGCACTTGAGGCGTTGACGAGGACGAGGGGAACGGCATTTGAAGTGACCTTACGTCTGCGTGAGCCACGAGGTAATGCATGGGCTGGCATGAGCGAGATGATGGGCGAAAGGCTGCGCATCGAGGTGTCTCCTTACAGATCATATGCGGCGTAGGTTTGCCGTTATCCCAAGGATTGTTAACATTTATGGACTTCTGTCTCCGCTGTCGTGCTCCTCAATTTATTGAATGATTCTGTTGTGTGTACATACGATACAGCTTTCGGCGCCTTGCCCGGGTCATAATAGAGATCTTAGCCGCCAGTAGTCGTGTGAGCTGCCCGTCTCAGTCGTCCGTCATCAATGTCACTTGAGGGAAACTCGCGATATTACAGCCTCTACTTGTCCGACGATCAGAGCCTCTGCTTGTCCAACGCCTCCATCGCAGCATGCGTCCGCATCATCAACGCCTTCTCCATGCTGTATCGGCCCTGAGAAAAGATGTATGGTCAATGAACAACAGCGCGCTGTAGATGATTTGGCTTCGTTCACCTTTCGACCTGCCGCATTCACTTCGAGGTGCCGTCCGCTCAGCACAAGATCAAACTGCGTGCGTGCACCATTTATATCTCCCATGCAAGCTAGTAACCGCCCGAGCTCGTAGTCTAAGGGGCGAGTCAGAGACACCAGATGAAATGAAAGCTCCGACAATGGTGCCAGGACTCACGCGCATGATAAACCAGATGATGATCCAGCTCGATCCGCGGACCGTACTTGAAGACGTCCGCGAACGCAGCACGGGCCTTCTCTGCAGCGTTCGGGACGTCATTGTCTGGCGCGACATCCTCGACGATGGCGTCGGGATCCTGTAGACAGATCATCGTCAGATTTCAATAACCGATAATTGGCAGAGGATGTATCACTCACCGGATATGCAACGTATCGCAAGCACACACCCTCCAAGAACCGTGCGAGCACGACATCGTCCCAGTAGCCCTTGCCGTACTCTCGCGCGCGGTCCTCCAGATCGGAGGACGAATTTGCTGTCTCAAGACCTACCTCTTTGGCCTTCTCCGTCGCCATTATGCTGTCAAGTCCCAATTTCCTCTCCGCAGCCCAGACCTCCGGCAACATCTTCCTGACCAGCACTTCCCGTGGCGCATGCGCTATGCCGAGGAAGAGGTAGGCAAGCTCGAGAGCGGAGAGTACTGGACGATGGCGAGTATCGTGAGCGTATCGGCGTGCTTTGCGGGCGACGAGTTTCTGACGATGTGGTCAATCAGAATCTTCAGTAGATGTTTTGGGGTAGGGAACTTACCTCCAATGGTATAGACTTGCCGGCTATTCTCTGCCGCAGCCCAGGTACTTTGGCCATCAACACCATCGCACGTTCGCGGCGCGCGGCGGGTTCTTCCTTGGATGCAGCAGTAGCGTCACTCTCTTCCTTTACTTGCGCTTCCAGGGCGTCCGCGCTTTCCAGCAAGCATACTGCCAGACCGTAGGAATAAATCGCTTTCGACCACGTCGCTTCAGCCTCCAGTAGCTCCCAGTACTTTAGGCTGGCGTCAAGGTCCCACAGCGAGAGGTGCGCGAGCGCGATCTCCCAGTGGGAGATGTGGTGAAGGTTGCTGGACACGGGTACGTTTAGCCAATAGTAGAACACTATTGAGGAGCCAACAGCCTACCGATACTGCTTCTGCGCTTCCATCGCGCGTGTGTAGTAGTCTATCGCTCGTCTCGGCTGCGAGTGGATGAGCGCCAGGCGACCTGCACCAAAGAGAAAGAAGACGCCTGAGAAGAGCGGCATATGATGAACGATGTCTTTGGTGAAGCAAAGCACGCACCATTTGGATACCGCTTCAGGTTCCACTCCAGTATATTCTCCGCCATTTTCACGTCAACACCGTCGAAGGTGACACTCGAGGCAACGAGATGGAAGATGAGCAGCGCCATGTCGCATATCGGACGGCGGACACCTTCGGACGCTGGGAGACGAAAAGTTAGCAAGGCGTATGGGAAGGAATGGCGAAAAGACAGAAGATTTGGAGAAGGCTAGCATGAACCTACCAGCATCAACACCCGGTTCCTTATTTCCCTTCTGCCAGCCGCCCGCCTTCTGTAGAAGGTCGAGTCCATACTGGCGGTCGCCGTGGTATCCGAAGAGCTCGACGATGCTGAGGATTTTGGAGGGCATCTGAGGACGTGGGTAAGTGATGGCTGCACGCTTAGAGATCCTACAGGAGAAGCGGCTTACCAACGACAGAATCAAGTGCGATAGCCCGACACCAAGGTAGACCCCCGAGCGGAAGTGCACGTCAATTACGTTGCTGTGACCTCCAGCGTCTTCAGCGTCGATATATCTGCCGAGTTGACGATATATGTTGAAGAGGCTACGCATGTTGAGGCTGAGAGGTTTGGTGTCAGCGTACACAACTGAGTGCGCTACAGACAAGGTGCTTACATCTCCGTCACCAGCGCCAACCAGTCACCAGAGTACACGATACCGAGGATGGCCTTCTCAAACAAGCTCTCCGCGTACGTGAGCTCGGCATGACGCTCGACCGGAGTCATTGACCTGATCCAGTCCACACCTGAGGTGCTGAAGGATGGAAGAACGAGGCCCGCGAGGCGGGAGATGCGATACGGCTGCTTCTTCCTATGCAACTGCGCGATGTGGTTTCCATGCTTGGTGTGCTGGATGCCTGCGAGGAGGTCCTGGTTCGAGATTTGGTGAGCACGCATCCCGTGGGACGTGTTCGGTGACTAGAGTGGGACCCCACCTCATCCTCGTACGACATCAGCGCCTTGACGCACTGAATGAGCCCGTAGCCGGTTGCGAAGTAAAGCCGCTCTTTCTTCAGGTCGCTCGCATGGCAGTATTCCTCGCACTCGATCATTTGCGAGTTGAGGAACGTGTCGAGTGCGTAGGTCACGCCGTCGAGGTCGTCCAGCGCGTTCTCGGGCTTGTATTGCGCGCTGATCGTTGGTGGTGTGTTCAAGCGGGGCGTCCATGACGGCTTTGTGTCAGACGTATTCGCGCCAGAGGATAGGGATGCCGCTGCTGGCGTCGAAGGCGAGGTCTCTTGCGCGGCCATGTCAGCAAGCACGTCGAGGTGAGAGGAAAGCAGCGATAGGCCCCATATGCACTGTCCTATTCATGTTCTGTATGTAAGACCAGCTGATGATGGCGGGCGGGCGGGGACGCGGGGGAAGCACCCAGCAGGGTCACAAGCGCGCTCCACGTGTCTTCCTTCGCGCCTCTCCAATGTGTTGTCCGCCACGAAGAGTTACCGAGAACCGAGGTGGATGCTAAGGTTCATGTGAAAGCTCTGAGAAAGACGCGTCCGCCCCGGCTCCCTCTTTGGGAAATGGGCGCTTAGCACTGTCGTCGCTGTCGTCGGGCGTGGACTTGTCGGGTTCGGCGCCTGTCGGACGGGTACCGTATCTGGATTTGTATGGCCAATGGCTGTCGGCCGATCGGCCGACCCAGTGCGCGCTTCAAGTCCATAAAAGTCCTTGCCTGCGAGGTCTAAAGCAAGCACTTGTGTGCCCTCAGCCTCTCCAGAAATAGCGCAGATACCGGCAGCATGTCTGCGCTCACCACATCCCAGTCAACAAGCACCTCCCAGCCCGCAGATGCCACCTCCCAGACCAAGGACGGCTGGTCCGCCGCCCTATACGGAAAAGCCGCCAACTTCGTATACTCGTCCGCCTTCACCAGCCCCGTCATGAACCTCCTCGAGCCCAAATCCGGCGAGCGCATCCTCGACCTTGGCTGCGGCACCGGCGAGCTGACCGCAACCCTCGCGCGCGCCGTCGGGCCCGACGGCTACGTGTCGGGCGTCGACGCCAGCGCGAATATGGTGGCCAAGGCCAGGGAGGTGGTGGCGGCTAGTCGGGCAGAGACCTCGCATGTTCCAATGGCGCCCGTTGACCTTCTTGTCGCCGATGCCCAGACGCTGCAGCTGTCGCCAGAGCAAGAGGGTACCTTCGACGCCGTCTTCAGCAATGCAACGCTTCACTGGTGCTCGAGGGACCCCCTCGCCGCGCTTCAATCCGCCGCCCGCGCCCTGCGTCCCGGCGGGCGCTTCGCGGCTGAGATGGGCGGGATGGGTAACTGCATTGGTGTCCGAGCGGCGATCCATTCTGCGCTACAGCGTCGAGGGCGCGATCCAGCTGCCGTAGACCCCTGGTTCTTCCCATCCGTCGAGGAATACAGCACCCTCCTCACCCGCGCGGGCTTCACCATTCGAGAGATCAGCCTCGTCCCACGAGTGACGCCGCTGCCGGAAGGCCTCTCTGGGTGGCTGAGAATGTTTGCAAAGCATTCGTTCCTGGGCAACTTGGAAGAGGCGGAAGCAGAGGAGATAATCAAAGAGGTTGCAGAGGCGATGGCGGTGGATTGTCGGGACAGGGAAGGGCGGTGGTCAATGATGTATGTAAGATTGAGGTTCTCGGCGGTGAAGGAGGAATGAAAGAACAACGCGGGTGTCCTGAGCCAGCATCAAGCTGTAACAGGTTATGAGCGCAGATTCAATCAGGATTTCCATATTCCTTTCGTGTAGCTTCCGGGGCGCCTGGAACGTTGCAACCAAGCCCATGAATGGATGAATTCTTTGTGTGGTCTTGAAACTGGGCATTGGTAGCTCCCGTTGAAGGTGCCTTGTTTGCGTAAGGCATCGCTTGTACAAAACGTAGATCCGAGAGACAATGCTGATTTCGATGGTGGTGGTCGGAAATCAAGGTGTGTTTGCCGTTGCTTTGTCCGAATCGCGGAACCGAGCGCACGTGACACAACACTCTTTGGCTGCAGCGTGAAGTTGAACTTTTCCTGGGACATTTCTCGGGCAAATAAGTACGATAATGGGAAGGGATGTACGATCGTAGGTGTAGAAGTGGCAGGAGATTGTTAAATAACGATACCTACGTCAAGCTGAGGATGAATGTGGCCACAAATGTGGAGACCGAACCATCCGCGTCAGATCAAGCATGGCCACAAAATGGCGGTACACCCTAGTCTACACAAAAAGATATAAGGTGGTACTTCCGACTCATGATCGGTGATATCACACTATAACAACATCGAACACGCTATCCACTAATATTCTGTTCCGGTTCGCCGTTGTCTGCTACTCCCATCGCGTAAATACTATCACCACGCCCAGCTCAAGAACTCGAAGATCGCTGGGCCAGATAAGAAGGGCCTCGCGCTTTCCATTCCCCACGGGAAGACAAGTTTCTTTGCCTTCAGGGCATCCAGGTCTACATCAAGCGCCTCCTCGCCCATGGGAAATACGAGGACGGCAGCGTCCTCATCAAACGCTGGATCGAGCGCTGGAAGACATCGGGCCATGCAAGCTAAATCACCGTCTGCACGGGCCAAGTCACAAACGACTTTGGCTCTGCCGTCGATGTGGAGGTTGTTGGTAAAGCGCCCATAGCGCTCAAAGTAGAGGCCTTGGACCTTGCTGTAATCGAACATGTAGCCCTTGACGTAGACCTGCGAGTGGGTGTAAGGGAAGAGTGGTATCGACAGAGATTGTGACGCACCATGATTAAGCGCCTAACAGAGATCAAGGTTGCAGAGAGAATGTGACGTGGGAAGGTCGGTTAGAACCATAGAAGCACAGAGGTCACGGTACTGCAGGCGCCGACCCATCGCAGGCGTGCGATAACGTAGCATAGCAACCGTCGTGGCGTACACAGTGTAAGTAAGAATAAGACATGAATTCTGCGCGCAGCACTCCTAGCGCTACCTGCGACTCCGCAATAACTGCAGCGCCAACGCCTCATCATCCTCCAACTCGTCACGTTCCGCGACTGCCTTTCGTCGTTTTGCAGGCGGCGGCGGCGGCGCGACCTCGCCTTCGTCTTCATCCCCGCTAGGCAGATCGAAGTCCGGCGACACGTACCCCGCATCCTCCGCCGGCGCCACTACCGCCAACCCCTCCGCCGCCATCATCTCCCGCTCGCGTTCCTTCCTCTTCCTCTTCCTTTCCCTCTTCTTCTCCTTCGCCTCCTCTCGATCCACCACATCCGTCTTCTGCATCCGCTCCCTTTCGCCCTCCGCGAACTTCGCGCCTTCCCGGATCGCGCCCTCCAGCCCGCCCTTCTCCTTGAACCACTCCTCGCCGTTCGCTAGCTCGTATAGCTCGTGCTCGCGGCCCTCGTCGTCAAACACGAGCTTGCGGCCAAGGCCGTTCTCGACGACCGCGCGCCCGGTGCGGCTCATCTTCGCCTTTTTCTTTGCGGAGAGGTTCTCCTGCTTTGCTTGCGCGAAGGTCTTGGGCAGGCTGTCGTCGGGGTCGGGTAGGTCGTGGTCGGCGCGGGCGAGGGTGATGAAGTCGTCTTCAGAGCCTGAGCCGTCGTCGTCGCGCTCAACCATCTTCGAGTAGTGCGATGAGAGGATGTCCTGGTTCTTGCGCTCGAACATGCGGTCGTATTTGGTGCGCACTTCTCCAGGCTTGACAGAATGCGTAAGTTGTGCGCACGCAGGGTGCAAGACTAGACGAACCTTGCGTTTAGGCTTAGACGAAGACTCCGCCTCGTCCTCAGCCTCTTCGTCACTCGATGAGTGCACATCGGCGTCTTCTGCGTCGCTGTCCTCTTCGGATGAGTTAGCTTCAGCCGACGATTTCGCCGCCGCGACCGCACGCGATGCGTTCTTCTTCTGCTTCGCCAGCTCTTTGCTAAGGAACTTGATCTTCGGCGTTCCCGGAAGGCCCAAGGACTCTGCATAGCGGTCCACAGGCAACTGGTCGACCTTGAATATGGACTTGTCCTTGTGCAAATAAACGGAACGCAGATACGACACAAATGCCTAACAGGCATTCATTAGCCCCCTTCAAGTATTGCATTAGGATGATGCTCACCCTCTGGCCGAGATACTTTATTTCCGGCTCCTGGAATGCGAGCTTCTGTAGCTGGTTCTCAATATTCTGCGTCTTGCTGGGGCGGATCTTGATCTTCTTGATGTCGATATCCCGCTTCGCAAAAGCAGCCAACATACCCTCCTCCTCGCTCGGCATCAGAAACAGCAGACCCTTCCCCTTGCTCTCGTACCGCGCTGTCCTCCCTACGCGATGGATGTACGTCTCCACATCCTCCGGAGCGTCCAGCTGCAGCACCCAGTCCACCGCGGGAAAGTCGAGCCCTCGGGCGGCGATATCCGTTGCAAACAGCACGACGTGCGACATCTTCGTGAACCGGTCGTACATCGCCAGCCGCGTCATCTGCTTCTGCTTCCCGTGCAGGTGCAGCAGCGAGACGCCGGGCTGCATCTTGCAGAAGGTCTCGTAGACGAAGCGGACCTGCTTGCAGCTGGAGAGGAAGACGAGGGTCTTGCTCTGGAGGTGCGTCTTGATAAAGGACCACAGCAGGTCGAGCTTCTGGTCGAGAGTGCAAATGGCATAGTGCTGCTCGAGGTTCTTGGGCGTCGTGGCGGTGTGGGACTCCTCGGCCTCCTTAGTGGCGATGAAGGCGGGGTCGGTGAGACTGAGGCGTGCGAGGTCGGAGACGGAGTCGGTCTGGGTAGCGGAGAAGAGGAGGGTTTGCCGAGATTTGGGGAGATGCCCGAGGAGCGCGGAGAGGGTCTTCGCAAATCCCATGTCGAGGATGCGATCGGCTTCATCGAGGACGAGGACCTGGAGATTGTCGCACTCGAAGCCGTAGGTTTGGTCCATGTGCTGAAGCAAGCGGCCGGGAGTCGCGACGAGGATGTTCATGCGCACCAGTCGGTCACGCTCGTCCTTGAGGTTCTTCCCTCCGATGACGAGACCGGCAGAGAAGGAGTGGAAGGGGCCTATGGAACGGAGGACTTCGAATATCTGGACCGCCTAGAGAAGCCTGAGTTCTGGTAGGGGTTCTAGAGGATACACGCGACGCACCAGTTCACGCGTGGGTGAGATGATGAGCGCTCCCAGACCATCTGCGGGACCCCATTTTCGCCGATACAAAATCTCTAGCACAGGTATGAGGAACGCTAGCGTTTTCCCGCTTCCTGTCCGTGCAGCGCCCAACACGTCCTTCCCCTTCAGAGATACAGGAAGACTCTTGGCTTGTACATCGGTCATGTTGATAAATGCTGCCTTCTTCAGTCCTGCAAATCATCGTAAGTCCAGAACGACACTGACTGACGAGCGCGATCGCATACCTCGTTTCGTCGCTTGTGAGATAGGCAAGTCCGAGAACAATTTCAAGTCATCTGGAGGGTCCTTGATGAACGCTCAATAGCGGTAGATGTGAGTATAGGCAGGGGCGCACATATTCCATCGCCTGCCTGTCGAGGTTCGCGATCATCTGCTTCTCTGTTTCCTTGCGCGCCTTAGCAGGCTCGGGTTTGTCCTTCGCATTGCGCGACTTTCGTTTACGAGGGTCAGAGGGACCAGCAGCGGCCATATTGTTTGACGAGGACAGGAAAAGGGGAGGAGACGGGTACGAAGGGGAGATGGGGGAAGGGGAACAAGTGATCAAAACTTTGATCGAAAAGTACAATGGCGGAAGCTTTCCCACGCGACTACTTCCTTGATCTTGAGTTCGTCACTCATGTTCTCAACAAGACTCACTGTGATCAATGGCGCTTGTGCAAGTCACAATAGGTCTTCAAGTCATCGGTATTCTGTGCGACGTTCATAAGGCTCCGACTGAAGGGCAGGCACACTCCGTCTGCAGCGGGTGAGCGGGATCAGCCTCTAGACTGTAGTCATGCGGAAGCGCACAGCAATAAATGGGTCGATAAGCAACAGGGCGGCGCAAGCAGACGCTTTCCAAGCTTCTTCCAAGCCCTTTCCTCCTCATCCCAGTGCCACAGCCTTCGCTGTTGCTGCACCCGCGCCACTCCGCAGCGCCGACCGCCTGGCTAACACGCACCCGGCGCCTCGATCATCAATACGCGACGATCATTGCATAACCGGCCTGCCTGTGCCTTCTCTTTCTCCAGCCCCCATCCGCGCCCCCACACGTACCTTGCTTTCACACTTCTACTTCCACCATGGTTCGCAATCAGTTCTACGATGTGCGTGTCGTTCTCTATTCGTAGGTCGATGACACTGACAGCGAGCTCATCAGGACCCGACCTCGCTGCCAAGCGGCGTGCAGCGCATCGCGTACGACTCGGACTCTGGGCGGTACACGTTCCGGGACGAACAGGGACGTGTCTACTTGGGCAACCCCGGCGAGGGTTATACCGCGTACGAGAACTCCATCACTGCAAAGGAGACGCGCCCCATGTTTAATTCGGGTCGGTCGTGCTCGTGGTCGTGTGCATGCCCTTTACTGATCATATCTTCCTTCCTCCCCTCCGTCCTACCCTCCCTAACACTTCACGTTACCTACATCATCATTGAACCCTTCACTAGAGGACTTTCACGAGTATAATCCCGAGCACTCCAAGCTCAAAAGCTTTAGCGACATCCTCCCCTCCTCCGCTGTCACCGCCGCTACTCCCGTCGACGACCATCGCCAGAAGCACAACCGCAGCCCGTCCAAGCTCGCCAGCGTCGCGCGCAAGCTCACCATGAAGAAGCCGAAGGACTCTCCCCGCAAGCGGCAGGAGATGTCCCCGACGAAGGGCATGCCCCGCATGCACGACGTCGTCCGTGACGCGATGTCAAGGGAGGACATGGCCGAGCGCGAGCGCGAGCGGGCGTATCGGGGCGAGCGGCCGCCTCAGAACGGGCACAGCGGGCATCGGGGCTCGCCGAGCGGAGGGTACTCGCCGAGCGGTGGGTATCACCATAACCAGGGCAGCTCGCACAGTCAAGGCGGGTACCCCAGTCATGGCGGCCAGCCGATGTCCAGGGGGCATGCCTCCCGCGGCTCAGACGACCCCTTCTCCGACGCGAACGCGGTGGCGATCAAGACCGCCGCGGGCATGCGCGGGCCCCCTCCGAAGCCCATCGACTACCCGAGGCAGGAGGAGTACGACCCTCGGGTGCACGGCGAGTATCGCAGGAGTCCCAGCCCTCGTAAATACAGGGGTTAGACGTCGTAGCAATGCCCCCTGCGTAGGGCGTATCTGTGCGCGGCATCGTCATACGCGTTGCTTGCGGTCCTCCATGGACGCGGACCTACCTGTAACTACTTCACTTGCTACACGCTACCGCGGGCGATGGCCCCACTGACTGGCTGGTCCATGCTTTCCTTTCCACATATGCTTTCCTTTTTGCTTCTTGCCCTCGTTTCCTTGCGTCGCCCTCTTTCCCTTCTGCTCCTCTGTATGTACAACCGACCTTTTCCCCGGTATTTACTTGGCCTGCTATCCGTCTCTTCGCAATCTATCTGTCTGTACCGATCGCGCCAGAATTCCTGCCTCACAAGCTTAAGTGCAACGTGAACAGGGTTGGCAACCAAACTCGATGTCTGAAGGCGTCGACGTCAGGCAGAGACGTCGCCGGTGATTCGCGCGCGCTGTCACAGCACTCTCCAGCGTTGAAAGGGAAACGATCAAGTGCTTGCAATTGCATTATTGGATGATACAAGGAGAAAGCAGTCCATATATTAGTATGTTACAACAAGAATGGCAGAGACGAGCCGAACGGATGCTGTACGTGGTTGTAGGGTGATGGTGATATACAAAGAAGAAAGCAGATGAGCGTTACGGATATCCAGGATGTTGGATGAGGCGCCGGTATGATCCAGAGATAGATCACTGCAGGATTGGCGAGCGACGCGGAGGCAGCCTCGGTGGGCTAGCATCGTTCACGGACATGCGCGTAGCGCGCGAAACGTCAGACACACCCGAGGTCATGGTATTTGTCGAGCGCATCGACTGGGAGCGGTCGACGCTGCGGGAGTCGTCGAGGCTGAGGTTGCGCGTACGCTCAAGATAATCCGAATCGTCCGACGCGTAGTCGAGGGAGGAAATCGTAGAGCTGATGGACTGTGTGCGGGTGAGGTTCGTATCTGAGGCTGGCCCAGAGCGAGATGAAGCACCCTGTGGCGCGCCTTCCAGCTTCCGCGAGGCATCTGACCGCGCGCGATCCACCTGCGCTGCATCCGCCTTGCCACGCTTCCCCTGCGTGGCTGACGCGCTCGACTTGGACCGGAAGATCCCCTTCTCGTCCTTCTTGCCCCACTGCGCCTTCTGCGCCTCCCACGCCTGGTCGCTGTACGCCCACTTCTCGTCCCCGTACGGGGGTGGCGCGTCGAGCAAGCCGGACTTCGAGTCGCGCATGGAGGTCTTCGAGTCCAGTGATGACCTAGATCCCGCGGACGACTGGTTGCCGTAGTACTTCGGCGGACCCTTCCTCGCGGACGTGATCGAGCGGCGTAGGTTCTGCACGACACCCTGCACTTTGGGCATCACCGTCTCGACGACGTCGGCGAGGTTCTTGTCGCGCTGCTGTTGAGAGGCTTTCTTCTCGTCGGTCGGGGGAGGGGCGCTGCCGATGCGATTCGAGGGGAGGATGTCGCGGAAGCTTGAGGCAGCTTCGGCGGAAGAGCCAGAGGGCATGGGGCGATGGGTGTATTCTGATAGTGGAAGTTAGTGATCATATACTGAGTGGTTATGTGGGTCGGGTGGAATAGTAATTGTAAGGAGACGCGTACCTTCTGAGAACGCTCCTGGGCGAGGCTGCTCGGGGAGGTTCGCCACTGGTGTCATGTGGCCATATTCCTCGCCAGGATTGCCGACGTACTTGACGCCATTCGCGTCGAGGAACGTGTAGCGCTTCGTGTCTGCATCGTACGCGACACGTTTAAAGCCCTCGGGGAGACGGTAACGGTCCTGCAAGGCTGGTCAGCACGTGTGAAGTGGGCAGGTAGGCAGATCGTCGTGGCGGCACCTCGTCAAACTGTGTCCAGCGACCCATTGCAATCAGATCGAACAGATGGGTGTAGATCAAGGTAGTGAACTAAGGTGAAGTCCAGGGCAACTTAACCAAGGCTCGTAGATGGGTGCTGGTCGTGTGCAAGGCTGCGAAGCGCAGAATTTAAGTAGACGAGAGCACAGCCGGAGCTTCGTCGAAGCCCCGGCTCCCGGCTGGCCCTCGGCAGTCGTCATCGTCATCGAGAGCAGGTGGCTAGCGCCAAGGGGGACCACGAGGCGGGGCAGACCGGCCTGATGAGCGGAGGGACGATTGTCGTTGCTCGACATACCCACCAACACCGGCTCATCTTTCCTTTTGGCCTCGCCTATTCCTCTGACTTTCTGCCGCATCCAGGTTGTGTTTATCAGGTGGATGGCCAATCTCGACGTCGAATGCCCGATGGAGAGCATGCGCAGTCATTACGATGACAGCGGCACTCTTCCGATTCAGCAGTCCCTCACCGAATCATAGCCTGGTGCTGATGATGTCTTTCTGCTGGTGAAAGAAACACAGTCGTCCTCCGACCCAACCGTACCGCCGAAAATACATTGATGCGGACTCGAATTCGCAGAAAGACGATGATAAGACAATGAGAGAAAGGCATATATTGCGCGGCATATGAGGGACGTGTAGATACGGGATAATGGAGGTACTCGAACAACTTGAAGAGGCCGAACTGATCGAGATGATCGAAGGCAGAATTCTGGGAATTTCCCGTCAGTTACGCTCTAAGGTGAACAAAGAGGGTGAAGGAGGGAGGGGGGTCAGAATTGCAGAAGTAGTTGGGTCCTCAGGACCGTGGTCATTAGGACTGTTGAGCTTGATATGTGATTGGTGATCATCACGATGGCAGAGCCATGTACAAGAAGCAAAAGGGCTCGCAAACTCACTTGACTGTACGAGGTGAGCGGGCACAAGAGGGTAATGGCAAGATTGAGGGGGTAGGAGACAAAGGAAAGGGTAGCGATGGCGGGAAGACAAGAGTCCCGCGCAGAGAAAAATTCTGATTTTGTCAGTTCGGACTTTCCCACGCCAAATCCGGATGGACCGGTCCAAGCGCCGGACCTCGTGCATCATTTACCTTCGTCCTCACCGCCATGGCTTCTCCGAGTCCCCCTGCTGAAGCTGTTCCGAAACAAGACAGCGCTGAACAAGAAGAGACTGCTGAGGGAAGCTCTGGCAATGAAAGTGGTCAAGCTGGCGACAAGGACTCCCGCGCTTCCCTTCAGGCTCGCTTCGCCGCTTTACAGAAGCGACGCACGCAATCCCAGCGCGCCAACCTGAAGTCGCTTCAGGAGAGCACCCAACAAACGAGGCAGACTGCGCGCGACGAACAGCGACTTGCGCGGCAACGGAAACTCGTGGAGGAGTTGCGCTTGAAGGCAGAGGCGTCGGATCCGGAGGATGTGGAACGCGCGAAGAACTGGTCGTACTCAATTGAAGAGAACGATGAGTGGGAGAAGAAGTTGCGGAGGAAAAGGCGAAGGGCGGAGTACGAGTTCAATGGTGAGTGGTTGATGATTTGCTCATAGCAGGCCGAAGCTGACATGGGCCACAGACGACGCAGATGCTTCACGGCGCAAATACAAGAAGGACCTTGACTTGATCAAGCCAGACTTGACTGCCTATGAAGAGCAGAAGGCCCAGGCGCTCGCTAGCGGAAGCAGTAGCAGCGCCCTCGTGCGCAGGGACGACGGTGGCGAGGTTCGTTATGGCGTCCTACATCCCTTTACCCATACTCATCACTCGTTCAGGTCGTCCCCGCGGCCAATGAAGCTCACGATGCACTCTACCGCACAGCAAACACGCTGCTATATGGTGACCACAAGCCAAGTGAGGAAGCGATCGACCGCGTCGTTGGCAAAGTCAACAGAGAGTGCGTACCAGTGGCTTCACATCCAAGACTTTCCACTTACCCCCTTCATCAGCATCGAGAAGAAGCAGAAGTTCCATCGCAAGCGCATCAACGAAGACGAGGGCGACATCACATATATCAACGAGCAGAACAGGGTCTTCAACAAGAAGGTGCGTGCTCAACTCCTTCATTTTATTATATTGCTTCGGCTTCCAGTACCTACATGTTTTCGTTATCATATGCGAACCTTCCTAATGATACTTATACTAATACGTCGTGCAGATTGGTCGCTTCTACGACAAGTATACGGCTGAGATCCGGGCAAGCTTCGAGCGTGGAACGGCGCTTTAGGCGTGTTCATTGGCTTCTGCGTCCCTCCTCCACCGCCATATTTCTGTCGACTGCGTCGTTACCTCAGCCGACACCATACTCGCTATCGTCATCTATACTCTCACTCAGGATCCTCTTTGCTTGTATCTCTCAATATCATATGGCGCATGTACCACATCCAAGCAGCTCTCACCTGTTAGTGATCGTACATTTGGGGTGAGTCCCGGGTTTGCGTCAATGGTGATCTCTTCGCTCTTCCGTCTTACCCTTCAGCACACATGACCAGGTGTGGGCGCCTTGTCTCTCGACAGTCGCGTGAAAATCGACGGATTTGCCGCACGATACTCAGATTAGTGAATTAATCGAGCTTCGACGCCACCGTCTCGCTGTCTGGCCCGCACCCTCCCCGTTTGCTGGTCCGCAGCCCTTCTCATGAATCCAGCTCGGGGTCTTTCTAATGCTTCGCTCACGTGAAGGTCCGAGGTGCCACCGTCAGGGTGTCTCCATGGAGAGACGTATAATGCGCAAGAAAAGTTCTGACGGTGGGTGTCTTCAGAGCTTCGAGCCATGCGTCCCGTTCCTTATCCTTCTGTGCAGGAATATGTGTTGTGTATAGAGTCAGGAACCGACGAACGTAGGAAGCCCAAAATGAATGAAGGCGAAGGCCGCCGAGGACGGCGCTCGTGAAAGAGCGAACGCCTCAACAAGGAAATTACGCTTCAATGAGGAAACAACACTATCGAACAGCTAGAACGTACGCCTTCGAGAACGCGCGCGGCTGAGTCTCGAAGAACTTCGCATTCAAATGGGGCCTTGACGAACTTCGCACTCAGGCGGAGCATTCGAGGGTATTTATGCGTTGTATTCGCGTATATATACGCATCGAATTCGCGCAGTCTGTGGGTGGCCGGTATGCGGTCAAAGGTTGTCATGCCTGGGAAGGGATGCTGGCACGCGCGCCCTTCGTCCAGGATATAGAAGTCGGCGTGCTGGCGTCGTCTGTGGCTTCTCTAAGCCCATCCGTTCGTTGCGATCTCACCGTCTGTACTTCTCATCCCACCCTCGCTCGCCATCTCACCCGTCCTTGCCATCGACGATCATGGCGACGCACACACTCATTCCTCTCGACAACCTCCTCGGCGCTGGGTTCGTTGGGATTCTTGCCTCTGCTGTGTGAGTTGATGATATGCATCCATGCGACGAGTGATTGCTGAACGGTCCGCTAGCGTGTTCGGCATTACTTGCCTGCAGATCTACCTCTACTACACGGAGCATGCGACGCGCGATTCGAGGAAGTTCAGGGCGTTCATGGGCTTGCTCTTGTAAGCGTCGACAACGACAATCTGTCTGGTCACTTCACTTCTCTTTCTCTTCTGTTCCACTCTGCCCTCGATCTGACATTCATTGACGACCTCAACAGCGTCGCGGATGGGCTGCACCTCGCCTTCCTCGCGGCCGCGTACTATCATTACACGGTAACAAGCTATGGCATGTACTTGGCCTTGGCTCGGCCGCATTGGACTCTACTGGTGAGGATACAATTGTTCATCATCTCCTCCTTTGTCCATCTCATCTGACGTATCAGTCCTCGATATTCCCTGGCGTCATCGTCAGCTACTCCGTGCAAATGTGCGCTCCCCTTTGTTTTCTGTGACCGTAGACTAATAATGCAAGCGTAGCTGCTATGCGGGTCGAGTATATCTTTGTGGGTACACATTGTCTAGCTCCCATGCAATTTCTTTAGTTGAATAAAGAGTTGATCCATTCGCAGTGAACAAGCGCAGCCGTTGGATAGCTGCACTCATCGTAAGCGCTACTGCCGTGATGTGGACCAAGTACTCATAGTTGCTCAGGTTGCACTTGGCTTCATCAAATTCGGTAATGATATCGTCTTCTTTGGGCTAGCCCAGCGACAATGCTCATACGATATCCTTACGCAGTACTGGGGATCATGTATGCGGCTGTGGGAATTATCAAGAAAGTCCCGTTCACCGATGCGCGTACGCTGGAGGTCTACTCAGTGGGCGGGCTCAGCGCAGACATCGCATGCGATGCGGTCATAACAGGTGCCATGCTCGTTCTGCTCAACCGCAAGCGGACGGCGTACGACCGGTGCGTGCTTCACGCGCACTTGTATGTTGGCGCCGTTGAGTTGGGTTCCCCCTTAGAACGAACAGGATTATTGCGACGCTGAAGACATATGTCCTCCAAAGTTGTAAGTAACATATAATTCGTGTCTGATCCTCTCAGCCTTGCATTGCACTCACGGCGCCTGGGCTATACTTGCAGGCTTCCTGACAACGTGCGCTCTGCCTCCACCTCCCTCTCGACCCGGCCGCTGATGCGATTTCAGCGCCTGCGCAGTCATCAGCCTTATTCTGGTGCGTTTTTCCGCGACGCTTCTCGACCCCCCTCTGCTCATGAATCGCCACCCTATATCCTTACCTACCTCGTTGTATTCATCTGATCCTCGCCTACCTCGCGATTGCCTCTCATGCCCGCTGACGCTAAGCCCTCTTAGTGGATCACGCTACCGCACACGCTCACCTACTCGCCGTTCTACTTCCTGCTCATCCGCCGTACGTTGGTCATGGCCATATCTCGCTGTTTATCTTGCTGACCGGCTGTCGTCATACGGTATCCTTGTACCTCGGACCACCAGTATACCTATGCTCCTTCTTGTCGATGTGCGTGGCGTTCTGGGATGCCATCGGGAGTGGACCTTCTAATGACTTCCTCATCTTCCCAGACTCAACACCCGGAACCATCTCCGCTCGACGATGGACGCGCAGGATGCCGTAGCCTTTTCGAACCTCGATGCTTCGAGCTCGGGATCGCCAACCTCGAAACCATCCGACTTCGTGCTGAGTGCGAATGGGGAAAGCACCACCGGAGGCGTGCTTCGGGAAATGCGCTCGTACCATACTGAGGACAAGCAGCCAGCGAGCGCTTTCGAAGGGCATACAGATCCGTGATTCGTGTTGTAGAGGGCTTGCACGAGAAGATGATGAGGAAACTGAACGGACAACGACAACAGCATATTCTTCTTGCATAGGGTATTACATGTTCGGACTATTTTGTACATCTTGTTCGCGTGAAGTAAAAAGGGTATTCTATCACGAGGAACGACTATCTAAGGCATCAGGAAGTCCCAGAGGTAAAGAGCATACAATAAAGAAATACAACGGGGAGGAAGTATGGTACGATGGAAGCTGGAGCTGATTTACGATAGACGATATGTACATCCAAAAAGGTCTATGGTAGAGAGATACGGAGACAATGAAAACCAGGACAGCGAGCAACAAGACAGATAGCAAAAGATAGATATGGATACAACGCGACAGGATTATGCGACTGACGAAGAAGAGGAGAAGGCGGTCGCGGAGGAGCCTTACCCATGATGATGGTAATCGGGCGACTGCATACAACGTCAGCAAGATACGGGCTTGCAGGAAATTAGCCAACGCACCATAGTCATGTAGTCCCAGGTGGCTTGCAAGTGCGGGTCATCCGCCGCCGTCCCATGCATCGCAAAGTCTGGTGTATACGTTGGAGGAACATGCCCAGGCGGGTAACCATGGCCAGCATGTCCATTTGGCGGCAAATTCCTCCCATTGGCGTACGCATGTCCGTTGTGTGGATGTCTCTCGCCGCCTTGTGTATATGGCGGAGCAGCGACACCGTTCGTCAATGGAGCAAAGGAAGAGCCATAGGTCGCGGCCGTCGCCCGTGGAATATCAGCCGGCAAAGGGTCGTACGAGGCAGCACCAGGTTGATAGGCGCCAGCAAAGGTCTGGTAAGATGCACTCCCAGACGTATATGCGCTCCCGTGGTTGTGATGCTGTCCGGCATGCGCAGGTTGTGACACGACCTGCATATGACGCTGAGGTTGCGGCTGCTGGGGAAGCGATTGTTGCACCTGTGGTGCATACGCATACTGGTCCTGGTCAGGTGGGTATGCCAGTTGCTCATGATGGTGTGAATGCTGCTGTTGCGCAAGAGATTGGCGGTACGCTTCTTCTTGCTGCTGTCTTTGCTGTTGCTCTAGTTGCTGCCTGCGCTGCTGCTCGGCTTGGTAGTGCGCATCCGTGGCATGGTCCTGAGCTCGACCTTGGTTGACTGAGAACGGTCCCTGATCTGGCTGAGGTTGACCATACGAGCGATCGGCCATAGTCTGCGCAGGCGATTGGTTGGACGCCGAGGAATGCGACTGCGGGAAGGTGTACTGAGTGAACTCAGTCGTGGCCGAGGAGTACTGGGGGAAAGCGCCGCCGGAAGCCATGGGAGAAGGCTGCTGATGGCTGCTGTGCGGCGAGCCATAGAGCTCCGGCGTGTGCGCTTGCTGCTTGGGCTGCTGTTGCATATCCCCCGAGACTCTGCGCTGCGATACCGACAGTCGCCTGTTCGTATCGTGCGCATCCGAAGGGCGGCGCGGGAACGGCTGCGATCCCGACGCCTGCATCGCCATTTGCTCCCCATACGTCGGACTCATCCTCTCCCCGAAGGCCTGCCGCTCGCCCGCCCCCGGCACCTGCACGCGCAACCGCTGCTGCGCCATCCGGCCAAAGTCCACCTGCGAGCCCCGCCGCGCATCCCCCACAGCATAGAATTCCTGCAGCTGCGCCGTGATCGCGCCCTCGAACCCGTCGAGCTCGCTGATCAACCCCGGGTGCACGTCCGCGAACACCGGGTTGCTCGCGAAGTCTGGGGATGTCGCATCCGGATGACCGGGGGACATGCTCGAGCGCTGCGAGCCGCCCGACTGACTACCTGCGTTCGAGCGCGCCTTCGTGGTCACAGTCGTCGTCTTGCCGCTGAAGACAAGCAGGTCGTCCCGGTCGTCGTCCTGGCTCGAAGGTCGGAAGATGTCGTTATGGATGCGTGGCGGGACGCCGCTGTTGGTCTCCAGGAACACATGCTGAGATTGGGTATGCAGGCGCCGGATGATGGGCTGCATTCAATCAGTCTCAATTCCCTCCACCGCAGGAGTAGACCGCAACTCACAAGGAATTTTTGCGCTCGGCCACCATGAGACGCCGCGCTCTCAAAGAGTTCGAGGGCCCCTCGCAACTCCAGCAGCGCCGCATGCGCCACCTTCGTCTTCGGACTGTGCGTCACGACGGACGACAGCATCACCTTTCGCGGGTTCATGTCAGCCAAAGTCAATGATGCTGGCATAGGCACATGCCACATTCCATTCCGTCCACTCACCGATGACGAGAAGGCATGCGTCCACAGCACCCAGAACCGGCATATCTGCTTCGGGAAGAGCAGAAACTGCTGCTTCACGCTCGAGATCATTGTCTTCGCGCTGAGGTAGCCCGCCGTGAACGAAGGCGCGTACTCGCTCTTCATCGGGTCCGCCGACGTCGTGAGCGCGTGCGCGAAGAAACAGCGATGGATGTACTGCAGCGCTGACAGGGAGGGGCGCATCAGCGCCATATCAGGATGTAGCGCAGTACCTCGTGCGACGTACTAAGCTCCTTGTAGTTGATGGGCATGAAATGAAGCATCGTCTTGCCGAGGCTCACACCCGTCGGCGGATCACCCTGGGCGTACTTTGGCAGCTCCATGTTGCGGACCTTGCGATCCAGGTCGAGGATGATCGAGTAGCGCGGCGCGCGGGCGGTTAGCACGCCCTGCGACACGGCAGCCACGCACTCCGCGCCGAAGCGGGCTTTCCAGTACGGAACTGCATCATACGGAAGGCTGATTAGCCTGGCTTGCTCGTCGATTTGATCAAAAGAATGCGCTCGACGCGACTTACAGCTGGGTTGTGGCGTCCCGTCTTCGGCCATTGTCTGATCTGGGTCTCCTGGGAGCTCGCAATCGACGAAGGGGAGGGAGAACGTGGCAAGTCGCCCGGTAGCGAGGCTCTGGGCGTTGCGTCATGCCACGCGTGAGCAAGGTGTACCGCAGACGCTCACCTGCCAGCAGTCGGTAATGAAGAGCTCCCAGAATAACGCTCTCCGCTTCTGGACTTCTGCAGGGGGCAGCTTGAAGCGTGCTGAATCTCGATCTAGAAAGCAAGGTTTGAGGCAATAATACAACCTAAAAGGGGGGCGACACGCACGCAACCCAATCTGCAGGACATCTAATCAGTATTTATCCTACTCAAATGATCGTGAACTCACGCTCTGCGCCATTTTGCACGCCATGCCCATGAGCATCCACGTGGCCTCAATCCCGTTGTCCTTATTCCGCAAGCCCTCGTAGATACCCATCATCGCCAGCGTCTGCACTGTCGCGATCGACGGCGACCGATCGAGCAGCGGTTCCAGCCCGATCGCCGCCTTAGACAGCGAGTAATACTGCTCCGCATCCTGGTTGTCCGGCGCGGGTGGCAGATCGAGATCCGTGAGCGCGCCGAAGCAGAGCACCATGAACGCGACCGCGAGCTCGTGCGCGTTCTCCTTCGGGTTTGATGCACCGGGGCCTGGGCTGACGGGCGTGGAGGGGAAGTGGGAGGAGGTGGCGGCATTTGAGGCGTCGGATTCGGGGTACCAGAGCGGGATGATTTCGTCTTCGACTTGGCCTTTGGTGACGACGCCGAAGAACCAGGGTCCGACCTCAAGGTAGAGGGCGAAGAGGGCAGAGGCGCGTTCCCAGCGTGGCAGGAATGAGCGTAGCTGAGCAAACGAGACGGAGGCATAGGTCGGCTGGAAGGGGAACATGTTCGAGATATGCTCCACGAGCGAGGGATTATCGTAGGACTGCCCTAGAACCTGGGCTGAAGGCAATGGTGGCGTGGACTCTGGTGAGTCAGCTGTTTCCCGCTGTTCACATTCAGTCCATTGAGTGCCTGCCCGGCTAATTGGGAAGCCCACTTACCACAAGTAAGCTCTGTTGGTGGGAAATGTGAGTTTATGATGGCCGCCGCCGGGCTGTATATGCGCGTACCTCTGACCCCGCAGAGCGCCCGTAGAAGGTCGCGCCGCCGTCATCACGGATCGCGAGCGTGCCAAACTGGTCCAGAGGTGACTCGTCGGGCTCCGGTGCGCTGGCAGGCTGGTCGCTCTCCTGCTCGTCGACGGCCGAATGCAGATCTATACTCGATTTGATCTTCATTAAGTCGCGAGACAGCAGCGGGTGCGGCTCGTTCGTCATCGTGGACTGTAGCAGGGCCAGCGCGTCCTCGAGCTGCCGTATGCGGTCAGACATTTGGGCGATCTTGTGATGCAGCTTCTCGGTGTCCGCCAGCACGAATCTGGGGGAGGTCGGGGGCGTGGTTTCAGCCGTTGGCGGTCAATAAATTGACGGGATGGGTGCCCACCGTGTGCCTTGTCCGGTCTTGAGGGAGCCATTAGGGCAAATTGCTGAGCAGCCCCGACGTTTGCAACTGTGAAAGTCAGTGGGGACGATCGAAAGAGCCGAACGAGCGCGACTTGCCTTGAGCACGGGACGGTCTTGTCGCACTTGAGCTTGAGCCTGCAAACAACCGCGTAAGCCCGCGATTTCCCCCTCCACCGCTCTGCGCGCACCTTCGACACTCAGCGCACGAGATCGCGCCTGGTAATAGTCAGTGGAGTTCCCCCTCGAGCGCGATGAACACACACCCCGCGCCCGCTTGAGCTCCTTGTCCTGCATGGTCTGCGCCGTCTGCGCGCTCTCCCTGCGTACGGCCTGGGGCATCGTGATGGGCGTCGGAGACGGAGTGGATGATGGGGGGAGAAGGCAAGCCGGGGAGTGGACGGCAGTCGTACGTATTGCCGCGGGGGAGGCGCCGCGTCAGTTGGATCCCCGCACGGCTGGGGGGCGCCTGCCCAAATGCTTGTAGCCGGGCTCCTAGCTATTTCGGACGCGCGAGCCTGTCAGAGCCTGCTGCTCGAATTCGCTTCCGCATGCCTCATGCCGCGCACTCGTTGCGTGTCCCAGGGCCGTAAATCAGGGTCGCCGCAGTCACAACAAGGCCCTCAGATGTGATGTTCCATCACCACAAGCCCGATCCTGATAGCCCACTCGGAGAGCAAATAAAAGCAGAGAGAACACAGACGGAAGACAACACTCGATTTCTCAACATGCAATTGCCGCCGCCTCCCGCGGGCCGAACAAGCACGGCAAGTCCCGGTCGGCTGTTGTCTGCGTCGCCCATTGTCACTGCTGCTGTCTCCCTCCCAGCCTGCCTCCCCGACCCTCCCCTTCACGCGCCAACAGTCCTGCAATGCACGCCCTTGCGACTCCCTGCACGCGTCGTCCTGCGGTCATACCAAGCTCCTCATAAAGCCTTATACGGGTGGCGAAACGTCAGCCTCGGGGCGTCTGATAGCCGCCCGCATTCAGTCCTCCGTCTCTATTGCGCCTGCGCACGCCAGCGAATACTCTAAACTCCTCGGCGCCTCCCGCGCACTGCTAGTCCGGGCTCTATGGAAGCCACCTATGTTCTACCCGCCCGCAAACTGCTCGCCGACCCCCGTCTGCACCGCGGACGCAACCACATTCTGCGAACTCGTCGTCTATCAGCGGTCTGGCGTCGCGGCCCCGAGTCTTCCACTTCTGAATCACAGACAGGCAGTCGAGGCGACTAATGTAGCTCGCTGCATGACGCATGGCCTCGGAGTGCCCTCGTCCGATCCTCCTTAACCGCCTGTGAGCCTACGGAAGGCTACCTGCTGGCTCACGAGCAGTATCCAGTTCACGAGCAACGCATTAGCTCACGAGTGACCGATGCCTAGCTAACAGATACTGCCGACTATTTGGAGGATCCTCAGGCGCTTAACGCCCTTTACACGCTCGCTCATAGGTGCTGACACCTCCGATTCGCGTTCACTCTCTGTTTTAGGAAACTAGGCGAAGTAAAGCTGTACACTGACCCTTCGTGCCACCGCCGAGAAACAGACGAATAACCTACAATGGGCTGGGAAGTAGCTTGACAACTCAAAAGTATATCCTGCTCACTAACGTCTACTTCATGCATGTCGAACTTCGCTGAAAGCTGGCATAACACACACCTATTGCACTGACGAGCTCACACTTCGCCGACTACTCATTATATCCGTCGCCACCGTCATCTCAGGGTCTCTTCCCAAGTAAAACGCGACCATCTAGTGAAAGAGAGTAAACCGTGACCATTCCGTGATAATATACACATGGGAGATGCAATGCAATGTCGTGACAACGTATAGGGTAAGTAGGTCGAAGTTAGATGACCTGTGAGTCCTTCTGTATATGGCGGGTCGTTTTTCTGTAGATGGCAGTTGACAGTGGTCCGCCCGCTCTGTGTGAGCTCTGCCAATCCTCTGTCCAAGAGAATCGCTCGCCTGCTCTTTCGTGAGCTCATCCGGATCGTCCTCAGATCCCCGGACTGTCCGCTCCTCCCGGGTTCGGCCTGTTTGCCCTTCATAGCCTCAGCCTCGTTCATCCTCAGCCCCGCTCATCAACCACGGGTCCGTCCTCCTGACCCTTCAGGAGATCATCCTCCTCATCGGCGACGAGCAGCCTCTACTCGCTCTTCACGCGCTCGTATCCTGCCGCATTCGCGCCGCCCCACCCGAACCAAGAGCTTGAGCGCCGCTGCATCGGTTGACCGGAGCCCTCTTCCCCGCCCCCCACATCGTAGCCTTCGACGTCGCTCGGCACCTCGACCTCCTCAAAGCCCCTAGACATCGACGTCGTCCGCTCGCGTATCGAGCCCTCGGATCCCGGGCTGCTCGCGCCCGCCCTGGGCGAATATGAGCTCCCCGCGGCCGGCGTCAGCGACGTCGGTACGTACTCGTCCTCTCCGCGTGCTTGCAGTGCTGCCAATTCGGCCTCCAATTGCCTTCGGCGCTCGAGCACCGATTGCGTGGACCCGCCGGCAGCTCCGCCTCGAGGCGCCGCGGGCGGCCTGCTCGGCGCAGGGGCAGGCGGGCGATTCGCTTGCGTGAGGAGCGCCGCGCCCGAGGCGACGATGCTCGGCCCATACGAGCTCCACAGCGAGCCAATGAGCGCAGCGGGGCCCGACACGGGGTCCGCCAGGGTGGGCGGCGCGCCGGTGTTGGCGCCGGCGGTGGGGTTCTCGCCGAGCTGGTCCTGCGGCGGCGGCTGGCCCATGGCGACGGCGACCTGGCCCCAGAGCGCGCGGACGCGGTCCTGCGCGAAAGCGTAGACACGCGCGCGGAACGAGGCGATCGCGGCGTCGATCTGGCCCTCGTGCGTGTGGAAGAAGGGCTGGAGGTGCTGCTCGTAGATGTAGGACGCGCCGCGCGTCTGCGGGAGGGAGAGGTAGAGGAGGAATATGGTCTTGATGCCGTAGTAGAAGGGGATCCTGGGTGCGTGAAACGGCAAGGTAGGTAGGTGTAGAGGTGAATGGAGGGTTGAGGGTGTATAGTCAGCGAATGTGAATAGGGCGAGACATGCTGGACGCACCATGATATAAGCCATTCGGCGATGTATTCAGTGGCGACAATACACCCAAGCACAGACCAGTACATGAGCCATCGCTCAAGCTCCTCCTCCGACGCAGGCCGCTGGCTCAGGGTCTTATACGACGCGTAGCCCGGGTACAGAAACGCCGCCACAGCACTGCGCGCCTGCTTAGCCAAGATTTCTTCAATTCTCTCGCACAACTTACCTTATGATGCGGGAAGTGAGAAAGAGCAGCATCTCTCAAAAAGAGATGTCAGAGAGGGAGAAATAAGAGGTAGAGATCGATATGAAGGCCGCTCCGAAGAACATCTGATGCCTCGGCGGCGAGTGCGCCTGTTCGGGAATGGTGTGGCGTGGGAGTTCATTCTCGGTCAGGTGATGAGTTTCGGGCTCACGCTTTCGTTCCAGTCAATCCAGGTCAAGCGCCGCGAGAATCTCCTGTTCGTACATTGTTCCCCCGCTCCGTCATGGCCAAGAAACCGGTATTTACCGGGGGCAAGCGCCCCCCTGTCAGCCCTACGGCGCGTAAACGGCCTCTCAAGCGTCCGGAGGCGCCGAACACGTTGAAGCGCAAGGCCGACGCGAGTGGGAACCCCAGACTGGCGAAAGCACGACGAACACACAAGCATGGAATCAGCAACCCTGCTCGTGCACATCCTATCACAGCGGACTCTGAAGGTCCTACCCTACAGGAGTGGCGCGGGATGTCGATCAATAACAAGCTGATCAGTGCGCCCCTCCCTCTCTCGGTCACTCACTGTACTCAAGATCAGGCCAGTCACAGACGACGACAAGAATAAAAACGAATTCATTAGAGGGCAATTGTGCGTCTTGAGCTGCATGTACAAGCCACCGCAAGCTGACGAGCATGCCAGTGTGCAGATCCTACCCAGCGACGTAGACCCGGACGACATCGCTGAGCTAGAGGATTCGGACTTCTGGGTTGGCTGCATACGGGATATCAGGCATAAGAAAGTGGAGGGAAAAGATGCAGAGGTGCGTGCTGATCATCCGCCTTGAGGACTTCCTTAATCCCCTTTCGCAGGTATGGGTGCAGGTGCAATGGTTGTATTCCCCGGACGATGTGTTGGCCCTACGCGCCAACGAGATCAAAGTCAAACCAAAGGAACCCTAGTTGGTATCTTCTCCGATGTTCCCTTCCCCTTCTGACGGCCGTGCAGCCGCAATGTGTCCAGATTTTCCCCCTATGAGCGATTTTGGTCCACGCACAAGGATATCTTATCTTCAGCATGTTTGAACGGTGCGTACTTTCATAGCTCTGTCTGTTGCTTTGGATCTGATCATCCACAGATGTCGTACGTGTGGACAACTTTTCCGAGGCCGACATCGACGCGCCACCAATCCCCCCAGAAACCTTCTTCATCCGTTACGACCTCGATACCCAGACTGGCAACTTCAAGCCTGTGAGCCTCCCCTCCTTCCCACTCTATCACTTTCTCCAGAGCGCTCTTTGCTTATTATCGCCTCAACCTCGACCTCGTTGACCCCACCTCTCACACACATGCGCATACATACGCCTTCTCACGCACACTCCCTAGACCCCCAAGAACAAAGCCGCTCACAACTGCGCCTGCGACACCCCATACAACACCGGCGACCCTCACGAACGCCTCCGCTTCTGTCCCCGCCCTGCCTGCCGTCGCGCTTTCCACGAATCCTGCCTCGACCCCTACCCCACCGCCGGCATCACCGACCTTCACGCGCTCTTCCTCTCCTCACACCCGCATAAGAATCACCCGGTCGACCTGCGCGGCGAGCCGCGGGATATGCGCCCACTAAGTGGGCTGGGGAAGGGGAAAGGTAAAGGGAAGGGCAGGGCGATGTACGATGCAGTCGGTGCAGAGACGCAAGAGGTCGCGGAGCTACTACCGGAGAGGTTGTTGGCGCTAGCAGGGCGCCCAATTGTGCGCGGGGGTGGGAGGGGCGGAGGCGTGGCGGGGAATGTGTACGCGGTGTGCCGCGCGCGGTTAAAGGTGTACGAGATCGCGTTCAATGGGCTGCCCGATGACAGCTGGGAGGATGAGTTTGAGGACGCGTTGGATGAGCTGGATGAGGAGGGAGACGAAGAGCTGACTGTCTATCAGTGTCCTCGATGTGTGGGACCGATCTAAATGGGACCTTTTTTCCTGTTACGATCTTCGCTCTTGCTTTCGATGTGAATAATTGGTTGTACATGTATTGTTGTTATATAGCGTCGTTTGCATAGGCTATCTTTGGTTTGCTGTACAACTATTGTGCTATGCTATGCTGTGTCGAGGACCAATCAGCGTGGCACGCCAGAGGTACATCATTTCGTCAGGTAGAGATACAGCGGTGCGACCCTTGGCTAACAAGCGGTCCGGTATGCCTGCAAGCGAGCACGGCGACACTACAAAGCGCGGTAAGGTGTCCGACCGATAGGCGTAGCAAGCAGCATGCCTTGCACACGGGTTGCATATCGAGGGTGTCGGATGGGACAAGCAGAGCGAACATTCGCAAGGTTGAAGGCGGAATCTGAAGTCGAACGCTGTCGTTGTCTATGGCGGCCCTCCTCGACCCCTGCCACCCCTTCCCCTCCCTCTCCCGCCACGACCACGACCTCTTCCTGAATCACCACCGAACTTCGGCGCCTCGCTCACGCCCGCCAGCGCCGACGCAGAGATCAGACCCGGCACCTTTGGCGCATCCGCAGGCGGGGGACCCTCCTTCGGCGCCGCATCCGCCTTAGGCGCGGCAGCACTCTTCCCCTCCGTCGGCTCGCGCTTGCTCCGCGGCCCGCCTCCACCCATCGCGCCGCTCAGCGCGGCCTCGAAGCCGCGCGACATGCCTAGCGCGGGGCGGGCTTTCCGTGCGGCGGCTCCAGGACCAGCAGGAGGCGGCTTTGTCGAACCCGTAGGCAGCGGCGCATTCGCATCAGAAGGCGACACTGTCGACGAGGAGGGTCCCGCGCTTGATTGAGGTGCCGCTGACGATGCACCCGCAGAGGGCGGCACGCTGGTATTCACCGACGTCGACGGCTTCGCCTTATGCGCGCGGCGCGCGGCCTTCGCCTCTTGGGTAGCCGTAGCCGCAGCGGGCGCCTTTGGCGGAGGCGCTTTCTTCTTCTTCGCGTCTGATCCGGGGGGAGGAGGTGGCGGCGGGGCACGGCCTTTCTCTTTCTTATCCTTCTTGATGATGCCAGTGACGTCGCGGTGACGAGTGGCGTTGTTCTCTTTCTCGAATTTGAGGTACTCGAGGAGGGGTGTGGTCTTCGGAGGGCTGGGTGGGCGTGTTGCAGCGACTGCGTGGCGTACGGGTTGCAGATGAAGGAAAAGGGTCGCATTAGTGAGGCGATGAAGGGAATATATAAACTATGCGCACGAAGGGACTCCATTGTCACGGGCTCAGATGAAGTAGGAGCATTGAGAGATTCCAAGAACGAGATATAATCCTCATCTGCGAAGAGTCAGCGTCTCCGCGGCCATGTAGCACGCAGCGTACGCACCTTTCTCGATAGTCCCAGCCCGCACATCCACCTTCTTCTTCTCGCTCGGGACCTTCTGGTAAGGCGCGAACTCAACAACAGCTTGGAATTCGTTGCCTGCGCAAGCATTGGGCATCTCGTATCCTCCTTCACGAATATATTACACGCACCTGCTTTATCGCGAAAGAGATGCCCATCGTACTCCTTCCCAAAGATTGCTACCTGCTCATCCGTCTTAAACACGATATATGCCCGCGATGGCACATTCTCTTTGTCTGGCCTGCGCACCTCAGTTAGCGCCACGAAGTTCCTCACGTCCCCTAGGCTACCCTCCCCCTCACTCCCCTCGTCCTCCCCCTCACCCGATATCGCCCCACATCCCCCCACCCGAAACAAACTATCACTCACCTACTCCGCATCTTCCCCGGCCAATACGTCCGCCAGCTCACCGTCTCCTCGCTCACCCACGCCTGCACGCTCTCCCAGAAGATCGACTCAGGCAGGTTCGGCGGCAGCCGGCGGACGACGATCTTCAGCTTCTGCTTCTCCGCGGCCGCCTGCGCGGCCTTCGCGCGCTCCTTCTTGCGCTCGAGCTTCTCGCGGTCGCGGTCGGCTTTCTCTTGCGCGCGGTCGCGCTTGTCCTGGTCGCGGTCTGATTTCTCCTGGTCGCGGTCTGATTTCTCCTGGGCGCGGTCAGATTTGTCCTGTGTGCGGTCGCGGTCGGCGTCCCGGCGCTCGCGTTGGCCATCCCGATCGCGGTCCTTCTTGTCGCGCGGGGGCCTGGTGCGTTTGTGGGGGCTGGTAGCGGGCGTTTCGCTGGCGGGTTTGTCTGACATGGTAAAGTTGAGGGAGCAGGAGGCAAGAAGGTGGATTCAGTCGCGATGACCAGAGTAAGAGTATGGGGATACGTCGAGATTGTGGCCGTTGATGTCGATGACAAGGTCCAATGCGGCGCGGGACCGCGGCGATCTCGTTACGGCAAATGCCGAGCTTGAGCAAGTTCGAATTTGCGGGCTCTGCCAGAATGCTGAGGACGTTCAAAAAGCATACTATGCATTCAACGCGATACCGAGAGACAAGTGAGGCTCCTGACGACGCTACATATTCGTGTATATAGCAACCGAATAATTCTCAGGTCTTTGTCTACCAAGCACCATCCTGGAAGCAGACGTTGGCCTGCTCGAACGCGGAGTTAAGCTTGTCGGCGTTGCCCCACTTGCCAGTCTGGAGTAGCTTTCAGCAGGAGTGCAAGCATCATGAATGAACAGCGCTCACGGAACCTTCCTTCTGGATGCGGTCGGCGGCCTCCTTCTGATCGGCCTCGTTCTGCTATGTTATCAGCGTCGTTGCCTCGTCGTCAAACTACCCATTGACGTACAGCGCACTCGTAGATCGAGCAGAACTGTAAGATATATGTCAGCATTATGGCACCCTCCCACCACCTCTTCCAACCACTCGCAACCTACCTGGAAGTCGCCCGAGAGACCCTTGTTGAACGTGAGGCGCCCGCCGCGGACGGACATAACGAGCGGGCTGCCGTCCGCCTTCTTCATCGCCATCACGTCCTTGTGGAACTTCTGAGCGTCGGGGACCTCGCCGTCGAGCGCGGCGCTGTTCTTGACGCCAGTGATGTGAATGCCGTAGACGACCATTGTGTGTGGTGAATAGGTGGGTTGGGAGGTGCGTTGAATGCTTGGTGAGGCTGGTTTGTTGGGAGAAAGGACAGTTGGGTGCTGGCTTTTATACTAGGGTGAGGGTGCCTAAGGATTGAGGTGGGCGCGGGTGTCGGGTGCTAGCGACAGCCGAGGTTGTGAACCGAGTGGGATAGCATGTTTGCACGTTCAGAATAAGCGAAGAATCTGCTGTTAGCTCACTTAGACGGTCGAGAAGATGGAGAAGCCTGCAGACGATGGCTTTGCTCGCTTCCGTGAGCAGGAGTACAACCTCGTGCTCCCAGCGGCCGGCGGCCTGAAGGACAGGACCTCTAAAAGCCGCAGTGCTCGGTTATCTGCACGAATGCGCAAGCTTGACGTTTTCAACTCCCGTACCGTTCCTTGCGTGCTGGAAGGACTACTTTGTCAGCCCGTAGAGGACGAGAAGGTGCCAAACGAAGAAGCTATATACTTCTCTCGTGCCCGGAAATTTCTGAAATACAAAGACTCATAACCTGCGCCCTTCATCCGGGCTGTTAAATCAGGCAGAAATCTGAACATGGACGTCGGGACCAAAGCAGAACAATGGACGGATTTGCGGGCCGGGAGTACATACGCGTGACGTCAGAGGTTTGTCGCGTTCAGCGATTTCCCCGCACTCATCACTGGCCTCGACACACAACTGTCAGCTTGCCTGCTACCCAGAACGCCTACGTCTTGGGTCCGACCGGCTACTACGACTGTCTTGCAGCATCCAGCATGAGCCGCCCATCCGTCCTGCGTAGCGCAGCGGCCGTAGCTCGGGTTGGGCGCCTTCCAAGACTTCCATCTCACGCATGCTACCACAGCGTGCCTTCAAGACCTTACACCACCCCATCCGCCTCCTCGCATGTACCTCCCGTCAACGTAACTTCAACATCGCCGCCCGAGCCCTCCTTCCCTCTATCCCCCATCCCCGAAAACCCGCTTGGGGACGGCCGTTGCATACGTGAGGCTGCCGCTCTAGTCATTGGGTACGAGAGCGCACTTTCGACCTTCTCTCAGAGTAATGCTAAAGGCCATACAGAGACGAGATTCTAAACGGCAAGACGCTGGACAGAAACTCGAATTACTTGGCAAGATACTGCTTCGCAAATGGCGTGAACCTGTACGCGCGCTTTCTGCTCTCCGTCCAGCGGACAATAGCTGATGTACACGGATTTTAGGAAGCGCATAGAGGTCATCCCTGACGATGAGGACGAGATGTAAAGGCGTCTCTCGCTTAGCATATGCTTGCGTCGCTCAGACAATCGCAGCATCGAAGCCAGCCGCCGCCTTACCAGCAAATACGATTTCGTAGTTACGAGCGGTGGGATAGGTGCGCATACACTCACTTTATTCCTCTCGCCGTCCCCTTATTTAGCTACTACGCTAACCACCCTACTCACAGGCCCTACGCACGATGGTCAGTCCAGCCATCTCCATGTTCGAGCCGCTATAGATCGTCTGACCTGCTCAACCCTCCCTAGACATCACCTACGCCTCCCTCGCCAAAGCCTTCGGGCAGACCCTCCAGCACCACCCAGAAACGATGCGGCGCATGGACGCCATTAACGCCTTTCGGAAGACCAATTTGCACACTAGCCCTGAGCAGCGCGAGGCGTACCTGCGGATGGCGCTCTTCCCGAGCGAGGCGGAGGTTATATTCGTGCGGCCGGAGATATGGGTGGTGAGTCGAGCAGTACTGCTATCCTTGCCTTTCCGCGGCTCCACCGAACAGGCTTTTACGCCTCCACTATGCATACTTATCACGTTTCACAGCCCGTCGTGCGCCTGGCGGGCCGTTTATACGTCCTTCCAGGCATCCCCGCACTCTTCCAAAAGATGCTGGATGCGCTGACACCCTTCCTGCCGCTGCCCGAGGCGACAGAACGCCTGAAGAGGATGCAGATATTTACGGAGTGCGTGTCATTTGATCCCCTCCTTTCCCCTTTCTTCCTCTTCACTCCACGGCTCGCCTTCCTTTTGTACACCCCGTCACCCTGTACACGCCGTCACCCTGTACACCCCCTCACCCTGTACACGCCGTCACCCTCACACCTCCATGCCCTTCGCATTCCACATACCTCGTCGATCGACGCGCTAACCTCACCCCAGCCGCCGCGAATCCTCCATCGCGCCCTACCTCACCGAGCTGCAAGCCCGCCTCCGCCCACGCGGGATCTCCGTCGGCTCGTACCCCGTCGTCGGCAAGGGCGTGTTCATCAGTTTGATTGGACGGGATGCGTCGGGTGCTGCGTCCGGTATGCCTTTTTCGCCGTGTCGTATGCCTTCCTCGCCGTGTCATATGCCTTCCTCGACGTGTCGTATGCTTTCCTCACCGTGTCATATGCCGTCCTCGCCGTCTCTTCTCGATCGAAGCTGACGAGCTTTCGCCAGCGACTGGTTCCTGCCTCAAATCCAGCACACCTCCGCCGGCACCGTTGACGGGTCTGGGCGCGGTCAGCCAGTCCGATGAAGGGCTGGCTGATGGTAGAGGAGGTGGTGGTGGAGGAGGTGGGAAGACGACGACGACGGATACCCTCTCGCTCGCACAGATCGCCGAAGAGGTCGAGCAAGCCGTCGGCGGGCGGATTATTGGGGAGGAAGAGGTGGAGAGTGTGAAGCAGGTGAGCGAGTGATGGGTGGATGCTCCCGAATTATTGAGACTTGGGTGATGGATGGATGTTCCCGAACTCTTGAGACTTGGGTGATGGGTGGGAGGAGGTCGTCTACTCTATGAGCGAACGGGGTAATTCGAGTGGAAGATGGTAATGCGGATAGTGGAGAGATTCTTTATTTGATCCAGACTTTGCAGCGTGTACCGTGCTTGGGGGCTCCCGCGGTGCTAATGCATCCCAGGACATCCTCAATGGTCATGACTGCTTGGCCGATCGACCGGCGTGGCGGAGGGTGACGGCGTTCGAAAAGACGTCGAATGGTAGCGAATGAGAGCTCGGCGAAGATCCTTGCAGTCCTATTCGAAGGTGAAGGACCCACCGAAAAGCGTCGATGATTACGAGGTTGTTGTGGGAACGTCTCGCTGCTTGCCGTGGCTGCTATATTGCTTGGCGCAGTACCTGTCGTCTTGCTGCATTTTTGGGGCCGTGCATTCTTTGTGCGAATGTTCAACGAGTGTATTTGTATCCGGAGCCCACTGCTCATGTTGCCGTGTATGTACGTATAATGTACTTGTAGCCGTTATATCGACATCCTATATTGACTGGCAGCACATCGTCAAGCCTGTCATGGAACAGTAGTAATCCTCGGAAGTTACCGGCTCATTTCCTTCAGCCAACCGAATGATGGCCATAAAGCTATGGGTGTCCGTAGGTCCATCATTCCAAATTCACCTCGGACCCGCCGGGCGCAGCAGGACGCGCCCACAACGTAACAACGTTGAACTTGAAGATGAAGGTGGCCGTCCGTTCGTTTGTCAAGGTCATGTTTTCTGTCAAGGTCATGTCGTTGCAGGCAACCTGACTTCTTCTCCGGTCGACCCGACTCTTTCTCCAATCGACCTGACTTCCTCCCCGCCAAGGCGCACGAGCTCCGGCCCCCCGCTGTGCAGTTGCTGGGCGACAGCGCGCCTGGATGCCGCCGCGCGCCGTCCTGTCCATGCCGCGCACAATCTGCGGGTTGCCGTGCATCATTTGTGGCTTCCGGGCGCGCCATTCGTGGCTGCCGCGCCATTTCTGGCCTGGACGGACCATTTCTGGCCAGGCACCGGGACGCGAACCCTGTCAGGAAGCGTCGCCTTCTGCTCATCGCGGCACGTCGGGCGGAGGGTCGGCACCACGCGCCGCACGCCCCCTGTCGTATATAAAGCCCGCGGCCCCTGGCGGTCGATTAGCTCTCTGCTTCCTCCTTTTCCCCGCCCGCTTTACGCGTCAACGGTCCTCCTCGACCCTCCTCGCGGTCCACTCGTCCCTCGGACTTTTACAGTCTCCCAGTCCTTCCTTCTAGTCGCTCTTTACGCACAAACCAGAAAACCTCAAATATGGTCTCCGCTTCGCTTGTGTTCCTTTCCCTCGTCTCGGCGGCGTTGGCGAATGTTTATGTGAGTTGAACTTTGCACTTTCTTGGCTAGGAAGGGAAGAAGGGAGGATCATGGTTGGGCGGCGAGATGGTTGGGCAATGGGGTAGTCGGCGGGTGGAATAATGGGCTGCATCTCGGTCCGAAGATAGGGCGGTGAGAACGCGAAGGCAGGATGCTGACTGACACCCCCCTCAGACGACCTCGCCGACCGCCTCGACGACGTTCACGGCGGGCCAGTCCGCCACGATCAGCTGGCAGGACGACGGCCAGTCGCCCTCCCTCGCGGACTTTGGCCCTGCCAAGGTGTCGATCTACGCGGGTAACGCCCAGCAGCAGGTACGATCAGCTTTCGCGATTCTTGGATGCGCTCGCGTGCATCTGGACCAGATGCTGACCCACTCGTAGACCCTGCTCCAGGAGATCTCTCCGAACACAGATGTGAGCAAACTCGGCAGCATCGAGTTCACCCCCGACGCGTCGATTGGGCCCGATAGCAACGAATAGTGCGTCCCGTCACCGTCGCTTGCAGCTACTCTTGAGTTGACTGTCCGTTCCCCTAGCTTCATCCGCTTCGAGTCCCTCGCCCTCAAGGATGCGACCTCCCCGCAGTACCCTGCGCTCGCCTTCTCCTCCAAGTTCACCATGTCCGGCATGTCCGGTTCCTTCTCGGACGACGTGCAGAAGCAGATCGACGGGCAGTCCACGGCGCCGATCGCCTCGCACACCGCGGGCTCGTCCGCGTCAACGAAGGCGGCGAGCGCGACGACCACCTCCAAGGCCGCGACGAGCTCGGGCGCGCACAGCGCGTCGGGCACCGCGCAGAACGCCGCGGCGGCGACGGAGTCGAACGCGGCGGTCGCGGGTGGCAAGGTCGGGAACGCGATGGTGGCGACGGTGTTTGGCTTCGTCGCGGCGGCGTTCTTTGCTTGAGATCGAGCAGATCGTGTATGACTGCTGCTGTTCAACGTACTACTCACACAGTTCCTACTTCTCACACGACCTATATAGGTGCTTACTATCTGATCTCTGCAGCCTCGGTTTGTATGATACGGTCACGGATGGCATGTATACCAGTGGGTTACAGGATGCGTAGAGTACCGTATAGATCCGGAATAATCCTTGAAGCCACTTTCTTGATTCCTTGCTGCCTCAGTGGTCCGAAGTCGTGAGAACCATGCATACGTCTGCACCTATGGAAGTGCAGAGTCAGACGTCGGACGGCGCGGGTGGATGGAGAAGGAACAATGTATATTTACATCTGTTTACTTCCATCAATTTCATTGTGCTAACACGTGACCGCGCCTAAATGCGTTGTTCGCTCAATTCGTCGGGCCACGTTCCCATTGTCCGCTCTCGCATCGTTGCTTCTGCATTGTGCGCTCGATCATGCGAAGCTGTAACGGCTCGCGTATAAAGATGGGACAGGGATTGGGAAGCTCCCCAGCACTCCAGCTAAGCCGCTCTTCGTCTCTTATTCACGACCTTTACTTGACTTGACGTCTCTCTTCTTTCATCTCTTTATTGCTTTCGCAACTGGTATGTCCCCGGCACTTCCTTTGCAAAGACCCAAGCTCACCCTTTCCCCAGCTTCTTTGCTTGACGAAGATCACCTGTAGCCCTAGTAGCCTCTCGACGCCTTTCAACGTCCTTACGCCTTATACGCCTCGCCAAGACACCATATCGCCGGTCGATACTCCTACACGCACACATCCCACAATGTCTTTCAACATGAACGTCTTTGCCGGCCTCCCCACCGCCCTCACCCACGCCCTCACGTTCCTGACGACCCCCTTGCTCATGGTGTACCCGGCCACGACGGTGCTCAAGCTCCAGCTCATCCTCCAGGGCAACATCCTCTCCCACTACATGCCCGCGTTCTCCCTCACGAAACCCAGCAAGACCACAGCGTGCCCGTACGACATCCGCCTGCTCCTCGCGCCAAACCAGCTCCCGCCCACGCCTATCCTCGCCGCGTGCATCGCGATGGGCATCGACTGGCCGACGTGGGCGACGCTCCTCGGCGGCGAGGCGCTCGAGATCATCATCACCGAGGACTGCTTCGCCTTCCGCGCCGCGGGCAAGCTCACGATCGTCTGGCAGGCCAGCGTCGGCATCGCGAAGCGCCACACTGTCGCCGCGCGCCAGGCCGTGGCTGCTAAACCCAACGACATCCGTATGCCGACCGTCACCGCGATCTCCTCCGCGGCGGACGTGGACGCGATGGAGATGGACGTGGACACGATGGCGGTGAGCATCTCGCGCCCGTCGTCGCGCTCCTCGACCACCTCCTCGCACGCGTCCCTCTCGTCCTTCGCCTCCTCGGGCAACGAGAGCGCTACGAGCGCGGGCTCCGAGCATGCGCCGTGCATGAGCGACGAGGACATGCCGTACTCGCCGCCCAAGGCTGCCCCCCGCGCGCGCTCGCCCTCCGTCGCCGCGATGGACGTCGAGGACCAGCCGTACCGCCCGGGCCCGCGCCGCGTCGTCGTCGACAAGACGCGCCAGCCGCAGGCCTACAAGTACCAGGGCGGTGAGACCACCGTGCTCACCGGCGGCGTCATGCTCGGGCGGCCCTCGAAGGCGCTGCCCAAGCTCGCTTCCTCCCCGCGTCTGCCCTCTGCTCCGTCGACGCGCCCCTCCCCTCGCCCTGCCTCTACCCCTGCGCCCAAGCAGAGCAGCAAGCCTGTCTCCGACGGACCCTGGCGCCCCTCGTGGCGCTCGGGCGCGCGCAAGATGTCGCGCCTCATCGCCCCCGAGTCCGACAACTGGCGCTCGCGTGCGTAAGGGCATACCTTCCTTGTATGATGGGCATGCCATCCTAGTATGACGGGCTTGCTGTGCTCGCATGTCTGAGGCCTACCACTTTGCGATACCTCGAACATTCGCGCATCGTCCTCTATCCGTCCGCTTATTATCCTCTATCTATCCGACCAACCCACCGCTCGACGCGCGGTCTGGCAGGGCCCTGCCGTGCGTCGTTGCTAGATCTTGGTCCACGCTAGATGCTGGTACTCTTTCCTCTTTCTTATCCCGAAACGATTTTCTATCCCGGACTGACGCCCTTGCTTCATTTGACGCCTGCTAGCTTCACTTGCCGCCTGCTCGCTTCACTTGATGCCTGTGCATCACCCCCAGCCCTTGCACCTTCCCCTTGTCTCCTCCTTGGACAACGATTGTTTATGACTTTCGACTCAGCTCCCCGTGTTCATCACCTTTGCTCCAGTTCATATTATGTACAACGCTTTGTCACTTGCTCTCTGTTTGCTACGCATCTAATGTATCCATATAGTATTCTGGCATGTGCTCCTAGTGGGCGGCCACAATGAACAGACCATTGGTGTCCTACTATCACGAGTGATTGTCCTCAACTGCGAGTGATTGACCTCAATTGCGCGCGGTGGCCGGTGACCTTTCGGTTTTAGCTGTCTGCTGCGTCTGACCACCATTAGCCTCTAGCGCGAACGTGTGCCCAGGTCGCCCAAACCGTGTACGCCGCACTCGACGTTCTTGCTATCTGCGCCTGCAGCCTCGCCCTCGCTGGTGTTAGCCTGCAGCCTCACCGTTGGTTTGAGCCTGCAGCCTCAACATTGGTTGTAGCCTGCGGCGCCGCCGGCACGTAGGTGGCCTCGCTAGTATGTGGGCCTGCTGGCCCTCGTCCTTGGACATGAGAACTTCTGACGCCTGACTAGACCCTTCTTACGCCACGCCACAGCTCCGTCTTGTCAAAGGGAAGCACGTCTTACCAGAGCGAGGAATCACGGCCTGCCGGGGCGGGGGAGCATGCCCTGCTTACCAGAGCGGGGAAGAACGCCATGCCCAAGCAGGGAAGAACGTCTTGCCAAAGCCGGAATGGGATCGATGTGCGATCTGCGACAAGACGTTCATAACGGAATAACTCGGGGTCACTTGCGCTGAAGATTGGTCCGCTCGTACAGAAGAGTGGTCTATTTGCTCAGCGGATTCGTCGTGGCGCTTCATGTACGAATCTATAGGTCATTTTGCTTTTCATAAGCCACAACGCTTCTGCCGACTCCAAGACGCTCGTCGACGATGCCCCATTATTTTCTGCGCGTCGACGGCGGACACGCCATCAGCGCGCCACCCTCTGCCCACACGCGACTCTGGTCTCAAGCTATCCACCGTGCACGACGCCCACCGCGCCGCTCCGAAACTCAGACGGAAAACCCTGCTGGATATAGGCATCATCAGCCGACCGGGAGGCGTGCTCTCCGGACTATTGCGCATGTTCTTCGAACTCATGCCTGCGAAGGTTAAGAGAACCGCCGAAGACGTCCCTCGTACCTAGCCTCTGATAACGATTCGTACGTCCAGAAACACGCTGCTTCTCAATTCCCTCTCAGGCGCACTCAATTCCCTCCCAGGTGTTCGCGATGCCCTCCCAGGCGGCCTCGCCAATCCTATAAAGATATGGGAAGAAGAAGGCAGGGAATGGGCCAGCCTCTGCGCCGTTCGACACGGCATCCCTGCCGGCGCGTAGATAGCGGCCACTCCCGCGCAGGCGGCTGCGAGGAAGTATTCGAAACGCCGCGCGGGCCAATGAAGCGCGGGTGGGTGCGCGAAGCGAGGACGTACACGCGAAGGGCGCCCTGGCGCCGATGACCAGGCCGGGCAGGTGCAGGTGGACAAGGATGTACATACCGTGATACCAGAGCCGGAGTCCGCCCAGCCTCGTGCGTGCGCGCAGGCGGGGGCCTGCAGGCCCCCACGCGCAGCCCATATAACCTGCGCGGTGCCTGCTGGTGCGCCCAGTTAGCCTCTCTGGCAGCCGACGTTATCGCGCGTGCATTCGCCATCGTCGACCTTTTGACCTTTTCTCGACCACTCACCCTACCTCTTCCTCTTCGTACTTCTTCCCGCTCGCCGACGAGCCCGCTAGACGAGCCCATCACACGAGCCGTTTAGCAGCGCTAGACTCTTCATATCAGCGCGCAAGCCGTCGCTATACCCTTTGCATTCTTCGTTCTATACCCTTTCACTCTGGCTTTCGCGAAGCTCCGCAAGATGTTTTCGCAGCTGTTCTCCACCTCCAGGTCGACGGACCAGCTGTCCCGGCCTGAGATCCCTATCCCTCGCGCGTCGTGCGGCCCCTCCAGCTCTACAGACGCGTTGTCTCGTTCTGCACCCGCGACGATCCGCCCATCTACCGCGTCGACCGCCTCCCACCAAGCCACTTCCTCCGTCCCACTAGCTCCTCATGCACCTGTTATCGCACAAAGCACTGGCGGTTCCTTCCGCACAACCTCTTCCCGCCAATCCTCCCATCCACCGACCTTCACGCCACTCGCTACCGCCGCCGCTCGCGTCTACCACGCCGATTTCGGCGCGAAGGGCGCGAAGTCTGGGCGTCGCGGCAGCGTCAGCGGCATGATCAGAGGTAACTCGAGGAGCGGTAGCTGGACTGGCGATGGCAAGGACGGCTGGGCATACAGCGGGCTCGCCGGTATGCTGTCCTTCGGCTACGAAGCCGGGGAGGCAGTTACGGTCGACCCGAGGATCAGCGGCACCGTAGACCCTACGAGCGGCGCGGTAGAAGTCCCTGAGCCTGCACCTGTCGTCTACTCCTTGCGCCTCGCAGATGAGGTTGGGAGGCCCATCTGGACTTTCAAGGTCCCGACGGAAGGCTTCGACTACCAGCTCGACCGCCCCTTCTTCCACGTGTTCGCCGGGAAGGTGCGTAGATTAGCGAAGATAGGCTGAGAGCATGGATACTGATCGAAGATATAGAGTCGCCGCTTCGGTCTTCGCTTCGACGACGATGCGCAGGCGGAGGAATTCGGCCGTATCGTGCGCGCGCGGACAGCCACAGTAGCTGGTAAGTCTGGCAACTGGCGAGTCCAGGATTGTGCTGATAGACGTTGCAGGCAACCGCGATCGCAGTCGTACCTTCCCCGGTGCAGCGCGTCCATTCTCTCGTGCTATCACCAACGCATCGCGAGGGTCTCTTGCTCTTGATGGCGGCCGTTCATCGTCGGAAGGTGGCCGAGGTTCCATGGAGAGCGCCCCCTTCTCTTTGGACGCCGCATTCGTCAGCTCTTCGCCGGAAGATATCGGTCTTCTGCAGAACGCCACGCCGCTGCCACAGCGCAAAGGGTCAATGGATGTCCCCGCGCCCAAGATCACCACCGCACGTCCAGCAGCACCCGCACGCGCCGTCCCCGCCACTCCCAGCCCCACGAAACCCTCGCCACCCAACCGCCCGACGGTGACCCGCCAACCCTCTCGCACCCCCGCTCGCAAACGCCGCGTCCGCGTCTCCATGATCTCGCGCCCCGCCTCGAACACCTTCGTCCACATCGGCCACGTCGGCATCGGGAAGGAGGGTGGCATCGAGGTCTCGCCGAATATGGACCCGCTATGGGCAACGGTTCTCGCGGACTGCCGCGTTGCGCGCGCGCAGAGCGTGACGGGGAGGAAAGCGCGGAGAGCGAGCCAGAGCAGCGCGAGCGTGCTGAGCCGAGCGAGTGGCGGGAGCGCTGCCAGCCCTCCGGGCAGCGGGAGGAGTACGCCCGCGCACGGATACCCTGGCAGGCAAAGCCCCGTCCGCGACTCGGCACCCCCAGCACCCATCCCACCGCGTATGCCCTACTACCGCCGCGTCTCGAGCGAGACCACGACGAGCCGCTCGCGGTCGCTGTGAGCTCCTCTCCAGAATCATCATCGCACCACTACTATATTGACATTAACCGCTATCGAGACACAAAAGAGCGAGACTCACCAGCTCTCGACGGACTCTAACCATCCAAGCACGCTATTATGCGACGTTGTTGTACCACCGCACCTACACCATATGTAAACCGCACGTCCACTTGCCACTCCATGTACCACGTACCGCGCAGCGCGCCAGCATCCACACCTAGACCTCTCTCCATCGCCCTATGTTGTACACCATATGAAACCACTCCTATGCGTTGTTGTCCTTTTCAGGAGATGAGGAGTGCTTTGCCTTTGTGATTGACAAGCAGTAACCGTGCGCCGCGGAGCATGCGGATGCCTGAGTCGCCCTCATTTGCGCGGTAGGCCCAAAGATGTAGAATGTTGCGGACGTGCATAGAGAGCTGGCCGTCGTGGTGGATCCTGACATGGTCGAGAGACGATATGTCGTTATGAGCTGTTGCGCTACCGCTGCTGGCACTGCCACTAATAGGTTGCACCGAGCTGACCTGGAAAGACAACCCAATCGGTCCAAGGCGACCCTTTTGGCGGAAGTAGATGAGAAACTGCCAGAACTGCGATATCGCGTCGCGCGTCCAGAGGATTTCATTGTCAGTGGGCGTTGGCGGAAACGGAATAGCAGATTCGTTCGAAGGGTCGAAAAGCGCAGCAGAAGAACACTCATCCCAACTTAGTTTGCCGCGAATGGGGATAATCCACGTGTTGCGAGAGAAAGGAGCTGACAGCTGGACGTCGGGATCGAGTATGATGGGTTTTCTCCTGTTGTATGCCTTGAGATCCTTCATCTTGATCTTGGAAGTCACGGGCGACACGAAGACGTGCGGCTGGCGAGCATGTTCAGTTGAAGGCTCATGAACAGGAGATTGAAGACACCTACCTTGGGCAGAAGATCGTACAAAGGTGCCGTATACAGCTTCCTCCTCTTGGGACTAGGATCGGGCGTGCTGCTACGAGACATCCTCTTCGAGACAGGTACACGGTCAAGGTAACTGAAGTCGCTACTCTCGAACTCTTCCAGCTCTTGCAAACTGAATATTTCGTCAGCTTCTGGGTCAGGAGCTGCTCCCCAGTGGCGAAGTTCTGGCCGTGTCCTAGTCCCTGAGATGTAAGGCGGAGCAAGTAAGAGCATATATGCACCTGAGAAGCAATGAGTCGAACGCCAGAAGACCTTCAAAATCACTTACGTGTGGCTTCTTTACTAGGCGAAGGCGCTTTCTGCTGTATCACCGTCCGCCAGTTATCCACCGCCGTCGCGCCATGAAGGACCTTTTCAGCGCTGCTAAGAACGGCCGTCTGGTTGGATGACTCATTAGTAGACGCGTAGTAGTGAGCTTCGTAGGGAGGAAAATCAGCTGGGATATCGTGAGTGGTCATTGTGAAGATGAGAGTCAAGCACAGGCATGACGAAGGATGAACGAGGAGACCAAGGCGTGTTTGTCACGTCACCGTTCAATCCATGTCACGCGGCAGTTCGGACCGACGTGCGCCCACAAGCGCCTCCAACTTGTCCTCCATCTCCGCGTTTCTGAGCAGGCCGCCAGGCTCTGACATTGGCAGGAAGTACACTATGCTACAGTTTAGATGAAGTTTGACGGATGCAGTCTCTTCAGGTTCGCGCATTTGATCTTGCCCTGAAGGATGAGCTCGCTGAGGGCTTTCGCAGTTCCCGGAGCGTTGCAAATGCCCTGCAAAAGAGTCAGACCGCATTCCAGAGTGAGAAACGACACATCAGAACGTACCCAACATGTATGTCCCGTCGCAATGTAGAGGCCCTTCGCTATTGATGTTGCTTCGCCGACGATGGGTCCGCCACCTGCACTGACAACAGGCAAGAAGCACGCTTGTCGCTTGTCGACCTTCCCCTCCCTCAGCGGCTGCGAGATACTCGCAACATGCTTCCACACGCTCTCGCATGCCTCCTGGTCTACTTGCACCTCATCAACCGTGCCCGGCAACACGGAATCGTCGCCAGGACCGCAAGCATAGACCTCGTTATCCGGCCGCGCGTAGATCTCGGGCGTGACCAGCCTCGGACGAGCGCCTACAGGCAGGGTAATCTCGGTGAAAAGGACGTAGGGCGCGATGGTGACCCCGGGTTGGGGATGGATGGTAACGCTGTGCGCGCGGGTGCCTGTGATCGGGAGCTCGTCGACGACGCGGGGGGACCAGGCGCCGGCAGAGAGGATAACGTGTGTGGCTGGTAAGGTCTTGCTCTCCCCGCTGTCGTTGTCGACGTAGGAGACGCCGGTGACCTGCCCTGATTTCCGCTCGACGCCAGTTGCGCGGCCGAGGACGAGCTCCGCGCCCTTCTCCTTCGCGAGCTCCATCATGCTGGTGGTGAAGAGGTACGGGTGCACCTGCGCGGTATGCCCGGTGGGAGCCATGGGGGAGTACGTATCCGTCAGCCCCTCGTCGACCCAGAGCAGATCGTCTGGCAGGCCCTTCGACTTCCGCGCATGTGGCGCGTCCTGTGGGTTCAGACCGAGCGTCTTCTCCAGGCTCTTCCGCTTGCCGCCCTGTCCGACGCCCGAGCCGCTGTCCAGCGCGTCCGTATCGCCGCAGCCCTCCCAGCTCCCACAATTCACAAAGCGCCAGCCCCAGCGGTCCTTGCCGTTATGTTGCTCCGCCAGCCGGACGTGCTCCTCGAACGAGACGTTTACAAGCTCCTTCGGGTATGCCCATCGCGCGACAAGGCCGCCCGCCTTGCCCGACGCGCCCTGCGCTACGCCATGCTTCGAGGCTTCGAGGACGGCGAGCTTGTCCGTACCAGGCGAGAAGGAGGGGTGGTTGGCGATGTAGTACGCGGTGCTGCAGCCGACGATGCCGCCGCCGATGATCACGATGTGTTTGGGTTCGGAGGACATGGTGAGGGAAGATGAGAAGATGGTGGAGGAGGTCGAGAAGAGTCGAGTACGCCGGAGAGTGCTGACAGATCGCAGAGAACGGGGGAACATGTGCATGAAGTCATCGTTTATCGCGGTGAGCGTCAGGAGCAAGCGGGCCGGGGATGCATCCGCGCGCCGAGATGCTGCACGATCACCTGATAACCTGGACGCGCTCGCGTGAGATGTTCGACGACGCTGTATCGCCCGCTGGGGCCCATCCGCGTGTGATCGACAAGTATGGATTATTGCTGGATCAGAGACGTCGATGAAGTTCTGGAGCTGACAGGTCCGATCCTGGTCGAGCGCAGACAGAAGATGGTCAGTTTGCAGGAATGAGGATACGCGAACGCGTGAACTGCAGTCGAGGACTGACGAAAAAAATACACCGACGAGTCGGACGAAGCAAAAGGGAAGGGTCTTCTTCATCCTTCCCTTCGCTTGAGGCACACATGCAAAGCCCTGAATCCTCTTGGGACACACGCATCCAACTTGCTTTACGAGTGTCCCGTTCACCGGCCCCTGTGGAGTTCGCGGTCCTCTTGAGTTCGAGGTACCAGGGCTTGCGCTGGGAAAAGAGACGTGCAGAAGGTCATTGGCAGGATTTTGGAGTTTCATTTGAGCTCGAGGGTTAGACCGGGATCTGCCGAAGGTTGGCGAGGAAAAGATAAGCCTGCGCATCGAGCGCCCTGGGGTGCTTATGTTTGGGATGTAGCTCAATATCGAAACATAGATGCTTTTTCTTCTTCAATCTCGAACGAGGGCAGAAAGACTCGGGACAGGCTGAAGAAGAGACGTTGATGACCCTAGTACACGTGACCTTAATCAATTACGCCCACAAGGACACATAAGAGTGTTAGCGGCGAGGAGCGCCGCCTTATAGGACAGTAGTAAGACTGAGCATATTGAACCTTCTCCCAAGGCTGAGAGCACTGCAGATATCGTCGTTTCGTCATATCATATCAGTAGAAGGAGTCTGGGGCTTGCGTGTGTCTCTCCTTCGCCTTCCTGAGCTCAGGTTTTTCGTCATCCTTCAGTCGTATAGAGTTCTCCATGAGATACCGTGTGGTCCCAAGCGTCCAATTCACGGTATCATAACCACCGACCGTGAGCGCACTTCGATGTGGTAGCCGTTGTCAACGGATGTCATGAAAACCGCCTTTTATTCGACCACCATGCAGCGTCCCGAGAGCCGCGATGTTGAGCTTTTATGTCGCGTACAGTGAGACGCGCGCTGCCGCTGTCTGCTTTGAAGAGGATGAACGTTGAGAGCAAGCGTCTGCCGATAAGCCGGTCCGGCAGTCCGGCTACGCGATCGGTCGCGGCGCGATCAAGTATCCGCCCGATCGCGATGAGCAACCGCAAATGAACGCCTCCCGGACGTCGGCGACAGTCCAGCTCAAGTAGCCGCCCAGCGACCTCGCGCCTGCCCTTATCGCCGTCTACGACGACCCTAGCCGACATACACGCCCCGGCACCCTCGGAGTAGACCCAAGCCCTCGGACCCCAATACAATCAAGCGAGCCTGAATTACTTTCGGGATCGCGGAGGCAACGACGGGTCGTGCGGACAATACACTGCGCACGCGATCACGCAAATTCTGGGCGCTAACGTCCCCCCACCGGGGAAAGGGCATCCACCTGGCCGCGGGCAATATATAAGAGCGCGCGCCGCCTGTCACAAGGACTCGGACCCCGCCTTCATTTCGCCGCGACCAACTCGCGACGCGACGCGTTCTAGCCCGCCTGCCTGTGCTTCATTTCGGTCTCTTCGTCGTCCTGTATCATCACCACCCTACCTCAAAATACTCCTTATTCACGCCCAGCACGCACCCGAGAGCTAGTTCGACGTCTTTGCGGTTATCCTTCCTGCTTATGTGCGTGTACACGTCGTCTACCTTGGGCTGGTCGCTGAATCTCTCGCAGATAACACATCTCCATCGGCGCCTCTTCACGCTCGCACTCTTTTTCAAATATCTGCGTGATACGTCGTCCGTAATCCATAATGCCTTCGTATCTTGGTAAAGAGGACCCTCTCGAGTGAGTACAGTCTCGCATCGCACAGCCTGTCAAGTCCTCATTCCATCCCCAGCGCTCTATGCCACCATTTCAACGTCCAACGAGTACGATGCACCGAGACGACTCCCCCCACGACCCTCGACATGCCCGCCTCAAGCGACTCAAACCTCCCCACCCACGTCCTCGCCATCACCCAACAAGACGGCAACGCGTCCGCCCCGCCCATCATCGTCCCCTTCAACATGCCCAAGTTCGCCCAGGGCTTCCGCACCGAGCTCATCACTGCGCCCGATGAGCCCGCGACGACCTACTCTGCCGCCACGCAGATGGCCACCGTCCCCGTCGTGCCGCTCACCGTCCCGCACGCGGCGTCGATTCCCCTGCTCATGCTCTTCGGGCTCGGGCTCGAGGCGGAGCCGAACATGCTCGCCGCGCGCCTGCTGCCGCCGCACGTCATCGAGGAGTTCCCGAACGCGGCCGCGATGGCGCAGGTGCTGTCGCAGCTCGGGGACGATCTCTTTAATCGTGTGGTGCGGTATAATAAGGGGCTGTGGGCGAATGTGCTGGCGCTGGGCCTAAGGGATGCGCAGCTCACAGGGATGGTGCAGACCGCGTGGAATGTGGCAGCGGAGGCGCGGAGGATGCGCCAGCAATGGCCAGGGCATTGATGCGCTCGTGGCCCGTATGCTGATGCGCCACTGCCTCGCCCGCTGATGCGTCTGCGGTCCATCCGTTGATGCGCCTGCATATCCCACACTAAAGCGGCAACTTGACGCCCACCCCCATGAACTTCGCAAAAATGAACGGCGCGCACGTCGACGACGCCCAGCACGAAACGAATGTCTTGTCAAACTTCTCGCCACCTATCATTATTCGCTACTCCTTATCCTAACGCCCTACCATTTACCCTCACGTCTGCTTCATCACGCTACTCTTCGCTTCTTCCAGCATTAATCTGGCGTACTACTGCCAGTTTCTATTCGCTTTTTGTTACTTCCCCCAATCACTAATCTCGCCCTCTCCGTGTTCTACCTCCCATCGTGTTCTGACTTCTTCTTACCTTCACCCTCTATAATCCTTTACCGCTCTTCCCAGTTTACTAATGACCGTACGCTGTCGTGTATGCCATCCCAGTACTCGCTGACCCCTCATGAGCTTGTACACATGTAGCAACGTATAGATACTCTCTCCATAATGTTTAACCAGGCGCTGATGCTTGCTGCTCGTGGTCTTCAACATTGGCGTGTTCACTGACCTGGTGCCAAGTGGTGTTAGGTGCGTCTTGACGCGGCTATTTATCCTTCCATGTCTGGCTCCAACTTTGGCATACGTCTTTCCGCTATACTGACTTGTAATATATCAATTACTTGGTAGACTCGGCAAGAATAAGGCCTCTGGTGAGCACAGATTGTCTCTGTATACTGTGGCCTGTAAACTGTGGCTGACGGCGTTCACTGTAGGCGTCAAAGGCCAAACACCGAACATCATGCCGTCGACGTGACACGCACGTCGGAGAGTCGGGCGGTATATGATAATGGACTATATTGGATCCAAGCCTTCCTCCAGTTCTCTACTGCCTTTAACTGTCTTCCGGATGCCACGCCACAACGGCAAGTCCGTTCTGATCACTGGGTAAGCGCCAACACGAAGGCGAACCAGCGATTTGCCTGAAACATGTCTGCCGCTGACCCCATCTTCATATCCTCAGATGTAAGTAGCCCCGGCATAGGAGAAGCGCTCGCTAGAGAATCTCATCCACAAGGTGAGTGAGCCCACCTGCCGGTGTACTCTCCGTGGCAGAGCCTGTCGCTTCGTCGCCCCGAACCTGTCTTGTTTCCCGCGACGTGATCCTTCGCCAGGCTATCACGTCTTCTCCACCGCGCGAGGGGTAGAAACGCTTCAAGAGCTCGCAGGTCTTGGCATCTCACGACGATGTGACCAGCGACCAGACTCGAGAGCGTCGGGCGGCCGAAAGACGCCATCTCAGCCTCCTGGTAGTGCGCATCCGTATGGTGGTCCCAAACCTGCTGAGGTCGCTCATGCAGATCTGATTCTTCACGACGTTTTCTCAGTCGCACATCATTGTTACGATTTGGGCTTAATGAAATCCTTTTTAATCGCTGAACCTCACTCAAGGCTCTTTGGATATTGAAGAGGGTAGGACTTCTGTTTGAATATCTGATTTTGCGCACTCGAAGGATGACTGAGGCATGCTGGCCGTTTTCGGGGCTGCCTACTGATTTGTCGACTCTTCACGTCCCGCCCTTTCAATGAATTGTGCTCAAATACAATAATTTGACCTATTGGAACAATGGCAAGTTGTGGTGCAGAATCATTGGCAACAGAGCGCCAGTGTGACGAAGTTCAACCGTGTCGGCATATGCCGTGGACGGAAGATGCCGGGTGGCGACACGGCGCGCACCGCGTTCGTCGTCCTTCCGATTGCTCAATTTCCCCCGCCGTTCCGATGACAAGCTCGCGTTTTATTCCGAAACCCTCCCTCTTCCGCGTCCGCCATCACTCGAACGACTGAACGGACTTCCATCTCGGGCACCTCTGAGCGTGCACCTGTTTATCATCTACGTCAAGGTGAAATCACACGACGGAAGCGGAGGCGCTGCGAGACTCGTGCTATTCGCGAGGACTATCATAGGGCTGCTACTCGACTCATAACTGCATCCACCCCTCGAACGACGCGCTCGCCGCTGAAATCGAGTCAAGGTGGGTCTCTGTTCAGTATATAGTGGGCGACTGGTCGAGTTGGGGCGCTTGTTTACACCCATCAGGCAGACCATGCTTGTCGCCCGAAGTATCCCCCGCGCACCGGTCAAGTCCGCGTATAGTCGCGCGTTTAGCGCCTCGTCGAGTTGCGCCAAAGAGCGGCTCGTGATTCTCGGTTCTGGCTGGGGTAGCTACGAGGTCCTGCGCGGGATTGACAAGAAGCGGTGGGGTGAGTAATGCCCTCCATCTGAGTGGCTCTCGAGGTTCGGTCAAGGGGAAGGCATACTAAGGCGCTCACCCCCTATTGTCAGATGTCACCGTCGTCTCTCCGAATAGCTACTTCAACTTCACGCCTCTCCTGGCCTCGTGCTCGGTTGGTACCCTCGAGCTGCGCTGTGCCACCGAGCCTGTGAGGCGTTATGCGCCGCAAATCGTACGTACTTCTGTGAAGCATCAGTGGCCCTACTGACGATTTGCAGACGTCCTACCAGGCTTGGTGTGACAGCATAGACTTCAAGAACAAGACGCTCAAATGTGTGAGTAATTTGAGGCACACCTAGCGCTTGGGCTACACGCTGAACTCCGTATCTGCCAGATGCCCTCCACCCCGCCAGTTCACCCACCTAGCGAGTCGCGGGTGCCCTCGACCTCCAGCACCTCCCAGTCGACAACGGATCGTTCGCAGACGCCTTCGCCATCGTACTCGCCGCAGACAGATTCGCCGCCGCCCGCCTCCAATGTCGCGTTCACTATACCGTACGACCGTCTTGTCATCGGCGTCGGCGCATATTCGCAAAGTCAGTGCATGGTTCGACGTACTTCTGGTGCGAGTAATACTGACGGATGGTGCCCTTTTTTCGCAGCTTTCAACACCCCGGGCGTGAAGGAAAATGCGCTGTTCCTGAAAGACGTGCGCGATGCGCGTGCTATCAGGGCGAGGATTTTAGACTGTGAGCCACTCATACGTTTTGTGGCACGCTCAGTAGCTAACGAGATCCTCGAAGGCTTTGAGCAGGCCAATCAACCCACGCTCTCGGACATTGAACGCAGGAATCTCCTAAATTTCTGCATTGTCGGAGGTGGACCGACCGGTGTTGAGTTCGTGAGTTTGGTGTTTTGACATCGCGCCTTTCTGCCGTGTATCACCATCTCGCGACTCGTGCTAACATCGCGCTATAGGCCGCCGAGCTGCACGACCTCATCCACGCCGAGATCCAATCGCACTACCCTGTGCTCGCAAGAATGGCACGCATCACCTTGTACGATGTGGCGCCTAGTATTCTGGGCATGTTTGACCGCGAGTTGGTAAAGTGCGTCCTGCCTGTCAAAGGTCTGGAGTTGGGCAAAAGATACTGACCTTTTTTCCAGCTACACGGAGAACACCCTTCGCCGCGAGGGTGTTCGCATCCGGACTGGACATCACGTCGAGCGAGTCGAAAGGGTGTGTTCGCCTCCTTGATCAAACACTTTTCACCAAAGCTGACTTGAGCGCGCAGGACCGCATGATCGTCACCGAACAGGGCGAAGTGCCCTTCGGCCTCCTCGTCTGGAGCACCGGACTTGCGCCCAACCCGCTCGTCAGCTCCATCACGGAGTTGCAGAAGGACAAGAAGTCCGGGAGGACTATCCAAGTTGACGGCCATCTGAACGCTATTCGCGCGGATGGGACGCCGGATCCGAATATCTGGGTCATTGGCGATGCGGCGCAGGTGCCGGATGCGATTCTGCCAGCGACGGCGCAAGGTATGGCTTAGATGTCCGAGACCTATCGAAGGTATTCTGATGATTGTTCGTCACATTTGCAGTCGCCAACCAGCAAGCCAAGTTCTTGACTAGGCAACTGAACCGCATCGCGAAGGACAAGTCCGTAGACCGCGTGTTCGAGTTCCACAACATGGGTTCGCTCGCGTACATTGGGAACTGGTGCGTACCTCCGTCCACATATTCCGCACCCTCCTTGCCTCATTACACCTTCGCCTCTCATATGAATGCTCACTCTCTCCCAGGAAAGCCATCTACGACCGCGGCAGCTCGAAGAACGGTAACGGCGACAAGCCCGCACCGTTCACGAAGGAGACCGGCCGCGTCGCGTGGCTGCTCTGGCGCTCGGCGTACTTCACGCGCACGCTGAGTGTACGGAACAAAATTCTCGTGCCTTTCTACTGGTTCCTTAACTGTGAGTGTTTGACTTGGTGCTGGGTTGTGGGATGGACTTGACGTGATGATCTTCAGGGATCTTCGGGAGAGACCTCACGAGGTTCTGATGGTATATAGCATAGACAGCCACGGACCACTCCTAATAGACAGCTACAATTCTGCGTCGTAATGTCACAACCACCGTTTCCATTTCCATCTTCACGATCATGATGCCGGCGAGCAGTCCACTAGGCGAAGCCCCCTGCGCGCGGTTGACTGCCACAGAGCACCGGCAGTAGCAAGCCGTCTGACTCACCCAACCGGAGAGGTTTATTCCGAGCTTCTGAGCATCCTGCGCCCACATCCTTTGGACTGTGCTCGGAACTGGGCTGAGCTGAGTTGAACGTGTTGAAGCATATGCTCGCCACGTGGCTTCGACCATAAAGTGGGTTGCTACGGGCGCAATGCGCTTTCTGTTTCCCCCATCATCATCGTCTTCGTTTCTCGCTCCAGGACTTCACACTGCTAGGCTTTGGCTACCTCTGCTCTTCTTTAGACGTGCCTTGTAGTGGACTAGATTCTGGACGCACATTCTACTCACTTCCAACTGAGTTCTCTTCTGTCTGGAAAACCCACCTCTTTTCATCATGTCCTCCTCCGACTCGAAGAAAATTGCTCTCATCACAGGGTGGGTCTTCTGAGACCTTCCGCAGCGTTCACAGCCTGTAGCACTCTATATTGACTTGCTTCTACAGATGCAGCTCGGGCATAGGCGCCGCACTCGCCAGGGAATTCCTCACTCAAGGTACGGAACCGGTCACTCTAAAGCATATTGCCCAAAAGAGCTGACAGGACCCTGCACATTGCACAGGCTTTCATGTCATCGCTACGGCGCGCAGGCCGGAGGTCTTGAGTGACCTCGCTGCCTTAGGCGCGACGACCATCGCTCTCGATGTCGCACGCGACGAGTCCGTCGAGCGCGCGAAGGAGGAAGTAGAAGCGATCACTGGCGGCAAGCTCGATATCCTGGTTAACAATGCGTAAGCCCTGTTGAGGTCCTGTTGCGGCCTTCTGCTAACGCGGTGCTTGACATCCTATAGAGGAATGTGTACGTGCACCTACACTAATATGATATGCCTTCAGACCGGGTATTCAAACATTCTACGCAGCCGAAGGCCACAGCCCTGCCGCCGACCTCGACCTCGCGAACGTCCAAGCCATGTTCAACACTAACGTCTTCGGCGCCATGCGCATGGTCAAGGCCTTCGTCCCGCTCCTTGTCGCTTCCGGCGGTGATGCGCGTATCGCGAACCTGGGTAGTGTGTCGGGCGTGATCCCGTACCCCTTCGCATGCGTGTATGCATCGACGAAGGCCGCGCTGCATTCGTATAACGATACGATCCGGGTGGAGTTGGCGCCGTTGGGGTGAGTTTGGTCAATGTTTTGCTTGCGCGTTGGATGTGTTTCTTCGTTCCTTTTCTTTGTTCGGCCGTTCTACTCGTTGGAACGTGAAGCTTTTGATGACGATACTGACTCGACTGTAGGATCAAGGTCATCAACGTGAGCACCTCGAGCACAGATAGTATACCGTTGACCTGACTGAACGGCATCTTCTACTAGCTTTGCACCGGTGGCGTCCAGTCGAACATCACCCGCCAAGCGCCTCCCCGGCCGCTCCCAGAGACCTCATTCTACAAGCCGCTAGAGGAGCACATACTGAAGATTCGCAGGTCAACTGTAGAGAGTACGTATTGCTGCTCTGCGTATAGCAGCACATTGTCGTTGGCACTGAAGCAGAAAGATTACTGACTACACATCTCAGGCGAAGCCCTCCCTGCCGCCGAGTACGCGAAGCTGGTCGTCCGCGAGATCACGAAGCCGAAGCCACGTCCTTGGTTCTGGGCGGGATCAAGCTCGTTCAAGGTCTGGTTTGTCAGCACCTTCCTGCCCAGGTGGTTCATGGTGAGCGACATTGCTACTTGAAATGCAGGAGCGAAACTCATGGAGTCGATAGGACGTTACCTGGACAAAGAGGTTCAACCTCGTAGCGTTAGTTGCAAGCACGGCGGCGCAGAAGAAGATTGCGTAGATATATAGCTGTCGGGCACTTGTCTTATGGAAGGTCATATATACCATTGCTAGCGCTTCATGGCGATTCGTAGCCAAGAGGCCTCAGGCATCGCTTCCGGGCCTGCATCGTCACGCTGAAAATACAGGTTTGCGCCCTCAGCAGAGGTGCGCGCAGATGATGATTATTGCCATAAAAAGTTATAGGGGGTATGAGACGTGCAGAAAAAGATGGGGCATAGTAAAGCATACAACATATGTAGAAGAAGAACGAAGTCAGTGGTGATGATACAGTGATTGACTGACGAATAATGATATGCACGATGTCCATTGTGATGATGAACGTCTAAAGTGGTTGGAGGGCGTATATTCCCATCCCGCGAGGAGCGAAGCGATAGTCCTGACTCCCGTAATCTCCCCGAGGGAGGGCGTACCCTGGTGGGTAGTAGAAGCGCCAGAGCGATGCAATGTACTCGGCGGGCCATGAGGGCGAGCCAGTGAGATGACCGTTATTGTCGTTGACCGATAACGAGGATGCAAGTGTTCCATCCCGAGGCTGTCTATGACGAGGTTATCGGATGCGAAGACACGCCGTTGCAGACAGGCCTCGGGCTCGCAGACGGCCTCGTCGCCTCACGCTCCAAGCCCAAGCCAAAACGCTCCGGCGCACGCGTCGCCACGGCGATCGCCGCCAGGAGCACCTGCCAGGCCAGCTGCATTGTCGCCCACAGTGCGTCGTCGTTCACACCCAGTGCACACACGTTCTGCCAGAGCCCGTGCACGCGCCCAACGTGCGCAAGGAGCGCCGAGGGCGCGTACTTGGTTCCTATCGTGCGCGCGTACGCGGCAAGAGGGAATTCCGTCCCCTCCTCCTCTACAGACAGAGAGGGAACCGGCTCGGGCAGCAGCGTACGCAAAAGGCCGTCCGCGTCGCGCACGTAGAGGTACCCGAGGAGCAGCGGGAACTGTGCGGGCACAGGCAGTGAGATCGCGCGGACGGGGAGGGCGAGCGCGGCGGGGACGGTCGAGATGAGATTTTCGCGCGCGGGGGGGAAGGGCGGGAGGCGCGCGCAGTGCGCAGCGAGGACGGCAGAGTGAGCGGGAAGCAGCTGAACCTTGCGCGGCGCGGCATTGGCAGGCGGGGGGCCGTGGATGGCGAGCATGTGGGTGGGCGCGGAGGCGGCGCGGTCGTTGACGATCACGGCGAGCTCGCGCGGAATTTGCGACGCGGGGGCGCAGGGCACGCGCACGCTCTGAGCGACTTGGAGCATTCTATGTGATGAGATTCGTCAGTTCAGACCCAGATGGGAACAAAGGGATGTTAAAAACGCACCTAGGACCCAATTGATCCAATGCATTACGCACAAAGGGGGCGTTTGTTACTTCCCCAACGGCGCGGAGGGCTTCGGGGGACACGGGCGGGAACGTCGGACGTCTCAGCTCGCGTGGCAGCTGAATCGGGGTGGTGGGGACGGTGGGCGTCGCCGGGGCAGTCGCGTCGGCCATCTCAATGTCGTTGATCGAAGGAGAGGGGCTCGCGCTCGGATGGTGATGGCGCATATGATCGAGACTGGTGCGCGGGGTCGTGACCAGCTTCGGGAGGCTCGTGCGCTTGTGTGCGGCTTTTGCGGCGTGCTCGACGCGGGTGCGGCGCCGCTTCTGCTGCTCAGCGCGCGAGCGGCGCAGGCCCGTCGGGGCCTTGTTCTCAGTGTCAGCCTTCAGAGTGCGGAGGACCATGGCGAAGATCAATGGAGAGGCGGGCGATGGAAATCAGATAGCGGGGCAACCTCAGGCAGCTGGTGGTGGCGGGAGACAAGAGCGTAACAGCTTTCAATTGGCAAGCGCCCCGCATTATGTACCATGAGCGAGCAGCGGCACTCGATTGCTTTCCCACGGGGGATGGATTGCTTCTGAGGCTTTGATTGCCCACGCGCCGCCCAAAAGAGGGAATTCTCGAAATTGCCAAGATGGGACACACCCAAGCAAGAGCAAATAGACCAAGAACTTGCCAAATGCGGCGGCGGCGGGGAGCGAGGCTTTGCGCATGCAAAGTACGTAAACCGAGTGCCAGTCCTTTTTGCCATATCAGGAGAGAAGCCGTCGTAAAGGTCATGGGCCATGGGGCCTTCTGCCGAACGGAGGAGAGATGGCGCTGTTACCAGACAAGGTTACAGGCGGAAGGGATGCTAGATGTCCTGCGCGCTCGTTCCGTCTGTGCAAAGATGGATTGCACAGTAGCATGCAAGCTGGTACTTTGTCGATATACTAGCCCCCTTGATCATAAACATAGCCGGGCTTGCAGGCATGGAGAACTGCCTTGTGCGAAGGCTTGTTACCGACATGAGCAAAGGGATGAGCTTGCGCAAAGCGCAGTTTTGCAAAGACTGCAGCCAGTAGCGTGCCAAGGAAAGCGGGGGTGAAAGTATGGAGAGGAAGCGCTTTGTGATAAAGATGAGGAGGAGGGACTATGAAGGCCGTCGTGAGCAGGAGATGAAGAGGAAGCAGAGCGTCAAGCCAAAGGTAGACAGAGCAGGCGAAGCAGCAGAAGCAGATTTAGACTGCATTCAAGATCGGATCCCCCGAGCTTGGGGTGTAATGTTCGCAAAGCAGGGAGGACATGAAGGGAGGAGGCAAAGAGGTGAGGGAAAGCCCCTCGACCGCCGAACGCCCGCACAACACACGCTCCACGCAAGAAATGGAGCAAACAACGATTGACTAGGGAAACAACGGTCGAAGGGGACGTGACAGTAGGGAACAAAGCAAAAATTAGACTTCGTTCCCAAGGGTCAGACCGAGTCTTCATTGTTCACGGCCCCGAGGCTCCATTGTTCCCTCCGGTAGTGTGATCGGGGATGCCGGACCCGGAGGGAAGAGTGATTCGACTGCAGGCGTGTGAGGGGAGTAGGGAACAACTCTCTGCATAGAGCTATGTGATGTGAAAAGGCCTGCTTGCAATGCTTGAGGAGGGGGAGGTGTCGGCGCCTAAGCGATCGCCTCAGTCCGCTAGACAAGATACTCGAGCAAGAGGTTTCTTTGTGAAAGAGCCGGATACTCGTATCTGTTGGCGACCCATGTACCTGCCACTAAGCGCTACGCTCTCGGCCCTCTGGTGATCAGAAAGATGAGTTCCCCTCCCAGTGTGATGTTGTTTCGACTTCAAGGAACGATGTGATGATGCGCGTCTGCCACGAAGTCGCTCTCCCGGCCCGACCTTCCGCACTTCTCCTGCTCCCCTCCTCCGGGCTCCCGCCCCTGCTGCCACAACCGCTGCCGCCCCCGTCGCCTCCCTGCCCACCTTCATCATGTCCGCAGCGACCGCTCTCAAGACCCTGAGCGACTACCGCACGCGCCACTCGCGTGCCTCGCAGGATACCTTCGAGAAGGGCTTCTACATCCTTGAGCAGAAGTCGCTGGCGAAGCTGGGTGATGAGGGTGCGTAGCGTCGCAGTGCTCTCTCAGCTCTTCCAGTGTATCACTTCTGCAATGTCGCCTTTCACCGTGCATACATTTGGCGCGAACGCATACGCTGACGCGCGCCTGTTCCCTTCAGCATGGCCCTTCCTGGAGCAGTTCGCACTCGCAGCGCTCGACATTGGGCGGTTTGATGTGGCGGATGTGAGTAGATTGCTACTGCTGTGTATGGGGAGGAGGAGGATGAGGGCGAAGGAGGCAAGGGAATGGAACGCTGACGCCGTCAACAGGACTGTATCCGCGAGCTGAGCGACCAGTTTCCGGACTCACCGCGCGTGAACATACTGACTGGGATCCGCATGGAGGCGACTGAGTCGCCGGAGACGTGCCTCAAGTACTACGACGATATACAGGACACGGAATCCCCGAATCCGGTGCGTGTTGAGCTGGACCTGCTTCCCCACCACCTACGTCCCCCACCGTGTATTCTGCCTAGCCCGCCCAATATCCATCTGTATGTACGCAGGTTCAACAAACTAACACCACTACCAGACCATCTGGAAGCGCCGGATATCCGTCCTACGACGAGCGGGCAAGATAGAGAAGGCGATCGAGGAGCTCTGCCAGCTGCTGGATACCTTCTACAACGACCTCGAGGGCTGGGTCGAGCTTGCAGACATGTACTCGTCGTGTAACCAGTGCGTCTTCCCTCTCCTCCTTGCTCATTCTATCCCTCTGTCCCTTCCCTCCTTCTCTCTTTCTCCCCCATTCCTACCCTCTTCCGCAACCCCTCCCTTTTGACTGTCACTAACCCCCACTCCAGATACACCCCCGCCCTCCAATCCCTTTCACACGCCCTCCTCCTCGCCCCGCAGAACCCCTTCTACTTCCTCCAGTTCGCCGAGACTGCACACTCCGCGGGCGACATCCCTCTGGCGCTCAAGATGTTCTTGATAGTGGTGGACATGTGCGACCGCGACCTGCCGACGGCGGCGAAGGACGCGGTGCCGACGGGGTTGGCGGTCAGGGCGTGGTGGGGTGTGAAGTTGGTGAGTTCGACTTGATTCGTTGTTCGAGATGGTGTACAGTTCTCAAGAAGCTCGCTGACGGAGCTCTGCGCATCCCAGTGCGCCCGCCAACTCCTCGCTTCCCGGAATGCCAAATCTGCGTCCGACACCGCCATCCCCAAGGACCTTGAGCTCATCGACCGACTCGCGACAGAGCGCGTCCTCACCTCGTACTCCTCGCCCGAGAAGGGCAAGGCGCCGGCGGGCAGAGAAGTGGTGTTGGCGTTCATGAAGGCGTCGTAGGCGGGAGACCTCAGATAACATGGCATCGTGGCGCATCATTTCTCCATGTATTGGGATTTGAGCTTTTTCCGCCAGTGGATTGAGAATCTACTACCTTTATACATCGTCAATCGAGGCCAAGACTGTGTGCTATAAAAGCCCAAGGTGCTGGCCTGTCGTTTGAATTTGGACCTACAAGTCTGCGTTTGACCCACGTGCGCCGTTGCCGCGGCCACGTGATGGTCTGTTGATGCGTTTCCGCTGCGAAACTTGAACTCGACCGTCACCGACTCCTCACCGTCGTCCGCGATGGCGACGACCACTCAAATCCTCTTCAACTCCCCCGCGCTACACTCGCTGAAGAGAGAGCAGCTCGTCAAGCTGTGCAAAGTCCACTCGTTAAAGGCCAACGGCAAGAACACCGAGCTCATCGACCGGCTGAAGCAATATGCTCAGACGCTGCCGCAGGACGCGCCGCTGAGCATTTCTGCGCGGAAGGAGAATGGGGAGGAGCAGGGCAGTAGTGAGGAAGACGGAGAGGACGATCCTGAAGCAGCTGCCACTTGCGGAGTAGTGCGGCCCATTATGGAGAGGATCGACGAAGTAGACGAGAAAACCTCGTCTTCCCGGGGTACTCTGTCGAGCATGAGAACCACAGGGACCTCAAGCGGCGAATTTGGGTCTAAATGTGCGTGTGTCTTGGGGTGGCAGAGCTATTGACTCATGTCCCTTTGTAGCATCAGCGACTTCCGTTGGCTCCTCGATCAAGGCCCTGGCGTCGTCCCTGGGTCTTAAGAGAGCACTCACATCCAACTCCTCTTCGAAGTCGTCACTGAAGATGTCCCAATCCAACGCATCCCTCAAATCCATTCCCTCCGTCCCATCCGTGCCGAAGCACGTCCGCGACGAACTTCTTGCTCACGCTAGACCATACTCTTCCATTCCGCCACCCTCTCCTTCCTCGCTACCCCAGACCGACCACTTTACCTTCGACCCCGCCCTTGCCTCGAACCAATCCTACAACCCAAGTGCTCTAACGTTCGCGACCGACGATGATCCCCTCCCCGGTCATGTACTCCGCCCGGGCCAGCCGGCGCCCGAGCACGCGCGGCTCTCCCTAGGGCAAGGGCCCGCGACACCCTCGGCATCGAAGGCTCCGACAACGACACTTAGACTCGTGTCAAACCCAGGTGGCTCGAAGTCGTCAAGCTGGGACGACGACGACTTGCCAACCGTCGGGACTGTACCCGCAACCCCGCAGCTCAAGCCTTTCCATACCACTTACGACCTGATCATGGACACTCCAGCCGTGGGGTCCATATACCCATCCTTGAAGTTCTCGCCAGCGGACGAACAGAAGAAACCCAGTACCACGCCCGATGAGGATGTCGAGATGCCTGGCGCGTTTGACAGTCCGACGCGCGCCACGTCGAACTCGATCAGCGCCACCTCGCCCACGCCCGAGCCCTTTATCTTCGGCTCGCCCAACCCCAAGCACCGCGTCTCGGACGCGCAGTTCTCGGACGCCGCGCGCAAGGTGTTCGAGGAGATGAACAAGCGGCTGCAGGCGGAGGGCGGGCAGACCATCGACAGTGCGCTGCTCGGGAAGCTGCGCCCGGGCGCGCATTCTGGTCCTGTACCAGTGGAATCAAAGGCGGATCGCGAGATCAAGCCGCTGAAGCGCACGAGCATCAGCCGGAAGTTCGACGAGGCGCACGCGGCGGAATTTGAGAAGATGGAAAGTATCAAGGACGTGGCTGACCGGCGCGCGGCGGCGATGGCGGCGAAGAAGGAGAAGGGGGTGACACCGCCCGCGCAGATGTCGGGCCAGAAGCGCAAGTCGAGCGTGCTGGAAACTGAGGGTGCCGGACCGTCAAAGCGCCCGACCCGTCCGTCGAATACGCGCGTGATCAGTAACTCGCGGCGCAACCTGCCAGGCGCGTTTGGCGACGATAGCGATGATGACGAGGAGAGGCCTGCGCCGCAGGATGAGGCGCGTGCGAAGAAGCCGCGTCTGTCGTACGCGGAGGCACCGCAGGATCCAGAGGAACAGGCGCGGAAGGAGCGCGAGCGTGAGGCTGTCAAGCGCAGGCTTGAGGTCAACAAGGCGCGACGCCGCAGCAGTGCTGGCGTCAAGGGCAGGGCGAGCATAGGCAAGCGTGAGTGCCAGTTTGCTGTTTCCTGCGTGAGCCCGCTTGACTGACGCCTCTGTAGCTGCTCCGAAGGCCAAACCCTCTCGCTTCGGCTTCTTCTCAGCTGCGAAGTCAGTTGTTACCAGCGTCTGGAATCGCGGGAAGACGGCTGCTCCTGCGCCGCCGTCCAACATTCCCAAACCGGCTGTTACGGTTAGCAAGCCGGCCCCGGCGCCTAAGAAGCCTTCACTGCAGCCCACGATGCCTCCGCCGAGCAGTGCGGCGTCGAAGTCGCAGTCATCCAGAGTCACGTCGTCTTCGAAGTCTAATGGCAAGGACGCCGACACCACCAGGGCCTCCATCACGTCCAACAGTGGCCGTGTTCGGTCGCCTATTCCACCCTTTAGCGACACTGGCTCCAAGCGCAATAGCGCGGCGCTAGGGAGCATGGGTCCGCCTGCTGTACCTACGGGTGCTCGGGCGCGTAACAGCTCGATGACCGGCGCGTCGTCCATGGGTACGCGCACCAGCACCTCGAATGCCAGCCGTGTGTCGTCGCTCGGTACCAAGGGCACCCTGGGAGCTGCAGAGGGCTCGCGGTCCTCGCGCATCCCCTCCATCGGCAGCTCGAATACGCGCAACTCGACCTCATCGCGCTTGCTGGCTCCTACGGCCAGCTCGCTCGCCAAACAGCACGCGCCTACGTCGACGACGTCCAAGCTGACCTCTCTTCCTGGTACTTCGCACCTCCCGCGCCCCGCAAACACGCCCTCGAAGTCCGCGCTCAACCCTATAACGAACGTCACGTCGCCCAATCCTCGTCCCGGTGGTATCTTCAGCAGCGGCATCCCTATGCCCTCGCCGCCGAAGCCGTCTACATCTACCAACCCTATGAGCCCTTCGGCAAACCCCCTCAGCCCCACCTCCTCCGTCTTCAGTCCCGCACCACCCAAGCCAGCGGTCGCCCGGAAGCCCACCATCACGCGCAAGCCGCGCATCTCGCGAGGACGCGTCATCGCGAAGCTCGCATCGCAGCGCGCGGCGGCGGCTGGTCGTACTGCAGGCGCGGGCGCAACGCCGGGCAAGACGCGCTCGAGCTTGGGCGCGCGCGTCGCGCGGCAGAGCCTGGGGACGAATGTTGGGGTGGGGAAGGGTATTGGCGCGAAGGGCCCACGGGCGAGCATCGGCGCGGTGAAGGCCGGCAGGGCGAGTGCGGGTGTGGTGGTGGGTGCAAATGGGTTGAGGGCGGGGAGGGCGAGTGCGGGGGAAGGGCCGGTGCTGATGAGTGCGAGGAAGCGCGCGCGGCAGAGTGAGTATATGCGGCGGAAGAGTCGGGCGGCGACAGCGAGCTCGGATGCGATGGATGTGGATGGCTGAATGGTCGCTTTCGTCTGGTGTGCTTTCTGCGTTGGCTCTTCCTTGCTGCTTTGGCTGCTTCCTCTGTGGTGACCATCGACCTGCTTCCGTCCATACGTGGTCACCACGATTCTTTCTTGCAATCGTCCTCTGCCGGCAGCGCCAGCTCGGACATAGACTTTTGATACCTTCGTATTCTTTATCGTCTATATGACGCCTCTTTTGCTCTGTCTCCCTCACGTTTCTGCTCTTGAACGCGTTCCGTATCTCTCTATCTCATATTTCCCCAAGCCTCTCATGACCGTGTCTCGTGCAACAAACCCACCACATACATCAACAAACACCACATATATATCAAACCTACCACATATACTCCAGCGTCTCCGAACTTCCTCCCAGCTTCCTTGGTCTCGTCGAACATCAATCTCGCTTTATCTACCGCTCATCCATCTGCATTGGTCGTCGCTGTCGACATACGTCAACTGTATATCTATTGTACCAGTATTTGGCCTCTTGCGGGAGCTCTATAATGGCGTCCTGACTTTGCCAGGTGCCTTAGGGCAGCTTGGCCCTACCAGGTGCTCTATAGTGGTGTCCTGGTCAATGAGCGTGAATATATAGAGCACGTAGTCTTGCACACTCAATGGGCGTAATTTACTTGGTGATGACTTTCAATGAAGACGATGTGCACAATTTCCAGACCTTGCGTTGCGCATCGCCGGCCACAACTGAGTAAACATAAATTAGCGGGAGATGGGATGCAGGTATTTCAGGTTAGCGCCTTCGCCACTGTGATCACATCCGCCATCCTCTGTACATCGTGCGCACGAATCAAGAGCGCACCCTGCTGAACGGCGCATGTGATCGCTGCAGCCGTCGCCCAATCCCTCTCCCTCCCCTCCGTTCTCCTAGCGTTGATTCCGGCTTCAAGAATCGATCCGAGGAACGACTTGCGCGACGTGCCGACGAGGACAGGGTATCCCGCTAGAGGATTTCGACGTCGCTGGCCTTCTTCGGAGCACGTCAATGATCAGTATCGATGACCCAAGGGAATCATGCATACCTGGACCAATGAACACATCGGCTACGACCTGCGCGCCATCCCTCAGCAGCGCAAGATTGCCTTGGACAGTCTTGCTGAAGCCTACACCGGGGTCGACGATGACAAGCCACCTGCGAACGCCTCCCTTGCCCCGAACGACCCGTTCGACGATGTCCCCGAGCTCCACCCGCACTCCCTCGACAGTCTCTGCTCCTTCCCCCGCATACGCATACGCGCTGTAATCCTTGTTCTTGCCCGCCTCGCCCCGCGAGTGCATCAGCACTACAGGCACGGCGTAGCGTCTTGCGATATCCTTCATGCTGACGAGGACAGCATCTGACTTCGCTTTGTGCCCCACATCATCGAAGGGATATGCGTCGGCGCCCATGAACGCGTAGACATCGTTGATGCAGTTCGCGCCGGCCCGGATGGCTGCCTCAGCGACGTCTGGGCGGAAGGTATCGACGCTGATGGGTATGTCCCGCGCCGGACCGTCCTTGGCTCTTATGGCCTGTACCACCGGCACGACGCGCTGGGCCTCTTCCTCCGGCGACACGTAGGCGGCGCCCGGGCGCGTAGAGTAACCGCCAATGTCGATGATGCTGGCACCGGCGGAGACGGACTCGTCGACGTATGCAAGGGCATCGGAGAGCTGGCTGTGCTCTGCGCCGTCGGAGAAGGAGTCTGGTGTGACGTTGAGCGTAGCCATGAGCATAGCATCACGCCCAGGGTTCGCCGGGGTGTACGTCCAAGATGTGAGGGTTTCTGGGACTGGGGCTATACCGTACTCGTCTGCCTCGGTAGGAGATGTCAGGGGTAGACGAGGTATGGGAATGACTCGCTTGAGGGGCGGCTCGGAGGACGTGCTGGCAAGCGAGGAGACCATGCGCGAGATGGACTTGCAGAAAGAGGGATGGACGTAGTCGGGGATCATGCTAGATGTGCCCCGTAAGCTAGTGTAGCATAAACGGTTGTGGACGACTTACTCGGCCAGCGGGCGAAGCACAAAGTCCCTCTCGTGCAGCCGCGGATGGGGTACGACAAGATGTCCCTGCAAGTTGTCGAGCGAGCCCTGGTCTTCGGGTGGCCTGGTGTCGATGACTTCGTCGTCGTAGAAGACGACGTCGAGGTCGATGGCTCGCGGGCCGTTGCGCACGGAGGGTACGCGGCCAACAATCTCCTCGATCTTTTTGAGTAAACGAAGGAGAGCAACAGGCGGCACATTGGTCTCGATCTTATCGACGAGGCGTGTCAGCAAGTATCCCGCGAGGGTATCATCGAGCTCACCATGCACGCGCAGTTGATGAAAGACGGTTGGTCCGTCACGTACATCGGCGCCGACTCGTACAGGAAGCTGGTGTCCACGATGTCTACCACCGGTGCCTCCACTTCAAGGTCTACACCAAGGCGGGGCGCAGCCTCCAGCAAGCGCAGGGCATACTCAATGTTGTGGAACTTGTCCCCGATATTAGCGCCTAGAGCGATGGCTGCCCGGTGGATGGATGACTTTGGGGTGACGCGCTCCTCGGAGAGCGATGAAGTTGGGAAGTCCGACAGAGATCGCCGCACGACGACCTCGGATGAGCCAGCGAACACGAGCGCGTAAGGCTTGGCTGCGCTGACTGTGACGGCTGGGGAGGGAATTGAGGAGCGTACATCGCGGAGTACTTCGAGAGCAGCATGATTGGTAAAAGACTCGAGGGTGAGGTACTCCGTTTGACCCAAAGCCTGAGGACGTTTACTGTGAGACAGACGCAAGAAGAGTAGGATGCGCTACAACGCACCGAGTATAGCCTCCTGGTCAGGCTTCTGAAGTCTACGCTTCCCGGTGCGCTGCCCGCCTCGAGTGACGCGTTCAACCGAACGATCTGCTTCTCCTCTCTTTCGCACTGGTTGACGCCGATCACTGCGTCGACCTCCAGGTCGCGCACGAAGTATCGCCTATCTGTAATCGTCCAGAGCCCCGGCTCGCCCGCCTTCGCCACCGCTTCCAGCCCCACACTGGCACAGTGAAGTGGTGGCTTGACTTGCACAAGCCGAACGTAAATCTGAGTGATGAACGGTCGCAGCACCGACTCCGGTGCCAGTAATGTCCTCAACGCATGATCGAGTATGTCCTCCAAGTTCGCGAACGCGTGATCGGCGGTTACAGAGTTCCGCAGGGACGAGGCAATTGCAGAGTAATTGATTGACTTGGTCAGTTCATCCCCAACGGCGGCGGGGACGACGTCCGTAGGTAGAGATACCGAGACGAGTATGGGCTGCGCGGTGGGTCTCTCCGGCTGTTTCGGGGGCCATCTCGACCCAGAGAGAAGCGATACCTCGAGGAGGAGGTCATTCACCGCAATGAGGTCGAATCCCTTGCGGATGAAGACAGTGTCGAGCGCGTTCTTCACGTCGTCCGACATCCTGATCGAGGATCAGTGTAAGAATTGATCGTGATGATTAGCCGCCAACTCTTCCCAGGTTACTATTGTTCACTGATAAGGCAATTGCGGAAAGGCAGTCCTTCTGAAAGCTGAACAGGGTCCTAGATTTCGACCAGCACGTTCCGACGGTGTCTCGTAGGACTCAGAGAAGGAATAGTCCGTAAGAGGCATTCGCTCCATGTTTACACTCGGACGGTCACTGCAGCCTTGGGAGTTTTCCAGGTATCTAGGTTAGTCGGACGCTTGACTCTCGCTTTGTTCAGGCGCATCAAGTCGGTGCAAGGACCAAGCTTCGTTGGGTTCCCTTTGGTTTGTCTAGCTACATGTGTTTCTTACGTGATCATTCGGCCAGTTCCGAGCCTCAAAAGACCAACAGGCGCTTCACTTGCGCTGCTTCGCCTTGCTAGAATCCTCATCTCACAGCACTTAAGCAGATAGAGCCCAGAAGACAGCGACTGTCGAAGTCCAACAGCACACAGCAATTCACAAAGTACAAAGATTGATACACATTCATCCAAGACAACTAATTCCGAACGCTCAACGTCCACATCGACCTTGGCCTGCGAGCAGCGAAAACGCGACTTGCTCTTGCTCTCACATCAAGGTCGATGTCTACATGCTCCTCGTCCTCAGATGATGACGGAGTTGACCTCGTAGCCCTCGGGGATGTCGACCTACAATGTCTTGCATGAGTTGTGCAACTTGACAAGAATATGTACTGGCGGCTTACCAGGGTCCTTCCGCTCTCAGGGCTGCCGGAACAAGCACACGTCAATCAAATGTCTTATGGAAGGTGCTAGCGGAGGGACGCACTCGAAGAAGACAATCTGGGACAGGTCCGGAGACTTGTCGTCACTGGTGCGGACCGAGACGTCGAGAACCTTGATCTTCTGGGTGGACTTCTCGACGAGGGACAGAGAGCCCACAAGGATGTCGAAGCCCTAATTTTATGTGAGGTGAGGCAGCCACGAGGATAATCGTGTACGCACGTCGACCTTGATGATCTCCTGGGCGCGGCTCACGACCCAACCCTTGAAGACTACAGTGATGGTCAGCACGAGAGATCCATGAACTCGCAAAACTCCACCGCACCTTTCTCGTAGGCCTCGGACTGGAAGAGCGGGTCGCGGGGCTTGATGTCGGCGAGGCCGGTCTTGGCCCAGATGGCCTCGAAGATATACTGGTCCGGGGTGAAGTAGCTATTGGTTTATAGCAAAAGTCGAGTCAGATAATCGTAAGAATGCATCTGAAGCAGACGCACATGCGGTCCGGCCACTCCACGATGACCTTGCCATGGATCTTTGGGTGCGTGTCGAGGATGGACTTGATGCGGCTTCCGGTGGCGCTGAACTGGTTAAAGACCCAGCGCTGGTGGCTGTTGGTCTCGTCCCATGAGCCGACCCAGCCCTGAATCTTGGTGCCGTTGTCCTTGCCGCTGTCATCGTGCGTGAGCACAGTACTGTTAACAGCAGAGCGGTTGGCTCACCCGTTGTTGAGGTCGACGAACGCTAGTAGTGCGCGTCATCAGTTCACACGAAGAAACGAAGGGAGTGCAGAAAGGCATACTCTGGGTCTTCACGCTCTGGATCCTGGTCGGATGGTTAGAGCACGCACATTCCACACAATGAGAAATACTGACTTGTAGTACTTGCCATCCGCCTGCTTCTTGATGACCCAGTGCTGGTTGTCGCCCTCGTGGTAGTCCCAACCGAGGATGGGAGTACCGCGGTCGGCGAGGCCTGCAGTGAGAGGTCAGGACGCCGAGCATTGCCAGCGACACAGGCCATGACTTACCCTTCTCGAGGTCGAGGACTTTGTTCGTGGCAAGGTTGAAGGCCGCGTACCCGGGATCAGACGCCGAGGTCTTGACGGACTTCACGAACCAAAGCTGGTTCAGCTGCTCCTTGCCCTTGATCCTTTCCCAGCCCTTGACATAGCCGTCTACACAAGCGTGAGCGGAGGAGACGCCGCGGTGAGAATAATCAGACTGACCCTTCAAGGTCGCGGCGGTGCCCGAGCCGGCGTTGGTGATGAGGTCTGCATGGTATGTGAGCAAATGACGAGGACGACGCGGACATCGCGGTGGTCGACGTACAGACGCCCTGGTCGATGCCCATGTTGTTGAGAAGTGAGATGGTGCGGTCGGTGAGTTGTGTTAGCAGTGGAAGTTGCTGAAGATGAAAGGCCTACTCGCGCTTCTTTTATACTCCTTCGTCTTGTTGTATTTACTCACCTTTGGCCTCCATTTCGGCTGCCTATACGGTTCGTCGGTGGGCACCTGAGCAGTACAATGGCGACTGTGCAGGCGCCGCTTACACCTTCCGGCGCTTGGCTATGCACTGTACGTCGCTCGTTACGTTCTGCCGCGTCCAAAAGGTCCTGGCGATGGCGCAAGGGGTACGCAAGAGAATGGGTGAAGGCGGTCACCGCTTGCGATTTCGGCAGAGGGTCGACAGTTGACAGCCTGGAAGTGGTCATCAGTTTACCTGTACACCGTGTTCGCCATGGCTGACAGGCTTTAGAGGACGGGAATTGACGGGAGGGTCCCTTGTTTTAATATTGTGGGGCTCAGCAGACCGTCGAGAGAGCCGCTGTACGGCCTGTTCGGTGAAATGCATGCTTCCAAGAGAAGCGTAAGAACTGTCGTTCGACGAGTATATGGGGAGGTGACGATCGGATGGCATAAGTGATACTGCCTTATCCTACATGAAGGTTAGCTTTGACCTCGATGGCGCCGGCTCGAACGTGCGCACGCACACACGTGGAGGCTTGCGCCCACCACTTCCTCTTGTGGGTCCACGTTACCATCGATGCCGTCGCTAGCTCATCAACCAGCAGACTAACGATGGTGCAGTATCGACAGGCAGTCGCGTAGGCAATGACGAGCTCATTGGCTTCCATCACTGCGAATTTGCTATTCAGGTTCAACTGAAGTTGTGGATTAGAGGACGTACAGAGAGGCAGAGGGCAGTGCGTTGACGGGAGGCGTTGCGATACACGTCGACGAGGGCATGCTAGACATGAACACCGAAAAAGGCATTTGTTGCACGATACAAATACACGCGGCCATACACATACAATAACATTCACGCATCGAGTATCGGATAAGGTGAAGACGAAGCGTACAGCAATGCTCACGATGCCTCATTGGATCGCGCTGGCTGTCGTAAGATGCAATACGCCTGCGGCACCCTCAGAGCGTAAGCAAGCCCGAAAACTGGTCCACGAGCGCCCGCATCTCGTCCTTCACCTGCCTCAACCGAGCAAACCCGCACACTTCGCTCTCCATATGATTCACCAGCCCCGAAATCAGCTTGAAGCACCGTTTGCACTTCGGGCAAGTGAACTCGTTTGCATCGTGCGCGGGCGAGGCTAGGTGCGAGTTGAGGCTGGAGAGCGTGCGGAAGGTGCGGCGGCAGATGAAGCACTCGTACGCGGAGCCGTTGAAAGAGCGCTCGGTGGCGGCGTAATTCGTGATAGCCTTTGGTGGAGCGCGCGTGCCGCCGGGGCCCGCGATGCGGCGACTGAGGGAGATGGTGTTGGTGATGGGAAGGGACTGGACGGCGGCGGTGATCGTGTGACGATGGTATCCGTGGCAGCCCGACTCAAGATGGAGCGCGATGGCTGACGGAACCTTGAACATGTTCTTGCACAATGGGCATGTGAGATCCCGGCCGTAGTGCGCTGGGGAGTTGTTATGCTGCAGAACGTGTGAGACGGGGTTCGAGCCAATGGATCCCCACGCACCTGCGCAAGGGCTCCCTCCGTGCGGAAGTCGCGATGGCAGATGAAGCACCAGTTGTGCGCAGGACTATCGGCAAGATGCTGATAGAGCGCGGCCTTATTGACAAAGGTCCGCTTGCAAGACGTGCAGTAGTCGTCCTCGTCCTCATCATCTTCGTAGGTAATGACGGTAGGAACGCAAGGCCGCCCCGCAGGAATGCGGGGTATCTCCTCCGTGCTATCTGAGTAGTAGTAGTACTCGGAGTCGGTTTCTTCCTCATCATCGAAATCATCTTGATGAACGCCAGCTGTGCGACGATGCTGCGAGCGCGGGTCAGTGTCTGCCGGGCGAGGACGATACTACAACGTACCTGACTGAGACCGTTGAAGGATTGAAAGACTCTTTCACAGTCCTCGCAATACGGATGGTCAGCGCGGTCACGACAGTGTTGATGCAAGGCGTTGTCCGTGCGGAAGCTCACGCCGCAGAAATCGCAGAAGACCGGCATCGTGAACACAGGGATGGGAGCCCCTCGATGGTGGTCGAGAACAGCGCGGGGTGCGCGTGTGAATGGAGGAAAGACTCCTTATATACTACAGCAGTCAGCGATAGCAGACGGATACCCGTACCCGTGGGCGATTCTCATAGAGATGTCCGGATATCGCGATATCACCCTGAAAGAAGTCCATGTTGAGTCAGAGGCAAGACGCACTATCGTCTACGCCGTCAATGGCCATAAGGCAGCTGACTTCATGAGTTGCGTCGTACTCCGAGGAATCCGACTGCTTGCAGGCGGAAGGGCTTGCCTCGAGCTCATGAACGTTGTGGACAAGCAGCGCCGGCTGTTGCCGATGACCACCGCGTGGCGAATTGTTCGGAAGCTAATCGACTCTTCCTTCAAGTTGCAGCCTTGACCGATACTTCCAGCTGACTTGGCCTCTTTCATACGCTACTCCGACGTATGCAACTCGTGCTCACTACCGAGAACCACGAGGAAGGCATGCTCTTGATCGCGCAACATCCCGGGACAGAATGAAATGGAGTAACTTGTCTCTAGCACCGGCCGGCAACGAGGACGTTCGCCACCGCGCGCGACGTCTCGCAATTGGGAGGTCTCCTAGTCATGCCGGTGCTGAGTAGAGATACAGAGCGCTTGGGCGCGGGCGTCTTCAGCACGTTCCCGCAGCCCTCCACGATCGGGGTCATTCCCCACATTGTCGAAGACGCCGCTCCGTGGCCGGCGGAGGTGCAGGCGCTGGCGGAGGCGTTCACGAAGGAGGATGTGTTGCCAGACTATGTGCGGAAGGTACGCCCTTGTCTACTATGTGTCGTACGCTGTCTGACGCTTGTCCAGCTCCAACGGTTCTTCTCATCGTATCCCATGCCACCGGACGGCACTGTACACCTTGAACTACCCGATCCTGGACACCCTCTACTGAGAAGACTAATCCCCCTATGCTTTGCCACGTCCTCACTCTATAACGACGGCAACCTCCGCTTCTCGGGCATGAGCGCTCAAGTCGCGGTCCCTTTTATCTCTTCCCTCCTTCGAGCTCTGGACTGGCCAGAGTCAAGAGTGGCGTGCGTACAGATATACGCTTTCTACCCATAACATCTTGCTAAGCATCTATCAGTGTAGACGAGGCTTTCGCACGACCTATCGACCCATGTTGCTTTGACGACCCGAACGCGCCCTTCCAGCCACCCTACATGGTTGCAGACGCGCTGTTGCTTCTGTCAGCCCCCTGGGTACCACAAGCGTTGGCCGAATCCGAAGTTGGGTCCCACGACTACTCAAGCCATGGAGGCCCACCTTCCGCCGTGGACGAGGATTCCTGCGAGACGCCCAGCTCGACATACAGTCAAGAATCGTCGCACGTCGACGGGCCACCGGCTTACACGCAGCTGCTTTCCGCACCCTCGTTCGACCAAGTTGAAGTCCCATTCATCTGCGTCGCGTCTTCGGCGACGTTGTACATCCTCATGGCCAGTGCGATCTTGCAACGGCGGGCGCTCGGGATACGAGAACCTGTCATCGGTCTCGCCCTGGACCCCAACTCGAGCTTAGCACGCATAGCGCTCGGCTGGTTCGAGCCTGTACATGAATCATGTGTGGGTGCTGCCCCTCATCGCATGCTATCCCCATTCTGACACCCTCCCCAGGTCGACATTCACGTCGCCCACTGCTCAGACAACTTCCTATCCTCCAGCGACACATCGAAACCATCCATCAGCAAACGCCCGACAAGAGAAGACCGACGCGCGCGGGGCCTATACGATCTGCGAGAACCCCTTGAAGCGCTCGAGCTTGCCTTGGCGGTATCCTCGCTCTACGAGTACGCCGTCGACGTCCTGGACTGCGCGAAAATCGGGCTGGAGGCCGCGCGGATGGTCTCGCCTCAGGACTCGGCTGCCCGATGGCGCCTAGTTGATGCGGGACGCGATACGGAGGTGCATGTTGCTACGCCGGGGTACCTCAAGCTACGCATGTACGACTGGCTTCGTGCGGTGCAGATGTCGCATGAGGGGCCGAAGTGATGTCTGTTACAGTAGTGGTACAGGAACATTGAAACGCATTCCAAACATTGTGAACAAGTACATGAGATGCTTTCAGATTGTGATGGCGCCCATTGCGTAGGTCAAATCATCGTAAGCATGAGTACACGTATGCTGGACCGAATTCGTTTAGCTGAGCACGGTCATTGATGAAGACGCACTGACCTTATTCAGCGCCTTGTTCGAAGGGAAGTGACGGTCGCAATCGGTGCAGTATGAGTGGACTGCGCTGTCGCGCCAGTGCTATGATAGGATACGTTGAGTCTAGCGGCTCTCGCAGTCAGAAAAAGATCAACGTACCCGCTTCAGTCCGCTGTCAGAGGCGAACAGTCTCCCGCATTCGTCGCAGTAGGCATGGGCGTCGTTGTCCCGATAGTGCTGACGACGAGGTGAGTCGCGGGTTGCGGGAACCATCATCGACTGACCTGATGAAGGGCGCTATCAGAGGAGAAGACTCGCTCACAGGCCGTGCAGTACGGGTGCGCGGCATTGTCACGATAATGCTAGCAGCAACGGGCGCTTTCAATTGATTGTCCCTCATGTTGTACTCGACGACGCACCATCCGAAGGCCATTCTCCGTGGCAAAGACTCGCTCACAAGTGACGCAATAGACGTGATCGGCGCTGTCTCGGTAGTGCTGGAGAGAAATTAGCGGTCAACGATACCTACTGGAAGGACCAGGTACTTGCCTGATGCAAGGCGTCCCAGGAGCCGAAGCCCCGTTCGCACGTGTTGCAGTAAGGGTGGTTTGCCTTGTCCCGCTGATGTCGCGCAAGCCCGCTCTCTGTCTCGCACTTGCGTCCGCAATATCTACAGCAGTAGACCATCTTGGGTACTGCTCGATGTGGCCAAAGGTGGGAGGGAGGGAGGGCCGTGCGTGAGCTCATGCATCCGTCACGTATCTTCAAGTACCCTCATAGACGCCGAGAGGTCTTCTCTGAGCTGTAATCGGATGTAGAAGGCACCCTAGAACCTTTTGAATAACTCGTGATGCTCGCTAATGCAGCTAGAAGCTGGCGGACGAAAAGCGCCGACATGTAGTCCGGCATCGTGGATAATGGTGGTCGAGGTATAGCTGAAGATTGACTCGATTGAAGTATACACCAATCCAACTGCTTTTTTCGTGCAAGGAACGGTCTCTCATGGGTATGGCCAGGAAATGAAAGTAGAAAGCGGAGTGCAAACATCATCGGTGATTGCCGGGATGGTCCCGTGAATGACGTGTGCAACGCACGTGCATCCTTCTTTTCTGCGGTCTCCTCCACGTGGCTATATCACTGTTCATCATGTCCATTGTTCTCGTTCCGACTTGCCTCCGACCGTCACCTCCAGAAACCGCAGTGTCGCTCTCCAACAACCCAACTAATGGCTTCGACTGTACGTAGGCTGTCTCGTATAATTGGTCATTTCGACGGTTCCAAAGTCCTGAATAATCGCCAGAAACTGGCTGGCTTTATCGCGCCTCAGAAGGCGCGGTACCTGGAAGCCGTCAAGTCCTCAAAGGGGAGAGAATGGACCGTCGTGATGGGAAATGAGTCTGCAGGTAATTACAGTGCGCTCTACACTCGAGACGCAGCTCACGAAAGTACAAGACCTGGACAGCGTTGCTTGCTCGATCGCGTATGCCTGGCTGCGGTCAGAGGTAGACCACCAACCCAGCGTGCCGTATATTCAATGCGAAAGGGACGACTACTCCTTGCGCCCAGAGAACCTTCATGCGCTGCGCCTGGCAGGCATAGATGATCCATCGAGCCAGCTGCTCTGTGCCACCGATCTCGTGTCCTTCAAGCCGTTCCCCTCCACCGACTTCGTCCTCGTGGACCATAATCGGCTTGGTGTCCGATTCTCTCAGGACAACCCAGACGCCCGCGTCTTGGCGATCGTCGACCACCACGAAGACGAAGGCGTGCATACCGACGCGGATCCGCGTATCATTGCCCCATCTGGATCCTGTTCGGCCCACGTCGCCAAATTGCTCCCCGAGGACATCCCTGCCGAGCTCGCGACTCTCCTTCTCTCCGCCATCCTCATCGACACGTCCGGCCTGCGCCCCGGCGGCAAGGCGACTGACATCGATCGCGCCGCTGCAGCGAGGCTCATCCCTCACTCCACGCTCGCTGCTTCCTCACAGTCGCTCGCAGGTCCCGAGCTGTGCGACATCCCGAGCGTTGCGGAGCTTGCGGAAACCTTGCAGACGAAGAAGGCGGACGTGTCGGCGCTGAGCGCATGGGATCTTCTGCGGCGCGACTACAAGGAGTACACGTACCAGCCGGCCTGGCTCGACAACTCGCCCGAGCTGCGCGTGGGTCTCGCTACGGTTCCCCTCTCGCTCAAAGCGTGGGCGAAGGGGGGTGTACTGGAGTCGGAGGGCGTGCGGTATATGGACGACCGCGGGCTCACAGTGCTCGGTGTGCTGACGACGTTCCGGAGCAAGAAGGGGAAGCACAAACGGCAGATGGCGTGGATCGTGCGGTCGCTTGGTGGCGCCTCTGTGTCCGTTGACGTTGACGCTGCTGCTTCGCGTCTCTGGGAAGGAATAGAAGGTAGCGATCTGGAAGCGACGCCGATTAAGAAGTTTAAGCCTCACCGACGGGACGAGGCTGGATATATGCATATCCGGGTGTATAAACAGGGCAACGCGAAGGCGACGCGCAAGGCCATCGCCCCGTTGATCAAACAGCTTCTTGAATGAGCACTAGCATTCGTTCCTGTTAGGTGTTCCAGCAGCTAGGACTACTCCAATGTCCGAACCCAACCTGGGACTGTAGGATTCTCTGTCCTGTGTATCGAGGGATGGCGGCGACAATGACCCAAAACTGACAATGTCTACATTATGAGGTGCCGGTAACAATTGATGGCTGAACATATTGCTACAGAGTATATGTTCGCGCCTCACAAGAATACATGGATATCGCAGTAACATTGGCATTCAGAATACACTATTATGCCTTTGCATTCCCGCCTTCGTCGTCTGTCTCGCCCTCCTCTTCTTTCCCAGCAGCCTCACCCGCGTCTTTTCTAGCCTTGTCTGCAGCTTTCAACTGCTCGATGCGTGCTTTGATCTGCTCCACAATGCCCATGAAGGTCTCTTCCTCCGCCTGCTGAGAATTTTTGACGGCGAGATAGCGAGGTTGCTCCTTTTGATGCTCCATCTTCCAGTCGAACGACGCGGCGTCCGACGCCCACTTTGCCTCGAACGCCGGCCTGACCTCGTTGAACTTCTGCACTACCAGCTCGTGCCACGCCTCGCGCAAGTTCAGGAGAAAGAGAGCGAGACGGAGGGCCTGGGACTTGTTGCTGAGGTCCCACTGAGGACAATTGCTGTCAGCGATTCGCACGCGGGTCACATCCTGAAGGAATCAACTTGAGCCTCGGCGATCTCAGAATCAGCTGCCGACCTACCTTGAAGTCTTGGCCCTTTTCGCCCCACGCAGAAAGCAGATATCCTTTGCAGCCGACTGCGGCGATGGCGAAGACGGGAAGTCCTTGTATGCCAAGTCTATCCAGATACTTGACGTTGTTCGTGAGGTCAAGACGGGACTGGTTGAAGACCGTGCCAAAGTCTTCATTCGGTTTCTTGTACTGGAAGCTGATGAACAGTACAATCAGGGCTGGCATGCGATAGTCAGCCTCCAGTACCGATCAAGTGCAACTTGGACGCGCTTACGAAGCCAGTGCGAGTCCTCAGAGCTGTCCTCAAGTCGTTGTTGAGTCTTCGTGCGACTTTGTTTCGATGCACGCTTTGCAGCAGGACCCTGCGATTTGGTCTTCCCGTCGAGCGAGTTCCTTGGGCGTTCTTCGTGAGAAATTCAGGGTATGGCAGAGCAGCGAACTCACCTGCGCTGGCGCAAGCGCTTATCCGCCACGTCGAAACTCGTTACCAAGCCCTTAGGCGCAGGCACGGCGTCAGGTGTGGATTCGGTCGTAGACGTCGGCTCAGAGTCCTTCTTGTCCGGCACAGGCTTTGAAACAGTGACCAGCGATGTGATGAAACTAAACCTCTTCACACGTTCCATGTCCTTCTTGGCGAAGACACGAGGGATTACGAATATACCCCCTGCGTCGAACTTTCCGAAGGCGTAGGAGCGTATGACTCGGGCTTGCACATGACGCTCCATCTCGGATTCGGCTCCCCACCTATCTAACATAGGACGGCGCTCTGTCGACCTTTTATCCAAGGCAGCGAGCAGGAGCGTTTCGTTCGCGGCCGCTGCTACTCGTTCGTCGAGCTCGGAGACGCCAGAGTCGTTCTGGGGAGTCGTGTGATACCTTCGGGGGAAGCGATGAGCTTTCGGGAGACCAGACTCGTGTTCTTCAATGAAGTACGATCTCATCTGTCGCACGGCAATCGACAGGTCCATTGGGTTGGTTTTCGGGAGTTTGTTGAGTTCGTTGAAGAAGTCGTTCCATGCGAGAGGCGATTCGCGCTCGAGCCTATGGTAGATACATAAGCCGCGGACAAGAAGAACAACATATCCACATACACGTAGTCCACGCCGTACGAGCGGGTGAACACGAAGAGGATTGTGTGAAACCAGTCCCAAAATATTCTCGCCTCCGCTTCATTGATATCCCGAGTACCCTGCTGCAACGTCTTCGCTTCGTCGGACAACGAGCAGACGTCATGCGCAATTGTCAAAAATCGATCGTTCACAGCGTCAGAGACCGGAGTGAGGTGCGTAGAGCCCTCCAGCGACGCGCAGATCTCCTGTTCGATCTCGGTCAATTCCAGAAGGTCCGACAATGCTTCAACGTCGCTCGGGTCGAGCTACATATTATCAGAGTTACCATTAGTGGACCAAGAATGAAACACATACGCCTGAGAGGCTTCTACGTTTCCCGAGTCTGGCATCCTCAAGAAGCTCCTTCACGGACGGGCGTGAAAGCTTCGGTGTGGCCGCAATTGCGCATACATCCTACAACGATTTCAGCACACGGTTATCCAAAAGATTGACATGAGTACGAACGGGAAGTTTGAATACAACACGCGACAGCAACTTGTTGTAGATGTCTTTGAAAATCTCACATGATGGCCAGGCCAAGTCCAGACTGTGAGTCAGCGGCCAGCAGACGAAAATCGCCATGCGGTCCATGAGGATTGCGGTCGTAGGATCAAGTATAGTCGATCTCTCGATGGCCACACTGCGCATAACAATCAGTTGACAAGATAAGTGCAGAGAAGGATCGGGACAGACTCGGACGCTGAACGCTGCGGTTGCTCCTTGACCAGGCTGAAGATAGATTGGTCAAACTGATACGCGTTCAAGAGGGTGAACACTTCACAAGTAGAGTGGCGCTTCCCTGACGTGGCAAGGCGTGGTCAGCCGTCCACTTGCAACACCTATCCCCATTTCACGCACGTTTTCAGTCTGTTCATCAAGTGCTTGACCTCTCCATCTTCTTTGTATTCATTCTTGATGTTCCTGGCAGGGCGCTTATGAGCACAGTCCAATGCGAGCGGCTCGAGGTTCACACTGTACCTTAAGCTGCAATGTACACAATCGATACGTTCAGTACCAATAAAAAGGCAGCTGCGGACGCTGCGACTGACCCAGTCAGGCTGGCCAAACTGCGTTCGTTGAGCTTCATCTGAACGTAAGTTATATGGCAGACGCACCTTCTGTCGGACTGCGCTTTGGAACGCGCGGGCGCCGGCACGTTCAGTGACTGCGTTGTGGATCCCGCGTCAGACTTCTTGGTGCCACGGCTATCCACGACGACCGACTGTTAATCAGGTCCAGGAAAATTGGGGAAAAGACGCTCGCCTCTTTGCCATATTGACGGAAGCTAGGGAAAGGTGTTCCGCGCTATCCAAGCCCTATAAGTGCATGCGCGGCGGATGACCCGCGAGCGCTTACCAGCAATCCGTCAACCATCGCTGTACACGTTCCGGCAACTGCATTTCGAGGTCATTGATGCTTTCATTGTGCGCTGCGATATCGATGCGCCATATCTGGACATTGTGTTCTCGAAGCGCAGATCGAACGATAGAGGCCTGAGCCTGCGCAGTTTGGGCGCTGCGAGCAAGATAGCAGTGGTGGCGCTCTATGAACAAAGCAAGCACCATCGCATCGAAGCTCGAGGATATATCAAATATCCCGAGCTCGGCCGCATAGCCAGGTTTGGCCGAAGAAAGTGAGGCTGAGCGTCCTGCACAACCTGAGGTTGGAGCTGGTGCATGCGCGATATGTACCTGCACCTGATAGACCTCAGTTGTCTGCTCGTCTTCCGAAGAAAAGAGGGACCTACACAGTCGTGATTGCCTGCAGTCATCGGGGATAACCATGCCACAAGCATCTGTAGATAGGGTGCGTCGGGGTCGAAAGTGAAGCCCAGCACTGGTTCGCTCAGACCGAACATCTGTCGGTGAAACAGGGCGCTGCCAAGTAGCTCGTAGATCTCGTCATGCGGCGCAATGCAGACAATGGGAAACGATATATTATCAAGATGGGGGGGCGAAGATAGAAGGTGCGCCTGGGAAAGCGGGTCCCGGGCGTCCGCTGAAACGTCACAAGAGACACCTTCGTAGAGGTCGCTGGAGCTCATGCTCAGAACATCGCGCAACATCTCCGATACCCTCGGATGAGAGATTACTTCGTCGACGCAGAATGGATTTCCTGAGAAGCCTTGGGGAGAGCAATGGTGTTCATCTGACCTTGCCGATGACTGGTCGAGTGTTACCCCAACGGCCTCTTCAAGCGACACGGGCAGCGATACGATCGAAGTAGCCACTCCAGCTTGCCGTAGAAGAGATATTCCCTCAGAATTTGAACAACATGGATGCACTGCTCGTGCGTACGGCATATCAAGGCTTAAAACCGCACACGATGAGTATGTGAACCAGGAAGGGTGAAACGACCAGCCCTACTTACTTGAGTTCAATCCCAGGTAGTATAGCACGCAAGGTCAGACCAACAAGTGGTCCCAATATTGTGCGCTTCGACTCTGGCGCAATATAGGGGATTCTGGCCTCTACGCGCAACCGGTCTTGTACTAGTATGTGGGCTGTATACGCGGGCTGGAGGACAGCGTCATGCTCTGATAGGTCCTTATGCAAAGTATCAGTGAGAACGACACTCTCAATTTGAGGCTTGGTGCGCACCGTGGTGTTAGACGCCTCAAGTACAGCACGTAAGTCATCAACGATGTTGGATACGGCAGATGGCCATGCATTCGCATCATGAACGATATGTTGTTCAGTGAATAAAGCAGTAGGAAGCTTGAAGTTGCCTGCGGCAGCCATAGTGTCCTGCATGCAACGAAGAAGATGATGGTACAGGAAGAAGTCGAGGCAGGGTCCTGGGCGGAATTCCCAGCGGTCACGTGACAAGAACGCAATGCCTCAGTTGAAGTTGAACGCTTGCCGGTCGACAAACCTTCGAGGAAAAGTCGAAGCTAACTCCAGAAACCACATCTCCCAGTTCATCCAGAGTATGGATTGTCTTTATATCAGTGCACTTAAGTAAGTTGTTACGCCACTTGCTCTCGCAAATTCGTCCAACATATCGCTGCATACTCCGTGTCCCATGCCGCGCAGCGTGCTGTTCGCCGCAGGGTCAATGGCAATCAGGTCATGCATGACTCATCATCATGTCGAGGGATAAGGATGACATAGCACCTCACTCATGTCATGTAAACATACCGCGGATCACTATCGTGCAAATCCGCCAAGTCCGTCTCGCGATCCAACTTCTCTCGTGTAGCCTGTAGCATGGGTTAGCTTGGGTGTATCCCGTGCATACAACGTTCGTAACTCACCGGATCCATCTCAGCCAAGATCAACGCGCGCTTCTTGTTCTTCAACGCCAGTCGCGTTCGCAACGCAAATGCAGTCAAAAATGCGACGAGGAGGCAACTGTCAAAAGCGTTCTCATCAGCTTGAGTCAGGGAAACAGCGCCGAAACGCACGCAGCACTGATCCCATGGCCCTTCCGATAGTCATCGTCGTCGTCGAAGTAGATTTGTGGCGAAGCACTGGAAGGTAGGTCAACTGCGCGAAGTCAAGTCATCTGAGAAGCGTACGCACATGCTAATGCAGTTACTAATCGACACAATAAACGCGGTGCCCACGCCGCGCTTCGACGTTGGAGAGAACGTGTTGGAAGCCCAAGACCTGTCATCGAACGTCGTCAGCACCTGTCTCCGAGTCCATGACCACCGCGGTTCGTATGACGCTCAACACTCACATCACCAACGGGAACAAGCTATAGTTGCCCCCAATCACCAAGAACAGCGCAAAGTACGCCGCGCCGACCGACTTCTGCACCGCCGTCGCCAGGATGAGGTACCCGACAAACGAGGTGAAGCAGGAGCCCATAATGTGATAGCCGCGGTCCTGCGGACTCCTGTCAGCAGCCGTCCTTCCAAACGAACGAAGAGCAAGTTCTCACCTTCGTGCGGTCGCTATGCACTGCCTGGAAGAACACCAAGAACCAGCCGGCCGCGTACGGCGCCACCGTCATCCCTTGTGCATTGATAGCGGTGAAGCCGAGTCCCTTGATGAGCTACAGACGTGTAAGCATACGTTCATAAATGCGGCATGGTTGAGAAAAGGAGAGACGGGGAGCAGCTGAACGCAATTCAAGCGGAAGCAAATTCGGCGGGACCAAATTCAATCAAAGCGGAGGCGAAAGGGAAAAGGAAGCAAACAAGGACAAGCGCAATACGGTAAACCCCATCGTGCAAGGGAAAGGTCCTCACCGTAGGCAAGAAGTACGACACCGTCGCCACGCCGATGTTGAAGCTGGCGTAGAGGATCATGAAAAGCCATGCGTTCGGGTCGGATACGACGGCCTTGAAGCCCTCCCAGCCACCCATGCCGCCGTGCGAGCGCGGGCGGTGGTCACGATCCAGGCGGGCTTGGGCGATGGCGCGTTCGCGGGGGCTGAGGAACAGAGACGGTGATGTCAATATATAATCGTTGAGCAAAGGGCTGATTAGGCTGGCCAGCACGCGCCAACTCACCTCAAGAAACCCGCTGCGAAGGGGAAGCTGGGCAAGAACATAAGGATGGCGAATGCCATGAGGATGGTCGGTATCGCCTCAATGAGGAAGAGGAACTGCCATCCGGCCAGCAAGCTCGTGTGCGCACGGACGAGACCGAAGGCGAGGAGACCGCCGATCGCGCCGGGGAGGGTGCCGGTCATGCATAGACTAGGGGCTTCGAGTTAGGACGACAACAGTAGGGTACTAGGGCGCACGCACCTGATCCGCATCGCCAGCTCGTGGCGCCGGTACCAGAAGGATAGGTAGTAAATCATGCCTGCGTAGTAACCAGCTTCGCCAATACCCAGGAGGACACTGAGAGGGGCAAAGTTAGATTAAGGATAACTGGTTGAACTGCAAGATCCGCACCGCAAAGCAAGAAGTCCGCCATACCCCTTCGCGTATACGAAGGAGAGGGATGCAATGCCCCACCAGGTGAGGGAGAGGAAGAAGCTTAAGTAGAGTTAGCGTGCACCTTCTCCCATCGTAGTCGATCCTCACAATCTGTTCGCACCAATTCTCCTCTGCAGCACGTTTGCAGGCATCTCGAGTAAACAGTAGCCGACGTAGAAGATACTAAGCGCAAGTGTCCATCTACGACAATGAGTATGAGAATGGGCATGGCTTGCGCTAGGACCGTCAACCTACTTTGCGTTAGACGTGATACCGAAGTTGTCGTTGAATTGCTCAAGCGTGTGGGCGTTACCACTGAGTAGAATGTTCAGAGGCGAGAAGGGTGTAAAGCGCGAGACGTACATGTTCGTTCTATCGAATTGGTTGAAGACGTAGCTGAGCACGACGAGCGAGAGAACGCGGACGTCGATCTTGCGGCGCACGGCCTTTTCCTCTTCCTCCGTGAAATGTACGGTCTCGGCATCGCGGTGGACAGCCTCTGCGTATCTTGAGTCCAGAGGTGCAAAGAAGTGACTGAAAGACGCGTCAGCAACGATCGGCAGTCATCAAATGCGACGCACCCTAGAGGGCCTAGCCACCAGATGGTTCCCCTTTGCGCCTTGGGACCGAGCGCCGCCTGGTGCACAGTTCCCTCAGCGGGGTCAATGGACGCATCCTTCTCAGGATCGGCAGCAACAGCGGACACGGTAACGGGCTGCTTCGATGATCCCTCGGCAGCGGGCTCGGGCTTCGTCGATGCGTCGACCTCCTTCGACGCGTTGGGATCGGCAGGCTGGGCAGCGGCGGACATCGTCTTGGCGTGTGGGGGCCGAGGGGGCGCTTGCTCTCGGCGTGGGGGCGCGTCTGGGGCGCGTCCTCTGGGCGTGGGGGCGCTAGCGGGGGCCCGTCTTGGCGCCGCATCTTATATCCCACAGGCAATGTCCGCGTGAGCAGGCAAGGATGCGATATGCGCGCGCGTCCGGCCTGTGAAGCGATCACGGGCGCCGTGCGCACGCCAGAAGCGCATCCCAGGGGCGTCTATTCTTTGCGCGCGTCCACCTGACCCGCCGTCCCGCCCTCGCCGCTCCCCACGTCCCGTGCGCTTCTCTCCGCGTCTCACGTCCATTTCTCCACATCGGGTACTGTCCTTTCCGGGGTGCTATCTTTTCCCCACGTCCTGTCCTATTATTTAGAACCCGAGTCCGCTCATTGGGTGGTTAAGGAAGGCCGCGATGGAACCGTACCGATGCTGTAGGGACCCTCTATAGGCTTCATGAGGGTAGGCAGAACAGATTGCGACATCTCCGTGCTTATCGCCTCGTACTTCGAGTCTGCAACGGTCCTGGCAGCTCGCACAGCGGCGGTAGGATCGCGGTCAGGATCAACTTCAAGTGGAGGATTCGCCGGCCCGCTCGTCCGCACCAGCCTAAACGTTCGGCATCAACCGACTCCGCTGCAGTCTGTTCTGCGTCTTTGCCTCCGACCATCTCTTGGCAGTCGCCACCTGAGCATGAAACTGCTGCTGCAGCGAGCTATACCTCTGCACGAGATTGGATCATGCGCTTTCCCCTCCTTGCTTTCGTCTTGCCGCGCTGCTCCAATCCCACGATCTACCGCGTATCGTCCTCCCCTAGCACCCTCATTTGCACCTTCTTGAACGTGCGGTCGTTCGGAAATACCAATCTCATTCTCGCTTCTGCTGTAAGAGGGTGATTGACCGCTGCGATTGTGTATTGAATCAGCAAAATAACACCACTCTGAGCGGATCAGGCCCGCCTGAAGCACTAGCTTCGTCCTTCCGGGTCGTTCGTCAGCAATACACCGTCCGTCCAAACCGTAATATCATGCGCTCGAGACGTATATCTCCATCACTTACCCATCTACTCACAGCTTCGAAGGTATACTAACTTTGCCCTGCAGGCGCATTCGTCCTCCCATGACAATCTTGGCTGGGTAGCATTGGAAACTTCCCGCACGACCGTCCCAGGGCTTTCAACTGCTTGCTGTTAGTCAGCGCTCATGGTAAAGAACTTCTTCTGATACGCCTGACGACTCGCATAGCTTCCTAGTACCCTCCGTGGAAATTGAATGTCCAGGTCCGAGAGCGCTTTGCCACAAATTCGTCCAACACACAAGTGCGCCAGAAAAAGATGTCAAGTGTCCAATTGGGCATCTTTCGGATTCAATCGTGCCTAAAAATCGTAGGAAAGTCGTAAAAGCATTCATGGCCGTCCTCGTCCCCTTCGTCGCTTGTATCGTTCATCATGTTGAACCACGGCGCCTCAGCACTGCCCGTCCGCATTCACCCTCCTCATCCTCCCCACCCTCTCCGCGCTCTCGTTCCGCCTCATCCAATCCTTCCTCGCTTTTCTTCTTCGCCGCTTCTCTTCCCGCTCCATGTCTTCGAACATCTCTGCAAGGAACGCCGGGAGCTTGCGAGGCTGAGGTCGCGAGCGTCTTGACTTCGTCATCAACAAGCGTCTCGAGTTCGTCGATGCCCCTGTAACATCTTGTTGCGCTACCGATGCCGCCCCAATCTGCTGCGCCGCCGCCCTTTTCCTTGCCTTTGCAGCGCGCAGAGCGCACAGATACGTGCGTAGAACGCCAAGATCGAGGAGGTACCGTCTGAACTTCGCTTCGGGGTCTGCATAGGGCGCTGAACTCCGTTGTCCACCCGTGAACGTTGACGTCGGCCACTGCTCGCAATCCTCGAAGGCTTTCCCAATTTCGCGATAGGCAAGTGTACGGCGCAGGTCTCGGGGCGGAGCGGGCCACGCGAACAGTTCATCGTTGTCGAGTATATTATGCTTCTCGCTGTCGAGTGCATCGAGGCGCTCGGGAGCCGTCGTCCTATGCGACGTGTAGCGCGGCGCCAGCGAATCGAGCCATTGTTGAACACGGCGGACGGAGGCTGCGCGCTCTTCCCGCGCCGACAGGAGCTGTCGGTGCGCTCGTTGAACGAGGAGATTCAGGATCTCTCGTCGGGCCTGGCCCTCGTGAGGTTGTGGATTTCCTTTAATGTCCCGTTCATCGTCCACATCCCAATCCTCAAAGCCATCCCATTCCGTCTCGAGTACAAAGTCATTGTGAGCGAGGAGATGGTCCGAGGGAACGATGAGTGGCTTGTCAGGGTGTCGTCCTGGATACGGCTCGATGCGCGGGCCTGTCAGCGGCTGTAGTTTCAGTGAACGTAGTAGCGACTGTTGTACCACCGGTTTAGAGTCAAGGGAGGTCGGAGCGGTGGTGTAAGAGGCGGCCGATGACGATGACCGTGTCGAATCCGCGGACGACCAAGTGACGGAGGCCGTGTCATCACTCGAATATGCCGCATCGTCTTCGGAAGAGTATGCACGGTAGAACGGGGGTGTAGGGATGCCGTCCAAACGCGTCGTGGGAGACCACCGCATCGAAGAAGATGCAGGCCGACTAAAGGATGCCCCAGAAGTGAGAAGCACCGGTGCAGTCTGATACATCGAGGCTGAGGCAGGGGTCGCTACGCGCGTGTCTTCGAGATATTGCAGCACCAGGTCCCAAGAGTAGGCTTCAGCGGCCCATGGCGCCATCGTCGCGTACTCCTCGGACGACTCGAAGGCGGCGACCCTTTGCGCGCATTGTAGGATGCCTTTCCGCAAGAGATGGTCCCGCCGGCGACGAGAGGATCGATTTGATGAGCCGCAGAGAAATGGCATGAGTACCGAAATCAAGTAGACGCAGGAGCGTAAGCGGTGTCCTAAGTGTGAGCGAACGTTGTTCCTTTGTTCCGAAAGGGGATAGAATTGTCGGAAGTGGCGCAAGGAGGGCGGTCGAATCGCTAGCCTGCTCTGGAATAGCCAGATGGATGATACAGGTGATGGTCAGTACGAGGGAGAACACATCTGGCATGGGTACTGACTCTCACCTTGTAAGAACAAGGGTCGTAGGAGGTTGGAAGGAGGCGCGCCCAGGTTGCCCAGATATCGACGACTATTCAAGACGTCGCAGGGCTTCGACGGGGATCCCCTTGAGTTCCCCTATATACTCTCAAGGCGCCTATTGTTCCTGCTTTGGTCATCCGTAGCCTGACGTCCTGAAAGATCCGAGTCTCTGTCTCGTAGAACAAGAGCGATTGACGACGATAGCGCCCATGCACACGGCAGACGCGAAGGGCGCTCGCGTGCTCTTGTCTCTATAGTTGCCGCGCTATATAGGGCGTAACAGGTAGCTTGCTTTGTGCTGAATTACTGATCATTGAAGCGCCGAGTAAGCGCGTACAAGACCATTGTTCTTCTCTTCGACTGGCGCTCCGGCATCAAGAGGTGCGCGTGTGTATCTTAGAGAGCACCCTTCAAATGTATCATTGAGACCCTCAGTTAGCTTTTCCAGGACTTAAGTCGCGAGTACGAGATGTTGAGCTGGCGGCAGTGGGTGTTCGAGATCAGGTCATGAAGTCCGCAGTCGACAGACTCGGCGCTTCCAGATAAGGTTAAAATCCCCTATGATGCAACCTCCTCTCGACCGTCATCACCGTCGACGCCGACGATGAACGCGAAACATCTCATACCTCCTGCAGCGGGCGGTGGAAACGGCGGTAGCAACACGAACTCTCTTGGCCGCGCAGGAGGGCAACGAACACTACAGCGTGTCCCCTCACACGAGTCGCTGGCGACCCACCCGCTTCTCAGTCCTCATAGCGCGACATTTGCTCCCTCTCCTGCTGCCGCCGCTGCACCAGCGTCTACTGCATATGTGCCGTATACTCCAAGAAACCAACGCCCTTCGACTGCTCCTGCACCCCCGGAGGCGCAGCACAAGCTTCAGCTCGTCAGCCTGAAGTCGGTCGCTCAAGGAGAGCTGGGGCTCGATCCTGCCAGCGTCGGATGGCACCTCCTCGAGAGGATTATCACGATGCCGGACTGGGCGCCTCCGCGGTCGAAGCCTGTACTCCTGCTCCCTGTGACGCGGTCAGAAAGCCGCACGGAGGTGGAGGTGCGCGATCACGTCGCGCTGCAGCGTGGCGATGGCTGGCTCCAGACGGTCAGCGGACTCGTGGGGCGTATTGATGAGTGCGTTGATTCCCCTCTACTATACTCGCGCTGAGATATACCCAGGCAGACGCTCACATTCGTACGTGCATATCCTGGTGCAGCACTCCCCGCAAACGCCGTGATATGTCCCGCACATCCCAAGTTCACCTGCGCGAAGCACTCGGATGCACTGCCCCTCCCTCCAACACCCACTGCGCCTCCTCCCCTTCCACCAAGGCCCGCGCCAGCACCGCGAACTGGTCTATCTCTGGGCGGGCTATCGCTGTTTGGGCGTCGTGCACCCTCTCCTGCACCACCACGGCCAGCTTCGCCGGCAGGATCCATCAATTCCACTCAATCCGCCAGTGCCATTTCACCCGTCTCCGCGCCAGCTTCTGCGACCGCACCTGCTTCGCCATCATCCGCTCCAGTCACGCAAGTACCCGCCTACACCCTCTCGCGCCCGATCGTGCGCGCAGAGATCATACGACAACTTGCGGCTGGGGCGCGTCAAGAGGTCGTGGCTGCTTTCTCTAACGGCAAGCCCGACCCGCGATGGACCTGGCTCTCTGAACGCATCAGTGCGTTCGTTGTGGAGGAGCTGGACGCCGCGGAGGTGGACGAGCATGCGGAGGAGCATGCACGAGCAGATGCTCTAGCCGATCGCGTGCGCACGCTCTACGACCAGTCCGAAGATGACATTCGCGCCTTTCTCGTTGCCGAACGCACAGCGCCGGCTCGCGGGAAGCGGAGGCGATGGGGCAGGGATAAGGAGAAGGCAGCTGAGTCGGATCCCGAGAAGGCTGCGACGGATGACTCGAAGAAGAGCTCAGACGATCCCAGAAAGAGCACGGACAGCGACGCGTCCGCAGCTGACGAGAGTGCGGAGGATGCGGACGACGAAGCTTGTGCCCGCGCGCTTGTAGCGACTGAGCGTGCTGTGTGCCGCGTTTTGTGGGATCGGATGTTTGTCCTCGATACTGCGCAGGACGATGCGTTCGCATCGCGCGTTGCTGCCTTGCACATGGCAGAGTTGTCGCTTGGGGAGCTCGGTGTTGACGTCACTGGCGGGAGGGACGAGACGGAAGCGGCCAGAGCTGCGGTCGAGGATGGTGTTGAGGGAGTCGTTGGAAAAGTGGGACAAGGTGCGTTGCTCCACGTTGAACGATGGAAGTTTGAGGCTGAACCTTCGCAGTACTTGCCGGGCTCGATAAGGTATATACGCCTAGCGAGAAATGTCAGATATTCGTTGAAGCGCATCGTGTCATTGTAGGTGTGTATCATTTCTAATTGCTGGGTTTCGTTATTGAGAGTAGCTTTCAGATGGTCTCTCGAAGCTTCCGCCATTACGCCTCAAGCCCGAAGTGGAGGAGAGTCAGGAGAAGGACAAGAAGGCGCAAGAGCTTGAGCTAGAGGCACTACCTGGGGTGAAGTCGACGGACTCGGAGACAGCCTCAGCCGACGCGAACGCAGGCAGACTCACCATCACGACCGATACCCCCGCCGCGATGACGGACGCCAATGTGCTTGTCACCTCGCCCGACGGCATCGAGATCGATGCACACAAGCAACTCACCGCCCCATCTATCCCCGCAGCCCCTCCCGCGCCGACGTCTACCGCCGTGTCATCCGACCTACTCCTCCCCGTACTCATCTACGCTCTAGTCCGCGCGAACCCGCCGCGGTTACCCACCCACCTCGCCCATGTGCAGCGCTTCCAGTGCGCGGCAGCCTTACCAGGAGAGGCAGCCTTCTGCGCCGTCAGCGTACTTGCTGCAGTGCAGTACATCGAGACTGCCGCGGGTGATGGCAAGCGGACAGCAGATGACGGTACAGGCGCCGTCCCGCCATCGCCTCTGCCCCCAGTTCCTACTTCTCCGCTACCGGGCGGTGCGCTGCGCCGCGTGTTGAGCGGTGCCACAGATGTCTTCGGGATCATTCGCGGCACCTTGCAAGGAGAGGAAGGGGCTGTTGCCAAGGACGAACAGGACAAACCTGCGACGCAGGATGCGGAGAAGGCCGATGACGCCGCCGATGCGGACAAGGAGGGGAAGGAAGCGAAAGACTTGCCACTGTCCACCTCGCCGTGGAATGCTGGCTTGAGCGCCCTGCTGCGCCGTGACACGGGCGGGGGCGGTCTGCTCGGAGGCGGTAGTGGCTTCTTCTCACGCGAGACTGTCTTTGGGCGCAGCGGCAGCACGAAGGAAGAGGAGCTTGCAGACGTGCCCAGCAGGCCTGGCAGCGCCTACCCAGGTAGCCGCCCAACGAGCCGACCCGGTAGCATCTACACGGCGTACGGCGATGAGAGCGGTGAAGAGGACGAAGAGGATGATGAAGAGGATGACGATGAAGACGATGAAGAGGGCAGCGAGGAGAGCGGGGACGAGGGCGGGCCGGCGCGAAGCATCAGAAGCTTCGGGAGCATGATGAGCAGCCGACGGAGAAAGGCGAGCAAGAGCAGCGCGAATTCCAGGGGCGGGTCGTCCGCGGTACGCAAGAGTCTGAGCGACCGCCTAGCAAGCGTGAGCGGCGGCATCGCGACTGTCGGCAGCCTCGCCGCGAGCTTCCAGGTCAGCCGAGACAATTTATCTCTCTTCCTTTGGCATTGACCTTGCGCAGGGATCCCCGCCTCCATCACGGCGCTCGTCGCTGCTCCCGAAGGTCGTACAACCGCCGTCACCACGCCCTGAATCGCCTATACCCGCTTCACTGCGGGCGGGCTCGCCATCGTCTCTTCGTCCTACATCGCCAGGACCTGTTTCACCCTCAACGCTGCGTCTGGCACCGCCGCGCGCTAGATTTTTGACTTGTGCACCGGATGACTTACGGTTGGCCGAAGTGGCTGAGCTGTTACGGGATTACAGGCGAATTGTGGAGGGTGTCAGAAGCGTTGGTGGTTTTATGGGCGAGTGAAGACTTCCTGCATATGAGCCCTATGATTACCCTATATGCGTATGTTATGGCATCCAGGACAGCCCGTACCGTGCTCTCTCTCAGGCTATACTGTATGTGCCGTTCATCAATCGTGGAGTCCAGTAATCGGGGGCAGATAACCCCGCAATACGAAGTCCGACGCTTGTCACTATCATATGACGGGGTTGTACCACCGTGTACTATTACACCCTCAAAGTTCAGGACTCGCATTCAAGGGCGAGCCGTCGCTTCCACGCCGCTACCGCCTGGGGCTTGAGGCTTGCTTTGAGCACCTTGTCAAATCCGGACCGCGCTAGCAAAGATTATTCAGGCGAATGTTTCTCATCCTTGACGAGCTAGAACTCACGAAGTCGCTCATCGCGCAGGATGATCATTGCTAGGACCGCATGAGCGGGCAGCCTGTGCAAGTATATGAGTACCGTCCGATAGAACTAGTACGGTCTGGTGGCACGTACTTTATATTGACTGCCGCGAGCAGGCTGTCCGCAGTGGTTTTGCCGACATATTCTGCAATCGTTGGTTGAGCATGACGATTAGATGGGAAAAGACGTGTTTCTTGCCGTCCTTCAGCACTACCATGGCGACCGGCACTTCACCTTCGCGCTCATCTGGGACGGCTATGGCGGCAGCCTCGAGGACGCCCGGTTGTTCGAGCAGCGCATTCTCCAGCATTATGCTACTCTGCAATGATGATCAGCGCACGAAACGATGTAGAACTAGAAGACATACGATGTTCAGAGTGTCACGGATGATCATGTCTTTCTCTAGATCGGGTGCTTTGAGGAGGGAGGAAACGCATAGTACATGTATGCAGGACTCACTGCGATCCACGATGTACAGAAAACCTTCCGCACAGAGTACTCCGACGTCTCCGCTTTGAAACCAGCCATCCTGTATTGGCAGTCGACGTGAGTACGATATGAGTGACTGCCGGCCGTGTGAGCGCATGCCTTCGTCATAACCTGGTACATTCCCGTCAGTACACTGGAGCTCCCGGAGAATGCGGTACACCCACCTTCGCCGTTGCCTCTGAGAACAAACATATTTCTCAGATTTTAGTCTCGCAATAAATTGCAAGAGAGAACGTACCAGGATCGTTATAGTACGCCTTCATTATGCTAGGCCCGCGCATCCATATCTCGCCACTATGACCATGCGGAACGACCTTCCCATCGTCGGAAACGATGAGTACCTCGTTCACAGGAGGCAGAAGCCCACTATATGGTTGATCAATATTGGTGTCGTCTTCGCAAGCATGAGTCCTCTGACCAGCTTAAGGGACGAGCTGCGAAGTCGCCTTCCGCTAGATTTGCATCGGATAAGTATACATCTGCCCTCGCTAGACCGACTGCTCACATATGAGGGACCATAAGCCCGTCGCCTCGGTCATCCCATAGGCATAGCGGCTGTATGTAGATTAACGTTGTAAATTACGGTGCAAGCTTACGAGGGAAGATTTCTCACATTTCGGCGCAGGGAAAGGCCTGTTGTGCATCTCGTGCAAAGTTCTCGCGCACTGGACCGCCGCTGCAGGCGAGGGCCCGAAGATTGTTTCCGACCAGCTTCGAACTTGCCACATGGACAAGCTCGCGTAGCAACTGGGGTGACCTGAAGACATGCAGATGAGTGCGATCTTGAGCGAAAGGATGTCATCACCCACCCGGTTATCGACTGTATGCCCTCCTTCATGGCCAGGCTGTAAGGGATGTTGACTGTAAGGCGGCTCGCATCACTATCCGGTACTCAAACACACCGTAGAACTAGCGTGTTGGCGACAATCAGTATCGAGAGGATGCTATGCCACAACACGAACCTTGTTCAGGGTTGTATTCGTCAAGGTAAACAACCCGGCTCCCTAGGAAGGTCGCCAAGAGCTTCGGGGATACAACGGTCATCGCGATGTTCGCATCTCTTGACAAATTCTTGCCTACCATGCTGTGTATAGCTTGAAAACACGCCATTAGTCTCGGTAAGGACGGCAATGTAAATAACGCGCACACAAGATAATCACTAGGGGAAATGGACACAGCACTGATATAGGCTGTCCGGGATCCAGGTCCGAACCAGCACCACGGCGCAAAGCGACTGCACTAATGCTGTATATGGTCTGTGACAGGCGGGCTTTGGCTACAGCCCCTGATGAAGTTAGGACTCAAGGACGTACATTAAATATATTTGTGAGAAGAGCACGTTGTGTGCACAAAGCGGGCTCTAAGTATATATGAGAACTTTGCCCAAAGAGCGCGTCGTGCAACTCACTGGGCTTGCCACCGCTTGTTCCACTTGTGAATATGATCAAGCAGTCGTCATCCGGATGGATAGTTGGTACCCTGCTGAGGACCGTAGATGGATCGTCCGTGTATCCTCCATATATCTCCGTCCACAGTTGCATGCCGTTGCGTTGCCTCTCAGCGTTCTCGCCTTGAAGAACAACAACACGCGTAGAGAGCGCCCGCATCGAGTAGTCTTCGATAACGGGCTCGAGTATGTCGGCCCGTTCCCCGTCAAGCACGACGAGCTTACAGTCGCATTTGAGCAGACAGTACACCATACCGTGTTGAAATAAGCTGGTCGTCCGAAGTCAGTGCGACGTGGTTTTTCGGCTTGGACAGCGTACCGAAAGTTGACCAGAGCCGAAACAGCGCCAAGAAGATCTGTAGGAATTGTCAGACTTGAGGGCGAGCAATGACTTCCAAAAATTACGTACGGCACGCCCAGAAGATAGCGAGAAGGTCGGGGAGGTTTTTGCTAACCAGCCCGACATGATCACCTAGAGATTGATGAGGATACCCGACGGATTGAAGGGTTCACTGTTACCTTTCTCTATGCCGTAGACCTCTCTCAAGATGGCTGCCGAGCGAAGAATGCGATTGTGGATGTCCACAAAGGTGAACCTCTGGCCCCCGAAGACAGAGTACTCGCGACTGCCGTACTTTCGCACGGCATCGAGCCATACCGCCTGACATGACGCGGGCAAATTCTTGTATGTGCGAACCACGCGTCCGTTGATGCAGACCGTCTCGACCTCCAGTTCTGACCCGGGCGATGTGAGAAGCTTGCAAACTAATTATATGTCAGTCAGGATGTTGCAGTGAGACTCAAGCGCAACTGGCCTTCTGGAACAGTGTACTTTGGAGTCCAAGGCATGTTGTGGTAGAAAGGATATGCTTTGCCTTCCCCTGCTCACAGTAGTATATATATACACCAGAAAGTCCGATCCGAGAGGGCGCAGCGCACTGTTCAGGCAGAATTTCGTACGAGATTCCTGTAGCACATAAGCCTGCAGACAGATATGTCAGCTAATACAAGCTCTCATGATATGGACGGATATCCAGCGGCGGAAACAGCGAACATGCACACCATGGTTGGAGCCAAGCAGTCTCGATCTCGTGTTCGGAGATTGCCGGCAGTCCATCAAGCCGAAATTGAGCGGAGCCAGAAATCCTTTTCTCACCAGGACAAGCATCTCCAGCCACTTGACCGCGCATGCGGCCTTCATTGGCGGCTTGTACGCCCCAAGATTGATTTGGTCCTCTGCTTGTGGCGTCGCTATATACTAGCTGCATGTAGCGCGCATTGCCTGCATGACGGAAGCGGAATACAGCGTATCTTGAGTGGCACGCGGTTACCTCCCGAGCGAGCAGACGAACTGGCATCTGTCCACAGCTCTCAGCGACGCCCTCGCGCGCGGCGCTGCAGGTGTACTTCGCTGCGTCATGAGTACTTTGATCCCCCAGGACTTTCCCGCTGTTCATCTGACGTTCGAATGGTACCCAGACAGGTTTGACCTCGTACTTCCTTGCCCTTGAACAACATAACATAAGTTACCAATATGATATCGATCTTCAGTATGACTACAGAAGCTGGCAAGAACCAAGCGCTGAGCACACAAACAACGGCTGACCTTTACAAGCTCACAGACGATTCACGACTAAGTCCACCAAAAATGCAGGTGAGTAGCCTTACTACAGCGTCACATACTGCTTGGCTTGACGAGGCTTCAGCCCAGCAATAACCTTGCACCGCTGCTTATCAGCAAGCGCCCCCATCGAGGTCGATGTCCGCCAACCCCGCGATCTCGTCGTCGGTGAACACGCGCCAGCGGTCGGAGGGTACATCTGCGAAAGCCTCCGCGAAGCTGGGAGGCGAGGAGATTATTGAGCGTTATCGCAACAAGTATGGTGCAAGCAGACGCACCGCTCATCCGTGTTGTTAGCACCGTCGACGGCGCGGATCCAGGCGCAGCCAAGGAAGTCGGGGCCATACTTGCGGAAGCTGGAGGATGGGATGTTAGTGTGAACCAATGAGAGAGATTGACAAGGGGGAAGAAGCGAGTCGCAGGCGAGAAGGATAACGTAGGGCGAAGAGGCGACACAACTGACCCCCCGCGCCATGAACGACGCGAAAAGAACATGGAAGACGAGGAATTGGGGCATAGGCCACTCACACTTCACCGTATGTCTCCGGGTCTGCCTCGGTCGAGTCACCTACGCCGAGGAACGTCTTGTTGGGGAAGATGCCGTGCAGGGCATCGATGATGAAAACCTGTTAGGAATCCATGACACTCAGTTCAGGTCGGTGAAGAGCCGTAGACGAACCTTGTACTCCTGCGTGTTACCGCCCTTGATGAAGGTGATCAGATCCGCGGGGTCCGTCAAAGTGAGGTTCTTGGTATAGATCGGGCCCTACGAGTAGGCCCAGTCAGTGACCATCAAGATATGATCGGAGAGCCTTGACGCGACAAGCCATAGCGCTGCTTAGCCATATAAATCCGAACCCGTACTCACCGCACTCGCATTGTAGGTCGTGTTGATGAAGTCGTGCAAGAAGGGGTACAACTGGTACGGCGAGCCCGTGACATACACGAACTGCGGGTCCAGCTTCTCCGCGAGCGCGGCGTAGAGCTCGGGCATGCCGGCGACGGGCTCTGGCTCTTCGAAAAAGGTAGCCTTGAGGAGGGCGAGCTTGTCGAGCGTGTGGGAGATCTTAATGGTGTCGTCGATGTCTGGCGAGAGGGTTAGGAGACATGACACCAGAACGTCCGAAGGCAGAGAATGAGGAAGCGCGAGCGCACGTGCCACAGGACTAGGTCCAGGAGAGGAGCCCACGTATACGACGACAAGAGACCATGCGGATATGATCAGGTGTAAACACACCATAACGACTTGCGGCATGATAATTCATCGCTCGTCTCTAGCGCCAAGAAGGCATCGAAGCTATCGTCGCATGCTATGGGCACATAACTCAACTGCACCAGGACTTACCACTGATGACGCCCCAGCCATCGGACTTGGACGCGAAGACGGTGCTCGCGAACGTGCGCCCGTCGTCCGTCTGCGCCGTTGCGGCGACCTTGGCGGATGCGACTTCGCCACCGCCAAGCGTCACGTTCTGCCAGGTGAGACCTTGGTCGTCGCCATCGGCCGTCGGGCCTACGGTGACGGGGGTATCGAGGCTACCTCACCATCAGTGGGTTATACATAGGGGAAAGCGATGCACTGACCCATCGACCACGACATTGACCTCTCGGTCCGCAACGCCGATCGCAGCGAAGAGTTTGAGACTGAAGCGTTGAGGTTCAGTGAACTCAGGCGAGTGGTCTCATACGTACCGCTCCGACGCGTTCGCGAGATCCTGGCCGAAGTCGATGCCGATCGAGCTCAGCACGTCCGCTGCCTTGTCCAGCCAGTCCTGGATGTCGATCTGGGACTTGTGTACGTATGCCTCCTGCGCGAGGAACTGCGTGCCATCGGGGCTGTCGGAACCATCATCAACATGCGACACGGTCTCAGGATCGAGCAACGCACCCCTCGTAAGCAAGCGAGTCGAAGAGGACCACCGTCTCCTTGTCGCCGACGGCGTCGCGGGTATGGATGGGGGTGCCAATGCGGCCAAACGATGCGGGGCGCGCCGCAACGAGCACGGTCGGCGCGAGGAGCGCAGCGAGGGCGAGGGGAAGCATGGCGGATGGTATGAGTCCGGAACGAACGTGTTATATAACGACTGAGAAAGTCTAAGAAGCCCACGCTAAAGAAGCAGCGTGAGAAGGCGGAGGAGCGTTCCCTGCGAGCGCGGCCCGCTGGAAGTGATGAGGGGGAGGAAGAGAGAGAGGTGAGGGCGCTGCATTCGAAGCATGCGATGGTCATCACCTTCCAATCACCGTTCCACGCGGTCGGAGGGCGACCGCAGATACCCGCGCGGGCCTGGGTTACGCGGGTGTGGGTGTCTGGCAGGGCGCGCGGAGGCGCACATGCTCAGCAATCTGGCAGACGGTGTCATCGCAGCACGTCTCAGCCGCCATATGCATTCATTGAGGGCAGATGCGAACAAGTGGTGGCGCCCACAACGACAGATGTCCTTATTTGGTAATTTATGGGCAAATGCCGATGGTGCCTTGGTTTCAACTCTGCGCAGGAGACTGGGAGCTTGAAACTATGGTATCATAACTCACATATAAAGCCTCTCTCAGACAGACCAGGACGAGTGCAGGTGCTATATTCGCCATATTAGCAAGCATCTCGTGCCTAATCAAGGCCTGTAACATGACCATCCAGCGCCCTGCCCTCTCGAACAGATACTAGTGAACCGTCTGCTGTAGGAGGCACTAAAGCAGCCCGATGTATCGTACTATCCAAGTGAGCGCTTCCTGAACATAACTCGCGCCGAGTGATTCGGCGATTGAAGATCCCTGAACCACTCGTTCTCCGGCTTGACGCGCGAGCCGCCTTCGAGCTGAACGTCATAGTTCAGGACGATGTGCGCGAGCATGGCCTTGAGCTCGTTCGCGGCGAAGAAGCTAGAGAGATGAGCGTCAGTAACACGGTGGTATCATCGCATGGTGCGGGACAAAAGAAGTCGACGCACCGCCCGGGACATGCATGGAACCCGTGGCCGAAGAGGAGGTAGTCGCAGTCGGTCTTGACCATTTGGTACTTCGTTGGGTCGCTCTCGCGCAGGCGCGAGTAGCGGAACCCGTCGAAGGTGTGCGCGTTGGGGTAGCTGTCTGGTACGGAGCATCACAGATGAGCCACGCACACTGCGACGACGCGTGTCATCCCTCACCCTCATCCCGATGCGTCGCGTGGCTCGCGACGGAGATGCGTACGCCCTCCGGGACGAAGGTCCCATCGGCGAACGTGTAGCCGCCCTTCTTCGTGACGACGCGATCGAGGGAGACTGGGAAGCTCGCCGTTAGCGATTGTGTTCTGGCATCGGCTCGCCGAAGACTCGAAAGCCCAGCAAAATGAAAGAAACTCACGGCATCCCAGCCCATTGAACCTTCCCGCTTCGCGAAGGAAGCTGTCGATCTTGTGCATCTCCCGCATCGCGGTCTTGCCCCAGCCGTGGCGGCCGATCACCTCCTCGGCCTCTTCGCGAAGCGGCTCGAGATAGAGATGCGGCTCGGCGGCGAGGTGGAGGAGCGCGTAGGTGAATATCTACGTTAGACAGGGAGATGGGGAAAATGCAGGAGTAGAGAAAGCAGAAATCAGATCGAGGCTCGAGCAGGCAAGTGCGAGGCAACGTACGGAGGTCGACGTGTGGAGGGCTCCAAAGTTGATATGCATGATACGCAGGACCATCTCGTCGACGTTGCGGAGCTCAGGCGGGAGGTAGCTGAGGACCCACGAGATAAGATCGTTGGGCCTATTTAGCCTGTCCGTGCCGAGTTCGTCGTCATCGCGGATGCGCTGCGCGACGACGGCACCGATATGCTGGAGGAGGTCGTGGCGGATGGCACGGTAGGGAGAGAGGTATTTTCCGAGCAGACTGTGAAGTAGACTTCAGTTAACAAGTCGGTGGCAGTGAGACAAGATAGTCGAGGTAATTTGGGAATAGGGGACACTCACGGGCGGACGAAGGAAGGGAATTTGTGAAGGATACCGGCCGCTTGCATGACACCATGCGCAAATTGCATGTTGGCGTTGAGGAAACCCTCGTGCCGGCCTACGTTGTATTAGAGACCGTTCTCAGGGCAAGGAAACAAGGTTCATGACGCACAGAGAGGCAATCCGACAAAGTATCGGTTCCCGACACGATTCACGAGAGTCATCACAGCGTCGTGAGCATTGACGGTGCACCATTCTGCCAGGCGATTGGGTGTGAATTAGCAGAACAAATATATTATGATGACGAAACAGGCTTACCTTGGCCACCCTTAAAGGCAATGACATCCCCAAAGGCCGCCTCGATTTCATCGTAGATCTCCCCGAAGCAGTTCCCAATATTGCGCGTAACGTCGCCCTGTACGACACGGAGCTGCGAGTCGTGGTGGTCAAGATTGAGCCCGAAGGTGTACTTCATCTGGAAGATCTGTCGTCGAATTGTTCGTTAGGTCTGTGCTCGACTTCGTAGAAGGAGGGGAAGGAAAGAAGACTCACCCTTTCCGCCGCTTGTCTAAATGACAGCTCGTCTTCCCGCGCCGCGCGCAACTCGTCGACGAGGTTGCGACCGCTGATGACGACTATCCAGCTGTCCATGAGAGGGACGCGGAAGGCGCGCCCGGGATACTTGTCGACGCCCTCCTGTACCATCTCCCTAGCGCGCTCCTGGAATTCGCGCGCGCCTGCATACGGCGAGAGCCATCCGGAGTCGCCTATGGCGGGGATGTGTGAGAGCTGGTGCGAAGTCAGTAAGGCGTGAAAACTTGGTGAGGGAAAGGGAGATAGATGGTGGTGGTTATAACGTCGATGGAATATCTTGTGTGGTGCGAAGTAAGAAAGGAGGGAAAAAAGAAGGACTTACGTCTGGTCCGGACACTTTCTTGTAGATAGTATACCCAGCCATGGTCGCAGCGCCTACAGCGAGCGCGGCCTTTGCAGATGGGTCGAGCTCGAGGACCGTCTCCTGGATAGAGCTCAACAATGGTGTTCCAGACATTGTTGGGAGATGTCAAGTGTAGTGTCGAGGCAATGAAGTGAAGAGTGAGGTGTACTCTTGAGTCTCTTCACCCGGCCTTTTAATACTCAGCCAGAGTCCGGTTCCGTCGGTGAGGTAAAGACGGGACATGGTTTGACAGGATGTGACTCCGTTGGAGTCCCCCGACATCCAGCCGACTTGTTGACATTCAGACGGGCTCTCTATCTTGCAGTGCGACAAGTGCGGCCGGGATTACAATGCTCAAGTGACGGTCAAGAGCAAGTTGGCAACGGGGATTTCCGAAACTCACGTGCCGGTTGGATTTCCTCAGCGCGATGACATCAGCGATCAGCGGGCAGCTCGACCGTCACCTTCGCCGTGCGCCATCAGCAGCGACGAGTAACGCCTGTAACGACCGCCGTTCGTCCTTCTCCTCCTGCTCCGTCTGTCCGCTGGCTGACCTACGCTCTTGCTCCCCACCGCGCTCCCGCACCCTCCCGATGTCGCCGCGCAGACGACCGCATTAGAGCACGTTTTGGATCTGCAAGAGGTTCAAGCCGTACCACCCCGTTAGACTCGAATCCATCTGCAGAAGCACCCGAACTCTTCGAAGACTTCGAATCAGTTTACGTGACCTTCGATCGCCGGAGCAGGACGATACTTCTCCTATCCCGGACCCTCCGCGAACCAAGCAATCATCCATCGAATAACCCACACATTCCTTACTCACCATGCTCGCCACTATATGTCTTGTTCTGTGTCTGGCCGTGGCGCTTGCGCGCGCAGAACTATATGTGCGTGTGCGCTATCTCGTTATGGTCAGGTCGCTGACGGCTGTCCTTCTCGATCCTATGTGGCGGCCCGTTCATCCCTCCACCCCTTGCCTACGTCTTCCGACCTGTTCGGGACTCAACAATACCCTCCCTATACTGTGCTCCACCTCTCAAACACGCTCTATATGCTGCTAACCCTTGCCGTTCGCTCGGACTTGCACATCGGAACGCCCCTCGCCGCCCTCAATAGATCGTTAGCCCGGCATCCGGCTCGACCTGTCAGGCAGGGCAGCCATGTACCGTCAATTGGCTAGACGATGGAAACTCTCCGAAGCTCGCATCCATCGGCGTCTCTCGGATAGGGCTCTACATGGACAACATGGTGCGTGCCTTTGCACAATCTGGAGAGCACGGTTCCTGACGAAACCTCCGTGCGCTTTATCTTCGTGTGCTGTCTAATTTCCTCACCTGCACCTCGCAACTTCGCCCTGGCTTGTGCTACTCTCGTTCTATCGCTCTGCTCGCGCTGTGTAGCAACTCGTCCAATCCATCGAACCCGTTGACGTGTCCGCAACCCATTCCATGACGTTTACGGTACGCCGGCTAGCGAACACCGCATTCACCTCGCTGACCTTTGTCTCATCAGCCGAACCCAGAGGCGGGCCCGGACGCAGATTCCTAGTGAGCTCATCGCGCCTAACACCCGACCCCTATCCCTCTGCATATCATCACTTACAAACGCTGACCCCTCCCCAGCTACCTTGTCTTCACCTCCACCGCCCTCACCGATGCCTCTGGCGCCGCCTACACCGAGTACTCCCCCTTCTTCCGCCTCACCGGCATGTCCGGTACGCGCGGGCAGCCCGTCGCATCGCTCACCTCCGAGTTGCCCGTGCCGTCGACGCTCACGAGCGACACCTTCGTCTCGCCGGTGACGCCGAGCATAAGCACGGTCACGGTGGGCACGCTGTCGACGAGCTTGAGCCCTATACCCAGTTTGTCGGCGACGAGTGGAGGTGCGACTGGGGGTGTCGGTAGCAGTAGCAGGATGAGCACTTCGAGGAGCGCGGCGGCGACGGGGTCGGCGAGCGCGTCGCCTAGCGCGAGCGCGGGGACGAACGCGGAGGGCGATGATGGCAATTCAAACGGCGCGGGTCGGGCGAGTGTTAGCAGTGCGCTGGCGGTGTCGTGTGTGGGCGCGCTGTCGCTCTACATGATCTGCGCGGTCCTGTAATGAATCAGCCCGCTTGTACCTCCGCTCGGCGGACCGTCGTGTAAGTCCCACGACCTCGTCGAATGCATATCCTGATCATACACGCAGCGTGAATCGTTTTCATCGCCCCACGACATAACGTCGTTTCGTTGTGCTATATATCCACCTCCCCTGTCGCATAACCACCTGCGCCCTATCGCATAACCCCCTCCGCCCTGCCACATACCTGCCTCCCCCGCTCCCGACCCTGTTGTGCAACCCGCTGCCTCCTCCGCGCACGCATAGAAGCCACGGACCTCTTCCTTCGCATATCCTGCATTTATCGTACTTGTACACTAGTTTTGTTTTGTTGCTTTTGGGGCTTGCTTCTGGGGCCTGCTCTTGGGGCCTGTGAATCTTGCATACCGCGTACGAGCGTTCATGCCCCTTCGGTCGCTGAGCTTTTGGCTCGTCACTGAGTTTGCGGCTCGTCACTGAGCTCTCGGCTCGACCGTGCTGCTTCCTGGCTCATCTGTGCGGCTGCCCTGGCTCAAAGAGGTGGCTGACCCCGCTCTACTGAGCTGCTACCATCTTTCGACGGGGCTGCTGCCCTCGTTCGCCAGGGCTGCTACCTTCGTTCGCCAGGGCTGCCGTCGTGCCTACTGCTCCCTTGGACTTTGTCTGTACCTATTCATTCTTTTTGTCTGCGTTTGTACTGCGACACCCACCTAATGCATGCTCCGCTTACCATGCTTGTTGATCTCGAGGGTGCTTGTGGTTGCTTACCCGGCGAATGCCGACATTCTTCGATTGAGACCTCTCAACCCTTTGACCCGTGAGATCTCGCGTGAGATTCTAACGGTAGAAAACCACCCCCAAATACTGAGGTAAGTACAGTAGGGTGCGACGCCACGCGGAGTCAACCCTCCGTCCTGAATTTAATTCCAGAATTTGGTTAATGACTTCGTGCGTACCTGTTCCAACAACAGCAGCCGAGGTACTCTTCATCTAACATGCCCCTCGCCTTTTACTAGGGGCATCCGGGAGAGTGCCTCATCCAAGGCTGCGTTGCAATCTTTGGTTATACCAGACCCTTCCGGGTCTATGTTCTCTCCTCTTTTTGTTCGTATGAACGCGTGATGAAGGCATTCCCATCAGGCGGCGACATGATTTGTCTAAATCGTGACATGCCAGGCAGAATGCTTTCTGATCACGAAAGCTGGGAACATTCGTCTACACAATACATACACAGACAAGACAGCAAGCAGACACAGAACAAATACAGTCGTCAAGTATACGCCTACGCGTCGATTTTCCTGATCATCCTCCTCTCCCGCTCTCCTACCACCTTCACCACGCCCTCATTCTCCAACGCCTTGATGACCTCGGCGAACTCGTTCGGGTCCACCTTGATCGTACTCTGGCTCCCCAGCTGCTTGATAGCATCCGAGTACCTCACACCTCTCGACCCCGCCGATGAGCTCAAGATACTCAACAGCTCCCTTCGCATATCGTCCCGCAGCTTCAGCTGCCCCTGCCCCGTGCCCGTGTTCAGCATGCTCATGTCGATCTTGCCCGTCCTTGGGTCCATCGCGCTCGTGCGGATCGCCTCCCGCATGAGGCGGTTCGCCTCGCGCACGTCCTGCAGCTCGACGAACGCGGACATGCGCATGCGCGCGTGCGCCTCGGAGAGGCGGATCATGCTCTCGAGCTGTCGAGTGGTGGCGGTGATGCGCCGCTCGCTAGCGCGGGGATCGTCGCCCATGTTACGCATGTCGACGTAGGCGCGGACGAGCTCGTTGCCGGCATCTTCGGTGATGACGGGGTGGACGCGCGAGCGTGCATAGTCGATGTAGGCGGAGAGCTCGTTGATGGGCTGCGCAAGGATTAGCTGATGTTTACTTGCGCTCGGAAACGCAGACTTACCAGTATCTCGTATGCGGATGTGTTCGGAGTGTCTTCAAGGTATAGCCCCACCAGATGCTGCGCCAGCTTCCGGTCGAGAGCCTCGTCAACCTGGTCCAACACAAGATACAACAGGTCGAACCGCGAGATGAGCGTCGGCGGCAAGTCGATGTTGCGCGTAACCGGCAGGTCAGGGTCGTACTTAGAGCCGATGGGGTTCGCTGCTGCAAGGATAGAGGTTCGGGCATTCAGTGTCGTGATGATGCCAGCTTTGGCGATGGACACAGTTTGCTGTTCCTGTTAGACGGATTACAAGAATCCAGGGAAAGTCAGGAAGTTACCCACCATAACTTCGTGCAGAACACTGCGCGTAGCGTCGGACATCTTGTCGAACTCATCGATACAGCAGACACCTCCGTCGCTCAGAACCAGTGCACCACTGAAACAAGGTTTGAGCCAACAAATCAGACAAAGTCGAGATTTTCCGACTCACCTTTCGAGCACCAATTGTTTGGAATCCGGATCGCGAGTCACGTACGCCGTCAGACCGACCGCAGATGAACTCTTGCCAGATGTGTACACCCCACGAGGCGCAATCTTGTGCACATACTGAAGAGAGTCAATGGACGTGTATAGCAGCTGATACAAGTGAGAGACATACCTGCAAGATCTGCGACTTACTCGTACCGGGATCACCAACCAAGAGCACGTTGATGTCTCCACGGTACCTGGGCCCACCGCCGCCCCCACCGCGCGCAATGCTCTTGTTCGTGCCTCCAAACAGCTGCAACAGAATGCCCTTCTTCACGTCGTCCATCTCCCAGATCGACGGCGCCAGCGAGCGCGACAGCAGCTCGTAGATATCAGGGCGCTGGCTCAGCTGCTTTAGCTTCGCCTCCAGCTCTGACCGCTTCGTCTGCAGCCCCTCGCGCTCTGCCTCGCTGTCCTGGCCATCGCCGACACCACCAACGCCTGGGATGCGATCGCCACCGGCGGGACGCGTCGACTTGTCGAAGCCCAAGGTTCCGTCTGTGCCGAGCTTAATGTGCACGACATCCAGATAGGTCTTGAACAGGCTTTTGAGCGTCCTTTGCCTCGGGTTGACGCGCACGGGCACGCTGCGAAAGATGCCGGTGACGACGAGGCGGTCGCCGGGCTTCGACACGTCCACAAGTTCGTCGTACACGCTGAGCGAGACCGTGTGCGGCGTCTGACCGTCTGGGACGGCGTCAGGCGTTTCTTGCAGGCGGATGACCTGCCGGTCGGCGAACTCGCAGCGGTTGTGGACGAGGGACATAGTGCCGGGCGCGCCGCAAACGTCGCGGGGGCAGCTGGCGGGCTCTTCGATTTTGCCGCGGTAGATCTCGACCTGCACGGTGTGCTGGCAGGTCAGGCAGCGGAAGAAGGCAGTCTTCATGTCTGGGATGACCGGCGTGGCACGGATAACCAAGCCCTTGATGCAGACGAGCTTGTCCGTATCTATGGGATGGGGTCAGTAATTCAATGATTTCGTTAGAGGGAGAATACTCGCCAGAAGGGTTGAGATTACGCATGTTGCTAGCAGGAAGGCCGAACGGCCTGACCTTGTACACCCTTCCCATGATAGTTGCGATTTCGGCGTCACCTTCCTCTCCGAGCATACCATCTTCTCCATTTTCTTGATCCATCTCTGCAATACGAAGCATCTCGTCCTTCAACACCTGATCGAAGGCAGGAATAACTTCCTGAGGGTACTTCACGACTTGGCTGTGCAATTTCTTGCATGGCGGGTATGCAGCTAGGTTATTGATGTCGAGATTGAGGTTGGACTGATCCGTGATGCGCATCCGGCGAAGATAGGTCTCGTAAAGTAACTGCTCGCCTTCTTCGGGAGAGGTCTGGACTGCAGTTGGTAGACCTTGTTCGCGGTCGTACGCGGTACGGTACTTGGGCTTGAACCCGTGCAAGAATTCGCGAAATGACTTCATAGTCTCCGCGAGGTTGACCGTTGTGCCCCAGATAGCGCGGATCTCGTCGGGCTCATCAGACTGCGCTGCAGGAAGAGCAGACAAATTGGCGTTGGAGGACATGGGAACATCGAGGCCAGATGCATCGGATTGGAGGTTGCTGCGTGCAGACCTAGCTTCGGTCTGGCGATGGTGGCGGCGGAAAGATGGGGTGAGTGAAAGGGAAGAGTGAATATCTCCTCGGCGGTTGACGGGGGTCTTCGTGGGCGAGCTACGGGGCGTGTCAGTGGCGAATGTCGCGTAAGAGTGCTGGTGAACTCACCCAGGATAGCTGAGCCTATCATCCGAGTAGCCAGAGCGTAGAGCACTCCCCGCTCTGCTCCTAGGACCGCTCCTAGCAGACGATGACGGGTAGGTCAAACGCGGCGAACTGCCACCTGAAATGATGTTAATGATCGCGTCGACGACGCGTGAAACGACGCGTCGTACCCTCGAAAAGTGGCGTCTGCGGTGTGCGACGCGGTGTGTTCATCCCCATCGCCCTCCTGGCCACAACGTTACGCGAAGGGGACGTGTCCGGCGCGCGCGAGGCCCTCGATCGCGCTGGCGTCCCCGCCGCCGACGGCGTGCCAGGCAAGAAGAGGCTCTCAGCGTTTGGCGCGTCGGGGAACGTTTCTTCGATAGTGCCATCGTTCATGTCAACGTCGTCTGGGACGGGCGCAGGGGAGCTGGGCATGTGCAGTGGCGAGGACGACATGGCGAGACGATGATGGCGGGAGGAAAGATGTTGAGATCAATATATTGCCGCGCGCAACTCTTCCTCACCCCTTGCTCTTCCCCATGTCGAACGTGAATCTTGACGACCTCAACGAGGTGAGATCTCAAACGCTAGATCTATCTGTGACTTATGAGCAGTCTTCATTCTATATACCTTTCGAGGGAGAAGGTACGCGACCCGCGCACTTGCTCAGACTAATTCACTAACCTTCAACGCAGACGAGGCTCTCAGTGAGAGACTGCCTGCAGAGGCTACAGACCAATCGTCCGAGAAAGCCCTTTCTGCACGAATAAGCGAATACAGACGCGTGTGGGATACGTGCTTGACGCGAATACGGGCGCGTTGACTGGCCTGCACCCATCAATTCCTTGTGCTAACGTTCTACAGGCGATCGTAGATTCGCTTTACGAACCGGTCATTGAATCTGTCGCTGATGAGATCGTCCATGCAGATGACAATGTTCTCCCTGGGCTACCATACCCCGAAATCCCTGTCGTATGCCTCACAAGTGAGTACCAACTCCCCTTGTTCTCTAAACTCCCCACCTCGCCACTTCTCCGACCGAGACTGAAGCCACACAGATTGCACAGGCACCTCGTCCTTTATATCTCAGCTCAACACCCGTTTCGAAAGGTCAGGCGCGGCTGTCATAAACCTGAACCCAGAGGCTTGCTCGAGCATCACACTCTGCATGAAGGCGCTTGTGTCAGGCTTCACTGAACATCCAAGTCTCTACGACCGAGGTGCGTTTCTTCCCCATGACCCTTCCCTCTTTCTGACCGACTCAATCAGTCCCAAAACTCAAGCGCCGCGGCAATAGTCTGGCCGCATACGACCTGAGTCTCTTAGCCGCCTGGCACCGCGAGGTTTCCGACGTACAGTTGGTCGCGGTACTCAGCGACTTCGAGGACTTTGACCCGAACATCGTGTGTCACATGTTCGAGATCTGCAGGTACGATAGCGCGTACTGGGGCCAACGTATTCGCTGACTGCCTGCATCAGTCTCTACGCCTCGCAGCTGCCTTTGACATTCGTGCTCGCGTGCGCCTCGCCACCTGCTCCGTCGTACATGCACTCGACCTTCCCGCGTTCTGTGCTCGCCCTTCTGCGCCTGCGCAGTATAGACTTTCCGTCTGGTCCTTCGGTCGTGGGCGAGATAGTGGACGGGGTCCGTAATTGTATTCGCCCATACGCAAGTCAACTTACCTTGTATCAGACCTTCTTCGACACCGAAGTGGACTCCCTCATACCTGGTCCAGCTACGCTTGACTTCCTTGCCGACTACACCTCGAGACACGTCGCAAGCGTAGACACCGTTGTATCCATACTTCAGGTGCGTTCTCGCCCTCACTCTCACATATCTCCCACCAAACTCTCTCCCATAGCTCTCCTTCCTAAAGCACTTCGCCACTGAGCCTCTGTCCGTCCTCGTCGCCGTGCCCTCTGAGCCGGCGCATACGAAGATGAAGGACCCACCGCTGAACGTGGAATCTAACAGCGAGGACTTCGACGAGATTGCGCTCAATACCAAGACGGGGTTGCGCCTGGCGCGAGCAGCGAATACGAAATTGATCTCGCAGGGGCATCGTGGGCTACCTTGGGAGTCGAATATCCTCCCCATCCTCTGTGGTGCCCTCCGCGGGCAGCTGCCGCCGGATTTCAAGCATCTTGTTCGGATGGTCAAGTGAGTGACGATTTCCTTGCGCCCCTACCTTATTCTTTAATGTGGCATAACTCAAGCTAACACGACTGTCCCCTCAGGCTCTTAGATATAAATCAGCTTTACGATCTGGCGGACGACTTGCTACGTCAACTGCCGGAGTCGATGGAAACCCTACGCGATGGCATTCACGAGCACGTACGCAACACGCTCGCGGCAATTGAGGGCAAAGAGGGGCCAGAAGCATGTAGGGAACTGGCGGCGGAGTTCAGCGAATTCTTCGCCGCGATGATCAAGTGAGTTGATCCACAGTGATCCATCAAGCGCGCAGCTAACATTGAGTATAGGCAACTATTGTCGAGGCAGCTACATGAAGTGGATTTGTCGAGAATCTGGTACACGAACGAAGCACCTTTTCCTTCAGAGGTTCGTCAGGTTTTCGGACTGCAATCATCGCCGGCACTTACATTGCATATATTAGCTCCTCAATCCCAACGTGCGCGCATCTGTCATCTCTGCACTTGTGCAGCCGCACGCTTTCACGGAGGATCCGCCACAAAGAGTCACGAACGACGAAGACGACGAGGAGCCCTTGTGGATGCTCCCTGACACCGCAATAGTGTTCGCGCGCTACCTCGACAGCGGGCGGATGATCAATGTCTACGACTGGTTTGAAGCCTTCCGCGCCGTTCTGGACGCGCAGAGGGAGGAGCGCGCGCAGACGCTAGCCGATGGTGAGGGAGCTGATGGTGCGAAAGGCAAAAGTCCGCGAAAGAATAAGAAGAGGAAGAAAGCTACCGCGGACGATGGAATCGACGAAGAGAGTTGGGCACTTGAGGTGCAGGCACGCTTTGTGCGCGCGCTCCACGAGCTGGATTACATGGGATTCTTGAAGCACACGGGGAGGAAGGCGGACCACGTAGTGAAAATGTCGTTCGATGTGGTCGACGACTAATTCCGATGAGCTTTCGATTTCGAGATGACCTGCTTTGGCGAGCCGGTGTATCTGTCTGCCATATCGTATGCGCTGAAGTTTTTCTACTCGGGGTTGACATGGCTTATGCCCCCAATTTCCTTTCTGCTATTGTTCCCGGCGTGACAAAACGAACCGTCACGCCGGCTACTTGCGGCAGGGCGCGTGCTTCTGCCGCACTTTGCCGCCTTCCCCACGTCCGGCGGCGCGGTGCGTAGGCTTTGTCGGCTTTTTGCTTGTCATCTTCCTCCACCTTTGTCTGAACTTCGTGAGCTGCTGACCGATATCTCTTTCCACTGACCGCTGTTGCTGCCCTCTGACCGCGCTGCAGCTCTCGTCCTACTCGCCTCCGGATCGCTCGTCGTCATGGGTGGTCTCGTGCTGCTATCTGTAATCCTTGCCTCGGCCACGGCGCTTGCAATTGAACAAACCGGTTCGTGGTTCGATTCGTGCGCTGTCTCATTTGTCTGCAGCCGATGTCACCCTCGAGAGGCTCTCGATTGGCTCTCTGTGCCCTCGTTGAACACCAGCAAACCAAGCGATGCCTGCTAGACTTTCGCGATTGATGTGGTGCATGAAGCTCGCCATCGTGATCTAGCTTTGGCTGGCAGGAATTAGGCGATGCTATGTTCGGTCTCTCATCTATGCCCCCTTTCTTATGAACTGCTTGACTCTCATCTTCGCATCTGGCTGACTACCTGGAGGGTGCGATGGCCAAGTTTGCCCTGAATATCTTGAGTAGCACGACAGCGCCACCATGAAGCAGGTGTCGTAGTCACGCACCGTATCCTCTCGTGATAGCGGTCTAAGGTAGGGGAACCGTCTGGATACGGGAGTGCGATGTCGTACTGCTGGTTGGTGGATCTTGTCTTCGTCCCATGACGCACGGAGCATAGCAGAGTAATCGTATCAGGTGCGCCTCGAGCTACGTTGTGCTCCGACTCTCGATAACCCTGCATTCAATGGACGACCTTTAAGGTTCAGTCCTTCATCCTGTAACCGTGGCGCCTCCTGCGACCATGTCATGTCTGGTTCGCAAGCTGCAATTGAGTTCGAAAGAGACGAATGATAAGGCAACCCTCCTGCCGGGACGAGAGACCAACGACATCGATTTCTTGATGCTGGTCTAGTTTTCCAAGCGTGCGATGCATGCCGGAGTAGACTATGTTGGCCGCCAATCAATCACAGGTATTTTTCTACTCACCTCAAGCGAAGAACTAAGGGGGTACGACTGCGAGACCATCGGAAAGAAGGACAGAGTTACGCTTTCAGAATCAGAAGCCCTTGGCTTGCGTACTTGATGCTATGTCTCTGATAATGGGTTCCAAACATAACCCTTTATGGCATAGAAAAGCTCGACCAGAGACTGTCCAAAGACGCTGAACAGAGGAGAATGCGATATCGTTGACCGTGAAGGTTACGGTTGAGTTTAGTTTGGCTCGGCGGGTTGGCTTGCATGACGGCTCGGTTCATCTCCATTTGACGTGTTTCGTTCTTCCGTTCGTTGCTCCCCCCGTATCGTTGACTCTTTCCCCCATCGCTGCCAGCCCTCATACGGGAACGCTGACAATGGGCAGCCTGCTCGACATGGACGTCGACTACGACCGACCACAGTCGCCCTCTGCGGGCGGCTCATCCGCGGCCTATGACGCTGCCGCCCCGAGCGGGTCGGGAGCGCAAAACCTGCCGTGCGGCTCTTCCAGCGCCTTCTGAGTCTATTTCTTATCATCCCTCAGCCAAGTCCGCGCGAGGATCACTGTTGTGTGCGCTGAAGTATGTGTCTGAGTGTTTTCCCCGCATCGCGTAGCAGTGATTGACTGGATTGCAGTGCAAGCGGCTCAAGCTGAAATGCGACCGGAAAATGCCCTGCGGAAGCTGCGTTAAGCGAGAGGCGACATCGAAATGCCAGTACTCTGCCGCTGCAGCAGAGAAAGTGTGCGTAATCGTAGCCATAGGCGATCCACATAGACTGACTTTGACCCCGCACTGCAGTGATCTGCAGTCGCTCAACAATCGACTGGTGCAGCTGGAGCAATATATTGCCATGTCCTCTGGGGGCCAGTTTTCCTCGACATATCCCCTCGCCCAAGTCACAGGTGGGGCCAGCTACGCTCCCCACTCCTGCTCTCATGGGCCTACCCCAACCTCCGCCTCTTTCCCTTTCCCCGCACTGTCGCAACTCCTTCAAGCGAGTGTGGACCCTGTCATCCTTACCTTGCCTACTCGCCCACTATGGACCGACTGGACATGGCCTACCGACATCGCCAATGCGGTTCAATTGCCCCCAGTAGCACACTCGTCCGATGGTGCCCAAGAGGTTTCCACCTCGACTACCGACCCCTTTTCTTGCCATCGTAGCGATATGACTGGTACCACTTCTTCCGCCGTCACCTTCATCAAGCAAGGCGATATCGGAACCGGCAAGCTGCGCGCACCCGCCAACCTCGTCGACGCGCTGCCAGTCTCCGACCTCCTCGAAGCCCTCCCCGCCATCTTCACCACTATGCGATCTTACCTCCCTGGCTTCTTCCACTGCGAGTACGGCCACGCCCGCGTCGTCGAGAATCTCGCGCGGACGGACGACAAGCGCACCGCGGCGAAGCAGAAAGCGAAGGCGCAGCAGATCTTCTTTGGCAACAATCCTGGCCGGCCTGTCACCAAGCCGCCTGGCTTTGCACCGAACGACCCGCTGTTCAGCTCGTTTAGCGCGAACGGGGCGGATGCGTCGCCGAAGAAGAAGGCGGGGCAGGACGATGAGTGGTCATTGTCTTTCTACGCGGCTGCGTGCGCTTTGATGGCGTTGTCGCCAAATCCTGGCGTGGACGGGCTTGACGCCGACTATTGGTACGCGCAGAGCGACCAGGCGTGCCATGCTTGGGAGCAATACTGCGGGACACCTTCGACGAAGGAAGGCAGTAACTATGTTACGTCTCTTCTGGCCCAGCTATCATACTGCTTGACTCGCGCCGACGCGGCTGGCGCTTCGGAAGTGGTACGTGCGAGCGTCGTCTCTTGTCACCTTGGCTAATAGCGCGCCATAGATCCACAAGGCAGCCATGTTTTTCCGCACGCATCACTTGACTGTCGGTGCGAAGGACGAGGTAGCGACGAAGAACACGAAGGATGTAAGAGAGAAGTGGATGAACGATGTCTGGCTCGACATTATCTTTTGGGATGCGTGAGTTGCATTGCTTCTTCGGTCCGAAAGTTACTCACCTCAGGGTAGCTTCGTTTCGGATAAGATGGGACAGCCGCCGCTCATCTCTGAGGGTTGTGTACCGGCCATGGAGAATCGCGAGTCCGAGTCGCCGGACTTTCTTGTGCAGCGCTTCCGGTACGCCATTCTCTTCGTCGCTGGCTTTTAGCGTGCTCACACACAACAGACTTGCATCCATCGTCCGTCTGACCAAGACTAGATACTGGACGCTGGACGCCCTCGAGGCCGAACTTGCCCAGTTTGTAACGTCCGTCGCGGAGGTATCCTTGGACTCCTTCCTACCGTCTACCTCAAGCAACGCAGCAAAGAAGAAGAGGGCCCGCAATTTGCCTGACATACTGGGCGATCCCGACAAACGCGAGGAAGAGCTTCACATCCAGAAGATGGATCTCGTCCTCGCCGCCTGGCAGACGCTGCTTGCCGCGTACGTTCCGACGCTGCAGCACGACCATCGCATGGCGAATCCGAAGTGGGGCGGCATGGTGCACGCTGCACACCGTGTTGTAAAGGCTGCGACCGAGCTCCTGTCGTATATGCTCTCGGGCCCCAGCTCGTCGACCAAGCACTGCGTGCCCATTGCTGTTGGCGCCGGGTCCGCGACCTCATGCAGCTTCGCTCCACTCGCCGCCATGTACCCTTTGCAACACACGCTCTTCTCGGCTGCTTTGGTTTGCGGCTACGGCGCGTTGAAGCAGCCCAACACCGTGTGGGCGTCAGGCGCAAGCGAGGGCGTCCGCGATGCCCATGGGGCCTTCTCGTCGCCCGTCATACTGAAGCTTGGGGATGCGATTGGGGAGTCTTTAGGCCAGCGGGAGGCGCTGCAGATCCTGGATGTCATTCTCTCCAAGCTGCACGCCTCGTCTTCGGGCAGTCGAAAGCGCAAGCACGACGAGTACATGGGCGCTGCGGCGGATGATGCTCAACCGCTGGCGAGTGGAAACGATGCATCGGCGGAAGACGGCGCTCAGCAGTCCGCGGCACCTCTGTCGGAGCGCCTGGCGCGGATGGGCGAGGCGGCAAAGGAGAAGAACGGCGAGCGGCCGGAAAAGAAGAAGAAGCGGGTACTGTATCCCATCATCGGGATCCGCGTGCGCGCTGGGAGTGCGAGCAGGTCGACGGATGCGTCGGAGGTGACTGCAAGTCAGTCGGCGCCTACCTATGCTATGGATCTGCCTGCAGAGGCCACACCTTCGGTTGCTCAGCAGGCGTCGGCATCTTCCTCTCAGCAAGCGCCGTCGCTCGAGAGCCTCGCACACGCATTCGAGGAGCTGCCTCAGAATCCGACTGCGTCGCCCGTCATGCCCGCCTACTTTGGCGAGCGACCGGTGTCGTCGTCGTCACTGCAGTTTGACGCGCGCGCCATCGTCGACCCTTCGCAGTTCGATCCGTACGACCAGCAGCAGCAGAGGATGGCCAGAGGCAGCACGATGCCTTCGCCGTACGTCGATAACATGTCGGGCACATCGCAAAATGTGGGCGTTCCCCATTCAAACGCCTTCGGAGATGCGTCTCAAGGGCAGCGCTCACGACGTCCTTCCGTTTCGTCGACATACAACGCTGGCTCGTACGACGCCCAATCGCGTGCGCCGTATGAGGTGGGTCACCGGTCGTCGTCGTATGAGACCTCGCGTGCTTCGTACGAGCCCTCCTTCGGCTCACTCGTCGGATCGACGTCCGCAGTAACTTCGCCTTACGCGTCGACGGGCAGCAGTGGCAGTGTTGATGGCAATTCAGGCTCTGGGTCGTCGAGTAGCGCCACGCAGATGCCTCCGCTCCAGGTCCCCGCACTTCCCTCGCCGTATGGTCAACCCCTTCCACCTGTACCGCCGCCGCAACAACCGCAGCAGTACTATGACGCTCTGCCGGCGCCCTCGGCCTATCAGTCCCAGCAACAGGCACAGCAGCCACAAACCCAGCAGTCGCAGCAAGCGCTCCAGCAGACTTACGCGCCGGCGACATTCGACCCTGCGCCGTATTACCAAGGCCAATCGGCGTCGTATCAAGGCAGTCAAGCGAGCGGATCGTATAACGGAGCTCAGGCGAGTGGGTCGGGTGGCTACGACGTGAAGCCGACGACGGCAATGTTGGATGCGCAGGCAAGGTCGGAGGGGTACGCCTCGCAGCCGCGAGCGGAAGCGTACGGCTCGCAGTCGCGACAGGATGCGTACAGCGCGGCTCGCTATGATGGGCCTCAGACGGACTCCAGCTCTGTGTACGGCGATCGCGGTTCTGCGTATGATGACCGTGGATGGCTGCCCCCTCCCCGAACTGCCCACCAACAACAGTCGCATCAACAACCTCAGCATCGTCCGCCCCCACCCTCGCATCACCAGCCACCACAGCATCCACAGCCTCCGGATCAGTACTGGAATGGCGGGTACTCATATAACGGGTAGTCCACTCGCCGTTTCCTGTCTTCCGCCTGCTCGTTGTCGTTGTACTTTGTCCGTTGTGTCGCCTCGCTTTCGCCTCGTCCTTATGTCCTCTTCGTTATCGTTTGCATCTCCAATGTCCGCTCTGTACATTTCATGATACCCAGTCTATCTCCCCTTCCGCGTCTTTATAGCGTACACTTCCCTACTCTATGCCTTCTACCCGCGAGGTGCCGGCCCCTGCCCTTCGTTCGCACCCGCGCGATGTATTGTGTAGTTTACGTCGATCTATGTCTGACTTTATTCTGTTTTTGCCTCGCTCTGTTTGAACTTGTCCTTTCCTCGCCATTTTTCGACGCTTGCGTACTTTCTACCGGACATCGCCCGTGGTGTGGAAAACGATCACTACACTTCCAGAGCGAGACAGTAATTCTATTGTCGGCGTGCTCGCGCGTCCACATATGGAATACAAAGCAAGTCCGATACCCTACAATGCACGAAGTGCATCCAGAAAGGCTGATATGTAGGGGATATGAAGGTGCAGTCGTGTGTACTTGGGGGAAGATGTGCGTAGAAGATACAAAGTCTATGTGTCCAAAAAGTGCAAGGTTGGGTGATATCGTGAGTGCAGCGTTTGACGGTGCCCGCTACTAAAGCTTGGCCTGCACGAAGACAAGGACCGCGGCGAGCCCCATGAGGAAAACGCAGGCGACCCAGCTGCCCACGAGCAATCCACGGCGCACGGGGCCTTGCCTCTGCGAGACGACGTGCATAATCCATGGTGAGCGCGAAGGGGTGATGTACTGCTGCTGCCGGCTCTGCGGATGCTTCTCATCGGGATAGGCGGACGCCGAATATGACGGGGCCGGTGGGTAGGCGGGTGAAATCGACGCCTCGAGGTCATTCGGTGGATACGTGCATGCAATGACGGTGGGCGCTGCGTTCGGATGGGGTGCGCTGCTACTGCAGTCGGCGAGGTCAATGACCTTGAAGCCGTCGAAGGGTTCGGAGCCCTTGCGGGAGGCGGGGCCGGGGAGTGTTCCTCGCGGGGAGTAAGGGGGAAGAAGCGTCCCCTTGCGCTCCCGGCGTGGCGATGGCGCCTGGTATTGCTGGCTTTCGAGGTCGCGATCCTCGGTGGCGGAGATGAGGACGAGGCGCGGGGCGGTGGCGAAGGTGGTCATGCTGCTGAGGCGGGGCTGCTTGAGTGAGTGCGCGAGAGCAGGTGATGGTCGCGGTCAGGGAAGAGGGAGGTGTTAGGTCAGTCCGCCATATATCCCGCCCATGTCTTAGAGCCGCCGGAAGTGCGGTGTGTCTCGCTTATGCGATAGTGCGCGTAATTGGCAGGGGACTGCACTTAAAGTGGGAGGGTCTGACAGCGGGTACCTGAGATACTGCTGTCTTGATTTGGGAAATTTTAGGGCAGCGAGCCAAGAGGCGAAATCGAGGACATGATGAGCGCAGAGTTCAACTTTGATCGTGATGCGGGGCGGACGAAAACATGGTGATCGTGGGAAACGTGAGCACTGCACGTGCCGCGTCGTGGCACCGGCTCTCGGACCGCCCCAACCGGCGAAGCCCCAGCTCGCGTTCCGCGACGCGCCTTATTCCCTTCTCGTCACAAACCCTCATCGTTCCCCGACGCCTCCAGGTCATAAGCACTATACCCTCGCAGCGGCAACCTCGAACAATTTCCCCTCACCATGTTTTCCGAGGAACTCAAAGCGTTCCGCAGGCTGGGTATCCGCCACGTATGTCCCCTGGACGCCACGCCACCTCTAGCCTCATCCCCTTCCTAGCTGCTTCTACAAGCACTCAACTTTGCATCCGTCATAGCGTCAGGGCTTATGATGTGGAAGGGTCTGGGGGTGATCACGAACACTGAGTCGCCGATTGTCGTGGTTTTGAGGTGCGCGCCTACGTCCTGCATTATTCCCCCAACTGATATATAATCTGCATCGTAGTGGCTCTATGGAACCTGCGTTCTACCGAGGCGACCTGCTTTTCTTGACGAACCCCTCTGGCGTACGATTCCATACTGGTGACATCACGGTCTACAAGGTCCCGAACGGCGACATCCCCATCGTGCACCGCGTGTTGGAAACGCATGAGATCGCGCCGAACGCAACCTTCGTACCGCACAAATACAACAGGGCGTACGTATTATTCAAGCCTTGCCATCGGGAAGCATGACCTGACCGCTATCACAGATTGAAGACGCCAGAAGATCAACTACTGCTCACCAAAGGCGATAACAACCCCATCGACGACACCGGTCTCTATACCCAGGGCATGGACTGGCTGGAGCGAAAACACATCGTTGGGAAGGTTCGCGGGTGAGTGGTGCGCTTCGTCTTCTAATTGCCCCGTACTTAAGGCACTCGCTGCAGGTTCGTGCCGTACGTTGGCTACGCCACAATTGCCATGGTAAGCGCTCAAGGGGTACTTGTTTTTCTACCTGGCTGACGGTTTGCAGAACGACTTTCCACAACTGAAATACGGGTTATTGGGCATCTTGGGGCTGATGGCCTTGATACAACGAGAGTAGACATTGCCTATTTCTTGTAAGGGCATTGGGTGTCAGTACTGTAATATCATTATTCTTGTCGTTTTTGCGAGTCTTGCACGTCATCTTGAAGCACTTTGCCTGACAGCTTTGGCACTCACACTCAGTTGCAAAAGAGTTCGAGGAGGCCGAGCATCCCTTGGTATTAGTGGTGGTTCCCCGGCATACTAGTACGCCTCATTGATCCTCCTCCGCTGCCTCCCTCTCCTCCGCCTCCGCCATCCGTACCCTTGCCTCCTCCACATGTCTCTGCATCAGTGTAACCACCCGCTGCATGTTCTGGCTATACCGCGCAGATACAGGCACCACATCCATAGCAGGAGAAAACTCGGACTTCACGTAGTCCTCTAAGCGCTGGAGTTTGGCCTTGGCCTCTTCAATAGCTTTGGCCCTTGCTTCTGCGTCGACATGTGCCTCGCCGTCCGCGCCCTCAGCCTCAGCACCGCCGAGCAGGTCGGCCTTGTTCGCGATGACCATGCACGCCTTCTCGCTGAGCATTGGCTGGTACTTCTCGAGCTCGTCGCGCAGGACGGACAGTTCCTTCTGCGGGTCCTCACCGGACAGGTCGACCACGTAGACGAGGGCGAGCGAGCGCTCCATGGACTTGAGGAACGAGTGTCCTAAGCCAACGTTCTCGGACGCGCGCTCGATGAGGCCGGGGTTGTCAGCGACGGTGAAGCGGAATCGCTCGACCAGGTCGAAGTGGTGCCCTGCGCGTAGTTGGTCCTCCGCGGCGGCGCGGTTGCGTGTCTCCATGAAGGCGAAGTCGCCGCGCTCCATGGCTTCCCGCTCCTCCAGCTCCTCGAGCGCAGTGTCGGTGAACTCGTGCACGGAGGAAAGGCTGCCCTCGAACGTGCCGTCGCCTGCGACGCGCACGACACCGACGACGGGGTTGAGCGTGGTGAACGCGTAGCCAGCGACCTCGGTCTTAACGCGTCCGCCGGTAAGTGCGCGCAGAAGTGTGCTCTTGCCGGCGTTGGGGAAGCCGACAAGCCCAATGTCGGCGACGAGCTTGAGCTCCAAAGCGAGGGTGACGCGCTCGCCAGGGCGCCCCCGCGTGGCGTACTTGGGCGACCTATTGTTCTCCCCAAGGAAGTGGGGGTTGCCTAAACCACCAGGGCCGCCAGTAGCGACAAGCACGCCCATGGGCTCGTGCTTACGCACACCGAGCGGCGCGTCCACATCCTCCTCCTTCGTGAACTCCCGATCCAGGTCGAGCTGTATTGGCGCCTCCAACTGCCGCCGCCTCCTCGCAAACTTCCTCTCCCTCTCCTGCTCGTACAGCATCGCCTCCGCATCCACAAACGCGTCCCTTTCCATATTCTCCTGCGTGTACGCCGGATAGTGCACCCACCGCGCTTCGCGCATCTTCTCCCTTCGATCAATCGGTGCCAGCCCCTTCAGCCGCGCCTCCTCGTCCTCCCATTCGTCCGGCACATAGTACGGCTCGCCGCGCGTGACTTCGCGCACGACGGTGCCGAGGGGGACGCGGATAACGAGGGGGCGCCCGTTGCGGCCGTTGAGCCAGGAGCCGCCGCCGTGGCCACCAGGCTCGGCGGAAGCGGTGCGCGGGACGGAGGAGAGGGAGGTGAGGTGGCGAGTGGGCATGATGTAGACGTCGCCGCCGCGGCCGCCGTCGCCACCAGAGGGGGGACCGAAGGGCTTGTACTTTTCGCGGTGGAAGGCGACGCCACCGTCACCGCCGTGACCTATAGGGTGTTAAGACAGAATGGTGGATTGTAGGTGGGGAACGCACCTCCGCGAACTTGCAGGACCATGTTGTCGAGGAAGTGCGAGCCCTGTGTGGTTCATAAGCAGCAATCGCGTTGTCTGGCGACGCGCACGCACCTTCTGCTGTCTCTTCCATTCCGTCTTGCGCTTGCGCTGGATATCCTGCCATTCCTCCTCCTTCGTCTTCGCCGCATTGCTGAAGAAGCGTTGCAGAGAAAGGAACGCGCGCTTGCGGCAGAGGAGTGCGGGTGAGAGCGCCGTCATGAGCGCCTCGTTGGTCGACTGGCACCTGATTCCCAGAAGGTCGCGCGCTAATTTCCGTGTAGTCAAGAGCGTGGGCTTAGTAGGCAGGACGCTGGTGCGTCGAGGATGAGGAGCAGGAGCAGAAGCAGGACAACTTCGCGATCGGGATCGAAGGTGATCGGGCCGTGGCGGGCCGGCGGGCGCTTGCTGCATGCGCCTAGCCATCTTGTCTTCTCCCATCATCTACATCTCCCGCTTGCGCTCATGCCAGTACCATGAACATGCTGTTTTCTACCTCTTTATCTCGATCGTTCAACATGCCTCAAGTCACTTCTGAACGTGACAAAAGTGAGCTCTCCTGCACTGAAGGGTACGTCCACTGATCAGTAATTTGGACTTCTTATCCGTACCTTACAGCTCATCTCACTGCTTTTGCATCGTCTTTTCGAATATTGGAAGCTCGTAACCACAACCTGTGAGTGTTTTCGCTCAGAAGCTGGATCGAATTTCGACGCGGTCAGTTCCGCTGCACTTCCGCATAGCGCGGACCGGGCAGCCGGTGTTATTATGCCCAAAAAGGTATATAGTCAGCGCTGCTTGTTCCTGGCCGCCATCACCTTCTCCTCGCGTCCCATCTTTCAACATCCCTCGGACCTTCTCGAAGGGCTACGGCCAGTATCTCTTGTTCTGAAAGCGCCGTCCGTGAACGTACGCCCCAATCGTGCCTGAGAAAATGGCTTGTATGCGCCTCACAGACTAGTCTTGCCCCACTGTGCTCACATATAGCAGCTTTGCATCATAACAGAAAACCAGATTCGGAGGAGACGATGTCGTCCGACTATTTGGCCTCCTCTCCGTCTTTGCCCTCATCTCCGACAATCGCGCCTTCGTCGCCGACTACGGTCGTTCCATCTTCTCCGGAGCCATGTCAGTATCTTGATACCAGTATGCTCCGCCAACACATTTTCTGACATACCTCACAACAGACTGGGCCAGGGTGAAGCTTGAGACTGCCGTGGAAGCTGCTAGCTGGCGGCGCGCGTCTGCCGCAGGTAAAATAAATAAGATTGTGCGCATATAGTCACTCATAATGGCTCTCGTAGCGTCCCGAGTGCCGTCTTCCTTCTACACGGACATACTCGGGGCCCCTCGCACGTTTCTCTACTTCAACAACCCGCCCGCAACCGCCCCTTCTACCCTTGCATCCGCCTCAAACCTCCGCTCCTCCGCCGACTCGGACCTTCTCTTCAAGTCGTCCCCGCCTTCCACCCCGTCCCCGCTGCCTTCCGATCAGCAATCTCCTAAGAGATACACCTACACCCATCTGCCCCCATTCATCGCGCACCAACTTGCCGTAATCTGGGCCGCCGACCGGCGCCTTCCGACGCCCGAATCTCGGAAGCGCTGGGCACTTGCTCGCGACGTCGACCCGGTACGCGTTCACAACTGGTGGTACAGGAGGAAGAAGGTGGCGAAGGGCTTGGGCGTCGTGATTCCTGAAGGCAATTACGAGCTTGGAATGGGAGATCCGGCGAAGGAGAAGGAGCGGTGGGAGAAGGAGAGGGAAGAGGCATTATTGAGGATAGAGAGATTGAGGCAAGAGAGGGAGGAACAGGCGAAAAGGGAGCGGGAAGAGAAGGAGGCGAGGGACAGGCAGGAGAGGGCAGCGAGGGAAGAAGAGGAAAGAAAGGAACGGGAGGAGGCGGAGGCCACAGAGGCGCAAGCGCGGCTGAGGGCTCAAGGAAAAGAGAATCTGAAGGGTGGGAAGAAGAAGACGAGGGCACCGACGGAGGATGCGGCTGATAGCCCCGCGCGGAAGAGGGTGAAGACCGTGCAGCGCAAGGACTCGACAATGATCATGCGCAGAGACTCGGCGGCCAGCGCGCGCAAGGCGTCCCTGCGCCCACCCAAGATCGCCACCTCACTTCGTTCGACGCATTCCAGGACCGCGGCCGCTGCTTCAGCAACGGCCACGACCGCTCCTCCAACGAAGTCCAAGGTCGCCCCTCCCCAGCCGCGTCCTCACATGCGTCTCACGCGGCGGAATCGGCCTGAGGAATGGCAGGAATGGGTGGATGGTGATGGACGCTCCAAGGATGAGGCAGAGGATGAAGATGCGCTGATCGCAGAGCCGCCTGCGCCGATAGAATGCGAGCAGGAGAACTGCGACGATTTGGCCGCGTCGGGCATCGTTCTCAATCCGGAACTTCCTGCGCTTGACGACGACCTGGTGCCCCCAACATGTACTGGGTTTACGACGAACGACATGTCTCGACCTGTGTCGCGGGACCGCCCGCACTTTGTTTGCGCTGTCTGCGCCGAACCTGCTCCTCCGAATCTCCTTGACTTCGACCCCCTGCTTGACTATGCTGGCTTCTCCTCGCTCGGCGACATTGACTGCGACACCCTACTCAGCAATACTGACTCCGGCATGCTGCTCGCCGATACAGACCCTGATGCGTTTCTTGGAGAGGCAGTCTTGGATGCATCCCTCATCCTCCTCAACGAGATGCTCGATGATCCTACGCACTGCGACGAAATTACTCCTCCGGGAGACATCGTTACCATCGCTGATAGGTCACTCGCTCACGCCAACGCCTATGGCACTGATACTGCGCATAATTCTTGGTCTGCCTTTGACACCCGGTCTGCTTGTATCTCTCTCCGTCAATCCTGGATCTCCGGCCCTACGATATCCTACGACCTGACGGACGCCGACTTTTCTGCGCCTGCCTTCGCCATGAATGCTCTCCCTCTCACGCGCCTCGACGAAGCCTATCCGCCCAACCACGCCTACATCCACTTTGACGGTGTCGCCTATACCCGCGACGGTTTTCGCGTTGCTCCTCTTCTCGCAGTCGTCGACCACTACGCCTCCTGCTCTCCGATTCCGATGGACGTGTCTTCGCCCGCCAGCATATTCTCCTTCGTGTCATCCGACCCATGCAGGCTTGATCCCGCGACTGTCTACCCGTCAAGCCCTGCATCTTCGCGCTCATCTAGTCCGTCCAGCTCGTGCCGGTCAAGCCCGGCTGCTTCGCGCTCATCAAGTCCGACTCCCTCGCGCCTCATTAGACCCACCGCTATTGCCTCGCCCGTAGCTCGCTCTGCCATCCCATCGTCGAAGTCTGCTCGCGCCAGGATTCTGACAGAATTCACGAACACCGCCAGCTCTATGGCCAACGCTCCTGCCGACTCTTCACCTCAGTCGACTGCTCCACTCGACTTTGGCACCGTCAAGCTGCATCCGAACCTGAAGAAGTCCTCGTCCTCGATCGTCTCACGCCCGTTGCCTCCCGCGCACCCTTCGCTATTTTCTGGGTCACTGCCCAAATGTCGCTCGCTGCCTATTCGGGCTCCTCTGCGTACCATCGAGATTATCGACGCAGTGATTGAGTCTCCGCGTGCTATGGTCGAGCCGCTACGCGACATACAGGCGCCCCGACCCACCCGTCCATACCGAGGTGTGCGTCGTCTGGAGGCTCAAGCGATGGACTATCAAGGGGTGTCTACTGCGACACCTTCCACACTATCGTCAACGGTGCTATCGCTGTCCTCTTCACAAGCGCCAACGACATCCTCCTCGCTAGCGCCTCGCATGTCGTGGCTACTGGACGCCGCGGTACAGGCGCTGACTGCATCGCGCTAGATATCATCTTCTTTCGTTCCTGTTGTTTTTACTCTAAGCTCTGCTCCGACGCCCATCTGCTCCTTTCGTTATGCTTCTGCTTGTCTTCTTTCGCTCGCGCTCGCTGCTCTGCTGTTACTCATATTCGTTACTCTGCTGTCTGCGCTCGTCGTATTGCTGTCGCTTGCCTTCGATTGATTGTATGCTACTCTTGCACCGCCCTTTGCAACGTTGCCTTGCCGTCCACCTCACTCGCTTAAATTTTCTGTCTTTGCCTTCGTAGACTACTGTATCGTTGTGGACCTGCCATTTCCATCCTACTTGTGATGTACCCGCTCGTCGTCCTCACAACCTAAAAATTGTGAGAGAAAAGAAAGCATAGACCCAAGAGGGTCTAGTATAACCAAAGATTCCAACGCAGCCTTGGGCGAGGCACTCTCCCGGATGCCCCTAGTAAAAGGCGAGGGGCATGTTGGATGAAGAGTACCTCAGCTGCTGGTATGGCTATAGGCATGCACGAAGTCATTGACTGAATTTTGGAGTTTAATTCTGGCCGGAGGGTAGGTTGCGGGCGCTGCCGAGCTGGCTGCTTGATTTTCGCAAGGGACCCGCTTGTCCAAAGCAAGAAGGGGAGGAAGGCAAGGGAATTGTCTAAACTCAATTGCAACTTTGTGCATCGAAGAAAAGTTTTCCGGCATGTCCGGTTCCGACAAAAGGATGAGTTCGCGTCCTTGTCCGTCGGGTCGTCGATGAGCAGTGGTCTTCGAGTCAGATAACTATCCGGAGTAGTACTATAGATACACACAAAGGAACTGAAGGGCAGGGTCCTGTCCTTCGCAGGTCAGGGATGGGACATAGGTAGATAGGGTCGTGACGAGGGAAAATGGTCGACCGTGTCTGGTGGGCAGACGATACACGGGGGCTCAACGCGTCTACCACACTTTCCACCAATATCCTGTCTTCCCGCTTTCGCTTGATGTTGAACCTATATGGTTGAGTGGTGATCAGCATTGGTTGCAAAGGTAGACTAACCCTACGCCTCGATCGACTACGGCCCGCTCCAGCCACGCGTCCTCCTACTCCTGCGCGTCCTCCTTCTCCTGCCACCGCGCCTCATCATCACCTGCAGGATACGAGATCCATCACGCGCGAGAGCGTGTCGATAGCCCTGGCTCGAAAGGGAGAGCGCTCTACTCACCACCCACACCCGCCGCCGCGTTCCGCTGGATCGTGTCCACGCGCTCGTTCTCCTCGGCCTCCGCGAGCCGCTGTGCGAACTTGCGGCGCTCTTCAAGGCGCTTCTCCTCTGATACGGACGCAATGTAGCGATCTTGTTCTTCGCTGGGGTGTATGAACGGGTTGGAGGAAGGGCGGATGAACGAGGTCGTGAATTAGGTGGTATGGGGAGGAAGAAAAGGGAGAAGGTAGATGATCGGGAGTCAAACATAACGAAGGAAAGGGCAGCAGGAATGAAAGGGAGTTTAGCAAGGAAGGGGAGTGCGAAGGTAGTCAGGTCGCGGCAGCAATAGGGGATGCACGATCGAAGGTCGGCAAGGGTCAAGTGCGGCGGTCAGGTCGAGTGCGGTGTGGTCAAGCGAGCGTTTGAGCGGGCGATGTCGGGTGTCGAAGCATCGTGCGCGGAGCGTGGATGTCCCGAGTGGTGTGCGGTGGCATTCAGAAGCGGTGGTTTGCGGTTCGCGATTTATTAATTCGGAATTGTGAGGGAGAGTGGGCGACGAGGAGGACGGAGTGAGTACGACGCAAGGACAAGCAGGGGTGAGACAGGAGGTACGAGAAGGAGGGATGTAGCGAGATGAGAGCATTGATCAGCAGGGGAGTCTAAGGTATGCAGACGAATTACTTACGCTGCCTTCTTCACGTTCTTGACTGTGTAGGAGCCCGCGCCCTGCACGAGCGCAAAGATGGTAATACCCTGGAGCACTACACGCCAGCGCAGCCAGTAGTTGAGCTTCGAGTGCTCGCCTGAGGGGCCGTGAGGATCAGTGGGAGACGGGAAGGGGAACTTGCTTACCTCGCTTGAATTGTACGCTAGCCATGGTGAAGGCGCCAGCCGTTGCTAAACAGCCTGTAGACACTGATGAGCACAATCGACGACCCGGATGAGCACCCCACGCACCGAGAACGACCCCCGGATTCTGCTTGAACTTGCGGACTGCCTTCTCTGTCCATGTCTCCTGCTCCTCCTCGGGGAGCGGCCAGGCGGCGACAATGGGGCGCTCGTTGGCGCCGACGTCGATCTCGGGAGGGGCAGACATGATGTCTCGATGGTGGTGGTGGACGGAGAGAAGGAGTGGATGGCGCACCGACGCCGCCCGGACGAAATCCGAATGCGAGAGCCAGACCGCGCGCCGCAATCGACGGCGCCGGGCCGCGCGCTCTGACGTCACGCGCCGCGCATCGTCCCCGCCTCCCCTCAGCGCCAATCAAACGTCCCTCACCTCCTACCACCATGTCGGACGACCTTCCCATCGACTTCTCGCACCCCGCCGTGCGCGACTACCTCGCCCTCGTGCGGCTGCAGGTGCTCACGCCGCTCTCCCTCCTTATCAACGTCGCCACGGTCATCATCTGCGCATTCGTCGTCACCCCATCGTTGTCCACCATATCGAGGGAGTACCCGACTGCGATCTCTCCTAGGCCTGCGGTCATTGCGGTCTACTTTGCCGCGCTCTATGTAGGGCAGATTGGCTACTGTGTGCTGCTCGTCCTCGCGCGCAAGCCCGAGACGAAAGCGACGCTCATCAAGGGCGTCGGATTCCCGCTCGTCCTCGCAAACTGGATCATGGCATTCTGGGCGATATCCTGGGTGCGTCTCTCCCTCTTTCTCTTCTGCTCACTGCTCCCTCGCTCCCGCTCAACCCCCGCACCTCGGGCTAACCTCCCCCAGGTGCTCCGCGCCTTCATCGCGGCGACCGTCTTCCAAGGCCTGCTCATCCTACTCCTCCTCTACTCCAACATCAACCTTCTCGTCTACCACGCCCCCACTACCCGCCGCCCGCTCGACATCGCCCTCATCCACGCCCCCGTTCGCTTCTTCCTGGTCTGGCCCCTGATGCTCATGTTCGCCGAGTCGCTCTTCCTCGCGCTTGGCATGTACAAGCCGAGCGCGCCGTATGGGTGGCCGCAGCCGGAACTACCCGCGCGCTATATCTGGCCGGCGTTTGGCGTCGTAGTGGGCACGAATGTCATCGGGCTGCTTGTTGTCGTTCTGAGGAGAGGTTCGTTTGGCGACGTAATTTCCGATAACTTTGACAGACAATGCTAATCCTTCTACAGACATCGTCTGGGCCGTCGCCTCCACCTGGCTCTGCGTCTCCCTCTGGGCTGAGCCTGGCAAGCCCGAGGCTATCCAGATCCCCGCCATCCTCTTCACCGTGCTCCACCCGCTCGCGCTCGTCCTCGCGTACGTGCACTACTATTTCTTCAGCGGTGGCCGCGTGAGGCTCGAGGGCGAGGAGTCGCCGCTGCTCGAACAGGAGCGGAGGGAGCGGAGGCGTAGTGGGAATGGGAATGGCGGACATAGACAGGAAGGGAGTGGGGAGAATGGGGAGGGAAGGGGCCCCAGGGAGGTGGATGCGCAGGCGGTGTGGGGGTAAGGGCACTGGAAATGAGCTCAAGGATAAGTCTGCGCGGTAAATTGACGAATACTGCCAGCACACTCTTCGAAAATTACGCGGTTCTGTATGTTTCTTACGTCTGCTTGTTTGGTCTTCGAATGTACTCACCATACCGCATGTACGCGTCTGTACTCCAGTTCACCGTGTATATATACAGTGCTATTGCTACTCATCAAGATCCTCTGTCGACTCTCGTACGATCTCACTCGATGGTCAATCCACCCGAATTTGCGAGTACTCACAGGTACGGCCATGTTGATAAACACCCACCTTCATCTACTGTACACGCCTTCCGCCTACATAAACACTTGAAGTTGTGGGTCCATCCCACGTGGCCCAGTGATCGGCCCCGATAGGCGCTCGTCCTCTTCCCCTCATCACCCTACGACCAACCTCATCACCTTACCACCATGGCCGCTCCTGCTACAGTGACCGTCGATGTCGAGTTCTCCGGCGGCCTTGAACTGCTTTTTGGGAATGTCAGGCGACATAGAGTAACGTTACCGGCATCGAAGCCTGATTCGGAGGGTGCAGCGAAGTCTACCCCGGACAGTGCATCATCGCCAACCGCGAACGCTTCATCGTCCCCCGCGGATGTCGAATTCCTGATCGACTACCTCGCAAGAAACTTGCTGAAGGAGCGCGTAGAGCTCTTTGTGGAGAATGGGTCGGTGTGAGTGGTGTGCAACATGGTGTGAGAGGACGCGCGCTGATGCAGGCTCGTCCTCCACGAACCTGCGTCTTTTCACGCAAATCTCTACATCCCCCACCCCCTCATCTCAAATACCCTGACGTCTCAATTACCCTGACTTCTCGAATACCCTGGCGTCTCAAATTACCCTGGCGTCGCAAATACCCTGGCGTCTCCCTGCATGCATCCCCTCCCTCAGCCGCCCTGGCATCCTCGTGCTCATCAACAACACCGATTGGGAGCTTGAGGGGGAGGGGGAATATGTGCTGCAGCCAAACGACGAGATCGTGTTCATCAGTACGCTACATGGGGGCTAGGAAGTGACGAGGATGCAGAAGTCTCAAGGCTTTGAGCACTGAGAAATTGTCTCGCATGTAAAGCTTGCACGCAGCCTCCGCGAGGCACGCGTGCTCACAGGGCTCGACATAGGTGGTGAGTGAATCTACGTATCACACTGCAGGCCACGCTGAATCGTTCGCGCAGGCATGTCACGCTGGAGCATGGTTCACGCCAGATCACGCATACGTGCCTGTATATTGGATGACCTGGGCAGCTTATGGGCAGAATAATAGTACAATGAAACCAGGTATTCAGCTCGAAAGGCCAGCAAAACCTCCTTCGACTTTCCAACTCGCGGTCCTTCGCTTCCACTTCATCCGACACTTCTGAACCCTTCACATCTGCTGGATCACCTGCCCCCCACGCAGACGTTCGATCTGACTCTGCGGCACGCCAAAGCGCTCCCAGAACACCGCCATAGCCTCCTTCGACACCTTCTTACCGATACCTAACCCCGTCGTAAGCGAGACGTAGGCCCCGTCGCCGGAGTAATCGATCGCCTCGCAGGCGCTGTTGACTTCGGCTGTGCTGCCCGATTGGTAGGCGATGCTGGGTGAGAGTGAGTAAGTGGGTTATCTGAGGCAGGTAGGATAGGTGATGGTGGCGATCAGGGTGAGGGTGGCGATCATGGCGAGGACAGTGGTGACTTGTGAGGGATTTCGAAGAGGCGATGGGCGTCGATCGTAAGCAGGATTGAGCAGGTAAGTTCGCGCGCTTGCTGTATGAAGCTCGGATTTTCGTGACTTACCGACTGTCACAGACCGAGAAGAAGTACCCGATAGCTGGGTCGGAGCCGTACGCGACCTCAGTGCTTCCCTGTCTGAACTCGCAGCGGACCATGTTGACGGGTACCGGTATGTGCTTCTTGGGTGGGTGTACTAGGAAGGAAAGGTGCGAATCAGCTACGGCTGACTCTGCAATCAGATGAGGCGCTCCTCCGCCGCGCCGCATTAGGAGCATTTGGATATGTTCGCGTTGCCTGTAAGGCTGTACACGTTCGCCCTGACGATGCGCTACAGATGCAAGCACGCTATCCGCCATATGAGCCTCGACGTTAGATTCCTTCCCTGCAAGAGGATAAGGCTGCTAAGCGCGTCCTAGCTGAGACCTCGAGCGTCCTGCGACTCTGACGGCAACCAGACTTCACTCTGCTCACGACACGGCATGACTCGAATCTTTCTAGAGCCGAGTGCGACAGCTTCGACGACGTGCCCTGTTTGTTCACAACGCGTCTCGAAGTCGACGAAGTCAACCTGCAAAAGCTTGATCACCTCAAGGAACCTTGCGCTCGTATTCTGGCGGAACACCACGGTGCTGGCGCTGCGAAAGCCTCCTCTGACGAGGCTGGAGGACTTCAACCTACGCTTGTCCTGTCTCGCCGCGCTCGCGTCATGATTACGCGTAATCTCTGGCAGGAGAAAGGTAGACTGTTTGCTATGCATGCGTAATTGACCTCGTTTCTATGTGCTACAACGCAGGGCTCGTCAACGCGACCACTGGACACGTCGAAGACATAATCTGGCTGCCTGGCTCCGAACGATCCTCTCTACCCGTCGCTGTTCTCGTCTCGTGTCCGACCTACACCGGTTCTTCGCTATGGAAGACTGAAGCTCGTCCTGGATTCCCCAATGGCGTTCCTGTATTGCCTATCGCACCCGTCACGTCAACATTCGATCTACAAGGTCACCCAGTATCACGCAAACAGATTCCCCTGCGCCTTGCTTGGGCAGTCACGATCCACAAGTCTCAAGGTCTTACGATGTCTCGCGTTAAGCTCTCCCTCGGCGCGAAGGAATTCTCGTCTGGTCTCACCTTTGTCGCCCTCTCTCGCATCAAGTCCCTCGACGGGCTTCTTCTGACCGGCAAACTCGACTATTCTCGTGTCAAGAACCTCGGCGGAGCGCAGATCAAGCAACGACAAGAGGATTGGAAGCGCCGTTATGGCACGGGTGGGTCTTCATTGTCGAGCGAATTTATATAGAGCTCGACTTTTCACAGATATTGCGCCGGTGGGAGGTAATGAACGAGAGGAGACAGAGTAGTTTTGAGTTCAGCCGCTAATGCAATTCAATGAGCCCAACGCGTGTGTTTACCTGAGTTGTGGTCAGTGTTGCTCGCTTGGTCACAGCGAGCACCTCGTGGCTTGCCACCCTCCTATGTTTATTCTACCCGGCTTTGACTTTGCCCTGAGATACGGCCTCTCTTGCGCGTTCGTCGGTCGATGGAGCCCAGCACCGGTGTCCTGATTCATGTCCTATCGCAATGCCTTGAATACGCGCTGGCGGGTTCGTACCAGGCGCTTACACTGGTCAACACTTTCCTCGGCTAGGATGGCGTCCCTCCGCGGCAAGACTTAGTCCTCTGTCTCGGATGGGTATTGTCTTCCTTACTTGCTCTCGTATACTTCGCTGACATAGCTTTGCAGATGACTGCCGCTTGACTTCCGATGAATGCAAACCTTTTCTGTCCTGGTCATGGTTTTGCGCCCGGTGCCTTCGCACTTTTTCGGAAGGTGATTGTAGGCCATGTGCTTGCCCGATGGATTCAGCCACGCGCGTTACCGCCGGGACAGATATGGATGACCTGATATGTTTGCAGGCTATGGCCAGCTGCAGTCTATGGAGCAAGGATCTGCTGGTAGCGAGCTGGCAAGTTGGGACGAGAGCCCTTCCTATGGGTGCGATCCGGCTGAGTCCGTACTATTCATGCCATGAGACGCGAGGTTTTGTTCTCTGTGAAGTCGTTACTAAACTCATACAGTTGCGGGTACCCTCCTGCGACCCGTCCATTCACTCCTCGTTCCGCCTGATTTCACCCCATTGACTTTCGATAACCCTACTTTGGTACGTCCTATTCATCGCAAACCACCCGATTCATCACAGCACACCCTCCTGCTGATGTCCAGGCATCCCTCCTATTGATCAGCACGCGCCTTTTGTACTTCTTTGCCTACCTATCACTCATCCGTGATCGTCGGTCCCAGCATGAACTTTCTCGGGTCACTGGGGAGGCCTCTGCCGCACATCCGTCGACTCTATCGATCGTGAGCCCGTGGATCAGCCGCTTCCCCCTCTTGGCTTTATAAGACTTCCAACCCGACCGCGACAGGTGCTAGGGATCTGCCGGGAATGAAGGAATTCGAATGGGGGCGGGTATAGATGAACTTGAAGCAGGGGAGCTGTCTGACGGAATCACTGTGTTCATGAGATTGAGACCGTGCTATTCAGCGGTCGGTGGGCTGTCTGCGCTACCCCGAGCGAGGTTGCGAGCGGTGCGACGGACGAGGGGATCATAGCTAGATCAAGGCGATGGATACAACTGCACTCGTCCCCTGACCTCGGCCGATCCCCGACTGCGAGTTCCTAGTATCTTCGCTATGTCTATACACACAGTGCTACTTCCTGAGGTCTCTACAGCATTTCTGGTCCCCAAGAGCGTCCAGATTCATCGACGTGACATTGATGACAGTGTGATTAGCGCCGGTTCCTCCGCGGAGCAGGCTCTTCACCTCCCTCGATGATCTGTTTCATGTTGAATCCAACCGTTCCTTGTCTTTTGCCACCACCTCCCGCGCTCCCCACGACGGACACGGGCTGCGGACATCCCACACGCCCCCTGCAGACAGCGGACGCGTCCCCGAACCGCGAAGAGCCCCGCGCGCGGCCGGATGCGTAATCTGCAGCCCGCATCACCCAGCATCAGACTCTCCTGATCTCTCTGCGCCATATCCGCGCGTGCGTGCTTACTCTCGACCTTGAGGACACGACGGAGAGCTATCTGGCGACATGGCGTTCGTCCCCCCGCGCGATGACCCCTTCATCGAGTTCATGCGACCCCCGCCGAACGAGACGCCGGCGCAGATGACTGTGAGGCTCCAGCGCGAACGGGAGGCGCAGCGGATCCACGATAGCATCGAGGAGGACATCCGCAATCACCGTGCGCGGATGAAGAGGGAAAGTAAGGTGGTCAAGGTGCTTCTGCTCGGGCAGGCGGAAAGTGGTGCGTACACACTCGGTTTAAGCTAGTGGCGCGCTAAACTCGCGCTTCATCCTCAAGGTAAATCGACTACGCTGAAAAGTATGCGTTTACATCCCATTCATACCCATGTACTTGCTTATATTCATGTCCTTCAGACTTTCTCATGAAATGGGCACCCGAAACTTGGGCGCGCGAGCGCGACGGCTGGCGTCTAATCATCCACTTCAACATCATTCGCGCTATAGTCGCTATCCTCCGCGTTGTCGAAGCGGAACTCGGCGGAGACGGTGACGCCGAGGACGACAGACCCGAGTCCCCTGCCAGCATTCCTGGCTCTCCTCTCAGCCCTGCTTCTACCCAGACCTCCACACCCACCTCATCCGCCTCCCGCACCCCCCTTGCCTTTACCGACCGCCATCAGCTCCTCCTCATCCGCCTCGCCCCCCTTCGCGGCCTGCAAGCCGACCTCATGCGCCGCCTGGGGCACAACCCGGAAGCGGTATCCAGCACGATGGTCGCGTCCCCCTTCGACACGCACGCGATGCCGACGCGCACGCGGCTCGTACCCGAGTTTAGCGTGCGGAATCTCGACGACGTGCTCTCGCCGCAGTGGACGACCGCCGCGCGTGCCGAGATTGATTCCGTCGCGGATACTCTCGCGGGCTGTCGGGAGGACATGAAGGCGCTTTGGGCAGATCCGGTCGTGCAGCAGGCGGTCAAGCGGAGGAGAACGAGGCTACCGGAATGGCATCGCTAGTAAGTGGCTGATTTCCTTGCGCTCGCATCACCTCTTTGAGCTCGATGAGTTGACGAGTTCATGCAGCTTTTTGGACTCATTAGACCGAATAGCAACGCGAGCGTACAGCGTCACCGACGATGACATCCTGCGCGCAAGGTTACGGACGACAGGAGTGCGTGAACATAGGATCGTCTTCAACAAAGGGCCCTGGGAGATTTCTTCAAAGGCAGCGGCGCAAGCGCGTAAGTCAGCTTGCTCCGCGTCCTTCTGTACTCAACATCGGCGCTTAGTAGCCGGTCAAATTGGCTGGGAGTGGTGTATTTACGATGTGGGCGGGTGTCGCACGCAACGCGCGGCGTGGCTGCCATTCTTCGAGAACACGAATGTGATCATATTTTGTGAGTAGCCCTCGCGCTCCCAGTACACTCCAGGCGACGATATACTGATTATCCTCCCATCCCAGTGACGCCAATGAACGTATTCGACGAACGACTGCAGGAGGACCCGCGCGTCAATCGCCTGGAAGACAGCTTCTTGCTGTGGCAAAGTATCTGCAGTACGAAGCTGCTTGCGAGGACGCAGTTAATCATGTTTCTAAATAAGGTGAGTTGGTCGTGACCGAGCGTATCTCCTTCGCGTTTTCATCTCGCGTTGTGTCTGCTTGCTTTTGCTTCGTCCTCGACTCATTTGTTTCTTCCTTTTCCCTAATTCGCCCCATCGTCTTCTCGTGCCTCCATGCTCTTCCTTCATTTCCCCTCCTTCTGGGTTCCCATCGAGGCTTCCTCGGCCGCCATGCGTAGCTGCCCAATTTAGCCGGTTAGTCACTCCACCGGACACGGCCCCATTATACGCAGGCATCGCCTATCGTTACCGCGGGAAACAATAGCGCGACCTATCGCTCGCATATCATCTCGCGAGCCATGTCGCTGCAGCTCGACAAGCAGAGTACCTGATTTTTCTTCGCTCGTACCCTTCATACCGGGTTTGCTCTTTTGGGGAGTAGCCACTGGGTAGTTTGCTCGCTTTAACGTCCCTTTGCCCTCGCGTCTTCTGACTCTCATCCATGTCCTCATAATTTCTTGATATGTTCCTGCGATTACGATGACTGACTGAACTCATAGACGGACCTTCTCAAACGCAAACTCAAGCAAGGTGTTCAGGTGAAGAAATACCTCCCGAGCTACGGCAACAGGCCAAACGAAGTAGGACACGTCAGCAAATGTGAGTAGTCGCCTATAATTCTTCAACCACGTTCTGTCTCTACGTCCCTAAGCCCTTCCTCGTTTACTATCTGCCATACACTAAATATCAAGTCTGACGTCCAATATTGACCGCTTCTCCCAGATTTCAAGGACAAGTTCAAGGAGATCCTGCATCAGCAATCGCCCATACCTCGCACGCACTATATATACTTTACGACGGTGACAGACACTACGTCAACGGCAAAAACACTGGAGTCGAGTAAGTGGAAAGCGCTTGTGCGCGACATACTGACTAACTGTCATCCTCCAGTTCGCGACGGTGTGCTGCGCGAGAATCTCAAGCAGTCGCAATTGATATGAACGCCTCTCTCATGACTGCAACCCATCACCGGCACCCACAGCACCAATCGAGGCTTTGGGTTGACCGATGTTCACAAATTGCATGTCCCGGTTTTGCAGCTCTGCGGGTAAATTATTCCCTCGTCACGCATCCCGTTACGAATGCCTCTTTGTCTCCCCCCTCCGTCTCCTGTTTTGCCCCGGATACCTCTTTATCTCTATCTGCTACTGGGTGTATTACCTTGTCTCCCTTGTATATATCTATACCTGCTGATGTAGTACCCTGTGGATAACCTGTATTTTGTACATAGCCATTCCTCGATCGCCTTCTTATCCGGCCCTCTGAACGCACTTGGTCTTCACGCGTTCGACGTTGCGTGGTCGACAACCTTTTTCCTGAGAGGCATGGACGTGATACAACAGAGACCTCTACAGGGGCAACAATGCCTGCTGCAAACCATGTGCAGTTGTGGGTCCATCGCCAAAGCATCCCGTGACCTGCACCGATCGCGTCGCGCACACCGCGCCGGTCCTTCTTGTCCTTCGCCATTATCTCTCACATGAGATGCGCATCACCTTCATTCGAAGGGCTCACTTTGTCCGGTCCCACGCCGCTAGCAGCGATTTTGGCACTGAGTGACCGCCGCGGCCACAGCTGATGTTGAGGGTCATTCACCCCGTGCTGACGGGAGCCCCGAGATATACCGGGACGATGGCAAGCAAGACACTATCTGCACCCAATCTCACGCGGCCTGCGATAATCCCGCAGCTGTGTCTATAGCTCTGCCGAGATAGTACGGTCTTCAAAGGGGCCCCCGCTGAGGTGATAATGCTCTATCGCCCAGGTTTATCGCGTACAGAGCGGTATCTTCATCCATTCAATAACTAGCAGTCACCGAGGAAGATGATATCTGACGCGCTTCCTGCTCCTCGAGTCCCCCTTTCCTGATCGCTGCAGCACGGGTCTCGAACATGACGGACGAGAAGATCAGCTGGCCGCAGGTGCGTTCTCCGGTCGTCATCCCATCCTGCAATGCATGATCTCAAAGACTCGCTAGGCTGCGCTCGACGCTCGGAAAGCTATCCTCGATCTCATACCCCCTGAATTGCGCATCACGACTACCTATCCTCCTGGCTCTGATGTCCGCGGTGCTGCGAAAGCATCCGGGGCACTCACGGACGATGAGCTGAGCCTAACAGACTTCACGACCGATGCAACGGCGGTGCGATCCTGTTTGAATGTAGCGCGATGCTATACTCAATCCCCTCCCAAATTGACAGATCTTAGACGCCATAAAGGCCAAGAAGGTCACCGCCGTCCAGGTCGTCACCGCCTTTGCCAAGCGCGCAGCTATCGCTCATCAGCATGTTGCATGTCTTACGGACTTCTTCCTCGACGAAGCGATTGAGCGAGCGAAGGCGCTAGACGACCACCATGAGAAGACGGGCGAGCTTGTTGGTCCGCTGCACGGTCTGCCGATCAGCGTCAAGGTCAGCCATTGATTCCATTTGCTTTGGCATCGCCGGAAACCTACTTATATTCGCCTAGGACAACCAAGGCATCAAAGGCCACTACGTGACCAGTGGGTTCTTAAGCCAGTACAAGCTGTTCAAGGAGGAGCAACACGGTCATCTTCTCCAAATACTTTGGGACGCTGGTGCTGGTGCGCATTGCCCTTCGCTTTTTCCCTTCCAATCCCTAACTTCCCTCCGTCCGCTCAACCTTCCCAATTATCTGCTTTCTGCACCACTGACCCACTTCTAGTCTTCTACGTCAAGACCAACCTCCCACAAGCTGTCATGCACCTCGAGACGCACTCCTTCTACGGCCAGACGCTCAACCCCTTCAATACTAATCTCACCTCGGGCGGCTCGTCCGGCGGGTGCAGTGCCCTGATTGCGTTCGGGGGCTCACCTTTGGGATTGGGGAACGATATTGGAGGCTCGCTGAGGTCGCCAGCGGCGGGGACGGGGTTGTGGACGTTGAGTGAGTGCAGTTTCGGGATCTAGTGACTGGTCTTTGCGGTTCTGGGAGGCAGGGAGAACGGCGTGGGTGTGATCGAGTACTGGGACGCCTGCTGACGAGCCCGCAGAATGCACCACGAACCGCCTTCCAAGCGCTGGCGCGGTGAAGGCGCGCTCGATGCCGGGCGCGGACTCGGTCGGCTCAACGCAGGGTCCAATGTGCCGAAGGTGAACTCTAGTCTCTTCCTTCCTACGTCTAGCAGCGCTTGACTAGACATCCTCATAGCCTCCGCGACCTCAAGCTCTGGTTCGACGTCGTCCTGGGCACCCGCCCATGGTTACGCGAGTCCAACATCACACCCATCCCCTGGCACACCAGCATTATTCCTTTCGGCACCCACCCCGACATCATCCCCCTGCCTCCTAAGATCCGCATCGGTGTGATGTGGAACGACGGCGTCGTCGTGCCGCAGCCACCGATTCAGCGCGCGATGAAGGCGCTGGTGGGTGCGCTGAAGGAGCAGGGGGTGTTCGAGGTCAAGGACTTCACGCCGTACAGGCATGGAGAGATGGATCGGTTGGTGGTGAGTAAGGTTTTTGAGCGTTGGTATCGACCATTAGGGCCTGACGAGTCGTCGCATAGCACGAGCTGTACTTCGTCGACGGCGGGAAGTCCATTCGGGACCATGTTGAGAAGAGCGGGGAACCGCTGCTGCCTATGGTATGATTCCCTCCCTCTATGTGTCGAATGCAATGCTCACCGAATTACCTCAGACCGATTGGGTCCTCACGCGACCGGACGTCAAATCACACGACATCTTCGAGCTATGGAATGTGCGTCTTTTTTTTCCCTTCTTCCCTCCCTATTCTCTGCTCTTCACTATCTTTCTCGCTGACATCCATCTCCCGCGCAGATGAACACCCGCCGCGACACCCTCCGCGCCGAATACGTCACCCACTTCAACGCCCAAGCCGTCGACTTCATCCTCTGCCCCGTTGGCCCCGGCCCCGCGCCCCAGCATCATACGTCGAAGTACTGGGGCTATACCTCAGCGTGGAACTTCCTCGACTATCCCGCAGCGGTGTTCCCGACGGGCCTGAGGGTGGATCCGGCCCTTGATACGGACGAGGCGTATGTGAAGGCGCCTCCGTTGAGTGAGATGGACGGGTTCAATCGGGAATGTTGTGAGTTGTTTTTCTTTGTTTTGTGGGTGGGAAGACGAGGTGCTAGAGGCTGATGACGGTTTGTAGATGCGAAGCCGGAGGTGTTCAAGAATGCCCCACTGTGCTTGCAGCTCGTGGGGAGGAGGAATGCGGACGATCAATTGTTGGGCGTGTTGAAGAAGATCAACGAAGTCCTGCCTCTGCCTGCATGATAGGGTAATGGAATGTGTGCGTGTTCTGTGTTGTTGAGCAAACAAATTGGGCCTGTGGCGTCGTCGGTTTATCCAGTATGTCCCTTTGGCTATCGAATCCTCTCTTCGACCCCTCCTTCGGCTCGCACATCCCTATCACCGTGGTCAAGATATCCTACGCTTCAATCATCATCAAGAACTATACACTCTCGGAGCCGCGCCACATTGCCCGCTCCGTCAATTCGCGCAGCTATCTCAGGCGATAGTCAGCCCCCCTGCCATAGCCGATAGTTCCCCCTCCTGCCATTCACGGGAGATAGCGAGTGACGCAGATAGTACGTACGCCAGTCGACTCCGCTTCCCTTCCACCTTGTCACCTGTGGGAACGCCCGCCTTATCATCGTATCGAGCGTTCAGCGTCGTATCAGGAAGGCGCCTGGCATCATATCTAGAAGGACTTCGCGCTTTATATACCCCAGGTAAGCAAGCGCGCGAGGTTGGTGCGCCTGCTTGAGAGTCGGCCATCGTTCACGTACAGGCGTGCACTACATTGCCGTGGACGATAATTCCATTTCACGACTCCAGTGATGACGGTCCAGTCGGCGCTTAGGCGGTTGCGCGTGTGGGTTTGGGTGAGTTTCGTGATACTTCGCCCAGTAGTGAGATGTGGTTATTGATCCACGGTGGGTCTTTTCAGGGCGAGTACAAGGAGACAGAGACGGAGGAGCGACTGTTGAGGAAGATCGACGTGGGGATTCTGACGTTTGCGTGTATTTCTTAGTGAGTTGTCTATTCTCACCGTATCAGAAGGAACGCACTGATGAGCAAGGGTAGTTTTGTGGCAAGGTGTCAGTAAACTTGATCTTCTTGCGGGCTCGTATTTGACTAACCCCTGGCGCGTCAGTGGACAATGTCAACCTGGCCAACGCGTACGTGTCTGGTATGAAGGAGGACCTTAACAGTGAGCCAAAATCCCTGCTCGGCTGGTCTCTGGCCTGACCCGATCGTAGTGTCCGCCGCCGCCTACTCCGACCTCACGTCTATCTACCAAGCTGGCTACTCTGTGGGGCAAGTCGTGAGTTGCGCTTCCATCTGCTTTCCTACCTGCCCCCGTTTTGTCCTCTACTGTTCCCGCCACGCTGTCCGATTCTTTGAGGACTCTTTGAGACGACCTTGACCTAACCTCACCCCTTAGCCCTGCAACCTCGCCATCCTCTACTTCCCGCCGCGCTACTACATGTCCGCCCTCGTCTTCCTCCTCGCCGTGCTCTCCCTCAGCTGCGCGTTCGCGCAGAACGTGCAGACGGTCTCAGCGCTCAGGTTCCTCGTCGGCTTCTGCGAGTCGGGGATGTTTTGTTCGGTGAATTGTAAGTGGGTCATCATTCATGTTTACAGCCAGGTATGATGACGCGCGTTAGATATTCTGGGAAGCTGGTATGGACCGAATGGTGCGCGACTTACCTGTCCGGCTATGGAGATAGACGCTGACCAGCAATATCAGAGCTAGCGCGTCGCGCAGCAATATATACTGGAAGTGGCTACGTGGGGTCGATTATCAGTGGGGTAAGGGGGCATGCGCCTCTCGTTGGACATGCAAACCTGATGAGCTTTCAGGTCATTCAAGACGGAATCAACAAGAGCTTGAACGGCAAGCTCGGGCGTCCGGGATGGCGATGGGTAAATACACTCTCCCATACATGTCAACAGTGATTGACGCTGACATGACTTCAGCTCTTCATCATAGGTAGAACCTCCGACCTTCGTTTGACCGAATCGCGAACTCACTGCTTTCTAGACGCCATCCTCACCTTCCCGATCGCCCTCCTCGGAGTACTGGTACGTCTTCTATTTTTTCCTCTTCCTCCTTCACCCTCTTAACTCACCCTCACCACTCCTGACAGACCTTCCCCGACACCCCTACCAAGACCACCGCCTTCTACCTCTCCCCCGCCGAGCGCGCCCTCGCCCGCACGCGCCTGCCCCCGCGCGACCGCGTCGTCTGGTCCCGCGCAGCCATCCTCGGCGTCTTCAAGTCGTGGCAGCTCTACGTCTTCACGATCTTCTTCACGAACTTTGGCCTGATGGAGACGTTTAACTTCAACTCGCTGGCGCCGATTTGGTTCAAGAGTTATCCGGAGGAGTTTAGTTTGTCGAAGTGAGTGGGTTTGTGTTTGGGGTCAGCGTGAACGGGCAGACGCGCGACCGTACTAGCGAAGGCGAAGGGTGAGTGATAAGGATGGGGCTGACTACGGATTTCCAGCGCGAACCAGTACCCGAATGGCGTGTACGCAGTTGCTATTATCGCTGTCGCCATCATGTCTGCTACCTCGGACAACACGCGCAACCGTTGGGCTCCGTCGGTTGTCATTGCACTGGCGTGCATTGTGTTCTCGGTTATTTTCCTCATTTACCCGGAGAACAACAAGGCGGCGTTGATGGCGGTGAGTGGTCCTCACGTCCTGCGATAGCTCGAAGGGTTGACGACGCTCACAGGCTATCTACGTCCATGGGATCGTCTTCGCCGGGCAGTCCATCGATTACAGTTTGTCGAGGTTCGCTGCTTTCCCAATGCCGAGCTGACTCTTTCTCAGCGTGGGCGAATGAGGCGACGAAGTTCAACCCTATTTTGCGCACGGTGACTCTCGCAGTGGTGCGCCGGCCATTCACTTTGAGCCGTGTCTCGAACTCAGGCTGACACCTCGCAGATGAACCTGTCCGCGTATATCTTCCTGATCTGGTATGGCATCGTCGTAGTCAACTCAGCGTAAGTAAATGAATCCTTCATCTGCCACACCAACTCACTCTCGCGCAGATATGCGCCGAAGTTCTACAAATGCGCCGTCGGGACACTGGGTAAGCGATGAAGTTGTTTTCACCGTGGCAATGCGCTGACAAATGGATCAAAGTCCTGTCCATCATCTCGTTCTTCTTTCTGCCTTTGATTCTGTACCTGATGAAGAGGGATCCGAACCTGCAGGACGAGAGCCCTACCGAGTCCGACGAAGAGAAGGACATAGAGAAGGACAGCAAGGAGGACGCGACTGTTACAGTTACACCTGTCATATGAAGACATCTCAGAGTACTAGTAGTGTACATCAGACTCTTTTTGGGTACAATATCACTGCCTGTAGCGTACCTCGGCGGGGCCCCTGCGTGAGCAATCGTCTGTTCGTGATGGCTGCCCTAGAGTTGCCGGGTAAACAAGTACAAATCTTTTTCCGGGTCTTACTCGAAAAGAGCTCCGCGGGCTCTGGCGCGCGCAGCGCGCGCGTCTCTTTGCGTATATGCTTGAAACTTTGCAAGGGCACTCTGTACCCTGCCATCCCCACGCATACCAATTTTCGTGAGAAAATTTGACCGTCGCGTTGCCGCGCAGTGCCGGGCCCGCCTTTTGGCATTAAAGATGAGCAGAGCTCTCCTTTTTGAGCGCTGCTAGGAGCGGTGAGCGACGGAATGTTTGTATGCAATATAAGTAGACAATGTGCACAGTTTTTTGTGGCCTAAGAACGGCGCTCGACGTCCTGAGCTGCCTTTCAGCAGCGGTCATCGGGCCGTGGCGCCGCCAGCGCGCCAAAGACGCGCGGTAAGCCCCTGCGTGAGCTATCGTGGGTCCCCCACCTAACTATTTTATCGTTTGTTTTTCCCGCTGCACTTCAACTTGTGGGCGCTCTTACAGCCACTGCACATGACCGGCGCACCGGTCCGACTCCCACACAGCGCCACCGCCTTGCGCGCCTCTTCCTCCCAGAAATGCCAGGTGCCTTGTCCGGGCGTGTCTTCCGCTGCTTCAAGACCCTCGAGCGCCTGGGCGACAAGATCACTGGCTTTGCTGGGCCCTGGTTTGTTGCACTCGCCTGGATACTACTCACCTATGGCGTCCTGTGCTTCCTCGATGTCGTCCTTCCAACTCTGTCAGCGCCAATCCTGACGATACCGTTATGCATGTTGCTTGTGGCGAACATGCTGGGTAACTACTACTGGGCGTGCTTTATGCCTCCGGGAGTGGTGGGGGATGAGGTAGCAAGGCGGCGGCCGTGGATGTATGCGAGGAAGAAGCGGGGGGATCCAGTGATGAGGAGGAACTTTGCGGTCACGACGGCGCAATGTACGATGTGCAAGCGGTGCAGGAAGAACAGGCCGGAGGTGCGTGGACTATGACTTTCAATCAAGGCTTTGACGCTTACTCAATATCTGTAGCGCGCGCACCATTGCCGCATATGCGGCAAATGCATCCTGAAGTACGATCATCATTGTCCTGTGAGCCTCCGTCATCGAACAAGCAATGATTCCTCTTGACAGTAATGCAGTGTAAGACGCTGCCCCTCCATTACTCCTGCACACATCTCACCCCGAAGTCAAGGGATTAACCAATGCGTTGGCATAAACAATGAGCGCTACTTCATCCTCTTCATGTGCGCGTCTGCCCTACACATCCTACTTCGTGCTCACATCTAACAGGGCATACCTTGTGATATGCTCTGGCATATTCGCTCTCACCGCATGGAGAGCGGTGCTGATCGCCTTGGGCGTTGAGCTTGTGAGCCCCCTTTGTTTCCGTCCACATTCCCAGTCTAACTCATGTCCTTCCAGCGTCCTTTCAAGGCCACGATTGTCAGCCAGACGCTGTTTGTGCTGATCTATATATTGGCTGTCGTGCTCAGCCTATGCGTCGCTGTGATGTGTGCATACCACCTTCACTTGGTCTGCTCAGGCGAAACCACTGTGGAGTCGATGGACTTTGCTGAGTATCGGAAGGCGCGGGTACGCGTCCTCTTCGTGTGCCATACGATGCCTTATACTGACCTCCACGTAGCCATTTCAGAACTCATATGATCTAGGGTAGGTCCCAGCATACTGTAACTCGACAGTGTCGCTCACGACGAGGCAGATGGAGAACCAATCTGAAGCTATTTTTCAACGTCGGTGATTGTGGAGAGTAGTGCGTCATGATCCTATCCCTCTACCCCGCAGCTCGCTCACCTGCTGCCCCATGTGTAGCCCTTGGTACTCGCTCCTTCTCCCCCTCATAGTCGACCCGTACACCAATGGCTATGAGTGGGCTCGTCGACCGGGCTGCGAGAACGGACACCTAGGTATCGAACACGGCGAAGAACTCACGGACGAGGACGACGTAGAGCAATGACATGTATCATAACCGATCTGCACATCGATGACTTGCGATCTCCGCAAGTATCCCTTGACGTTTTACTTCTTCTATCCACCCCGGTCTTCTGAAGTCCCTTCCCCGGGCCACAGCAGGCCTCTTCCGTCGACAGATTCTATCACCGAGCTGTCAGCCTCGAGCGCGTGGGTCGACCGTGGGTCCATGTGAAGGTAACGTGTCTAGCGGCCATTCATCTCTCTCTCAAGGCTGGCAACCGTCGCCATCCGCCGCCGCCGGCAGCTCAATCACGCCGCACGCGCTCCCAGCGTCCGTCCGGTTTCCCGACCGAATCCACACCGAAGCAGATGTTTCCACAAGAAACATGGGCCTGATGGGAAAGCCGCCCGCCGAGAGCAAAAGGGTCCGTGACGACAGCGTCCAGCCGCCCAGCGCCTGCTTGCGTCCTGCCTTCACCCGCGTCGACCGCCCCCGCCTTTTCGCTTGCTTGTATTTTTATTATTCGCTTTCGCTTTCGCTCCCCCCTTTCCTCTTCCCCCTCCTCACTTCCCCCTCTCGCAAAGCTGGCCTTTGAGGACTCGCAGGAGCAGCAAGCATGAGTCCGTGGAACGATGCTACCAAGTTCATGCGCATCGTGAGTCGCGGATGATTGGCAGGTCCTTTTAAGTGGGGCTGACAGCGGCGTTAGGCCGCGCTGGCGATCTTCGTCTACGACTGGGCGCTTACGCTCCCGGGCGAGATACGGATGTGTGAGTAGGCCGCGTTCCCCACCGTCCTACGCGTTCTGACCCTCTGCAGATCGGCGGCAGCGCTCGATAACGCGCATGAGCACTGCGTGTCTCATGCTCATTCTCGTGCGGGTAAGTCTCCGCGTCCCCTGCTGCGCTGATCCCTCCCTCCCTCTCCTGTCCATCACACGCCCTGTCCATCATTCGCTCATGACGGCGCGCAGTACCTCGGCCTCATAGCGCTGGTCACCAACTTCATCGGCTTCTTCGCGCACTTCTTCGTCGAGCTGCCCAAGAACGCGCCGTACGATGCCTGCCGCAGCTACTTCCGCGTCATGCCGATCATGCAGTGCTTCGCGTCCTGGGCGAGCCACGCCGTCTTCGTCGTGCGGGTGCGTGTCTTCCGCTGCCAGGGGTCCATCTTGGGCCCTACTGCTCGTCGCCATCGATGCTTACCTGCGCGTCGTGTAACAGACGGTAGCGATCTGCGACCTCAAACGCACGGGGACGATCGCCCTGAGCGCGCTCGCAGCCGTTGTGTCCGGCGTCGAGATCTTCGCGCAGCTATACTCGTTCTACAAGTTCGACGTCGGCTCGTCCGGGAACTGCCTCCTGCAGTACAGCGATGACCACAACCTGAGCTACCTGTACTATCTCGTGCGTGACCCTCCCAGTGCCGTCCGCGACGTTCGCCCTGATCGGCATTTGCAGGCGTCGACCATCTTTGACGTGGTGATTGTCGTGCTCACGTACCGCGGCTTGGCTGTCAAGCACTTCAGCCGCAGTCAGGGAAACAACGACGGCTCGACGCCCGCGTTCAATGATGTTCTGTGGAACTCGTCGATGCTCTACTTCGCCGTGACCACGTTCTTCAACATCCTCAACCTCTGTTTCTACGCGTACTACGGGAACAGTAACGCGACCGTCCTTGGCGCGATGGGGATTGCGTTCACGAGCATGATGAGCGCGCGTGTCAGTGAGTCGCAAGCAAGTTGATCAGAGGGGCGCGGATGCTGATACGTTGTCTGCGCAGTCCTCGACCTGCACAGTTACGTGCACCGGCCGACGACGTCGTTCCAGATCAGCGGGCTGAGGTCGAACGAGCAGGGATCCATGAGCAGGACTTCCGGGGTACCTTACCAGGTTCGAGACTCTTTCCTACTACGACTGCGGAACCGTATATGCTGACCCTCTCCTGCACAGGCCAAGGGCACCTTCAACGGCTCCGACCAGTTCATCAGCGACAGCAAGATGCGCGACTCCGGCATCGGCGTGTTCCGCACCGTGGAGACCACCGAGTACTCCTACGACTCTGGCCGCAGGGTGCGCGACAGCGTGGTTTGAGGCGGCGCCCGGTAATCCCGTTCTCACCATCGCCCATCTCTTCCCACCTCGCCTTCGCCACCCATGCGCCTAGCTCATTACACGTGATCCTTGCCGTCTTCCTCTCTTGGTGCGCCCTTCCAGCGAAAGGGTCGTTCCGCGAAGGGATGGGATCTGGCACAATCCGAGTACTCAAAAGCGCGGACACTCCACGGACATCCTGGTTACCTACGCCGCGAGCGGCTACGGTCCTCCAGTTCCTTGCCCCCATCGTCCCACTTTGCATGTACATACTGTACTACACCTTGCAGTGTACATACACGGTACCCGCCCCGGGTTTCGTCGTCTGCGACGGCGGCCCGTCCCCTCGTTCACGATCCCCTAATTATTATTTTTACTTTATTTTCGCAACGCTCTTTTGTCCCACTTTTCCTCGGACTCGTTTGCTCTCCGGCTGGCTGCGATCTTCACTTTGCTTCTCGATACTGGATCTCAACTCATTTTCCCCTTTCTCCCACTTCACCTGCAATCATCCCCCCTTCCTGCCATCCAGTCACGTTTATTCGCACTGTCCAATTGCTTTTACACATCCTACTTACAGGCGGTACAGGCAGCTTCCTAGTGAAGCAATCACAGAGGTCCCCTCAGGTGGACGTCAAGCACCATTTTCAAGTAAAACTTGCAGCTAGGCTGAGTGGATACTGAGGTAAAGTGCCATTTCTACGTGCGAGCTTCTTCAAGATGGTCAGGGAAGGAAAGGAAGCAACGAGACTTACCTGACATGGTAATCTTTTGATGTTGAGACCTTATGGTCAGCCCCTCTGACTCGCGAAGAGATCCAGTCCGTACGCAGGGAGCGCGATCACATGACATGTTCGACTCAGTCGCGCCCGCCCTGCGATCCTCCCAAGGTAGTACTTACGAGCGTAAACGTGTATGGATGCGCCTCAGTTCAGTCTGTATTGATCCAGAGAAAAGTGACTCACACCAAAGCAGTTCCTTACGATCACCAAAGTCTTCAAAGTCCCTAAGCAAGCCCGAAAAAGGAGAGAGAAGAAGGAATGCTATTGTCCATGTCATGACCTCCACATTGTGTCCGTAGGCGCATAGGTATTCCCTCGCATAGCAACAGGTATGTAGCAGTCACACACAAACAAGATTCTACAGAACGTACAGTATTACTGCGTCGTCGTCGCCACTGGTGTAGCTAGTCGGCACCAGCGTAGCCAGTCGGCACCAGCGTAGCGAGTCGGCACCAGTGTAGCGTAGGTACGCGCCACTAGTATAGGCTGCCTATCACCAGTGTATCCATTCACCATACATATTCGGGCGCTCGCCGCGTATGTACGATTCGAAAGTCCTTTTGAGCACGGTCGACCAGTCGAGGTCCCGCTTGTCGTCCCACACGCTGTCCTCTTTGTCGTCTCTAGTGTTGGCGCCGCTCTCCGCGCGCGCGGCCTCCCGTGCGGCGCGCTCGCTGGCGGCGAATCGTGGTCCCAGGTCCGGCCAGTTTCTCGATGGGTCGAAAGGTTTCCACCTGCAAGGGGGTAAGCAAAGAAAGTACGCATCCGATCGAGCAGTCACTCACCAGAAATTGTGGAAGTGATACGAATATGCCCCCCTGAAGAAGCCCTCAAAGCCAAGCGCCTGCGGTGCCGCGCTGTCCCTTGCCGGCGTCTCAAAGAAGTTCGCAAACTCCTCGAAGTACGGCTGCGGCGGCCGGTCCCGCTGGTAGTACTCCGTGTTCAGCCACGCCGAATCAAACAGTGCGTCTGGCAGCCGTAGGAGCAGGCCCTCCGTCTGCGCGTCCGCCGTGTACCGTGAGACGCTCATGGGGTGGAAGTCGAGCCCGTTCTTGAGCGCGGTGCGGAAGAGGAAGGTGCCGAGCGCGGAGTTCTTGTGCATGCGGAGGACAGCGGTGTTGTACTTGGGTAATCGCGACCAGCGATAGGCGAATGCGCCCTTCCAGCCCCAGAGCTCCTCCCAGTCGCGCAGGAAGATGGTGTCCGCGTCGAGGTAGATGCCGCCGAAGCGGTGGCACAGGACGAAGCGCGCCATATCCGAGAGGATGACGGACAACCGGTCGTATTCGGACGATGACTTGGAGCCTAACCGATTGAGCATGTCGTTCTCGTCCTTCGTCGTCGTTGCTGCCGCCGTGCCATTGACATCCGCCACACTCTCCTCCTGCTGTTGCTTCTGCGGCACGTTGATGATGTGTCCGCCGGAGTTGAAAAGCGTATCGCGGAGTGCGCGCCATTCGGTCTTGAGCTCGGGAACGCCATCCAGCTGCTCCGTTGTGTTCCACAGCTTAAACTGGATGACGTCCTTGAACCGCGGGTGCAGGAAGGGTGCTGCCCATGGGCTCGCCTTTAGCTGGTCGTACATATCGCGAAGCGCGGAGGGGTTATGTACCGCGGCAGCCGGACCGGGATTGATCCACAGCCAGAACTGGGGACGGCAGACGCGCGCATCCGCTGGCCAGTCCTTGAGGTGGATGCCCGTGTTCTGCGTGAAGAGGAAGGAGAGCAGCGCAAGATACGGCTTGTCGGTGAACGGTCCGGTCCAGAACATGTGGAACAGACGCGGGTTCTCGGGATCGCAGGGCTCAGGCAAGAGCGCAGAGGGCTTGTGCTGGAGGGTGGGTGGCAATCGGAGCGACGTCTCCCACTCTGCGTCCGCCTTCTTCTCCAGTCCGGCGTTCGGATCGGGGGCGTGCTCGGTAGTGATCTCTCGGTGGATCGGGTTCGGCAAATACGTCTTCATGTCGATCCCATCTGTCGAGTTCTCTGCCGTCTCGACGTAGATGTACTTCCAGTCGTCCATGTTCCCCCGCCGCACGCGCTTGCCATTATCGAGGCCGCCGCCTAATCTGAGCACTTCCAAGCAGTCGCGGACGTACTGTGGGAGATAGTATGATTACGACCAGGCGGCAGAAAATCGGGGCTCGCGCGTACCTTGTTTTCGGAAAAATCGCAGTACTTCATGACGATGTCCATATCCGCCGCGCTGCCGGGCACAGGCCGCGGCGGGTAGGCAACATTGGGAGGGGCGGCCTGGATATCAAGGTAAACGCGCTTGTACCCAACTCCGAGCGTGTCCGTGTCCGCGCTAGTGGTGACGACGTTTGGCGGTGGGCGGTATCGCGAGGGAGGGGGTTTGCTGCCCTGTGCGGGCAACGCAGGATTCAGCGGCTCGTCTTTCAGTCCAATCTGGCGGGGAACTAGTGCAACGAGGCGGTGTCAGTTTTGCGCGAGATGAGACACGAAACTGGCCACGCACTGCTGCGCCGGCTGGGGTAGTGGCCCGAGGCGATCTCCCACTCCCAAATTCGCTGGAGGTGCTCGCGCTGGAAGACGAGCGTTGAGGGATCACCCTCCTGGACGGGCTGCCACGGCTGCGCCCAGTCGTTATTCTTGTGCGGTTTGCGCGTGAGGATGATGAGGGTGAAGAGCGCGGCGACGAGCGCGCAGCAGAGCAGGATTGGCCCCCTTCTTCGCCCGTTCCGTGGAAGGCGCATCTGTTGTAGGCGGGAGGTGTTGGGAATGAGGACGCGGAGGGCGCGGTCGGGAACGCCGGGGATCCTCAGCAGAATGGGACGCGTCCAGGGCGGTTGGGCACTGCGGATGAGTTTCTCCTTCTCCTTGACGGACGAATTCATGGGCAGCATCATACGCGCGGCATAGAATGGGCTGGACGATGATAAGCGGTGGCAGAGGAGGAGGACGCGGCGGTCAATGACAACAATAAATTAAGAGGGCAGGACGTGTGGCGTGGCTGTGCTATTCGCAGATGGGAAGGAAACATTCCGATCCCCGCGCGGACTGACTGCGCGCTGATTGCATCCCCCACGCCCTCCCGTCTCCTGGTCAGCGCCCCACCGCATAATGTAAACAGCGATTCTAGTGGTACAAACAAGTACAACAACAGCGACAGCGATCCCTCTATGCCTGCGATTTCTTCTGAATGTTCTTCGGCAATTCTCGCACGAACGGCAGGAACTCGCGCCCTTGCATGTATGGGCGCAAAGGGGGAGGGATGACGAGGCCCTGATCGGTCGATAAATATAAACGCGAAGCAACGGTGTAAGAAATACGGCGTGCGCACCTCAGGCGTCTGCCAGTTCTCCACGAGACAGCACAGAGCACGCTCGGTAGCGCACAATGTACCGTTCAGCATGTGTACGTACACCTTACGGGTCTGATCCTGCTTCTTCAGCCCGCAGCGCACCTCCAATCGTCGTGCCTCTGGCAGAAGGAATTCAGCGTGCAACTACTTCGCGGCTGAAACAGATGACTCACGGTAGTCAGTGCAGTTCGAGCAGGAGACCAGCTCCTTGTACTCCTTTTGGAAGGGGAAGTATGCCTCAAGGTCGTACTTCTGCGCGGCAGCAAGGTTGAGCGCGCCAGACACAATCGCCACGACGCGATAACGCAGGCCTAAGCTCTGGTAGAACTCCTCGCTGTTGCCAATCATTGTGTCGAACATCTCCCAGCTCTTCGCTGGGTCCGTGATGCAGAACTGCTCAACCTTCTCGAACTGGTGGACGCGGAAGATGCCCCACATATCGCGGCCAGCGGCACCCGCCTCCTTGCGGAAGCACGTCGAGTAACCAGCGTACATCCTGGGCAGCTGCGTCTCCGGGCTCTCGAACCATTCATCGGAGTGCAAGACCGAAATAGGCTGTTCAGAGGTGGCGATGAGGTACTTCTCATCGTCGTCCGCGATGACCTGTGCGCCGCAGATCAGAAATGCGCGATGGTGTTCCGCTCGGAAAACTGACCTTGTAGAGTTCCTCGTCGAACTGGTCAAGCTGTGCGGTCTTTGCCATCTGCTCCTTGTTCATAAAGAATGGCGGCTGGATTTTCCGGTAGCTCTTGCTGCGCAGGAAGTCGAGGCCGTACGAGATGAGCGCTTGGTTGAGATCGACGCCATCGCCAGTGAGGTAGTATCCCCGGTGACCGGAGACCTTGACACCTAATCACTGTCGGTAACGGAGATCACACCGCACACTACGACGCACCTCTCTCAAGGTCCATAGCATCGAGACGCAGGAGCACTTCGTGATGTGCGAGGATACCGGGCCGAGCAGGGGGCTCGTCTGTCTCGCCAGAGGGGAACCAAGTGCGGACGGTGACATTGTCGTCCTGTGAACCTTGAGCATGTGAGACTATGGGGAACTCCGCCTTGCGCACCTCAGTTTGGCTGACGGGGACGTTCTTGCCCACAATGTTGCCGACACCGCGCGCTTTCTTCTTGAGGAGTATCTCAAAGTCTTTCGATTCCTGCTTCTTCGCCGCGACCTTCTGATCCAGCTCCTTCTTCTGCGCGACCAGATCGTCTGCGTTCTCTTTTGCCTGACCGATCGTAAGTACGCGCTCGTCGTACATTGTAAATCAACGCACCTTCTTCTTCTGCCCGATCTCCTTCTGCAGTGCGTTCACCTGCTTCGCGAGATTGTTCGCCTCGAAGTCGACTGCGATGACCATAAGTGGGTGTCCATCTCAGTAGCAGGGACACGCACTCTTCACCCAGTCCTGGTACATCTGGATGACCTCGTCGACTAACTCGACCGAGTGCCCGCGCTTGCGCTGCGACTCGCGGATCTCCTCAGCATTGCCCCCCTTGCTGTCAATGAAGTGCAGAACGTCGAGCGTCATGATTGTTGTAGGTTCTGGGTGATGTTGAACGAGGGAACCTAAACGCGATCGGCTGTACTGATGATGACTCGATCGATAGATAGTGATGGCCGCAGAATTATTCTTTACTTCCGTCGGACGGAGGCTGACTCTCGATCGCAGTAGAGTCGAGCGAAATGTACGACGTTGAGACTGAAGGAGACCTCTGCCCAATTTCGATAACGTCGCGCACCGTGAAGTTGGGAAGCAAGCGTTTTGTGGCGCAAATGGTAGCGAGTCTGGACGTGCACGTGACTAATTTAAGTACACCGGGACAGGCGGCGGGCATCTCTTTTCTTAAGCCACCATCTAAAAAGTGAGAGACCGCCTCCCCATCTCCCCGACCACTTTTCACTCACCTGTACTTTAGATCAAAGACTTCACAAGTTTCATTGGCCTCGGTTTTCTTCTTCTTTCTTGATTCTCTGTGCGTTGCCATCGCCGTCCCTCGTGTTCCATTCCGCTCATCCCCTTCTCCTCACAGAAATTCAATTGCAGTAACGACGGAACATCTGTACTACACATAGAAAAAGGCAAAATGTCCACCCCCGTTGTCGAAAACGTCCCCCAGCCCGTTCCCGAGCAGGTCGCCGCCGCGGCCCCACCTCCCCTCGGCTACGCCGCCAGTGCCCCCACTCATGGCGCCAACACCGCCACCTCAGCTAGCTTGTACGTCGGAGAGCTCGACCCGACCGTCACCGAGTCCATGCTCTTCGAAATTTTCAACATGATCGGGCCTGTGGCGAGGTGCGTGCGATGCGCGCGTGCATCGTACACTGTGCTGACCCAGATCCAGCATCCGCGTGTGTCGCGATGCGGTGACGCGCCGCTCCCTCGGCTACGCGTACGTCAACTATTTGAACGCCGCCGACGGTACGTAGACGCGTGCAAACTGGCCGTTCATCGATCGTTGACGACGCGCAGGTGAGCGCGCTCTGGAGCAGCTGAACTACTCCAGCATCAAGAACCGCCCTTGGTACGTGCGATCTGGCCCGCCGATGGGCGTGTCTGACCCTCGTGCAGCCGCATCATGTGGTCCCAGCGCGACCCGGCCCTGCGCAAGACTGGCCAGGGCAACATTTTCATCAAGAACCTTGACGAGCAGATTGACAACAAGGTGGGTGGGGCGCAGCCGATGTACCGACTAAGTCTTACGTCGAGTTCAGGCCCTGCACGACACGTTTGCGGCGTTCGGTAACGTCCTCTCGTGCAAGGTCGCTACCGACGAGCACGGCAACTCCAAGGGCTACGGCTTCGTCCACTACGAGACGGCCGAGGCGGCCGAGAACGCCATCAAGTCCGTCAATGGCATGTTGCTCAACGACAAGAAGGTGTACGTCGGCCCGCACATCTCGCGCAAGGTAAGCAACATGACGAGTCCATGTGGCGCAAGCTCATCATCCTCTAGGAGCGCCAGTCGAAGATCGACGAGATGCGCGCGCACTTCACGAACCTCTACGTGAAGAACATAGACCCCGAGGTCACTGACGAGGAATTTGAGAACCTCTTCAAGCAGTACGGCCAGGTTCAGTCGTCGCTGCTCAAGCGCGATGACCAGGGTCGCAACCTCGGCTTCGGCTTCGTTAACTTCGAAACTCACGAGGAGGCGCAGAAGGCCGTCGACGCCCTGCACGAGTCCGACTTCCATGGGCGCAAGCTCTACGTCGCTCGCGCGCAGAAGAAGGCAGAGCGCGAAGCCGAGCTCCGCAAGCAGTACGACCAGGCGCGTCAGGAGCGCATGAACAAATACCAGGGCGTCAACCTGTACATCAAGAACCTCGAGGACGACGTCGACGACGAGAAGCTGCGCGCCGAGTTCGAGCCCTTCGGCACGATCACCTCTTGCCGCGTCATGCGCGACGAGCGCGGCAAGTCCAAGGGCTTCGGCTTCGTCTGCTACAGTGCCCCCGATGAGGCGACCAAGGCCGTCGCGGAGATGAACAACAAGATGATCGGCTCGAAGCCGCTGTACGTGTCGCTCGCGCAGCGCAAGGAGATCCGCCGGCAGCAGCTCGAGAGCCAGATCGCGCAGCGTCAGCAGCTGCGCATGCAGCAGGTCGCCGTGCAGGGCGGCTACATGGGCGGCCCCATGTACTACCCGCCCCCTGGCCCCTACGGCGCGCCACAGGGTCGCGGCATGATGGGCTACGGCCAGCCCGCGATGATGCCGCCCCGTCCGCGCTACCCGCCGCAAACGGGTGGCATGCCCATCCCTGCGCCATACGGTCAGGCGCCGCCCCCTCCTCAGGGCTACCCTGTGCCGCCTGCAGGCCGCGGTGCGCCTCGCGCCAACGGTGCCCCTGCGCCTACGTCGCCTGTTGCGGGTCGTGCTCATACGCGTCCCCAGGGTAAGGGTCCGGGAAGTCCCAAGCGTGCGGCTGCCCCCGCCCAGGCGATGCCCGCGCCTCAGCCCACGGAGCCCGGTCAGATCAACATGGCCGCCTTCAACTCCGTCTCTCCCATGGAGCAGAAGCAGATGCTCGGCGAGGTCATCTACATCAAGATTGCGCCGTGAGTGTCGATTGTTGCGTGCCGTAAAGACTCCGCTGACTGAGACCTTTCAGTCAACAGCCTGAGCTCGCCGGTAAGATCACCGGTATGCTCCTGGAGATGGACAACCAGGAGCTGCTCACGCTCCTCGATTCGCCCGAGGCGTTGACAGGCAAGGTCAACGAGGCCCTCAGCGTCCTCCAGGACTTCACGAAGTAAACGTTGTAATCGTATGTATTCAGGGTTCGTGTTCGGCGGGGACATTGGTTGGCTGGGTAATTGGTGCGCCCGAGGCCCCCATCGCGCGCACCACGGGGACATCGACTCCACTGGGATACACGGCTGTCTGTCCCATCCACTCTTTTAGACAATCTATGCCTTCATGCTATCTATGTGTTGTGTTGACAAAAGTATGGCTCGAGGATGAACAGGTTCCATTGGCCTTCGTACGCGCAGGTGAGTGTGATCCAATTCTACCTTTCCATCGACTAGTTACTTCCTTGGCTTCTCATACACGACGTCGAGCTCGAAGACCCGAAGGTCCCTCGCGGTAACGTACTTTGCCACCTCGTCACGCCATGGTGTGCTTATCGCTGTCTTTAGCTCCTGCGTCTCCGCGAATCCGCCCATCGAAAACTCGTGCACCGCCAGATACTTGTAGTGCGGCTCGCCGCCAGGCAGCGCACCATGCGACTTCCCACTGACAAGCGTATATCGCCTCCCACGCAGCCAGCCCGGAACCTTCTCCAGGAGGACCAGATGCTCCTCGTCATACCACTTGTTGAACTCCTCCTCGCCCTCCGGCTTCACATCCATCCACACCGCCAGGACGAACTTCCCTGGCAGTTGCTCCGCCGTCGTGGACGGGTGCGTGCGTGACGAGAGCGGCCGGTATAGCCGGCGTGCACCAAACTCGAGCTTCTGGAGGATGTCTTTCTCGTTCTCGGACCCCTGGGCGACGACGGCTTGATATGCATCCCCGTTGGCGACGTCCTCCGATGTGAGGTCGTAAAGGGTGAGCCAGGAGGGCTTCTTGCCGTCTGTGGCCTTCCATCGTGCGGCAGTGAGAAAGCCATCGATGGTAAGCCGGCGCGGACCATGCTCGTTGTTGTACCAATCTGAATGGCTTGTTCAGACAGAGTGTTCGAAGTTCAATATCAACTACGTACCGATGTAGCGATCGAAATCAATCTCAGAGCCTGGCTCTTGCAAGATGACAACCAGGGGAAGAGGTTTCGTGATCTCTGACATTGCTCGGAATGTGATGCGAGGAGATTGGCAGTGCTGATATTGTGGACTGTTGGAGGATCTTCGACCCTATATACCTGCTATATCGGCGACCGAAACGGAGCGGAGGGAATGCTTGAGCCGGGCTGACGAACGAACTTACAGAGCAGATGAGTAAGTGACGTCCGGTTGAGTTCGTGTGCGACTGCGAGCGAGAAACACGTGATCCGGTCATAAAGCACCCACAACTGGCCGGCAAATGCCGCAATTCTAGTTTTCTGCCACCACAATCGCAAGAAGACGGAAACAGCGCTAAGTACCTTTCTCTGTACTAATTTGCGGTACTTAACCAGTAACAGGTATTCTACAACCGACTGGTAATCCTCTCGTACACAATGTCACGCTCGAACAGACGCAGGTCCTTGCCAGTAATATGCTCCACTACCTTCTCCATCCATGGGGTATTTTGCGACGCCTTTAGCTCCTTCGTCTCCATAAACCCTCCCTCCGAGAACTGATGCAGAGCGAGAAAGTGATACTCTGGTCTGCCCTCGGGATGCACCCCAAGCGAATCATCACCCGAGATTGTGTACAGCCGCCCGCAAAGCCACCCGGGAACCTTCTCAAGCATCGGCATGTGCTCTCCCTCGTACCAATCGACAAACATCTCCTTCTTCCCCAGCTCTACAGCGACCCAAACGGCAAGGAGGTGCTTTCCCGGTAGCTGCTGGGGCGTCGTGGATGGGTGCGTGCTCGACAAGAGAGGTTTACAGTACTGGGCAGGGCGGCCTCCACTCGGCGAGAGCTGATGAAGGATGCTTTGCTCCGAGCCAAAATCGACGCGCGAGGCGACATTCGAAGTGATGTCGTATAGAGTGAGATGGGTGGGCTCCAGGTCGTCTGTTGCCTTCCAGCGTGTGCCACTCAGAGCACCGAGTGCTTTCTCGTGCGCCCCATGGACCCCGCTCTCTTTTTTTACCGTGATGAGTCGATATCCCTTCGAGTAGAACACGGATGCTCACCATCATAGCGCCAAGATGGCCCGTCCAGGATGGCAATAATAGGAAGGGGCATCGAGTTCAGTTCAGTTCTCTTCTCTTCTTGCGTTGCGACACCCGGGTCGCCGAAGGAATGACCAAAGCTGCGTAACCCAAGCGGAAGGGAGCGCAGACAAGGCTGCAATCATCGAGCGTACTTAAGTACTGCAGCACCCGAGGCGGCTGCGAGTAGGCATAGCATGGGCTTGAGGTAGTGCATATTTTGTACAGACGTCGTTCGACCATTGGCATGCGCAAGCGACCATCGTACGCGCGAGCGAGGTGCGCCGATACGATCTCTGCCTTTTCGCGTTACGGGACACCACCCGTCACGTCGCTTTCACCCTCCACGTCCTCCGTTTGTCCTCCGCGAGCCGAGTCCTGCCTTGTGCCCATAAAATTCCCGATCAGAATCTTCAGAACTTTTGCAGATTCGTCTGACAGCCGCAACACCGAGCAAGCACTTTCCAGGAAACTCGGAACACGGTCAATGACATCGGAACACTGGAGTCTGTTTGCCGGCAAGCCCCCGATGCCTGTCAAACCGGCGCGAGGTTCTCGACGAGTCGACATTGAGTTGATTGTGGACAGCGCCGAGCGGGCTGCGGACAGGGCGTCTGGGATAGCGGACAAGGACGACGGGCGCCGGGATGGCATACAGGAGTTGAAAGAGGGGGCTGGGCTACTTGGCGAAAACGGCCGCTGGCGGGGGAATAGCGGACTCCTCGCGGCTCGCGGATTCGACGAAACACATGGCGCGGCGTCAGATTGAGAAGATAGGCAGAACATGTCGGACGGCGGCAGATTGGGGGACACGTTGCGCGGCGGTGGCAGATCGAACGTCCACGTTGCACGATGCGGGGCGCGGAGGGAAATTGGGAAGGTGATCAACAAACACAGAGAAAAGATGAGAGCTCGGAACCTTCAGCCGCAGAACCGTACTTCCAGGGAGCTTTGCAGGTATGGGAAGCACCAGAGCCGCGCACCCAGTATCGGTACCATATACCTGGAAGCCAAGATCCTTACTTCCAAGCCGTAATTCCAAGTGCACATCCCAGCGATCTCACTGGACGCTTGCGCGGCCCGGCGTCCACTTGCCACTTTGGGGCGCAATAACACGAGTTCCGGCCCACGCACGCGTCGCGCGAGGACAGGAGCTTCGGGGTGAGAGGTTGGTGAGATGTCGCGAGCTTCGCGATCGGGCGCGCTGACAGGACAAGGGCTTCGGGCGCCGTTACACGAGTTCCGACGTGGTGGCACGAGGTCCGTCGGCGCCCGCCTGCTCACTTCGGGGTCAATAGACCACTTCGGGGTGAACAGAACGCGGGGACTGGGCGGAGAACAAGAGTGGAAAATTAGATTCAAGTAAGAAATACACAAGTGCACACCTTCTCTGATCCCTCGAACGCGAAGGCTTTGATCTCGCCAGCGGAGGGCTCTGATGCCCCCAGTGCGAGGGCTCGCACTTCAATATACAGTATAATGAAGCAGGCACGCCCGTCAGGGAAGGGACGGACCATTGGGTGCACCGATGGGAACAAGATGAGAGGGCGCCGACGCGCGGGCAGTCCATCGAGTGGCGGGAACCGGACGATCGCGAGGTGAGAACATCGGGACCAGAGGGTGAGCGTACTGACAATGGGACAACGTGGGTAAGAACGACGGGGACCGGGACAGGAGCGTGGCGAGAACGCGATCCGAGACAAGAGCTCAAGAACGCACCATCGAGTGGGAAGAAACGGGCCAACTATGCGCAGAGTGGGCGCTGTTTGAGGTCTGCGGGCAGGATGATAGGGTAGGGTGAAGATATGTACGCCCGCCGGTGTGAAGATACCTTCGCCGGGATGAAGACACGTAGGCTCGCCGGGCTGAAGATACCCGAGCACTCGATGTACGCCCGGTGTTGAAATGAGCAGACGACCTCGAGCCCTGTCGCCCTCACACACCTTCACACACGCCCTGTTTGTGGGCCCTGCTCGCCACAACTCCGGATAGGGCATGAGCAAGCTTGGCTTCAGTCGTACGATGCAAAGTGGGCGGGAGTGTCGATGGTCTCATCGAAATGAAGGGTTTGTAGAGTGCAAGCAACCAAAAGGATGAAGCTGTAGCTTCGAAAGGTTGCAGTTGATAAGAAGCTTCAGGCTGGCCGAAATGATAGAAGGCTGGCTGGAAAGGAAGCTTCAAAGTGACTGTGAAAGAAGCATAGCTGACCGAGAACATGGAAAGCCTGGCTGAGAACGATATTTGAGCGGGCCGGGAACCACTGGGAACTCTTTGCCAAGCTCGTCCATTGACCCTTGACGCAGAAGGTTTCGCTTGACGGAGAAGGTTTCGTGGGTCCTTCTTTGCCAGATCCACGTACGAGAAGCAAGAGGGACCGCACGGGCGGCGCAGGCGTGGCACGCACGGAACGGATATGAGCGAATCGCATGCGACGCGAAACTCAGGCAGTACGGTGCGCGGTACTCACCCGCATAGCAGGCGGTCAACACGGCACCAACAGACGGTCAACACGGCATCTGAGGTCTTCTGCAGAACCCTGAGCGTACGCGTCATCCACAAGATCTGTGCAGGAGTCCGGGTCCGCGTTATGTACACGGGCGCACAAGCGTGCACTGGAAAAGGCCCGGCAGCGGCTTCCGGTAGGCAGCCAGCGGCGTGGCCACCGCATACCAGCGTCAGGACAAACCGCTGGACTCCAGCGGAAGGCTCGGCGGGATCCCACAAGCGAACAAAGCCGCGCCCTTTCCAGCGCCCGATCGTGGGAGCGCTGGAGTCTGCCTGAGAAGCCCGCCCCAGCTGAAGTGCGGGACTTAGGCAAATTTCGATGGTGCTCCTTACTTGACCGCAACCACCATGTCCGCCCACTCAAAGTCAGTGCGCCGCCCATTCGGCCGCTTTCTGCGTATTGCAGCGGCAAGGTGTGTGATCGTTCGGTGTGGCCCTCGGTGTCTTCGCTCGGCCGTGCGCGCTCGCTTCACTGTAGTGCGCGAGGTCGTTCGTTGAGGGAAGACGGGTGCGCTTGACGAGGTCGGGCTAGCAAGCCCACGAGCGCTGCCGGCGTCCAGCTTCGTATTCGAGTACCTACAGCCACCATAGCATCCTCCCTTCCTGTATTACTATGGATGTATGCGTCTTTTGCAAGGCAACTAGAGGAGGCGCGTCGATGAGGAGCACAAAGAACAGCAGCATAAGTGGCAGGGCGGGCGTGCGCAGGCGCGCTTCGGAGGTCGCCCGAGCGTCCTCTTTGGGCAGGTGGGGCGTGTGGAGCATCCGCTGGAAGGCCACCGGTAGCTAACGCAGGGGTCCGCTGGCTTGTTCTGACAGTTGCGGGCCGCTGGTATTCCGCCCAGGCATTTCCGGTGCGCGAGTGTATCGCGGTGTACCCACCGGATATCTGGTGTCGCATGCAGTGGGGAGAAGATGGCAAGCGGTGGGGACGAGTCGAAGCGGCGGGGCCAAGGAAACATCAGAAGAGCTCGGATGAACCAGAGAAATCTTTTGCGCGGGGCTGGCGCGAGATTAACCGGTGGGGATGAGATGGATTATGAAAGGACATGGACGTGTGTAAAGACGAGGACGTAGCAGGTGACTCACACCTATCGTCCGCCCCAGGTCCGCCTGTGGATGTTTGGGGCGCGACAGAAAGCCTATAGGGCGCGAAGGAGGGGGACCGGAGACGTACAGAGTCCGACTAAAGATCACATCAATCAAGCAGTAGCGTCCTCTTCAGTACGCGAAGGCTGCGCTCATTACTGCTCAATTGTTAGCGCACATGGGCTTCATGAAGACTTACTATCTTGCATAACTGTGGCGGCCATCGATGAACGCCGAGTGGGAAGTGGTGTGCGGCGGCGAGGGTGTCTGCCATCGGTGGACACGGGCTGTATGGGTGACAAAGCGCGGATACGGGAAGGCGACGTAAGTGACTCACAGCCTCTCGTCCTTGTTGACTGTTGCTCGCGCCGCCGCTTCCATCAGCGTGCCCGCGAATGAGTAGTAATTTCGAGCACAATTGGGGGGAGCGGTCGTCATGAATGCCGACGGATCGTCGTCCGAGGGGCGACGAACGCTGACGACGAGCGTACCGAGGCTTGGGGCGTCGTGCAGCGCAACGGCGAGGCAATACAATGGGTGAGCGCTAGACCACACGATACGGGAAAGGCGGTAACGCCCACAGCCAGGCACGTGGAACAAGAAGAGAGTTCATGGTTGACCTTCACAACGGGATGAACGGGCACCGAGGTACGCAGCAGCCGTCCATATGCTGGGGAATGCAGCGATATGAAGGGGGGATGGGTGTGGTTAGGAGGAAATGGGCGGGATATTGCACTCGAGGACGTCGAGAGCAAGCCACAATCAGTGCCGCTCGCCGCCCGGGCCGAGGGCGCAGTGGAAGTTGATGTCCCCATTCGGACGATCTCCATTGTTTCAGAAATGCAAATTCCATGTCAAAGTGATGGGATCAGTACTGGATCGTCCTGCCGGGTCGGTCAGGTTCTTACAAGAAGGCCGTCCAATTTTCATGTCATCCGGCATGAACAACGTTCACCGTTGTTCGGATTCGACCGCCGCCCGAATCTCTACCCCGTAGCCCCTCTCTTATTGTTGTCTGTCGCGTGTTGACGCGCGAGCGGCGCGTCTTGTCACAGTTCACATTTCCCTCCCGCATACCCACCGGACACGCACCGTCTTTCCTTCCCTCACCGTCCCCACAGGATCCCCCACGATGTCCCCTCTCGCCTCGAGCTCCTCCATGAAGGCCCTGCGCACGCGAGCCTCCGCGGGGTCCGTCAGCAACCACCCATCTGCAACTGCCGCGCGGCGGGATTCGCAGGAGAATACACTGACAGTTCCGTCCGAACCTCAATCGGAGTGGTCGACGAAGCGGAGCCGAATACCGTCCTTCTTTGCGCGCTCTCGCAAGAAGTCCACCGGTGAGGCCATCTCGGACACGGACAGTCATCTCTCCAGCGCAGGCGCGAACAGAGACGTGGGCGCAACCAGCGAAGGGTGCGTGACGCGTAGTCGATCGCTGCGCGTATGTGTACTAACGCGTTCGGCAGACGACCCTCTCTTGCTACCAGCATTGACACACGATCTTTACACCACACGCACACCGACGAGCAGCCCTCGCACTCGAGACGCATCCTGCACCTCCTCAGCACCAAGCGCACGCACAAGAAGGACAAGCCGTCAAACGAGCCCCCGCCAGACCTGCCCGGCCCCAGCACGAAGCCTGCGGAGAGGAAAGCCATGCAGCCGTCCATCACGGTCTCCTTGTCCCCCGATAACCTCCACGAATACCAGGATCTGTTCACCCGCGCGTCCGCCGAGGAGAGCTATCCCACGCCCACGCCCAGCCCCTCGACGACGAGCAGATCAGGCTCACATGCCTCAGAAGACGACTCCGTCACACCACGTCAGTCCAACGATCTTCAGTCGCGCGGGGGGACGCTCACGGAAGCAGAGACGTCCTCGGTGCGCCGGGCGAGCGCGAAGCGGCGGCTGCGCCCCAGCGACGCGGGCGACTACTCGGACTCTGGCGTCGAGTCCAGCCCTGCGACGCCCTCCAGTAATCGCAGCATCTCACGTGATTCCACCGACTACAAACGTCGCACCTGGGGGTCCGCGTTGTCCGCGGACGAGTCGAGCAGCATTACGACGACGACGCGCAGGCATCGAGGCAGCTCTGCGCTGACTCTGCCACGCTCGACGCCCCCGCCGAACATCCCGCTGCCGCTTCCCCCACGAAGCCGCGCAGGATCCGCGGGGCCATCCCTATCGTCGCCGAGATCCTCATCAAGCTCAAACACGACAAATTCGAGCAATCGTGTGCGCACAAACACCGTCAGCACCCTGGGCACTCAACATTCGAGTTCCTTATCCCAACACCAATCCACTCCTTCCACATCCCCTCCCTCATCCCCTCTTTCCCCTCACTTTGGTCCCAAGCCCCTCCTGCTGTCGCACGACCAGCCCTTCCCCTCGCAGGATGCCCTGGACATCGACAACGCTTCAGCTGCAGAATTGCGCGAAGCGCTTGTCAGGCAGAATAAACGATATGACGAACTGGTCAACCACCTCCGCCATGTGATCGACACGCACACAACGGAAAAGGCGGCCCTTGAGAAAAAGGTGTCGTCTTTGACGCGTGAAGTGTCACGAAAGGACAAGGAGATCAAGGGTTTGACTTGGGTCATCGTAAATGGGCCGGGCTCAGACTCGCCGCGAACTCCGTCTACACCCCGATCACCGACTGCGCGGTCACCATCGCCGACCTCCCTATCGAGCAAGAAATTGCGCGTACGGCAGGAGGAGAACGACTCTGGGGCGGAGTCGTACGCGACCTCTGGGACGGAGGCGCGCACAGACTCGGCATGGGAAGGGCCATCGGGTGCCTCGGGTGCGGAGTCTTCGACTTCGACTTCCTTCCTGCATGGACGCATACGAACGCACCGGAAGCCGCCAAGCTACCTGCAAGCGGCTCCGAGTAGCGGTAGCGGCCTACCCCTCGCAAGAAGCGCGTCCGTCGCCAGCATGTCGAGCGCAGCACGCAGCACCACTCGCAGCACCCGCGCGGAGTCTACCACATCCTCCTCCCCAGGACTTTCCTCCATACCCGAAGCCGTATCGAGCAGATCGGCAATACCCCTCCGCATGCCCTCGATGACGAAGGTCTCGAGCGCAAAGGACCGCGAGCGCGAGCGCGAAAAGGAGAAGGAGAAGGCCCGCCAGGCGCGCATCGCGCAGCGCCTCGCGTCGACGCCGACCCCCGCCTCCGCCTACGCAGCCAACTTGCGGACCGGCCGCTCCCCCTCGATCGCCCAGGTGCTCGACAAGGACAAGGACCGGTGACGCTGACGGTGAAATATTTGGGCCCAGTCCTCCCTCTTCTACTTTTGATCACATATCTTCGACCTTCCTTTCGCAACAACGTGATCACCAACACTACGGTGGCGACCCAGCGCGGGTGGGCGCCGATGGGCGGCCCACGGCGCACCCGCGACCAGACGCTTCCGGCGCTGCGCGCTGACGGGACCGGCTGTACATACCCCGCCACGACCGGCTGTGCATACCCTGCCGCGGCCCGGCGCGCGCCAACTAGCACTTCTTGCTGCTGGGCGCGCGGGCAAAACGGACTGTGTACTCGACTGCATTGCATTGAACGACCTGTCTATTATCTGACTGCTGCCTGCCTGTATCGCTGACGCGCACGCCGCGCGCGCGTGCACGTACTTATGCTAGGTACGCCCAGTAATTCGTTGCTTACTATCCTTATTACTCTTCTGGAACATTACCACCTTGTTGAATGCTGCGTACGTACACAGAAGTCCTCAATATAATGTTGTTAATACTTGCGGTGCGAGCGGCGAGGCGTGTTGACAAGCGAAGGCTGGAGTCCGGAAGGCGGTGAAGGTGCTTTATGGCCATGTCACCGGGACTTGCCGAACTCAATCGACCAAATATTTGTCCGTCCAACATCCTTCTCTCGACCGTCATTGTTGATCCTGAACCTTTGCTGGACGGACGGCGGGCGCACTAAGCCTAGCGCATGCTGTTCCTATGCCCTCGAAGATTCCGCGTGTTATCTTGCTGCTAAGCCGACTAGCCCCGCATGTCTGATCTGCGGCTAGCACCCACGCGTCCTCAAAGAATTACGTCTCTGCCCTCAACTCTACCTCCCTGCTCGCTTGACGCCTGTCCTCAAAACGCTCGTCATTGCCTCTCCTGCTGCGCCGACCCATCCCGCTCTAGAGTCTCAGGCGGCGTCTCACGTCACGCTACACGGCGGCTTCGATCAAACATCTGTTGCGGGCCACCCCACGGTCCAAACCGCGCTCACGGTGCTGATGCCCATCGCATAGGTATCAACGCACTCACTGTGATGGGAACCCGTCCTGACTTTGCTCCTGCTCCCACCATTGCGCGCGCAGTGCGGCTGTGAAGAGGAAGGAACTGCGCACGAGCGAGCATGCTGTCGTCCCTCATCTCGTACCGGCCGAAGAAGAGAGCGAAGGGCCAAGGGGGCAGCGGGCGATCGCCGTTCGTCACTCATCAGCGCGATGGGTCCTCCGGGCATCCGTACGCGGCCCCGGAGCTGGCGGTTCAGGAGGAGAGGGAGAGCGCGGAGACAGAGGGCGCAGGCAGTCCAAGATCGCATTCGACAGCGCATATGCTCTCGTCACCGGTCGCGAAGCTTAGCCTCGATCTCTCGAATAGTCCCCTAGCGGAGCACTTTCCAGATCATCTGTGGAACGAGAGAAGGGAGCGCGAGCAGGAGGGCAACACTGAAGACGAGGCATCGGTGGTGTCGACATCGGAGGAAGTAGTTGCAAGTTTGGAAGCAATGACGGTGCGTGCGCCACTCTCCTCCCTGCTTTCCGTGCTGAAGATCTCCTACAGGCCTCGACCTTCGTCAACATTCCTCCTCATCTCCTGCAACCCGACAAACCCTCTCCCTCCCCTATCCGAATACCCCCTTCGATCGACAATAACAAGAATGAGACTCCGGACCCAAATTCGAGCTCTGCACCCACACTGCTTCCGCCAGGCTCTCCTGTAGAAGACGCAGCCTCCGTCAAATCCGGCGTCACACTCGCGCGCGCCCTGTTCTCCAACTCCTTCGCCCTGTCGGACAGCGAGCGACACGCAAGTGCATCATCCTCTGTGCTGACGCGCCACGACTCCGCTACCCTCGCACCCGGCGAGCATCCGCTGAATGCTGCGCAAGGTGGCAACACTGGAGTTGGAGGGGGTCAGCCGCGGCAGTTACACTCGCGATCATCATCAGGCCTCGTTGCGCCACCAGTCCCGCCTGTGCCACCTCTGCCAGCTGCGATCTCAGCGCCTGCTGCGTTGTCAATGTCTGGCGTTCCATCGCCCCCTCCTACATCACCACTCCCGGCTGTGCCACCTCGATCTACGATCCCGCCTCACCTCGTGCAGCGCGCGACGCAAGCGACGTCGTCGTCAGCGCCTGCAGCATCACCGCAAAGACATGCTACCTCTCCTTCAGGACGCGCTACTTCGCCGAGACCTGATACTGCAATTTCGCCACGACTCGGAGGATACCATGCATCATCACAAGCCGACAACGCGTCTCTACCAATATCACCCCGCCGTTTCGCGACCTCACCCCTCGGCGTGGAAGTACCGCCCGCACCGCCCATGCCACCGGATCCTGAGCTTCTCTTCTCGCAGATCTCGGGAATCCTGTCGCCCCCGACGTCCTACGCGGGGAGCAGCCGGGCACAGTCGATGCTGAGCAGTCGGACGCAGTCCTGGACGAGTAGGACGGACTCGTGGCAGAGCAGTGCGGCGCAGAGCCCTGTGCCTCGTACAGAGGATGGCGGCACTGGGCCGCAAAGTAATGGAGCGCATTCGGGGGACAGCAACGGAAGGCACTCAAAGGACAGCAAATCGCCCTCCGAGCGAAGCGGAATGACATCCGGCAGCGCATATAGTCAGTCTTCTCCCTCGGGGAACGCGTCCGACGAGGAGGAGCCGACGCTGTCGTTTGGGCGGGGCAGCCAGGATACGCATGGAACGCGTAGCCCGTGGACGGATGAGACGCCGTCGACGACGCCTTTGCCGCCCATGTCCCCCAGACGGACAGAGATGTCTCCCATTCGCCCTGATCGATCCGCTAGCAGGTCGGGTCCTTCCATTGCGTCTTCGGAGGAGAAGGAGGTACGAGGGCGACAGCCCTTCGAGGGCATCGGTCCCGCCGTGTTCGCGGCTCCAGTTCAGCGCGCCACGGTGGCTCGGGCTTCGCTGGTGAAGGTTGATAATCCGCAAGTGGAGGCAAAGTCTGAGGGGTCGGGCGAAAGTGATGAGCGTGCAGCAAGCGCAGGCTCCACGCCGCCCATCATGCCTCGCTCGAAGCCACCCGCTCTGGGACCCGTGAAGCCGACGTTCACCGAAATTGTGGCACGCATGGAGTTCCGCCCGACCTTCACGCCGATCTCGGAGGAGGGCTCTTTGCTGAGCCTGAAGTCATTGTCACAAGTAGCGACACCCTTGACCGCGGACAATGGAACGTCGTGGGACGCCGACGCTACGTTGGCAGGATTAGCAGCGGAACGTGATCGAGAACGACTGCTGCGCGATTCTTTCGAGCTTCCTCCTATATCGCCTCGCAGGTATTTCCCGCCAGATTTACCCCGCCGGCAGTCGCATTCCTCGACCTCTGCGGAATCCGCGTCGTCTTCGAGGGGGCCCTCTTCGCCTCGCGGTTCCGTGTCTTCGGGGATCATATCACCGATCTTTGGGACGTCAGCGATACCTCTGGATGGTGAGTATAAGGATGCTTCTGTGTGATAGGCTTTTCTTCTTCTCTTCCCATCCACTCGTCGCGTTCTCCTGATCCGTCTCGTACATTACTGCATACTTCCTCCGGAAGCGCACCAGAACTTACTGACAAATGCCAGGTCGCCTCGATGTTAAGCGCAAGCGCGAGTCTATGGCGTTAGGTCACGGCCGCGTTCTTAGCACATCGTCTCTGCTCCCTATCAGTGATCGACCAACCTCCCAGGTGTGCTTCCGTCGTGCATCATCACGAGACGCACCATACTGATCACCGACGACTCCGTTACAGCTAATGCGCTCGGGGTCGGTCCCACAAAACCATGGTCCTAGTACGCAGAGTCGAAGTCCGTCCGTACCCGCTCCCGCCCGCCAGCGGTCGGTCACGGTCGCGGGTGTGATGAAGGAGCGACTAGAGGGTCAATCACTGAGCTCAGTGACTTCAGCGAGCGAAGCGGGAGCATCGGGGATGACTGTGGAACAGCGGAAGCGCTCGACCACTATCGGCCACCTGCCACCTGTACCTACCACTAAGCCACCGCCTTTACCTGGTGGTCTAGGAGAAAGCGCAGGACTTCGCTCGTCGAGCGTTGGGCAGCCGCCTTCCCGCCCCGTACCAGGCCCTCCTCAGCCTGCACCCTTGCGACCCTCGAGAAGCGAGTTTCGGCGCAGCAGAAGTATCTCGTCTGACAGCCGACCTGGAACTTCTCCCGGGTCCCTACCTCTTCGCATCGATGTACAGCAAAGAGCACCTGCGCGACCCGCTACCGCTGAAGGAGGGACAGGATACGCTAACTTCTGGGACGGACCACACTCCACTCGACACGCAGTTCTTCAAAAAGCGCTTCCTTCGATCCCGCAAGAGGTGTCCCCTGCGGCATCTCCCGTGAAGGACAATGACCAAACTGCGACAAGCATGTTCCAGGAAGTGGTCGTGCCTACACGAGCAGCAGGGGACCTGCACGGCTTCAGCCCTTCATTGCCCGTCTTCCGACGCTCTGAGGAGATTGCTGACGACCAATCGCGTTCGCACTCTCCTGAAAGTCCAGCCCGAGAAGAAGCTACCACTCAGGCCGCCGCACCTTCGGTTTCCGAACAACCCTCCAGCAGATTGACTGGGGCTTTGCCAGCCCCGTCTCCTCTGCGCATTCCTTCTTTGGTCAGGCGGCCTGCTGTGTCCAATGCTTCGGTGACTTCGCCTCGGATGGGCAGCCCACGCACCCCGCGTCTTCCTTCCGGGCCACGGCCAGCACCGGCATCGCCCGTGCACCCAACTCCTGTCGTACAGGATAGTCCTGTCGTCCAAAGAGGGGCAGGTGCGCGGTCGCCAAGTCGCCCTCGACCAGAACTAGGTATCACAATAGGTTCGCACTCTACATCCTCATTAGCGACATCCTACCCTTCGCCACCGCCTCCACCTTCGATCCCACCTCCGCCACCGCCTGTGACAACGACTTCGCCCCTACTACCGTCGCAATTACCTCCATCCTCTGCTGCCCCTGCTGTTGCAACCACGGTGGCGCACGTTCGGGCACCCAGTGATTCCACGCATAGCGAGGATGTGAAAAGTCCCGCATCGACGGAGGCTCCGGCTGTACGCAGTCTTCCTGCCCCTCCTGGTGCTATACCCGAATACGCTCTTCACGACGGTTCACGTCCCAACCATCACAGCTACCGCAGCGAATCACCCTCAGGGCAGTCTGTGCTCGGCTCTCCACCGCCATACCACGTTGTATGCTGGGACTGCCAGCCTCCGCAGGACGAGCAGGATGAGCAGAGGCATCACACTCAACAAGGTCAGGCTGAGCCGCCGCCCAACAACGCCAATGAGGCTCGTCCATTGCCCTCTACGGCGTCTACTGAAGGTTCCTTCCGTCGCGTACGTGTGCGGCCACCGCTTCCGGCAGGGCCGCGGATGCCTAGTATACGCCGTCGTGCAGATACTCTGCCTAGCAGCGGTTCTCGACGCCGTCGCCTGCGCTCATCGGCCGAAGCAAACGACGCCGTGCTTCACAGCCCAGTGAGCAGAATATCGTCGAACAGGTGGCCTGCATACACGCTCGACGGTGCCAAACTGGTGTTCACATCCGAGCAGCTCCAGTCTACGGTGTCGCAGGCTATCCGTCACTCCGCGCAGGCGTCGTCAATCCGCCTTCTTCGCCCGGAAGATGTCGAGACCAGAATTCCCACCGAACTCAGCAGACTGGAGGAACGGCGGATCGATATCAAGGCACAATTTGCGTCCTTGAAGCGTGCTCGGGACCAGACGCTGTCCTCGTTGTCTTCGATGTTCAGCAGCACGGAAGCGCAGGGTTCCGGGTCGCAGCATGTGCAAGAACTGCGCAATGTTTCTGCTCGCCTGGACAAGCTCTGCGAGGACCTGCACACCACCGGCGAGCGTATCGCCGAGCTCAGGTCTCTCCTCGCTGCTCATCAAAGCAGTGCTTTGTCGGTCGCCTTGCGCAAGCTGAATAGTAGCTTCCAGCGGCGGTGCGCGGAGCTGAACCGGGAACGCGAACATGCTCGGGAATTGGAGGCGGAGAGAGATGAGGCGTGGCAGCATGCCAGTGCAGTCGCGAAGGAGCTCGACGAGATGTGCGTGAAGGTGGAAGGCTCAACGCCTGGGTCGAGTCGGCGGTCGAGCAGGGTGATTGCGTCGCGGAAGAGTAGCCTGCGAGTATCAAGGGCAGGGCTTCGTCCTTCGAGTAGCAGTCGCCGGACGAGCACCATATCATCTGGGGCGAAGTCTGGATATTCGTCCGACAGCGATGGCATCCCGCCTGTGCCGCGCCTCCCTGGTCGGTCCTCTCTATCACCTACTGCAGGTCGAAGACCAAGGGTATGTGCACAAAGCCTACATTTCGGTGTATATGTATTCTGACTACTTCTGCAGGCGCTATCCGACGGTGCTATAGGACATAGGCAGCAGCGCAAGCTTGACGCGAGCGCGCCCATATGGAAGCATGACCGTCGGGTTCGCTCGCGGTCAGTACCTCCACGAGCATCGCTGGCCGCTGGAGAGATAGACATGAGGTCCTACCAGTTATCTTGAAGGGCGTACTCACGACATCGCAGCAATAGTCACCCTGCGAACTTCCAGAGTCACCGTGCATATTGTATTCTACCTTGGAAAACCTCGTAATCTCGCATTCTGTCATTTCGCTGGCGTCTACCATATGTATCTATCTGACATGACATTGATGAAGCACGACGTAACTTATTACTGTTGATACTTTGGTACAATCCAGGGACACTTAGTCCACCAGGAAAGGATGGAGCATACATACTTGATAACAACTTGAGAGCAAAGCAGGACAAATAAGTACAGGATCAGGCATCAAGCAAACTGCAGTTTTGCATCGTCCAACCGTCGACGCCCACCCTTCACCTCCGAACACGCTTCCTGCGAATTTGGACTTCGCCAGGGGATGAAGGTGGCTCCTCCGTCGACTGGACTGGTGCCGACTCGTCGTGAGCGCCCTCCTCATCTTCCTCCTCGACCACAGACCTGCCTCTCTTGCGAGAGGCCCGCGGCGTTGTCTCTTCCTCAGTAGGAGGATTGCTAGCGCCCCTCGTGGGACGTTTTCTGGGCGACTTCCCGTACGTCTTAGACGCCCGAGGTGTCGTCGTTTCGCGCGCCGCAGGAGATCCTTCCGGTTCGACATCTGATTGTTCGGCCTGCGACGCCTCCCCGTCGGTGCCTGCGCCATTGCGCTTGGCGGCGGCCCGTCGAGGACGAGCGCGTGGTCGTGGACGCGTGGGGGTTTTTCGTACGACCACCGCTTCCTCTTCGGTGGTGTGCCCTTCGTCGTCCGTGACCACGGCGGCTGCACTTTTGCCCTTGCGGGGTCGACCGCGGCCCTTGCCAGTTGCTACATGTCATGTGAGCATCGAGAACAAATTCTGAACGAAGAGACGTACCTCGTGGGCGTGCTGTTGATACCCCGAGACGCTTCTCGTACGCTTTATGGGCATCCCATTCCTTCGCGGTGGAGGTCGAGGCGACTTTGGCCTCCGCTAGCACCTGGTCCATGTGTGCCTTACTGTAGGAGCTGTCAGTACCCACAATGTCGCGCATATACCAAAACTACTCACATGCGAAGGCCATCCTCAGGCTTGATGCCAACGACCAGAGGCGTCAGCACGCGGAAGAAAGTCAAGGCCTTCCTCATAAGTCGTCTGCTGCTGTTGGCCTGATACCCAGCCAGACGCTTGCCTATCCAGTCGAGCAAGTCCGTATGAATCTGCACGATGTGGTCTACATCCATACTATGCACGACAGCGAGCTGTGCGCCACGGATGACCATCGCTGTTGCTAGCAGTTTCGCCAAGCTGAGGGCATTCGACTCGTCCGCAACGTATCCGCCAAGGACCAAGTCGAAGGCCTCCCGGATGGCCTCGGTGATGACGCTGACGACGAGCTCTGTGTCGCCGCCTCTGCGGCACTCCTGCCGCAGGCTGTCTAAGACGACCTTGGAACAGCTGTCCACGTTAGCGCCGAATCGACCGTAGTGCGCTAGCAGCACCGCGCAGTGCCGGAGGTCGATGACACCTGCACGTATTGCACGCAGGTAAGTTGTGATGACATCCACGAAGACATACTCCTTCTCCAGCTGTGCTCGAGACTTCGTATCGACTGTCAGACAATGTCAGTCCGAAGTAACTCAAAGGAGAGAGGAATGACCATACCTTGCACAACATTGCGATCTTCCTCATCTTCTTCCTCGCTTTCGCTGTCCGAGCCGTCGTCATTGATGGGCTTCTGCCCACGACCCATGCTTTCCGCATATTGCTCGACCTCCGCCTGGATGAACCCAGCGCACCGGTACTGCACCTCGTCGTCCAACGTGACGGGTATAGACGCAAGCGGCAGCACAGCACCATCCGCCGCTCTCGTCTGCCCGGTCGCGAAAAGGACATGAATGTTGAGCAGTTGCTTGAAAGCCTGCATATATGCGTGATCAGCAAAGTGTTTGGCTGCGGTCGTATCACAGTGACTTGCGGCTCGCTTCACACCATCGACTGTGTTCGACTGACTGCTGAAGGAGAAGTCGACCAGCTTTTGCAGCAGGGAGTCGCGCTGCTCCCGAAGGGTATCTCTGTAACGGGTATCGTCTGAGGACTCGGAATCGATCGTGAGCCCCTTCGCTTTCCAGAAGATGTGAAGCGAGAGGACGGTCAAAGCTTGCTCGATCATCTGCGAAGTAACGTGAGTACCTCTGTACTGGCTCGCATGCAGCAACACGCGCACCGTTTCTTCCTCCTTGTGTCCCATCCGCCCTCGCTCAGAGAGCGCCATGAGGATATCCCATGCGCTACTCTGCTTCCCTCCCTCGTTCTCGTCCACCCACCCCGACAGATCCCTGCACCCTGACAACACCGCCAACCGCGTGCAGATCGCCGTCAACGCCAGCACCTCGTCCTCCGAGAACACCGCCACCTCGATCTCGTCGCGCCCAGCGATCACATCCCGAAGGCTGGTCGACAGCTCGTCCTCGAGCTCGACGATCTTCGTGCTGTTGGTGTTCGAGAGCGCGGTGGCGTCCATAAGGGTGTAGATGACCTTGGCGGCGTTGACGAGGACGGACATGGCGGTTTGGGAGAGGAAGAGCTTGTTGACTTCGTCCCAGAGGGTGCCGTAGGCCTGGTGGGAGCGTTAGATGCTGCTGGTAGGATGAGTGAACCAGGGGTACTCACAGGAACCTTGCGCATCTCAAGGTAGAGGTCGAGATTCATCATAGTTGGCAAGAGGAGCACCTCAGCGACGCGGGTGTGATCAGCCTGGTACTTCGCAAATAGTCTCGGAAGGCCTGTGATGAGTGCGCGAGTGATGTCGTTCGAGAGTTTCTCCTCTTCACCCTGACCAAGCAATTAGCACATGCACGATTGAAATGCGTATCTGCATAGGAAACGCACCTTCTTCCCACCCACAGACTCCGCCCTCGCCTTACTCACAGCTGCCACGAACACCTGCAACAATATCGTCTCTTCCTCATCATCCAGCCTCCACGCATCATTCACAGCCTCCGGACCCGCATTCTTCTCATTCGCCCTCCTGCGCTTGCTCGGCGATGAGGACCCCACTGCCTCCTCCGCCGCAGTATGGTCGAGCAGAAGGAGGTCCAAAAGCCCCTCCCAATCCTGCACGCTATCCAGCACGTCCCACAACGCGTCGACGGCGAGCGTGATGCGGTTGCGGGGCGAGTTCGCGAGGAGAACGCCCACCTCCTTCCGGCGCGCTTTCGCGGCCTCGCTAACGTCGTCGTCCGCTGCATCCTGCTGCGACTCCGTTTCCTCGCTGTCTGCGTCCAGCGTCTGACCCCAGCGGACGAGCAGGATCGCGAGCGCCTTGATCCCGATGCGGCTCTTGTCGGAAGAAGAGGGCTGAACGCCGACGAGGCGCTCATCGACGGACTCCTTCCACGCACCTGCCACAAATTCGCTGACGGCTTTGCGCACCCGGGCTTCGGGGTCAAATATCAGGAGGCACAGCTTGTCCCGCTCGTCATCTTCGAGCAGTGACGCATCGTCGATCGCGGACAGGACCTGGATGACCGCAATGCGGACGGAAACTTCGATGTCGCTGGTCGCCATCTCGATGAGGCGCGGCTTGAAGCGCTCGGTGAAGTGGTTGAGGGAGGTTAGGTAGGAGGTCGCTGCGTAGACATGCTGGAGGGAACGCACGGCTTCGAGGCGAACGTGATGGTTGTTGTCGGAAAGGACCCAGCCGACATAGCGGAGGTAAGAGGTGTCAAGGAAAGTGGAAGGGTGCTTCTTGAACCAGACACCGAGTGCATGTATGCACTCGGCACGGATGGTAGGGTCAAGGTCGCGGTAGCGGTGAACGAAGACGCTAGGAAATAGTCAGCCAGACTGTTCTTTGAGAGTAGCACACGACGCATACCCATCCACAAACTCCTTCAAATACTCCGCAAGCTTATTCCGTCGGCTGCGCACCTCCTGAAGCTTGCTTTCCAGCTCCTTCTCCCGTGCACCCTTGCCCTTAGCAGCACTCGCAGCCTTGCGCTTCTTCTCTCCCTCACGCTGCCGCCCTATGACCTCGGCCTCCTTCTCCACCTTAGCAGCGACAGCGCACAGGGCGGTCTCGGCCTCCATAGCCAGCACCGTCGCCGTGTGGCGGAAGCTCCGGATCTGCGAGGACGACATCGGCACGACCCATGTTTGGAGCGTCGGCATGAGGTCGGAGGTGTACAAGGACCCGAGATCGGCGGCAGAGACGATGAGGCGCTCAATGAACTCGGACAGGGACTTGCGGAATTTCTTGAAGATGGGCAGCTTCGATGTGAGAGGGTAGGTGGGGGAGTTGTCCTGGGCACGCGACGCGTTTAGTGCTCTATTGTTCGGGTGAATTTGTGTGAACGCACCTGCTTAAGCGCTTCGGTGAAATTGTCCAACGCGTCGACAACACCATCGTAGTCAACTGCCTCGTCCTCGTTCACGGAGTCGTTGCAGCCACAACAGCGGAGGATCAAGTTGACCAGTTCGGCTTGCGCGTGTCCTGGGCTCGAGTTCAACGACTCCAGGAAATCCTCCGCCGTCGACTGCAGCGCCGCAGCAGGATTCAATATAGCATCTATACCGCATGGTCAGCTACGCAATACGCGTCAACAGGAACAGTCACGCACTGAACAGGGGGTTGTCCGACGATATCTTCGTGTCCTTTTCGACCTGCGCCGCGTCGAACACCACATCCTCCCCCTCCTTCGGCTTTCTACCACGACGCGTCGTCGTACCCGTGCCCTTCACTCGCGCCGTTCGGGGCTTCTTGACAGGCCGAGGCTCCTTGGGCTTGCTCGCCGCTTTCCGTTTGCCTCGGCCCGCGCCTGGCGCAGCTTTCGCGGGCCCTTCATAGTCTTCTTCTTCCTCTTCATCATCAGCTGGCACTGTGTCTTCTCCCCCCTCCTCTGGATCGTCGATCTCAACATCTGACTGGCCTGGGGTGTCGGCTTCGGTCTCGCTCTCCCCGGCGCGTCTCTTGTTGTTCGAACCTTGGCTAGCTGCGTGACTCTGTCAGGAAAGCGCGTCAGATTCATGAGAGATGCACGCACAAAATAGCTGCGTCGTCTTCCTGTCGCGCTTCGAGCGTCGAGGAGCGGTGGAGTCCGACATGGTGGCAAACGGTGACAAGAGACGCGACGCGACGAGGCCACGTTCCGGTCCCGGTCCGGACTTCGGCACCGGCGATCAAGTCATGAAAGCACGTGCTCACATGAGGACAAAATTGCCGCATTAGGCAGTGTTTGTGCTTCAACAACAGATACCTCCGTTTGAGCCTTTTGGTGCAATGGTAGATGTTGAAAGGGATCATTTCTTTACTTTGATCCTCCACTCCTCTCTCCCTCGCCTGGCCACCTTATCGTAGCCTGTGAGTACACCATACAGATCCAGTACATTTTTGTCTTCTACTCCATCACCCCGTCTCTACGCATACTTCTTGATCACATCCTTCAACAGCTCCACATCCGCCTTCAGCACATCGATGACATTCCGCGGCTTGTCGAGTAACCCCCGGAACTCCTCCGGCAGCACATCGCGCTCGAAGTCAAATTCGAAGTACTCCTTGAGCGCGCGAGAGACGGCCTCGGAGAACTTGGCGGGGTGCGCGGTGGAGAGAATTATCTGGGTGGTATTTTGGGGGCTGAAAAGGCAGTATGAGTATGCGTATTGAGAAGAGGGTGATAGTGCCGAGAAAGGGAAGCACTCACTTTTGTGCCGCAATGAGCGCCGCAGCAGCAAGCCCAACCGCAGTATGCGGGTCTGCCGTATACGACTGGTCTGCGAGGAAGTGCTTTTTGATGGTATCTAATGTCTGCGTAGCGCACCTCCGTCAGCCTCTCGATTGTGTCCACCCTCACCAGGAACTCTCACCTGCTCATCCGATATCCTCTCCGCCACAAAGTCCTTCCTCGCCAGTTCGAGCGCTGCCACCGGCACCTCCACCCGCCCGTCCGTCTTCACCAGCGACATCCAGTGCGCCAACGTCGCCGACGCATTCGCCCTCTTTTCTTCTTCCGTCGCACCCTCCGCCCCCTCCCTCGCCAAATACCACAACAACCTCTCAAAGTTACTCGACACCAAGATATCCATCGCTGGACTCAACGTCTCCTTCACTCCGCCCGCCGCGGTTGCCTGCTTCCCGTCTGACGAGCCTAATGCTGGGTCTGCCTCACCAGGGGCTGAGGCAGCAGCCGAGTCGACCTTCTCATACTTCCCCGTCCGCCAGAAGCGCGCGAGGATGTCGTTCGCGTTCGTCGCGACCGCGAGCTTCCCCATTGGCAGCCCCATCTTCTTGGCGTAGTAGCCGGCGAGGATGTCGCCAAAGTTGCCTGTGGGGACGACGAATTGGAGTTCGGCATCTGTAAGGGGGAGGCGGTCAGCGTCTAATTATATCAAGGTGTGAAGAACCCGCGATGCATGTACGTACCAGCAGGTAATTGCTTGCGTGCATTGAAGTAAGCATGGAAGTAGTAGACGGTCTGCGCGAGGATGCGCGCCCAGTTGATAGAGTTGACCGCGCCGAGCTTGTATTTTGCGTTCATTTCTGCGTCGCCGAAGAGCGCTTTGACAATATCCTGTGGAGTAGGAGGTGTGTTAGTGTCAGTATTATGGGACATATCAGAGTTCTGCATGCGCACCTGGCAGTCATCAAAAGTACCCTGGACGGCAACATTGTGCACGTTGGGATCCGTGACGGTAGTCATTTGGGCTTCCTGAATCGGCGAGACGCGCCCCTTGGGGTGGAGGATGAAGACCGAGATGTTGGCCTTATTCCTCACACCGTAGATGGCTGCGCTGGATCACGTCAGTCTACATAGGCATGTACACATTGGGACCACATACGCACCTCCCAGTATCCCCACTCGTCGCGCCCACGATCGTCAGCTTCTCCTGCGGCTCACCCTCCGCCTTCTGCGCATTCCTCCGCAAAAGGAAGAACTCGAAGAGATTGCCCAGAAACTGCAGCGCGACGTCCTTGAACGCAAAAGTCGGTCCATGGAAGAGCTCTAGGATAAACCGCTTGTCGTCGAGCTTGTGGAGAGGGGTGATCGCGGGGTGACGGAACGTGCTATAGGACTTTTCGACGAGGGTGCGGAGGTCCTCGTTGGAGATCTCGTTCGGCGAGATGTAGAGGCGGAGGACGGCGCAGGATAGATCGACGAAGGAGTAGTCTTTCCATGCTTCTTGCCAATCTGAGGGAAGGGAGGGGATGGACTCTGGGATGTATAGGCCGCCGTCCGGGGCAAGGCCGGCGAGGACTGCCTGGGGAAGGTGAGTGGCAGGTGGTGATGGGGTTATTTGTAGCGCACCTCCTCAAAGGACAGCAAATCCTTGCCCCCGCGTGTTGAAAAGTACTTCATGGTAGTTTGCTACAAGCAACTGTGACTCGCATCGAGGAGTTCATTGCTGCAGGCGAACGTGCTCGCTCGATCAATCTCCTCGGATCACCGAAGCCTTTTCGGCCGAAAATCCCGTGTGGCGTGGGACGCTTGGACTGGCCCGTTCTCTTTCTTAGTTTCTACCATCATCATCTCTTCTGCACTTGAATCAGTAACTCAAGGGACATCATCAATTTCACCGTCCCTAACATGGGTGTATAGTCTCGGGTGCGGTACTCCGCCTACCTGGCAACGCTACCGCCGACAGCTGCACACGTACGCGGTGTGTGTACCCAGTTCCACTTTAGCAGCCTTCCCCGATGTTTGGCGTACGTTCCTCCTTCCGCGCATCTTGTGGCAAGAATCCAGATCAAGAAAGGCCACTCGCAAGATTCGGTTTGACACTCCTGATGGCGGATTGCGGCAAAATTCATGGGAGCTCGTGTGTTGGCGTCGGCGCGTATCCTACTAGCTCTCGCTCGACTCGCTTCATGGATTTTCTTCCCTACTGTGAGATGGATAAACATGCCACCTTTTGCACCCTTTCTTCCTCATTTGGCCTCCTCGGAATTCGCGCGCATGCACTCGCTCGAGATCGCGCCTCCCAGGTCTCAGGCGATCGCCCGCCATGACGCGCGCTTGCAATATACCGAATACCCGTCCTACGCGCTCTATCACCCAGCTGACGACGGAACCAGCATCATCGTTTACTCCCGCGTCTCTTTCGCCTCGATCCGCTGTCGTCATCTCATACGACTGAGACGACGACGCTGAGGATCGCGAGTGGGCCGCGCGCCTATATAACCGATAATTCCCCTCTCATGTTCTGTTGTTCGCCCCCTCGACACAACGAGTCATGATCACCGCAGCTGCTCTGTGTGCTCTTGGCCTGACCGGCGTTGTGCGCGCGTGGCCAATGCCCGACCGTGCACCGACTCAATACGTCGATCCACCTCCCGGTCCGGAGGGCGGCCTCGGTCTCAATGAGATCCCCCAAGTGAGTCTTACTCATACTTCCCCTCATCCCTCTGACCTCCTTCCTGCAGTACGTATACTACAGCGACTTTGACTTCCAGTCGCTGAACCTGGCGCTGAACCAGGAGTGGATTGAGCTCGACCTCTTCCACTACGGCCTCGCAAAGTTCACCGACGACGAGTTCGACGAGGCCGGCATCGACGCCGAGCAGCGGTACCTTCTGCAGTTCATGGCCGAGCAGGAAGTCGGCCACGCGACGCTCATCCAGACGCTCTTGCAAGGCAACGGCGCGAAGCAGTGCAACTACACCTACCCCTTCAACACTGTGCGCGAGTTCATTGACTTCTCGCAGAAGGTATGTACTTCCCTTCCCATCCATCTCCCCCTCCATCTGCCTCTAACCTTCTGCTAACTACCTCACAGCTCACCCGTTGGGGCGAATCCGGCGTCTACGGCTTCCTCGAGCACCTCGACTCGCGCGCCGCCGCCGAGATGCTGCTGCAGTCCATCACCACCGAGGCCCGGCAGCAGATGATCTTCCGCCAGATGGAAGGCCTCTTCCCCATGCCCATCCACTTCACCACCGGGCTCCCGCAGTCCATGGCCTGGACGCTCCTCTCGCCCTACCTTACCTCCTGCCCCGAGGAGAACCCGCGCATCACCTTCCAGCTCTTCCCGTACCTTTACATCGACAACAATCCGAACGCGTCTGTCCTCACCAACGGCACCGAGGGCAACAACACCTACCCGGCGATCACGCGCAACCGCACGCAGCCGCTGAGCGCGCCAGGCAGGCAGGTGTTCCTGCACTGGGACGCGCCCGGGCAGAATGTGAGCTACGACAACAGCTACGTGACGGAGACGACGGCGGGCGAGCCGAAGTTTGCGGCGTGGATTTCGCAGCTGAATGTGACGTACACGGAGCTGGTGGATGTGAACTTGACGGCGAGGACGGCGTCGACGTACCAGCCGGGCGGCTCGCTTTACAATGACACGAATCCGTTTGGCCAGGATCCGTTTGGGTGAGTGTTTTCTTCCTATTCAATCATTTGTGTTGTGGAGAGTGACTGACCGATTGGGCTTTCAGCGTCGTGAACGGCACGCAGTTCATCGTCCTTACCGATATTGACCTCTTCGTCACGCCCTTCAACACCTCGCAGATGAACCCGCACGTCGTCGCTGGCCCGGCTATGTATCAGTCTGGCTGAGCGCGTAGTGCATGATCGCCGCTCGTAAAATCACTGACGGACCTCTTACAAATGAAGTACCCATACATCCCAATGTACATTACACGCAATTATGTAGCCCTCCTCTTCCTTACCCTCCAAACATCCCGTACGCCGAGCTTCACATGCTCCAATAAGTCCACACTCGCTAGGGCACGTAGTCCGCCCGCATCTCCTCCCCTAAGCTCCGTGGGTCCACCACCCACAGGGCCGCTCGCGGCGCCTCCTTATCCTTCCCATTCACACTCCCCCTCGCATCCTTCGCATCCTCACCCACATCCGTTGCACTCGCACCCCCACTCGCCCCGGCCTCCGCCCCCCAATCCCCCATCTCCTTCATCACCCCCTTCACGCTCGTCTTGTTCGCCGTCAGCGTCGTCCACCCGAGCGCAGCGCCATACAGCAGGCTGTCGATCGTATGCGCAGTGAGCCGCGGGTTCGCGCGCGTCACCTGGGCGCGGAGGCGTACGCTAGTGCGGCCGGCGGGGCGGGCGCCTTTTTGGGAGGGTTTTGGTGGGTGTGTGGGGGCATTGGTCGAGGTACGCTCGTCCTGAGAGGATATACGGTCGTCCTGAGAGGAGACAGGGTCTTTGGAAGAGAAGGCAGCACCGTTCGTTGAGGGCGCATCCACCTCATCTTCTTCATCACTGCTGACGGGAACGAAATGCCCAGCAGCCATCTTCTTGACCGTGCGCGGGTGCGGAACGACGTCCTGCGCGAGGAGCTCGCGGCAGGTGTGAGCGAGCGCCCGCGAGAAGGCGCTGCCTGGCCCGAGGAGTATTCGGATTTGTGAGTCGTCGGATGTGGCTTGTGATGCGGTACTAGTGGCGTCGCTGGGGGCAGGGGAGTTTCTGAAAGCCTTCGCTTTCCCCACCATTTCGTCTGGACTGGCGTCATATATATGGATGGGTAATATTGGGACGTGATCCAAGGGATAGCGAGAGCCTCGCCAGTATGTCGAACGGCGGAGGCCCAGGTCAACTGCGTCTTCTCCAATCACGGAAGTAGGGTCTTTTGTTGCTGAAGTAGGCTCGGCCGATGCTGACGAGGATGCATGCAGCGCTTCCGCCTCTGCATGCAGCACCTCCGCCTGCTCCGGGAACACCGCCTTCACAGCGCCCGGAAACATCGCCCACACCCTCTTCCTCTCCGTCTTGCCACCGATCTTCATCACGATGCGCACGCAGCGGTCGCGCGCCTCGCGCGTCGTCCAGAAGCGTACGCGAGGGGCTGTGGTTCCAGGGTTCTCTGCCTGAGTGTGTGATCCTAGCTTTGATATTTGCGTATGCATGTCCTGGAACAACCCACAACCCATCTCTTGAAGGACTTGCGTGGTGAGCTGCCGTGTGTGCTTCATGAGGTCGTCGTCTTCCAATGCGGGTGGCAGTGGCTCCTCTGGGTCGTGTGCAGTCTCTTCGGTCTCGCCAAGAGGTGTAGAGGTGCCGATTTGCAGGTCTGAGTCGGTAACGCCGGCTTTGCCCTTCATCGCTGCGCGATGCAGTTTGCGCCATACGCGGTATCGCGTGGGCGGGATGAATCGAGCCTCTGCTTCCTCTATTGTCGTCGGCAATGGCGCGTGCGTCAGGTCGGATGTGAGCGCGATGAGAATAGACAAGTCGAGGTTAATGTCAGGCGTAATCACTGGTGGGTGAGAAGGAGCTGGAGACGGAGCAGCCTCATCCGCTCTATCCTTTCCAGGGAAGGGCGGCAGCGATGTGCGTTCGCCGAGTTCAACAATGAGGCCCATTTCCTCCAGCATGCGAATCGTCTGACCGATCCGCGGGTCGGTATCCTCGCCATCGGGTGTCAAGCGCGTGAGGCGAAGGACGACAGTAGGAGGACGGCCGGTGATCTCGCTGGGGTTAGCTTGCGCGGCAGCGATGAGCGAGCGGCCGAGTCGGAGGACTGAGTTGTCGAAGTTGGTTTGGCGGAGGGAGGGGACGGGGTAGTCATCGTCGTCCTCGTCTGAGCTGCCGGTATCGTAGGAGTCAATCTCGCGAAACTCGGCCAGCATGCGCGCGTTCTTTATGCTGGAAGGTAGGCTAGGTCAATTGCGCAGACTGCCGACGCAACTGAACGTAACGTACGTGTTGACACGGATCCAACTGCGCCCTCCTTCCGCAACGATGTCGATCTTGGCAGCGCCCGCCTTCTTCTCGTCACCGCCCCCTCGCGTCTCCTTCCCCTTCCGCGGCGCGATCGGCACCGACTTGAAGATCGCTGCCAGTGGCGGTGGCGCACACAGCACCTCATTCCACACCGCAAGCAAGTACGGCGCGTTCGTGCTCAGTGGTGGAAGGTATTGGGACTTTGGATCATTGAGGAACTACTGCCGGATGGGACGGTGAGCACGCTACAGCCATCGGCGATCAATTCGCAAGCATCGTACCTTGTCCAGAACATCGTAGTCGACGCGTACAGCTTCTTTTAGCTTCTTCAGCCCAGGCGTGTGTCGTCGCTGTAGCCATTGTTCTTCGTGCTGTTTCGTCCCAAGGAATTCGACGGATGAATCGATGATGGGCGGGCGCGGCGCTGGGGGATAGAAGTGCTCGATGGAGTACAATATGTCCTGTAACCTCGTTCGCAAAGCGTGCAGTTCCGGGTGGAAGACATCCCCCTTGGTAGAATTGTTCTGCGCGGCCATGATTGTATGTAGCGAGCAAGTGATGATAACTGGAACAATAGAGGTGTCTTAATCTGGAAGCTTTTGTTGACCTGATTTCGCAATGTCCTCGTCGCAAACTTTTCATCTCCAAACATCCAGGCATATATAGGTCATGCAGGTCATCCAAAATACTCTACACTACTAGTACAACTACACACTATCTGTTTTTCTTGGTATACGGCAGCGCTTCAGCAGCAGCATGCACTATTTGATGATGATTGGAGAGGAGAGCAGAACAAGAATCAAACGACAGCGAAGGGTGAAGCTCCGGACATGACATGAAAGACAGAGCGAGAGCGAGGAATAAAGAAAAGGACAACGGAGATTAAGGAGAGATGACGAAGGTAACTGCGGGTTATATAGTGTGTCCAAGATGAAGATGCAAGATGATAAATATGTGGGACGCTCAGAGGAGACACACGTCCTCCAAGCCCCGAGAGAAATCGAGGATGGCGATCTTCTGGTCGTGTGAGGTACTGTGGAAACAGTCAGCGACGTGCACGATAGACGGTCGAAGGGAGAGGACTCACGTTACTATCCGAGAGTTATCGAAGCGAACGTCGAAGATATGGCTCGTATGGCACTGCTTGAACTCGCGCACAAGCGAACCAGGCGCTGTGCCCTCCGGACGCCCCGTGTCCAGGTCCCACACCCGCACGCAGCGATCGTAGCTCGCGCTAACCACACGGCCCTTCACGCGGTCATCGCCACCTCTCCCGGCCGGGTACACCTCGAAGGCAAGCGCGCGCACGAGCGCACGGTGCCCCTCCAGCGTTCCGAGACACTTGCCCGTCTTCGCGCACCACACCTTGATGGTGCAATCATTCGAGCCCGTGAGGATGAGATCCTGCTTGAACTCGATGCACGCGAGCCCGCGGTCGTGCCCGTCGAAGGTGCGGATGCGCTCGCCCGAGTCGATGTTCCAGAGAATCATCTTCCCGTCGCCAGACGCGCTGACAACGCGCTGTGCGTGCACACCAATAGCGTTGACAGGGCCGTCATGACCGCGCATGACGCGCGCCTCCTCGTACGTCGTGCGACTCCAGACGCGGATAGAAGCGTCCTTCGAGCAGCTCACGATCCACTTCTGCCCAGTGGCCGACTCGTACAGACGCAGGTCGAGCACGCCGCCAGAGTGTCCGCGCAGCGTGCGCAGGAGCCGGCTCTGCGTCACGCGGAGACGACGGCGCTTGCGATCACGGCCGGCGGCGAAGCCCTCGACGGTGAAGTCCCAGACGCAGATCGTGCAATCACTGCTACCGGAGACCATGAAGAACCGCTGACGGTCAGGTGTCGCGCCTGACCAATCAGGGATCACTTCGAACTTCAAACAGAGCACAGAGCCTGTATGGCCGCTGCCCTCCTCGCCACCCGAGTTCCTCAGCAGGGCGAGACAAGACTCGCGACCAGAGCGAGCGTGCATGTCCCAAATACGGATGGTCCGGTCGCGACTACCGCTAACGAGCAAGCCCCATTCGAGTGAGAACTCGGCCGTATAGACACTGTCGGTATGCGACTGCAAGTGCGAAAGGGTCGGTCCGGCGAATTCGGGGTCGTCACGTCGCCACCGCTTTTCCAGCGCTGCACGACGTATGAAGAGGCGCTTCCACTCTGTTGACGTAGAGCGACACGTAGGTCGGCGGACGCCCCACCAGCTCACGTACGCTTTGTACCAAATCTCGTTGTCCTGCAAGAGGTCGTACCATGAGTGGCAGACGAGCGAGCACGGCAACAGGTCGTTCAACCCGTAACCGTAGCCGCCGGTGGTGTCGTCAGAGGTGTGGGGAATGAGAAGGGAGAGTATGTAGACGCCGAGCTCCGGTGGAAGTAGAGAGACAATGTCTAGAAAAGTGGTCAGGCGACTTTGTGGATGCGAGATAGAAGCGCTACTCACTGAGGCCGATAACGCATCTAATGTCCTCCCTGCCCGTGCCCCGGCCGACATCATATCCATATCCGTTGGTGTCAGAGGGTATAGGTGCGGAGTCCTCCTTGGAAACGAAGCAGAAACATGCCTCGTCCTCGATGTCCGAGTCGCTGGGAAAGTCTGGACCGGAGTCGATGAGGACGGGAAAGTCGCCCACAAGCGGCTCGTCCGGGTCCTCGACAAGCGAGACGCGGCTCGTCGCGGGGGTGTGGTAGCGTGTGGAGGCGCGGGAGAGCGTCGACGTGGGGCTTCCGCGGCCCATGAAGACGGAGAGGGTGGAGCGGTTGAAGGTGCTGAACGAGCGGCCCGCGGATTGGGACGGAGAGGGGCGCGGGCGCACCGGAGTGACGAGGGTGGGCGAAGATGCATTTGCGAAGCTGGAGCCACGCAGTTTGGAGGGCGAGCTGAGGATGGCGTCCCATATCCTGGGGAGGATGCCCTTGATGTTGACGTTGGGGATTCCGTTCAATATGGAGTAGGTGGTATTTCGAGAGTAAGGTAGGGTCCATGGTTCCTCTTGGTAGTAACGCTGCTGTGGGGGTGTTTCTGGCCAAACGAAGGAGGATGCAGAGGACGCCAGGCCCGGTACGCGGCGGTTGGAAGGTGGGGTAGAAGCACTGCGTGCGTGAGAGCCAAAGACGTCGGAGTCATCCACGTAGTCGATGAGCGAGTAGCTGTATGATGAACTGGGGCGCGGCGGGGTCGCAGCCGACGACGAGGAGGCCATCGTACAAGTGTGGTATGACGGTGTGCGGAGAAACGCTAGCACATCGGCCCCTCTTTCTCACACTTGTGGTATTGCAAATTCCCCCCTCTTTGTCTCCGAGAACAATGGCTGGTCCTCTTTCGGCTGCTGTAGACGATACGCAGGGAACGATTGCAATCGGGATGTAGCAATAATGACGGCGGGAGGCAAGAAACTGGAACACACGCGGAAATGGCCGTGCTGAATTTCCGAGTCGTAACAACCGTCGGCAACGGACCTCACACCCGAAAGTAGGCGCTCTTTCTGCGTGCACCTTGGGCCTTCTAAACATTCTACACAGGTTCTACAACACTTTGGGTACATTCTGAGTGAAGTACCTGCACTGGCTTACAATGAGACGTACATGTGTTGCAAGTATTCTACATTGCCGGATCGTGGGCATAGATCCTTTCCGAGCCTCATCGTGCACCCTGGCAACAACGATGTTCTACCTGCCGACAGTCGAGGTCAAGAGCAGGAGGCTGTCGCTTACTTCGAGATGAGGTCAGCCCTCTGAAGTGAATTCTCCAAGTCACAACGACTTCGCCACACCTCTTCCTCGTGTCACCGGCAAAGTGCAGTAGACGGCTCTTCATGCATGAGGACCTGTTATACTGCAGTAGCCTGACTATCACCTGCTTAGCGTGCGCTGTAGAACGCGCTCAGAAGAGGACGTAAGGTATGGCGCTCTCGATCCAGTCTTACAGTTGCTTATGCCAACTCGTCACCCTTCAGCTCTGTGCCCTAGTCTACAGAATCGCTCTCCTGACAATTCCACGGGACCTCCCGCACTCATCCTGCTTCATCCCCCGCAAGCTGATCCAGTGCCGATAACGACGTCCCCCACCTCATGTCCGCCGCGTGTCTACTGAGTACTTCCGACCCATTTCTCACCAAGTCCATGCCCATCCCATGCCGCCCCCGCCCCGTTGTTTCAGGCCCAGGTAGCCGGCCTTTATGAAGGGGACGTACTCGCTGTCGCCTCCTTTCGATAGCTCGACATCGACCCTCAATAGCTGGGCTTCGACCCCTCCTCGATAACTCGTCCTCGACGCCTATCCGTCGCTTGCTCGACCCCCACCCTCCATATCGTCTTCGAGGATTACGACCCATCTCATCATGACCGCCTACGATCTTGCCTTGTCCTCCGGCGCAGCCATCGGGGCGTACATCTGCGCAGGTGCCGCTCCGATGTACATCGCCATCTCGTTTATTGTCCTCCTCATCTCGGTCTTTGCCGCACTTCGCACACGCCGCGCCCGCGCCGCCGCCGAGGCTGCCCAGCTCGCCCGCACCGTCGAGCTCGAGCGCCAGGCCGCCTCCCTCGCCCGCGCCCTCGATTCCGCACAGAACGCACTCCACGCTTCCCAGAAGGAGCGCGACTTCGCCCGGGTCGTGCGCCTGGTCGACGAGATGCGCGTCGCGTGCCTCCAGCGGCGCGCCGATCGTGTCGAGCAACGGAACGCCGAGCTTGAGGCGCGGGTGGCGGCTGTCAAGCAGGAGTTCATCGAGCTGGAGGAGAGGAGCGCGGAGCTGGTGAGGCAGCACACGACGGCGGAACACGAGAAGGGGAAGCTGGGGGAGGAGGCGAAGCGGTTGAGCAAGGCGTTGGACGCGTATGAGAGTCTGTTCTTCGGAGACGCAGGTGAGGAGATGGAGTTGATGGAGAGGAGGCCGCGGTCGTGCGTAGAGACGATGTGCCCCGTAGTGCCATTGCTAAAGAGGCCGTCGATCGAGGTGAGTCTTGCTTTCGGTGTGCATCTCGATGGATTGCTGATAGGCTTGCGCAGCTCCTTGCTCCCGCCTCTCACGCTCCACTCGAAAATGTGATCGCCACCCCTTCAGATGAACACGACGACGACATGACCCTCACCGCCCCATCTACCTGCGGCTCCCACATGTCCTTCGCGCCGCCATCGCCCTCCTCGCTAAAGGCCTGCACATCGTCACCGTCACGCCCATTGTCTCCATCGAAGATCCCGAGGCTCCAGCCCCCTCGCGCGAAGTCCGACCTATCCACCGCGTCTGCGCCGGCCATGAAGCCGGAGCGTACCTCCTCGCGTGGTCGTATCTTGTTCTCCACCTCTCCCGGGCGCCTGTCCTCCATGGTGAGCAGGAAGGCCAGGATATGCGAGGATTCGACGGCTTCGACTGGCGATCTGAAGAAGAGGAAGTCGGTGCCGGCCACGCAGAAGCGGATCTGGCGTTTCTGAAGAGATCGCGAGGACCTCGTCTGAGGGATATCCTTCTGCACCTATGTGCGCTCTATCAGGGTGGCAACCCGGACAGCACGCTCTTTGCATGTCCGGGGAACGCTTGCTACAGAATGCGGGCACTCGTCTGACCGAGAGACGCTCTGCGGGCTGGTTCCGCTAGATGCTCTCAGCGATCCGCGCTGATGCGTGCGCGCGACGGAGACCAGATCGAGGCGAGTCCGTTCAGGTATTTATCCCATAACTTATTCTGTCGAACTGTTGTCTGTTGTACTCCCTTGTATGTACCGCTTCTGTGTTGTCTACGTATCGTTGTGGATCGGCTTCCTTCGTCTCTTGGTTGTTACTGGCCTTCTCTTACCTTTTTTTTCGTACTCGGGCGTTTCGTTGCATCACTGCCTTCTGCTCAATCATCCTATGACATTATGCCTCGCTATGCCTTTATGCACTCACTTACGAAATATATCCTTTGACCTCGATCCCATGATTTCTGCGATCGTCTTCAAGGTCCAAGACTTCTGCCACCTGTAGCTTTTTCCGTGACCTTGATGTAGACATACCACCCTCTTCCAGGAATATTGTACGCCAGAACGCCTTCAACAGCCCAGGCTTCCGTCTTGAACTTCAGAGCTAAAAGTCGAACCTCTTTATGTCCTTTTTGGGCGACTGATCATCATGTTCCCCAAGCGCGTCACAAACAGTCATCAACAAACGCGATGGCTGACGCTGAACCACCTTCGCCGCCAAAGGACGCGGCATCCCCGCCAGCGGCAGCGCCGACGACGGGATCCCCAACTGATTTCCTGAAGGGTGTCGTCGGGAAACGTGTCATCGTGCGCCTCATCTCCGGCGTCGACTACCGTGGTGCGTGCGATCGTGCGTTAGCACCGTGTATACCTGGCTGATGAGTCGTGCACAATGAAGGCGTCTTGAGCTGCCTCGATGGATACATGAACATTGCGCTCGAGCAGACGGAAGAGCACGTTGGGGGACGCGTCGTGAACCGCTACGGCGACGCGTTTATTCGGGGGAACAATGGTGCGTGATCAGGCTTTGCTACTTGAGCTGGTGGCTGATCCAAAGGACAGTGTTGTACATCTCTGCTGCAGAGCCGATCTAGTGTGATGCACTTTGTTGTAATTTGGACGCGTGATGAGCGTGGACGACACGCACGAAGACGATCGAGACTTGTAACATAGCGCGCCGTCTTGCAATGACATCCCTGCGGCGCACACCGATGCAAACCTTGAAGTATACCGTCTCGATAATTCGCCGCACACGCCCTTTGGGAAGAAAATATGCTGCTAGTATGCAGATCATCTGCGGCGATCCCGAGCAGCAAACATGTCTCAAACGCTGAATGGCCCCGCCTCGACGCTGCGTTCACCCCGGTCCCGCTCACGATTTCTTCTTTGCGGGGCGCACGCAGACATGATGATGTATAGATCCTTCAACGTGGTGCATATCCGTACCGACGATGCCCGGAACGCCAATCACAGCGGACGTTGATGATGGTCAGTTGGTCGTTTGGCACTGGCTGAATACAAGGTAGGGTTCTCGTGCGTCACCCAGCGGGTTAGCGCCTGTACATCCAGAACCAGCGTTTGTCGCACAGGGCGACATCATGGTTGGAAGGAGGACAATGAAGACCTCGCTGCACCCTTTCCATGCTAGTCAATAGCGAAGTCGCAAGATTGGTCGAGTCAACCCAACCGACCAATAATTGCCCTATACGTGCATCTCTCAGGCCACTCCGTGTTTGGTCTGAAGATAAAATGGAGACCTCCCTTCGCAATGTGTACGGCGAACTGGCGGCCTCGCTCCGAGGTCAGAAGCCCATCGCTCGATAGATTCAAGAGATGTATCGCATTCCAACCTCTTCGCAACACCTGACTCCAGGTCGGGGACGGCCTGGCCGTGGTCCTTGTTTGACTGCTCCAGAGTTTGCCACGGCCGGTCAAACGCCGTTGTGCTGTTTGGCCTTTTCAGCTGGGCTTTCTGGTTTTGCTCGGAATGAGTCCCCGAGGTTGCAGACGAATCTAGTGGATACCCGACCCTGGTGATCGTACTCGGAAGCCTCGAAGACCCCTCGTATCGCGTACTCGCCGATCTGCAACTTGCAAGACGAGAGATCGTCGGCATGCCCTTGGCACAGCCGATCGTCTTTGAGTGCTTCAGCGACTCTATGACCGATGCTGCGAGCCCACACAGACGCGCCGCTCAAACGGCCCATTTAACCGATGCCTGGGTGCCCGGTCTGCTTTTCTTGATCTCCCGCTCCCCTTTCCTTGATCCTGCCTCCTGCTTTCCCTGATTTTCAATCCTGCTTTCCTTGATACACATTCCTGTCTGCCTTGATTTTACGTGCTTCTACATGTAGTTTTACACGAGTCTTCCCAGGAGAGGCGGGCCGTTTGCCGTTGAGAGCGCGTCATGTTCCGAGACGAGCGCGTCCTTTCCCATGACAGGCGCGTCGTCGACCACGAGCCCGCCCTCCCGCTCTTGAAACTTGACCTCCTGCGCTGTTATGATTTTCTAGAATGGACGGTAGATCGTTCGGGATTACCGCTGCTGCAACGATGCTGGATGGAAAATTGGGATGGAAGTCCACGAGTCCTGTCGTCCTCAAGAGCAAGTGGTATCCGCTGCGCGCCACAATCCGACGTGTTCAGTTGTTCGATGCTGTGGAAGTTCAACTTCGGGCTACCTCTCGTCTCATCACATCACATCCTCACTGACTGCAGGGTTGATGTAAACAATCCGCGTATCCGCCGGTAGATTGCCAAGGAGATTTATGTCTCGGCAGAGACAATTGTACAGGGCTTGCATGGAGGTCGCAATGATATTTGTGCACCCTCGTGTTTACCACTATTTACGCTTGACGGCGCCTTCCACATCGAGATGGACCCACACATCCAAACAAAGACAAAGTTTCTCAACTTGCGACAGGTACGGGATAGACTGTACAGCCTTTGGTACAGCCTGCCTTACGAAAGTCGCCTGGGTGATGATCTGGTCGGCTTTCGAGCTTTGACGGTTACAGTGGTCGATTCCAAGGCACGAACGGGCAAAGCTGGCAAGGCACAGAGGCTCTCGGGGACGGATTCCGTGCGACGGCCGCAGGAAGAGATTCAGGGGAAAGCGCTCCATCGGGAAACCTTTGTGGCAAGCGACGGAGGTGTCGTGGCGAGCGGGGCTTGGGTGGAAAGGAGGCAAGTAGGGGCTTTAGCGAGCGAGGGGGACAAGGAGCTGTCGCCGTGGCCAATAAGGCGGAGTCCGTTCGGGTTTGACGCGATAGATGGCGATAGAGGAGACTGACGAATGGTTGTTGTGGTTATGCAGGGCCTATGGAGCATGCCGGATACAGCGCGAGAAAGGATGAATAACATCGATTTGGGCGAAACAGGAGCGTTAATTATCGGCATAAATCAGTATAGCAAAGCAAGAGAATAGTGAATGGTATGATCTTTCCCCATTGACCGGATCGACGAGCACTTGCGCAACCTCCGCTGTTGGGGACCAGAAAATGACGAAAGAAGAGGAAGAATAGGACGTCAGGTCTTTAGGCCGGATGAAGCATAGAGGTTTCGCGTACTAGAGATGGCAAGGCAGACGCGGAATTGACAAGGACACGCCCCGAAAACGACGGAAGAGCGGCGAACGAGGGAGCATTGAGGGGGTAACCTCGAGCAAGGGTCCTGCAGGGTAAGGCGGCCGGCGATGTTCCGACAGATAGCGAGTCGTTGCAAGTCATGACAGCAGGACGTTACAATTCGTGCGCGGCCATTCAGTAAGGCGCACTATCAGAGATTGCCTGGTCGAGTCTGCCGTCACCCCCAAAAGACGCCGACGAGACGATATTGATGTTGGTCAATCGCTTGAGTTCGTCGACTGAGAGGGAGGTGGACTGGACATTGTGGCACCCATCTGGTAGCTGACCTAGATACGCCTGTCGTCAAGCAGAAGAAACATGCTACGAGCCGGCCAGAGGCAGAGCTTCGACAGGGCATAGGTCACGAGATCTGCCTTGTATGCCTGTTACAGTGTTAGTGCAAATGTATGCGCCACAATCTAAAGGTGGGCCGCGGGTGCGTATGAGATTGATGAAATGCTGCACTGAACAATAACCATGTGAGAGGCCCAAACGTACGACGGCAGCGGCCGAGAGACGGAAGCATACCCATATTCTGCCAATACTTGGGGATACATTGCTTCGTGGCAGGGGACAAGGCACGAATTACCTCTGCCAGCGACGGTGAAGGGCAGCTCGATCCTGCCCGTGGGAAAGTGTTATGTTGAACTCTTGTCACGGACGCTGATGGCCATCATCCCATTCAAGCTCGAGGCGATCTCTTCAGTCGAGGAGGGTCAGCGCGCTGCGACCAATTACTTTTACCTTGCTATGGATAATCTCAGCTCTGCATTGGCCTGGAAAGATGCAACAAAATGCCTGCACTTACGCCCAAACTACGCTCTAGAAAGCTGTCCGTACAACGTTCTGGTCCGCGCCCTCGAACGCCGGCGATGTGTCAACTTGGCGTCGACTTGAAGGCGGCCTTGTTCTACGAGCGCTCCCACGCGAAGGGGAAATACGACAGAGAATAGGCGCACTGCCTCGGGAGACAGACGTGACAAGTGGGTCGCGGTCGGAGGCACACACTCCATTTTTTCTGCATGTCATTTCCCTCGTTTTCCGTCCTGAAGTCCTCTCTGCAGGTCGTCTGCTAGCCCATGACGAGAAGCGGTACAGGGTCTGTGGGGCGAATCGTGGGACGCCGAGTCCGCGTCCCCGACCAAACACGAGCATTCGTGAACATCTGAACAGTCCACTCGCTTAGCCGAATCTGTGTAGTTCCCCCATCGGGACGCCTTCTCTTGCGTTTGAATTGAGGTGAAATGGTAATGATTGATCGCGGTAGGCTCGTTGACTTCAGGGCATCCCTTCATCATGTATAAAACGCGACCATCGCCTGCTGGTCGGGCCCTCCGTCGCTTCACACCCCGCTATACTTTCGGCATGGCAGGCGCACCCGCACTCACAATCGACATCGATGTCAATGGGCCCGCCGCATCCTACTTTGTGAGTGGTGTCTCGCGCGCGTCGGTGCTTGCACTGACGTTCGAACAGCACAGAGCGCGGCCCTCCATCTCATCGACGGCCAGCTCCCGGCCTGGTTCATCTAGCAGCGTGGCCACTATCTCATCACTGGCCTCCCAAGCGTCTGACGGCTCCGGACCGTCTCGCCCCCGTCGCTTGCCGCCGTCCCCGGCGGACAGTGCACGCCGCGTGCGCCCCCTTCCTTCTCTCCCAGCGACGTCACCAACTTGCCCGTGCTCTTCCCCCTCATACCTCGACGTCACACCTCAGCCGGCGCCGCCTAGGCCGCGCTCCCTTCGCCCGCTACCATCGCTCCCGGAGTTATCTGTGACTCGGCCTCCAACGCCCGCACCGACACGCTCCGCGTCCGACGATGGCTACGGAGTGCAGGTGTCCAGCGGGGAGATGACCATGCTCAGCGTGGACACAAGCTCATTACGTCTCGCGCCTCTGTCTCCAGAGTCCGACGAGACCAGCCCCATCTCGCCATACATCCCCGAGCCGCCAACACCAGCCACCGCACACAGGCGGCGCATGTCAAAACTACGTCGCCATCTCGGTGAACGCCCGCCATCGATACTGGTTCCCGCCGTCCCTCCTCTCCCACCTCTTCCCGAGAAGGCACACATCCTCGGGGCGCTCTCTAACGTGCGCGATCCCGTGTCGCTCGCGGACGCCATCGACACCGCGCACCGTGTACTGGAGATCGAGTTCGACAGTACGAGCGATGACGAGTACACTGAGTCCGACGCCGAAGACGACACTCTCAAGCCCATCGCTTGTGCAGAGGAGCCTGCCGACGCTGTGACCCAGCGATTCGGTACCCCTCCCCGCCCGCCCCACAAGTACAGCAAGAAGTGGTTGCGGGAGAGACGCGGTCGCCAGCGGGAGACATTGCCGTACCAGGAGGTCCTCAACGCACTGCGCGTGCTATAATCGCTGCATGCTCGACGCTAGTGATGGACTGGTATTTCACTGACGTGGCCATTTCCCTGTCGCGGGCTTTCCCTGTTGCTGGCTTTTTCCCTTTCGCAGGCCTTTTACTCACACGATACTTACTCGTCTGCCATCGCCATTGTTCTCGACCTGCTTGTTCTCTACAGCACACCGGAATAATTCCAGACACCCATCCGCCTAATACGCAACGATCACTTATCTATTCACTCCTTCTACCCTTTCTTCATACTCTCGACTCTCTTTCCCCTAATTATGTCGAGGACTAAGCTAAGTTCACAACTGTACCATATGTGCCACTTGTAGCTAGAGGTTTACTAGAATGCATGTCGAGGGGAAGCGAATGAAGTTGTCTTGGAAGCAGACTAAGTCGTCTTGCACGCAAGAGCAGGCGCACTGCAAGCGAACGAAGTCGTGTTGACCACCTCTGACTGTGTGGCACCCGAGCGACTGGAAGAGGACACTGCTCCCATGTCTTTTGTGATTGTCGCTTCCATTTGGTGATGCTCTGGCGATGCGCTGATCTTCCCTGATCTGCCCTCCTGGTCTCTACGTACTCAAACCTCGAAGGTGGATGGAGCCTTGGATATCCTGTGATGCTGGTCGTCTGTCGAAGGCCGCAATCGACTTTCGAATGCTACAGTCGGCTTTCAGGTGCTACAGTCGGCTTTCGAATACTGGAATCGGCTTTCGGACTTTCCTGGTATAGTTTTGTCGGAAACGCCCTCGGCTCTCTAGCTCTGACATCGGCAGCTGTTGTGACGCACTTTCTGCCTTTTGTCCGTGGAGAGCTGCGACGGAATGGTACAAGGCGGCTGACAAAAATAAGGATCAGATTGTGGGTCTAGCGACAAGAATTGGAGGAGGAAGACTGCAAGAGTACACCCAGTGGGTTAGCGAAAGGGGTCAATGTGCATGTACTGCGGAGCGTTTCACCCTCGAGATCTCCCTCAATCGACGCTTTCGAGGAAGTCAAGATGCCGAGTTCCGAGCGTGTTCGGAACTAACGGAGATGTTGTTGGCACCGGCGGTAAACCTACCATATTGGGCAATTATGGGAAGCGTGGGAACTGTAGCCGCGGGACCCACAAGTGATCTTCCGGAGGTCACGTCCGTACACCCATTGCGCGCACAGAGCTTTCCAACATATACATTGTCCCATCGCAGCACGGTAGCCAACCAGGTACATACAGCGATCAGTAAACGAAAGCACCGGACAACCAGAAAGCAGTGAAGAAAACCCAAGTCCGTATGTGCACGAAGTCCATAGGGATACAAGTCCATGAACAAGAAGATTGAACGAAGCACTCTCCTTACAGACCACAGATGCCAGAGCCGCCGAGGGAGGACTTGGGCAGGACCGCCGCCGGCAGGGACAACTTCATTGAAATCGTCGCCTTGCCCTGCGAGTCCGCAGTGTAGGTGTTGCAGCTCAGCGCATCGACGACGTCCTCGCCCGCCGACCAGCCCGACGTCGCGACGCTGCCGTCGACGCTGGCGCCCATGTTGCTCACGAGCACCTTCGTGACGCCCTTGGACGCGACGAGCGTGTGCGTGTCGTACACGGAGTAGGACGGCTTCGCGGTGAGGTAGTCGCCCTCGGGGATGTTCCACACGAGCCAGTTGCGGAGGCCGTTGAGCTGCGCGAAGTAGTCGTAGAGCTTGTCGCCGCCGGTCGCGTAGCCGGAGAGCCAGAGCGCCTCGCGGTTGTCCGGGTCTTTCTTTGCGTCGAAGATCTGCTCCTGGCCGTAGTAGACTGGATACGGAGTGAGCTTGGAGGAATAGATGATGATGAACGAGCGCACCGATGGGGATACCGTTGCCGGAAAGGATGGTCATAGCGGCGAGCGACTTCCGCTGAGACAGGTCGTTGGTCACGCTGCCCATGCGAGGGTTGTCGTGGTTCTCGGTGAAGGACCCGAGGAGACCGACATCCTGTATCCTTCCGTAAGAACATTATAGCCCCTGAAGATGCTAGTACTCACAGCGCACTGGTTGGTAAGCGCGTTCAGCGTGTTGGCTAGTGCGTTCACGTCACCCTTGTGCCAACTGAAGGCGCTGACAGTGTAGTCATGCATCGGGTAGTTGTGAAGACCGGCCATGTAATCTTGCCATGGGCAGAATTGACTAGCAAAGGGTCAGCCACTTGCTCTCGGGTGTCAGGATTGCTACGTACTTGACGTCGGCCGTCCAGACCTCTCCCTGGCAGTACACGCCTGCAGCGCTACAGAAGCCGGGCCAGAAGTCCTTGCGGATGTTCTTCGTCGCGTCGAGGCGGAGGCCGTCGATTGAGTAGTTCGAGACGAGCTCGCCGACGTATTTCTCGAGGGTCGAGACGACGTAGTCATTCTCCGTGTCCAAGTCCGGAAGGGGCACGTAGCCGTCACCCATCCAGCACTATGTAGTCGTCAGCATACGAAGCTCCGTGCGAAGAAGGAACGAGCAGACGTACATCCTCAATAGACTGCTGGTTGTTCCAGTTGATCCAGCACTTGTCGTGGAAGTACTTTTGGTCGTTGAAGGGGACGTATTGCGACCATTGGATGTCCTCGTCGCCCCAGCTGGCGTAGTGGTTTACGACGAGGTCGACCATGAGGTACATGCCGCGGTCGTGCAGGGCCTTCGCAAGGTTCCTCAGGTCGTCCGCCGTACCGAAGTTCGGGTTCAGCTGATAGTAGTCCTTCGGCCAGTAACCTGAACGCCAGTTAGTTACTCAGAACGAGTAGTACATAAAGCGTTGAGCGCACCATGGTAAGCCTCGCCCGAGTGCGTGTTCCCGTAAATCTGCATCGTAATAGGGCTGATCCATACGGCCGTGAATCCCATATTCTTGATGTAGTCAAGGTGGTTGGTCAGCCCCTGCCACGTCCCGCCGCAGAAAACACGGTCGCCCGTGTTGCACGGCGCGGTAGTGCTGCCATCCGTGCGCGCGAAGCGGTCGGTCACGAGCTCGTAAATCGAGCGCTTACGCCAGTCCTCGGCAGTCGCGGCAAACGCGCCAGAAATGAGTGGGAGGGAAAGAAGGAGTGACTTGGAGAACATGGTAACAACGCGAGACGCCTAAAGAGCAAACCAAGGGACCGCGCGCAACCAAGGGAGAAGGAGAACGGAGAGGAAGGTAAGGCCGCGCTGGAGGCCGGCCTCCTTTATAAAGCCTGGGTGATTGGAAGAACCCGCGGCGTTCGATTCGAAGACGGAGCGGACTGTCGAGGCACTGCCATCAGCGTGGTGCGCTGGCAACCCGAGTGTTGGTGCGGGGAAAATGGCCGGACCGAGGAGGTCATTGACCTCGATGGGAGGACGAAACGATGCATTCACTTTTGAAGCAGTATATCGTATGGTCGCCGTCGACGAGGAAGATGCGACCGTCAGTGCTTGACGCGACTGAATGCTCGGAGAGTGCAGTTGAGACAGCTCGATGTCGAGGGCGATAGCTCCGAACAGGCACAAACGCCATGCGCTCTTGATCTAGGAGCCAAGCCGGGTTGTTGGGGCGGCCGGAGATGGCAACGCCAACATTCGAGGCCTGTTCGCGCTTTACCGAGGCCGACGCCGTTCTCACCTTTACACGAGGTGCTGAGCTGAGGACGAGTATAATCCTGCAACAAAGATGGTCAGCAGTGCCTAAAACTTGGTACTCGGCACCAGCTGTAACCACTTGATAGAGGACCAGTCTTGCGTACACCAAACCTCATTCAAATATGCCCCGTGCACGGCATATATCCACGTAGCTTCATACTTACAGGACCGACGTTGTAGCGATACAGACAGCTTCAGAGAACAACAGGAACAGCAAGCATATAAGTACTGAAAAGAAACATACGAAAAAACGAAGTAAAGTTGAATAGTCTGTCACGTCGCATCCCTCGTCGTCCGCCGGGTGGCTCATGACTCGCTTTCCAGCCGGTCGTTGACGCGCTGCCTATGGTGCCGATTCTTCAGATGCACTTCATAATTCTGAAGGGTCTCCCCGCCACCAGGCGTATATAGCTGCGGGGTGGCCTCAGCAATGTTTGCGTGGTGTAATCTCTTGGACAACTCACCTTCCCAGGGCAGTCCAAACACTTGATTCGCCACTCGGGCGAGTTCACTGTCGATACCTTGCGAAGTACTGCCTCGAACTTGTCCGTCGGGTATTTCTCCTGCAAGCCCTTCATGGCCGCCAGCAACCATTCGGGAGGCTGCGCCCCTGGCGGGTAGGATTGGTGCGATTGTGCCGAGGGAGACGACGGTGCGTTGCGGTGAGATTGAAGCGGCGTAGACGTTGACCGGGACGTTCCATTTGTTTTCTCCCCGAGCGGCGGCGGCGTGCCAGCGCGGGTCTCCGTAGGCGAGTCATCGTCCCCGTTGCCGTTGGCAGAGCCGTTCACCTTCATCGTCTGCGCCAATGGTGCATCGGAGACATCAGAAGCAGAGGAGAGGGACGTGGCTCTTTGACGAGAGTTCGTCTTCTGCACGACAGGCGAGCTTGATTCGGCCCTTGGCGGAGGGGCTGCGCGCGTCTTTTTCCGCTTGTTTGTCGGCGGCGGACTACGGTCGTCGTTGGCCTCCTTCAACGCCGCCTCCTGCGCCTTCTCCGAGGCCACAGCGCGTGTGTGGAAGGCAACATCCGTGGTCCATGTGACTGGCCTTGGGCGACGGAAGCGGTGCCAAAACTTGCCTGCGGAAACAAATCAGGACGCCGTCGCGGACCTCAAGGCCGTGGACTTACCGCAAACTGCGCATTGTGACTTCTCTCCCATCGGACCCTTGCGCTTCCCCCCAGCGAGATCTTCTGGCCGGCCACAGTTCGAGCAATGCCATTTGCCGTCAACGTCGGTAGGGTGTTGTCTCGACATGTACTCTTTCTCTCTGGCGTCCTTTTCCCTCTCCCTCTCTCGTTGGACCTGCTTCTCTTTCGAGAACCTGATCTTGCCCGTGCCGTCATCGTCAGCCGCTGTAGATCTTGTCGGTGCCGAAACTTGGGCTCTCGGTCGCAGAACCGACGGGTCGAAAGGTGGAGCAGTGAAAAGCCCGGGGCCCTTGACCTTCTTCTCCTTCACCGGCGCACTCGCTGCTTGCTGCTGCTGGCCTCCGCTCGTGCCAGGTAGCTGCGCGGGTGTGAAAGGCGGCGACCCGTTCTCGTTGGCGACCATGTTTGCGATGGTGAGCGATGCAGCAGCCGCAGCCGCGCGACGCGATGTCGGCGCAGAGGCAGCCGCGGCAGCAGCAAGTGCAGCGGGGTCGAGTTCGGGGAAGCCGATAGCTGGCGTTCGGTAGGTCCGGATGGGGTCGCGGTCTGGAAGAGCGACGCCGCGACGACCACGAGTGTTGCGCTTGCGCCGCTTGTTCATCTCGCGCTCCCGCTCCTTCTCGCTGCGCTCGATCTCGCCATCGCTGGCGTAGTACAACGATGGTGTAAACGCCGCCACCTGATCCGAAGGCCGAGCACCAGAGGTGAGACTGGGAAGGAAGGCCTGTCGCAGTTCCTCGTCTTGGACGTTCGAAGCATCGGAGGTATGTCCCACAAGATAGAGCGACTTCTTGTACGCGAAGACCTGCTCGCGTATACTGTGCGCTATGGCAGTCCTACAAGCACTGCGTTTAGACATAGGAAGCCAAGGATTTACGAGATCACTCACTTAAACTCGCCTGCCAGACCCAGGTCCTGCGCGTAGACCTCTGCGAAGTCTTCTGGAGTTATGGAAGAACCCTCCACATCCCATTCGAACTGGTCCTCGAGCTTCATGGATCCGACGATGATGTCAACCTAATACGATACAAAGTCAGCATAGACATCTTGAGGTTGCAAACAACCACTGACCTTGACCGTGATTCGCATATCGTCCCGCAACCTGCTCTCGTCGACCTTGAACTCCTCGAGAGCCTTCGGGCGCTCCGCCGGAGTATCCATCTCCGTGTCGCTGTCGACCTCATCCGGTCGTGCGCGCCGCGTCAGCCTTCTTCTCTTCCGGCCCTTGAGGCCGCCCGCCTCCGACCGCAAGCGCTTGCGCCAGCTCTCCCACCACTTCGCATCCTCGTCACCCTGCTTGCCAGTGATAGGTGGCGCCTCATCGTCAGCCTCCGCGCCCTCGTCCAAGCCCGTATGTGTCTGGTAGTCGCTGAGCTGCTCTTGTATTTGTTTTGCAATGGTCGAGACATAGGAAGTAGGGAGGCTGTAATCCTCGGCAACGGACTGGGCGAAACGCTCGGGTGTGATGATGGGGTCTACAAGAGTCAGCGGAACGTCCTCAATTCAATCAGTATACTATACGCACCATTGAGATTCCATACAAAGGTATCGCGCAGCTTGTGATGCTCGACGTCGACCTCCAGACGCACGGGAACGAGCCGCTCTGGCCGATTGGCGTCCTTCGGGTCGATCCGCCGTGGCCTAAGTGCCCAAGGATCAGTATATCGCTCATCTACGAATCACTAAACACTCACAGCCTGAACCCTTCGCGCTTCGGCTTCTTCTTGCCCTTCTTCAGCTCAGGGTGGGTATATGTAATTCCAAACTCCTCTCGTCTTCTTTGGCGCCGGTGTGCGTTAACGTCGATATCCCGCGAACCGCGCTCCCACCAGTTCGGCTGCCCAAAAGCGTCCTTTGCTTCCTCGGCCATCCTTTGCTTCATCTTTCGCAGGAGCCCCTCGTACTCCTTGTCCTGCGCCTGCCATGCCTTGATCTCCTCGATCTCGCGAGGCTCCAGCGGGGGGATGCGTGCCGCTGACTCCTCCAGAGGCACGACCTCGACGCGGCTGACGTTCGGGTTCAGGTTCACGTTGGCAGGTAAGGACGGTAAGTGGTAAGGAGGAGCGGGTCGGACGGGCTTCTGTGCAGCGGATATAGATGCAGTCGCGTCGACAGTCGGGGCAGTGAACGCGTCCAGCTTGAGATCAGGCTTGTCCATGGATGGCTGCCTGCTCATCGAGCGCGGAACCTGCCCCGCCATCGGCTCGATCTTGGGCTCCATCCCACCAGCCGTGGTCGGACGCGGCGATTGCGTCTGCCGGCCATTCATGAAAGGCGGCGGACCCATTCCGAGACGCGGGCTGTTCGTCGGTTCGGACGTCAGTTTTCGCTTAAGTTGAGGTGATAGCTGCGAGGGGTGGCCCATTGGCGGAGGGGAGTTCTGCGTGGCGAAAGGCATGGACTGCTGTTGAGAGGGCGTGGGTGGGGGCTTCGCAAAGCCGTTCATCGAGAGGTCGCCGGACGTACTACCCACACTCATGGTGCGGCTGGCAGGACGCATGGCAGCAGGGGACATCATGCCGCCGCCGATGGAGGGAGAGTGCATTGCGACGGGCGAATGCTGCGACATAGATGTGCCCGGACGCACGGTGGGCGGCCGAGGGGTCGATTGAGGAGGCGGCATCATTGAGTTATTCATGAGACCGTCGCCCAAGCCCAAGTCTCCAGCGCCCCAGTTGTCTTTGCTGCGTTGTTGCTGCATTTGTTGAGCGCGCTGCATCTGCATCTGGCGCACCATCATCGCGCGCTGGGCCATTTCCTGCGGGGACATCCCTCCGCCACCACCCATGTTGCCCATGCCGCCAGGAAGCATGCTCGGGTCCATGCCATTGGCGGGGGAGCTGGCGCCGCCCATACCCATCCCGGCACCCATTCCACCCATGCCCATTCCCATGCCACCGGCCCCCCCTCCTCCTGCGCCCATGCCCATGCCAGACATGTCGCCCATGCCTCCCAAGTTCATGTTGTTCATCATGTTCCCGCGGCCGTTCATCATGGCCTGCTGCTGTATCATGCCGGGAGACATGCCACCCATCCCACCAGCCATGTCGAGGCCACCGCCTCCGCCGTTGGCCATCATCGCGCGCATGCGTTGGATCTGGGCGGGATGCATGGAGTCAAAGTTGGGGGGCATGGAGGAATTGTTCATGTTGTTAAACCCCGGCGCTTGTCCGCCGGGGAACTGCTGTGAAGAAAAGGAGTTCATGACTGGGGGGATCGTGAGCGAATATATATGGCAGTACGAGCGCGCACGCACCTCAGGCCACGTCCCCCTCGAACACGCTTGACGTGTTGTCGCTGCGCGATGCGTGTTATCCCGACCGCGGTGCTTCCGCCGGTATACAACTTCGAAGTCGCGCCGGAGACGGTGTACGATCACGAATGAGACGCGAAGATGTCGACAGAGAAGTCCTCTGCTGGAAATGCGGCAACCTGTCAATGAGGGTCAGGCCGGTTCCGGGCGCAGGCGTGATTGTGAGGGGGCGAACTAAAGGTCCGCGGGGGAAATGAAATACGCTGATTCTGAGCCGGAAAGGCATATTCACGCAGAAACTGTGCGTATTTGCGAAGAATCCGCGCGAACCCGTAAACTCGTGTATGGTTCGTCAACGTACCGCCGTTATCGCCTGACGGGATCCGGTGCGGTGACGCCTTGTACTGTGGCGCTCCGCTTGAGCAGCCTGTCTTTCCCTTGATGATATTCGAGTTTGCAGGTCCTGGCCGCCGTCCTTTGAGCTCGTCGCGCGCGCCGTCGTCGGCGTCGATGACAAGGTCAACGAAAGGCAAGGTCACACATTGTGATGGACTGTCACGCGTCACGCCTGGTCTCCTCGTCCGCCTTGACGCATCTTCAGAAGGCGCTGGCGAGCAGTTTGACGGCGCCGGTAGCGGGCATCGCACACGAGAACAAGGCAAACCATACCGGGCGTAATCGGTGTCCCGAAGTGGGCTCATGTCGCCTGAGTCTCATCAGCCAGATCTCCGATCTCACATGCCCAGATTCTCTGCCGCCATTGCCAGTCTCTCCATCCTTGGCCCGCCCGGTATGCTTTTTCTTCCTTCCCATTTCCTCTAGGCCCATTTCTCGAGCGGTGAGCACCTTCGGGCGCCGCCTGTCAATGACCTCGCCTCCTATAAAAGGCGCTTACCTGTGGCGCGCAGTCCGTTTTCGAGACGACGAGCGCGCCCCTGATGGTTGCTCTAAACAATCATCCGCACCGCTGCCCCGCCCCCGCGGCTCGTCGAGGATTACGCGAGCCGACTCCGAATCCGACGCGCGTGCTCGACGTACCTACCACGGCCACAGATGACGTGCGTCCCGAACGCAGTTATCGCTGCCCTCGGGACGGACTTATCATTGACAGTCTTTCATCCTCCGTCCGCTGCGTGGGGAAGCGCTTCCCCCGACAAGGCACGTAAACAGCGCTACTTTGCATTGCGTGGGTGGACATGCTGCAGGTGCATTCTTTGGCGGGCTGCCACCCCGACGCTTCGCAGCTAGTCCGCGCTCCCACGCGTGCGTGCCGTTGCAGACTGCGGCGGGCTTGCCGGCTGTACTGCTGGCGGTATTCCAGGAGGAAGAAAGCCAAGGCAAATTACTTCTTTGGATGGAAGTGAGTTCCTCGTTGGGTCGTCGTGAAGTTGACTTCTTGATGGTTTCTTTCAAGCCTGTTGCGCTGCGCTCTTCGCGTAGCATGTTGCGCTGCCGACATGTTACCAGCCGAGCCCCATCTTGCGCGCCTGGGCTGACCCTCGCCACCCCGCACCGCACATATGACGCATGCTTGCCAACGCGACAAGTGCCTCACGGAATGCATCGTCTTCCGTCCAAATCGCTTAAGCACGGCAGCTCGTAAGTCATCTTCAGGCTATGAACCGTCGTTCCTGCGCTTACCGTTCTTCCAGGCGTTGGTCAAAGGGCATGATATTCTCTATGCCCCATATAAGGCAGCGGTAAGTCAGTTTAGACGACGTCCAGATCAGGGATGGAGGTTTCTCTGTAAGAGATGGCGTGCTCTCCAATTTTGTTGCCTCGCCAGCGCGTTGACCAAACACTTCTTAGGCTCATGTTACCCTTCGACTTCGCAACCTGCCGTCATTTCCTCGTCCAAAACATGCCCGGGCAACACGCTGCCGGTGCGCTACTCATCGTTCACGCCGCGGCGTGCTGTTCAACAGACAGTCTAGCATGCCGATGCAAAGAACCTCGCTAGCTCTCAGGGTATATCCGCATCTAACCCGCACTGGCGACCCAACGGGCGCCTATCCAAGCCTTTCCTATCGAACCCCTCTACCTGAACCATGCATGTGATCTTGCCTTCGATTCGCGAGGGTCACATAGCTTGCATATCTCCCATTCAATCCTCTTGCTTCGTCTTCCACGCGTTATAGGATATGCTCGCCTCATCTTATAGCTTTCCAAGTTTCTTCGCCAGAACTCGCCCCCGCGGGAACAAAAAAAAGAACAATAGCATCTCAGCGTCTCCAAGTGGTAATTCTATTACCGTATGGGGCTTTATTACGACACTGTCTCACACCTCCATTGTCTTATTGTTCTCTGTATAGAACGTATCCCACCAATATCCCACTGATGCTGTTGCCACAAATGCACTTCCATCTCTTGCCTCCTACATTTGTTACTCCATAGACTACACTCGATGCTCGCTAACTAGCCTTGCCCATGTCTATGGTGCAAAGCCCTTGACACGTCACATCTCTCACGGCACGAGGCAAGCAAGAAGGGGTCCAAGATTGTTTAACGCGGGAAGAGGACCCCTCTAATTTTCGTATGTCATTTAGTCGAGACGGAAGATGGCTTTGTACAAAGATTAGATTGTGATCGACTTGCGGGGTCTCCGCTGCATACTTCCCGCCTCCAGGGTCTCTTCGTCGCCTGCCTGTCACTTGCTAGAAATGCGCGGTCAGCTTGCAACCCTTGATGACGCCCCAATCGGTTCAAAAAGCTACGATAACTCTGGCTGACTCCTCACTCGCGTCCTCGAGGCAACACCGAAGGGGTCCGACCCTACTGATCACCGTACTCGTGGTGCGCAATTTGCGGTCCCTCGCTTTCCATCTCTTCCCGAAAATGCCCTTGTCGACGAAAGCTACCGACAACGTGCTTGTCTGACTGGCGACTTGATCAGTGCATACTTCTCCAGCCTATCGTACTTCCTCCTCTTGCTGGACCTCTCGATCTCCCGGTCTGCACGCAAACCCCCATCCTGATCGCTGAAGGTCTGCCGTCCATGCAGCCTTATCATCATCATCCCTCTGCTGCGCAATCGAAAACAAGATTCCATGGGGACGACCATTGGCCTACGTCCCCTCCGCGTCCACCTCGAGAGGTCAGCCTCCGCGTATTTACTCGTTGACACACGAAGCTGACGTTCTACTCCGCAAATCATTCCCATCCAACCCATCCCTACCTATCCAACACTTCCGTACCAAACGATGCTGAGATCGTAGTTCTTATCATCGGCCCCTCAACAAACTCCCTACGTTGACTACCACCAGACCTTCTATGCCGTGGAAAGTGGTCGATCCGTCGAGCCCCACGCGCAGCACGTATGGGCAGCATTGAGCGCTCAAGAAAGGGAGTTCTTCGCGCAGAGAGCAGAAGGCGCCACCATAGGAGGCGATCGGGCCCCGCGGAATGTTAAACAGCGGGAGCATGTTACCATGCGGGAGCTGTACCGGCAACCAACCGACGCAGGAGCCTATTACTCCTACCAACCCTCACCCTCGCCCCCACCACCAACAAGGCGGGATCACATAGAGACGGATCTGTTGCACGTACCCTATCGAGGAGACGAAATGCGCCGCAGCCCATCGCCACGCTCGATGATGGCCGGCGCGGGGCTTCCTTCAGATCATGGGCTGGTCCAGAGTCTGAACGTGGAGAGAGCGAAGGTGCGTCCCGTCGTTGTTGGCGCCTGTGATGGCGTCCTCCATCATTGAACGTTCTCGCTCATCTCTATTTTTCTACAGTTAACATGGCCCGCTGAATTGGAGAGCGCTGCTGGACCGAGGCCGTTCTATGCGTCGGCCCCAGTGCGTGGCAGGAGGCGCGGCTCAAGCTCTGCGACGGCGGTGTCGGACTACTCGTCGACGTCCTCGGCGCCTACGCTCTGTGACGATGAAGCCGAGGGAGAGGATTTGGACAAGGCGGGCGTGCCGTACGTCGACCTCGAGGCGACGGAGGCGTGGTACCAGGACTTTATGGGGGAGCTGGGCTCGAGGTACTCATGAACACGATGCCTTCTTTATTCGCCGTGCCGTAAACTTTCTGCATAGTGATACCTTCCCTCCACCTTGAACATCATGCGCCACCATTCCGTATATGCACCTTCTGATCTCATATGAGCTTTCTTCCTTTTCGCGCGTATGTCCATGCATGCAATGGATTCTTACACATGTTGCAGTGTCGAAAAAATATATTCTAGTAGACAACAGAAACAAGCAGGAAAATCGAGAAGTGAGTATTGTGAACATCCGACGACAACAAGTCCATCCGCTATTGTACATAGGATAATTTAGGAGAAAGGACAGTGGATGGCTGAGGTATACTCGCCTATGCTAGTGGTAGTAGTGTTACAACGAAGTCCGTCACAGAAAGTGCACTGTCTTGAACCGTCTATGCCCTGCATCCTTGTGTACACCCATCGCCGAGCCGACAAGCTGGACCGGCGGGAACACGTACTCACCGCGGAGGTGCTTCGTCGCGCGAGCCTTCTCGTATTCCGCAACCTCGCCAGGGGTCGTTGGGGATGGCGTCGGCGGATAAATGCGCGAAGGCGGGCGCCGTGCAGGGCCGTGACTCGAGGCAGTGGATGGACGGCCCAGCACGCGCATGGGAGGCGAACGCATCAGGGGAGGCGAAGGTGGGTCGTTGATATATAGAACTTGACCTTCGTCAGTGGGCTCTGCCGACTCGTCCTGGGCGCAAGACTGTCGCACGATGAGGATGAGGAGCAGGACGGCCACGCCCAAGCCGCTAAGGAACACCTGAGGGAAGTACCCTATCGCATCTGTGAGGCCAGTCAGTTGGACTTTTTGCGTCAAGGATAACATACACACCAATAAGAACGCCTTAAAATCCGGGTCAGCACCAAATGTTTCTACGCAAAAACAGTTCTAACTCACCATCCAAGTCTGGCCCATCCGGCATCGCATTTCGCAGCTGGGGCAACGCAATGGTGATCCCGACCCCAGCGGCTAGATACACTCGGATGACCGTCAAGTCCATCGTCTTCCTCGCAAAGTAGACCATTAGCCCCTGCACATGTACCGCAAACCACCCCAAGCCAAACAACGCGAGCGCATAGAAGCGAGCATCGCCCTGCCGCGACACGCGCATCTCGAAGTCGCGACTTGGCACGTCGAGTTCGCTCTGGTCCTCGGTCAACTCCTCTTCCGGCGTCGTCCCCGCAGGCTCTCGCAAGCTCGCGACGTCGGTGGTATCGACAAAGAAGCCTAACATATTTTGGACGGTAGCGAGGCGGCGGATGGGGATGGACTCGTTTGTCAGAGGCGACATGGCGCGGAGAGTGCCAGAGAGGTAGTAGGTATCAAACGGGTACAGACGCGCATCGTGGACGTCGAGGACATGATCGCTGTCGAACTGGAAGAGGTTTTGTGCGCTGGGTAAAGAGCAATTAGCAGGCGCGCTTGAAGAAGGACAGCAAATATACCTTAAGGGATGCCCGTCGTCAGAGCTTGTAGGCATCTGCTTCGGGTCATAGCTGCCCGTGGGTTCGACGTCGCTGCAAGTAAAGTTGTCAACAAGTGAGGCTCATATCGTCGGTGAACTGACATGCCTGTCCACGAATATCTGCACCGCTTCTTTCGGCAGTCCGCAAACCCTGCTGCCGTGCAAGCCACCCGAGCCGGGCTGCATGTGTGCTGCGCCGCAGGCGAGGATAGACCAGCGGATACCGATGGATGGTTCGTCCACGTCAATGTCGACGTTCTCGCCGATCAGCACTAGCTAATGCAAAGAGCATCAGCTTTATGAATCGTCCCAAGGGAGGTCCAAAACGCACCCCTGGACTATGCTTCGCAGCATTGTCGAGCACTCCCTTGAGATACGGCTGCTCGATGTCCCCTCCGACGAAGGCAACGCATATCACCAGGATGAAGGTGATTGATGCAGCGACCATGAACCAAACCAGGCGAGCGCCTGGACGTTGGGGAAGGGAAATGGATGGGAGAGGAAGTGGCTTCGCGAGTTTAGGGAGCGCGGCAGCAAAGTTGGGGAGTGAGGGAGCCCTCCGCGTACGTGGCGGGGTCGATGGAGGAGTGGAAGGGGTCTCGGCCTTCTCAACGTCTTCGTCGACTGGGTGGAGGTGAAATGAACGTAGGCGGGCAAAGGGCCGCGACGGGGAGAAGGGATTTACAGGGGCGCGCATGATGCGATACCACCGAAGGCACAAGGAAGGGGAGGGACGAAGGGAAAGGGGAAGGAGGGACGAGAAGGGAGGGAGGAGGGAGTCAGAAAACCTCTCACTGAAGAGGGCGCTCGACACGGGCCCGCACTACGCTCCTTCCTGGTATAAATCGCCTTCGGGCGACGGTCGGATAGGGTCATTCTGCCCTTCGACCCCGCGTCGCATGCGCTGCGAGCTGGTATGGCACTGAGGAAGCGTAGCATGACACTGGTCAAGCGCAGCGTCGATGCGGACATAGATCGGCTGCAGGCGCAGGCTACGAGCTTAAGCGCGCATAACTCGGGTACACACCGTAATGAGAAGCAGTGTACTTGATCGAGTTTGAAGAAGCGAACGTATGTTGAATAGAGAGGAAAAGACCGGATGAATGGGGGTGTGTGGGAGGGATGTCGGGCGGTTTGGGATAGGTGTCGAGGCGGACGGGCATGAATGTCGAGCAAGCGTAAGTAACTCATCGATGCGGCGACAGCGTGATACAAAGGATCACGAGTTCCAGAGCAGGTTCTCAAGCAGCGCCAGCTCGCTGAGAGGCCCTCCTTCGTCACCCTCTTCCCCGAAGACGGAGAGGACTCCGCGCGCAGCGGTCGCGTAGTTTCTCGCGGTGCGGCGCTTGACGCGATCCTCCCCATTCTTAACGATGTCGTTCCACACGACCTTCGCTAGCTCGAGCAGGTGCATGCCTGGGAATTGTACGTTAGCACACTTTCTATGTCAGGCGTGCAATAATATTCGTAGAGGATGGACTAGCTTCGGTTTGACCGAGGCGCAAAAGTCCATTAACGCCGATCACAGAAGCCAATGCTCACCAACTTGTGGGTAGTTGTCCGGGTAGATCATGAGGTAGAGTGCCAGTAGCGCAGCACCGGCCTTCTGAGCCACATCATACGGCCCGTCGTGGGCGGCATCCGTGAACTTCTTCGACAGCGAGGATATAAATGCCTCCTTGAATGCCGGGTGGAGGTGCGAAGGTATAGTATCCTGCAGAATCGATGTTCGCAAACGGGTGATGCTCCCTTCGTCAACGCCAGAAGATTCTCGGAGACCGGCCTCCAGTTCCGACGAGTCAGGACTCGCTTCGCTTGGGAGCTGGTTTTTCGATATCCGACTGAGGAATTGGCAGGAGGTGCATCGACATTCAAACCCGTACGACAGCTTGAAGATCTGCTGGCGCGTCTCCAGAAGCGCCGGATCGACATATGGAATGCAGATCTGCAGACCAACATGCATTAGTACTGTACATTATACAAATTGAAGAAGAGACTTCGCCTACTTCTTCGCCAGCTGTAATGGGACGCAATGCCACGACCTCCATCTTGACAGGCTCCCTGGGGCGCAATATATAGCGAGCGGCGGCGTTCGGCACGCAGGAGTGGTTAAAAAGGCGACTGGCGAGAGGGAAAATGCCGTGCCCAAACGTCGACAGGTGCGAGTGCATGGCGAAGTTGTTGTTTTGGAAGCGGTCGAAGAGCGTTTGCACCAGAATGGACGGCACGAATCGCGGGACGTAGCAAACCGGGGGCGCGGGATTCTCCTCCTGCGAACTTGGCAGCAGAGATAAAAGTGTTTGCACAGGAGATGATTCCGTTGCCAGATCGTCAGGTGTCATCTGAGCGAGCAGGTGCGACAAGAGGACCGCGTCCATCCTGCCATGCTCAGGAAGGCTGCCAAGGGAAGCCGAAAAGGACGAATAGAGCTTGCAAATGCGCTTGTGATTTCTCTGCCAGTGATATCTCTGGCCTGAACTGGTGTTAGCATACGGGTGACGGGTTCAAATGACTTGCCTTACAATGCTCGTCGCAGTAGTAGTATTCCGCGCAGCCTGAGCATCGACGCAGAGGCTTATCAGAGGCGAGTCGAGTACAGGCGTCGCATCTTCGACCTTTTTCAGTCGAGAGTAAGGCTGTAGCGAGTGCGTACTGCCCGAAAATGACGGATCCCTCGATGAAATCTGTGATGGCCACAACCCGGTCGCGGGCTCGCGGATGTGGCTGTAGCTGGATATGGAGCTGCTGCAAGTTCTCCTTCGAGTATTCCGACATGGTAGGCAACTCTTCCGTGTTACGCCGGCGCTTTTTCGGCCTTTCAGTCGGAGTCCTTCAAGTTGAAGGTGAACATTCGACTTCCACAGTTTGTTGCTGCGTCAGCGCGGCATTTGCCGAACCATCCAGTTGATTAAACAAAGTCAAACATTGGAATGCACTCTGATTTAGCAACATACTTGTTTGTAGTAACAGTGTCAAGCTGTAGGATACTGTATGATAAACCTGACCATCGTTGGAGGGGCAGCGCGTAATCGGCGTTGCAAAGTCTAGCAACCGCTTGAATCGGTGAAAGTGATCGGACGTTCGAATTCCCAGGATTACCACGGAACTGCAGCGATTTGGACCTAGCAGAGTTCCGTGGCAATCCTAGGTACTCCCAGTGCACTGTACTAAAAATCGGGGTAGTCCTTGAGGTAGAACTTCGTGCAGGGATGAGATCTAGAGTTGCTTATCACTATTTCATCACACACCGCCGCGCTCAGTCTAAGCAGTATGTAACGAAGGAGTTTCCTAGCTCCTCATCTCTCGTCGTCCGTTCCAACGAGTTCATATCCTCGTCTCTGCTTTCCAATGTCCAAAGCTACCTTAAGGAGACTTCTGGCGCTGCCAGCCAACGCTCTTGGCGCTTCTCCGGACGGCGGAGTTTGAAGCGGGAAAACAACCATCAAACCGTCAGCGCGACCTTGTTCCCGCCCGCCATTCTCCTGTTCCGTCGTCGAGTCTTCCTTTCCTCTCCTTCAGTCATTCCTTTCCGCCATGGGGGCCACCCATATAACTAAACACAGGAAGACTCAGCATAAGCATGTTGAGAAGAGGGCCGACTCTGGTGCGTGTTAGTTACTTACCGCCCAAATACCATCTCAACCGGACGGGACGTACAGATTGCAGCAAGGGCGGGTTCTACAAGGAGCCCACAAGCAATGCAGAGATCAACGCCCTCGAGACTCTGAGCATCTCCTGGGACACAAGCTGCCTAACCAGCCAGCAGGCGGACATCTATCTATACGCCCCCGGCACCCAGTCCTCCCGCATCCACATCTGGGAGGGTGTAACATTCAGCGACGGCCACTACGACGCCGAGCTCAAGCCCCGCTGGTGGAACTCGACCGCGTCCCAGAAACTCCAGCTGTCCATAGTCGAAGCGGGCACCGCGCCCTTCCTCAGCCCCTACCCCGCGGGGCCCGTCTTCACCGCGAAGTACGAAGCGCCCGAGGGCGACACCCCCGAGGCCGCGGACACGTCCAAGAACTCGGACGACGTCGGCATCACCCAGGTGCAGAGCGCGACGGCTGAGGAGTCGAACAAGGGCCTGTCGAAGGGCGCGGTTGCCGCCGCGGTCATTGTCCCCATTTTGTTCGTTGCCATGCTCGTTGCGGTCTATATCCGCATGAGCCGCAAGCGGGGTCAGGAGAAACGCCAACGCTTCAGCCAGGCTATCGACAAGCGCATGTCGACCATCTCCGCCGACTGGCGGAGTATGTCTGCAGCCGGCGCGTCTGCGGCAATTCGTAACTCGATTGCACCGTCTGCAGACTCCAACTCGAACAACCGTCTTTCCAGCTTCTCGTTTGGCAATATTAGGCCCGTCAGCACTGTGGACAACGACGGCGAGAGCGGTCAAGCGGGTATCGGTGCGCCACGCGAGATGTACCAGCATGACAACGCCCCGATCTCGCATCTTCGTCATACTATTGTGTCGGACGGCGAGCGCGTCTCCCGCATCTCGTACGCCGAGGGACAGGCTCCACGTATCTCGCGGGTGTCCTTCGCGGATTCCCCGCGCCCTCGTCCTTCCGTCGACACTAGGAGGTCTGCGTACTCTGTCAACGGTGCTAGCCGCTCCTTTCATACCGCCGTCAATGCTCCTCCAATTCCGACACGTCAGGACTCTGATTCGTCGACGTACTCGTCACCTGCTATTGGTGTCATGAGTCCGACGCAGACTGCCGGCGCATTCTCGTTGACTCCGGAAGATATCCAGTCGCGTCTGCGTAACAGCAACGAGGGTGACATGGACAATATCTATCCGGCGTTGAGCAGTAAGTGTATTGCCCTTATCGTCCTAAGCCTTGCTGACGAACGTTGTAGTGATGCACACTGGACGCGACTCGCAGGCCCCTGTTGGTTCGCCCGAGGAAGAACATGGTCACCCGCTGTTCCCGCCCCCTCCGCCTGCGTCGTCGCCGCCCCCGCCGCAGAGCCCTCTTGGTATGATGCCTATGCAGGCCCTTCCGGATAACGTGATGAGTCCCGACGACATGATGAAGGCGTACGCGGCAGCGCGCCAGGTGGATCCCACGACGGCCTCGTCCTTCCGTCCCGACGGCTTCGACCCCATCGCCTACCCGAATTCGTCTGCCTTGTCGGCGTACTCGTCCTCTTCGGCGTCCACCGCCGCACAGCCCGCGCGCTACAACGCCGTCGGTATGCGCGTGCTCTACTCCGAGGATGAGGGCCATGGCGCGGCGCCTATGCCGGGCGCCCCGCGCGCGGAATAGACGCGCTGCCCATCTTGACGTACCCGCTCGTTCTGAGATGCGCACATCCGCTCACTTCAGGCGCGTGTACATTGCCCTCCCTCTTGGGCGCTGGTGTATTTCTTAGTGTTGGCTCGCGCGTCGCGGGTCCCTGGAAGGCCTCCCGTGGCGCGTGTCTCCCGATCGTCACGGTCGCTCGTTTATCTGTGGCTTCTTGGTAACTGGTTTGGTCTTGCCTCGGTCTTGTTCCTGTATTGTACATCCTGCCCATTTACATTCCTACCCCATGCACTGGTGCTGCCCTCCCTTTCCCCCGCCGTCGACCGCTCAGCCCTTCACGTCGACCGCGGCTAGTTGTCTTCGCCATGGCTAGCCGCGACGCGCTTTCGCTGTCTTTATGACGGCGGGCGCTCATGCTACAGATTAACTCACTGTCTCTTCTACCTTACATTCTATCCTTGTTGATGTAGTTTGGCTACGCCTGAGTTTATACCTTCTATCACAGGTCGGGGTGGTGCTGGGGTGCGGCAGAATCGCGCATCCTTCGCCACTCCGACCTATGTACATACCCTTGTTCTTCGAGTGTTGGGTACCTCATGTATGTCTTCGCGTATATGATGAGCGGATTGGTACACAAAGCTTGGAAGGACACCAAATTAAGACGAACTTGGGGAATCGTGAATTGCATGTGCGTGGTTGAAGTCGCTTGATTATGTGGCGTCGCGTCGCGCCTCGATCGTCGGGGAGCGCGATATTGTTCCCCGCTCCTTCCCCACACCCGCCATCATGGCGGCCGACACGGCCATAAAGGCTATCGACAAGGCCTCTATCCACCGCATCACCTCTGGACAGGTGGTCATAGACCTGCAGACCGCGGTCAAGGAGCTTCTAGAGAATAGTCTTGACGCGGGCGCGACGAACATTGGTCAGCTCTTTCGGTAGGATGCTTGAGGCGCGTTGCTGAGCGTCACCACAGAGGTCAGGTTTAAGAATCATGGACTCAAGTCGATAGAAGTCGTAGACAATGGCTCAGGCATTGCGGAGAAGGACTTTGAGGGAATTGGTGCGTCTTTGGGCGCGGTGGCGCGGGGACAGGTGCTAATGCGCATGCGCAGCTTTGAAGCATCATACGTCCAAACTTGCGGCCTTCGAAGACTTGACGACTGTGCGCACCTTTGGCTTCCGAGGGGAAGCGCTGTCATCCCTCTGCGCGCTATGTGACGGCTTCACGATCACGACTGCAACCCAAGGTCCGCTCGGTGAAATGATCGAGATGGACAGGAATGGGAAAATAAAGAAGAGGAGCAAGGTAGCGAGGCAGGTGTGTGGTAGTCACCGAACAAGGCGTACACTTGACTTACGTCTCTTGTAGCGCGGCACCACCGTCCAACTCTCCAACATCTTCACCCCATTACCCGTCCGACGCAAGGAGTTCGAGCGCAATGCGAAGCGTGAATTCGGGAAGGCCTTGCACCTCCTGAACGCTTATGCCCTTGGTCCGTGTGCTTCCAACGATGGGAAGCCTGTCAAGCTGACCGTGAGCAACCAGATGGATAAGGGGTGCGTATCGGCGGCTCCTGCACGGAGTAGCTCTGACCTCCTCGTCCTCAGAGCCAAGTCAGTGCAAATACGAACACCCGGCCAATTGTCTTGTCGCGCTTCTGTCACAGCGCTCTGGGGTCCCCGCGCCCTTGACAATGTCGTGGACCTCGACCTATCCTTTGACGTTGAACGGGATAGGATGTCTATGCGCAGGTTGAATCCGTGAGTGATGACCTACCTCCCGCTCTGAATAGGGTTCTCACTATCATGCGCAGCAATGGCATCTTGACGGACTTGCCGCCTATTCACGTCACAGTGAAAGGCTTGGTGTCAAAGTTCACCGTAGGTGCAGGACGCACCGGCACCGATCGACAATTCTTCTTCGTCAACGGTCGACCCTGCGACCTCAGCAAGGTATGTCAAAGTAGGCCGGTATGCCACGTATGCCGCTGACAACCGGCATAGGTCCAGAAAGCGTTTAACGAGGTATACAAGTCTTTCAATGCTACACAGTCGGCGTTCCTGGTGGCAGACTTCCAGATACCTACTGGTAGGCTACGCTGTCCTGCTATTCATTGCCACCCGCTGATTCGATCTCCCAGAATCCTGCGACATCAACGTCAGCCCAGACAAGCGGACGATCTTTCTGCACAATGAGGCTAACCTCATCGCTGCATTCAAGGTGAGCATCCCATTTCTCAGTTGGTACCTTCGTTTCCTAATTCGCATTGCGTAGGCGGCCCTCGAGACGGCTTTCGCGCCCTCGCGCTCGATGTACGATGTTTCTGCGAGCCAGATGACGCAGACGAATTTGCCTGTAGCGTTTACGCAGGCGAAGAGGACGGATAGTGCTTCGTCGGGCGCGCAAGCTGCGACTCCGGCGGTGCGGACAAGGGACCCCTCTCCTGAATCTGAGCCATCGTCCAGTCGGCAGTCTTCGCCCAGTCGGCAACCCTCACCTAGTCGAGCGCCGTCTCCGATGCCCGATGATGACCATGTCATACGTCCTGAGCTCGATGATACGGAGGACGGCGCAGGGGCACGGTGGGGCGAGAACGACGAGCCTCTCCCGGCAGCCGCACCCCCTGCGAGGCCCAAGTCGCCTCCGCCATCAAGCCCGCCTCGCGCTAGTGTCAACTGGACATACGGTAACGAGGAAGTGCCGCCCACGCAAGACGCGACACAACCACCGGCTGACGATACGTCGGAGGCTGATGAAGAGCCTACACCATATACTCGTCCACCTGCCGCCATTGAGTCCTCCCAGCGACCTTCGTCACCGGTCGATGATATGGACGTCGAGGTCAGCGTCGTTGGCGCATCTTGGAGTCAGACCTCTGTCACCGCGGTCAGGGGCTCTTCCCCTCTACAATCTACATCGCAGCCAGCGCACACAGTTGAGATGGACGACGATGCCGATGAGCCGCCGCGCAAGAGGTTGCGCACTGATCCTGAGGAGGATGATCCTCGCCCTGCGGACGATGATGACGAAGCGATGGACTCCGACAACCTAGACGACTTCAAGAAAGCGAAGGACATCCGCTCGGTCGAAGGTCTCTGGTTCTCGTCGCAGAGTCGTACTCGCGCGTCTGCAGCGGAGGTTTCCTCTCAGCCGGGCTCGCCTTCAAAGTCCACCAACTCCCCGGTAAAATCTACGAAGGCGTCGCAGAAGATTATGCGGACGCAGCTGGCGGGCTTCGCAATGGCAGGCAGTCAGAAGCCTGTGGCTGCGGTGGACGAGGGGATGGACGAGGTGGATGAGGAAGAAGACCGGCAGGATGAGGATGAAGAGGACAGGATGAACGTGGATGGCGAGGATGACGAGGATGGCGACGAAGCTATGGACAACGCGGATTACCAGCCTGACGAGGGTGGCGCAGATGTCGCAGATGGAAACGGCGGGGAAGAGCTGCCTGCTGCCGAGGCGCCCAAGAAACGAGTTCGACGTCGCCGTAGCCCAAGCAGCGGCGCCGGTGAGGACGATATTGCGCAAACTACACCGGCATCTGTCGACGCGCCCGTGAAGCTGGAAGAGGGTGAGGGCTCGCTGCTTGTCGCAGACGGAGTCATTGACCTCACGTCGGACGACGAATCGGGGCCAGCGCTTTCCAAAGTCACCCAGCGATCATCATCTACGAATAAGTCTACCAGAATCTCGTCGAAAGACGACCCCAAGGACGACGGTGTCGTGCTAGATGGTCCTGAAGTATTGCGACAAGATAGCAACACGCTGGGCGATGTCACGATCGAGCTAGCCATGGACAGAATTGAGGCTGCATGGGAGCGGTTGAGACAAGTGCTATCCGCGCCACAACCGACCGCAGAGAGCTTCCACTCAGCTGACGATGGGTTCTCTGCGGACGCTGGCCTCGCCAACACCGACGATGCGGAAAGCGCAGCAAATGCTTTGGCGAGGGTGATTGACAAGGCTGACTTCGCCAAGATGGATGTTGTTGGCCAATTCAACCGCGGTTTCATCATCGCGCGCCGACGCAAGCAACCGGAAAGCGGCGGCTCTTCGATGGACGACCTGTTCATCGTGGATCAGCATGCGTCGGATGAGAAATACAATTTCGAGACGCTGCAGCAGACGACGAAGATCGAGTCTCAGCGACTGCTCAGGTGCGTCCCGCTCTGCTGGTACTGGTATCTCACGGCTAACGCGTGCATAGGCCACGCCCACTCGAGCTGACAGCAGCGGACGAGATGATTGCGCGCGACCATCTTGACGTATTACGCCAGAACGGGTTCGAGGTCGAGGATAGTGGTGCAGGGAATGATAGTGATGGTGCACGCCTGCGTTTGGTGGCGCAACCGGTTAGCAAGTCGACCACCTTTGACATGCGGGGTGGGTGCAGTCCCTGTCGTCGCATACAAAAGTCGCACGTATTGACACAGCTCTGCAGATCTCGAGGAGCTCATCCACCTGCTGCAAGACGCGCCCGGTGGGGCGGCGGTGCGCTGCTCGAAGGCGCGCGCCATGTTCGCATCGCGGGCGTGCAGGAAGAGCGTGATGATTGGCATGCCGTTGACCAAAGGCCAGATGACTGCGGTAAGAGATTCGGGTTTCGCGCGCGGTCGAGTCCTTACTCGGTCCTTTCTGCAGGTCGTTCAGCATATGGGGACCATGGACCAGCCTTGGAACTGTCCCCACGGTCGTCCAACCATGCGCCACCTCATCGACTTAGCCGACTTGAACGGCAGGACGAAAGGTCCTCGACCCATTGACTGGGCTTCTTTATCTCTATCTTGCTGAGTATTTGCTCCGGTGCTCTTGCATAATCCAACCTACTTATACCTACAGGCTATCACATACTATTCAATCTGATGATAAACGTCAATTTCGACAAGGTGCACGAACCAACAGAGTGGGCTCGAGGGCGTCGACCCTGCAAGAATTAAGTTCGACTTTCAGTCGACGGGTACCGGTACAGTCAGTAAGGCGGTTACGCTGCAATGTCGGACCCTCTGTCATCTGAGCCAAAGATGACTTCCTCTTGCGTCCAGCGTTGCGTACTGCTGCCAGTGCTGAATCTCTCATCTGCCTCTCGTCAACGTACCATCCGGTCCCGGGCAACGTCCGGTTGTTGTCAGGGTCTGCCCTGAGGCCATTACGGAGATCGTTGTCGCTGTGTCAGAGTCACACTGATCTACGGTCTGTGATTGGCCCACTTCGCAGCCACGTTGCGGCATGTTGCGGCTAAACAACCACGCGGACGCAGACACGAAGGTCCCCCTGGGGATCTGAGATTGGTGAGCTGGAGCGTCATGTTATTTTGACCGCAAGACGCCACTAGATCAGCGTACTTCTGCGCTATCTTGCGCCTGCAGTGATCCCTGAATAGATAAGTAAGCACTGAACTTGACCCGTTCCCTCACCTTGTCCTCTCCCTCCCCATCTAACGGATCACTCAGAGGCGCTTGCCGTCCTCAATGCCGACAGTCATTCGCCATAGCGCGTCAACGGAAGAACAGTCCCGTGAAGCTGAGCGTCGGCGCGCGCTGCAGCGGTCCCGGGACATTGACGAAGAGCTGCAAGAGACGAAGAGGGCGCTCGACAAGAAGCGTAAGGCTATCAAGCTGCTTCTACTAGGTGTGTGCTCTGCGTAAGCCCATTTGCTGCGACTAACTCAAACCTCGCAGGGCAGTCTGAGTCGGGAAAGGCACGCACGAGCAGTTTACTCTCACCTATGCAGTACGCTTACAGATGCCGCCCAGACGTCCCTTGTCAAGAGTGCGTACAGTCGCATCTACCTCGCATCTGACTGACCGGCGCGCAGACTTTCAGATGGCCTTCACCCCAACCAGGTTCGGCGCGGAACGTGCGGCATGGAGGACGATCGTCCAACTGAACGTGATAAGGTGTGTCACAATCCACGCTTGCAGGCCTTTCACTAAAGCTCATCCTTCAGTACAATTAAGCGTATACTGGCATATCTTGAGTTCGCGGTCGCTCAAACGACATCTCATGAGGACGTCTCGACTTTGGGAAGCCCTGTACGGCGCTACCGGCTGGCTCTTTCGCCCCTCCTCGCCATGGAAGAGAACTTGAAGCGCGAACTCACGACCGACACCCTGAACGAAGATTACGCCGACGTCTGCGTGCGCGCTGGCGGGGGCTGGAAGACGACGCTGAACGGCATCCTCCAGAACCGCTCAGCATCGCCACGCCTGCGTCAAGATGCCGGAGATAACGAGAACCTACTCACGGCGTCGAAGAACCAGATCGTCGACATGTGGGAAGACCCGTGGGTACAGGACACCTTGCGCAGTATTGGGGCGAACATTGAACAGACACCGGGATTGTATGTGTTCTTTCGCGTGTGGGAGCGCGTTCATTCAGTTGCGCTAATCACGCTGCCCCGCAACAGTTTCCTCGATGATATTGAGCGTGTTGCGGCACCGAATTATGAACCCACGGACAGTGCGTCGGCTCCGACAGCGCGCGTGAAGCTCAGCGGAACTCACGCTTCTCGTTGCCAGCTGACATTATACGTGCACGTATACGCACCGTAGGCGTGGAGGAACACCACTTTGTTATGGAGAAGGGCTTGCCAGGTGCGTGCAGCCATCCGAGTCTCTCGTCCTTCGTACCCTCGATCTGACAGAGAACAGGCTCTGAGTTTTACATTACGGACGTGAGCGGGAGTAAGAGCACTGTACGTCTATTTCTCGGCTCGCACGGGCGCGTCCTCATATGTATCCAGCGTCATCAATGGATACCCTATTTCGACGATGGTAGTTCTACCCCACATTGTACTTGCTTCTCTACTCACGCTCCGTTCGCAGCGCAAGCAATCCTTTTCTTGGCACCACTTTCCTTCAACATGATGCTTCCCGACGACCCACGGACGAATCGATTGGTATGTTTGCTTATCGTCGTGCGTCGCTCGGTGCTAACCATCGTATAGGAAGATAGCATTGGCCTGTGGAAGATGATATGTTCCAATAAACTGTTGCAGAAGTGCAATCTGATCCTTTTCTTGAACAAAGTTGGCGAATGTTTCTCCCTCTTTGCCACCGGCATGCGCTGAGCCCCGTTAAGCGCGATATCCTGGAACAGACATTGAAGTCCGGTGTACAAGTCAAGGACTGGGTACCTAGTTATGGGGATGCTCCGAACGAAGTGGACCATGTTACGACCTGTAAGACAGCATTTCACGACGTTCACTCCGTACTGACTGCCGGCCTAGATTTCCGCGAGCGCTTTAAACTTAATCAGGTATGATTACTCTGGTTGGACGAAGGCAACTTCTGACTTCCCTACAGAAACGTCTCTCTCCTAGTAGGGCCCAGTTGCTGCCTGGATCTCGCCCCTTCGCTAATGCGCGTTTGCAGTACCCCGCCCTTTCATGTGCTACTCCACTGCTGCTATCGTGCGTTTTTCGTCGACTACTTCTCATGCAGCGCCTCACAACCGCGTTCAGGACACGAAGGCCACCACTGCGCTACTCGTAGCGGGTAAGCCTCGCGGGTATTGAGTACTCACTCGTGCTGATCATCCATCCAGTGCATACGACCCTCATACGCGAACACTTACGCCAGACCGAGCTCATCTGAATGATACCGAACACTCATTGCGCCGCAGGGCATATCCTGCGAGCGGGCTCAATAACTTTCACGCACTGCTTACATTTGTATCAGTATCTCTATATCTGCTGTATTGTAGACGCTTTCCCGACCGGTACGCTGACAGTCCCTCCTGCACCGGGCTATGATCTGCATAATGTCACTTTCTTCATACCCCGTGAACCCACAGGACAGTAGACAACTAGTCGCCATCTGAAGCACTACTCGAAGCCGTGTCCAGAGCATCGTCACTGAACCAGAAGCACATAGTGTCACCGTCCCGTCGAAAGCTTGGAAGCTTGGCCGCGCCAAATACTTCCAGGGACTTCAGCGGTGCAAGCCGGATCCCTCGTACCTTCCGACGACGAGCCCGGGAATCAACAATGTCCTCAATGGCTTGACGGTATACGCCGTATAAACGTTCATCTTCCTCCTCCAGTGCGTCTCCGAACCACAAACAGAGTCGTTCGAGGTTCGGCAGGAAGGTCATGGACCCGGGGACTATCTCGAAGTCACGCGAGAGTCTCCAGAGCAGGTCGATGGTGATTAGCTGTCGGCGAGGATCAGAATCGTCGTTCTCCAATTCAAGATCTGTGAGCTGCGGAATTCGCTTGAGGCAGAGGCCAAGGCCGTGCGATGCGATTAGCTCTAGCTGCTGCAGCGACAGAGACCGGAGATGCCTGCACTCAGACGAGTGGTCCAGAAGGCTCTGGAAGGCAAGTTCAAATTGCACAGAGGAGACGGTGTAGGAGTTGATCGTAAGGGATTTGAGGTTGGGGCAAGCAATGATGTGGCATAGCTGTACCGCTTCGTTGTTGAGGACTAGCGTCTCGAGGCAAGGAAACTGTGTGGGCACCTCCCTGGATCCGACGTCCCCAGACATGACGCCGACGCTGCATGTGCCTAGCGTGGAGCTGTAAGCGACGATTGCCTGCACAACGGTCGCGAGACCTGCCGGATTCTCAGTCTCAAGCTGCAAATCGAGTTCGGTGATGGGCCAAGCTTCAGGGAGGTCCTGAAGCCGACACAAATGATACCACGAGCATATGCTGAGGGATGACAACTGATTGGACTCCAGGCGGAAGACGCCAAGCGGTATATCTGCGATTCGTACGTCATTATCAATGGAAAGCGCCTGCAAGGCCGGAAAGCATCTGCCGGACAGCGCCTCGTAGGCAGACGCAGGGACGTTGTTCAAAGAGATACGCTGCCAACGATGGGATTCTGCGCAGAGCAGTGTCCATGCTTCGTCGCTCCAGATATCGTGGCCTCGGATCGTCCTGGCGGCGCATATGGCCAGATCTAACGGTAGTTGCCCAGAGCGTTGCAGTTCGGCGGTGAGCGCGCGTATGCAGTCCTCCGTCGCATTGTGCTCTGGTGAAAACCGGACCGATGTCCACAGTTGTGGCGTCCGCAGAGCAATGTCGCGCCACGCCGCGCAGACCGAAAGACAGTTAAAGACTCGCTTTCCGATGCGCTGTTGATACCAGCCATCGGGCAGCGCAAGCACAAAGATCATCGAAAGAATCTCGCGAGGAAGCCGCCGATATGGGGCCACGAGCGCGCCATGCATCTCCTTCTGCTTTTGAATAGCATACTTGAGGTCGACCAGTTTTTGGATCTCCTGATCAACCATGTCCACCAGAGGAGGTAGGTCGTCCGCCGCCTGCTGAATGAGAACTACGTCTTGCGTGGTGGGAGCGTATCCACTCCTATGGAGCGATGCATTGGCCACAACTCGAGCATTCGTGAGCGTGTCTACGAAACAGTCAGTGGCGACTCTGGCGAGGACCTGCAAACAGAGAATCGGTGCTCACTAATTATTTTATAAATGTCCATGGGGAGACTTCGGTAGACTTGCTGCCGCCGCACCTTGCTGCTGGAAAGGATGAGATGATGGGCAGAAGCAAGCCCGTCTGTTGTGACAGCGTGTCCCGTCTCTCAAAGAGTACCACGTGTGCGTGACACTAACCACCGAAAGACGATCGGGAGTCCAATACCATTCATGCCAGTGATATTACCACCAAGATTCGGACAGACGATACAATGAATTGTGTGAAAAGCGAGGTATAAACAGCAGATGAGTGGCAAGAAACCGAAGGACGATGCGCAATACGGTATGCAATAACGACGACAGCAGTGTACCGGATTCAGTTGAGGAAGCCACGACACTTGGCCGTGCCACAGAGGCAAGGAATCTTATCCTGCTCGAAGGGGAAATGATAATCTGCAGTAGCAGGTGAGCAATTTAGTAAGGTCAACAAACAAGTAAGCAAGACGCACCATATGTGATCTCGTCACCGAGTTCAATGTCCCTCTTAGCGTAGATGACAATCTTCTTCTCTCCGTTGATTGTGATGATCTTCGCTGTGCAATTGGGATCGCAAGAGTGGTTGATGAGGCGCCTGAACGTACGTTAGCATCGCGCAACCACACGAGTGAAGGACGACATACCCAAGATTGCCCTTCTTCGTCGCGTCCACAACAATTTCCTCGTCGATACGGAAGAGGTAGCTGCTACCGATGCCCTGCCTCTCGTACGTCGCCTCGCGCTTGTCGGCCACCTGAGCACGGATGACCTCGCCGACATACTCGATGACCATCTCCCCGCGCGCGATACGCTCCATGGCGTACAAGCCCCAGTCGTGAATGGGGGAGCGCGCGAAGCGCAGGTGCTTCTTGCGCGTCTGGAGCTGGTTGAACTTGAACGACAGCTCGCCAGCCGCCGTCTCGCCCTTCGACAACGCAAGCGCACGCTGCATCTGGTTCATCTCCTCCAGGCCCTGAGCACGACGACGCGCGTTGGCGCGGTTCGAGCGAGAAGACTGCACTTGGGGCTTCTGCTCCTGAACGACCGGCGCCGGCTCGGGAGCGTTCTGGCGCGACTTGTATTGCGCGACATAGGCTGCCTTCTCTGCGTGGCTGATCTTGTAGTAGCCTTCCGTACGTGCGGATCCAGTCTCGTGCTTCCTGAACAGAGGTTGGTCCGATGGGTCGGGAGAAGGCTCGCGCATAGACGGAGGTTCCTCGTCTGCAAGCACGAGCTTGGCGAAGTACATGTCCTCCTCGTCCTCGCATATGCCTGTTCCGCGTGGATCCACAGGCGGCGAAGGCGGTGGCGGCGGTAACGGAGTGACCGCACGCTTCCGCTTCTTCCCAGGTACGGTAGGGTCCGAGGTGAGCGAGAGCGACGGAGAGGGCGAGGGCGCAACCTCTGGTGTAACGCGAATCTGAGCAACTGGCGGCTCGACATACTCCTCCGACAACACCACTTGTTCGACGCCCACCTCGCGATCCTTGTGCGTATTGCCATCGTCGAGCCTGACCTTCTTCTTGACCGGCTCAGGAAGCTCGCTGTCCACAGACGCGCGCTTGCGCTCCGTAACGACATCGTCGACGATGGTGATGGACGTAGTATCGTCGTCCTCGGACTCGACGTCGGAGGCCACGACCTTGCGACGCTTGACATCTCGCCGCTGACGCTTCTGCTGGGGCGCGTCCTCCTCGTCCTCGTCCTGCTGCTGCGGTGCCGAAGCATCATTCTCGACAGGTTGAGGGGCCAGGATCTTCGGCCGGGGTGGCAGCTTGGGAGCTGGGCGCTTGATCTTCTTGAACGACAGCGAGGCCAGGCTCTTCTTGTCCGTATAGACGATGTCGGGAACGGCGGGCACCGGCTGCTGCTGGACGGCGTGGTTGGTCTTGGCCTTCTCGGTGGCCAGCAGCTTCCGTATATCCGGCGCCACCACACGTTCCTTGATATCCTTCTCCAGCAGCTTGCGCAGGTCCGACATAACGATTTCCGCCGCCCTGTTGACAATGTCGTCCGCCGTGAGCTCCTGCTTGTCCTGCTTCACAGACCCAGCGGGGCATTCGTGCGCGGTGAGGGTAACGGTGCTGTACCCGAGGAGACGATTCGTGTTCGTGAAGAAGTGGACCGCCCGGTTGGCGTCCGCCATGTCTGGCATAGTAACATACCAGGCATTGCGATCTTTGAGGGCCTAAGAGAGTGATGAGCAAGGAAATGGAGGAAAGGAATAGGACACGGACGTGGCTGATCTTGAACCCTCCACCGAAGAAGGCGCGGACTTCATCCTCGCGCACTGTGTCACTGAGTCGTCCGCCGAGAGAGAGCTTGACGTAGGCTTTACCCAGCTTAGCGAGTTCGTTGACCACGTCGGTCCGCTTGGCCAGACCTCGATCGCGATCCCGGAGATCATCTACCTTGCGTCTCCGTCCGTACCTCCCAGGTGATACAGAGGGCGACGTCACACGCGGTCGTGGGCGACGACTGTAGCGCGGATCCGGAGACCTCGATATTGACGCTGACCTCGATCGCCGCCTGCTCCTCCTCTCGTCCTTCGCATGACGCTCTCGACTCCTCCGCCTTTCCCCGCGAGCACTCTCCCACTCCTTTGGCCGGTCCCTTCCACGAGTGCGCTCGTGCCCAGGGACATAAGTGTCAACCAGCGCCGGCTTGCCAGGGATGTAAGTGTCTACCGCTGAGCTCACGCGCGGGGGTGGCTCATGGCTCTCCTTCATCGGCTCCGCAGCCAGCAACGGGTCACGTCGCGCACGGAAGAACGACATGCCCCCACGCCCTCGTGCACCCGACGCGATATACTTGCCGTCGCGCCTGCTGCCACGGGGCGGCGACCTCTCGCGCCGTGAAGGGCTGCGCCGAGGTGAGGCCATGCGAATGTCGCTGTGGTCCCGCGTCCTATCCCGCTCGCGCTCGTGGCGCCGGCCTCGCTCCTTGTCTCGATCGCCTCTGGACGAGGACGCGCGCCCCATAGGCTCCGCGGAAGGCAGCGGAACAGACGGCAGCGGGTGCTGCATGGGCGTCTGTGCGAGCAGAGTGGGGTTCATGGGCAGAGATGGATGCGCCTTCGCTGCAGCCGCAAGGTAAGGGTTCTGCGGCAAGCCAGGGATCTGGTGCGCGATCGGCGTCGGTGTCGGAGCCAGAGGCGTTGAGTTGCCCATAGGCGCTGGCTTCTCCATCTTCGCAGGTACAGGAGTACCGTTCATGGCTGGCGTGAGCGGGGTGGCGCTCTTGCTAAGCCCGTTCGGGGCAGACTTCTGGACGGTTTCCTTCCCCTTCCCCTTGCGGCGGTCATTGAGCTGCCTTAGCAGGGTCTTCAGCACCTTCTGCTCGGGGTCCATGACGACGGTGAGCTGGGAAGTGCTAGCAGCCTTGAAGCCTCCCATGGCAGCAGGCTTGCCGTGTTCCTTCGCAACGCATGTCTTTGCATTGTCGGTGCCAGGTATCCCGGGAGCGGTGATGAACTTGACCCAGACAATGCCCAGTGCCGCGCCGTTCGTGAGGTCGATTTGAGGCTCGAAGCTTTCGAGAGGGCCGTACTGAGACAGGTGCCGCTTGATGTTCGCGTTCGGAGTGAGAGGTGGTATTCCGGCGACTAGAACCGCGGAAGGAGGTGGGAAGGCTGATATTGTGGGGTCGTACTATATGCAAGGAAAGTCAGAATAAGTCAAGATCGCAGTGCAAGGGCACGCACCTCGTACTGCACCACCGACATGGCCTTGATTTCCGGCCTCCTCGACGGCAGGCGTTTAACACTAGGGTCCTTCCTAGGATCTCGCAGCACGATCTCCTCTTCCCAGAACTCCTCACTGTCCGCGCTACCGTCCTCAACAGATGTACTGTCTGCCTTGTTCGATTCTGAACCAGCGGTCTGCATGTCTATATCGCCGTCAGGATCTGCACGCTGCTTGCCCTTATCCTGTCTCCCTGCTACTACTCCCTCGAAGCGAATGATCATCTCAGCCATCTGCTTGTCCCTGCACTTCACCGGCTTCAACCTCTCCGTCCCATGCCCACTGGCCTTGATGTGCTTCGCCAACCTCTTGAAGTAGGCTCGCTTGTCAGAGGAGCCAGGGTCCACGGAGGGGTCGTACACGATCTTAAACGCGCGCTCATCCGGGTATTCCTCCCTCGGTGAAGGGTACGCCGGGGCCGGGGGAAGAGAGTACAACTTCGGAGGCGGAGGTGGTGGTGGAGTCGGCTCACGGGGCGGTGGTGAGGGGCTCCTAGGCGGCGCGATCGAGAACTCAGGTGACGGCGACCTTGTTCTACGTGTATGCGGGGCGGGCTTCGGAGGAAGTGCAGACTCGAGCGAGGGCCGAGCCTCGCGTAATGAAGAGGACTTGGGCAACGCGAAGGAGATCAAGGCAGGTCGTGCCGGGGGAACTGGCGGGGGAAGAGAGGGAGGAGGCGGAGGAGGTGCATCCACAGGCGGTGGTGGTGGCGGCGCATCGCCCGGCGGAGGGGGTGGCGGCGCTGATTCGGGCGGAGGTGGTGGAGGTGCGAACATGTCGTCCGGAGGTGCATTTGGAGGTGGTGGCGGAGGGGAAGGCGGTCTGTTCATCGGCGGGGGCGGCTGGAGACCATTCGGCTTTGTGGGTAGCGCGAACGATATCCGCGGAGGCCGAGGAGGAGGCGCTGGAGGCGGTGTCGAACACGGAGGTGGTGGGGGAGGTGGAGGCGTCCTCGGAGGTCCTTGGGGGTCTGAAGATGGCGGAGGTGGCGGCGGAGGAGATTCTCGTGGAGGCCCCGGTGCTGATGTTGGTGGGGGTGGTGGCGGGGGCGACGCCTGAGGCGGCGGCGGAGGAGGTGGTGGGGCCACATCATCCGCTGGCGGTGGAGGCGGGGGCGGTAATGGCTCACTATCCGCAAGTGGAGGAGGCGGGGGAGGGGGAACATCAGGCGCTGGAGGCTGTGGGGGAGGCTCCCCCGTTGAACTCGATGGCGCATGACTGGGTACCGTCGCCTTTCTCACACTCCTCGGGACCATCAGAGAATTTTGCGGTCCATGTCCATTCGCGCCCTTCGAGCTCAAGGAAATCGAGATAGGTGCACGGTCTTGCGGTCTTGAGCGTGGCGGGGAAGGCGGGCGGTTTGAGGGCTGTTGATGCATTGTCTTTTAGTTTCATATAGTAATCTCGCGCGCCCCAACGCGAATGCTTACCGACTCGAAAGGCCAGAAATCGGCGTCTTCAGCGTCACGCTTGTTAGGCATCTTGCCTTTGTAGTTGCTGGAGTAAAGGCGGTCTCTGCTGCTCGACGTGCCAGATGATCCGTGCGCGTGCCCATTAGCGCCAGGCGCGTAGTACGACCCTCGCGACCTCGAGCGGTCAGACAGGGAGGGGCTGCGCGACCTCCTCGGGGGGCTACGACTGTGGCGGCGATGGCTACTGCGTTCGTGATTCCTCGGTGGGGCGGGGAGTGCATATCCGTTCTTGGACGTGTTAGCGCCGTCAAGTCGCATGGATTTCGGGCCCGTAGGCAGCGATGAGTAGTTCTGCAGGGCTTTGGGCCCCTTCGGGGGCGCTCTGCCCGACATCGGCGGCGACGAGCGGGCGGCGACGGCGGCGAACACGACGGTGAGAAGAAGGCGGCGTGACCGTCAACGGCGACGGCGAGCCGGTGACCAAACAACAAACAGCATCAATCGCTCTTCCCGAACCGTCACCTCTTCTCTTCCGCTCGCCCGGTGTCGCCGGCCGTCTCGCAGCGTCCTGGAGATAATTTTGCAAGACAATGGACGTTCAGACAAGCATGTTGCCCTGGTCAGATGACCGATCTTCTCGTCCGCTTATTTTCCTTCGGTCCGCGAAGGCTTGACTTTCGCACCCACCCCTCGAGAAAAATTCCGCTCCGGTCCATATCAAGCCTTGTTCTCTCCATCTGTTTCGTCGTTTGACTGCAAGATTTCTCATCGTGTTTCCCTCGTACGCTTCCCATTTTTCTGCTGCATCGCTGCAAACCTCATCTGACACGTCGACGCAGGCGAACAAACAATGCATCTTGCTTTCTGCCTGTTGCCATCACTGGCGCTATTCTGAACATCTGTGTAGCGCGCTCCATCTACAAGATACGCTCTTGCGTCGGTTGAGCGCGGATCTCATACGACACGCTCCATCGACTTCATTCACCCACAGCCGTTACTTGGCCAATATTGCGCAGTATCGCAGACCAAACGCCTCTGGATTACCCCGGTAGTGCGTATGTCAAGGTCGACTCAATCTTCAACGCTGCAGCCTTGCACCTTCAACGCGGGCCGCACCACTATGTTGCACGGCACGACCAGAACATCCAACCCGCACCTGTTGTCTTCTGGCTTCTACTCCATTCTCCGTTTCTGTTCACGTACTTTTGGTGTCGAAGGTTTTGCCTCGCACTCTGCAGTCCTTCAAGTCGATTCATACAACGCCCTCAAGCCTCGAGCGCCTCCGTTCGTTCTTGCACACTCCTGGATATGGTCATCGACAACACCCTATCGCTACACGGCAGCTCGCAAGTGCTCTACATGTCCGTCGTCTTCTCCATTATCACGCTCAGCAAGTCCCAAGTCCACACCTCCGTTTCTTGCTCAGCAACTTGCTGCGCCGAGTTTGCCCATGGTCCGTGCGCTGTGGGAATGCACGTGCTGGCCACGTGGTGCTAAACGCGAACTGAACATACTGTTAACGTTGCTTACAACTGTCGAAGATCGTTTTTCGTTCATCGTTGACATACCACGCATGCCATTGTCCCGTCGATACGCCCGCTAGTCATCTTTGACGACATCTGAAGGACCTATCCCATCGGCAGCTGCATCACAACTCTACACTAGGTTCAAGTGAACGAGAATTGCTCCGCGCATTGAATCGAATGAAATATAACTGTCCGCCTTTCTATACTCCGCCAACACTGAGTCTGGGAGGCAGTTCCGCCTGATCGTGGGCGCTCGCAAGATGTGCGAATAGCGAAAGTTGAACCTATTGATTTACGCGTGACCATAAACATTCGGCAGGCACCGAAGCCCCTGTTGAAATGCGCGGGCCCCGATCATTGCTCGATCGACGATCGCGCTCCCCCGCCAAGTCCATAGCTGCTCCCTTACCGCTTCTCCCCTTCTTTGACTCGCTTTACTACGATTCCGTACCTCTGGTACTACCAGGCCCCCTACCATGCCCTCCATAAACGTCGGCTCCCAAATCTTCGACCTCGTCTTCCACCCGAAAGAGCCCACGATCTACACCGCGCTCCTCACCGGGCACGTCAAGGCGTTCAGCTACGATGCGCAGGGTGCGCTGGTGCCGTCTTTCTCGCTGAGGGTGTCGAAGAGGTCGTGTAGGGGACTGGATCTGGGGAAGGGGGCGGACACGGGAAAGGTGTATGTGGTGGGGAAGGGGAAGGCGATCCAGTGAGTGTGCGGTTTGGTTGGGTACGGAGGGAGGGGGGGTTGCTCAATGATGAGTCTGGACGTCAAAGCGTCGGCCCCTCCCGTCCTCCCCTGCACTCATCCCCCGAGGACCTCACGCTGACCACATCCCTCCTCCCAGCACCATCGACGCCTCCATCGGCAAGGTCTCCGAGACGCGGGCAGGCGCGCACGAGTAAGCCTGGCGAGTTCCCCTGGTTACGAAGGTGCTGAGATGCTCAGCGTGCCCAAGGTCGGCCATCAACCGCGTGAAGTGCTTGACGTCGTGGCTGCTCAGCACGGGGGATGATGATGGGGTGATCAAGGTGAGTTGCGTAGAGCAGGCGTCCAGGTCTCGTCTCTGGGACTCGGGGATGCGTCTCTGGGACTCGGGGATGCGTCTCTGGGACTCGGGCCTGCGCCTCTGGGACTCGGGGCTGATTTGTGACCCCATGTAGCTCTGGGATCCTCGCCAGCGCGACTCGACGCGATCCTACACACAGCATTTCGACTACATCACCGACTTCCTCTGGCTCGAGGATAAGAAGCATTTGGTCGCGACGAGGTGCGCGGGCACCTTCACATATATGTGGTGTCCCTTTCTCATCTGACACTTCACCTCTCGCAGCGGCGATGGCTCCCTCTCCGTCATGGACGTACGTGCAAAGACATTGAAGCCGATCGCGCACTCGGAAGATCAGGAAGATGAGCTGCTGAGCATAGGGTTGATCGCAGGGTGAGCGTTTTCGCTACTCCTGGGAGGACTGCATGCTCACTCCTGCGCGTTCAGAGGCACGAAAGCCGTCGTCGGTACCCAGATGGGCGTACTCTCGATCTTCAACCGCAGTAGCGGCTGGGGTGACTGCGTGGATCGCGTGCCAGGGTGAGCAGTCCCCTCTCCCTCATTCACACACGTACTCATTCATGCGCTAAAGTCATCCTCAATCCATCGACGCGCTCTGCACCCTCCCCGACCTCTCCGACATCGGCGTTGACACGACACGCACGGTCATCACCGGCTCTTCCGATGGCTTCGTGCGCGCGGTGCAGGTGCTGCCGACGAAGTTGCTGGGTGTGGTGGCGGATCACGGCGAGTGGCCCGTTGAGCGGGTCGCGGTAGGGCAGGCGCCCACGCCAGAAGTGAGTGCAGCGTCGGGCGACGCGAAGGGGAAGGGGAAGGCTATGGAGGACGAAGAAGACGTTGGGCCGACGAATGCGAAGTACTGGGTGGGGAGCGTCGGGCACGACGAGTCGCTGCGGTTGACGAGCCTGGAGGCGTTCTTCAAGGAGGGTGGGGTGGACGTTGAGGAAGGCGAGGGCGCGGCGATGGAGGGATCGAGCGAGGACAGTGACGAGAGTGACGAGGAGGAGGACGGCGACAGGAACGTCGAAGACGCGGGCGGGAAGGACAGCGAAGAAGAATCCGAGGAGTCGTCTGATTCGGATGGGGAGGGCGAGCCAGCAGCAGCCAATATCGAGTCAAAAGCAGTGCGCGTCGAGGAGCGCGAGACGGGAGACGACGATGGCGCATCGGACGATTCCGACTCTGACGGGGAGAAGGAGACGAAGAAGAGGAAGCGGAAGCAGCCGAAGGATCTGTTGGCCGTGAAGAAAAAGAAGGGCCGGAATGAGATTGATCTCGAGGGGAAGTTCTTCGATGGGCTGTAGCTTTGACAGTATGTTTTCCTCTATGTGCATACCTGTGGGAACGTCTTGTTTGTGGTCGCGCGTCACTTGTGGGTCCAACCTCCGAAGAGAACGCTTCTCATGTCAACAATACCTGCCTGAAAAGGAAATTCCAGCCAAAACGACCACGTGCTCCGGATCTCGAGCTCGCGTCATGCGGGGTTGCTCGCCGTCGCGCACGCCCCGGAGCTTGCTCCTGACCTCCATCTCGCATTTGCACCCTCATTTGACTCGGGGCACTCTCACGACGATCTATACCTCTTGGATACACTCGGTTCCTGTCCTCAGGTCCAACCATCATGCTCTGCTCTCGAACGAAGGTCGTGAGCCGTCTGCGCGTCGCGCGATGCCTGTCGACGCGGGCATCGAACGTGCTTTCGCCGCTCGGAATCCAGGGAGGGTCCGCGCTGTCCGGATTATATGATGGCTCGTGGCGCGGTTCTGGGGAGACGATCGTGTCGAAGTGCCCGACCACGGGCGAGACGCTGGCGGAGGTTGTGACGGTGCGTACTTCTCGCCGATCTATCAGTCTCATGCTGACAATGTTGCGTCGTGTAGCCTACCCCGGCTGAGTTCCACGAAGCGCTTGGGAAGACGAATGAAGCGTCTGTGTTCTGGAGGGGTGAGTTGCTGTAGATGGTTGAGCAGCGATGCTTGAGAGCTAATGGCCCACACTTCCAGATGTTCCTGCACCAAGACGCGGTGAGATCTTGCGGCAGATTCGGGAGGCTCTGGCGGCCAAGGTGCTTACTACAAATTCAATCTCGCATTGCGCATATAACTCACATTTGCGTTCAGCGCGATGCTCTCGGGCAGCTCGTATCGTTGGAGATGGGCAAGATCAAGACTGAGGGCATCGGGGAAGTACAGGAATTTGTCGACATCGTATGTGCTTTGCGCCCGCTACCGCTGCAATATGACTGAAACGTCGTTGTATCATTAGTGCGACTACGGTGTTGGTCTTTCCCGGATGATGAATGGTCGGTACATAGCGTCTGAGCGACCGGGGCACACCATCCTCGAAGGTATTTCCTTTCCTTTGTTGCACGAGCGGGCCATGTCGACATCTTACCTTCCTCTCAGTGCCAAATCCCCTCGGAGTTGTTGGCGTGCTGACAGCCTTCAACTTCCCTGTTGCCGTCTACGGCTGGTATGTAGTTGTGTCAATTAATTGCCTCCATGCGTTCAGGCTGACCTGGTCTACTTAAGGAACCTGTCGCTCTCGCTCGTCGCCGGTAACGCCACAATTTGGAAGCCTTCACCGACGACTCCGCTATGTGCTATCGCCACCACGAGGATCGTCGCGGATGTGCTAGAGAAGAATGGCCTGCCAGGTGCAATCGCCAGTCTTGCCGTTGGTGGTCAGGACGTCGGTGAGGCTATTGTAGAGAGCGGTGATGTTCCTCTCGGTAAATATCTTTTTACGTGTGCTTGTGTGGGTGCTGATGGCCCCGCAGTGTCGTTCACTGGCAGCGAACGTGTCGGACGCATCGTTGGCAAGAATGTGATGTCTAGATTCGGGAAGACCATCCTAGAACTTGGTGGCAACAGTACGGGCCTTTCCTTTCGGATTTCTCTCGTCTAGATTATATCCCAGATGCCTCCGTCGTCATGGCGGACGCCGACCTCAACCTCGCCGTCCCTGCCGTGTTCTTCGGCGCGGTCGGGACCGCCGGGCAGCGTTGCACCTCCACGCGGCGCCTTTACGTGCAGCGCGGGATTGCGAACGAGTTCATCGAGCGCCTGGCGAAAGCATACAAGTCCATCAAGCCTGGTGACCCGCTCGTCGATGGCACGCTCCTTGGCCCTCTGCACACCCAGAGTGCTGTGGCGACGTACGCTGACACGGTTGCGCATCTGCGCTCCATCAACGCGGATGTTGTGTGCGGTGGGAGCAAGTACGCGGACGCGCCGTTCGAGGCGGGCAATTTTGTGGAGGTGGGTGACAGACCCTGATGTGGGAGAACGGATGAACTAACGGACATTATAGCCCACGATTGCCATTCCGAGGTCGGTCGACACGAAGGACCGTATTTGGGCGACGGAGACGTTCGCGCCCATCCTGAACGTCGCCGTCTTCGACGAGTTGGACGAAGCCATCCAGTGGAACAATGCCGTTCCTCAGGTATGCATACAGGCCTTCGCAATCACTCTCGCAGCTTACCAGAACTGCTCAGGGCCTTTCCTCGTCACTTTGGACCAGGGATATCCGTAATGTCGGCCGCTGGATTGGCCCGTCGGGTTCCGACGCGGGGATCGTGAACGTCCGTGAGGTCCAGACACTTTTGAGCACTGATGTTGATACGTGGTTCAGGTCAATGTGGGAACCAGCGGCGCGGAAATCGGTGCTGCCTTCGGAGGGAACAAGGTCTGTACATAATTGTGCTTGCGGGCCCGCTCCGACCTCTGACTGTCTTTCTTTCTTCTTTCCCCTACAGAGCACTGGATGGTACGTGTTGTGCACTAGGGTCCTGGTGGCATGGGTTATTTACTTCCATTGCAGGGGTCGTGAGTCTGGCGGTGACGCTTGGAAGCAGTACGTGCGCTGGAGCGCGTGCACTGGTATGTGCTCTGCTGCTACCCGGCTGGGGAAACTAGAGGCGCTGATCAACCGCAGTAAACTTCTCGGACGCTGCGCCACTAGCGCAAGGCGTGAACTTCTCTGCGTAAGGGCTATGCGCGACCGCGTCGCTGCATCGACGGTCGGGAAGCTAGCGCTTTCTGAGCGCGGTCGGATGGGCCAACGAGCAACGCGTCGCTCCCGAGGTAGGTGTTCTACCCAAGTCCGCCTCGACTTGAAGCGTCGGAGCAGGAGGTACTGCTCGGCCACCTACGCAAACGGCGCGTCATGCCATGCCAGGCCCCGGAACAATTGCGGCGGCAAACCAAGTTTACCGTACATTGAGAAGACAGTAGCAAGTCGAGCACCTAAGCACAACTGTAACTATAAAGAATGAGAGCAGACACTCACAATTGCCTGCCTGGACAGGCGTGCGCCGGGCGTTCGGGCAGACTGCCGCTGATGTCCGCTGGAGCGCGAGGCGGATTACGCTCGGACGGTGTGAAATTTGTGCCCCTGGGGGATAGCGGGATCAGAGATGGATGTAACCAAGGTAAGAAAAGCACATGGGATGCAGGGTTGTCGGGTAAGCGATCGATGTTCTTTCACCATCAACGGAGGGGCTGGCCAATCAACGACTAAAAGAAGCGCGCAACAGTCTACAGACTCCGTGCCGCTGTTTTAATCAATGCACGCGCCCTCCTCCGCGCGCCCGACCGATTCTTCAGACATACCATCATCTTCCCCGGTCACTGTCGACTTGTCACCTCTGGCCACTTGGCTTCCTACTTCCTGCACGCTAGTACTGCTCAGGAGCCTCGCGCATGGCCTCTCCCTCGACGCAGCCGCCGCTGGACGACCTGCCATGGCCTGAGCTCGGGAACGTTACGCGTGGGGCGACGCGCGGAAACCAGGGGCAGAAAGGAGTCCTCGGGCCACCGGACGAGGAAGGACGCTCCGTTCTACAGCTTCGCGTGCAACCCGGCGTCCTCGCAGTCAAGCTGAACAAGAAGACGAGCGAGTGGTACCGCATCCTGGACACCGAAGTCAACAACGCGCTCAAGCAGACGAAGACGTACTGGCGGAAGGCGCGTCGGCGTCAGGACTACGATGCACGGGCAGACCAGGACCACATGGAGCTGCACGAGTGGTTGCAGCAGTTGAAGTGCGCGCGCCTATTCCCTCTCTGAGCGCGCTTGTCACTGACGGGATGTTGAAGAGACAAGACGATGAGTCACCTGGAAGTTCTTATGTCGAAGGGTATCTTGAATGGCCCGCCCTATGTCCTACCCGAGGACGTAGAGCTCACCTTCCTGCGCAAGTTCATCGAGCGCCAGGCGGCGGGCATCCCTCACAACCCGCGACTCCGCAATCGGACGATCAAAGCCGACTTAATCGTTGACCCGCGGACTGGCGCGTCGACGCCGTCGGACACGATGGCTGGTGGCAGCAGCTATGGCGATCGCAACGCGCTCCCGAACACATTGCACGGTGAAGGAAACCTCGCGGCGTCCGCCTTCCCACTGTCTGACGACGAGCGCAGACCCTGCACTTCGCTCCTCCATGTCACCGGCGCTTATGCAGAGCCTCGACCCGCTCGGTGACGAATTGAACACTTCTAGTACGTGTACAGCGTCGTCACTGAATGGTGTATTCACCGAGGTTGCAGAACAGCTCCTCCAAGCAGCTCGGGCAACGCTTACGACGGCGCAGCAGGAGACACAAGAGGCCTACTCTCGCTACGTGAGTTCTGCCTTGTTACGCTGCCTGCTTTCGTATTGAGACGAGACTGCAGATGAACTGCTTAGAGGCGGAACGCTGCGCGCGGCAAGCCGTCCATCAGGCCGAAAGGCGGCGTGACGATATCAGTGAGTAGCGAACCAGCCAGTCGCATCGCGTATACTGAAGTCTATCAGTGGGTGCTATGATAGCGCGTAGGAACAGTGCTTCGACATTACCAGGTAAGCTTCGGCTACTCTGTTCGTGAAACGCGTTGACCTTGGTGGCAGAGTCTAGCTCGCGCCACTCATCATTCTCGGAAGAGGGCGAAGACGGCAAGTTGAACAACATGTCACGGTATCAAGAGGTGAGTTCATGTTGATAGTGACTATTGAATGGCGAACTGATGACATGCCATTCAGGCGGCTGACCTACATCACCTCTCGGAAGTGGCCATGAGAGTGCCGCCTGTGCCCATACGGCAGGGGCCTGGTAGTGGAATGGGCTGGGGAGTCGGGGGCGTAGGAGGAGGCAATGCGCCCTACGTGGACCCCAACGTACAAATGGATGTGCGTTATCACTCATCTATGCAGTGGCCGACCACAAACCAATATTGAGAAGGTGCGAAAACGTTCCTGGGATCCGTCAACGGAACAACTCGAATCGGGTAAGCGCATCGGCAGTCTGTTTTTGGGTTGTCATTTGTTGACGCGCTATTATTCCGAATGTAGACATGCAGTATGCCTGTGACGTGCGTGCGCTCCTGAGTCTTTGTCGAGATGCTCACTGACTTTGACAGATAACCGGTATGCCGCCGAGAAAACGCATGCAGACCGATTACTCGGATGCATTCCCAAATTCCATGCAATCAATGCCACGATGATGATAGACCACCACACAACAATCGCATTCTTCACAGTCGGACGCTCGGAATCTTAAGCATCGCATATCTCATTTAGTACTTAATGTCGTCGTCACTGCTCTGCACAAGGACACCGCTTTTCGATCCTCCTGTATGCTATCAGTCAAAGTGGGTATGTATGCTGCATTTGATTGGTCCGGATCCGGTGGCCATGTTGTGATGGCTTTGACGACTTCGGTATTGTCTTGCATCCTTTGTTCTCTGAATGGACGCTCTTTTGTGACGTCGTCATGCATGTTACGGCTATGCATGGTGCCTCTAGGTCACCTCGTATATAACGCGCGCCTGGTGATCCTGTCACTCATTCACCAACCACCACGATGAACAGTCACCTTGCGCCTTACACCTACCAGCAAGCCGCCGTTAACGGCGTCCACGGTGCGTGCTCTGCTCGACGTCCGACGCTGTCTGACCTCTATCATGACAGGCCCTTCAGATATGCGCCACTTCGACGAATACTACATGGGTGGCCACCGCGCCACGGTGTTGGTTGGGGACCCACCTCGCACGGCAGCTGGCAAGAGCGCACGTAGCGGAAAGCACAAGACGTCTGCTCAAGATATCGAGCTCGCGCGGCAGACGAAGCTCTGCTCCCATTACTGCAGGAACCAGGCGTGCCCTGAAGGAGAAGAGAATTGCGATTAGTGCGTGTTGCGTCTGAAGCCTCATAAACGTTGCTAATTTGCCACCAGCATCCACGACAAGGACATCTACGCCGCTCAAATGAGCGACCCCGCAAGTGGGCTGCAAAGGCACAGGGCTCCTCGCGCGCATTGCTGGGCCTATATTCAAGGAAGCTGTCCCCGTCGCGGCACTTGCCGCTACTACCACCCCCAGAAGCGCGAACTCTGTGAGTCAGACAGTCAGTAGGTTGGCACCGTCGCTGACGCCGTCCTTTCTCAGATTGCAAGTACACCCCGTGCGCCAATTGGCGCGAGTGCACCCTGAGGGACTGCACCTTCCGCCATCCCGCAGTTGTCGACCAGGGTGTGCCCAGCCCCGTGACGACTGCAAAGCGCGTCAGCATTGACGCTGGAGTAAAGCAGGACACGTTGCTTAACCTTGCACAAGCTCACGCCTTAGCGCTTGAGGCCTACGAAGATACCTTCATTCGGCTGACGGCACCCAGCCCGCCGAAGTCGGCACCGGCTACCCAAACACATTATTCTCGGTGGGGATCTATATCCCATGCAGCCGTGGGCAACGATTTCGAGGCGATGGAGTCCATCCAAGCGACGCCACACCACGGGAGGACTCGTCGTGCTTCTGCCGCGGTGCCCCCTGTGCCCCGGAACCAGCAGCGATATACCGTTGAAGTGAAAGGGAAGGCGGACTCTTCGATGAACTGGAGGGATTCTCGCCGCAGCTCGGTATACTAGATAGCTCTCATTGCACCTGCATCGCGCATATGAGTGCTGCATGTACGTTATACCTTTGAAGGCTAATGCCTCCTTCTATTACTTGCATTACTTAATTGGTTGGCAATTGGACTTTTATCACGCTTGCCGATACATGCACGACGATGCAGTTTCAGACGCACTTTGGGTGAATCCAGGATGATGTTGATGACTAGTAGAACACAGCGATGAAAGCAAAGGTACAGTTATAGTACAGCACAGACGTAGCAGTCGTAAGACGTGAATAGCGTTCAAGCTTTCGCATCGACGGTTTCGGAGTGCACGGACGAGGGCTGTTGCTCGTCCAGCGCGCGTTGCCGCTCTGTGATGTCGGCTTCACGCTTGCTTTGTTCGACGGAGCCAAAGACAACATCCATCTCCTCGAGGGAGCGTCCCCGCGTCTCGGGAATCAGGCTGAGGAGAGGGGATGAGTAAGGTGTTGAATATGGGTAAGAAGCGAGGACACTCACAGGGCAAAGGTGCCCAGGCCGCCGATGTCGATCGTCGCGAACATCATGAAGAGCTTCCAGTCGAGGTCGCTGACCATGTCGGGCGTTACCTTCGAGAGGACAAAGTCTGACGGCAGAGTCAGCGTTAGAGTCAAGGTTCAAAGGACAATCACGTACTGAACAACCACTGGCTCGCACTCGCCACCGACATCCCATAATGCCGCGTGCGCGTCGGGAAGATCTCAGAAACGTAGAGCCATGGAAGCGGTCCCCATCCCATCGAGTAGAAGCAAACGTAGATGTACAGCATCGCCGCCATAGCCTGTGATGCCTGCGACGGCGTACCCACGTTCGAATCGTCCGACGCGCTCGTTGCAGGCGGCGGGTGCGTCTTCAGGATCGCACCGATGATGAAGAACAGCGTGCCCATGCCGAGGCCAGAGATGAACAACGAGAGCTTGCGCCCCAGCCACTCGACGCCGAAGAAGACGAAGATGGCGGTGGCGACGACTTTGACGACGCCGTAGATGCCGCTGGCGAGCAAGCTGTTCTTCGTGCCGGTATAGCCGATGGAGGCGAAGATCTGGGGCGCGTAGTAGCTGGGTGGATGGGTAATCAGGATAGGCTATCGATAGCGAGGGAAGGGAACGCACTTGACCGAGTTCTGCCCACACCACTGCTGGAGCAGGAAGATGACGAAGGCGATAACGAATCGTGGCCAGTTGCCCTTCCCAAGGAAAGCCTCCTTGAAGCCGAGGTTGGCCCTAGCTTCACGCTCTTCGCGGACGGCGGCTTCGATTTCGGCCAGCTCAATAACCACTGATTCGTCGTCGACCTGCTTCTTGCGCAGGTAGGCGATGTTGGCGAGCGCTTCCTTTTCGCGGCCGACTTGGACGAGCCAACGTGGCGACTCCTGCAGGGAAGGGTTAGCGGGCTTGTTTCGAGCGCTCAACGACTGACGCACCTTGAGAGTGAGGAGTCCGACGGCCATGATACCCGCTGGGATGAGCTGAATGGCGAATGGTATCCTCCATACCGCGACACCGACTTGATGAAGACCGACGCCGTCTGTGATGCTACCTCAGCATCGAGCAGAAGTCGGGGTGGTCCTTTACTCACAATTGACGAAGTACGAAATCATGACACCGAAGGCAACCATGATTTGGAACATGCCGGTTCTAGAGAAGGTCGTTGAAGCTTTGAAGATTCTCGTGAAGTGGGAGGCACGCACATACGACCGCGGACCTCCTTCGGGGCGCACTCAGAGACGTAGGCAGGGGAGACCGCACTGACACCACCGATACCGAAACCAGAGATGACGCGACCGGCGTAGATCTCTGAGAGACCCTTGCTGCCGCCGTTGGCGACGACGGTGAGGATCTATTAGCCGTGTAAGTTGATGTCTCGCATGCGGGGGATAGCATACGCACTGCACCAACGACGAACACCAAGCTAAAGAGCAACAGAGTACTCCTCCGTCCAACTCGTGCTAGATGACAAAGTAAGCCTAAGACGCACTCGAGCGAGATGATCCAGCGACGCACCAGACAGCGGTGCACTGCCCAGCGCGCCGAAGAAGGCTCCTGCTTGAAGTACAGACACTACGTTCGACGAGACCTCATTCGACTTGTGCGTGTCCTCGACGCCGTCCTTGATAATGCCGAACGCTTCCTTGAAGTGCTTGGAGGACACGACGCCACCGCCGACACCGCTGTCAGATTGTCAACGATCGCTGCTACCCTCACTAGCCCGCACACGCACGTATCATAACCGAACAGCACGATCCCCCAGTAGACCACAAACGCTAGCCCTGCAGATCGTCAGCTTCTTGTTCCTTCCCTTCGTCTCCCTCATGCACGACACTCACAATACGCCCGAGAGTTCTGAAAAAGCGAGACGGCCTTCATGATCGTCGGCGAGCGTCGGGGAGGTCAGCGGTGGAAGCAGGGAGCGCCTACCCACCGCGCATCTCGCACGGTGCCATATATACCTCGCGCACCGTCGCGGCTTCCGGTGAAGGACGCTGGGTCGCCTGACCAGCGCACAGGGTGCGCGCGGTCCGCCCGAGCCGCCAGGAACGCTGGCGTGTATTAGGTGTGCGCTGGGTTGAATTGAGGACGTGAGGGCGTGCGCGCGGAGTGTCAGTGATGGGCTGCAGGTCAGTGATGCGCTCGGAGAGGCTGACCTTCGGTGGCTGCGCCGTCGTCCTTTTTGAGTGGATTTTTTGGCTAGGGTCAGGGGAGGCTGGTCACGGGTCGTAAAGGTAGATATGAGAGGTACCAAGCTACTGATTGGTAGGTCCAGCGTTAGCTGGACAGATGGGAACCTCGTACGGCAGAAGCCTGCCACTCGCTTCTTCTTCGCTGAGTAGACAAGAATAGAGCGTGGCTTCTCGGAGTTGCACTGAATATTTCGTCGCTCGCGGAAGTATTTCTTCGTCCTCCAGTCGTTCAGCTCTGACCGCTGTGTCTGATCCACAAAACGCAGACTGCGGGGCATGGTGGCATAGGCCCTGTGACCCCACGGGGCCGCCGATGCGGGGAAAATTGCCGCCGCAGCGGGGATGGCCTTGCAAGTGGATACGCCACAAAAGTACAAGGCGGGTGGTCCAACTGCGACCGCGGCGACTGTAGCCCACCGCCACACTCCGAAGTTCCTGCGTTTGTCAACAAGGGTCTGCGTTTGTCAATCAGGGGCCGCAGACGACGCCGGTGACTTTCATTATGGGACAGGCCCGGGGCGGACCGCTGGTTGTGCACGGTTAATCTGCATGTCAGGCTCAAAGAGTCAGACGGAGCTTGGAGACGCGGTTGAGCACGCACATTGTACTTGCTGATAAGCGTGTAGGGTGGTGCTTGTCTTTCAGCTTCGTGTGGGCGATAGGGCGCGATGTAACGTCGGACCTCGCCCTCAACGACCTTTCTCGGAGCTCCCGAGCGGTTCAGAGCTGTCCAAGAACTCGGGGATTGATTCTCTAGGATACTGAGGCGTAAATTGCCCGGAACGCATCTCGTACGGTCCGTGCTGCGCAAGGGAAGGATGAGAGGAACCTCGCGAAGCAGTAGAGCATATGGGTGGCATCGACCTTGGTGCGGCGAGCGGAGCATGGCACGCCGTTGATTGCACAGTTCATCCCAACTGCCGTAGGGACAGGCGTCGAGGTGAATGGTATACTCCAATCATGTCTTGGAGCCTGGTCTGGGCATGGTCAATATCAAGCTATGGAGCGCAGTCCTTACCTGTAGTCGAGCAGCTTCTTCGTCAAGCTCCAGAGCCATTCAAACCGTCCCTTGGACCTCGTTTTGGGCGATTTGAGCTACGTGCAGTGCTGGACCTGTAACGCAGGATCGGTCAGACCTTGAGAAGCAGCACAACAGGACGCACGGACTTACCTGGACAAGGCGAGAGGGATCTGCCCAACAAGTATAGAACGTCGAAGTGAATGGTGTACGTTACTTATATTCTGTGAGACCAGCCTAGACAACAACAGGAAGAGGTGCTTTCGCTCATACACTTTGGAATGAACATGCAGGAGAACGAATGAACAGGTGCCTATTGGAGGTGGTAGTTGAGGCTCGACGCCTGAAAATACCGTGAAGGATAGCTGGCTAGGCGGGTACGACTTATTGAGATGCGGGCAAACAGTCTGGGTAGTAGGAATGCAATGCCCTGAAGAAATGGTCGCAGCGTTCTTCCTGCGCGTGGACGAGATGACAGCCGGGTAAACGCGGAATGCGACGGAACTTCACGAAGGGAGGTCAAGCATGTTCATGTCCAGACGTCAGATAAGCGGGCATCTGCGGTGGGTGAGAGACGATGAGAGAAGTGGCACTACGGGGGACATACCCTCGTTCTATATTCAATGTCCCCGGCCGGCCCGCTAAGCAAGAGCTGAATGGAAAGCGAGACTACTTGAAGAACGCTGCCCCAAGAATCGTTGATGCCATTCGATCTTCTCCTGGGCTGATCTTCGTATTGGTTCAGGACTCAGTGCACATTTCTTGGACCATTCAAACGAGCAGAGCAATGGATTACGGGGAAGGGAGAGCGGGTGATAGTGGTGAAGGAGGAGGACGTCTGCGCGCCTGTTGACATGATGGCGTGGGACAAAGAGCGAAAAACGTGACCGCCACCTGTTCCCCCAGCCTTTTCGGGACGCCTGCTCCCGACTGCATCGTTTTCTTCCCCAGTCGATATCCGCGTCCTCCTACGGAATCTCGACCTCCCCCTCGATATCTTCACCCTCCACACACCTTACTCCACCCCACACACCACCCCCTAGCAATGCTCAACCTCATCCGCCGCATTTCCGGGTCGGTCATCCCCCGCCTGGACAGGCCGTGGCGGGACGACGGTGCGTGTATGCCCCTTTTCCCTGACGGACGCGCGTAACTGACGCGATCTTCCCCTTCAATGTGCTTCTATCTACCCGCATTATCGCTGCCTCGCCCGCTCCGCGCGCCTGCCACTCAACCCCCCCTGACGCGACACATACGCCGGACACGTTCCCCTCGCGCTCAATTCCAATGATGCCCCCCACCCAATGATGCCCGCGCCAAATGACGCTCCCACCTAATACGGTCCCCCGCCTGATCAGCCACGTCCAACGCGCCGCAGATCGGTCGCAAGCGGCGCAACAGCTCGGTCGAGCGCGACGAGGAGGAGGACGAGCGCGCGGCGAAGCGCGCGCGCTCGGAGCTGCCGTCGCGCGAGGCGAGCGAGGCGCCTCCCCCACAGCCACAGCCGGAGACGAAGGAGGTGCGCGAGGTCACGACGGGCGTCAGGCAGATCGACCTGGCGCCGGAGAACGTACCTCTCCCCGAGAACGTGCCCCTCCCTGAGGATGCGCCGAGGCCGACGGAGGTGCCACTGCCGGACGACACCGCGAGCGACTTCGAGGAGGCCGGGACGCCGCCGCCCGCGACGCAGGTTGCTGAGGACGTGCCTGTACAGGAGACGGCAGCGGCGCAGGAGGGTGGCGAGCCGATCGCGGTCGAAACGGACGAGGCGATCGCGGTCGACACGAACGAGCCGATCACAGTCGAAGCGAACGAGGCGATCGAGGCGAAAGCAGTCGAGACGGAAAAAACTGCCGCTGCCATTCCCGCCGCCGAGCCCATCCCCGCCACTGCTGTCGAACCCACCGCCGGGTCTACCACCACGGATGCACACGCAGCGGAGGAGGCGCCGGCACCGAAGCAGACAGAGACCACCGAGCCCATCACCACGAAGGAGCCCGCGACCGACGACCCCACGATCACCGCTACTGTGTTCACGCAACCCGACAAGGCTTCCGAGTCAGCAGCCTCACAGTAGCGCTAGCGCTTGCCATCGCACGGCCCGCCCCTTTCCCACCTCCCTTCCTCTTCCCTTCTTTCTACTCGGTATACCTCCAGCCACCCGCTTGGCTTTCTGTTGTGTCTTGTTTGTTCTCAGCAACGTGCGCGGGCTGCTTTTGCCTCCGTGTTCCTCACGTTCCTGCCTTCGCGGTCGGATCGCGTTTGCTTTCCCTTCCTTCCCTCGCGTTCTTGACTTGACTTCCCTTCGGAGGCGGTATTTATTCCCTTGTTCTTCCTTCTCTTGCTTACCTACCTACATACCAAGACTGCCCGTGTGCCTGTTTGCGTATCTACCTACCAACCACTTACCGAGACTGCCAAAAACTGTACCCACCCACTCTTTGACTTTTTATGTGTATCTACTGTGCTTTGACTATAACATAAACCCCTCGAGCTATATGAGCCTATCCTCGAGCCTCTATCGCCTCTACTTACCTGTAATACGAGGCCGGCTCAATATCCGCGAAACGTCGAGTCCTCGATATCTTCGAAACCTCCGGAGGTTGTCTCAATATCCGTAGGCCATCGGAGCGTCAGAAGAGCACGCACGACGAGCGTGCGCGCGATGTCCTTGCTCCGTGCGTCCAGTGCGAAACAATCCGAGGCGCACATACGTCTAACGCTCCAGAGCATGCTAAAAAGATGCACGAAGGAGCTGGGAGGCGCCCATGCATTTCCTGGTAAGATGAGGCGCCCACGCACTTTCATACCTTTTTCATCTAGGGTCCATCCGTCCAGACATCCGCAACGTGTGGTTCCCCGGTCCATACTTCTTGGACAAAGGCGCGCCGTGTCGCGTCGAAGACTCATTCGAAGGGGTGGATGCGCTCATTCGAAGAATGCTCATCGAGCTGCTTCGAGGGTGGCGGCCGATCACCCGCCATCGTCTGCAAGTCAGTGTGCTACTTCTCGGTGAATGCGAGGACCATTCCATGGTGTATGCAGTAGGCCTTCATATCCCCCAGAACCCGCCTCACCCCCAGAAGCGCCGACTTCCTCTTCCGGAAGGGATGGGAGAGCCTTAGCGCAGGAGATAGGGCGCACCTACGAGCGCAGGCGAGCTTCATCGTGCGTACAGACGACCTTCATCGTGCGCACAGGCGACCTTCACCGTGCGCGCAGGCGCTCGGCTAGCAGGGTGCACAGTCGCGTCGACATGCACGATGAGCAGGCTCGGTGACAGTCGGTACGCCCTGCAACATGCTGCTTCGCGGCAGGCCCTGCAATCGCAGAGCACGCACGACCCTGCGCGCAGCGTACATATAGGCCCTGCGCGGGAGGCGGCGGCTCGACATTCACCTGCGGGTGGGCAGCAGCCGCCCGCGCATCTTCTGTATCTTCGTCTATCTTCCTCTTTCTTGGCTGCACCTGTTCCCTTTTAACAACATTCTCCCCTCTTCGACGGACTTCTTCCCTTTCACGACTCATCCACGACTTACGATCTCCCCATCTTCATCATCATCTCCACGACCAACCGACATGCTGGGCATCATGCGCGCATTCTTCATGCCACGGGCCGATCCCCAAGACGTATCCCTGGAGGAGGGGAGAGCTTCGCGGGAGAAGGGCAGGCTGAACATGGAGAAGGGCAGGCCGGATCTGTCGTGGGCGTGTAGGGGAGAGGATGCTAGCACCATCGGAAGGGGCAGCACGACCATTCGGAGCGAAGGCCCGCATGCCGCGAGCCTCAGTCCGCCCGCCTTGCTGCGCAAGACGAGCCTCGCGGCCTCTCAGCGCCAGGAGCATGCCGAGGAGCGCGCTGTCGCCCGCAAGCCCCCCTCACGCAACGCCTGGCTGCACACTCGCCCGCGCGCGGACAAAGGCCGCAGCGACGCCCCCAACTGTAGAGGCAGCGACGCGCCCAGCCATGAGCGCAACCGGGAAAGCAGCGACGCGCCCAATCGTGACAAGCCCCGCCTCGGCGCCAGCCTCACCAAGCTTCGTCGCAGCAGCAGCCTCACCAAGCTCGGTCGCTCCAGCAGCCTCAACAAGCTCCGCCGCACAGCCAGCCTCGACAGGCCCCAGCGCAGCGGCAGCGTCAACCTGCCCCCACGCCGCGCGCCCCTGCGCGTCAACACCATCACCATCAGCCGGCCCCAGCCCCTCCAGCCGGGCACCACGGGCTCGCTCACGGGCATCGACCTCCCATCGCCGACGCTGGGGCCGCAACACGCCACAGTACGGCGCGCGGCGTCCCTGCCAGCGCGACTGCCCGCGGGCCCGCCGCCCTCCGCGTTCCGCGCGCCGGAGAGGGTGGTGACGCCCACCGAGGAGCGCTTCGCGGCGCGGTTCGAGGCGGGCGTGCCGACGGCGAAGTTCGACATGGAGGCGGTGGTAAAATATCAGGAGGGCGCGGTGGCGGCGGGCGCGTGGGATGCGGGGGATATTGGTGGTGGAGGGGCAGGCGGCATATTCCCGAGCTCTGGGGGCAGCTTTGGGAGTTCGACGGGTAATTTGGGGGGTTCCGGTGGTAGCCTCGGTGGCTCGGGAGGTAGTTTTGGCGGTGCGGGGGAGGCTGTGGGTGCGCCAGGTCGCTTGCGGGTGCGGATGCCGGAGGCGGCGGCGGTGAGGCCTATGGTGGCGCGTCCGCCGATGTTGTCCGCCATTGAGGAGGGCAGCTACAAATCGCCGGCGCCGAGCTTGCGCGTGCTGCCTGGATCGGCGGCGATGAGCATGCGGACGACGACCCGGACGATGACGAGCGGCTCGCCCATCGAGCGCGTCAGTCGTGAAGCTCTGTCAGGGTTTGGTCCAATGAGTGAGTCGTCCTTCACTTGTGGTAGCGAAGGGCGAAGGCGCTGACTTGCATAGCCAACAGCAGGAAGGTCCCGCGCCTTCTAGTTACCCCGTCCTCGCCAGCGCGCTCGCCGGTCGAGCGCGACTTCGGGACGATGCACGAAGCTTGGGGAGCCGACATCCAGGAGCAGCACGGCCCTAACGCGGACAGCTTCTACGACGACACCCTCGCGTCCCCACACGCCGACAGCTTCGTCACCGCGGGCAGCGACCGCAACCGGCAGTCTTCCCTCGCCAGCATCCTCGGCATCGACACCAACCACTCGCCCACGTCCGCCGTCACCATCAGGTCCCTGCCCTTCCGGCAGCACGACTACGAGCACGAGCCGAGCCCGCTTGCGCTCAACCCCGCCGACACACTCGAAGAAGAGAAGGCCAGCCACGACACGGCGGCGATCGACGAGGAGACGATGCGGCGCATCGAGCATCGGTGGGACAAGGTCGGCGCGGATCTGCCGTACGTGCTTACCGTGCCGCGGCCCCCGACGGCGCGCGCGCACCGCCGACGGTGGACTCCCGCGCAGGTGCTCTTCTTCCTCGGCTTCCTCTTGCCCGCGTTCTGGCTCATAGGCGGTTGGCTCTTCACCATGCGGGGCGAGATACCCGCGTACCGCTGCGCGCCGAGGGAGGGCGCGAAGCGCGGTAGCGGCGGCTCGGTGTTCTCGTGCATTCGCGAGAGAGGAAAGAAGCAGCAGCCGAAGGAGCTGGTTCTGCCGCGCTGGCGGGAGCGGGCTGATTCGCCGGGGTTGAGCATGCCTGCGGGGGAGAAAGAGACGCGGAAGACGGGGGCGCAGTTGGATGTCATCTGTCGCTATCCGTACGTCGAACGCCGCGTCGTTGCGGATATTCTGACTCCAAGTGGAGGTACGTCTTGACGTCCCTCGTGAATGCGAGGTTCGGTGCTAACACTTTCTTAGCTGGCGTCGACGCCATTACTGTCAGCGCGAGGCCCGAGTGGACTCGAAGGGTGATTGATCCATGGATCATTCGCTGCCGGCTGGCATTGTGGTATTTCTCTGTGCTTGTGTTCTTCGGTTCGGCCCTGGCCATTGTTGTTATGATCGTCACAACGCACTTCCTTTAGTGGGCGTGCTAAGCTTATTTGCAGTCTATCTACCTGGAGTATGTATTGTGTTAGTGTACGATAAATGTAAGATGTAAATGAAGTTACCTACCATCTGACTTCGACGCAAGCCCCTCTCACAGGTTCGCCGAAATTCAACCGCATACAGTTGGACTTTTTGTCAGGTCAGAAGACCGCATCTGCTGGCTGAGGCAGCCAGGACACTGATCTCGAGGAGGGCTGGGGAGAACGCGGCGCCTCGAGAGTCGAGACATGAAAGTCAGAGGAAAGTTGTTGAACTATCCACGTGCGCAGTTACGCCATTGCCATTTCGGGTAAATTTAGCGAGGAAACATCGGCAAACACTGAATAGCCTCTCCCCATTGATCCCATGGTTCTTCCACGACAGAGCGGATGCGCAGCGAAAGAGAGCAGGCAGGGGGACTGCGGCAGTCGTTGCCCAAGGCTCAGAAATAGGCACAGACATTCCACTGTAAATTTAGTCTGTCCCCTAAGGGGCTGTTTGCTGGCGAAAAATACAAGTCGCCTAACGCTTCGGTTCGTCTGGAATCTTCGCAATCATGAGCGCTGGTGGGACGTTGCGAGGTCTTTCTGAGCTGGGGACTCAGCGCCGTGCGGAGGTGGTTTCGGAGATCCTGAAAAGGCAGTGATCTCGTCGCGCCGAGGCGGGCGGCGTCGCGGCGAGGTTCATCAAAAAGTTGCATCTTCTTCCCAACCACCACGAACCGATACTGGACACAACATCACTCACTTTTGGGACTCTGGGCTTCACCTTGGGATGAGCGCCGATGGCGACTCTACTGTACTTATACTGCTTCCTTTGCACCGTCGCCGTCGCCTCCCTCGCAGACCTTATCCCGCTGCGCTCTCCCTCTAACCGCCCTTCCCTGCGCAGCGGCTCCCCCAGACCCCTCAGCCCCCGCGATGACTACCACTACACTCCGCCCTCGCAGGAGGGGGACGTGACGAGTGACCTTGACCTCTTGGACATCGTCCTCGTCGCCTCGGTGGATGGCAAGTTTCACGCGCTAAGCCGCACCACCGGCCAGGCGTTGTGGTCCATGTCAGGAGTCACAGACGGTGCCTCCTCCCCCTCGACACTCGCCCCCCTCGTGCGGACGGTGCACCCTGACTCGGACCCCGACTTTGCCGACGATCCGTCGCAGGAGCAGTACATCATCGAGCCGCAGACGGGCGACATATATGTCATGTCGACGCCCTCCAGCCCCCTCCAGCGCTTCCCCTTCACCATGTCTGAGCTCGTCGACATGTCTCCCTTCTTCTTTTCCGACGGCGACGTACGGCGCGTTTTCGTCGGCAAGAAGCAGACGTCCCTCCTGCTCGTGGAGCTTGAGACGGGGAAACTCAAAGCCACCATCGACTCCGAGTGCCCATGGGACCCCTTCGAGGACCTCCACGACGATGACGGCGACGAGATCGACCTAGACGAGCTAGAGGGCTCGAAGCCCCCAGTCGCAAAGACTACGGATGTCTTCATCGGGCGCACCGGTGCGTCATGTCCGTCATGCACTACGGGCAGTCGCTAACCTTGGCCGTTTCAGACTACCACATATCCATCCACACCCGGCCTATCGACCGTCGTAGCAGCATCTCCCCCACGCCGATTCAGAACCTCTCCTTCTCAACCTATGGGCCCAACAACCAGGACATGCCCATGCAGTCGCTGTATCACCGTACCAAGGACGATGCGTACATCCAGAGCCTCCCCACCGGGGAGATCCTGTCCTTCAGGGCGGCGAGCTCCGGGTCTCCGCCTCGCAGCGACCCACCGTTCCTCTGGGCGCACGCCTTCAGCCAGCCTACGTGAGTGGCCGTCCACCGTAACGCCACACGTCCTTGACCTTTACACAGGGTTGCGATCTTCGACGTTCTTCGGCGCCCAGGCTCCGGTCAACACCCCTTCGTCCTCCTCCAGCCTCGCCCGAGACTGAATGATTTCCTCCCTACCATGAATAACGATGTTCACCTGCCAAACGACGACAGCGCGTACGTCGGCATGGTCGACCAGACCGGCAGCCTATTCGCCATGAGCCCCGCCCGCTACCCACTAGTCGCCTTCGGCAACGCGGATAGGCCAACACTACCGCCACTCATTGACGGTCCTGCTCGCACTACATATGACGCCGACGCCGATCTGCCACCAGAAGTCGACGAAATCACCCGCCAGCGCAAACAACGCGAATGGGAGAGCGCGCTTCAACGTCACGGACAATCGCGCTGCGAAGACGCCACGTATGCCGCGGGGGACCGGCGCTGCCTCGTCGGCATGCGCAGGCTCGCGGGCGGCGATGCGGAGGCCTCGAGCCGCATCAAGCGCCTGCTCGACGGTGTACCGCAGGTGCCCACCTCGCCCGCTGCCAGTGTGCTGGAACCCAGCGCCGGCGCCAACGCGTCGGCGGACCGCGACAAGCACGAACCCCCCGCGGCCGATAGCCCCAGCTCCGAGCGCCCCTCGCCCCCGAGCCGGGAGAGCGTGGGCAGCTACTGGCAGGCGGTCGGCATGGCGTTCTTGCTGGGCGCGCTGTCCCTGTGGTTCGGCCTGCGGCGCTTCCGCCCAGAGATGACGAGCCCGGCGCTGGGCATCACGCCGGCGAGTCAGCTGGGGGAGGAGATCAAGAACGTGCCCGTGCAGCCCGTTGTGTCGCGTCCTGCGACTCCGCGCCTGCCGGATCTGCCAGCACCGGGGTTGGGGTTGTCTCCCACGGAACTGCAGACTCCGCCCGCGGACATGCAGACCCCGCCTGCGAGGGTGCAGTTCAATGTGGGTCAGGGCGAGGAGGCGGAGGAGAGCGATAAGGAGAATGAGGCGGAGGGCGATGCGCAGGTCACGCCTGGAAAGAAGAAGGTGCGCCGCGGGAAGAGAGGCAAGGGCAAGAAGAAGGCGAACGGGGATACGGCGAATGGCGAGGCGCAGGCAAACGGGCTAGCTGAGCCTGAGGCAACTACACCCCAACCAATGACGCCGCCTGTGCAGCCTGCTGTCTCCCTTGTGCTCACCGCGAGCCCGGAGACCCCTGCACCCACTCAGTCATTGGTAGTCTCGGATACCATATTGGGTATGTACCGCAAAAGCTCCCTGAAAACCTAACGTCTGACCTTACTTGTAGGCTTCGGATCCCACGGCACCGTCGTCTATCAGGGCTCACTTCAGGGCCGTGCAGTGGCCGTCAAGCGTCTCCTGAAGGACTTTGTCACTCTTGCCTCGCGAGAGGTCAGCATCCTTCAGGAGAGCGATGACCACCCGAACGTCATCCGGTACTACTACCAAGAAGCACACTCCAACTTCCTGTATATCGCGCTCGAGCTCTGCCCCGCCTCGCTCGCCGATATCATCGAAACACCCGACAAGGAGCAATTCCACGACATCGCGATGGCCTTCAACCCCAAGCGCGCCCTGCGTCAGATCACCAGCGGCCTCCGCCACCTCCACGCGCTCAAGCTCGTCCACCGCGACATCAAGCCGCAGAACATCCTCGTCTCGAGCGCGAAGAACGTGAACGGCAAGCCCGGGTACCGCATGCTCATCTCGGACTTCGGCCTGTGCAAGAAGCTCGATGTGGACCAGACGAGCTTCCTCCCGACCGCGTACGGCGCGATGGCCGCGGGCACGGCCGGCTGGCGCGCGCCTGAAATCCTGCGCGGGGAGGTCAAGCTCGACGAGCTCGCCGACGAGTCGATGTCGTCGCGCGGGAGCACAGGGACGGCGGGCTCTTCTGGCACTGCGGGGGCGACGACGAAGCCGACACGGCTGACGAAGTCGGTGGATATCTTTGCGCTGGGGTGCTTGTTCTACTACACGCTGACGAATGGGGCGCACCCATTCGGCGATCGGTACGAGCGGGAGGTGAACATCATGAAGAACATCAAGTGCTTGGAGGGCCTCGAGCGCTTTGGGGAGGAGGGCTCGGAGGCGGTGGACTTGATCACTCATATGCTGGATCCTGTTGCGTCAGCACGGTACGTGTGTCCGATAGCCGGGGCCACCTCAGTACTGACTCTCGCACAGACCCGACACAACAGCATGCCTAGTGCATCCCTTCTTCTGGGAACCCAGTCGGCGACTGAACTTCTTACAAGACGCATCCGACCGCTTCGAGATAATGTGCCGCGACCCGAAGGACCCGAACTTAATAGCGCTCGAGACGGGCGCGTTCGACGTTGTCGGGAACGACTGGCATGGGCGGCTTGACAAGGTTTTCATCGAGAACCTTGGCAAGTTCCGCAAGTACGACGGCAAGTTGATTCAGGATTTGCTGCGTGCGTTGCGAAACAAAGTGCGACCTCTATCTCATAAATCCATCGCCATCGCTGACGCTCTTTACCAGAAACACCACTACCAGGACCTGCCTGACAACGTCAAGCGCAGCCTGGGCCCAATGCCAGAGGGCTTCTTGGGCTATTTCACGCGGCGGTTCCCGCGTCTGTTCCTGCACGTCCACGGCGTCATCGGGGACTCCGTCATGCGCTCCGAGTCGATGTTCAGGTCGTACTATGAGCTCCCGACGGACTAGAATCATTACTTTCGCATTCGCATTCGAGGGTTGTTGGGGCTGATTTCGAAATTGTTGGGAGGAGGGGGACGAGGCGGACTCATCTACTCTGTTATTTGCTTTGCTACACTCGCACTCTGCATTGGAAGCGGTACTCATTAATCGTGTATTATGTATCATTATAACCATATTTTTTTCCTGCGGATATGGGCTCTGAGTGGTTGTCAGTAGATTGTAATGGATGTCGTGGACTTCATGGTTATGGCTTGGGCGCTTATCGTAAGTAGTGGACAAGGCCTTCCTTTTCGGGTCGCCGAACGGGCGGCTATCGTGACTCAGTCTGTCTCTTGCTTACCTTAGACGCAGTACTCGTCTGAAAGCTGAAAACAATTTCCTGAGTCTTTGGGATGTACTGAGTAAGTGCACACGTACTTTGAACAACGACATCGTCGCTGATTTGTGTGATCGATGCATGCTATGTTCGGCCCTCTCCTCCGCTCCTCATCTGCGCTGCAGCTTTGCAGACGACCTCTCCCCTCGATCTCAGGCTTTCGTTACCAATCTACACGTACAGGAAAGCAGAAGAACATGGGCAAGAAGAGCAGAAACAACGCCCCCGCAGAGGACCATCTCCTTCTCCCTGCACACTCCTCCACCGCACCCATAGTCGACACCCACACTCACCTTGCATCCACCTTTGCTGCCTACAAGCACAAGTACCCAGCGGGCAAATGCAACACCGTCTACGAGTTTCTCCAGCACTTCTACAAGGACAAGCACGTTGAGGCGATCGTCGACGTATGGTGCGAAGCGCCTGTGCAGAAGCTCTGGCGCGAGTTCGCCGACTCGGCGCTGACGGCTGAGGACCGCGCGGACAAGTGGGGAGGTACTGAGTACTACTTCGTTATGGGTGTACATCCGTGCGTATCCTCCTTCTCTGCACAGAGCGCGGCACTGATCCATCCTCGTAGGCATGAAGCCCGGCACTATAATGATGAGGTCGAGCGCGACATGTGAGGCTCGATCCACCCATCCCCCTTCACAGTGAAGGCTGACTTGGGTAGATTAGAGGCCATGCAGCATCCTCGCTGCGTAGGTTGGGGTGAAATGGGCCTCGACTACCACTACGACAACGTACGCGTTCTGACTATCGCACCCTCACCCTTCCCTGGCTAACCGTCCCTACAGTCCCCTCGAGAGATACAACGCGACGTCTTCACGCGTCAACTACGCCACGCTGTCCTGCTCGGCAAGCCTCTTACCATTCATACGCGCGAGGCCGACGAGGACACCGAACGTATCCTGAAGGCAGAAGTGCCGAAGGACCACCGGGTACACGAGCGTCTCCCCAGCCATATGTGTGCCTGTCCTCATGTATCTCTCAATGCAGATACACATCCACTGCTTCACCGATACCCCCGACTTCGGCCAGCGTTTGCTAGACCATTTCCCCAACCTGTACATCGGCGTCACGGGTACGTCGCATTGAGCATTTCACGCGGCACATCCTAACTATCTACAGGCGTCGTGACCTTCTCCACAAACGAAGATACACCCAACATCATCCGGCGGATGGTTGGCCTGGCCGAAAGCACTCAAGCAGCTGCCAACAACTCGGAAGCACCGGCACCTGCTGGCTCGCCAGCTCCATCCGCCCCGACACCAACACCGAACACCTCGCCCTCCCCTCTTCGCATCATCCTCGAGACGGATGCGCCCTACATGGTCCCCACGAACGTCTACAGCGTACTGTCCGGCATGAAAGGTCGCCTACCTCTATGTCACACCGCGATGATTCCCTGGACTGCGGATTTCGTGGCTGGGATATTGGGCGATGGATGGGATGCGACGAGGGTGATGGAGATTGCAAGAGAAAATGCAAGGACGGTGTATGGAATATAGGCACTGGCTGTAAGGTCGCTTCCGTCCGGAGTCCTCGAATGTGGCACGCTTTCCGTCTATAAGGACGACGAAGCCGAAAGGATGTCGTTTGCTTCGGTCCATGCAAAGATATCTCTCCCCACTTGTGTCACACATACGTGATGTCTTTTGTGGTTTGTTGTGACAAAGGGAAAGCCTTGCTTCTGCTCTTCTCCTCAATCTCCGCCATCGCACTGCAGCACACATTGTACTCGTTATGGATCTTCCTCGGCTCATCAGTAAGCATATCGTTATGCTTTTGGATCCTGCCACTCATCATTTTGCAGATACTCTCATGGACGCGCGAGCTGTGGCGAACATGGCACTCCATCGAAGTGGCTACGTTCCTAGCCAGCAGGATACATGCGCGATCAAAAACGCAGCAAACAGCCTACCTCTTCTTGAGGACATGGTCAATCAGGAAATGCAAAAGCTATCCAACCTCAAGCTCGCTATCTGGAAACAGAAAGCGCTGCACATTTCCCTCATCGCCCCTTGTCGTCGACTCCCTCCCGAAATCCTCTCGATGATCTTCGTACTGGCGCTGCCCAATTCCTGGTCGAGGCAGCCTGCCTGCAAGAGGACATTCAACTGTATGTCTGTCTGCGTCATGTGGCGCAACATCGCACTGCAAACACCCCAGCTATGGACTTCGCTGTGCTTCAATAGACTGACCAACCCGCTGAAGAGTCACGTTCGCACGTTGGCTAACGAACTTCGCAAGTCAGGGCAATCGCCGTTGGATTTGTCCATAGACTTTATGCCCCGTGTGGATGACTGGAGCGACGAAGCATGGGCACTGCTTTGCGCCGAGTCTAACCGGTGGCGGCGCATTTCTCTCGAAAATCTCCCTGCTGTGGCCTACGAGAGATTGTCAGGAAGAGTGTTCCCCGCCTTGAAAGCCCTATCTATCGACCACGGCGACGTTTCATTGACGGATCTATTTCTGAACGTGTTCAACCGGCAATCCTGCCGGCTGGTGTCTTTGGCCATAACTGGGGCGGCAGACATGCATCGCCTGAGCCTACCGGCTTCATGGCCCCTCACGGAGCTCGAACTCAACTTGTTGTCCGATACCCTAGCGGATTGGACAGCCGTCCGCGGCACCCTCATCGCTTACAGCGCAACATTGCGCGTGTGCACGATATCAGGCGATCTCCGTGACTTCAAGCTCGCCTTTGGGGACGCGCCCATAAACCTCCCTTGCCTCGAGAACTTGACTCTTAACTATGAAGCGATACAACTAGGCCAAGCTCTAGTATGCGCGAACCTTCGGTCCCTCGTGCTCTCCGCTGGCGGCTTTGACGCTGACGATGTTGTACATGCTCTGAAGAGTCTTCTGGACATATCATCGGGGTGCAAGCTGCTTCGCTCCCTCACGCTCCGCCAGATGACACGCGCGCCGTTGGATCCTCTCGTCGACTGCCTCGATCGCCTTCCGTCACTCACGGCTCTCCAACTGAAGAACCTCGAGGACTGTCAAGTGCACGACCAGCTGTTATCCCTCGACTTGCTCTGCCAATTTTCGCGCGATGGTACACATCCCGGATCCTTGACCCGCTTGCCGAACCTTGAACGCTTGACTCTGATATTCGAAGACGTCCTTGACTACGAAGACGAGAGCAAGTATGTTCTTGCGATCAAGAATATCGCTTACTCTAGGCAGCACCCTCGGGTGGTAGGCGGGACTCGCCTGGCGCCGCTTGAATGTCTGCATACATGTGATGGAATGGTTAAAAAGCTGCCAGGATTTGAACGAAAGGGGGACAAGATGCGCATGCTCTGGCTATTCAAGAGCGTTCCATGGGGGTGTAGCACCGGATATATAGACTAGAATCTTATGTTGTGGCTCTTCTCGAGTTCGAGGCTATAATATGCAGTAGGGTCTTCGTGATGGACCCCACCTCGCATCCCATTCATCCAACCTAGTCGGCCTGGCCAACTCGTCTCCTGAACTTGCGAGGGGACACTGATTGAGAGATACCCAAGCTGCGAGAGCCTGTATAAGACGTTTAGGCGCAGAAAGAGGTAGACATTGAGGAAAACTTACCTCAAAGCTCTCATTGCCTCATGATGAGCTACCTTAAGTCACGAGCGAATGGTAGCTGCGTGCAGAACGTGATATCAGGTTGTGACGTTCGCCTGGCGTCACATTCACGTGCTAAAACAATGACTGCCTAATCCGGATAAAACTGCAAAGATGACATCACAAGCCTCGAGGCACCTCATCTTGTCCTGAACGCTGACCATCAGTTGTCCTGAACCACCATGGCGCTGCAAATACTGGATCTTCCGGTAGAACTTCTGATTCGGATCATGTTCTACCTGGACATGCATTCCCTCAAGGCTGTAGCGCGCGTCAATAGACAGCTTGCCGTCGTCGCAAGCGCCCCGGTCTTGAAGAAGCACTACGCCATGATAACAACTGGAATGCGCGACGCCTCGGACAGCACAGTGCCGCCAGACGATGTTCTCGACGAGTTGAAAGCGTACGAATATGCCTGGCGCCACTACAAGCCACAATGCTCTGTTACGTGCTCCGTTCCGCGCAATACAGTCGGTCTTTACGAGCTATCTGGCGGATACATGTTTCTGGGCGCAGCAGGACGCCGTGCTCTTCACTACATGCCATTGCCAATGCCGAGTCACCCGACGCCACAGTGGTCTCTTCTGACGATCGGGGAGAACATCGTTGATTTTGCACTGGTAGGTCTATTCCCTGTCACCGGTCTACAAGCCGCTTATCGCGTGCAGGCCCTTTACGAGCATAACCTCGTTGTCGCTGTTACGTCGTACGTATTGCTCCATGTGGCTCGTCGATGGCGCTGTCTCACACTTTCAAAGTCACTCAGATGGTCAAGAGGATAGAGACGTACTAGGGATTCGACTGATCGACTTCCCCTCTGGTCGGCCCCATCCTCTCGCGAAGCAGGACCGCATCTTTCTTTGCACGTCTCCGTCGGACAGGCATCATCCCTTCCTCGGGATCGAAGTTGTCGGCGACACCATGGTCATCGCGACGCATTACTCGCGCTTTGACGATGATAACATGCCAAGCACGCTCAGCTTTTGGGATTGGAAGCAAGGAGTGAAGAAGATGGTGGGCTTCACCTTGCGATTCATGTGTGGCGATGGCAAGCTAACCGAGTCTGTTATAGAGCTTCGACGCCCCAAAATCCAGCTATACGACCTTCATCTTCCTCACGGAGGACATCGTGCTGGTGCCCAACGCGACGAACGGCACTTTCGAGTACTGGCGCATCTCGACCACGGACCCAAGACACCCAGCCCCGCTCGCGGTCCTGCACCTGCCGCCACTCAGGACTGGAGTGGAGTACCTCGACCTGGCGTGTCGCGCTGAGCCTAACCCGCGAGCGGACGTGCCGAGGGCGTTCCCAGACGCGCCGCCCAAGGGGGCGCGAAGGAGCAGCAACGCGAGACAGACTTCTTCTGCCGGCTCTCAGAGTACCTCTACTGCCGGCTCGGACCGCACTTCTGCTGCCGACACCGGGCGCTCTGAGCCCTCGTTCTACCCCGCCGCGGAGGACGCGATCTGCGTGTTCCAGGTGCACTTGATGCGGGAGATGAACGAGGCGAATCAGGTGTTGATCATGCAGGACCATATGCCGCCGATCAACCATCTCGTCCTCGTCGTGCACCGGTCGGCGTTTATGGATATCCTGGGGCGCTTGTTGCGCGATACGAAGGGCGCGAAGGCTGACGCTTGGTCGTCGCCTGCCTGTGAGGGTATCAAGCCGATGGAGACCGAGCCTGCTGCATCATCGACGACCGACTCCCGCGCGCCCTCAGCCACCGAGCCCCCCTCATCCTCAACCGACTCCTCACCCGCTGAGCCTCCCTCCCTCCCCTGGTCCGAATGGGGCCCGCCCGTCTCGCGCTGGCTCGATTACGCGCGCATCAACTACAACTGGATCACGACGAGCTGCGGGCAGCGCATGGTCGCCACCCCCGCGCCCGAGGTCCAGTTTAGGGACGGAGACGGCTTCGTGGACGTTTACGACTTCAATCCGTACACGGTAGAGAAATTGCGGGAGGCCAAGCGGTTGAAGCAGGAGGAGGCGCGTCGGAAGGTGGAGGAAATGTACCGGATGGAAGACGAGATCCTCAATGGGACTGGCGGAAGTGGCCTTCCCCCTGCCAAGGAAATGAGTGAAGAAGAAATAGAACAAGACGTCGTCAGGTTCATATTGAGGGAGTTCGCCCCCTCCAGCGCTACCGACGCTGACAGCGACAGCGACGAGGAAGAGCCCGCGAATACAGGACCGGTCCTCGTCGATGAGCTCAGCCGTATGCGAACGCTGTTCGAAGGCAGGTTGGAGTCTCAGCTGCCATATATCAAGACTACAAGCCCCAATCCACCCTTCTACTCAGGCGTGATGGCCGACCATAGGCGGATTATCGGTATGAAGGTAAGTCACATCCAATTTACTCTCCCCTCGTCTGGAGGTTTGCGCTGTCCTCTTGATGCTGACGTGGGTACCAGCAGGACGGCGGACGCGAAATTGAAGTATCGTGTTTCCTGTGATCAAGCAAGTTGCGAATGCGTAAGTACGGGGATGACGGGATCTACGAGTAACATATTATTGTCAGAAGACCAAGGAATGTATGCGCAACAGTTTCCAGCCGTGTTTGGGGTGAAAAGAGTGGACGGACGTGGCGAGCAGTTATGGACGGCTGTTTGTCTTTGTGTGTGCAGTTGGCCATAAAAGTATCGTACTTAGTCTAGGGCGACTTGAGTGTCAGTATCGAAGAGGGCCAGCCGTACATCATCGGACCGCCTCAGTAGCTGCTCAGATTATATTACTCGGTCGTCGTGCACACCGCCGCAGGACACGCTTTGACCACATGCATCTCATTCATCGATGGACGCGCCTCGAGGCCGCCTTGAACACGACCCTCAAGCACTCCTCTCATTCACAACTCGCGCAGGCGCTTTTGGAATCTGCATTGCCTGGCGGTACTGGTGCCGCTCGGTCGCGTTCTCCACCTTTGTCCGCTTTATCTTGACTTCCTCCGAACCATATACATCCAGACCATACTAGGATGCCTCACACACCTTCTGCTCGCAGACCTTCCTGCGCCACAGAGAGCAGCCTGCTCCCGACGCCCACTGCGACTCCACCGCCAGTGCCCACTCCGCCGCGCGTACCTACGGCGACGCCGCCCCCACCGCCGCCAACGGTGTACGTCCCGCCCATTCGCACCACCAACATCTCGCCCCCGCGGCGCCGTCACTCTTCCTACAACCCCCGCGACTCTCCCTCCTCGCCCTCTCGCCACTCCTCTACCTCCCCCATCGCTGCCTGGGACCGCATATCCGCGGTCTGGTCCCCGCGCAGCCCGGAGGCGGCAGGTAATCTGAACGCGAACCGTGACGTCCGCGACTCGGGCATCTCGACCATCGCCTTCCCCCGCCCTTCGCCCTCGCCGCACCCCTCGTGCCCGACGTGCTTCCCGAGCCCCGCGTATTCACCTCACAACCTCCCCGTGTACCCGCCGTACAGCCAGCTTTCCGAGAGCAGCCGGCCCGCCGTGTATCCGACGTGGCACCGCCTGCCGGGAGCGTTCAGCTACAGCACTAGCGATCTCAGCTCGCCGAGCGAGTCTGAGGTATCCGCCTCGCCTCGAGTTGCGGAGCAGGGGCATCACTCGCCTAGTTCCCACTCGCCTGGCCATCGGCATTTGCCTAGCCTTCGCTCGCCTAGCCGGCACTCCCCCAGCCTCCACTCACCTAGTCGTCATCCACCAGGCTATCCCGAGGACCTCCCCGACCGCCACGCCGGCGCGCGCCACCGTCCGTTCCCCAGCAACAGCATCTTCAGCGACTCGGAGAGCGTGCGCAGCGCGAGGCGGGCGTACGAGGCTGTGCTTGAACACGAGCGCGAGCGCCAGCACGACCGTGACATTCGCGAGCGCGAACTAAATTGCATCCACGAGCACGAGCACGACCCAATCCACGACCGGGTCCACGAAGCAGCGGAACGCGTGTGCGAGCGCCTGTACGACGTAGTTGACGACCGTGCATACGGCGACGAGAACGAGAACGAGGATATCGAGTATCATCCCGCGCGCCTTGATAGGAGGAGCCGATTGACCTCGTTCGCGTACACGGACGAGGACACCTTGACTACGCCGCTCGAGGAAGCGCCGTATACGAGGCTAGCAGAATCGCCGAATCTTGCTTGGGAAGAGACACCGAGCATCCCGCCTGAGGAAACGTGGACTACACCCGTCGAGGAAACGTGGACTAGACCCGTCGAAGAGACGCTGAGGACCGCGATTGAGGACACAGTACGCTTCCGAGCGGAGGAGACCGCGCGCGCTCGACCGGAATTGTCACCTCACATCCGAACGGAAGAGAGGCCCTACACCCGAACGGAAGAAACACCTTGCACTCCGCTGGAAGAGACCGGGCGCGTCGCGATGAATCCGCAACCGACGAATTTCGTGCCCGGCACGTACACCATCAAGAACGAGGCGATTGACCAGGTCTTGGACCTATCTGGTGCAGACCACAAGACCTGCATAGGTGAGTATCTTTGTTCGCGTGGGAGCCCCTGGTCGCGTTCGTCAGCGCTCTGAGTAACGACAGTAACTGACGATGCCATTCAGGTTACCTCGCACATGGCGGAGAGAACCAGCGAGTGCGTATCTGTCCTCTTCAGCCATAACCATCGGGATACAGAACTCACCTCTCGCAGTGGATCATCGAACGCCTCGGCGCTGGCTACACCATCCAGAACGCGCGGAGCAAGTCGTACATGACGGTCGACGCCAGTCTGGCGAACGGGACGATGATCGTCGGGTCGGCTTTCCCTGTGGCCTGGGATATACAGCTAGGGACTGCGGGCTGGACGTACGTGGATCTCGCGTGTTAAGCAGCGTGAATTGCTCTTGTCGGGTTCAGCGCAGTACTGACCCTCCACATAGGATCGGCTGGCCCAACAGCCACTACTTCCTTGACCTCGACTACCATGCCGATCCGAACGCGCAGGCTGCGAAGGTGAGTTGTGTTGTCGATCTCTCGAACTTCGTCCTGACATTACACACCTTCTTCAGCTCCAACTGTGGCGCAACGAGAACACAAGCCACTTCCAGCGTAATCGGATCTGGACGCTGGCGAGAGTTGACGACAGGCCCGCATCGGCGAACGCGCGGTCGTATGGGCACAACGGTGGGTCCAGCACGCATAACGGCGACTCGAACACCGTCTCCGAGACGGTCATCGACGCCAGCGAGCTGGGCAAGGGGCTGAACATCGTGACGACGACCACAACGACAACGGTCACGAAGGTGGTGAGGGTGCAATGATAGTTCGCGCGGGCGCGACGAAGGAAGGGGCGTAGACGAAGGAAGAGACGCAAACGGAGTAAGAGACGCAGGACGATGAAGGAGGCGCAGGCGCATCGAACGTGAACGGTAATTTCGACTTGGAAAGCAATACGAAAGCATCGAATAAGGGACTATGTATTTATACAAGCATCATCATGTATTCGCAACAACAAGCAATGGCAGGAAGGGGAGTTGACACTCAGCGGCAGAGGGGGTTGGAGGGATTAGTATCTGTAGCGCGTCGAGTAGTCTGGGGGACGTGTGAGCTCAACCGAGAGAGGATGAAAGGAGTGACTGACCCTTCGGCGACACTACGAGACCGCGACCCTTTGACGCGCCGCGGTAGACAGTCTCGATGATGTCAATGAGCTTAGGAGGGGCATGTCAACGAAGGCGCGTTCGGTTTGGAGGGTCGGCATACCTCTTGCTTATTGTCCATTGCCCAGTTGCTGGAAGAGTTGACATGAGTATGGGATCGTTTGCCACCATGGACGCCACACGCACATTTTGTTGTTGTTACCAGTCCCCAGATCAATCATGATATGCTTGTTTCTGTACGACATAGAGAGATGAAGCCGCGTTCAAGAAGGAGGGAGCGGAGCTTACTTGCCTGTAGAAGAACATCACCGTGCATGGGTCGTACAGTTCGTACATCTGCGCGGAAGGGGAGTGTTAGCCTCAGCATCGTGTTCGTAAATAAAAAGCAGGTGTGCGCACCTTGTTGAAGTCAGGCACCTGCGTAATATCGCAGAGGTAGATGACAGCAAAGTTCTGAACCTTCTCCGCGACGGCGTAAAGCGTCTCGTCCATGGTCATGCATTGACTGTCCCAGTCGTGGCCGAAGCGGATGACGACAACGCGGTCTTCTTCAGACTTGATCGCCTCGTCAACGTGCCAGCCGGAGGGAAGATGAGGAAGGAAGTAGGACATCTTGGAGGGCGAATGAAGGAAAGGTCCGAAGGGATGACCGGGAGAAGCAAGGAGAGCAGGCTGCCCCGATTAGGAAGTACGCATATCTCGTCGCCACAAAGACAAACATCCATCAACTTTCTGGATGTTTCCCGCGTTCATGGCCCACGTTTCTCAGCGCCGACGAATCTGAACATGATCTTCATCCGTTTGGGCGCTCTCTAGCACAAGGAAACGACATGGACCAGACGTGAACGAGCTCTTGGCGACGGCCGTAATGCTCTTTCTCGATGACAAGTCGAATTTTCCGGTCTTCTGAGAACCTGATGACTATCGACTTTGCCGCCCAAGATCAGCATCGTGCACAAGCGAGTTGATCAGTTGTGACCGGTAGAGCGCTAACTCCTGTGTATCGCATCTCTGTCCTTTCTCTGGGCAATTTCTCGGGTCCTGCGCAACTCCCAGGCTCTTTTCCAAGCAGAAAGCCTACTCCTTCTTTACTACGCGTCCTTAGCTGTTCCTGGCCGTGCTGCATACGCGACAGAGTCATCCCATCTCTCTGTGGAGCCGCTCGCGGCGTCCATACCCGCTCTACCTACTATCGTGTGGTCGTCATCTACGTGCGGCTTTACGGGATCCACGAGAATATGTACACTCGACGCGGCCTCGTGCCTTAGGTGCTTGATCTCCTCACGCCAGTCACCTCCTGCTCGCCTTCCGAATGACGCAAACTGCCACCCTCACCGACGCCCACCTTCCATTCAGACGCGTCCCTCGAGTCGCGCGCTCCAGGCACAATCCCTACATGGTGCCCAGCTCGTGCGGGCGGCGTGTTTCTCATATCCTGCCCCCGACTCTACGCGCCTGCACCGGTCAGTACGCCTGTCATGCCCTGCGCCCAGCTATGCGAGGCTGTCACCACGCACGGGCGGAGTGGCGTCAAATGGGCTCGGTATCCACCTTCGCTGCCCGGCAATCATGAATGGCGGGCATTCTAGGCTTGTTCATCTCCAGGGAAGGATGCGCTCATCGCGCACAGGGGTATGACGCTGAAGTTGGCTAGCTGGGAAGACGGACGGAATGGTGGGGATGAACACTTTAGGTTCTCGGGCGGCGGTATAAAGGTTCTGCGTGGAAGGACCGTTACCTTGCTTCCTCCCCGCCAACCTCTCCTCACGACCCTACGTTTGCTCCTGCGCGTCTCTTCCCGTCATGCGTCCCACCACCTTGCTCAATCTGCTTGCCTTCCCTGTCATCGCCCTCGCAGCGTCGATCACATCCGGCCAGTCCTACAAGATCACCAACAGCAAGGGAGGTACGGTCGTCGACCTGTCTGCCGCGGATAATACGTCGAGTACGTCTTCTTCTTCCTACTCGCGCATGCTGTTGCTGACCTTATTCTATAGTCATTGGCTGGCCTTACCACGAGGGGTCTAACCAACAGGTGCGCATCTTGTCTTTTTTGCGACCCTCGCCCTCACCACTACCGTCTTGACTTATGAGATTTTGGTCCTCTTCGTGCTATACACGCGCCATCATGTACCAGCGCCTATGCCCCCATGCCCAATCATACCCTCTGCTGCAACCGATACTAACCTCCTCCATCTTCAGTGGACCCTCGACTGGGCTGGCGATGGTTGGAACTTCCGCTCCCTCTCCACCGGCAAGTACATCAGCCTCGGAGGCGCCGACGCCGCGAACGGCGCGCGCTTGGTAGCGGAGACCGACCCGTTCACGTGGCACATCTGGACGGACGAACAGGTCGAGGGCGCTTATCGGTGAGTATTTCTGGGTTCTCAACCTCATTTTTCTCCCTTCAAAGGCATTCAGATGCCTCTTTTCCACGATCTGGGCTCCGACTTCATTCTTCTGTCGTCTTGTTTGTGTCGATCTCCATCGCTGACGCTCAACATCCTACAGCATCTTCGTCCCGGACACTCACCAGAACTTTGATCTCTACAACTACGGAAACTCGACCCCCGGCACGCCGATCACGACCTGGTACACGTGGGATGGCGAGCACCAGACCTGGCAATTCGACGAAGGTGAGCAGTCGCGTCCTACCTCCTCTTGGCACCTCTTGGCACCATGAGCGAGGTGTGTCCGTTTGAACGAGTCCCGGCCTGCCCAAGGTCGGGGGTCTTCCACCCAATGGATTTATGGCCCATTGCCCTCGCTATATGTTGTGCACCTCGAACCGTTCGCTGACAATTTCTGCAGTCTAGGTTAACGTCTCCGCCTTGGTTGGGCAAGCCTTCGAGACCGAGTTTCGACCTGGGCAAGCGGTTCTCGAACGTTCGCGCGCTATTGCCACCGACGGGATTCATTCTGATTTATTGCTGTACCATGCTTTCCGGTTCTTAGTACTAAGATTCTTACACCTTTGCCTGATGTACTTACTGTTGTTTATGACTTGTAACGACCATTCAAATGAGGCTTATGTTCTCTTTTGCTCACGACCCAATCCCGTCCATGTTCATACCACTGAGCTGTGTCCTGTTGCATCGGTTTTTATGTTCGACTTGGCACGATCACGAGAGGTAGATCCCGGCTCGCCGCGTCGCGCGTCGTCTTGTCGCGCCTTGTCCATCAAACCTTCAGGTCACTGCCTGGAGCTCTCACCGCATCGCCGTCGTCGTTCTCCGTCACCGAGGGAGCGCCCCTGTACTGCGGAAGGTCGAGGCCGCCACATTCATTTACTCAATGCGGAGTCCGCCCATTTCGGGGATTGCCGAATGCGCATCAATCCATGTTGAACTTTCCTTATGGGTGTGTATGAACTGAACCTGTGCTTCATAGGTTAATCTAGCGCGTCAGATAGGGTGGCGTTAGGGCTTATGTAGTGCCCGTAGGCTTCATAGAGTAAGAGCGCGGGAGATAGAAGCGTGTGTATGTCGAGATCGAGAGCCGCAAGAGCGACGCGTCTCGCGGACACGAACGTTTAGGACGCTATCGATTGGTGATCTGAAGGTACACGTACAAGCGTGGGAGCTCCGAGGATGGATTCTGTCCGTTTCTAGCGCACGATGATGATTGCGGCCGAACCTTCTTTGACCTGCTTATCCCGAGACAACAAAGGCAACTCGTTAGTCAATGAAGGATACCAGATGAGAAGTCACGAAGAAGACAAGGAGGTATGGGGACTACCTCCCTTCCTTTTTATTCAGTGGGCGGCGTGGTTCACCTTGTAATTTATTTCTTTATGGCCAGGAAAAGCGGTGGAGCGATGACGCAATGCCACGTGCGCGACCTCGGTCCGAGATTCGAAGTCAAAAACATATCGGATATGTTTAGAAACAAACGCTTCTTCCTGATTTCTATGTTGCGACCGCAGCAGCTTCATTGAAGTCTGTGTCTGCGTTTTGTCTCCTTCTCTTCCTTATATACCCCCCACGAAGCAAGTACCACGAACTTTCTGCGTCTCCAAAGCCCGCGATCCCAGTTCGGGAGAAATTTCTCCTGGCATCCGCTCCCGTCTCACGATTTGTAAATTAGGAGAGGTACGTGAGCTCTGAAGGCTCCGCTTCAACAGTCATCGAGCTCACGGACGATTTCTAGAGCTACCATGAACCCGAGCTCCTCTGAAGGCGGTGGTATTGGCGGTGGCGGTGGCGACGGCCGACCCCCGGGAGGGACGTCGAGGAAGAACGGCGACAAGACCCCTCGCAAAGTGCAGTGGCTCGACGAGAGCACGACGAACACCAGAGAATCGGACAGGTCGACGCATGCGCTGGATGAGCATGGACTAGACGTGCGTGCCGTGGATGCCCTCGAATGCGCAGCAGAGACTAACTCGCATCCCCCCAGCCCACCGCTTTCGAAACATTGACGGATGCGCTGGAACGCCATCAGTCCCTAAGCCAGCTTCCACCAAGGAGGCCGAACATTAACACGAACGTACTGCAGGAGCAGCCATCCAGCCCGCCACCCGCAGCCCAGCGCATCCACTACTTCCCTCCCCGCCCGGCGACGATGCAGCTCAACAGCGAGCCGACGCCGTTCCAGCGCGGCGACTACTTCAACCGCGCGAGCGCCCCGCCCCCGCCCTCGCACCCCCACGGGCACTCGCACAACCTCTCCACCGCGACGACGGCAACGACGACGACGATGGACACCGAGACCGCGCCGCCCTCCCCGGTGCTGTCGCCCATCCGGGACGTGCCCAACGCGTTTATCGACCAGAACGAAACCGCGGGCCTGCCGGGCACGGGCGCGCTCGACGATTACGCGAAGCACCAGGCGTCCAAGGTCGTGCGCGCGCATACCAGCCGGCACCTGCCCTTTTTCTTCGGTTCGAGCAAGAAGAAAGAGGCCCGCACGAAGAGCCCTGCGCGGACCAAGAAGGAGAAGGAGAGGGAGAAGCGCCGCGATGTCGAGGCCGATGTGGAGGACCCCATCCCCCCTCGGCGCATGCCCGGCGGCGTCCTCTCTGCTCTGCTCACCCTCCATGACGCTGATCAATCGACGCTTGTGTCCGGCACGACCACCCCTGCCCTCTCCGATCGCGCCTCCCTCGACGAGCCCGAGCGCCCGTGGGTCCACCCGCCGAAGTCGCCCAAGTCCAAGCACTCAAAGGACGACTCCGCGGCGACCGCGGTGCGCTCGGACGTATCGTCTATCAGCGAGCACACCAATTCCGACGAGCCGCTCATCATGCCGCCTCTCAAGCGCACGACGACCGGGGGATCCGTGTCATCGTGGATCCACCGGCCGCACCAGCCTCGCCACCAGAAGAACCCTTCTGAGCGCGCGGGTGGCGGGGTATTCGCCAGCCTGGTCGCTAGTACGGGCAACATCAGCGGGGCTGCTGCGCCAGTGCCGTCCTCCCTAGCACCGAGTCTAAAGCGGCCGGGGTACCATCTCTCAAGGTAAGATCTAGCTCGATCGCGCGCACTACAGCCGCTAATCTCATGATTTAGATATTCTCTTGAGAGCAACTTGCCGACGAAAAAGACCACGACGAAGGAGAGGACGCTGAGTCGGCCGAAAAGCATGCACTTCGAGCCCTCGCAGGCATCCTCGCCCGCCTCGACCTCGCCTGGCACGCCGTACTCGGAGAGCGGCTCGCATCTGCAGAAGCGTACGCGCTGGTCTGGGGTTATCAAGGATCTGCCGTATGCGAGCTCGGTGCTGAACCTGGCGACGCGTAGTGGGCGCAGCACGCCTGCGACTGCTATGAGCACGCCAACCACGGAAGGCGGCGAGGAGTGGCTCGATGAGAAGCAAACAGAACACGAACGCCGTCGCAAGGAGCGCCGCAAGCGGAAAAAGGCCGAGATTTACGTGCGTATCTTGTCTCACTGCTCGCTATCTTTGCGACACCCACCTAATCCTGTGCGACTTCATTTACTGATTGGTCATTTCCAGATTACGCGCCACGTTGCGGAGATCATCCAACGGCAGGAGTTCTTGCTCAAGTTTGCGCGTGCAATGATGATGTTTGGTGGGCCGACACATCGACTGCAGTCGCAGATCCAGGCGACTGCAAGAGTGTTGGACATGAGCATCAGCTGCATGTACTTGCCGGATGTCATGCTCATCAGCTTCGACGACCAATCGACGGCGACGAGTTCCATCAAGTTCATTCGCCAGGGTTCGACGCTCACGCTGTACAAACTGCACGATGCGTACAAGCTGTACTGGAAGGTACTTTGCCACATAATCTCGCTGCTCTTAGCCGATGCTGACGCACCCCTCCCTAGGTCATCCACGACAAAATTTCGGTCTCCGAGGCGTCGTGCGAGCTGGACAACCTCATGGTGTCCAAGCCGATGTACAACATGCCGAAGCTCATGTTTTTCGGCGGCATGTGTTCGTCGGGCATCTGCACGCTCGCCTTCTCCGGCAGCTTTATCGACGCGCTGGTCGTGTTTCCGCTGGGCTGCTTGCTGGTCATGCTGCAGCTCATCAGCGTCCGGCACGAGCTGTACTCGAACATCTTTGAGTGCGTATCACTTTTCTTTGCCCTTTGCCTCAAATTCGCCGTCCACTCTCACGTTGTGCCATGCCTCCTTACTTTGCCTATCCAACTTCCCTATCTTGCCTAATGCGCTTCCCGTTTCGTCTCCCCCTTCCCCTCTTCGTGCTTCCCATTCTTCCTTGCCATCTTCCGCACGCTCATTCTTGCGAGGCTCCCGCGCTGACACGGCCTTGATAGAATAACGCTCGCGACCCTGTTCAGCTTCATCTCTGCCGGTCTCGCGTCGACGAAGTACTTCTGCTTCACGGCTGTTGCGTCTGCGTCTGTTGTGCTGATTCTTCCGGTGCGTGTCGGGTGTTCTCTCCCTATGCTATCGTGCGCGCGTGTTGACGCATGTGGCAGGGCTTCATCGTGCTGTGCGGTTCTCTTGAGTTGATGTCGCGGAACATCATCTCTGGGTCCGTCCGGCTGTGTTATGCGGTCGTATACTCGCTCTTCCTGGGCTTCGGGCTCGCGATGGGCGCGGAGGCGTACGAGAAGATTACGGGGCAAAGTATTGATACGACGGAGGACTATACGTGCGTCAATAGTCACGATCCGACGGGTCCGTGGTATCAGAAAAATGTTTCGATGTGGTGGGGTGAGTGGTTATCACTTTTTCGGCGTAGGCTATCTCACTGACCATGTTCAAGCATTCCTTACAGTCCCCCTCTACTCTATCTTCCTGAGTCTGCGCAACCACGCGGCTTGGAACACGAAGGAGCTGGTATGTCCTTTTGAGTTACTACGCAGATACCTCTGCTAATCCCCCTCCTCAGCCCGTCTTGGTCGCTATCTCTTGCATCGGCTGGGTGACCAACCACTTCACGGCGACGAAGTTCGTAAACCAGAACGACATCAGTGCGGCCGTTGGGTGAGTATCTTTGTCTTCGCTATTCCTATCCTGCGCTGACCCGCTCTCGCAGCGCCTTCGCTGTCGGTGTTGTCGCGAACGTGTATGCGCGGTTCTTCTCTGGTAATGCGTTCGTCGTCATGGTGGGTTCCTCTTCGTGCGCGTCCGTCGCTCTTTGACTGACACCGAGGACAGATTACGGGCATTCTCTTCCAACTTCCCTCGGGTCTTGGGAATGGTGGACTGCTCTCGTTCGCCGAGAAGCAGATCTCTGGCTCGAGCACGTCCTACCTGTCCGGCTTCCAGACGGCACTGCAGCTCATCTCGGTGTCAATTGGGCTCTCGGTTGGACTGGGCATTGCGCTCTTCATCGTGCACCCCATCCAGTCCCGCCGTCGGGGCGGCGGCGTATTCAGCCTGTAACGGACGACCTCTACGTCATCAACCTCAACATACCATCTACCTCTCCTCCTTGGCTTCGTCATATCCTCTCTGGGCACGCGTGTCCTTGTACAAAACTCCCAGGCCGAACTTGCCTGCTGTATACTAAATATCTCTTGTGATTCCTTCTGTTGCTGTCACGCTGCCCATTGTGCCGACGTCTTCATGGGACATGGACCTTCTTGCAATTACACCCTTATCCCCATCCAACATTCCACCCATCATCCGTCACCATCTTGTCGATATATATGTCCAATCTCGCTTTCCTTGTCACGAACAACTCTTCCTTGCCGGCATACAATGGGTTTTTTATACTTTATGGTACATGCATTATTTCGGGTCGCGGTCGTCATCGTGCTTCGTGGTACATCCTCTTCTCTTTATCTGACCTCCAACCCATACGCTCGCTCACCCGCTCTCTCGCATACTACTATCCCCATGGACGAACAGAGATCTAGATAGATTCCGCTCTCCGCTCGTTTCATGCGCCTCTCGTGAATAGACGACCTCTCCTTCATAGATACTCATTAGACATATATTACACCCTACCTCTAGATGATTCCCTTGGATATACTCTATTTTGTGTCCGCCGCGGTTGGCTATTAGTTGTACAGGGCTCTCCGATGTATCCTGACTTTCCTACCCTAGAGCAGCCATACGCTGCAGTTCCGGGCTTTTATACATATCACGGGTTTTACGATCGATCTCGAGTGCGCATCCGCTCCACCTTCGCGGTCTTCGAGGCGGCTGCCGAGCGCTTTCTGGGGTATTCCTGGGGCTGCCCCGGACGCACGCGGCATGGGGAGGCGGGGTTTGCAGCCTTTGCCTTGCAGCACAAATCGGGTGCTTGAGCCCGTGGCGGGGCTTGGCTTCGCGATGGCGCGCGGAGAAGGCCGCGAGGCCAGTTCGTGAGGCTTCTCTACAGACGTGGTAGCGTCCTTGCGCTCCAGTCCCCCAGAATGCAGGAATCCATCCGAGCGATGTAGCGCGTCCGCGCAGCAGCGGATTCACCTCATTCGCTCCGCACGGCCAGAGCCGTACCCTGCTGCGGGGAAGGCTGGCTTCCAGCGCGGATTTCGCACCCGGAGGGCATCGAAGGAGGTCCCGAGGACTGAGGGCGATTGACGAGGATCGGCGAAGACTTCACTGACAGACGATATAAGGTGTCTTTGTCGGCTTCGAGAAGCTTCTGCGTACAGGTAGACCACGGGAGCGATCCGCGTGGATGAGTAGTGCACACCGCCCCGGTGCGGGCGTACCTACCTATGTCATAGCAGACGAACATCGACGACGACACAAGGTGGTGTGCAAGGTGCAGTCGCCACGTCAATGCCATTGACCGGGGTGCGACGAAGGCCGGACATGGCGTGAACACCGAAGAAGAACAATGAAAGCACCCCATGGAGCCTTGCTGTAGGTAAGACTGTCAATGGGCAGGATAAACTCGCCTCAATACATCGCTAGTGCGCTCCGCAGGATCCTTGCTTGACTTCACAAGCGCCAAGCATTCGCGGCAGGCGACTGCGCTTCACACTTTGAGCGCGAGCATCGGACTGATCATGAGCTACGCTGGTGTGTCCGCGGTTTCCCGTGGACAAGCCCCGTCTTCGGGTTCGAGCACTGAAGGTTACATTCGAGGAATACATACACAAATATTCTAGGAGAAGATGAGTTCACAGGATCGAAGCCCGCAAGTGGAAGGCCTACTTTAGTTTGACTTTCCCTTTGGCTACCCGCTCTCACCTTGCGGCGATCAGTAAAAGCACTGGATATCCAGATCCTGATTTCCATCCGCACTTGGCTAAGAAGACGTCAGCACGATGGCTAGAAAAGTTGAAAGGTTGACAGAGAATCATCGACAAGACATCTAGGGCAGCCACACCCCAAGAAAGCGAACGCAAAGTCGTCGCACTCACCACCGTCCCAATAATTCGCCTGTGGTCCATCATCACGCCCGAGTAGAACAGATGCCGCGGGCTATGCGTCACGACGCACGGCAGCTGCGAGTCGAGCTTGCCAGCGAAGAGCGTCGGCAGCTTGTTTGCTTCTTGGACGTAAGTGACGCCAGGATTGCGTCGCATGAAGTCGGACACAGCGTCCAAGGAGCCTTCATCTGAATGACTCACTGTTGAGAAGAAGGAAATGGCGTTCAGTGACCAGGTATGCAGAAGAGGAAGACCGCGACGTACAATCAAGACTATGGTCCCCGTCCCCATCCTCCTCCCATCCCTGGTCTTCAGCTATGTTACTCCCCTCAATCGCCTCATTCGACACCGTTGGGGTCTGCACGACCTGCACACCCGGCCACTGCTCCAACCCCTCCGCCGGCGCAAACATTTGCAGCCGCGTGTTCATGAGCGCCTGATTCTCTGCCGGCGTCCCTGCCCTCCGCGCCTGCTGCGCTGCTTCTTCCTTGCGAGCCGCCTCGACAGCGTAAGGGTTGAAGTCGTAAAGGTTGACGAGCCCGTCGTCCCAGAGGGACTGGAAGAGGGGGGAGGCGGTAGCGACCATGCGCTGTCCGCAGGAAGTGGTGATCCAGTTGTGGTTGTTGCGCGAGAAGTCGAGCCAGCGGGAGACGGGCGGACCCCAGTCGGACCAGGGAAGGGAGGGTAGGGAAGAGGTAGAGTCGGAGGGGGTGGTAGACGGATCGGCGGAATCGGCGGGTAGGGAGGTGGATTCCGTAGGGTGAGCGCCGTTCCCAGCGATTGACTCCTTCATGAGCTGCTCAAAGATCTTCACGAACGCCGACCGGTGTACGACAAGCACCAGGTTCTCGCTCGCCCCATTGATTTCGTCTTCGTCCTCATCCTCTTCGGCATCCTCATTCTCCTGAACATGGTCCTCGCGGAGGACTACAACCTGAAAGATACACAGCGCCTCCTCCGACGCGGGATAAAACGGTGGCTCGGTGCGAGTCATGCGGCTTTTGCCCTTTTGCTCGTTGTTGCAGGCGCCTTTTTTCGGTGGATCCGGAAAGGTCCTCGGAACGTCTGCTCGTGGATTTGGCTCTGCGCGGCATTGGATATCGAAGACCTTCGCCCTAGGCCGGAGCGGTGGGAGATGAAGAATGGCAGCAGGAGCAGGCCGCTTGGGGTCCGTCGTCGAAATTCGCCAATACTCCAGGGTCCGGCTTGCCGTGTTAGGCACGAGTATGAGATCTTCCGTGAGGAAGACGAAGGTGGTGTAGCTGTCTGGACCGCTCTCATATGTCTACGTCGCAGGTCAGTATTTACGCTGATTGATAAGCAGCGCTCATGGGGGTCTACCATTTTCAAAGTTCCTTCCTTCCAGTTGTAGAAGTTTAGTGTACTGGGGGGAATCGGGGCACCCGATGTGCGCACGCGAGGATAATGTGCGGCAATCACCATCGTGTCGCCCACAATTTCGATCCCTAGTAGAGGAGGACGGTTGCGTCGAGGGGTTTTCAGCAGAGGTATTGGGTTCTGCTGCGCCAAAGGATGAGGGCGACCAGAGGGGAATTCGAGCAAGCGAATTTCGAGCAAATCTCCACTGCGGCCTGCGCCCGAGGAGCTGGACGCGCTTGTGTCGGGACGACTGTTTGGTTATGAGCGATGAACTTTGCCATATTATTCTGACATACGATGTGACAGCTACGAGTAGACTATGCTCGTAGAGAGACTGCCCAAGGCATCAATATGTTTCCCTCAGAAAGTCAGAAATCGATAAACTAACCAAGGCAAAATCAATGATATATTCACCAATATTGAGCAAAGACCACTCAGGGTCGGGATCTTGTGGCGTAGGTAGCGGCATGAAGTAGATCCCCCGGCGTTGCTCGCCCTTGCCAAAAAAGATGTAGCCGCCAGAGAGCTCGTATAGGCCTGCCGTATCTGGCGGGACAGAGCGCCTGAGGGTGCAAACCGATTTTAAGTCTCTCCAGGCTGATCCGGCCGCTTCCACTTGTGAGAGGAGGTCGTCTATGGTCATGTCGCCATCCGAGGTGCACCGCAGCTGGGCCACGCTCGTCGCATAGTGTTTTAGGAGGGTAGGCGTCTGCGCGATGGCAGCAAAGCGCGGGTCAGCCTCCTCTACAGCCTCGAGAGAAGACGGGTCTAAGTAGAGCAGGATCCGAGTGAGAAGCTCGATGGGCAGCTGAAATATCTGTGGCACCATGGTGGCTGGAAGAAGAGGGCGAGATGATGCGGCAAACGCCGTGGCTAACCACGTGCTCGATATTCCCACGCCACATTATGCAGCGTGCCCTGTGTTGATGGATATTGATTCCAGAAGCTCGACGTCTTTGGATCACTTCACAAAATGGACGAGTTCGAAACTTATTCTTACGGTTACAGCGAGCCAGGGTCCTCCAGCGAGTCAGACTCGCCGCCGCCGCCCCAGACGCCAAGTCTCCCAAAGATTACACTCAAATTACCGGCCCTGAAGCCCAGCAAGCCTGCAAAATCGCACAAGAAGGCCAAGTCGAAGAAGAGCAGCGCGTCTGCGACGAATTATGGCTCCCCGGCTCTATACGACACGGTAGAATATGCGGCACCAAAGGCGCAGCGCCCAGTCAAGCTCAAGCCGCTGAAGGAGGTGCTTTCGAAATTGATAGCGCAGATCAAGAAGTGCGTTTACTACTTCTCGCTCTCTACTCGCTCTAATCCTCTGTACAGGAAAGATGAATATGCCATCTTTCTTGAACCCGTCAATACGGCCCTTGCGCCAGGCTACACCGATGTCATCAAGCACCCCATGGACTTTGGGACGATGACAACGAAGGTTGAACGTGGTCGTTATCGCTCGCTAGAGGAGTTCGCTGTGCGCACAATACCCCTTCCCTCCCTGCCTTCTCTGACGCGTCAATAGAACGACTTCAAGCTCGTGACAACGAACGCAAAGACCTACAACCCTCCGAACACGATCTATCATACAGAGGCAAACCGTATCGAGGCGTACGGGCTCGATCACATCTCCAAAGCGGCTGGAACCGTCGTCCAATACGAGACAGACTGGAACATCGACGTGGAGAAGGATGAGGACCCCTTAGATGTAGAAGAAGATGAGGGTGGCACCGCTATGGACGTCGACGAGCCGTCGCAACGATCATATACGCCACAGGCCTCCACACCTGCGCCGGCCACCTCGTCGGGGCGAAGAGGACCACGCGGGCCGTACAAGAAGCATGCACCTGCTCCGGAGAAGACAGTGGACGAAGACGGTCGACTACCTGGAGCGAAGGACGGTTTGGCAGCGTTCCCACCGGGATCGGATTGGGCCAAGGTCATGCTGCAGCTGAAGTTGAAGAGTGCGTGTATGCACTTTCGCTACCCTGCTTATGCTAACGAACCTTTGCAGATAAACGGTATCGGACAAAGAAAGAGCGGATGCGCGTAGAGAAGGAGGGCCTTCCTGTTCTACCTGATGGCAGTTTGGACTACTGGGAGAGTACGTAGTCTCGCCTCGCCTTGTCTTTCTCCAGCTGACAGCGCACTCCGTAGTTGAAGAGCCCTTCTACATGCTGCAGCAACTAGTGCCGGATCCCATGACGCGCCCTCAGCTCATACCGCTCTACCCACCGGTGTCCATGACCACCCCTTCCTCAAGTTCAACATCGCACTATCCCCAGGAAAGTCGCGAAAACTCCTATGATCCGAACCGTGGTCAGTCAGTTCAGCCACAGGGACCTGCCGCCCCCAATCTGCCACTTCCTACCACGCTACCGCCATCGCACATCCGGGACGTAGAAGCGTACGACCCTCCTCGCGTCCTCGGCAAACGGCGTCACTGGACAATCACCCGCAATGTCAGCTCGCGATGGCGAGGTGACCGCGAGGAGGCAGAGGAAGAGGATCCACCATGGAAGGTCCCGCGCGAAGCTCACGCCACGGACTTCGGCTCCCTCGCCGTCCTGGCGAGCGAGATCGAGGCCGAGATGCAGCGGCGGAACATCCAGCCGCGCTCGGTGAACGACCCCAACGAGGAGGAGCGGGTGTTCATGGTAACGCTGAAGGAGACGCTGGAACCTGATCCTACAAAGGTTCCGAAGGTCATGCATGCGACTGGGAGTATACGGGAACCGGAGGAGGACGAGTTGGGCCCGCGCATGATGAGGCACGAGGCGATGTTCTTCACGCCGACGATGGCGGTGGAGGCGGAAGAGTACTTGCGGGACGTGGTCTATGGAGGTGTGGCGGGGTATGCGTATGTGCGTAGTCTGGCCCAGTTCGCCAGCGGCCGCGATGTGGTTTTGGAGGATGAAGATGAGGTATGTTTGCGCATACATCTACGTTTCTCGTCCCCCATATACTCACATCCTCTTTAGTCCTACGCCATGGACACCTCCGACGGGCTCACACAACCCCTCCCCCTCGGCATGCCCCTCGCCCACTACATCGAGCGCACTATCCTCGACCCCTGCACCGACAACCGACACGCCCTCCTCCGCCGCACCGCCGCGCTTCTCACCACCTTCCCGCGCGACCGCTGGGTCGTGATGATGCGCAAGTACAAGCCGAATCTCGCGAAGACGGGCATGTTTGCGGACGACGTGGTGCGCCAGATCGGGATCGCGCTGTGCGCGTTCCCGAATGCGTGCAAGGCGTTCAGCCAGCTGAGGTCGATGTGGGGGGAGTCCATTGATCAGAGTTTGTTGGCGAAGGCACCCGGGGATCTAGAGGCGTGTGAGAGGGAGTGGGCGGGGGCGGTGGGGGCGCTGAGTGGGCAGGGCCAACCGAATGGGCATACACAAGGAGAGGGTGCCAGTGGGAAGCAGCCGCCCCGGATCCAGGACGTGTTGAACTTCGTGCTGCAGCGGATCACGGAGGCGGCGCAGAAGGCGAAGGAGGGATCGGTGAAGAGGGAGGGAGAGGCCGCAGTTGCGTCCGGAGGAGCGGCGGCGGCGGCACCGTCATCGGCAATGGGTGCTCAGGAGGAGACGCCCGAGATGCGGACCATCCGCATGAACCTGCTGGCGTTGACGAAGCGGATGCCGGGGTATGTGCAGCAGCCGCTGAATTTCTCGGTGCCGCTGTCGCCCGCGACGGTGATGCCGCCCGCGACGGCGCCGGCACCTGGTGCTCCATCGAATTGAGTGTTAGCTTTGGTTGTAGGCACTGATTTCTAGACTACTCTTCGCATATTGCACTTTTTTGAAAGCTTCTATTTCGCAGCGGGACCTCGGTAGAAAAAAGAATGAAACAAGAATCGTCAGTGAAGCTAGAGATAACTTAGCATAGGGTTAGGTGGGTATGTACAGTGAGTCCTTCCAGCTACGTTCTCTTCTCCCAGCTTTCCGTCAACCATCCGTCTTCGCCTGTCAAGCATCCACTCTACGCAAGCGCCACCCAAGCACCCGCGCACACCGCCATCAAGGACGCGACACCTGCACCCAGGCTAGCCGCACCGTTGTGGTCGTTGAGCGGGTTCGAGTCGTCGTCCGAGGAGTCACTCGAGTCATCCGAAGAGGAGGAGTCATCCGCGCTGGACGTGCTAGTCGCCGTGCGCGAGGGCGTGGTGAAGGTCGGCGAGCTCGTGCGCGTGGCCGCCGCGGAGCCAGAGCTGAAGGCGCTGGTGGCGGAAGAGAACGCGCTGCTCTCGTCGGAGAAGATGTCGGAGAGGGACTCGGTGGCGGAGGCGGGGGCGCCGGTGGCGGAGGCAGAGATGGCGGTGAGGGTGAGGCCGCTGACGTTGGGGCAGGATTGCTCGAAGGCTGAGTGAGTGGGTTAGGTGGATGGTCGAGGCAAGGAGTTGATGGGTGGGTGAATGGAGGAAAGACGATCGAGGGATCATGGCAGATACGAGGAAGGGGGAGAGGGGTAGAACCATTGATGGATTGGGCAGGAGCTCGAGGTAATAATACGCACAATCGAGAATAGACTGGCTCTGGTCGTACAGGTCGGCTGAGGGCGCGATTGCGACGAGGCACCCCAGGCACGCCTCGAGCGACTCCCCGTTGTCCTGCGTGCACAAGCAGTCGGTGTCCGCGCACGTCTGAAGGGTGTTCAAGATCGAGCCGCACTCGTCCTGGCACTGGTGGGGGTGTTAGAAAGGGCGATGAGAAGGCAAGCCAGCGTGTCCGACCAACCTGGGAGGGGATGTCGTCCGTGCCGATAGTCTGCCTCGCGAGGAGGGCCAAGTGGCGGGCAGTAAGGCTCGTCGTCGCGGCGGAGGCTGAACCATAGCAGATGGGTTAGCGTTGAGGGAAGTACGACGAGGAAGAACATACACGCACCGACAGCAGAGCTAGCCACGAAGGCGCCAAACAGCGTGATGAGTGAGCGGACCATGTTTGACTAGTGGCGGACGGGTATGAAGGGACGGGTGAAGGGAGTAGGAGGGGGAGGGAAAGGAAAGATCCTTGCGGAAAGGGCGGCAAGCGCGCTGTTCGCCACCATATATACCGCCGCCGCGCGGAGGCATTCTGCGCGGCCTGAGCGCCTGATTCACTGCCCGTCCTGCGTGGAAAAGGCGCCCCGTTCCTGTCCATGCCGACGCTGTCAGGACGCGAGTTTGAGCTCGCGCCAATTTATCATTTGTTCGGGAGAGCCCCGGGGATGAACGTCGCCGTGCATGCTGCCCTGGGCGCTTATTTCGTCGAGTCAATGTATTCGTCGAGTGCGGGCCTGGCTTCGTCGGGTGCGGGACCGAGGTTGCTAGGGGAGGGAAGGGCAAGGGAGAGGGTAGAGGATGTTGGAGGAGGGAGGGAAGAGAGCGCCGACCGCGGAGGCCTCAGACAGGAGGTGGAGGAAGAGATGGGGCCGGCGAACGTGAGTGGGTCCCGAGGAAGATCATTACCGTTATCCCCGGTAAGGATCAAAAGGGCGATTGCTTGGCAACCGTTACCCGCCTCGAGACGGCCCGGAAGTCATTATCAAGTGCGGGGTACTCGGAGGCGCTTTTGGCGGGACCGCAAGAGCGATTCTTGCACCGAGGGAAGGTCGACAATAGCAAAGGGTGCAGCCACAACCCATGCCGGGCTGACATGCAGGATCTATCACGTAGATCCTGTAAGCGCGCAAGAACCGCCTTACCATGATAGACGGCATGAAGGCGGTGCGCATTAGTGGCCCATTGAATGACCCCGTCGGTTTCTGATCCACGCTGCACTGATCAGGGGTTCGTTCAATGAGCGTAAGGGACTTGCCTTCAGTGTTACGGCTGTAACGGACGTACGTGCTGTACTCGGCGGAGCTCAACGAGGACGTGTACGGCTCGAGAAATTCGTGCAGAGCGGCGTAAACGTCTTACAACATCCGTACATATCCTCGACGGACCGGTCTTGTCGGCATGCCCTTGTGTTCGTCGGTATTTCTCTGTCAAAAGCAGGTTCGACTGTTCTACATCTCCCCGCACTCTGTGGATCGGGTCAGACATTCGGTTCGTTTGTGAACAAAGACAACGAGGTGCTCATTGACCGAGAAACCCGCTGCACGTACCCGTGATCTTGACCACCAACTTAGGGCGATTGTTTTGTCCGGTGGGGACGTTTTCAATCTGTGGAAGGGGGACGCATCAGCATGACTGTCATTCACATGTGGGGGTGGAGGAGAGGCGCTGGCTCGCGTGATCTACTAATTAGCGAGAGGCGAAAGTGATCAAGCACGAAGGACGACAGCACAAAGAGGGTTCATAGTGTTAGTCCATTCACCTTGCGCAGAGTAAGCATCCCATCGATGACTTTGCCGAAGACGACGTGCTTGCCGTCGAGGAAGTCGCAGGGCGCGGTGGTGATAAAGAACTGGACGGAAGGTAAGCAGTCAATGACGACCTTAAGCAGAGGCGATACTGCAGCGTGATGTTTGGTAGCGCCTCTCTTACCTGGCAGCCATTCGTGTTCGGGCCAGAGTTGGCCATCGACAACAAACCCGGGCCAGTGTGCTTCACTTCGAAGTTCTCGTCCTGCGAAGGTGGATAAGTACGATGAGCGATGAGTGATTCCACGATCGTGGGTCATACTTACCGCGAATTTATCACCATAGATGGAGAAAGATCCAGTTCCGTCACCCTTGATGAAGTCGCCACCTAGCTAGGTCGGTCAACGGTGTGGCAGGGTATAGATGTTTTGTGGCGCACCTTGGCACATGAAGTTTGGAACGCTATGAAGCGGTCAACAGTGAGCAGAAGTATCAGTGAGGTAGCCTGGCTTACACTCTGCAAGTGGTGTTAGCATGGCGGAAGTGCACATATGGCAAAGAGCACATACCGATGGAAGGTGGCATTCTTGTATCCTTGTGGCCGTGCGTTCACTCTGGTGGTCATGTCGGTACCGATTCCTTCACCATGATTCAAGAGACTACCTGTGTTCCCCAGTGCATAGTTGTCGGAAGTTCTCTGCGGTCCTGCGTCTTGTTAAGCAATGACCCAACGCGCTCCAGGAAACTATACGGACTTGGGCACGATGTCGTTGAAGAGCTCCATTTTGATTCGCCCCGCAGGCGTTTCACCAATGTTGATGTCCATGAAGACAATCGGTCTTTGGTTAGTGGAAGACATGCTGGGTATGGGTTCTTCAGAAGGACTGAAGTGCAGCCAGATGACGATGAGAGTTCGAGAAGGAAGCGCGATCGGCGCGCGGTCCGGCTTCCGAATTAGCCTCAAACGCGCAGCCAAACAATGCGCGCTATTGTTCTCCACTGTTGCTTCTATTTTGCTCTTGCTCCCTCCCGCCATCATCGCCGTGGTCGTGCAGGTTTCCCAAAACTCGTCGCTGTTGCCGTCGCCCGCGATGAACGCTAATTCGTTCCTCTCTGTGCCCTCCGTGACGGCTCTGACCGGACTCACCCCGCAACACTGCTCCTCGAGTCAGCCTGGCGCGCTCAGCTCGCAAGATGTACCCGCCACGTCATCTACGCCGCCCGAAGATGATGAAATGGACTCTCGAACCTCATCCTGCTCCGGCTCTGGGGAGAAAACCTCGGATACTATGAGCTCGACGTCGGATTCGAGATCGGCCTCCTTCGCCTCGCAGGACTCTGACGGCTCGAGCAACTCCGATGGCTCGAGTGCGATTGGGAGCTCGTCTGGCTCCTTTGCCTCGGACTCTTACTCTTACGGCGATTATCGAGCCCAAGACAAGAAGGAAGACGCTGATGGTATCGAACGCGAATGCGTACTGGCCTCTCCTGCCGACGACGATTTTTCCATGACGCTCAAGCGACGGCTTCACGCTCTGATCTCTAGGAAACGGCACGATGAACGACAGTCAGAAGACCTGCCTGAGCCTCAGCACCCTCCAGGACTCGTCAAATCTTCCAGTGTTGTTCAATACGCGCATATACCCCGCCTCATCAATAGCAAGCCGGCCGCAGCACTACCCCCTCAAATTGTCTCCAACCACGATGCCACAGCCTATCAAGCCTCTGAACCTGACACTGTCCCTGGCTCATGCGCTGTTCTACCGACGACGGGCTCACAACTTGCTCGGCAGCAAAATTGCAACCCTCATCAGGCGCATATATCCAGTCAAAACCTCTCGACAGACTTTTCTAGACGAACAGCGACCTCCCCTCGACCTTTCGTTGCTCAAGATGCTCATTCGCCTTCTCGCATCCTTCCGCTCAAGCGCTCTCGATCAACTAATGATGCTCTCGCCGGTTCTGTTATGGCGAAGCGCGTCAAGATGGACAGTCCTGCACACTTGGGGTGGTGCGTCAGCATTTCCAGCCCTTGTTTGCTTGATGACTTATCGCAAGCAACGATCAGCACGCAGCAAACATGCGACGAGAAGGAGAACATCCATCCAAATCAGGGTGCTGCTCAGCCTGTTCAGAATGCTATCGTCCGCTCGCGCAGTCGTCTGGCTTTATCGACGAGCTTACGCCGGTCTACGTCTTCTAAGACCCTCATCGCGAAGCAAGCCTCGGCGGCGGATGTGCCCTTTGCGGACGTCCCGGCCAGTCTGCGCAAGGCCGGCAGCCTGCGCTCGGATGTGAGCAAAGTGGACCCTTCGTACCCGCATTCACTCAACTGAATCCTACAGCCTGAGTCCAAGCCCCGTCCAACGAACGTTGAGGAAGATGACGAGCTCGTGCCCACCGAGCCGAACACGCCTTTCCCCGTCATCTCGCCCTCGGTCCTCCGCTCGCCGGCATTCAGCTCACAGTCATCATCGGCTGAGCCTGGCTCCGCCGATGCGAGGCTTCAGCGGCTGTGTGAGCGGGCGAAGGCTTCGCGCGCAAGGATTTGGGAAGCGAACGAAGATGGCGGCGAGGCGGCGCTCTTCGAGGACGCCTTTGTCATTGGATCAGAGATGAGGCTGAGGATCGTGGAGTGGTTGTTGACGGTGAGTCTGCTACATGTTCTTTGCGCCTCTTCGCTGCTCGCCGCGACTGATCACATTCGCCTAGTTCCTTCCCTCCAAGCGGCGCCACTCGCAACTGTACGACCAGCTAGCTACTTCCCCGGAGACGCGCTTCCAGGCAGTCGTGCTCTTCCTGGCATGTCTAAAGCAGACGGTGAAGGAAAGTAATTGGGGCGAGTTTGTGGACGAGAGAATTAGGAAGCGACTGGTCGCGGATGAGGCGAAGGAGGGTGGAACGGGCGTTGGAGATCAGGCTGGCGCCGCCACTGGAACTCAGACGAGCGCGCACGACGCGGAATACGATTACGAGACGGATCTCGCGGAGTACGAAGCGGAGGAGCTGGTTGATGGGCTGAGACTGATTGTGTGGGATACGGCTGTTGGGGCGCTGGCGTTGAGTGTGAAGGTATGTAGTGGCTGGTGATTGCGCGTATGGGACAACCAACGCGGCACTGCAGTTCCACCGCGATAACCTGCCGCCCTTGCTCCCCATATATGCGGACGAGTTCACGGCAATTGCGCCGCATGAGATGGATTACCAGACCTTTGAAGCGAGTCGTTCCTGTTCTCTTATCTTCGAGGCGGTTGCTAACGTTCCACCAGGAATGCCAGCGCGACGTCCTACGATCCGTCAACTACACGTTCGGCGTGACGCCGCAGCCGCTGATGGACAATGTCTGGTTGGCGGTGCCGGAGCTGCAGAGCGTGCTGGACTATGAGACCCAGGAGGAGGCAGAGAATCAGCAAGCGGACGCGGAGAAGGCCCAGTTCAGCAAAGCTTCGACACAACTTAACCCGAAGCGTTCCGGATGCGCTGAGCTAGCTATCTGGAGACGATGGAACGCTGTGCGAAGAAGGTCCTGGGAGATGCTGTTCAGGGCTTGTAGAGGTTCGTCTTTGTCTGCTCGTCGTTGTGTCCTTCCATTAAGTTGCCTTCCAGCGCCCGACCTCATGCGCTACGATGCCGCCGTCCTCACTGCTGCTGCCATCATGCGCGCCCTTGTAGACGTCTGCGCGATGCAAGAAGAAGTCATCGACCCGCGGTGGAACATCGTAGACGCCCGTCGTGCCGGTCTTCCGAAGGAGGGGGCGCATCAGTCGCGGTGGGTTAGGCGGGCGAAGAGGCGTATTCTGCGGGAGCATGTTGAGGATATGGTGTGCGATGCGATGGGGTTGAGTGAGGTGAGTAGGCTTGGAGAATGGGCCTGGACGCCGTATCCGGAATGGCGTCGTCGCTGTATCTGGAACGGCCGTGGCCACTGTAAGCGCGGTGCTGATGAGTCGCGCAGCAACGTCTGAAACAGTGTCAAAACTGGTTGGGGGAGGTTGCGTGAAGGGTAGACTGTATCTTGTTCACTTTGCTTCATGTGTTTGTGGCTGGTTCTGCTCTTTCTGTATTGCTTCTCGTTGTGTAGGGTGCTCGTGTAGATTCCTGTACTTTCTATACCTTCTCAGTAATGAGAGGACGTTACCTCTTCAGATCACCAAGGTTTGAGGCTGAAGGTCGGGCGCGCGGAAGATGATATGATGGATTGCAAGGGTATGATGCAAGAATAATATGAGTGCGTGAGTGTTCGTGAAGCAAGATGAGTAAATGGGAAGCAGAAGATATGGATGGAAGATGTCGGATAATTCAGTCAGTCGTGCAAGTTCACTCAGCGCAACATCTTCTCAAAGCCTACCGGCACCTGAGAAGATAGCTTGTCAGCTTTGTACCCGAGAGATATAGACAGACGACGTACAGTCCAGCCGTGCGTAGCAGCGGCGCGCTTGTAGCCTTGGAGGGCCTCGTCAACCCTGTACTCCCTATGAGTACTCAGTAAGAGACCGTCCGAATGTACGTGCGGCGCACCTCTTCCAGTCTCCGCGCGGGGCCAGCCGCGCTGGACGAGGATCGAGGTTGGAGATGGCTAGCTTGATCTGCATGAGGACGGCGGAGATGGAGTAGCTGGGGAGCCAGCCTGCGTCAGAATGTCAGCGCTGAGCGGACAACAAGTGGCGGAAAGGCAGGCTTACCATCGGAAGTGAGGAGGTCCATGCAGATCGAGCCACCTGCGAGGGCATGAGATGAGCGACGGCCAAGGGGAAGAACAAAGTGTGTAAGTACCTCCAGTAACATGACCACCACCGCCCTGAATGAAAGGCAGGAATCGCGGCTTGATGATCCTGAAGAAAGGCGGCGCATTCGGGAACGATGGCGGGAAACGGATCTCGAAGATCAACGAGTTCACGCCCCTACAGGCACATTAGTGACACCCCTCCACTGTCCATCGACGGGTCACTCACTCTTTCTTCATATCCTGCGCAATCGGAATCTCCGGGTCGAACGAGTGCAGCTCCACGATCCACTGGAAGATATTGTCCGAGATGCAGTCCGGCGGCATATACCACCCGAGCTCGCTCAGACTCCCCGCCTTCTCCTGCTCCTTCAGCATCGCGCGCAGCTCCCTCTGCACCGCCATCGTCGCGGACGGGTTCGCGTCCACCGGCGGGGGCATCAGGTGCTGCAAGCACTCCTCGACCCACTGCGGATTGTGCTTCCAGTCGTCCTTGGGCGGCGCGCGGGGTGCGGGGGCCTTGTCCTTGTCCTTGTCCTTGTTCTTCGCCTTCGGCGCGGGCACCTTGTAGTCCTCGTCGTCCGAGACCATGATCACGTCGTCCGGGTCGTAGTCCTCAGCTTCGCCGTAGTCCTCGCCTTCGGACGAATCGTCGATCGACATGGGCGCCGGTGTGGGCGCGTCCTCCTCAAACTCGAAGATGGCGCGGTCCTCGCGGTCGGTGGCGACTTCGTCTTGTTCAGCAATGCGCTGGGCGAGTAAGGTGTCAATCTGGTGCGCCGGGTCGGGGATGGCGATCGCCTTGTTGTTCAGCGTGAGGCGATGGGAGGGATCCAGCGGCACGAAGGGGACACGGCTGGCCTTCTTGTCTTTGGCCGTCGCCTCTTTACCATTTCCTGCAGGTAGCTCCCTCGGACTACAACGCACGAGCAGATAGCGACTGGTGAAAGGCCTCAGCTTACCTAAAGCAAAGTATACAACAGCCTTCCACTCACCACATAATCCAATCCGTGTTCGCAACCACCAAATGTGGATCTCTGCTCACAAACTCCCCCGGCAGATTTACAATCTCCGCCAGCGCGGTGCACTGCAGCGGTATCACCTCACTCCCCTCCCACGTCTTCGTGCCGCGCTGGGCGTAGGTGGACATGCTGATCGAGCCGTCCTTCGCGAAGTACACGCCATGCCCGTACGCGCGACCGTTCACGATGTCCTTGAACCATAAGCCATGCCGGAGGATGGAGTGCCAGTTGCGCAGGCCAGAGCCGTGGAAGGCGAAGATGGAGGGGAAGTTCATCGCGTTTTGATCCTTCTTGACGGCGGCCTCGATGGAGGCGCGAAAGCGGGCCTCTGCGTCTGGGGCGCCGACGGTGAAGCGGAATTGGCGCCATTCGGAGTCTGCAGTATGGGTCAGGGTACCAGACCTTGCTTGGAGAGGAATATGCATACCAATATTCTTGATGAGGTACTCCTCGTCCGTGATCTCCTCAAGATACGACCGACACGACGCAACACACCACCGCAGGATCGTCCAGGCAGCCGGCAGCACCTCCGGCTTCACCTCGTGCAGCTTGGGCTTCGACTTCCCCCTCGCAATCCGCTTCATAAGGTGCTTGCGCATCTCCGAGATCTTGGGCAGGGATTCGATGAGTTTTGCGATGGCATACCGCATCTGCAGGGTGAATGTTAGCAGACCGTAGCAATAGCGTAGTCTGTGTCGCGTATATAGACGGCGCCGCAGATCGAGGACGCACCTGAGGCACCTCAAGCTTGTCAAACTCGCATAGGCCATCCGCATCAGGCTGCACGACAGCCAAGGCCACCGGCTGAGTCTGCACCACCCCACGCATCGGAGGCGGAGCCCTGATATCCCCATTATTGGGCACCGGCACACGCAGCCCCAAATGCTTCGGCAGAGGATCGTCAAGCACCTGCTCGACCGCGGCCGAGTAGGCCAGCGCGACGAGCAAATCCACGGCCTGCGGGTTGTGGATGATCTCGTACTCAATGGAGGGACCCCGGTTGTGCATGTAGTACTGGTAGTGGCAGAGGGCGGAGTCGCAGACGTAGGGCTTGAGCGCTGCAAACTCGGTCTTGACCTTGGTGTGGCAGACGAGGCAGTAGCGCGTGCAAAGCTGTCGGCGCGGTGAGCAGCCGTCTTTGAGAAGATGTGCAAGGGGGAAGTGTTACCGAAAGTCTGCGAATCAAGTACGAGTATGCGGTGAGAGGCAGGTTGATTGAGTCCTGCTTTCCGCTTTCTCGCAAAGGGTCCTCGGGCAGCTTGACTGTCTTCGCGAGCTTCCTCTCCTCCTTGTCCTCTGCGACGAAGCGCTGAAAACGATGTCAGTCATAGTGCTTGGCGGGAGGGAAAGAGTGCGATGTACCGCCTTGCTCGACTTGAACAAGTCTGCTGGTCGCTGTTGTAGCTTGTCCGACTCGAGAAGCAGGAGTTCCGCCCCGGCCCAACCAAGGCCGAACTCCTTCCTGACCTGCAGTACCTTCAAAAAGGACTGCTCCATCAAGCTCTCCAACGAGCTCGTCAAGCTGAACCGATCGAACTTCTCCTCCTCTTCCTCTTCCTCCACCGGTGGCTGCGGCTCGGGCGACCCCTCCTCGCCCTCCGCCATCAGCGCGGCCAGTCGCGCCGCCGCCTCCTCCTCCTTCTGCCTCTGCAGCTCGTCCTCCGCATCCTCGGTAATCAGCCCGAACGTACGAATCGCGTCGCGCGCGACGTCCTTGCTCGGCTTGTAGTTGCGCGTGAGGCCGACCTTGAAGTTGAGGCCGGAGGCGAGGCCCTTGCCCGATATGATATGCCCCTGCGCGTCGACGCCCGGGTACCCGCCGTGGAACGTGCCGATGAGCAGCGTGAGGTGCTGCGAGGTGGCCAGCAGGCGCCGATCCCACGCGACGAGCGCGCGCGGGGGGACCATGGTGGCGAGGCGCGCGACGGGGATGGAGACGGAGACGCAGAAGTCATCCCCGCTGAAGCGCACGATGCCCGCGGTGTACCCGGACGCGACGCACTCGAGGAAGTCGTGCTGGAGCGCGCGCATCCGCTCGCGGTGGTTGTCGCTCGTGGAGGGCGCGGCGGGCTCGTAGTCGAACGCGTCGTAGTCGATCACGCTGTCGTCTTCGTCGTCGTCCTCCGCGGGGTCCTCGTCGTCGGACGCGGCGGAGGGATTCATGGCGTTCGCTACTTGCGTGACGAGGCGTTCTATAGTCGTGGCGATAGGGCGGGAGGGGGCGGTGGCCAGGTCGTCTAGGATGTCACGGAAGAGGTCTGGTGGGCCGCCATCTGGGCAGTAGGAGAAGAAGGAGTGACCTTTGGGATAGTCCGATGGGTCTGCAAGAGCATATTGAGGCAACTGCGTATTGGGGCGAGCTGCAGCGCTTACCAGACACAAGGAGATTCAGATTCAAGACAGGCGCCGCATTCTGATCGTCCACCAGGGACATCTCAATCGATCCTTCATCCTCACCGGGGCGGAATGCTAAAGTCGATCAGTGCTTCATTCAGGATGTAGCAACCAGCCACGCACTCTTCACCCGTAGCCCTTTCACCGACAGGCCAGCCTCCGCTGCACGCTTCATATCCTCGACATCTGCATCGAAGCGCTTCTTGCCCTTCAGGCTCGTGTTCGCAGAACCCATAGCGTCAAATCTACTCTTGCTGGCGGTGGCGCTAACTTGGGCGCTTAATTTGCTAGTGGACGCGGCTGCTAAGAAGTTCACGTGCACAAAGGGAGTCCAGAGCTCAGTTATAGTGTGACCTCCCGAAGCACGCACAAAGGACGCGTAAAGACCGCGACGCACCTGCATTTGTGGTCCTCATCCGTTTGTGCGGTGGGCTGGCAACATATTCTGGTTCTGAGTCCGAGTCGTGTATCTCTATAATATTGTCTGGCGTCATGCGCTTCGTGCCTCCTCGGGAGGCCATTGCGAAGCTGGAGACGATAAAAATGCGAGAGATGGTGGGCAAAAGCAAGCCGCGAGCTGGCTAGCGACGCGCCCATTAACGCCACGTGCGCGTGACTCGGGAATACGGGTCCGAGCCTGTTACTTTAATCCCGAAAAGGAAGGCTTTGTTTTCTGCGCACAACCTCAAGCTTGCTTGAAGTCCACTCAAAAGGCCAGAAAGTCGAGCCAATATCCGTCCAAAAATGCTACAGTCCATTCATCAGACCACTATGTTACATGCCTTTTCTTCTCGTTAGAGGATCTCGACGAGGCCATCTCAAGCCTCGTCGAAGCGCCAGCACTGGTGGCGGCCCTCCCACTTGCCCCAGAGCGTGATCGCGGTGCCAGGGTGCGCGTTACCGTGGTCGGACAGGTCGATGTTGAGGGTGGTGTTGGGGATGAAGAGACTACGCCGCATCGTCAATAACACCGCTCGATGGACCGCGATGAAGTCGACTCACCGGTAGACCGACGGGTCCTGCTCATCCTTCCAGATCTGCCAGTCGCACGGGTCCCTCCACGACGTCAGGCGCGTGCCCTCGTGCAGATCACCGTCGAAGCCGAGGTACGTCCCGTTGCCGACGTTCTTGATGTGCCAGCCGTTCTCGGAGCGCTGCAGCTCCCACTTCTGGTTGTCCCCATTCTTGTTGTTCCAGCCGACGACTGTGAGGGTACGGTCAGTCGACATCGCCCACAACGAGGAGATCTACGCCATCGACGCACTGGTGTAGTTGTCCATCGCGTTCAGGTCAATGACCGTGCCCGCCTTGGCGTTGGTGATGTAGTAGCGGCGGCCAGATTCGATTTCGACCATGATGAGAGTGTGTTTGGGTGAGGTGGATAGGTGAGGTGGATGTGAGAGTTCGAAGACAAGTTCTGAAGAACCAGAACCCAGCCTCCTCCCTCCCTTTATACCCTCCCGGACGTCGATCTACGTCATCACCACCCTCGCGACCCTCGGAGCGGCTGTCAATGCGGCACGACGGACCTGGGCCAGGATGCCTGCCGATCGCGAAGGGTGGTGTGGCTATAGCCGGGGTGGTGTGGTCATGGCGAGGGGGTGTGTGACTATGGCGAGGGGTGTGTGGCTATGGCGAGGGGAGTGTGTCTATGGCGAGGGGTGGTGGCTATGATGGTGAAGGGGCCGAGGGGGTGTGGCTATGGCGCGGCTGGGTCAGTGGTGCGGCCCCGTGCGCGCTGCGCAGGCCTCGCGCGCGGGGAATGGTGGCCACAAATGTCTTCCCTGCGTTCTATCGATGGTGCTATTGGTATGTCGTCCTACCCATGCGTATCGATACGCGTAAATGAACAGAACGTGCGCCTGAAGTGCCCGTTATGCGAGCAAGCTTCCCTGTGCTGCCCTTTACTGCGCGACCTTTATCATGTATGCGAGCTGCAAGCGACCAGAACGCGGTGGCGGGGAGGCTTGGAGTCCCTGAGGGGATGCGGTCCTACTAGTCCGGCCCCTTGAGAAGAGCAGAGGCAATGCGCACGTATGTTGTAAGGTATGACAGTCTGTAGGCGTAGGCAATGATGGCGTAGGCGTGGAGTGCCGTGAGGGGAGAGATCCTTGCCAATAAAGCGATGTTCATTGTTCTTTTCTTGGTGCCATGATTGCGGCTTGCTAGCTCGTAAGCTCGGAACAGCAGCTAGACTGCGGTAATTTCGCTCATCTTCAACATCAGTCTGAGATTCAGGGTGCGAAGGAAGGTCAGATAGGATGGCCTGGCCAAGACGGCCGCTTGAGAAGAGCGGTGACGCATGGACTTCCGCCGGAAATCTCCGGTCACATTGATGCGACCCTTTTACGTGATGTCACGGTTGATGTTCCAGTGTCTGTGGAAAGGACCATTACTGCGCTTTCCAGAACTCGCGCATCATTGAGTGCACAATCTTGAGGACAAAGAGAGCAATGGCGGTCACCTCAATCAGATCAATTTTGCCTTGCATAGTAGATAGCACCACCAATCAGACTCTTCTAGCGAGCGTAAGGCAAGAGCAACTGGTGAGTGATTTAGACAGAGCTTGGCATCCTACATCTCTACGTAAAGACACGCTGACGCGGTATATACTGTATCCAGAACATCGATGAGACCACAGTGCAGCTATCGCGCTCGTTACTGTATTCAAAACAACAACAGCCAGACCTGGTAGAGCCCGACGTCGAATGACAAACTTTATGTGCGTACTATATGCGTGCGGAGACAGGAGAGGAGAGATACGAGAAGGGAGCACAGACGCCAAAGGAGAGGATATGTAGATGACAGGAAGAGGCACACAGTCACCGAATTGGACATATAGATGCCAGAGACGGGCGAGTAGATGCCGAAGAAGGACGAAGTAGACGCATATGCCGAAGGAGGGAGAACAGATGCCACAGAGAAAGTAATGCTATATATGAGTAGCCTCCGCGTTACCCACGAGATCGTCGTCGTACTTACACACATACATCGCCCCCTCTACAACATCGTTAGTCGTATGAACACGGTACAGCGATCCACATTTCGTTTCGTTACACGACCGCCTTCACCAGCAGCCCCTCCAGGCGGCAGAACTCGGGCACGAGCGCTGCGTATGACATGAACGCGTCCACGTCCGGCTCCGCGACCTTCGCGAGGCCGACCTGCTGCTCGCCGTCCGCCGTCGGCATCGCGGTGACCGGCGTCAGCGGCGTCGGGCCCGTCCCGCTCGTGCCGCCTACGCTCAAGTCCGGGGTGGTGAACGCAGTCGAGGCGGTCGGGCCCGAGCTCCCGCTCGTCACGGTGTCCGCGGTCGACCCCGTCTGCGTACGCAAACGCGGGAACAGGTTCGGCACGCTCAGCGTGAACGGCGTGCCCGGGCTTTTCGGCTGGCCGTCGACGTCGAGCACTTCGTCCTCCTCTTCCTCCCGAAATACGGTGTTCCCGATCCCGCGCGGCGCGCCGAAAGGCGTGCTCGCGCCGCTGCCGCTGCCGGTGCTGAGGGCCTTGGCAGGGAGGCCGCCGATGTTGGTCTTCAGCGGCGTCTGCCCGCTGACGACCCAGCGCTTGCCGAGTAGCCGGCGGATCTCATCCTCGTATGCCAGGCCGCCGCTGCTGCCCAGTGCCCATTGTGACTGCTTGCCCCAGACCCAGCGGGCAACGTAGGCAGCACCGATAGTAGCGCGACTTGGGTATCCCTGCGCTGGTGAGTTGCGGTGGGGCGCGACCTGCGCCGAGTCGACCTGTGTGGTCGGGATGAATATCGACGCGTTGAAGACATCGCCGACGAGATTCGAGATACTGGGGAAGTTGGCAGCCGCGCCCGTACACAAAATACGCGCCGGCAGCGTGCTATGGTCATAAGGGTCGAACGTCACGCCGAGAGACGAAGAAATCGGCCGCGAGTTCGTCGGTGGTGGGGTGGGAGTAGGGGTAGCCGTGTTGGATTTGCGGTTGCCCAAGACGCCTGTGGCGAGCATCTTGGCCCAGCGAACGCGGAAGGACATAACCTGGCTTTCTATCAAGCAACGCGGGTTAGCGCGCAGGTCACGGAATTCCGTCACTTTGATGCCGTGCTCGAAACGATATATGCCCTTGACTTTCTGGAATGGGTGGCTGTCGCACGAGAGGTTCCAGAAGCTGAAGAGTTTATCGTCCAGGCTGATGAGATGGGATCAGTACTCCGGCATATAAACATCGACAGCAGCATACCCGATAGATCCACCAGGCGGGACGATGGCGACGAGCCTGTCAAATGCACTCCAGCTCTTGGTGTACATGTCGCGCACGAGCGCGCGAGGAACATCGCCATTGCGGCTACTCAGAACAGCGATGTATCGCCTCTTTTCGCCTGGATCCTGAGCAGGGTGCGGGAAGAGGTTGTAGAGACGTGTGGGGTTGTAATGTTGTGCGGGAGTGAGTAAATGATCCATGGGGCCGAATGAGAGGACGGCGTCAGTTGGTGAGGGACAGAGAGATAGGTACGTGGACAGATAATCGGGCATAAAGGGCGTAACAGTCGTTTCTGCGTGTTGACATCAGTACAGCGAGAATCCAAGTGAAGGTAGCACGCACCTGGATCGAATCCGTACCGATCGACAAGGTATCTTGAGACATTGCTGACGCGCCGACCACCACCTGTGACATCGACATCGCCTAGCCATCCGCGGACTCTCCGCCCTTCCTCGCGGCTACCACCTACGAAGTCGAGGATCCCCTCATCCCAATGGCCTTGACCATTCGCAGAGGGATTAGCGCTATGGACCCATATGCCGGTAGCGCACGCGTCCGCCTCGCCCATCGGTACCCACTTGCCACAGATGAGGCTTGCCAAGAATGCGCTAGCCAACTGCAAGCGGCCCGTCCGCGCCCACACATCCTGCGGCCACGTCTGGCGCACGCGCAAAAGCTGCGCTGCGACCAGCGAGTCGTTTCCGCAGGTGCCGACCCTCCGCGCGAGGTTATCCGGGCCACCCGCCATTTCCTCCAGGTCGACAGCATGCTGGTGGGAAGACGTGTCCTGTGCGACAGGCGTGTTGGGTAGAGAAAAGGATGGCGCGGGGAAGTGAACGTGGAGGGGGACGTGCGGGTCGAGGGAGGAGAGGGAGGGTATCGTGGTCGATTTCCACCAGACGATGGCGTGCTGGGCGGCGCCGCCGATGCATTTTATTCGCCCGAGATCGTATGCGCGATGCAGCTTTTGCAGGAGGGTGTCTGGCGAGGGTGGATCAGCGATGCGATCGCGAAAATTTGGTTCCGCTGGGGACGACGGAGATGGGACGTACCAAGACCCTTGATCCACATCTCGACTGGGGTGGTGTACGCATTACCGGGCGTGGTGAAGATGCCGCCTTGTGTTCTGTGCGAGGAGCGAGCGAACTCATTGTCAGCTGGCGTCGTGGGGAGGTACGGGTGCACGCACTGGTACTCTGGTAGCTCCGTGTCAAAGTCTACGGACTCTACACCCACGAGCTCGAGGCCCTCGTCTACGATGGTCGCCCGTATCTGGTCCACCGCGAGCTCTATGCCGAGGAATAACGCCGGACCCGTCGCCTTGAGCATTTTGAGGTGATCAGATCGTTCGCGGAGGCCAGTGCTGCTTGTTGACGCGTTATCTGCCGTGCTATTGCCGCAAGATAGGCTTCCCAGAAGTTAACCTTGCGGGGAACGCGCTGAAAACGAGGGAAACTGGCTGAAGGAGATCCGTCGCCGTGGGAGAGAACCGTACGTTGGTCGAGGGGTTGCGACGCGTGCGGTATGAGCGAAATCTGCGGGCTCTACTGGGACACGTCGAACACGCGTCGGCGTCGTGTCCTCTGTGGCCGTTTTTGCAAAGGAAAGGCGGAAAACGGGCGCCTACACGACCGCAGGATACAGACGTGCATCAATCGGAGGCTGATCTTCGCTGAGTCAGCTACCACGAGCTGTCCTCGAGATTGTTTTCATGTTCCCAACGGACAAGGCGCAATGAGAAGGGTTTCGAGGCTTGTCTGATAACCGATATCGCTCTTGAAAGCTCTCAAACGCTTATGAAGGGAGGAGAACAAGGAGTGAATGCTCTAATTGTACAGCGTCATTCCATTGCTAGCCATGTGAGGCGAGTACGGTGACGCGGAGAGCGGGCCGGGCTCGGCTCACGGAGATGATGAAGAAGATTCCCACGAGGTTACTCTGTAACGAAGTCTCGATTGAAAACCTTGCCCTCCTCCCTTGGAGGAGGGCCCTTTTATACCTACAGCTGTAAGTAGTCATAACTAGTCACGGAGTATATATACGAGTCATTAGAAACCAGGAGAACCTCAAGGAACTCCAAAGGAAAATACCCCCGCGAGAGGTGAAGGTAGAGCACGTGGCGTCGGCTAAGGCCGAGGCGTCACATACCCCCCTCCAGCGCCTTCTAAGGCGCTCTGTAAGTACAGTAGCAACCAGTAAGTAGCACGTATGTATAGAATAGAAACGAGTCTTTGTTTTTGTATATATTTCGAACCTTTTCTGTAAGTAACTTTCGAGCCGTTGTTCTGATGATCTCTAGTAAGTAGTGAGTAACTACTGGTTCCCCTTGCCCTCGCGCCGCTTGGCACGGTTCGCCTCGAAGGCCTGCTGACGGCGGGCGTTCGACAAGCGCCCCTGCATCGCCTCGATGGCCGTCACCTCACGAAGGAGGAGCTCCTCGTTGGTGGGCTCGGGCACCTTGCCCTCCACCTCGTCCATGTAGCGATGCGCGGCCGCTCCGCTGCTGATGTCGAGGATCTGACGCACCCAGAAGGTCCGATCAATGCGCTGCTCGTCGGGGATGGGTCGGACTTTGCCGGTCGCGAGGTCGATCGGACACATGTGCTTGCCGAAGTCGACGCGCTGGAGGATCTCCACGAACTCGGCATAGCCGGACGGGACCTCAACAACGTCGTGGCGGATTCCAGTGGCAGTGATGCCGTCGCTGAAGCGCATGTACTCGACGAGGATGGTGAGTGGGATGCGGTAACTGAAGAGGTATTCTTCAGGGTCGTCGCGCGCGTAGATAGGGATGACGAGGCGGCGTCCGCGGATCTCCCACGTCATGGGAACGATGCGGCGGTGGGCGGATTGGGCCGGGCCGCGTGGCTTGGCGCGGCCGAGGAGGAAGCCGTCGTCCTCGGAGGCGCGCTTGGCGGGCGTCGTCTCAGCGGCGGCGGACGGAGGCGCGGTCTTATCCGCACCAGCGTCGGCGGCGGCGTTGACGCGCGGGATGGGTTGCTTCATGACGTCGGAGCGCGCGGCTTCCTGCTGGCGGATGCGGTCGGCGATGATACCGGCATTGTACTTGGCGCGGGCGGCCTCCTTTGCGCGGAGCGCGGCGGCGGTGTCGACAGGCGGCTCGCTGTCGATGAGGGTGGAGGCGGCAGAGCCGGCGGCGTCGAGGACGGACGACATCGTCTTGGGCGCGGTTGCCGGCGGGGCGGCCTCGGAACTGGGTGGGTCGACATCCATCGGTTGGACCGAGTCCGCCTTGTTGCCATTTTTGATCGCCGGCGCCGTTTTGGCTTTGGTGTGGGAACGAGTACCGACACGGTTGGCGTTGGGCGAAGGGGAAGGAGAGTCGGGAAGCGGAGGTAAGGTAGAAGGATCCATAGTATGTATGTAGAGAGAGGAAGAGGGAATGGAGTTGGGTTGGCATACTGACTGTCCATCCCTTTTAAAGGGATCCCAGCTAAGCCCATTACCCGATTCGTCGTGAATCTCGCCATCGGGAACACGAGGCTCGATCGTGAGTTCGAGATTCCCTACATACAATTGGACATCCCCGGGGTCTGGTTCAGATCCAGCCGGGAGATCACCCGCTTTGTCAACGCCAAGCGCCTCGAGGTACTGCTTGACCTTCTCGAGGGTGGCGACATTCTTGATTGGGATCCAGGACATGTCGCCCGGCTTCCACTTCACCTTGAGTACTGCATCAGCACCCTTGCCGTGATGTCCCACAATCTCCTCAATTGCCCATTCTTTCTCCCAGGCACCGAAGTCGGCCACCTGAGTCTCAAGGCGGCCCGGAAATAGCCGATCATCATTGGGAATATGAATTCTCAATAGAGACGCGTGGAAGCGCGGGTGTATTCCCCGCTGCTTCAACTCCTTCGGGAGATCGAGAAGGAAGGCCTCATTGCCTAGATCCTTCAGGATGCGGTACGGTCCAATGAACTTGGGAAGTAGCTTACGAACGCGGCCCTTCGGGAAGTTCATGTTGGCAGTTGAGACATATACTAGATCGTTCTCGGCAAAAGGCGCACGGATGCGGCGTCGATTGGCATCACGTGTCTGCTTGACACGCGCGGCGAGCACTGCGTCATGAGCCTGCATGATGGCCTGCTTGACGCGGCGCGCATAAGTCCGCACCCCGGGATATTCCGTCGTGGGTGCGTCCTCCCAGATCATGGCGCGGGGCATGCGACCAGTATTCAGGAAGAACGGTGCATACCCCGTGCTCTCCGAGCGCACGGAGTTGATCGCAAACTCAACCGCCGGCAATTTCAGGACCCAGTCCGATTGAGCGGGCTCGACGCATTCGCGTATCATCTGGACAACTGTCCGATTGGCCCGTTCAGTTGATCCGTCGGTCTGCGGATGGTATGCGGTTGACATGCGCAGTTCCGTTCCGATCAACTTGTGCAGGTGAGTCCAGAATATGCTCGTGAAGAGCGAATCCCGGTCACTGACTATGTACTTGGGGAGCCCATGTAGCTTATAGACTTCCGCAAAGATAATGTATGCCAGAGTCTTGGCAGTCACATTAGTACGCGTCGGAATAAGATGTACCATGCCGGTCAGCAGGCAGATCACGACGAGAAGGTAATTGAAGGTCCCATTGTGATTCTCGCTCTCGGGAAAGGGACCCGTGAAGTCTATCCCGATAGCTTCCCAAGGCGTGCCAGGCACCGGCAGGGGATTCAATAGCCCGTACGGCTTGTGATTGCTGGGCTTATTCCAAGCGCACGTGGTGCACGACGCAATGAACTTCTGTACGTCAGGCACCAGCGTCTTCCACCACACCTGATCACGGAGCACGGGGATAACCTTAGCGGCACCGAGATGCGCGAGTAAGGTGTGTGCTTCCTGAATAATGAGTCCTCGCACGGAGCGACCACTTTCCTTGATGTTCGGAATGCACAGCAGACGACGAGAGTCCTGCTTCAGGAAGATGAGTCCGTCAACCACCTCAAAGTTTCGGAAGTGACTGGGTTCTTCCAATATCTTGGCAAAGAATGGATCGTCCTGATACTTATCCCGGATCAGATCTTCAATGCGTACACCCCGTGTGTGATTGGGTATAGCCGTCAAGATAGGTTCCGTGAGGCTAGGAGGTGCGATATCATTATCTTCGTCACCTTCCGCGCCGACCGAGGTCGAGACACGTGTTTCCTCTGCTGAGGCTGGTGTCTTGCCTGTCGGGTGTTCTGGTTCAGATTCCGACATCTGGACAGCACTAGGTATGTCTATATTCGCATCCTCTGTAATTGGGCTGCCGACGTCGGGCGACGACGGGCTGTCTTCGACAGCGCGCGAGTGCGCGTTCTCTCGGGTACCCGAGGGGTACTCGGAAGATGCCGAATGTGATGTTCCGCTGACATCACCTCGCGTGGCTTGATCGGAAGCAAACGCGTGATGAGCTGGCAGCGCGTTCTGCGCTGCTTCCTTCTCGCTCATCTCGTCTTCAAACGCGTTCGGGTCACTTGCAATGGGTTCGACAGGGTCGTCTCCCCCCTCCAGACGCGGCGCGCGTCTCTCAGAGTCGCCATCCGCTGCGTGATCGCCCACAATCAAGCGGACGGATCCCTTCTTCGCGGCGAGACGACGAACCCAGTCGTTAAAGGCCTTCGTCGAGCCTTTTGGACGCCCTCGACCGCGGCGAGGAGCGACGTCGTCCTCAGCCTCTGGCGCAATCGCCAGAGCGCCAAGCTCGGTCACAAGTGGTCGAGTAATGTCCATACCGTCATAATCAACGGAGCCATCCTCATCAAAGGATGTATATTCAGAGGGAGAGCGCAGCGTTCCAGGTGCGTCGCCCTCGTATATGCGCGATAGTGCGTCAGCTAATACATTATCCACGCCTGGCAGGTACACGACTTCAAAGTCAAACTCGCCCAACTTCTCAAGCCAGCGCGCTTGCCGCCCCGAAAGGTTTGGCTGCCGCAGAAGATGGACAAGACCACGATGGTCAGTCACCCACGTAAAGTGGAATCCCTGAAGTAAGTCGCGATGCCGCTGCATTGATTCCACGCCAGCTAACATCTCAATCTCATGTACAGGATAATTCTGCTGAGTCGTGCTCAGCTTCGCGGAGAAGAGCGCGATTACCGTTCCGGTACGCCAATCCTCCCCTTCAACGACTACTCCTGACAAAGACGACTTAGAGCCGTCGGTCAGAAGCCAAACGCGCGAAGTGGGCTTGCCATCCGGCCCGAGGGTGATGCCTCGGCGTGAGACGCGCTTGCTCGCGCTCACCAGCCGCTTGCAATCCTCAAACGCGCGCTGCTGCGTGAATCCCCACTCCCATCGGTGAGTTTCGCCGCACAAATCGTGCAAAATGCCCA